ATACAGTGTCAATAGTTCCTTACCATCTGATCCAGTGAAAGTGTTGTAGCCAGTTGAGTACGTACTGGTGAAAGATCCGGTCCATGGAATCGTGGTCCCAGAGGTTTCGTCCACAATTGGCGTCTCAACGTGGTAAATGGTCTCGACAGTTTCCTTACCATCTGATCCGGTGAAAGTGTTGTAGTCAGTTGAGAAGGTACTGGTGAAAGATCCGGTCCATGGAATCGTGGTCCCAGAAGTTTCTTTCACAATTGGTGTCTCAACGTAGTAGATAGTCTCAATAGTTTCCTTACCATCTGATCCGGTAAAGGTACTGAACGCTGTTGAATATGTCGTTGTGTAGGATCCACTCCATGGAATCGTGTTGCCAGAAGTTTGGTCCACAATTGGTGTCTCCACGAGATAAATTGTTTGGAGTATGGCGGTACCGGCGACGGTTACTGTAGTAATTCGAGTTGAATACGTTGAAACAATGAGCCCTGTCCAAGCTTTAACTTGTGTAGAAGTGGTCAAGGGCATGGGAATTTGTACGTAGAATATTGTTTCGACGGTCTGTTCCCCATCATTGCCTGTTGAAGTTACCAGTCCAGTGGAATATGTGGTCAAGGCTGGAAAATTGCCAGAGGTCATCGAAGTTGATGTGGTAAAAGCCGCAGTTGGTGTTTCGATATAATAAACGGTGGACATGGTGATCGATTCGCCAAAGAACCACCAAATCCAGTTGCCTATGGTGGTAATGGCAATAGAGTATGTGCTTGTAAAGGTACCCGACCATGGAGTCAGATACGACACGGTAGTATAAATGTAACCGTTCTCTGTGCTCCCAGTCGTGACGGTGGAGACAGCGGTGCGTTCGTTAGTCGTCTGGGAAGATATCTGTTGACTTGTCTGTGTACTTATCACTGAGCTTGTCTGTTGGTTCGACTGATCAAGGCATTGTGCAGGCCAGTAAAAACCTGGGGAATCTGTTTGTGAGTGTCCCTGGTTATCGTAATTATTGCAACCGGTCATCAAGTCAAAATTGGTCGTCCCATAGCTCCATGAGCTCGCATATTGAGAAGTCGAGCCCTGTAAATATTCGTATTGAATTTGGAAGTTGGGTAACCAGATTTTCGATGCGTCCGTAGAATCTGGAACACCATAAACTCTGAACGTCGCCGTGAAATCCGTGGGGTTATCGATGAGATACACATTCTCATTATGGCCGTACAATTGAAATGTGCCTCCATCGGGACTATTCACTCCAATTATCTTAAGCGACCATAACATTTTGATTGGAATTGAGTTAGCACCCGTGCAGTGGATTGTGACATGATAAATATTGTCCCTCTCCCACGAGACGGATGTCGTTTGAATGTTGTAAACCATAGTTCCCGTCATAGCAGCATGCCAAGTGAAGTCCAGGTTCGGGCATCCGTTTACCGGAGCACACGACCTGACGGTTGTGGCAGAACTTGGCACAAAATTACAGGTTGACCCTGCAAAACAGAGCCTTGCTATACCAGCCAAAAAAAAGAGCCATATGCCCTGCATATCCCTTTGCCGAAAAACAACTTCTTTTGAGCTCTTCCCACTATAATCTCTTTGAATCTAATCTGTTTGCTTAGGATATTCAGCTCCTCATGCTCCTTTAACCTGTAAACTAGTAAGAGCGCTTTTCGATCCTTCCGCATATCTCATCAGCTGCATAGGAAGGCCAAAACACTTGACAAAACTTTTCGAATATGCACTACCAGCCAAGTGGGTGCCTGCAAACACGCATCTTGTAAACACTAGAAACCGCCCAGCACTAACGGTTTGATGTAAATGCGTTATCCTTTTCGGCTAACCAGGTTACCTGCCAGCTTACAGACCGCCTTACAGACCGGCTCACAGGCCCGGTTCCATTGACAACGGACTGCATGCAGATGCACATCAAAAAGATTTGCAAGCTGGTTGATGCCATGGGATTTTTTGATAAATCTGGTGATGTCGTTGTGGACGAACTGCTCGGGAAAAGAAAGTACATGCAGCAGCCGTTAGGCAAGCTGTGCCTGTCTGCCGGGCTCAAAGATGGGCATCGAGCCATAGTAGACTAGGAAAAGGACTCTTATAAAGAGAGAAAGCCTTAAAGGAAAGAGGCGTTTCAATTATGAATGTAGCGATAAATAGTGATTCTTGGGGTTTTTCTTGGAAAAATTAAACGATTTAGGCCCATCTTGAAGTGCTTCATAGGGCAACGTAGGTAACACAGGTAACGTTGTCAAAACCCATCTAGCTCTTTAGGAAAACGGCCCATGATATTTACAATCAAAGAGCTCCAGCCAGTAAATTGTTGTGTGCCAGACCCTCTACCGCTGTGGTGATTGTAGTTTTCGTAGACGTGGCCACTTTCATTCCACACACGGTACATATTTGAAATCAGGTTTTCGCGAAGGACGTGGTATACGTTGCGGGCCTTTTCAGCGGTTTCTGGTTTGGTGAAGCTGTCGCTTCTAGCGTAATGTAGCAAAGCATCCAAACAGAGGTAATTAATATTGATCCACACGGGACCTCTCCAGTAAACTTCGCCTGTATCGAATAGCTTGTCTTGTTTCGACAAAGACAACAAACCGTAATCACTCAACAACTTGTCAGAATCTGCTATCAGATCCACGAAATGGGTTATCTTGGCGGAGCTCGGATCCACGAGCTTCAGTGCAAATGGTAACAGAGTCACGTAGCCCTGGTGGCAGACAAATTTGCGTGGATCGTCAGCTTCGTCATCGACAGTCACATCACAGTAAGAAGCGTCCTTCTCACTCCAATGTATGATATCCAGGTTCTCGACTATATTACGCTCAATTCTAGCGAACTCTTCACTATCATCCTCTAAACCTATAATTCCTGAAATTTGCTTCATCGATCTGGCCATCACCCCCACCCAGGCAAGCGCATCAACATTGAGTTCTGCAACGTCGGGAGGAAGTGCGCGAGGATAGTCATCCAGCCCACTAGGGAGGCAATGTGTGAAAGTACGTCCAACCCATCTAAATGCTTCTTGTGGGTGCACGTTTTCATCCAGGAATTCAAGGTATTCCTCAATCATTCCACGTTGCGTCCTGGTGAACCATTCAAAATGTCTTAACAGCTGAGGGTAGACGTTTTTAGCGTAGGCAAGAAGCAAATCAGAGTTTTTCAAAAGCTGATCGTTTGTTTGTTCAATACCAAGTTCTTGATCAGTACCTTGAGCTTCGCTAAATTCCTGTGCCCTTGCAAGCATTTCACTAAAGCAAAGCAAAAGTGTTGGAGGATTTGCTATATTGGGGTTTTGCACTTGAAACTCTTCTGGCACTTTGCTTCGAGCCTCATCTCCCAATATCAATTCTCGAGCAACCCATCCATCTTCGTCAATCAAATTGAACCAGCTTTGTAAAATCTCTAACACCAAGTCAAAGTCATATTCCATAATTTGAAGCAAATGAAACCCTTCATCCCAATAAAATCCACGCGGGAAAAATGCACGACTAGGGACGCTGCTGAAAAGCTCTAAAGGACCTTCTTCTCCGGCATTGTTGAGCTCAATTTTCTCGAATTGCTCCTCGTCTAAAACAGTGGTCCGGTCAACGCGCTGCGTCCCATAGAAATACCCAATCCCACCAAGAAGATTAGACAAACTCTCGCGGGCAAACTTTTTCTCCTCTTCGCTTTTGAAAGAAAATGACTTAGCAAATTTGTTTTCAATTGTATCCAAAGACCATGTAATGAGGTTCGAGAGTTCATTGCTTGACTTGATGGGTTGCTTGGATTGACGATTATTGAAAATTAAATCAAACTGGAATGGCTCGTTCAATTGGAAAGTTTTTTGAACGTAATGGAAGTTTCCGGCCGGGAAATTGTGAATATTTCTTATAGTAAATGCGGTTGGCAATAAATCAGGCTTCAACTCTGTTTCCTTGGTAAAATCTTGAATACAATCACGCAGTATTGTTTGAAACACGTCGCGGGCCTTCCAAACATGCTCATTAGGAACTGTTAAAGACATGTGCGCACTTGATTGGGAGTTGTACAGTGTCCCGGTAATATCTTCAATAGTCACGCTGTAATCTCCGAGCTCTGGAGAAAATCCTTCAAATTGCAAAACTTTTGAAGGGTTTATTGACGATGTCACACGATCCAGCCTTGCAGAGTCGCCAGGTTTCCCATTTTGATTCATATACAGTATCAGGGACTCAGTGCTGCTCTTAGTCGTATCTAGTACTTGACCCATCACCCTTACCCCCCAATTGTTCCCATCCCTAGATTTAGCAAAAAACAAAGTCAAATTTAAATTGTTTTCGGGGTCTATTATCCTTTCTTTCCCACCAAATCTAGGGTCGTTAATCTCCCAGGCGCATTTCTGCATATTATCGCCCTGATCGACAAAATGCCGTAGTTTTGAGAAAGCATCAACGTTCGACGTATCCATCCACATCAATCCCATCAAAAACGGATACTCATTGACGTAACGGGGTCTGATCCCAAAATAACAGTTCGATCTATAAGGTGCCCATAACAGTGACTTATTGGCTTCTGCTTGATATGTATCAAAAGAATCAGTTTTCCACGCAGTTTGATCTGCAAATACAAACCCATAACCGCTAACAAGCCATAAAATGACCCATTGAACTTGTAACAAGACCATTTCCTTCACTGCGTTCCACGGTAATTAGTATATTAAATGTGTCAATAACTTAGTAAAAGTCATGTGAACTTGATCAACTTGCACCATTAAGTTAAAATATACAGATGTCATGATAACCAAGATGCAAGAGTTAAACCAAGACTTGACCAGGCGTTTCTCCAAGACTTAAGTCTTCTTGGATTTGCCAAAAAAAGCATATATATATATTGACTGATTATTTGAGACAACCGCTTGAACTTCCAATCAGCGTCAGAGATTTGAACCTCGTCCTTTGAATAATCAACGACCACTTTAAGGGCATCATTGCAATTGTTGGTATAACGTTACGGAGCTTTCCGGATTCTTTTCAGATATATGTTTGTCAGAGTTTATATGTTTAAGTAACACGAAGTAACTTTGAACTAATGAAGACGAAAAAGCGAACGTCTTAAAACAAACCACCTAGCAGTTCATTTATTTTCACGCAACTCATCTCCACTCCATTAGCTGATTCAAGTTGTAATTATTATCATTATGTATGCTTGTATGCTCAATATTCGATGACTATCTGAACAAGTTGTCCTTCGACACTTAGCCAAACCCTCTAACTTTTTTCTTCTTACGTCGGTTTCGCTGAGAGGCTGTAGACTGTGATGACTCCATTGCTCTTTCCTGGGAGGCTGGCGGTAGAGAAAATGCTGGTGTTATGGAATCTGGCAATGACTCGACCCCATGTTGTGAAAACGTACCAAACCTTGAAGCGCCAAACTTTGATGGGATGGGTCGCTTTTGATTGCGATTTGACATTTGTTGGGACGTCTTCACAAGCGGAGGGATATGTGAAGTCTGTGAGAGTGGAACGCTTTGAACAGGAGCCTCCAAAACAATTTCGGGGTCGCCATCATTTTGACCCCATAAAGCTACCATGTCTTGATGTTCTTCACTCAGTCTGTCATAAGCTTGCTGTGTAACCAGTTTGGCAGACTCCTTTTGGGTGAATCCCATGCTGGTGAGAGCTACCTTTTTGGTAATTTCGCGACATATGGCAAGGCGTTCATGATCTAATCCATCGTCACAATGCCAGCATTGTAACAACTCGGAATTAAGGCTATCCCAGTCGGAGAGCGGTTTCTGAAGCAGCAGGCGGGTTATGGATTTCACATCATTAAACCATATGCCATGTTTTCTGTAATGGTCCGTGAATTGGGTCAAAAAAGAGTCAAATTCCTCGACGCTTTGAAACTCGCCAGGGCTACCAGCTGCTTCTAGCAAAGAATATGCAGAAAACTCAAGAATATCGGAACGAGGCTCTTTTAAATTGTCCCACGACGCAATCAAATCGTTCATTGCTGCAGAAACAGAAAAGCCATACTCTTGAAATACATTGAAGTCCTGCACCGCGCCTTTTGGGTTAGAGCCCTGTGGCACGTTCGAAATCATGCATTGGATAGCTCTGTCGGGGGGAGGCGCAAAAGTCAAGCAGTCATCGATGAGAGGTAGCGTCAAGGGTTCATCCACGCAATTTGTATACGATTGATGTTCTGCTTTCTGAGTAGTAAGCATCAACTTATGCAGTCCTCGACTTTCTGAATCCCGCCACAAAATAAACAAACTGAAAGCCATCGCATCTTCCAAATCCCTGTTTTGGTAGACATCGCGCGACTCACAGAAATCTATGCTGTCAATGCCTCTGACAGGGGCGCTCGGTGTTAAGACAAATGAATCTCCACATGATTGAACCAATTGATCGGTGAGAAGAAACGCATGCACTAATATATTCTTCTTTATGCGGGAATGAATAAAAACGTAAAGCACATCACTACTGTCAAAAACTCTAGTGACGATTTTGGCAGACACTTTCAAGGTCACATCTTCTGACGAGATGCGGTGATGCCACGAGATTATACGTTCTGTCATTAGAGTGGTTAGTCGCATTACAATAATTTCTTTAGATGTTAGTAACACAGCCAGCTCGTCGTTAATTCGCCTAAAATCTCGAATTGTCGACCACGTCTTTGCCTGTATCAGTTCCAACTGCGCATCTTCATCTAAAAAGATCTCAATAGCCTTGGATCTGTCAAAGATTAAAAGCCTATTGTAAGTCGCCGACCACTCGATCAACTTCCAGGCTGATAGCTCTTCCAGATCAAAGATAGTACCTCTTTTACTAGTGGATAATCGAAGTCCCATTGGTCTTGCAGAACGTCTAACAATTGATCCAATGCACCAATTACCCTTAACGTCTACCACAGCAAACTCATTAGCATCCCATGGATTGAACGCTATGTCAGCTATTGCAAAGCTAGCTAGACTCGAGGGATTGAGGGTCTCGAATTTCTTATAAGCGACTCCGTGATGCGAACTAATACCCAAAATCTTTATAATATGGGCTCCACTTTCGGTTATGACTCCAAGCAAATCGGAACTTCGCAGTAGACCGGATGATAACTTGGAGAATTTTATCCTTTTAATACGTGAGCCCAAATAGATGTCGGTCCTAGCTCTAGTTTCCTCCATATGTTGAGCAAAATCCAAATTGGCTAGCGAAACCATAGAAAGAACACTATTTGTCTCTCCACATGCAAATATAGTTAGTTCTTGCGGATCTCTGTTCAAACGCAAATCAGTTGACGTCTGAACGTTTGCTACAGCCAAAAGACCAGATATAAGCGGATCACACAGTTCGAGTCGGGTAGCTTTGCCAGATACCACAGCTCGAGCGGGACCCTGAATTTGATTTTGACCGTGATCTCGTCGTACTGCCCGCCAATCTCGGTGTTGGCTATTAATTTCAGGGTCTTCGCTAGTCAATCGAGAAATCACATTCCCTGGAATAAAGTTCAAAGGTGGTATCGGAGCTTCCGTTTTCAAATCGTAGGCCTTGTCCGACGTCATTTCTACCTCCTGAAGCGGACTAAGAGATTTCGTTCTTTGACGCAAGACGCCCTTCAAATTCTCCGAAACGTCGTCTATTTCCAACTGCGCTTGAACATCATCGTGGGAATCGTCAGAAGTCGAGTCGTAGACCAATTCTTCGTATTCATTGGCAATTTCGAAACTTTTCTTATACTTATGTGCCTCTAAATCAACCAAAAGACCCTGGGAGGCCTCAACAATCTCTAATCCTAATTTTTGTGCAGCTGTAAAATCGTTATCAACAGTCCATCTGTATCGAGGACCACTTTTTGCCGAATCTGTTCCAGTATACAAATTCGAACTTCGGACACCCGCTGCAAGCTGAATCCCCGCGCCCTTTGTCCCTGGAAGGAAAAGCGAAGACGACATGCAACACACGTCGCTCGAGATACGCTCTGTTTGTAGGCCAGAGATCAGTATATCGGGGTTTTTATATATTCTACTGTTAGGAAGTGGTGAGATGAGATGAGATGAGAGATGAGCATCTTCAAATTTCAGTTATAACTTTGTACGTAAAAGATATCAGAAAGAGTATCGACGGGACTTAGGCTAGTTAGAATTCTACTGACCGTCTAGGAACCACTTTTACTGTTTATTTCTTGTAGAGTTTGCCGATAGGTTTTGAGCTGACAATTAATTTGACCTTCATTCGCTAAGGTCTCATAATTGACATCCAAGTCTTCAAGCACTTGGATCTTCTTCAAACCGCAAGTCCCAGCCTATCTCTGGACCCAGTTTAGGTAAAACTTCAGCAACGCTTTGCACATCTTTGTCACCTCTACCGGAAACGTTGATGACAATGTGCTGATCAGAACGCATCTTTTTGGCTAATTGCATAGCACCGTAAACGGCATGCGACGACTCTAAAGCAGGAATGATACCTTCCAATTGCGACAATAGTCTGAAACCTTCCAAAGCTTCAGCGTCGGTCACGGCAATAAACTCAGCACGACCGGACGCCTTCCAAGATGCAAGCTCTGGACCCACACCTGGATAGTCCAGACCCGCAGAGACGGAATGAGTGTCGTGAACCTGACCGTCGCTGTCCTGCAACACATAAGTCTTAACACCATGGAACACACCGGGTCTTCCAACGGTCAATGTCGCAGAGTGGCTATTGGTGTCAATGCCATCACCACCAGCTTCAACACCCAAAAGTTTCACGTTGGTGTCGTTCTCAAATGGTGAGAACATACCGGTAGAATTCGAACCGCCACCAACACACGCGACAACGGCATCTGGAAGTTTTCCGTCGTTCAATTTTGCAAACTGCTGCTTGGTTTCATTTCCAATCACTGACTGGAAAGTACGGACCAAAGTTGGGTAAGGATGAGGTCCAATGGCGGAGCCCACGACGTAATGGGTAGTCTCTAGATTGGACACCCAAAATCTGAAAGCCTCAGAGGTTGCGTCTCTTAAAGTTTGAGTGCCGTTCGTGATAGGCACAACTGTGGCACCTAAGATACGCATTCTGAAAACGTTGAGCGCTTGACGGCGTACGTCCTCAGCACCCATGAAAACAGTACACTGCAAACCAAACTTGGCACAAGCAGTCGCGGTGGCTACACCGTGTTGTCCCGCACCGGTTTCGGCAATGATCTTCTTCTTCCCTAGTCTCTTGGCAATAAGCACTTGTGCAAGGGCATTGTTGATCTTGTGAGATCCCGTATGGTTAAGATCTTCTCTTTTCAACCAAATTTGAGCACCACCACAGTGCTCGCTGAATCTTTCGGCTTTGTGCAAAGAAGAAGGACGTCCAATGTAGCTGTAAAGCCCCTTGAATTCTTCCCAGAAAATAGGGTCGGCAACGGCGCTTTCAAATCCTTGTTCAAGTTCTCTCAAACAAGCATGCAAAGCTTCTGGGACGTATTGTCCACCAAAGTCGCCAAAAGTGGCTTTAAATTTATGGATCTCTTTGAAATCGGTCTCTTCACATTTGTTGGTTTTACCCTTACCGATAGAAGCGGCTTGCGAAGCCTTGAATTCCTCGGTAGACAGGACTCTGTGCTTTTGACCGGCAAGAATTTCTTCGACGTAGTTTTTAGCCACATCGTAACGCTCGTCTGGTTGGGCGTCCGCAATAAGCTTAACGATTCTCGATCCAATAACCACACCGTCCGAAACACTGCCCACAGTAGTGAAGTGCTCTCTTGTCGAGACACCGAAACCGACCGCAAGCGGAATGTCCTTAGTGTATTTTCTCACTCTGGTCACCAAAGCTGAAAGATCGTTCGAGACAGAGGATTGAACTCCGGTAGTGCCCATTCTGGAAACAACGTAAATGAAGGACGTAGCAATCTGCGACAATAGCTCCAAACGCTGATCAGTAGTAGAAGGCGCCACCAGTGGGACCAAACTCAACCCGTTGTTGCTGACAAAATTTCTCACTTTGATGGCTTCCTCTGGTGGAAGATCAACGATAATAAACCCGTTGACACCTGCCTTTGCGGCCTCGTTGATGAATTTCTCGTCTCCATAAGTCATAATTGGGTTGTAGTAACCCATCAAGATGATCGGAACTGTCACGCCTTGCGATCTTGCGTCCCGAACCATTCCCAAAGTTTGTTTCATGGTGACTCCATTGTTCAAAGCTACTGTGTTGGCAACTTGAATGGTAGGTCCGTCAGCAATTGGGTCCGAAAATGGCATACCGACTTCTATTATATCGACACCACCGTCTTGAAATCCTTTCAGAATGGGCACAGTATCTTCAACTCTGGGATAACCAGCGGTCATGAATGTAACCAACGCATTGCGCTTTTCTTTCTTAGCGTCGGCAAAAACTTGTCTTAATTGTTCCGCCATTGGAATAATGTATCAGAGTACGATTTCAATCTTAAAGACGCTTTTCTAGTGATCTCACCAATTAGTTGAACCTCCAGTTCTAAAGCAGTTCCATTTATAAAACCCATTGGACCAAGAGATTGAATTGACTCATTTAAAATCGAAGTTTTTCCAAGAGTAAAATCACGTGAATATCACGAGACCCCGAGAATATCAGCACCGTGAAAGGCCTAGAAGAAGTCCATGTTGAGATTAGAGAGATCCAGATTGTTGAGATCCAGGTTGGTGAAGTCGTTGGACCCTACTTGCGGGAGCTGCTGGGTTTGTGTTCGTGGCTGTGGTGTAGGTTGCTGCTGTTGCTGCGGCTGTGGTTGCTGCGCTGGTTGCTGCTGCGGCTGAGACCTTATGGCTGGGTTGTTCATGTTTTTGTCCATCATGGACATGGTAAGGATGTTGGCCGGTGTAATGTTTGACATGTTGATCTGTTGTGGGGTCGGTACCGCCTGTCGTTGCTGAGGAGCCGTTTGAGGCTTGTTTGCCGAGGTCATCATTGAGTTTGAGGAGAACGAGGAGCCCATGACACCGCTGAGACCCGTGTTCATTGGTGAGATCACGTTCATTGGACTGCTCATCATGTTTGCAGGTGACATGTTCGCGAGGATTTGGCCCGGATTTGCTGACGGCATAGGCATTTGATGATGTTGCTGCTGTTGCGGTTGTTGCGGCGCAAGTGACATCTGCTGCAGCGGCTGAGTGCCCGGCACGCTCCCCGGCATGCCACTAGACATGCCGCTAGGCATACTACCAGGCATACTGCCCGAGACCGAGTTCTTCTTTGCGCGACTGCGTTTCGGTTTCCGCGCAGCGGCACCCTGGGCGCCAGAAGGTGTTGAGACGCTGCTGTTCGGGGTATTGGCGCTCGAATAGCTCGCACGCGCTGCTGCTGATGCGGGAGAGGGTCCACTGGCGACGCTGGGACCGCCGCTGAGGCCAGAAATACCACTCACGTTCTTGGACTGTTGCACCGCCGCGGCTTCGCTTGATCGCGATAAGGTTTCGAGCGGTGCAAACTTGCTTGTCTTCATCTCCGTTGCGTACTTCTCCAGGCTTTCGAACCTGGGTTCCAGGCCTTTCACCTGCCGCGAAAACTCCTGGATCTGCGAGTTCAACGCAATAACTTTAGCACGCACCATTTGGAAATTCTCATGCGCAGATTTACCCTTGTTTTGATCAATCGTAGCCATTGTGTTGAGCAAATCGTTGAACTGAAGTCGTAGGGGCATAATCAGTCCTTTTGGAGCCTGAAACTCGCGTACCAGCTCCGTTTGAAGCCCGTCTTCTTGCGCAAACCTCGTTTCCATCTCCTTGACGCTATTGTCCGTCATCTCCACGAATCTAATTGCTCTCCAAAGGAGTCTCGCGGGTGGCTAAGAAGTGGTCCTGTTAAGATGAGCACTTCCGGTTAACTGTAATATAAGAGTTCATGTTCGTGAGAATTGATGGGCATGAAACCACGTGACATCATGTCGCGAATCCCAGCGACACTGCGATCCCCTGACCATTGTTGGGCAATTTGAACCTTTATAGGATTCTGTTCACTTTTCATCTTGTTGTGGACACTGCTCTCTTGAATTTAACGGTTTTACCGTGGGTTTTGGACTCTTGTAAGATCCCCAACGTCGCGACGACAGTTTCCAAATCCTGGAACAGTCCGTGAAAATATTTGCCTGACAGAAACGCAAGTGATATCTGATTGTAGCAGCGGCTGAGCTCTGCGAGGTACTTGGACTTTACATGTTCGAATGCCGGCAGTGCCTCTATAAATTGTCGCAGCAGCGAAGATTCCGGGGTAGCAGCGACAATTTCGAACCAATTAGCGAGAGGCTCGGTGCGGGCACAGTAAATCAGTGACAAGCGTAGACAGGTGTCTTTTAGCTTGGAGTCATGCAGGAACTGAATACAAATTTCCACGCTTTTCGCGACGTCGTTGTCCATGTGAGAAATGTAGAGCACGTAACAGGCGAGAATCTCGACACAGCGCGGATCGGTCGCAAGCTCTTGATGTGTAGCGACAAAGATGAGTATTGGCGCGACTCGAGTAGGCTGTTTATTGGATATGTGGTATTTTAGCGATAGCAAGAAGACGTCAATGCAAAAGGTGATGAAGTGGGAGTTGGACCTGTTGCCATCACGAGCGTAAACACTTACCAGCACTTCACGTAGAAGTCTCAAACCGTGGCCAATAGTCTCAGATTCTGGAATTTGGTGATTTGCCGCAGCTATCAGCTCGAACAGCGCTGTTCGTGCTTGGGGAGACTCTTGAAGTCGCGCTAACGCGCCGGTGGGTACACCGGAGCGGCTCAAAAGCACTATGTCTGCTAAACGGGCACGTAGCAGTGCCTGAGGATCATTGGAAGCCTCGATTGAGTCTTCTATCTTGTGTTCTTTAGTGGTAGGCATTGATCGGGCTCTACATTCTGTATTAGGTTAACATATTGGAAAGTGAACTTTAATTGATAGAATAACCATCTCAAAGCATAAACATATGAGGAAAAGTGTTATGGGGTCAATTGGACGGCGTATGACAGCTTGCAGCTGTAGAAATATGATTTCATTTTTTACATCTGCGAGATCGTTTTCCTGGCACGAGAAACGTCCATTAAACGTGTTGTTTTTTGGTTCTGATCAATTTAGTATCCATTCGCTTCGAAAACTCTGTGAACTGAGGATTGAGCCAGATCCGGTGGTCAAGCAGTTACAAGTGGTAACGCGGAGTACGAAAAATTGTGGTCGTGACCTTTCAGTGACTCGTGAACCTCCCATAGTACCCGCGTGCGAAGAATTGGGACTCAAACCTGCTTTGCGGTGCGAATCCGCCGATGACATGTTAGGATTCGTACGGGACGTTGCCATTGCTGGTGGCTTCAACATGATAATTGCTGTCTCTTTTGGCAAGCTAATCCCCGCTGGACTGCTGGAAAATTTGCCGTACTCACTGAACGTACATCCGTCACTGTTGCCTCGCTACAGGGGCTCGTCTCCCATTCAGCAGACACTCCTGAATCGTGATCCAGAGACGGGAGTCTCTGTACAAACGTTGCATCCGTCCAGATTCGATCAGGGCGCTCTCGTTGCACAATCGAAACCGCTGTCGACCGAGACGCTCGTCGCAAAGGGCAAAACAAGCACGTTTGATACCCCGGTTCCACCAAAAGTCGCAGCCCTAATGGATCAGCTTGGGGTTGTAGGTGCTGAGCTTTTGAGCGATGTGCTACGCGAGGGACTTTACCGACAGACGACAGACATTTTGTCACGCCCGCAATACGCAGAAAGTTACGCGCGTAGGATCAAGACTACAGATAAGCGTATAAATTGGGCCACAGACCATGTGGATACCGTCATGGCCAAGCGAGATGCGTTGGGAGCACTGTACGCGTTCGTAAGTGCAAGAGGGAAGCATCTTTTACCGGAACAGAAACGAGTCATATTCCATTCGTTAGACCGGTACCGCGGCGAGTGCGATCTGCCAAACCTGTCCGGTGCTTTCGACTACGATCCCGCACTGGAGTGCCTGGTTATACGACTTGGCGACGGAACGAAGTTCAGTTGCGACTTAATCCAACTACAAGGTTTCAAACCCGAGCCCGCAGCACAGTTTATGAAAAGCTTACGCAAGAGATGTCGACGTCAAACTAGCGACGTGGCGGTATTCTCATAACGGGAAAATCGTGTGAGTTTCAAATTACATAACAAGAACGATACCAGGAGGCTGATCCACAGGCCCAATACCATGAATCGTCCCTTCCCCGACATCTCTGCTTCGTCTGGGTCAGACTTTCTATTTTCAAAAAAAACCTCCGCGACGGGGAATTGAACCCCGGTCCCGAGCGCGACAAGCTCGAATTCTAGCCACTAAACTATCGCGGATACTTGATGAAAATGAAAGGATATTGTGCTACTTGGATTCCACATTCGTGTTCACATGACTTTTATTGACGAAATAATCATTAAAGCGACGGTAAAACCCACTAAAGTGGTCCCTTTGAGCTGAAAATTTGTACAGCGCTGCAGTTGATCCGTGAAAACTGGCTGGTAAATTGGAAGAGCTTTGTGGCCATTTGTTTTGTTTGTTATCGCAGGAAATCTGCGAAACTTCGAAAATTTCGCCTGTTGACGATACTGTCCCTAGGGTATATTAAGCTGTGAAATTTGAACTAGGTACTGATACTATCGAGTAAGAGAATTCGCTGCACTGTGGGACAATGGACAAGCCTTTGATCCCCAAGGGGGTCGTGGAAAGTGTGGCACGATTAGAGGATCCAACCGAGTCCCCTTCGGAGTACGAAGAAGCACCCAGTTATCGGAAGTTTGTGTATGATACGTTCCTATGGATTTTGACCAACATTTTCAACTGTTTCTTCCGAGAAATTCGGAGTAGAGGCCGCTTCAAGATCCCAAGACAAGGTCCTGTCATTTTTGTTGCTGCACCGCATGCAAATCAGTTTATCGACCCGGTCATTTTGATGGGACAGGTGAAAAAGGCCGTTAATAAACGGATTTCGTTTTTGGTTGCGGAAAAATCGTTGACCCGGCCCGCAATTGGCACTTTTGCTCGTTGTGCAATGTCTATTGGTGTTGGACGTGCACAGGACAATTTGGCCACCGCGCAGGGCCGAGTCTCGGTCGATCGTGATGACCCGAGAAAACTTGTTGGACATGGAACTGCGTTCTCAAGAGATTTTACATCGCAGGGTATGATTGGGCTGCCAAAATCGCTTGGAAATGGTATTATCGAGTCAATTCAAAGCGACACGGAGCTCACGTTGCGTAAGGAGTTCAAAATGTCCAAACCGGAAGTTAGACATCTTTTGACAAAGGGCACTGCTTTCAAATACGCTCCCAAAGTTGATCAAAAGAAAGTTTACCACCGCGTATTTGAACATCTCGCGCACGATCAATGTATAGGCATCTTCCCAGAAGGTGGCTCTCATGACCGCACGGATCTGCTACCTTTGAAGGCAGGCGTCGCAATTATGGCCCTGGGTTGCATGAGCAAATACCCGAATGTGAACGTAAAGATCGTACCATGTGGAATGAACTATTTTCACCCTCACAAATTCAGATCGCGTGCCGTGGTCGAGTTTGGCAATCCTATCGAAATCTCAGCGGAACTGGTACACAAATATCGGAACTCAGATACTAATCGTGACGCGGTTAAAGAGCTATTGGATACCATTTCTGACGGCCTGAAGGCCGTCACTGTCACTTGTCCCGATTACGAGACGTTAATGGTAGTTCAAGCCGCTAGACGACTTTATGCGGGCCATTTATCTGCGAAATTGCCTCTTTCTATGGTGATTGAGATGAATAGAAGGCTGGTGAAGGGTTATCAAACGTACAAGGAGGACCCTCGTATAATTCAGTTGAAGGAAGATGTCATGAAATACAACGCCAATTTACGTCATTTCAACATCCCTGATCATCAAGTCGAAGGCGCCAAAATAGATTTTGCGAAAAACTTGAGTATCTTGGTGCTGCGATCCATCCGATTGTGCGTGTCTCTTACGCTTGCCTTACCGGGTATAATAATGTTCTCACCGGTATTCATTGTTGCAAAGATTATCTCCAAGAAGAAAGCTCGTCAAGCCTTGGCAGCGTCAACGGTCAAAGTTAAGGCTAATGACGTTATCGCTACTTGGAAGATCTTAATTGGAATGGGGTTTGCACCCTTGCTATACACGTTCTGGTCCGTTCTGTTGACCTATTTCTTCAGACAATCAATTACCAAGAACAAGTTTGCAAGCTTTGTGGGAATCTATATTCTTTGCTCAATTGTCACGTATTCGGCATTAATTATCGGTGACAATGGGATGGACGTTTTCAAATCCTTGCGTCCTTTGTATTTATCGATTACCACTCCAGAGGCCATCAAAAACTTGCAAAAGGAAAGAGCGGGACTCGCCGAGAAGATCACCGATATTGTCAACACGCTGGGACCCGAGATTTTCCCTGGCTTTGACGCTGGATCATTGCTTGACAAGTATCAAAATGGTTATACGGACGTAGACGAGGAGGACGAGGACAGGAAGACAACAGAGCTCAAGAGAAGAAGACTATTACGTAAAAAGAAGGAAGCCGGTAAAATCGAAACTCGCCAGGACACTGGTGTCACTGAAGATGAGAGTGACGCCGTTTCAATGATCAACAGTGACAACTCTTTATCGAATATTCCTTTGTTTTCTAATACTGGGCGAAGATCTAGCTCTATTACATCTTTGACCTCTTTGAGCTCTGGATTTGAAGTAGAAGTAGACGGACTGAAAGGGGACGATTTGTCAAGCAAGGTCGTCAACGCCGTGCGCGAGAAGAGAAGTTAATAATGAGACGGAAATCTGTCGCCTTGCGATTAGAAAAAGTAATAGCGCGTCCTAGTACTTATACATTAAGATATATACCCCGAAATATGAAATATTCCTCACGTCTCTCCATTGTTCTTGCCCCGCTTTCTTAGAACAAGGGTGGGTATCGCTAATTGGGTTGACCAAGCTGCTACGATAGCACCTGAGTTGATTGTGCCATCATGACAGCAGGGAATAGGCCAATGATAAATTAATAATTAAGATAACCCGTGATGAGGTAAATAAATATCATTGTCCTTAACATCGTGCCTTTCTATCAACATCTCGCGGTGAATATGACTAAAAACTGCTCCAATTCCAATCCGCCGGTATACTCCCCACGATGCTATCCATCCTTCCTCTTCGTTTATCCTTGTCGTCCACAATACCGTTTGGTTCGAGCTTGGGGTTGGTTCCGGCCAACCCATTAGCATGAGGACTGATCAATGTATCGCCTGCTTGCTGCGCAGACTCGGGTGCAGAACCCTCTCTTATGAGGGTTTCGTATTCATGTAAGCAAGTGTCACACACTTTCGACAAAGCTCCAATACCAGACCCGCCCATTACAAAATGTGCTTGCTGGTCGAGGTATAGCCAATGCCTGACATGTTGCATGCAGAAAATGTCACCGCAATGTCTACAATGGTGCTTGCGTTCCCAAAAGGTAAAAATCTTATGGCAGTAGTGACATGCGTGACGTTTAGAATCCGAGATCCAATGCTCGCGAGAGGGCCTAACGAGTTCCGCTTTGACTGTCAACGCAGACGAGCCCGAACGGCCGAAGAACCGTTTGGTGCATTCCGATAAAATTGAAGACGAAGTGGAACGCATGCTACGAACACTGCTGGAAGACGTGTTTGCGAGAGAGTCCTGTGCCATCAGAGCCGCAGCAGCTGGCGATCTTCTCAATTCTGAATTTGTGATATTGGTCTTAGAAATGTCTCGCAAAACTGCGGGTGTATAAAGTGGCTTCTTGGGAGTGTTTATTTGGCGCACAGGTCTGCTGGATCGAGGCCTCGATGCCGATTCTATCGTGGAGGGAAGCAAATTCGACGACTGCTTTGCAACCATGACAGAACTTTTCCTCCTGGAAGGAATCGAGGAGTCCAGTATTACATTTTTCCCACCGAATTGCAAATGCGTAAGAGATTCTCCCAACAAACTGTCATCTGGGTTTGGACCCGGTGCTGTTACGCCCAGCTTTTGATTCTGACGAATGGCAGAGAGTCTTCTAAGCGCGTCAGCAGTCAACTTTTTCTGCTTGGCAGCATCGTCTGCATCGTCATCGGCGTCGTCCTCATTGTCCTCATAAATAGGGTCACCAGATTGTTGGTCAAGCCCATGACGACTACTGGACGCGGAAGATCTCAAAGAGGGTCTCTGATTTTCAGATCCGTTGGCAGTACCGTTCCGATTTCGCGATAATCCATCAGCGTCCAAAGCCTGACGTTTGTCGTCCGTAAACGGCATTTTCTGACCAATTTCTTCCATGGTATTGACCGTATTAACACTTGTAGTTCTTTTGCGAGCAGAAACCATCGCCGGCGACTGGATTTGCTGTGCAAACGGCACACCTACTCCCGAAGTGCCTGCCGTGCTTGGCGGCGCACCATGGTTTCCTGCGCCTCCTCCACCACCGCCCTGCTGTTGCTGTTGCTGCTGCTGTTGCTCCGACAGTTCTTCCTGATGCTTGTTCATCATACTACGCAACGAAATACTGCTCAACACACTTTGTACCGACTGCGTCCTCGCCCTGGGAACCACTCTTTGTTTCTCGAAACGGATCGTTGGCCGGTTACTCCCGGACGAGTTATCGCCGGATCCACCAGTCGCATTCGCAGTTCCAGGCCTGGAAACCTTCTGCGCGGTGTCTAGTCCGCCTGGTTCGGTCGTACCTTCACTTTCCTGGCTGTGAACACTACTCATCGTCCAGTCTACCAAAATCTTCGTAAAACCACTCAAAATTAATGCTGAAGAGTCCGAAAAAAAAGGAGTACCGCTCAACCAGGCCCGTATTATCTAATTTCAGGCCTTCCCACACTATACTTCAAGCCCTTGCACGATCTTTCTTGAATCGTTGAATCGTTCTCGCGGACCAAGTAAGTTCTTTATCTTGAACCGCTTCCTCATGGAATCGAAACTCTATGTCGTGATATACGTATACCCATCAGTTACCCATTTGGTTATATCATGTCGAACGGATACTCAAGAAGTACTCTTTGGTTCTTTCTAGAGATTGATGAGGAACCAGCAGTTCAAACTGGATTCGAAGACTCTAAATTAAGATAATCGCATATTAGGTTTTCATATGAAGCGTTGCAGTTGTTTTTCCATACTCAAACGCTCAAGTTTGCAAAATTAATGTTAAAAATCGTTTTTATTCCACTTAAGAGACGGGAAAAGATCCAGAAAAAACGGAAAGAAGTGAATTGAATATTTAGTAGCGGTACTTAATAGCTTTTGTGGCTTCAACTTCACCATGGAGGGCATAATTGCAGCTCAAACTTTGAAATTAGATATTTCGACTTCTAGAAGCTCACTGGATGTGCTGAAAAGAAGTGCCTACCATAAAAAGAAGCTGAGAATGATTTAAAAGTGTCAATTTAGATTTTTATGGCCCACTTCTGTCGCAATTAGGCTTCACAAGGTTGGAAAACGTACATCACTGTCAACGAGGTAGGTTTTTCTCAATTCTATATTACATGCTCGAGCCTATATAAGACCTTGACCAACTTCCAACCTCGTAACCGACTCAACGCAGCATGAAAGAAGCCACTAGTGGCACCCTTTACTGGGTGCAGACGCTTCTGAAGATTGCAATCTTCCTGAGCATCACCGGCGCGGCCGTTTCGTCGCGTTTGTTCTCGGTAATTCGGTTTGAATCCATCATCCACGAGTTCGACCCGTGGTTCAATTTCCGGGCCACGAAATACCTAGTGGAACACGGTTTCTACAAGTTTTTGAATTGGTTCGATGACCGTACGTGGTATCCGCTTGGTAGGGTCACCGGTGGCACGTTGTACCCGGGTCTTATGACATCTTCTGCTGCGATTTGGCATTTACTGAAGAAGGTCGGTTTGCCCGTTGACATTCGTAACATCTGTGTGTTGTTTGCTCCTGCGTTTTCTGGTGTGACTGCGTACGCCACTTACAAGCTTACCTCTGAGATCAAGGACTCGGGAGCCGGACTTTTGGCCGCCGGGTTTATCGCGATCGCACCAGGCTACATTTCGAGATCCGTTGCAGGCTCTTACGACAATGAAGCGATTGCCATCACGCTTTTGATGGTGACATTCATGTTTTGGATCAAAGCTATGAAAACCGGCTCCATTATGCATTCCACTTTCGCAGCGCTCTTTTATTTTTACATGGTGTCTGCTTGGGGTGGCTACGTGTTCATCACAAACTTGATCCCACTCCATGTGTTCGTTTTGCTCTTGATGGGCCGTTACTCTAACAAGCTGTACGCTTCGTACACGACCTGGTACGCGATTGGCACACTAGCGTCGATGCAAATCCCGTTTGTCGGCTTTTTGCCTATCAGATCTAACGACCACATGGCCGCACTGGGTGTTTTTGGACTCATTCAGATTGTGGCATTCGGCAGTTTTATCAAATCCCAAGTGTCATGGGAAAAATTCCAAACGGTTATGTTTGTATCTTTGGCTTTTTTGCTTGTCTTGGGAGTCTCGGGTCTGTTTTTACTCACGTATTTCGGGTACATCGCACCTTGGACCGGCCGATTTTATTCGTTATGGGACACCAACTATGCCAAAATCCATATTCCTATCATTGCTTCGGTGTCCGAACATCAGCCAACCGCATGGCCCGCTTTTTTCTTTGACACTCAGTTTTTGATCTGGCTTTTCCCAGCGGGTGTGTTTTTACTGTTTTTGGAGTTGAAAGACGAACACGTCTTTGTCATTGCATACTCGGTGCTTTGTTCCTATTTCGCCGGTGTTATGGTTAGATTGATGCTAACGCTGACGCCTATCATTTGCGTGTGTGCCGCAGTGGCCGTCTCGAAATTGTTTGATGCGTACTTGGATTTCTCGTTCGTGTTTCAAAAGTCCAAGAACGGTGCACGTAAATTTGACAAAGATGCCATTTTCACGACAATAACGCGTACTCTCGTGAGCGGTACTTTTGTCGCGTATTTGTTCTTGTTCGTGTACCATTGCACCTGGGTTACTTCGAACGCATACTCGAGTCCCTCCGTGGTGCTACCTTCGCGGAATCCGGACGGTTCCCCGGCATTGATCGACGATTTCCGGGAAGCGTACTACTGGCTGCGTATGAACACCGCGGAAGATGCTAAAGTCGCATCGTGGTGGGATTACGGATACCAAATTGGAGGTATGGCGGACAGAACCACGCTTGTTGATAACAATACTTGGAACAACACGCACATTGCCATCGTGGGCAAAGCCATGTCGTCACCCGAGGACAAAGCTTACGAGATTTTGCAGGCGCATGATGTGGACTACGTGCTTGTCATTTTCGGAGGCCTCATTGGGTTTTCTGGTGACGATATTAACAAGTTTTTGTGGATGGTACGAATCTCAGAAGGTATTTGGCCGGATGAGATCAAAGAGCGTAACTATTTCACACCCAGCGGAGAATATCGTGTGGACGCGGCCGCGTCTCAGACCATGAAAAACGCGCTTATGTACAAACTATCGTACCACGAGTTCCCAACCTTGTTTGGTCAGCAGGAGGGCATCGACCGGGTTCGGGGCCAGACGATCCGTGCCGAAGACGTGGGTGACTTGGACTATTTCGAAGAGGTGTTCACGTCCGAAAACTGGATAGTGCGGTTGTACAAGTTGAAGGACCGCGATACGCTGGGGCGTGATCTCAAGTCTGCATCGCAATTTGATCGCGCCGCGGCGCGTGGAACGAAAAGACGCGTTAGCAAGCGGCCACAGCTAGAGTTGAGAGTGTGATTGTCGATATATAGTTTATAGTTTAACGCACCCACTTGAAGTTGAAACCGTAGCGAGATGTGCGCTTGTGCTTTGCGTTGTAGCGCGCGATCTCGTGCCGACGCACGCGCTGCGTATGGCCCATGAGGTTTGTCACAACCGCTTCGTAAGTGCGGATATCGTTTTCGAGTTCTCGTTGTTGTGCGAGGTCGGTGCGGATGTCATTTACGCAGTGCAGGATGGCAAACACGAGTTGGTCGTGAAGCTTCAGGAGTTGGTCGGAGGGCAATTGGTCCGGTATGCTGCGGAGAAGGTCTTCTAGAGCGGTTGAGTCGGACTGAGAGTCTTCAGAGCCAAATCGCAGCAGATTTGATACAAAATCGCGGTCCGGCGTGGCTCTGTCGGGCGTCGACCCGGTTGAATCGAGCATGGCGATTATCTGGTCAAACAGCGTCGAGTTGAGCGCGGTGCGACGCACCGCGGGCGCCGGCACGGGTTCTTCGATCTGGAGCGTGTGCAGCAGCGTGGAACGCAGCTTGGAGCTGCGCCACGACACCGGGTGCAATGCGACGTCGAGCAGCACCAGCTGCTCGTAGATGACACGGCGACGGCCCTGTAGAAGCGCCGAGAGGCCTGGTGTCTCGCATGCGTCCTGCGCAGCGGTGGGATCGGCAACATCGCTCTCTTTGCCAAACACGGTGTCGAGACACGAGTCTAGGTCGAATTTGGGCGCAGATTCAGCTGAGGCAGCAGAGACGGCGGGTGCCGCAGAGGCGGCAAAGTCGCCGAAATCGCTGTCAGAGTCGCTCATGGGGCCAGCTCGCACAACGTCCGAGGTGGTCTTGCTCGGTGATGCGCTCTGAACTTTGACGAAGCGTCCCGGTCACGTGCGAAAACCTGAGCGAAGTCATGTCATTACGCACGGACAAAAGAAAATCCAAGTCACGTGCCCAAAATCTCAAAATTCCAAATCGCTTCATACGAAGCACCCTGTCCCCCCTCGGCGGCTAAACCTCACGGGCAAAGCGGTAGAAAGCACGAGAAGGTAGGCCTGAGCGCGCTAATGCCAAGACGAGTCGTGCCACTGTCTCTGCCTGTGAAGTTCTTTTCTTGTGGTGGCAAATGGTGCTTGTAAAGGAGAGGAAGATAAGCACGTCTCAATTCTGACAGAGATGAGTCCCGGAAGGAGAGGCTTCTAACGTCACAGTGTACGTAATGAGTAACTTATGGGTAAGTGACCAGCACTGGCCCGCCTGTAGTCGTCACTGTAAGGAGAATGTGAACTTGAACAGATTCTGATCGTGCGATGTCCTACTTTTCTCTCGATAGCGTGCGAGTTTTTCTTGTTAAGACACTGTACTTGGCACTGAATTAAGGAAACAGAAGTCGACCAAAGTAAAACAGGAGTCAGAGGAAACAGCGCGAAAAAACGCACACGTTCTAAGTTTGAAAATAGGTAGTCAATGGATTGTCCATTTAAGTCCTTATAGCTTAAGAAATGGTTCGAGTGCACGAGCACTCGGTACGGCAGGGTTCACGCACTGGATCTGTGTATCGATCCAGGGCTAACTAAACACGTCTAGCATGTATGTATGATATGTAAGGTACGTATGATGTTGTTAGAAGGAGCTGGCGAGCAGGCGATATGGTTCAATTGCATCATCACGTGATCGAAGTGACAGAATAAAATTAGAGAAATGGACAGACGGTTGGCATTCTGTGGAAGAACAGGAAGCTAAAACAGGCCCATTGACAGTTCTAGAATCTTCAGAACATCTCAATCAGATCATATGTGGTATGGTAACTGACGTATGATGAGATTTCACCGTCTAGTATGGAGAAGTAACGGATTCCGAAATTGGAACAATGTTACAGAAATTGTACAAAAGGAGCTGGTATGACCAAGATCGTAGTGGTCATGGTCGTGAGATAGCCACGGAGAGATATAAGTACTCAATTCCTTACCAGCTTTATTATTTAGATCAATTATGAACGAATTAAATGAACAGTTCAGAAATCTGTCAACGACCGACAACGATAAACCTCAACAATATGATGTATAGGACGGACATCGTACCTACAGCAGTACGAGATCTGAACTGCTCAGCATCCATCTCTTGAGAGTGTACTGAGGTCTGCGCGCGCCAGTAGTGGTATTGACTTGTTCGCCGAATTTTTTCAGACTTTTCTTAATTCCAGTATCCGGTACTGAGTGCTTATTTTCGGTGATTATGTTGACAACTTGAGCACAGAGTGTCTCCTTCGCACAATTCCATCGCCCGCTTATCATACCATGGTCTACAGGATTGACGCGGCAACTCCACGACTCGATCGCCTAGGCTTCTCTCTGGTATTGCGACTGTCACGTGACCGCAATGACAGAATAAAGCTAGAAAGGGACAAACGGTTCGCGATCAAGACGAAGTCATAGGAACTGAGTGGTGACTTACCGTCTATCGTAGAGAAAGCAGCGATTTCGAAGTTGGAACTGTGTTACAGAAATTGTATAAGAGGGGCCGGTATCACGGAGAGGTATAAGTACTCAACGCCTTTTCAGTTGTATTGTTTAGATCTACTGTGAACGAATTAAATTAGCAATTCAGAGTCTATCGACTACCGGCAACGAGAACACAAAAAAATATACGAAACAAGCTGATATAACCAGGACTACCTTAGTCGTGATCTCAAGGTACCACGGAGAAATACAGTACTCAACATCTTATCAGTTTTATTATTTAGATCAACTAAGAACGAATTAAATAAGCAGTTTCGAATCTAACGATTACCGACAAGGGTAAACCTCAACATGGTAGCGCCGCTAACAGCGAAATTACCGAAAGTGGTAAGTCGCGCGAAGAGATTCGTGACAATAAAAATCAAGAGTTATATTTGTCGGAGCCTAGATCAAAAAATAGTCAATGGTAACGAGTCATCTCTCCGTTCTGAAACAAGCCGTGTACCAAAGAATCAGGAAAAATACAATAATTTGGATGATTCCTGGATGAAACATATCAAACGCCACGGAATTTCAGACGGTGAAGAAGGTGGGTTTCAGCCTGGTAGATCGAACGTCGGATTTATGGCATTCATTACGAAGTTGTGAAACACGGTAATAACGTTGGGACTGCGTGATATCATTCCCGACAAAAATGGAAAATGTCCCAGAGAAGCGAAAGGCAACGAATTGGAAGCCGTCGGCCAGTTCATGATCAATTTTGTGGACTACCAAGCTTATCCATCCTGTATAGTATTTCGAAGAACCTCAAGCGAAGGATATAACGCGTTTTGTGAGGCGGCGATGACTATCGGTGACGATACAACGACGAATCACATCGCCGACAGATGGGCAAGCTTGTCTTTTGATTAGACGACAAACCCCTTTATTTTGGTCCGGGAAATCAAAAAACTCATCGAAGAATCGATTGACGAAGGATTTATTAAGAAAAGGGACGATGCTCGTGTCTACATCAAGAGAATTATCAAACCAGGTGAAACAATTAACCCAGAAGCATGTATATACTCGACCGTCGACACAATTCTGGAAAAAATTCTGCTCTATGCAGACTATTGCATTGCCGCAAATCAGGTTACTTGGCGCAAGGGACAAAACTTCAATGCACAGGAACAACTAGTTACATGTTACCTTTGCAAACAAGTCGGACATCTTGCAAACAGATGCTATAAGAACAAGACCACCAGAGAGCCAAAGGGTAGAAGAGCCCCAACGAAGCACCTTAGACAAATTGTCAACAGAAAAGGCTATGAAGAAACCTATTGAGAAATCACCAAACCCACTGATTTTAATTGACAGTGGAGCTTCATTTTCTAATTTTAAAGATAAAGATTTATTCAGCCAGCTGAGACTAATTGATTAATGTGATTGACCTTGAAGCTAAGGGTTCGTCAAAATAAACCTGGGTAGGGTGGTATGCATCAAAGCATATACATCTATCAGATCAATTGTAACGTGATCGCCACTGGCCAGCTTGGCAAAATCAGGACCTTTCCCGACTTCAGCTTTGGCCACCTTAAGGATCTGAGGGATCAACACAAGAAGAAGGTGGCAGACATGATTTTTGAACAAGACGTGAGTTGGGTATCACAAGACCTAGTGATAAAGCCCCACCACGTTAATAGTGTCATGAGAACACAATACAAGAAGAAGATATCGTTCAAAACACTCCACGAATCGTTGTGTCATATTCACGTAGAAGATAGTGAAAAGTCCGTTGAGTTAGGACTTTTGGCGGATGTATCAGTCGAGGATATCGATTGGACCGGAATAGACCACTTTCAATGCGAAGCGTGCTTCAAAGCAAAGGGAAAACGACATAACCATCGTACCGAATAAAGGGATAAATACCAGGAAAGATATGGAAAAGGTACTCAAAGAAAAGATAGTAAGTTCAATGTATGTTTTTACTACCAAGAGACGGTAGAAGAAAGTGCAGATGCGTAGCTAGAGGAGGTCAGCAAGGGCCGGAAACACACGATCTGGACGCCGAAACATATATAGTCGCACACGAAGCACTGATGACGGGATCATCCATCGCGTTAGGTAGTGGGTGCAGTATAAAACAATTAGATATCACATTCGCATACCTTTATGAACCACTGCAAGAAGAACTTTATATCAAAGCCCCACCTCATTATGGGCTAAATAACAAGGTATTCAGACTCGATGAATCACCATATGGACTCAAACAATCAGGATCCAATTGATATGAGGTCATAAAAGATTTTCTTGTCTCAAAAGGCGGATTGACAGGAGGGAGATGTGGCCATGGGTACTTGTGAAAAGACACAACAACGACATATTAGTGGTAAATTTCTTTGCTGACGACACGATCTTTATGACTAACAACGATCAGAGGTACGAAGAATTATTGGCGCATCTAAGAACTGAATATGAAACAAAAGTAGTAGCAGAAGGCATCCCAGATAATGACGGATTTGCCAGATATGAAATTGAGTATAAGAAATCAGACAAAATGCTGATAGGTGTAGAAAAATCATAAATCGATAACTTCCCAGATTAAAGTGCGCACTGTTTATTAGCACACCTAGGCTAAGGGCGATACAACTGTCAATTGAGAAGCTAGGATTTAAAATGCAAAGCACCGTCATCACTGATAGCCAGACACTGATAAATTTAGTCACCAAGACAGAAATGGTGAGAGCTCGCAATCGTCATTTTTGGATGTCAAGTATACAGACTCAAAGACGACCATCAACAGTTGGCAGTTCAAGTCGAATACATTAAGTCAGAAGATACTACTGCTGACATACTGACCAAACTTTTGGCCGTAAAGATATTCCAGCGACTCATCCAACACTGGATAATGAATTCACGCTATCGGTGGTATGTTGGAAGGAGCTGGCGAGAAGGTGATATCGTCAAGTTGTAGTATTACGTGATCGAGGTGACAGAATAAAATTAAAGGGATGAACGGACGGTTCATGATTAAGAGGAAATCATAGGAGCCGAATGATGTTCAGGTTTACCGTTGTCAGTAGTCGATAGGTTCTTGAACTCGATCTTAATAATAAGGCAGATAAGGGGTTAAGTATTTATATCTCTCCATGGTTATCTTGAAGATATGGCCACGGTATGACAGGTCAAAAGGTCGTAACACAGCTGTAACTTTAGAATCTGTTATTTTCTTTATGCTAGACGGTGAATTCTCATCATACGTCATTCATTATACCACATTTGATCTGATTACAATGTTCTGAAGATTCTAGCACTGTTAATGGACCTGTTTTAGCTTCTTGTTCTTTTACGGAACGCGAACAGTCTGTCCTTTTCTCTGACTTTATTCTGTCATCTAGGTCACGTGAGACTGCAATTGAACGATTTCCCTCTCGCTATCTTCTTCCAACATACACTGATTATTGAGGGTTGCTATCGTTGGCGGTCGACAGTTTCTTGAACGTTGATCTATATAATAAGGCTGATAAGGAGTTGAGTATTTATTATTGAGGTTTATCGTTGTCGGTGGTTGATAGATTTCTGAACTGTTCATTCAATTCGTTCATAGTCGATCTTAAATAATAAAGCTGATAAGGAATTGAGTACTTATATCTCTCCGTGGCTATCTTACGACCATGACCACTATAATCCTGGTCATATCAGCTCTTTTTATACAATATTTATAACACTGTTCCAATTTCGGAATCCGTTTTTTTCTCTAATATTGACGGGTAGTCATCATTACGTCTCCTATTAGGTCACTCTTACAGTGGTGACGGAGTGTGACGACATCATGACCATCACTAGAATCATTCGGCTCCTATGACTTCCTCTTGATCATGAGCCGTCCGCTCACCCCATCTAATTTTAATCTGTCACCGCGATCACGTGATACTGCAACTTGACGATATGCTATTTCGCTATCTCCTTCCAACACTTTTCGATGCTCTTCAGCCCCCATTTGTACTTTCGATATCATGAACGGTGGAGCCTTCGTCTTTGCCACCCATCATTACTGGTGGCCTGTTTATATTACCGTAACGATGTCTCTCATCGATATCCTTTGATTCGAACTTAAGTCAAAAAATTAAACTTGAATTTCCCATCACCATTTATGCTTCTCATGACAGTACGCAACATAGCCCGAATTCGACGACAAGAACTCAGACAAGAACAACGTTCAAAAACCGATTTGGCGGAGTGGGCTACATACTATCCTGTAGGATACAAGAACACTGGCAAGGCGAAAAGCGCTACAGCTGAAAGAGGTCACCGCATACGTAGACTTGTCACATTGTTCCATCACGTGTAGAAAACATCATACATTGCATTGTTTCCCATATGCTACATTGTTAACCGTAGTCACTCACGCCTAGATCTACCCAAGTGCTCTTGACATGTCACAGCTCGGTGTTTCATAGTCCGAAGAAACAAACTCGCAAATTCACAAATTCAGCTTTCGATATTTTCACGTTAAAACCGTACCACCAAACATCGCCGTTCAACATCTACACGTTTATCTCTTCAAAGGCCACGGTACAGGATCACCAGATCCCTCTGACGGCAGGCGTCGATTGCCGAATGATGCGTCGATGTTTCGTGAGTAAGTTTGAGTATTCGTATGAAAAGCCTAAACAGAAAAATGAGGGTAACCCCTCAAGAGGAAAGTCATATTGTACGGAGACATGATATCACATGTTACGGACGCGCATCCTTTCCCTTTCCCAAATGTAAACAATCAATACTAGCTGATACTCCTTCTCCTCACTTCTGGTACCAACTCACACGGTGCAGTTCTCTCAGCCATGCAAAACGAGCCCTGGGGCGACGAATACGCCTGCGGCACCGAGTCCAAATTCATTGCGCTCGAAGTCCCGGACAATGACGACGACTATGACTCCGAGTGCGAGTCTACGGCCACCCGTGCCGCGTCACGCAGGTCGTCCGGCGGCGCCAATCAGCTGCGTACTCCTTCCCACACCAGCACCCGCGGCAGCGGTTCCGCTGCTGCAGCTGCTGGTGCTACCAAGCGGTGGTCTCTAATCTCAAACAGCTCCAAGAAACGGTGGTCTACGATGTCCTTTGCCAGCGACGAACGCAGCCGCGGGCAGGCCGTGCATGCCGCACAAGCGGCTCTCGCTACCACTCCGACGGGGTCCGTCGCGTCCTCCGCCACTTCCCACAAGCGTCGCTCCGTGGGATCTCCCTCACCGGCCCTCAAACGGTCCTCAACGGGCGCGTCCCTGCGCAACATGCTGGGCAAAATCGGGCTTCAGGACGACACCAAGGAGAACCGCGCGCCGGCGGCTTCACCGGCAACAACGGCCAAACCGAACAAGTCTACGAAAACTGCCACCCCTGCAAAGCCCACTTCACCCTTACAACAACTCGATGCCAACATTTACAACCGTGTCAATCGCGCAAACCGCACCAACCAACGCAATTCCTACATGAACGCATCCCCGTCGCTCGATAACGTGAGCGTGTTTTCCGCAAGTAGTCAGTCCTCTACCTCTTCCAAATGGAAGTTTTGGAAAAAAAAAACCGGCGACGATTTTTACGCAGACTCAATCTCGCCTGACTTGCCGGATGCCACCACCGACCCGACTGCACATGCTTACACTCTCAATACCCGCAGATCTCATTCGTCCCTCAAACACAAATCTTCCCATTCCTCACTCACTTCGCTCAAACGGCTGAGTTCTCACCGCAATTCGTGCACGAGTGACTCCATCTCACTGCCCATGCCCGACCAAGCCTCTCGCGATAAACTGCGAAACAAATTGCGCAATTCATCGTCGTTGTTGTCGCTGAACTCGACCGTTATCACGGAAGAGTACGATCAGTTCCAATTGTCACAACTGCTCGAAATATGTCAACAGCCAAAAGCGGTACCCATTGAATCCGCAGTGCCCAATTGGGGGTCCCTCAAACGGGTCTCTACACATGTGTTCAAGGGCTCCGATTCCGTTTTCAAAGTTCTTCCATTGGGACAGGACGATTTCACGCACAGTAAACATATCCGCCTCAAGGAATTGCAATTATTGCGCTTGTTCACGGGCACGCCCGGGTTTACGCAGTTGCTTGCGTGCCATCTCACTTTGATCCACGACGAACCCACGTTGGTATGCGAATTGCGTCACGGCGGTACTCCTTTATCACAACTTTGCGTCGAATCCTGCTCCGAGGCTCTCAGTATCTGGTGGCAATGCGTTGTGATCCTGTATGCGGGCGAATCCAAGTTCCAATTTGAGCATCGAGACTTACAACTCGAGCATGTACTCGTCGATCCCAATGGTAACGTTACGCTCTGCGATTATAAGCTTGCACGCGCTGCCAGCGGCGCGGTCGTTTACTACACACGGCTGGACCATCCTTCGTTTTTCCAAGGTCGTGGCGATCGTCGTTACGAAGTTTACGCCGCGATGCGCGCCTGGTGCTCGGACTCGTGGCTCAAGTTCGCACCTAGAACGAATTTATTGTGGTTACATTACTTGGGTACCCAATTGCTCGATCGTACGCGTTCTCGCGTTACCAATGCGGACGATCATGTCAGTCACGCACAGCTCACAAGACTCGTTTCGTTGCTGGACCCGCGTCGACGCAGACACACTTTGTTCCGACGTACCGACGATATTGCCACTGCAGGCGATTTGCTTCGGTTGCGCCCATGAACCCTTTTAAATTTACTTGTTCTTGTTTTTCATACCCAACGTCGTCTTCACGTTGTTTTACGTATATACTCAAATATTGCATAGGTCCCGCACTACATCTTCTGCCGTATCCACCACGCGTGTCAGAGCCCACATCCAGATGGCCAAGCAAATGGGTGCCGTTGCGCTAGTCGCTGCGTTCACCGTATCAGCTGCTGCGCCTGGGGCAACGACTGGCCCAGCTACTGTGGGCCCAGTTCCCAGAACGGTTGTTACGACATATTTCGCAGGCATCAACGCTGCAGCGGCCCAGCCTTGTCCCAAAACCGGTTCCAAAACACGCGGGAACATTCCTGCCGGAATAGAAACCACTGGGACTTTCCCTTTCCAAAACTTGGCCACGAGTACAGGTACGGTCAAAAATACCGTATGTAATTTGGACAACTGGGCATGCGCACGTTTACGTTGTGCAGCCAATTGGGTCTGCATCTCACTCAATCGCGCATCTAGCTGGCCTACGCGCCGATTCAGCTTCGTCCACCTCGCGTACTCATCTTTGGCACTCACAGACTGTTGTTCAAGATATAGTTTCTGTCTTTCATGCCCCAATTCCTTCAATTTTGAAGCAGCGAAACCGCCCCAAAGGGCATCTACCACATTATCACGGTACCCACTTAGCCATTGCACTAATTTCAGCACGAAAACGACCACTACAGTGGCTACAAACGCTGGCATGTCTGGTTTACGATGATATTCGGCGATGCTCAGGTTTCTGAATTTTTCAAGACTGATCAATTAAACCTGGTAACGTGACATGACTCAAGTCACATCGTACGGAGATATTACCGTTGAATGTGACACATAAAGTCCGATTGTACGAAGAAAAGGCACGTGACTACATAGATTGAACTCATCGAGAAGTCATCTCTGGCACGGATTAAACCAGACTAAAACAGAGGAACACTGTGAAGTACAGTGAATCACAGCGAAACACACTAAAAACACCGCCATGGGTGAATATATCGGTGACAATTCACGGAGTCGTAGTAGCGACGAAAGTGGGACGTATGACGAATGGATTCCGTCCTTTTGCGCGCGATTTGGTCACGAATACTTCTGTCAAGTGCCGACCGATTTCATAGAAGACGATTTCAATATGACGGGGCTTGCGCAGGAAGTAGCGCACTACCGCAAGGCTTTGGACTTAGTGTTGGACTTAGAGGCAATGAGTGAAGAAGAAGAAGCTGAAAAAGAGCAACCAGTGAGTCGCAGTATCGTGGAACACGCTGCAGAACAGTTGTATGGACTCGTACACGCGCGATTCATTTTAACAAAGCCCGGTTTACAAGCGATGGCAGAGAAATTCGATCACAAGGAATTTGGTACGTGTCCGCGGTACTATTGCGGCGGGATGCAAATGTTGCCCTGTGGTGTGAGCGATTCGGTGGGGAAAAATTCCGTAAGACTGTATTGTCCGAGCTGTCATGATTTGTACTTGCCGCAATCGTCCCGGCATTTGTCGCTAGAAGGTGCTTACTGGGGTACGTCGTTCCCAGGCGTGTTTTTGAAGCATTTCAAAGAATTAGAAGAGTATGTGGACCGCAAGGCTAAAGATACGTATCAATTGCGCGTGTTTGGGTTCCGTGTGAACGACGAAGCTGCGTCCGGTGCACGTATGCGCTGGCTACGGCAGTATCCTATCTCTGAGGAAGATCAACGTGAATGGCAACAATGTGAGTTTCATATCCCTCCTTTGCAGCGGGGTGCCTGATGAAGTGAGTCTATAGAGTATTTACGTAAGTGATAGGTAGTTGAAAGAAAGGGAAGAATCTTTCTTTTAGAACTTTCGAAAGTGTCTCAGCTGGGATGCTTCTGGAATAGCTCTTGTTTTTCTCAAAGGTCAGCGTAGTGCAAAACTACAGTATCTAATGACTCGATGTCCAAGAAACAGTGCCTACTCGGCCATTGTCTTTTACAAACACGAGCAATTGTCGTGACGTACCACAGGATTCTCTTGTAAGTGACATCGGTTGACAAACATCGGGCACCAGGCCATGTTGATGCTTGCAAACGTCTCTAAGAAACGTCTTTCTGTCTAGATTGGGACGCTAGTCCCAAACTTTAACCGCCCATTAAGCTTTCCCGGGTTGTTCAGGTTCCCACTCCCTGACTGCCTGATCCAAAGTTGTCCAATATTTCAATTCCACTGTTAATTGTTTGGCTCTCTCAACGTCTCGCTTAGCAAATGCCTCGGACAATTGCGTCTCAACGTCGGACATCCGTGACCGATTCTCACGCGCCAGTTCCCGCACTTGCCGTTCCTCACATGCTTCTTCCAACTGCTCATGTACATCCAATACTCGCATCAATAACGTGGGTTCCTGTTGTGCCACCTTCTGCGCCATTTTCTCATCCGTTACGTCTACACCGTCTCGCAATTTCAACAGGAACTGAGCTCGCAATAACGGTTGCCGTAACGTCTGGTACGCTTTGTTTAGCATAGCACTATTCTCTGCACTTTTCTCGCCATTCTTATCGCCATTTGTATCTGGATGTTCCATGGCTTGTAAGTCACGGAATTCTTTGCGGAGTTTTTTCAAATCAACATCCCAATGCGCTTGTCCGTCTGGAAACGTCCTGGGAAACAGCTTGAAAGCGTTCCATGTCGATTGGAACCGTTTGAAACCTGTTCTTAGCATGTCTTTATGCCTGCGAGCGCCTTGCAAGGTGTTTTTGATATCTCGAATAGCACTTTTGAATATAGTCATCACACTTGACGAACTTAATGGAATCAGATGAATTTGACGACCTTCAACGATACTGAATAATACGCTGAAAGCCAACTAAAAGTCCATCGATTACGGTGGAAATCGTCACTAAAAGGAGTTGAAGTAGAGCTTGAAAGGAGCTTAGTGTTGAACACGGCAAGAGAGTGAACGGGCGGTTAAAAAATCTTCAATAACGATCGAGAAAAGACTTGAGAAAGTGTTAACGAAGTTTTACGTTAGAATCCTGTGAGACTGACCAGCAGTCATACAGAATAGGCTCATCACACGGCTAAAAAGCGTACACCAGTTATATACAGTGAAAAGCGTCCGAAAGCTGGTTGAAACGATTGAAGGGGCCATTGCTACGAAAGACCCCTAGTAATGGAACTTAGTGACCGATTGGTCATCTCGAAACCGCTCTATTTCAGCGAAGACAAGCAGAAATGTGGGTATTGTAGAGGTCAGAAAGATCAAGATGACGAATTTTTCGCCACGGAATCGTGGTCGAAATTGCACGAAAACGACGCATCCACATTACAATTCAACAATTGTACACTCGGTTTGCAGGTGGAGCATATGCCCGTAGAGATTTACGATGATCTGTGCAACGCTGGGTTTCGAAGATCGGGGAATTTTCTGTACAAAGCTGATATGTTACGCAATTGCTGCCGACTTTACACGATCCGGACCCGTCCAGAACAGTGCAAAATGTCAAAAGAACTTAAGAGTTGTGTGTCGCGGTTTCGTAAACGAATACAGGCGGCCAACAAACCGCGTTCCAATGGGTTCATCGACGATATTTGTAAGGCCGAACTTGATAATGACTCGTTCAAGACCCGATTCGAGCCTCCAGTGTACAGTGCAGAGAAATACCAACTTTTTGTGAAATACCAAGAACAAATTCACCAGGATTTCGGTAGCAGCGTCCAATCCTTTAAACGGTTTCTTTGTGAATCTCCATTCCCAGAAGATGTCGTTATGGGCACAGACGAAGAATGGGCACAATTGAACAATTGGCGGAAACTTACGCCAAGTGATCGACTGAAGCGTGTTGGGCCGGCTCACGAGTGCTATTTTTATGAAGGTAAATTGATTGCGCTGGCCGTGACCGATTTTTTGCCAAGTGGTATTTCGTCCGTTTATTTCATTTGGGACCCCGACTTCGCCAATTGGTCGCTGGGTAAACTCAGTGCGCTGCGCGAATTGAGTGTGCTTTCAAAGATAAACCGTGAATATTACTATCTCGGTTACTACATAGACGATTGTCCCAAGATGAAATACAAATGCAAATTTGGAGGCGAAATTCTGGACGTTTGCAGCAATCAATACGTTCCTATGGAAGTCGCGGCGCCCTTGATGCAGAGGGGAAAGTTTTTCGTGCTTGCAAACAAAGAAGACGATTTTGATGACGACGAATACTACGATGAGGACGATGACCCCGCAGAACACGCGCAAAGTGAACTTCCAATAGACGAAAGACCCAAGTTTGACCTTTCACGTCCTACAATAAACATTGTCGAAATGATCTACGGCGAACACGGTGGGTCCATAGAGTCTGCAAACAAGGCCGCAGAAAAACTCTCAGAGCTGGGGATTGAGTACTCGCCTTCTTTGTCCAATGACATTTACAAACCAAAACTCGAACCTGCGTTCGGTTCTACTGCTCTCGCAGAAGAAATTTACGAAGAAGAAGACGACGGTGATGCGCCTGGCTACTTGAACCCGATCTACCATTTACCAAACGTTGTCCCTGGTCTGCTACCGCTGTGGCAGATTTACCATATGATTTCTTCTGGTGAGATGAATCGTCTCAATAATAAACTTATGCTTTACAACACTCGTTCGGGCCGTATACGGCTGGTATACAATTTCGACGCGGAGTCTAAGCGTACCAAGCGTGTTATTTGCAACGTTATCCGCATGATTGGTATTCGAGCAACGGCTAAATCTTTGATCATAGTTTAACTTCTACCAAACACTGAATGATGGGCTATGATGGGCTTTAATTGGCCTATGAACACCGTTTTCCCCCTGCATTTTCACCCAAAGCTTGCACGCAATCTACCATTGCACCTTCGCAGTCCCACAGGCCAAATAATTTTTAGATTTTGACTTTAGTATCTAGTATTTGTATAAATCAAGCCTATGGGATCTTGAACAATTTTTCATTATATTGATTGATCATTGATGAAAATATAAAACTCAAGATAAACTGACACCGAGGACGGATCGATACATTTAGACGCGATGTTGGACGTCAATGAGATCGTCAGCGTATGCAACCGTTTCACCAGCATTTAATTGAACTTTTTCGCGTTCAAATCAACTAACTTTAGCCACTTTTACATAGCTCATCAAGCTTCTGTATTCGCCGAGTCCTCCTTCGAATATCAATGAGATCCAAAAGCAGTTACAAGGCATCCAGAAATCGGCTGACGGTTTACAATTGGCACATGTTTTACTTGATCGCGACCAGGACGGTCCTGAAGTTCAGTATTTCGGTGCTTTGACCTACACGGTACAGTTAAACATGGGACTTACAGAAGAGCAAGTGTTGCCTTTGTTCCAAGGTAATATCATACATCTTGCGAAGCTGTGCCTTAAATACATCCAACAACCAGCCGTTGAGGCCCGAAAACTGTTTATCATCAAAAAGCTGATGTCGAATTTGACTCTGCTGTACGTGTCGGCCAGGGATAGGCACATGGCCGAGAACGAGATTTCCTTGTGGAAAAACCCTTTGGACTCTTTTGTGCTTGCTCTGAATCAACAGTTGGTCTCTTTTGAGATGGCTAGCGAGGGTTGGAGACATATAATCGGCGACAGCGTGCCCTACAGCGATCTAGTGGGGTTTGTTAGTTCATCTGTTTCTGCCAACCTATTAGTTCTTCTATTTTCAGAGATTCTCGTTGAAGATCTGACCAAAATGCATGCACATAAGACCGGAATATCTCATTTACATTCTGTGTTTCACGAACATGTCTACGTCTCTGCCATGGCTGTCATGAACTTCAACCTTCAAAGTCTTGTAGAATCCACTTCGCTGGATGGCTCTGTGGAAGGCCAAGAAATTTTCAGATGTGTAGGCGCATGGATCTCATACACTTCAATGGCGGCAAATGGTCCCCAGGGGCGTATGGATCTATCTGAGACTTTCGATTTGCTCGTGAAGCTCATGTGCTGGCAACAAGCAGATACCGAGTTTCCTTACGCTTCCGTGATAATTAAAATTTTTGGAGATGTCTTTGCCAATGATCCAACGATGGTCAATTTTGACCTGAGATGCCACATCGAGGAGATATTTTTGGGAGCGTCAAAGGGTCGTATGACCACAAATAACGGCCACGCGTGGATGCTGCGTTACATGAACCATCTTGTGGTGAACGAGTTTTACGAAGAATTGAAGGATTTGGCTTTATGTGTGGTCGATTTTCTCCAAGTAGGTACTTTGGATCTATGCAATAAGCTTTTCACCATTGCATCTGACGCCGACATGAATGCACTCGACCAATATATTAAAGTCTTGTTACAGATGACCAATTTTTCGTTGGTTCCTGTGCTACAGGAATTTTTCTCGGTAAGAATGGTAGATTTTTGGCTTGATCTTTGTGATGGATACAATAATCTGGTTGGTGAAATCATAAAGCCAAATGGCTCTGAACTAGCTGCCAGTATATTCGTGCAAGTTGTCGAAATATACCTTTCCAAAATGGGCTTGTTGAACAAACAAAAAATATTACATAGTGACGACGACAAGACCATGATTCATGAGTTTGACGATTTTCGAAACGCAATTCTCGATTTAATGGAGTCTATGTGGTCAGTATTGGGCAATGACAAACTAACCGACGTTTTGGTAGCAAGTATCGGCCAATTGAGCCCAACTTCTACTGCCGACATGTTCCAAGTCGAGGCAATGTGCTTAGCTTTGAACAAATTAATGGGAGATATGACCATCAGCGAATGCCCTTGGATCTGCGACACACTGGGCTCCAAGGACACTTTTCTACACAACGTTATTTTCCTGGTTCAGATGGGGTGCGATCAAAAGACTACTCAAGACGTTGTTGTTCAAACATTAAGCACGGATTTCGTGAAGACCGGAACTCAGCTGTTGGGAACCATCGCTGATTTCTTCTGTCAGGATTCTAAACAATTAGGTACTTGCATTGATGCATTGTTCCGCTGTTTAGAAGGCTGCTCCAATATGAATGAGTGTGATACCAAAGTAGAGCTCCTATTGATAAAATGCATCACAACCCTATGCGACACGTGCCGCCACCAGTTGAAGCCTTATTTGCCAAACTTTATTGAAGTCCAGCGCTTAATGGTTGAGGGCAAATCGCAAGTCTCTGACTTCACCAAACAGAAATTCACCCGTTCCCTGGGATATATCATACAGTGCAATGCCACTGATGGACCTGAAGTACAAGGACAATACGTGCTTCAGGTATTCGAGGCCATTTTACAAGGCATAAACCAAGCACCAGAAAACAGAGATCATGTCCTACCGCTTTTGATATGCCTATCTGAACTTGGTACCGCGCTCATTACGCCGGAAGACTTTGATGATGAAACCTATCTAGCACAACTGCCTAAATTTAGAGAATACTGGACAACTGACCCACTTCAAATTCGTGTGAAAATCAAAGCTTTACTAGACTTCACTTTCTCCCGCTATTCACGAGACTCTGAACTTATCGAAGTGGACTGCTTGATATTCGGCAAGGCACTTGAGCTGCCTGACGAGGACCCTCATTTCTTGAGATATGACATGCACGAGATAATGCATTTTCTAATGACACGATCTAGTGGCTGCGAGCCGTCAACGGGCCTGCCGTACATCATTTACTTGCTTGAAAAAGTGGTCAATCATTATAAGGCATCACTGACACCGCAAGACTTTGATTTCATGCTTTCTAAGTTTTTCCTCGAGAGGCATTTTGCAATTGTAATGGCAGATCCAGATTTAACACAGCTGATGGTTAACTTTGTCAACTCCATTTTGGATTCAAAGCCAGCCATTGCATTGAATTCGAGTCATTTCTCGTCATTTTTAGTTCCAGAGTTCCTCAAACTTCTTCCAGCTAAGGAACGATTCACTATTGGTGCCGTCACCAAATTTTGGACCAAACTCGTGAATAACAAGAAGTTTTCACGACAGGACGAAATCACGACTCGTGAGTGCATAATGTCATTGGGACCCCAACTTACCTTCACTACAATAAGTGCGCTATTCCACACCCAGAGATCAGATCTCAATTATTATGCAGACGTTCTAAGGGTTCTCGTGGCAAGGTACGGGTTACAGTTTCGGCAATGGATCACACAAGCGCTTCCGCAAATATGTGACAATGGTCCCGCCCATCAATTACTAATTGAAAAGTTATTCGTGACTCGCGGAAGTCGAGCTGCCGCGAACGCCATTTTAGAGTGGTGGTTAAGCTGTCATAATTTACCACAACTTTCACCTGGTCAGTGAACATGGAAAGCCTTCTCGGATCATTAATTTGGGGCCTCATTCGAGATCTTCCTCAGAATAATTCATCGGCATTGGTTTTTTGGTTGAAAGCGCCATACCAAAAGTGATGCTTCTAATTCAAACCATACATTTGTTGATATTTTGCAGAAATCCACACAAATCCCGACAAAGGAATACCTGAAATTATATAAACGAGGCCTTCGCACGTTACTAAAAATCCGGTCATGGCTCTTGATTTCTTGGCAGGGAGATACATCGCCAATCGAGTCAGAAACCGGCTTGTTTAGTCCAACCAATTCTCAGCCCAAGTTTTCTAACAAAACCAATCCATTTTGAGCTGGAAAACACTATTCTGATCGTCAAATTGTAACTAAGCATCCACCGGTGGCGACGGCCTTTAATTTAAACGATGGGCTACGAATTTCATGTATTTAAATGATTTCAAGTATCTTCTACCCTACTACGATCCGTTTCATAATTAACATACCATTTAAGATGAGCTTGAGATGAACTCTTGGAGAAAGTAATAGATAGATAAATGAAGATACTCAAGCTTCCATGGTTGGTTCATAAGGGTATGTGAGATTTCCAGTAATGTGTAAAGAGATTGTGGGATCTTTCAGCCTTGAAGAAGCATCAAAAGACGCGATTTTACTGACAAAAGCTCTAAAATAGAGGAACACCGGAAATATGAGGTGTATGCGTCTGACGTGAGCCCCGATAAACTGCGACTGGCCACAGGTGGGTTAGATGGCAAAGTGAGAATATGGTCAGTTCCAGATATTGTCAAATATGGTGCAACTCCGGTCCCAAACGATGAAGAATCCAGGAAACCTTTGGCAAGCATGAGTCGGCATACTGGATCAGTAACAGTGGTGAAGTTTTCACCAGATGGAAAATTATTGGCCAGTGGATCAGACGATCGTATTTTGCTCATTTGGGAGCGTGAAGACAATCAAAACCAGCCGGTTTTCGGTTCAGAAAATGATCGAGAACATTGGAACGTCAGAAGGAGGTTGGTCGCTCACGATAATGATATCCAGGACATGTGTTGGGCACCAGACGCAAGTATTCTCGTCACCGTTGGACTTGACAGATCGATCATAGTATGGAATGGGTCGACTTTCGAAAAGATCAAGCGTTTCGATGTACATCAATCACATATTAAAGGTGTCATCTTTGATCCTGCAAACAAATATTTCGCCACGGCGTCTGACGATAGAACCGTTAGCATTTTTCGGTACCACAAGGCGGGTGATACGAGTTTTACCATTGAACATGTTGTTTCGGACCCGTTCAAGGGCTCTCCGCTGACAACATATTTTCGGCGATTATCTTGGTCTCCAGATGGGCAACACATTGCTGTACCCAACGCAACAAATGGGCCGGTTACTTCGGTGGCTATTATATCGCGTGGTACCTGGGACAGCAACGTAAGCTTAATAGGCCACGTTTCGCCTACGGAAGTTGCTCGATTCAGTCCTCGTTTGTATAAGTCACAACAAGCTGAGAAAGAAGCTGCTCACGTAGATGAAGGAAACGAAGAACTCAATGCGGAAATAGCTACTGATTCCAAAGAACCACGAAGGTCTGAATTCAACGGAGAAACTACGCGGGTAGATTCAGTTCTGGCCACCGCCGGACAAGACAAAACTCTTTGCATTTGGTCTACTGCTAAATCGCGACCATTGCTGGTCCTATATGATATTACGAATAAATCAATTACTGACATGGGATGGAGTCCAGATGGACAACTTCTGTTTTTGAGTTCGTTGGACGGATCCATAACGGTATTAATGTTCGAAGAAGGTGAGCTCGGAGATGCGATTCCTTTGGAAAAGAACATCGAGCATTTGTACAAGTATGGTGTTGACAAGGACTCGCTGGATTTTCCCGAGAGTGTCAAACAACTCGATTTAGAAGCAGTAGCTCTGAAGTTGAGGCAGAGCGACAGTCTTCTCATTGCGAGATCTGCGATTTTCGAACTTCCAGAAGTAGCACAGGCCCCGGAGGTCACTCAAGTGGAAAATGAAGCTCTTATTCGGCCGCCATCCGTGGCCGTGGCCACTGCGTCGAACAATGACACTGCAGAGGCAGAGCAGCTGAATAAAACAACCGTGAAGAATGGGAGAAAACGCGTGGCACCAACGCTTATATCATCTGGACAATCACCCAAAAGGCCCAAATCAGCATTTATTCCAAACAAGGTGCCTGTAAACAAGGTGAGAACCCCAGAGTTGGGACAGAAGGGTGCTGTGGCAAGCTATAAACTCTCAAAGGCCTCTTATCCCATGCCCAGACTCGGAATCCATTCATTAATAATGGGAGTCCGAGAACGCAATGCTGAAAAGTTTTACAAGGAGAAAGAGCCAGGGACTTCAGATCTCGACGCAGATGTGGTCGGTGATTCTGAGGGCCAAGATGACACTGAACTCACTTTGACTCTCAACGCCAAGACTACTGCGGATCGGGTCTGGAGTTGCGATCCCGGAATACGATACGTTGAGGTTCCAAGCGTAGTACCGGACGCAGACGCGGCTCTGGTCGAATTTGGCGATTTCGACGACTTATACATTTTGGAAATCCGCAACGGGGTCGAACGTTCTCTGCAATTCGACACCGAGGCCCTTTTCGAAAATCCTACTAAACTTCTGGGCTACCACAAGGGAGAGAGAATTTTGACCGTATTTCTACCCGAAATTGTTCTCTGCGCCATCGGACTCGCTAAAAGCAAGCTTTGGGCTGTGGCTACTGCAACGGGTTCGATCTTCATTTACTCTACTTACGGACGGGCTCTTTTCCCAAAAATTTGTCTCGGACATAAAGTCATAAAACTGGCCTCCATTGATAACTATCTCATCGCCCTCACGGAGACTGGACTGCTGTTTTCCTGGAACGTCAACACTGGCAGAAGCCTTCACAAGAATGTGTCAATTTTACCCATCCTCTGCACAGATCCGGTCGATTCCCACAGGGTCAGAATTTTCAAGAAACTTTCGTATCTGACTCTGTCCATGCCAGAGTTGTGCTTGAAGGTCAATCTCACTAATCCACAGTCAAGCTACTGCTGGTTGGCCCATCTCGGATGTTGGACCCAGGCCGATGACTAGACATGATGCTTGCAGCTTTGGTCATGTGATTCGTGGCCAGACTGACTCTTGCACGTGATGAAAGACTGTATACCGGTACCGGTATAAACCCGGTAATGGGACTGAAAAATTTCCGGGAATTCAAAAAATGAATCATAAGATTTCAACAGAACAGGTCAGCCCGCGATCTGTATATATTGCGGGACTCTGGATTCTTCTTGCTTTAGAGTAAGTACAGTTTGGTTTCATTTTCCAGCAATAGACACTCTATATCAGGTCTTTTCCGAGATGTCTTCTACCGGTTCTAAAGGTCCTCAGACCTTGTATGACAAGGTTTTCGAAGCGCACGTTGTTCACCGCGATGAGTCTGGTTCATATTTGCTTTACATTGACAGACACTTGGTTCATGAAGTTACTTCGCCTCAGGCGTTCGAAGGTTTGAAAACTGCTGGCAGGAAAGTTAGAAGAACTGACTGTACTTTGGCAACGGTTGACCACAACATTCCAACGTGGTCCAGAAAGAACTTCAAGAGCCCCGAAACATTTATTAAGGAGAAGGACTCGCTTTTGCAAGTCCAAACTTTGCAAAAAAACGTCAAAGATTTTGAAGTTCCATTTTTCGGTATGACCGATGCTAGGCAAGGTATCGTGCACGTTATTGGGCCTGAACAAGGCTTTACTTTGCCTGGTACGACCGTGGTGTGTGGTGACTCTCATACGTCGACTCATGGTGCCTTTGGGTCGCTTGCGTTTGGTATTGGTACCTCTGAAGTCGAACACGTTTTGGCTACCCAGACCATTATCCAGGCCAAATCTAAGAACATGAGAATTTACGTGGACGGCAAATTGAGCCCCGGTGTCACTTCCAAGGACTTGATTCTTCACATTATCGGTGTCATTGGTACCGCTGGTGGTACGGGATGTGTCATGGAATTCGCTGGTGACGCCATTTCGGAACTCTCAATGGAAGCCAGAATGTCAATGTGTAACATGGCTATCGAAGCTGGTGCCAGAGCCGGTATGATCAAGCCAGATCAAATTACTTATGACTATATTAAGGGAAGGCCACTGGCCCCAGAGGGTAAAGAGTGGGAAAAAGCTGTCACTTATTGGAAGACTCTGCACACTGACGAAGGTGCCAAGTTCGACTATGACATTAAAATTAAAGCTGCCGACATTATCCCCACAATCACTTGGGGTACTTCCCCTCAAGACGCTTTGGCTATTAGTGACAGTGTGCCAGACCCTTCGACTGTCCGGGACCCTATCAAGAAGTCCGACATGGAGAGAGCTTTGAAATACATGGGATTGACTCCGAACACCCCACTGAAGGAATTGAAGCCAGACAAAGTTTTCATCGGTTCCTGCACAAACTCCCGTATCGAGGATTTGAGAGCCGCCGCGGCTGTTGTCAAGGGCCACAAGAAGGCCAGCACTGTCAAGGTTGCCATGGTGGTTCCAGGTTCTGGTTTGGTCAAACAACAAGCCGAAAAAGAGGGGCTCGACAGAATTTTCTTGGATGCAGGCTTCGAATGGAGAGAAGCTGGTTGCTCCATGTGTCTTGGTATGAACCCTGACATTTTGGATCCCGAGGAACGTTGTGCGTCTACTTCCAATAGAAACTTTGAAGGTCGCCAGGGTGCCAGATCCCGTACACATCTTATGTCCCCTGCTATGGCTGCTGCTGCAGGTATCGTTGGTCACTTCATGGACATTAGAGAGTTTGAGTACAAGGATGGTGATAAACCAAGGATTTCTATCGAACAAGCTGGTGACAAAGCTCTTCAAGATGCAGTTTACGAACATGAGAAGCAGCCGTTGCAAAAGGGAGAATCGATCGATGAGCAAGAGGAAGACGAAATCAAGGATATTCCTCCTGCTGATCATATCACTAAGGAAACCTCGCTCGACGGAGAAACGTCTTCTGCCCCAGCTGGAATGGTTCCTTTTCTGACAGTTAAGGGACTTGCTGCTCCTCTTGACAAGGCTAATGTCGACACAGACGCCATCATTCCAAAGCAGTTTTTGAAAACGATTAAGAGAACTGGTTTGAGTGCTGGTCTTTTCTACGAATGGCGTTTCACCAAGGATGCCAATGGCAAAGACCAAAAGTTGGGCTTTGTCTTGGACACTGAGCCTTATACCAAGGCTGAAATTTTGGTTGTTACTGGGGACAACTTTGGATGTGGATCCTCTAGAGAGCACGCACCATGGGCTCTTAAGGACTTTGGTATTAGATCCATAATCGCACCTTCGTTTGGCGACATTTTCTACAATAACTCTTTCAAAAACGGCTTGCTACCTATCAGAGTTTCTCAAGATGTTATCGCTGACAAGCTCTACCCAAGGGCCAAAGCAGGAAAGGCCTTGACCATCGATCTTCCAAAGCAACAAATCCTGGATGATGAAGGCAATGTTCTTGTTCCTCACTTTGAGATTGAGGAGTTCAGAAAGCACTGTCTTGTCAACGGTCTCGATGACATTGGAATCACGCTACAGAAGGAAAAGTTCATCTCTGAATATGAAGCCAAGAGAAAAGAAGTGTTCTCCTTTTTGGAAGGTGGTTCCAAGAGAGTCCAACCGGTCACAGGGACCAAGAAGAGTCCTTTCGGAGTTACTGCTCAAGAATGGTAGAGTACATCACTTTTCTAGCGCTCAGGTGCACAGCAGTCATTATTTATAAGTCCTATTTATGATTGAATAGCCAATCCCCTAGTACTCACGACAAAACGCAAAGCATAATGTAATATCAAAGCTCCGCCGATCACCTTCGCATGTTGTCAGCACGAGCGGTTCGTATGTTCATTAAGATTGAAACTATAAATTGCTTTTGATGGAGTAGATGAATGATTTCTGATTTAGCCCTGTGCTCCCATGAACATAATCTGCCTATATGCCATTAAAAGCCGAACGGGTTATCAGCACTTGCATTATACAGGTTTGCCTGCCTCCCTTGAGGCTGTGGACCGTTCCCGAATCCAAAGCCGGTTGGCTGAGTTTGAAGTGGTGCTTGTGAAAGGGACGTATTTTGCATCATATTGTTAATTTGGTTAACACCACCCGTCAGATTATTTCCTAGGGTATTGGCTGGAACCTGTGAATTGTAATTGAAGGACGTTTGTGGGAATGAGGTGTTCATGCCCCCCGTGCGTTGTAGATTTAAGCCAAATTGGGATTGTGGCTGGAAACCACCGGTTTGTTGCCCGCCAAGCATTAATGACGGATTTCCGCCTCCGGTCATTTGGATGCCTGTGTTTATTGGTCCGTATGCGTTAAAGTTGCCTTGAGCCATGCCTCCTGTAGCATGCGTGTTCAAAGCGTTCCCGTAATTAGCACCACCAGTCATTTGACTCCCAAATGTGTTCAGAGGATAGTTGCCTGTTACATTTGAGATTTGAGAATTAAAAGAAGTTTGTGGAACACCCATGTTAACTCCTGTCATCCCACCAGTGAATTGTGAGGGAACGAAATTGGCGGTACCGGTTTGTTGAAATCCAGTCGGGGCTTGAGCGAAATTCATTCCTCCTCCAGTTCTTTGGAGAGGCAAGGAACCAGTCATATTTTGTTGCATAAAACTGCTCGCAGGCTGGTTGAAGGATGTTTGAGGTAATGGCATGAGGCCCGCTGTATTTTGAACAGGCATCACATTGCTAGAGGGCATAAACCCCCCAGTAGATTGACCACCCAAAAACCTCGGTTGCGATGGCAAAGCACCGCCTGTAGTCTGAAGCTGCATGGGACCACCTGTGTTTTGCATTCCGAAGGTGGTTTGTGGTAAAAATCCACCAGTGTTTACAGGAACAAGGCCACTTCCTGTTTTTTGGACTGGTAAAATGGTTCCAGTAGGTTGCATTCCAAATGTCGTTTGTGGCATTGCGAGTCCCCCTGTTCTTTGAAAAGGAATCAAGCCGCCTGTGGCAACAGGAACCATGACAAACCCTCCGGTGGCCATCGGCAAAAGATTATTTCCTCCCGTTTTGAAAGGATCCAAAGGAGCTATGGAGGCCCCGGTCCTGTCCATAAGAAGAGGTTCTTGTTGTCTAATGGAATTGCCGGTTTTGACAGATTCAAGGCTTTGAAGATTGGGCTGGGGAGCAGAAATTTGTTGAGCAGACGCAGCGGTCTTTTTTGGCTCCAATGGCTGAAGGTCGAGTAAGTCTTGCATAGAGCCGCTAAATTCGGAGTTTGGCTTCAAGGTGGCAGTTGCAGAAGAAACGGCAGGCTTCACAGTCCAAGCATCATCCTCTTGTGACGTATTTGGCACTCCCAATTGTTGAGGGAGCAAATTCTGAGCAAGCCCAGTTGTGTCGCCAGTCCGAGATACTTTCAAAGCTCCGTTCGACTCTGAGAACAAGCCACCACCGGTAGCTAAAGCCTCATTTTTCTCCCTGCCAAACTTCTGGTCCAAAAATTTCATAACTCTAATTATGTCTCCTTCGCGAAGACCAAGTGTTCTTAATAATGAGGGCTGAATGTCTGGTAAAATTTCCTCTGCGATTTGCTCTCTTTCAAAATTGATAGCATAACGTTGACAATTGTTCACGTCAACACCGCAGTTGAGGAAAAACTCAAACCAATCATAATCAGGATTTTTACTTTCACTTTTTGGTGGACCAAGAGACGCAATATTAGTTCCACTTGACGATTGGTTGGGTCTGGGAGGTTTGATGGGAGGTAAATCCTTATCGCGAGCGGCCTTCATTGACGCTCTTTCTTTATCTAGCAAGTCTCTGGCTTTACGTAGCTCTTCAAGTTCACGTTCTCGTAATCTTCTTTCGCGTTCCCTTTCTTCCTTTTCGCGTTCACGTTCATCTTGGTCTTTCAATTTTCTTCTTCTCTCGCGTTCCTTGTCCCTGGCACTCTTTGGACTGCCGGAGGTCTTTGGTTTGTATTTGTCCAAGGACATACCCGTTGTTCTTTCGACATAGATTAAATCATCGGGGGATAACTTATCTGCGGCAACGGCGATTTTCACACCGTTTGCCTTATGCAAATGAATCTTACCGTCGTGACATCCAATGAATTCCGCTTCGACCTTGAAAGTACCACTGCGGTCGACCCATATACGGGTTTTTTTGGAATCTGGATAGTCCTTGTGCTTTTTAGAACTCGAGGAATCCTTATCTTTCTTTTTACTCAAGATAGAAGAACCGCGTTTGCGAGACGATTTTTTAGCCGACTTGGAACCATCCTGTTCTTCGTCATCTTTCCAGTTGCCGGAGTTTTTGGAACTCTTACCGACTTTCCCCAATTTTTTTAACGTCCCAGCCATGAATGACAATTGGTTCATAGGTTCAACAAATTGAGCAGGAATGACACCTTGTTGGCCTGTACTTACTAGTTCGCACATCCACCAATCCTCCGATTTGCGATCATTCAAAATATTCACAATGTCACCTTCTTTCACACTCAGCTCATCTCTGGACTCACCAATGAAATCGTACACGATTTTACCTTGTTTTTTACTGGAAGATTTGGAAGCTTCCTCCACTTCCCGCAAGCCATGGGCTTTGGAGGCACCTTTCAATTCGCTCAAGTAGAAAATGATTTCATTGGCAATGTCGGTGGTGCCCGTGTGGATCTCAATGTTCGCGTAGGGGTTGGAGAACTCGAGAAAAATGTGTTTCTTTTCATTATCGTAGGACATCAGATCTTTTATATCCCATTGTTGAGGTCCGTTCTTGGCAGATGTGAAGTAAATGGCATCGCGACCAATGGCAAGTTTTGCTTTACGTTTTTTGCGGCCGTCTACTTCTGAAATTTCCCACGATTGAAAGTCACCATCTCCACGACTGGATTCAGCCGCGGAACTGCCGGCTTGACGATTATACTCGTCCGTATAATCATCATCGAGAGACGGTCTAACGCGAGATTCACTCATAGGTCTTGAGGGTTTGGAGGGGGGTGCTTCTTCAGCAGTGCCCACGGGCAAAGGAACCGGGGCCACAGCAGAATGATATTCATCATCTTCGTCTAGGGATGCACTGGGTCTGGACGGCATTATCGGAGGAGCTTCTTCGTTATCATCGGCCAATCTTTCCGAACTAACAGCATTACTACGTGCCACGTGTTGTGGGGGTGGAGGAAAGCTGGTGATATCGACAGCGGGTGCGCTGCTCGCCACACTGGTTGCGGGCGGTGCGGCAATTGCTGCACTGCCGCCCGGCACCGCCGCCTCAATATAATTCCCCGGTACAAACCCACATTCCTTAGTCTTCTGAGACCGACACAACACCCAATCGGGATCTCGGTCGTCAAATACATCAAACGTATCGTTTTCGTGGAACACCATTTCTTCATCAGGGTTTTGCACGTCCAAATAATCGTAAAGCGCGCGTCGAACTCCAATCACAGGAGCCTCTTCAATATAATTATTAGGCACCAGTCCACTGGGCTCATCGATATCTGCTCCAATGACCCGTTTTTTCACTGTCCACCAATCGTCTACATCCGATTTTTGAAGCAAATACAACAGATCGTTTTCGTCGATTGCCAATTCTTCCGGAGATTGCGGCTCATATTGGTAAATGGCCCTGTATATTCCTAAGAAAATGGTCATTTTGACCGTTCAAAGCTGCCCGATTCTGGCCTTATCAGCTTGGTCTTCGTTAGGACTTTTTACTGGTTGATTAGAGATACCCCTTTCGAAGTGAATTCTGTTATTGATATTCTTGCAAGCATTTCGTATACAATGACAATTGTCAATATTCATCAATTCATAACTACGTAGAAGCCGGGCAACGCCCAGGTGGGGAGCCAAGAGATCATGTTAGCGGTATAGTGCGGCTCTACGCAGAGCCGCGTAAGCAGGAGTCTGTTTTCTGCGGAAATGCCACCTTTTTCAACGCCAAAATGGTTAAAAACGACCAAGAACAACTTCATAAAAATGGTTTCGTAGCATCTTCTCATCACCGGGATGTGCTTATGGATTGAGCAAGCTCCGCTCATTCTCTTCTGCGACACGCCGCTGGTGTTCCACTTCAAGGTCTGCTTGAAGTCTTTTGCACAAGTTTAACTTGAACAACACCTCAAATAGGACGAAAAACGGTGCCGTCATAAGACTTTGGACTAGGTTGTCGAGCAACGCGGGTCTACGGTGTTCGTAATAGGCGTGACCCAAAAACTGGCAAATCCAACCGACGGCGAAAACCACCGCAGCGATCCAAAGTCGTAGATCAAGTGGACCTTGTTCTATTCCGTACGAAACACCCGTGATGATCAAGGCCGCAAGCAAACCGACGGGAACGTCCAGAATCAGATAGTAAACGCTGAGCAACACAGCAACAATTTCCATGAGCGTAACGTCTTTATAGATGTGAACGTGGTGTAGCATTACCATCGCGGAGTAAAGAATCACCGGAACGAACACCGTATGAATCGCCACGTTACCGGGAGTTTGATGGTACCATTGGTAAAACGCAAGTTGTTTGCGTAAATTGAAGAAATCTTGCATGGGGAGGGTTGGATTGATTGGCAGAGGTTGGTTGCTGATAGTGGTGGGCTGTTTAGAGAAGTTCGTTGATTTGAGGGGGGAGTGTTGGCATCCTTTTTTACCCCATCCTTATTGCTAGTACGTAGTACGTTATAGATGAGCGACAGGCCGGAAGACGAGAGAGCTAAAGAGAAGGGAAAGGGGTACAGAAGTGCAAAGAACGGATCTACTGGGATGAGGTACTGCTGAGTCTTAAATGCAGAAGTTTGGTTACTCATGAGAATTTTTTGTAGTCTCATAGCATGTCTGGTTGGTTTGAAATGTTTAGTTTTAGTAATGAGTTTAACGAAATGTTTTGGAAGATGTGAGCCGTTTTTGTCGTGAATGAGGTATGTATGGAGGTTTTATGGTATTGTTTTATGGTTTGAATTGTCTGATTTTTGTTTTGTATGCGTAGCTGAAGTGGGTGGGGTGTGAAAATGCACACGGTGCAGAAAAGCGAACAGCGGACAAGGGCGTCGTTGTGTGGTGGCGGTGCGCTTCCGAAGGAGGTTAGTTGAAGGCTGAAATCATGGTGCGGCTGTCATGAACTTAGCGAGTTGGTATCGGCCTGTGGGATTTGGAAACTGACACAGTGGTCACGTGATAATGGAGCGTAGAAACGCTAATAGGCTCAATTGCCTTTGAAATGGTGTTTACGAACCTTTGCTTTAGATTTCAAATGGCTCTTTGAATGCGCAGGCCTCTTCGCCCTTGTGTTAAGAACTCAGGCTTCACAAACTTGACTCTCACGTCGAGGGCATACTGTTAACAAATATGGAGGTTCATCACTGGTAGACTTTGTCTAAGTGATTTCTCTTCCTTAAGTTTAAATGTACTATAAAATAGTTGTTTCTCCGTGTGATAATACGACACATCCATGGTCTTTCATTTATTGAAATACTTTATCCATACGTAGTGTATTTCACCAGAGTAAACGAAAAGAAATTTACCATACACATGTCATGCGTCGGTAGCCTTGTAGCTTTCAATTATTCGGTGGGACTGTCGGGGCCTTCTATGGCCCTCGTGTGGCATTCTGTCATTGTGACCACGTGACACTAACTTTTGGTAAAGCAACTTGACAACACCCCACCGTAGACTCCTTGCAAGTCCTACTAGCTTCGCACAATATCAGTCACTTTTCCTCAATAGTTTGTCTTGTGATTGACGAGTTTCATTGATGTTTCATTGATATTCCATCAAAATTAGATTTACACTGCATGCGCTTAAGCTAAATAGTGTTTATTCTGCATATCTCAGCCTTGTAGGACTTGTATGTGACATATCGCTAACATCGCAAATTGATCATTATCATATTTGGCCTTGTCATATATCATAGTCAAGAAGCTTCCTGCACATAAAGTTAAGTCGAAGAAGACGTTCACTCTGTTCATCGTGGTTCAAGGATGTTGTAGTTCAAGGAATACATCAGACACTCATCTGACTAACCTCGGGCATATACAATATATATCAAAGACGGATAAACTCCGCATGTTTCAGTGACTTTTATTGCAATTTGAAACTCAATGGGGTACTACCAAGAGACTAAGCATCGCTGACGTATCTCAAAGATATTTTAAAGAAGAACAACGAAAAAATCGGACCGTCCAAAAGGTCTCTGCAATTTGAGGAATGTGTTGTTCCGTCCCTTGTCCTCTCTCATATTTCCGTTAACTTCCTTGTAACTACACCATACTCTGGCTATCCATGTAGCCTGTACCAGCGTCGGTAGTGAACGAAAACTAATCACTTAAAATTCATTCATAGGCTTGTTGGTAAATGACACGTAGCTAACTTGACGATATGCTAGAACTGTTTACCTCGTCTCTAGACAATTCTTGTAACACCTTTCAACTTCTGACTTATTACTTACATCCTACAAGACAAAAGGGAAAGTCTCGCCGCCCTGTGCTATTTGACTCATCACTAATAATCTGCTAGTAATGGTATAGTTTTGTGATTATCACAGGTATGGTTTGGACTCTAGGCCTTTCCCGTGGTGTTGTCGTTGTGATCACGTTATATCGATCAACAGCTCGACAATCATCACCTAGTGTAAGCACTTCTAAACAAATATCGCAGCAATTTCTAAAGACTGCACCATCTGAAGGCGACTTTCAACACCTATTTATCACGGCTGACGCTGTAAAACATCTATGTATACTCTGAAATTATCAACATGAGGCCAGTATCTCCAGCCAAAGCAGTTTGCTTGGCAACCATCACCGGCAGTTGCAAAATTCAAAATTTCATCATTTTCACACGTGTCTGCCCACGAATTCATAAGTATCTGGCTTTCGGGATGTTCACCTTGGATATTAATACACGCAGTTTTCATAATTTTTGTTCTACGAATTATATCTCAAAACTTAATTTTATAAAGATCATCATTCTTGTTGGACCGAAAAGCCACCAATTTGCAGCACATTTTCAAATTCCCTAATTTCCGTCAACTAGCACTCTTGTCTTCTCTGTTTCTTGATAGCACTGGTTCTCAGCTGGCTTTCGTTATTACAAGCCAAATAACTAAAAACGAAGACATGTATCATCACTTCACCTAATTTGCCACCATCAACAACCTGAAATACCAACCCTTGAAATCCATTGACGATGTCTGCCGCTGGTTATGACAGACACATCACCATTTTCTCACCCGAGGGACGACTTTATCAAGTCGAATATGCTTTTAAAGCTACAAATCAAGCCAATATCAACTCCCTTGCCATCAGAGGTCAAAATTGCAGTGTGGTGATAAATCAAAAGAAAGTGCCCGATAAGCTATTGGATGCGTCTACCGTGTCCTATATTTTCAAGATATCGCAACATGTCGGTATGGTCGCCAACGGTGCTATTCCAGATGCACGGAACGCCGCACTTAGAGCCAAAAGTGAAGCCGCTGAGTTTCGCTACAAGTACGGGTACGACATGCCCGCAGACGTTCTCGCCAAGAGAATGGCCAACTTGTCTCAAATCTATACGCAACGTGCGTACATGCGCCCACTGGGCGTGATACTGACGTTTGTGTCCGTCGATGAAGAACAAGGTGCTTCGATTTACAAATGTGACCCTGCAGGCTATTACGTTGGTTACAAGGCCACTGCGACGGGTCCCAAACAACAGGAAATTTTGAGTGGGCTCGAGAAATATTTCAAGAAGAAAACCGTGGATTATTTGGACGAAGAGTCCTGGACCAAAGTTGTCGAGTTCGGCATCAAACAATTGATCGATTCCTTGGGAACAGATTTCAGTAACAAAGATCTCGAAGTCGGGGTCGCCGTGGCGGATAAATTCTTCACGTTGACTCTTGACCAAATTGAAGAACGGTTGGTCGCCATCGCAGAAGAGGATTAAGCTTTTAAATTCAAATCATCATTATCAAGATCCGCTGTCGTTTTCGATCTTAAATATATACGCATGTATATTACACTTGTGAGTCTTCATTATCCTGTCCCTCGGCTCACCCACGCATACACATGTGTTGCCGCATATTCGTAAACCTTCTGGGCCCACTAAACCTCGCCTTACATCGTTTGCACAAGATCACTTTCTTGACTCCATCGGTTTCCTTTGGTTTTACGTTCGTTTCTTGAACTTGGGTGTCGTCTTTGGCAACTTGGGGCGCAGAGGGCGTAGCACTCGACGACGGAGTCGGCGTACCCAACTGGGCTTGTCGCGATGGGCCTTGGTTCACGAAATGATCATAACTTGCCATCGCCACCTCACATTCCAGGTTTTTTTTGAAATATAGGGCAAAATCAGAACTTGACAACGCCTCCAATTGCGCTATTGGAACATGCCCTCCCAGTAAAACGTGCGTTGTATCAAGAATCATTTCATTAGTCACGTTAGCAGCAGCGGCAGCATCTATTTTACCCAAATACCCATGAACTGGCGGTCTTTTCTTGTCTTTTTTGTCCTTCTTATCCAAATCTTCCAAAGTTTCAACATTTTCCCTGCCTTTTCGAGCTTTGACATCCCGAGAAGTCAGTTCTTCCAGCTGCTTTAAGCTTAACCTCACTTTATGCGAACACTCAAAGCCAGATAATCCAGCGATAGTGTCATAATAACCCAGTGAGTACTCAGACATCGTTGGCCTTGGGTCTTTTCAAGTAACGACGGAGAGCTTGGAAGACTAAGAACTTAGTTCAAGATATTAATGAAAGTCAAGCTACACGAAAAACAAAAAGTAAGAAAAAGATGACATTAATATCTATGTACTTTAGCGTTTCGTTGCGCGATTCACATGGTCTTGAATGTCATGTAAATCTCGCAAAATTTTGGCTCTCAAACGATATTAAAATCGTTGTAAAATGTCAATCTTTTACCATAGTTTTTAAACGACATATGGGATGAATAAATATGGACATTCTTTGCAGTAAGCTTTCCAATCATCACCATACTTCTTGCGACACTTGGCCTGATCCCTTAGTGCTCTATGAATCAAGACGATCAAGAAAAAAGCAGGGAAAAACCATGGGAAAACAGAGTTGGAACCGCAGGACAGGGCCCAAACCAAAGATTGAATCCAGTCGGCAGTGTAATGGATCTTCCTGGCGTATTTGTACCAGCCGTCGATCATCAAGCAGGAGCCGTTCTTCGTGGTCATATATTTAGGATTTGTCAAGACTTGTTTTGGCAAATAAGGAAACGTCTTGCGCACAGTCTTGTCACCAGCTAAGTGTTTGCGGAACGAATTTTTTTGGCCGTTGGCAGTGTCAAAGAAGTAGTATGCACCTAGCAACGTCACGTAAAGTGCCAGATTGTATTGCCAGGACCAATTGTACTCGGAAGGCTCGTGGTAATGTAGGTACAAAGTGCAATGGCAATAGGTGTAAGGCACACCCGCGATATTCCAGAAAATGAGCATGAACCCGAACTTCTCATAGGCCATGTCCCAGGTAGGAACGATCAATTCTTCGCCCTTGGCACATGCATTGGCGTAAAGCCAATGCGCGAGTAAAATGACACCCATTTGAGGCGTCAGATAGCCGTATTGGTCGATTTGTTTGAGTGCGGCGCCTAACGTGAGGAAAAAAAGGGTAAACCAGGGCAAACGGACTTCAAAAAACATCTTGAGATCCAGGATCCCCCACCTCGGGTTGAGTGGAGCACCCATGAAAAAATCGTACAAATGATCGCCTGTCATGCGGTGGTAATCACCAGAAATGAACAAGCACCATAGGTAAAGCCCAATGGAGAAAGTAAACCCGGAAATAATCGCGCAAGTCATAATTTCGCCGAACATGTCCAAAATAGTGTACAATCTGAACAGGCCGGAGAAATGCAAAGCAAGTACCAATGTGATCGTAGTGTAAAAAGTCCACATAGCATTGCAATAATAGGGCAATTGTTTGTTCTTCAAATGCGTAAGCGGTTGACCTTTCGTCGCCACTCCCGGCAACGTGTAATAAAAAACAATTTGGGCCACCCAGAAACTCATGAAAACGGTCCACGCATACCGGCTTGGAACTCCATGCTCCAAAAATAGCCCGTACAAATGGCCGACAAATTGAGGCCATGATTGCCCCTCAGCTGGCAGCGCAATTGTACCGTGGTAAAACTCAGCACAAATCCACATGTACCACATTAGCAAAGGAAACCCAATCATCATTCCGACAACACCCAACTTCCCGCCGAATTCATACTCAATTTCCTCCGGTTTCAGGTATTTTCCCTGCGGCAAAAAGCTCACAGGCTCGTTTTCGCTGCTTTTCTTACCAGCATTTGCCATTGTCAAGTCGAAATACTCTGCACTGTGCTCAATTCGTGTCTTTTCCTGTTGTACCAAAAAGTGTTTTCGAAGTTCTTAAAAGTTCGTTTAAGGTAAAGTCCGTCCTCGATAAGAGTTGATATCATTGTGAACGATATGACTTATCAATCATCCAGAGCTTGCTTATTCATGCTAATTTAAATAAGTCATCATCGATACTGGCGAGCAAGCCAGTTTGATCAACAAGGTCGGTCCTGTATGGATAGTTCAGAAACTTCCGGTGCAAAGAGAAGGCGCACGAAGGTCAGCAAAGCATGCAACAATTGCCGAAGACGGAAGATCAAGTGCACCGGTGGTCAGCCGTGCTTGAACTGTCAGACTTACCAATGTACATGCACGTACGCTTTACCTTCGCCCCCTACGGGAATTAAGAGTGACGCGGCGTCAGATACGAGTTTAGAGAGTGCAGCGGTGTTGCCTGCGCCTTTGAAAACGTCCGAAGAACTTCCCGCGACCGAAAATGGGATGTACGAAGATGATAGTGAATTTCAACAAGAACTGGCACAGCAGAAGGCCTGTTTACAAGCGTTGCAAGCCGCTTACGGGGCAAGTCCGTCTCAAAAGTTGTACGATATCTTGCAAGAAACGCGAACTAAGATTTTGAATATGGAAAAAGAATGGATGCCCGCTGTGCGGAACGATAAACTTCAGCAGGATGTTCCAGCGACGTCGATCTCAACTGAGACGCAACTCATGTTTTCCAAGTACTCAGAACAGGTATATTTGACGAAGTATTCGATTCTAGAGCCGCCTGACAAACGATCTTCTCGAACCAGCGTTCTCAACCAGCAACCGGCAGTCGATGACGTTTTTGGTCTTTACAGCCCACATTTATCGCTGTCCATCCGTGGAATGGGTATTTTGTTTAAAAGTTTTTTCGACCAAAGCTCGAAACTAGCGCCAGAAGTGAAAAAGACGCTCTACCTCATGCTTAGGTTCTACGATTTTTGTTTTGACCATTTGGATTCCGCGGTTCTCCAGTGGAGTATGCCTGTTGAGACTTTCCTCGATATGCGATCAATACCTTTAACCAACAAGAACGAAGCCATCAGAGACATTTTGTCAGAGATCCCCTTGGAACTTACCGCGATGACGAAAGCTCTATACCCAAAGTATGGTAAACCTCGGGATTTGGAAAACAAGGTCTCCATGTTCCACTGGGTGATACGCGTGATCGAAGTCTGTCATAAGCAATTTCAACGAAGAATGATATCAACCACGGCAGTTGACACAATAGCAGGGGAGGTAAGTCGATTTTTACATGTGGAGGACATGCTATCGGTAGTCGCATTTGAGTATCTTAACTTGACTTCCTACACAATGTGTGGAGACTTGGACTATTTGGAATCGCTGCTTATTCTTATCAAGCAACAGTACTGGATTAGTGACTGGCACGTTTTCACGCATCTTTTAACGATGGCTTTAAGCTACGCACAAAATCTCGGTATCAATAGATGGGAATTTTACGTGGGCATGAACGAGGAAATAGCAGAAAGGAGGCGATATCTTTGGTGGGAATGTTACGCATGGGACAAATTTTATGCCGTTCAGACGGGGAAGCAACCTTTCCTTGATGAAAATTTATGCAATTGCTTGCCCATAAAGGCCATTCGACAACAGGGATATCTGGACCACCAAGAATTTTTGCATAATATGACCTCACTTCATGAGCCAATAACCGAAGATCGCAAAGAATTGATGCAGTATACGTTTATCACCGTTTCGTTATTGATAGGGTCATTTTACAAAGATATTCTCTACAATCGTAGATTTACGGATTTCAGAAATTACGCAAAACCGAGCTCATTCCAAGAAGCGATTTTGTTTGAAATCATCGAGGGTGTTGATCATTTCATATTCAAAATGGATGCCTTGAAAAGCCAAGCTAAAGGAATCTATGACCTTTCAGAGAGGCTGAAGAATATGTCTTCAGTTCCGCTGGAAGAGAAGGAGTGTGTTCTTGAAGCTAGTCTGATTATAATTTGCATCGAATACTACTTTTGTCTATGCATGTCATCAGTCGATCACCTTTTCGCTCGATTCAAAGTGAGAGAGTTTCCCAAAACAATAAATAGCGCGATGGGGTATTACAAGAAAAGGGCTTACGAATCTTGGAAGAAAATAATGCAACTGATGGAGCAAAGACTTGTCCTAATGCTCTGGCAAAGTATTGGTCCAATAGGAATAGTTTTACTCACGTTTATTGCCGACGTATCCACACATTTCCAAAAAGTTTCCCTAGCTGATTTTTTGCTCGCACTTCGTGTGTCCAGAAACTTGACCGAACTCACTATGTTAGACAACGGAGTTTCCTCACCGAGCACAAGAACATATCGCAATTTCACCAAGTGTAGAACGTTTTGCCAAATTTTGGTAAGAATCCTTACTCAGCTTTATATGAGAACCGAGGGCATTGAACAAGAAGAACTAATTCGCAGAGTGAACGAGATAGATGGCTCTTTGGTGGAGACAGTCAAACGGGCTCTCGATGTCACTTCTGGCCTATTTAAGGAATGTTTTGTTACAGGGGAAGCTTCAAGTTTCCATTTGGCGCTTCGACGATCATTTGAGGAACAAAAAATGCTAGATCGCAAAGCGGAGGGACTTCTCCCCGTTGATGTCTATAAGACAAATAAGTCGGCCCATGACCAGAACAACTTGAATGATTTCAAGCCGCCCACTTTGGATGGAATTCATCCACTGGAGTCCTCACCCAAAGCTGAAGCCTTCTTTCTAGGCTCATTGGATGAATTTATGAGCAGGCAAGAAGATGATGTATATAACAAACTGTGGAGTGATATTAAAACCTCATTTCCTGACTTATTGCAGGAATAAATCTGGATACAAGGCACGAGGTTTACATAGTCAAATAAACAAAAAAGTTTTGGTCACACCGCGTAAGGAACCAGTCGTTTTAGATTCATATGACCTTTCCACGTTGAGTCACATTTGAACTTGGCTTCAGTAAAACCTTCGTCGCGATATTATCAATCTCGTTATATCGCTACCGCTTTATTAGTGTGAATGAAACTTCCAGGAAGAGAAAAATAAAGTTATATGGAGTCACTTTCGAATTGTCATAGGCAAGTTTTCTATACGCTTATAATACTACGGAAAAGATTATAATGATCAAGAATCTATTTCAAGAATTCCAATAATCCTTCTGCCGTGGGGAGTATTTCTCACTGGTCCTACGAGCAATGGCCCCAGCGCGTCACTTAATTTTTGATACAAATATCTGTTCTTTTCGCGCGAAATGTCTAATGCCGTTTGTAGGACATAGTTGCCGTAAGCATCGTGCAGAAGACGTTCGACCCCTATTTCTCCTCCACGTGCTACCAATTCATTGATCATTACCTCAGAAACAGATGGTGTCCGCAGGATCTTTTCTGCCACATTTGATCCAAACTTGTGTAGCGAGAGTTCAATAATTTTGGGTCTCAAAATATTGACTATTTTGTTCGTGTACTCCGAGTCGCGACTTTCTGCCTCTTTGGTCAAAATATACTGAATCACATAGTTGCCGAAAGGATCCGTTGCAAGCAAATCAACATTCGAAACGACGTTTTCACATAATTGGCGACTTTGTTCTTTACTGCTGTGATCTAGACAGCGTTGTAGAACGCAGCATCCGTGTCTGTGTGTTGCGATTTTGACACAGTCATGACAAGCAGCATCGAAAATAAATTGCGTGTCATTGGCATTCAACTTTTGCAGACATTTTTGAACGACATGATTGCCGTTTAAATCACGACTCAGTTCAGCAACCGAACCACTGAGAGAGTCAACAATTAGCTTTGCCTCTTCTTCGCAATTGATGCATTCTACAAGTTTTTGAAGAGCCCTTGTACCATGTGGGTCCAAAGAAACTTCAACAAAACTTTGTGCAGAAGATTTGACAAGAGTCAGACGTTGTTCGTCGCTAACCCTTTCCAAAAGTTTTTGGATTAAATAGTTACCGAAAGAGTCGGTCATAAGCTCGACAACATGTTCTTTTACCTCTTCAAAAATGGAAGTGGCAGCTTTGGTACCATCAATATCAAGCTGTCTTTGAAGGAAACGGCAGCCATGCTGGTCTTTGCACAATGAGTATATGTTGCCGATATAATCATCAAGCTTCGCGTTCGCATACTTCGAAGGATCTTCGCCTCTTCTATAAGGCTGTTTGGAATTCTGGTTGTGTCTGTGCCTGCGGGGCTGATGAGAGTGATGACCGGCGTGTTGTGAACCGTGGAAATGATGGCCAGATACGCCGCCCTGATTCATCATTTGATGATGTATTGGCATCATGTGGCCGAAAGGATGGTTCCCATATATCCAGGGAGTCGGGGGTCTGGAACCGGGTGGTGGGTTATTACCGTTCTCAGGCAGTTCTTTCATATCGCCAACACCCGCTACCACGTTCGATGGTGAGCTATTGGCAGGATGGTCAACAATGGGCGTGCCCGGTAAAGGTGAGAAAGATTGAAATGGTGACGAGAAACCATAGGCACCAAAAGGGGAGGGCATTCCATACCCAGGTGCAGCGGTGGGTGGATAATGGCTAGACACTACGGAATTGGGTTGCATCAGAGGCCCGCCATAAGGATACGCCGCAGCAGAGAGTGCGATGTTGGAAGCCTCTGGTTCCGTTTCCTGATCGGTTTCTTTAGTGGGCTGCTTGAACGCTTTCAAAGGCTCAGATTTCTCAATAGATATACTATGGTTTCTCACGCTGGCGGTGCCATTATCCATCAGTTCTGAGTCTGAAATAGCCGGGAAAGTTTGTCTTCTTGCGGCTACTTCAGAGGGACGAGTAGAAGCCAAAGTTTCTGAGTCTTTGGGGAAAGTGCCCATAAAACTGTAATCGGCACCGCCCGCAGGAGGATGAGGCTCGCCCGACGACCACAATGGGTCAGCACCTGTAGCGGAGAAGCCCATATGGTTCAGACCGGCGCCGGGTGGGTGTAAATGTGGGAAAACTGGTGCGGGAGGGGTGGCTCCAAGAGGACCAGCAGACGGTGCGGTTGCGCCGTCAGCGCCAGCAGACCCTGCAGACCCGGCAGACCCAGTAGCTACTGGATTCTTAGGCGCCTCCATTCCGATAGAGAAGCTTTCAGTGCCAGCATCATTCTCAGAAGGAGGGTAAAAACCTGGAGAGTGACGCATTGGCATCATATGCGGGTAGTGCATGAACCCGATGCCCATCATTTGCGGATGTGGGAAAACGTTAGTTGAAGGGCTTGCACCCGGCGCCGTTGGAACAGGTGCCGGCGCCGCAACAAGCGCGTCAGTTACACCGCTTGCATCCGTCAGATCGTCCAACTGGAGCTGATCGAGCGCGGAATTTATCGTCTCGGAGACTTGTACGTCGACGACCAGTGGTACTTCCTCAGACATGGGAAGCGCTTATAATGTACAGGAAACGGCGCGCGTAAATTCTAAAATACAACAACTGGAGTGAAAATTTCCAAAGGATCTAATGTACAGTGTGCGAGTAATAAAAGACTAAAATACAGGGAGTAATGTACAATAGGAGAGAGCGATGGGTGGGGTTGGACTTGTGTTCACGGTTTCTCTTGAGATTCTTGTCTCCAGGGTTCGTTATGGATTTCATGAGTGAAAAATCCAATTTACCGAGAAAAAGAAAAAGAAATGTTTATCCGTGAAGAGTGATATGTATGAATTGCGTGAAAAGTGATATTATATCACGTGATTTTCTTATGAGATCAGATCACGTTTTTCGTGTGTTATGATAGTATTATCACGTGTTGCGTTGATGTCATTTTGTACGTTTGGCACCCTAAAGTCGCGTGAACAACTTTCACCACTTACCTACCTTCGGCCCAACTCTTCTACTTCTCCAAGTCGTCTCCGCACCTATGCTACATCCCCTATAACTTCTATCCTGTCCTGCTCTCTGTGTTCTCTGTCTCTGCATTCTCTCCCGAATCTTGAAAATCAAGAGCTTGACCAACTTTCACCACACTGTCATCCAACTTACCCTTTACTAATTCTACTTTGGCATGCTTCTGTGCTTTGTTAAGAAAAATCTAATAAGCGCATACCGATTACCAACTCAAATGCAACTCGGAGCCTACATCTCTTCGTACAAGGACACTCTGCTATGTGAGCCGGGGCTCGGTATCATCAGGTGACAGCATGTATCACCCGATGCTCGTAGCAGCGCGGTACAGGTATATATAGAGCAGGGTCCACCAGTGGTACCAATCCATCCTTCAGTGCTAACAACGCCAACAATCTCTTCAACAATGACCTTCGTCAAGGACTTTAACCCTATAGCGCTCAAAGATACCAACCTCTTTAAGCCCATCAAGATCGGCAACAATCAACTGCAGCACCGGGTGGTGATGCCTCCACTAACAAGAATGCGGGCCCACCATCCCGGTAACGTGCCCAACAAGAAATGGGCCGTCAAGTACTACGACCAAAGATCCAAAGTTCCAGGAACCTTGATCATCACGGAAGGAGCATTTCCCTCGGCGCAGAGCGGTGGGTACGATAACGCACCCGGTGTCTGGTCTGAGGAACAGATGCATGAATGGGCCAAGATCTTCGACAAGATCCACGCCAACAAGTCGTTTGTGTGGGTTCAACTGTGGGTCCTGGGCAGACAGGCATTCCCCGACACTCTGGCTAGAGACAAACTGCGCTACGATTCGGCTTCGGATGAGATCTACATGGACGAAGCCACCGAGATCAAGGCGATCGAGTGTAACAACAGACTTCATGGAATCACCAAGAAAGAAATCCAGCAGTATATCAAAGATTACGTCGCTGCTGCCAAGAACTGTATCGAGCACGGTGCTGACGGTGTCGAGATCCACAGTGCCAACGGGTACTTGCTGAACCAGTTTTTGGACCCGATCTCGAACAAGCGCACGGATGAGTACGGTGGCAGCATCGAGAACAGAGCCCGGTTTACACTCGAAGTCGTCGACGCCGTTGTCGAAGCCATCGGCCACGACAAAGTCGGGATCCGGTTCTCACCTTACGGGACTTTTGGCACCATGTCAGGTGGATCTGACCCAACGCTCCTAGCGCAGTATGCGTATGTGATCGGTGAACTCGAGAAGCGGGGCCAAGCCGGCAAGCGGCTTGCGTTCTTGCATTTGGTCGAGCCTCGTGTCACGAATCCGTTCTTCAAAGAAGGTGAGGGTTGGTACAAGGAAGGTACCAACGAGTTCGCTTACTCGATCTGGAAAGGTCCTATTATCCGCGCGGGCAACTATGCGCTGGACCCTAAGGCTGCCAAGGCAGATGTCCAGAACGACGACCGTACTTTGATCGGGTACGGAAGATTGTTCATCTCTAACCCAGATCTGGTTAAGAGACTCGAGAAGGGTCTGCCCTTGAACGCGTATGACAGAAACACATTCTACGCCATGTCGGACAAGGGCTATTTGGACTATCCAACCTACGAAGAGGCCATCAAGCAGCAGAGCTGATACCGCATGGATGTTTGTATACACAGAGATATGTAAAACCACAGCAGAGTTGATACTGCACCGATACCTGAATAGACATAGACATCTAGAACTACGCAGTTCGACCTAGATGAAAAGATTGACGAATACATTTAGACCTTCAAAACATCTAAGCTACCCTACCACCGGGCTTCCGTCAACTTAGCTAAGTAACAACAAAAAACATTACATTAATCAAATTACTATAAAATTACTGCTTGTGTGAGTGTGTAATTGTGTGATTTTGAAATTGTGTGTGTGTGTGTGTGTGTGTGTGTGTGTGTGTATTTGCGTGCGTGGGGTGTGTGCGAAGATACAGAAATACTAATGTATCAATCGTGTTTATGATTTATTCCGAGACTATCCCAACCCACTTGATCACCAAAAGTGTGTGTGTGTGTGTATTATGGAACCGAGTGAGAAGGCAGTCTGCGGTGTGTGTGCCGAATATTAGAAATTAGCAAATAAAAAAATGGGGATATCAAATGTTTGATCAGAATTGTATTGTATCGCCTCCCAATAATAAGTCGGAGAAAGTACCGCAACCATAGCGAGCCAATGACGGATTTAAAACCCCCACTCGAACGCTAGGTGCAAAGAAAAAAATGGTTTGAAACCGAAAATCATGAACCTTTTAAAAAGTTTAATGGGATTTTTCGTGTTGGGTCGAGACTCTTTGCATGGCAACCAAAAAGTCCTCGACGGATCTGGAAGGTGGTTGTTCCTTTAGTGGCTTACCGTTCATCAATCTGTCGAAAGATTCAGACATGGACATCATGTAGTAAGCACCACCTAGAACACAGAAAACACCAAAGGAGAAAATCCAGACACGAACGACAGTAACGATGTCGTTCCAGTTTTGAGACCACCAGCCGAACAAAGTAAACATGGTGGCAATGATGTCGACAATGAAGACGGCACCAGCCAATTGCCAAGATGGGATGGAAGACCAGAAAGGACCAACGGCTCTGGTGATGAAAATCAACCAGTTCTCAGTCAAAGAGATTTGCAAGAACAACACACCGTCGATGGAACCAAAGTTTTGGATGATACCACCCTTTGGCAAGAACATAGTGGTCAAAGTAATCCAAGTACCAACGGCCAAAATGACACCCATGATAATGGACATACCCCATAGTCTTGGCAAGTTCCATTTAACAGGCTTTTGGTCGAAAGGAGCATTGTCGTAAGCAATGGCCAAAGTGGCCACATCGGCGAAAATAGCAATGAAAACAATCAAGTCAATGTCCAAAGAGTTGTTCAAGATAGCAATCCATAGACCCAAGAAGATTTCCAAGTGAAGAGACAGAGCAATACGGTAGACAACGTAAGCGTACATTCTGTGGAAAATCTGTCTGGAAGTCTTCAAAGCATCAATGATAGCAGACAAACCAGGAGCCAAGAAAACGATATCGGCAGCAGAACGGGCAGCATCAGTAGCACCTTCGACGGCAATACCAGTGTCGGCCTTCTTCAGAGATGGGGCATCGTTGACACCGTCACCGGTCATGGCAACCAAGTAACCTCTTTGTTGCAAGATGTTGACGACAGCGTACTTGTGTTGGGGGAAAACTTCAGCGAAACCGTCGGCGTTCTCAACAAAGTCCGCCAATTCAGAACCTGGCATGTCACCACCGCCACCTAGACCTAGTCTTTCAGCGTTGTAAATGTTGGTACCCAAACCCAATTGACGACAAGTTTCCTTAGCGATACCAACGGCATCACCGGTCAGCATCTTGACTCTCAAACCTAGGCGTCTAGCTTCGTTGACGGTTTGAGCAGTGTCGTCTCTTGGAGGGTCCATACATGGCATAACACCCAGGATTTCCCAGTGACCTTCACCTCTCTTTCTGGCAACACCAAGGGCACGGAACCCACGAGAGGCCAATTCGGCAACCTTGTTTTCGTAGTTTTCGTGGACGTCTTCTGGAATAGGGTGATCCTCTTCGACAGTCTTGAGCACAAACAATGGAGCACCCTTGACACAGACGATTCTCTCACCTTCTGGGGATTCAACAACAGCGGTAACCTTCTTGGAGACAGGGTCGAATGGGTGGAATTCCAAAACCTTGTACTTGGTCAAGACGGCCTTGGCTCTTGGGTATTGGGCCAAAGACTTCAAGAAAGCCTTGTCGATAGCGTCTAGACCCTTCTTCTTTCTGGAAGCAGCCAAACAAGCAGTCAACATCAAGTCATCTGGTTCGACACCCTCAACGGTGTAAGGCTCGTGCAGCGACAACTTGTTCTTGGTCAAGGTACCGGTCTTGTCGGAACACAAGATCTCGACACCAGCAAGGGATTCAATGGCAGACAACTTTTGGACAATGGCTTGTTTCTTGGCCAAGTAAGCGGCACCGACAGCCATGGTGGTAGTGACGACAGCTGGCAAACCGACTGGAACACCGATAATGGTGATACCCAGCGTGTATCTCAAGATACGAACAATCTTGTCGGTTCTGTAGAAACAAGCAACCCAGACGAGCAACAGAGTGACAATGACCAAAACCAACAGAATCGTACCGATACCGTTCAACACCTCGGTAAAGTGACCGGTGTCACCGGAGGCCTGGTTGACCAAAGCGGCGGCGCGACCGACGAAAGTGTTGTCACCGGTGGAGGTGACGATCATGAAACCTTCACCACGCTTGACGGTAGAAGAAGAGAAAGTGGTGTCGCCAAAGTGCTTGTCGACGGCAAGAGACTCACCGGTGATGGCAGACTGGTCGATCTGCAAGAAACAGCCCTCGGTCACAAGACGGCCGTCGGCACAGATCACGACACCGTCTTCCAGTTGCATGATGTCACCTGGCACGATCTCGTTCGCAGGCACCTCGCTCAAGTTTCCGTCCCTGATCACCACCGCGGTGTTGGCCAAAGACTTCTTCAGTTCGTCCACGATGGAACCGGCCTGGTATTCCTGCACGAAACCGACCGTTGCGTTCAGCATAAGCAAACCCAAAATGACACCGAAATCGACCCAATCTTCCAAACCGGCGGCCAAAATGGCGGCGGCTTCCATAACGAATTGGATAGGACCGATGAAAAACATCAAAAACTTGATCACCAAACTTTCGTTTTCCTCGGCCATCTGGTTGAGACCGTACTTCTTTCTACGACGGGTCACCTCGTCCGAGGTCAAACCGTACGAGGGGTCGGTCTGTAGCAATTCTTCGGGCACGGGACGCGCCTCGCCTGCGGCGTGTTCTGTGTCGGATTCGTCGTCCTCCACATCGCCGTGATGAGATTGCAGCTCATCGATCAGAGCGTCAATGTCCTCATCCTCATCGTCGTCCTCATCCTGCTTGACGGGCTTCTCCTTGGTTGGTTCGGTAGCTTCTGACATACTCCGAGTATACCTGTCGCTTGCACAAGTGGGACTCAAGACGCAGGAGCCCGAGTTGAAAAGGGGGCCCCTTGCTCAGCCTTATATACACGGGCCGTGGGCGCTGCGCAGCGCCCACGGGCGACCCATTTGCGTGAATTTTTGCAGTCCCGGCCGCTGTATACACTTTGCCCGAAGGAGCCATTATGCCAGGGCCAGGTGCTGCTTGTTATCTATTGGGCATGCGTTAGTCAGGGACGGGCGGCGATGCTGCGTGTGGCGGTGTCTGTGCGAGATTTCGCCCAGCGTCGTTTATGGGCCCGTGCATCTGCGTTCGTTTGTGTGTTGTTTACTTTCCGCGATAGGCAGCCACAGTGCCGAAAGCGGCAAGCGGTGGGCCGCGGTGTAAAAACTTTGAGCGAAATTACGCTGCGCGGCCGCGCAGCGGCCGCGCAGCGGCCGGAGGCGGGTTTTCTTTTGCGCGCTTCCGTGCGGACGCCGCCGCGATGACGTGCGGCGGGTGCGGCGAGCACCACCCAGACCCCCTCGCCGCGCCCGGCGCACGTCATCGTCGGGCGCGGCCCAAAGGGTGGCCGTATAAAAGGCCGGCGGGCCTCGGCCCCGGCGTGCCCCGCAGCGCGGGCCCCACCAGCACCAGCTAAACGCACCAGCTGAACGCACTCCGAGAATGTCAGGTTACCCGCACACGTTCCGGGGCTTCGCCATCGCGGACCCGCGCGACTGGGCGAGCCCGAAGCTCACCGAGTTCGAGCCCAAGAAGTTCGGCGCACGTGACGTCGACATCGAGGTCGAATGCTGCGGCATTTGCGCGTCGGAGCTGTTTTCGCTCAAGAACGAGTGGACGCACGCGCCGCTCGAGTGTTTGTCATCGGCGTACGGCCCCAAGTCGCAGGTCGTCGGGCACGAGGTCATCGGCAGAGTCGTTGCCGTGGGCGACCGCGTGACGCTGTGCCGGGTCGGCGACCGCGTGGGTCTGGGTGCACAGTGTTGCGCGTGCATGGAATGCGCGCGCTGTGTCGCGGGCAACGAACAGTACTGCGCGCGCGCCGTGGGCACCTACTGCGACCGTTACCCGGACGGGTACGTGTCGCAGGGCGGGTACGCGTCGCACGTGCGCGCGCACGAGCAGTTCTGTTTCCCGATCCCGGAAGCGATCCCCTCGGAACTGGCCGCCCCGCTCCAGTGCGGCGGGCTAACGGTGTACTCTCCTATCAAGCGTAACATTGCGGGGCTAGAGAACCCGAAGGTGGCCGTGATCGGGATTGGCGGGCTCGGCCATATGGCGATTATGATTGCGCGCGCGCTGGGCGCAGAAGTGACCGCGATCTCGCGGACGAATTCCAAAAAGGCAGACGCCGCGAAGATGGGCGCGCACGGCTTTGTCGCGACCGCAGAGCCCGGGTGGCAGACGGAGCTGCAGGACCACTTCGACCTGATCCTCAACTGCGCTTCGTCTACGACGGCACTGGACCTTGACGCGTTGTTGCCTACGCTGAAGGTGAACTGCAATTTTATCTCCGTCGGGCTTCCGCACGTGGACGAGGATTTCCGCGGGGTGAAACCGTTCACGTTTTTCAGCAACGGGTGTTGTCTGGGTTCTTCGAAGCTGGGGTCACGTGAGGAGGCCATCGAGTTGTTTGCGCTAGCCGCGGAGCACGGGTTCCGGCCGTGGGTGGAGACGCTGCCGGTGTCGGAGGCCGGAGTGCACGAGGGGCTGACCAGGCTTGACAAGGGCGACGTGCGGTACCGGTTCACGTTGGTTGGGTTCCGGGAGTTTTTCGGGACGGCGTGAGCGGGGGAGCGAGCGGGGGAGCGAGCGGGGGAGCTGTCGGCGGTGGCCGTTTTTAAGGTTCGAAACTCTACGCATCCGTTCCTTAACTTCAGCCGATCTATTAGATCACCAACAGCGGCTCGCTTTCTGGTCTATTCCTGGGCTGCAGGTGTGTCCCTTTCAATTCCAAAACCGATACAACAACTCTGTTGCCAGAGTGGTTTGGAACAACGCTCTTAACATCAGCCCCATTATCGTCTGTAATTCCAGCAGGTGAAGACCCGAACCCTGTGGGTTCGAGCTATCCCTTCTAGCCATGGCCGGGTAATGTCAACTTCCATAAGGCCACTTGACGATATCTCTAATCGCCAAAAACCCACCCAACATGCTAGTGGCGAAGAATACCGTAGGTCGAACATCAATTCCCACTATATCTAGCTGTATACTCTTATCAGTCTTACACCAATCACATCGTATTTATCTACAAATTTCTACCTTGTATTAAAGTCTTTTGAAGAACGACGACCACCGGTACACAAATTGTATTGGGTCCGGTGGTTGTCGTCGTTCGTTTGCTTCAGAGCTGAATCAACCGCAGTCTCCTGCGTTAAATCTGTCGCTGCTAGCACGTGACAAAGACGACTGAGAGAGTAATAAAGCTCGAGTTCCTTCAAAGTTTTCAATAACATAAAAAAATAATTCTGGACATAACAGGATTCGAACCAGTGACCTCTTCCTTGCAAGGGAAGCGCGCTACCAACTGCGCCATATGCCCGCAGCGTACCATGTTAGAGACCTAGCGCATCTATATTCGACACCTCCGGTGCTGTGTTGAAATGCAAAAACCGACAACTGCAGGATTCGAACCTGCGCGGGCAGAGCCCAAAAGATTTCTAATCTTACGCCTTAACCACTCGGCCAAATTGCCGTTAATTACTGGTGTGCCTCAGTAGCCTGAGGACCTGTTGGATAGATTTCATTGTCCTCTCAGATGCGCCTCTGGCACTCGAGAGCATGAATTGGTCGCTAAGAGTGCTTATTACAATCCATGCTGCACTAGAGACTCACATATGTTGACACTTCTTCCAAAGCATGCCCCTTCTTTATTGTTTTTCACCCTCACCTGGACATTTGGCAACACCATGGGAAAACTAAACATGCAAAATGGGTTTTGGAACAGTTACACATGTCTATATATCATCCAAACCCTGCCCATTCGACAGAGAAAAACGTCACGCCCTCATCGCTCTCATCGTCCACACCTCCTAGAACCCATAATTTCTTCACTCCCGTACCAAGACGTCCGCCACCTACAAGCTGTAATAAGTCTAAGGGCTCGTCTCGGTACCGCAAGGCAGGCGGGACGGTCAAATGCGAATGGTACCGCAACGGATCGCCGGGGTACGCAATGTAACGACCACCAAACCTGCTTCCGGGTGACACACAGTAGCCTTGGGCCCGCAGAGCTTTGTAGACCAAATAATTGGATTTGAGCGTTTCGCTGTGAAGCAGTTGATCCACAAGCCGTTTCTGTAGCTCCGGGGTATCGAAGTCATAGCGTTGGCGCTGGATGACAGAGGATTCGTTCCGCGTTTCGACAAAGAGTGACGACTCCAAATTCGCGTCCACGTTCGCAACAGTTTTGCCCACGGCCCTCAACTTCTCAAAGTGCTGCTCCCGCTTAAACCGCCGCTGCTCTTCAAACAAAGCCTCCTGCTGCTTATCCATCTCATCCCAATCGGAAGCCGTCAAATCCGAGACACCCATTTCCAACGCCTCACGATCGCTCACCAAAACGGCGAAACCATTCTCCACGAGCCAAACCGCCTCCTCAGCCATTAGACGCAACGGGACGGTCAAAAAAACGTTTTGCTGCGCCGCCGACGGCAGTGTGCCAGTCAAAATACCCGTAATGCCCAATCGTCTAAGTCTTCGAATACTTTCGATATCAAACACTAAACAGACACCGTCTTCAAACCTATTACCATTTCCGACAACGCTAATTTCGATTTTCGAGTCATTTTCACCCTCCAATGCCTCCATTTGCTTCTTTTATGCCCTTTTAACTCATCTCATCGCTTCGCATTACCCTGCTGAGGCAGGTTTCTTGCATTTTTCAATTTTCATGCTGCGCTCCCATGCGATGAGCTATACAGGCTTGCACTTCACTACAAACGGGATATTAAGGTGAGGCTGAACGTCGAGGCTGTGCAAATGATCAGGGAAACCGGATACCGGAAACCGGAAAATGGCAACCGGAAACCGGGCTTATATTTTGCAGCAGAACAGGGCTGACACTACTGGAGATACTACCACGGATATCTATTAGTTTACCTTATCAGTTGGAGGATACTTTTGAGTGCAAGGGTCTATAAGAGTGCTTGTTGGAGATACGTCGATCGAGGAGAAGATTTAAAAATCGCGGGCGTTAATTTTGTCTGGCGGGCGTAACAACAGCATGACCATCAATTTCAAATTGAAACCCGATCAGCTGTTGGAACTGCACGATCCGAAATCGCTGGCCGCTTTCGAAAACTTGTTTGAGAAGAAAGAACAGAACTTGTATGATTTTCTACATACGGATAAGCGGCGGGGACTTAGTCTTTCGGATGAGCCGTTGGAATCTTCGCCACGTGTTTTGACGTTCGGTGACAATCGCATACCGGAACGGAAGCCCAAGTCGTTTTTACGGTTGGCTTGGGAAGCTTTCCAAGATCAGACGATGATCTTACTAAGCGTTGCAGCGGTCATATCGTTTGCCCTGGGTCTGTACGAGACTTTGGGACAACCACCAGAATATGACGCTGAGGGGAACAAAATTACGAAAGTTGAATGGGTCGAGGGTGTGGCGATCATGATTGCAGTGCTTGTCGTGGTGTTGGTTGGGTCTGTTAATGATTATCAGAAAGAAATGCAGTTTTCCAAGCTTAATGAGAAGAAAAATGATCGAGAAGTCATCGTGGTACGTAACGGCGAAGAACATTTAATTTCAATTTACGATCTTTTAGTCGGAGACGTGCTTGTCTTGCAAACTGGAGACGTTGTACCGGCAGACGCAGTGTTGATCTCAGGTTCTTGCGCTTGTGATGAGTCTGGTATCACTGGAGAGTCCGATACTATCAAAAAAACCCCAATTGGAGTCGCGTTGCCAAAATACACTGACATGAGCAAGCACAATGCAAGTTTCGACATTGGACATACCGATGTTCCAGATCCAATGCTGATCTCGGGTTCTAAATTACTTTCTGGCCTTGGAAGGGCAGTCATAACGGGTGTCGGGGTCAATTCCATGCATGGAAGAACTCTAATGTCATTGAAAGTTGAACCCGAAAGTACTCCTCTCCAGGAAAGATTAGACAATTTGGCAAATAAAATTTCCATTTATGGTTCTATTGCGGCCATTATTCTTTTCATCATTTTGTTCTGTAGGTTTTTGTCGTATCTACCTGCTGGAAAGCCTCTGCACGACAACACACCAGCACAAAAGGGTTCTAAATTTATGCAAATTTTCATTACTGCAATTACGGTTATTGTCGTTGCCGTTCCAGAGGGGTTGCCTTTAGCGGTCACTTTAGCTTTAGCGTTTGCGACAACCAGGATGACTAAAGACGGAAATTTGGTGCGGGTTTTGAGAGCCTGTGAAACTATGGGATCAGCCACCGCGGTTTGCTCCGATAAAACAGGTACGCTCACGGAAAATAGAATGACAGTGGTCAAAGGTGTCTTGGGTGGTAAATATTTCGATGACACGCACGCTGACACAAAGGAACACTCTGATTCTTGCGAAGTTTGCCAAAAACAAACTGCAAAGACTTTGATAAAGCATCTTCTCATTAACATAACGCTAAATTCTACTGCGTTCGAGAATAAACAGGGTCCTGAAGGTCAGAACATTTCCGAAAACCCCTTTGATAAGCCCAGACGGAAACCTTTCCCCTGGAGTCGAAACAACAAAGCATCCACCATTTCTGAGGACACAGGCTCTGCTTCCAATCAAAAGGACCGGTTTCTTGGGTCGAAGACCGAAACTGCGTTGCTGGGCTTTGCTGATCGATCACTTGATATGACTTCGGTACAAGACTATAGAGATAATCCGTCGTTATTAGGAGTGGCCGAAATTGTTCAAGTTATTCCATTCGAAAGCTCTCGGAAATGGGGCGGTATTGTTGCTAGGACGGAGGACGGCGCTTACAGATGCTACCTCAAGGGAGCCGCTGAAATGGTTGTCAAGAGGTGTGACCAGAAAACGAACTCGGAGGCTATATCTGAACTAATGTCTGACAACGAAAGAGAAGAGATCGCGGAGGTTATCTCAAATCTCGCTACCGGGGCCTTGAGAGCAATATCGCTAGCTCACAAGGATTACGCCAATTGTGCCCATTGGCCCCCTCAAGAGCTCCAGGATTCATCAGATCCAACCATAGCTTCTCCAGAACTACTTTTTGGTGATGAAATAGAAGGAGAAAAGGAAACTAAAAAGGGTTTTATACTGGATGGTATTGTGGGTATTCAAGATCCGCTACGGGAAGGTGTTAAGCAATCAGTTGAACAGTGTCAAAGGGCTGGAGTTACTGTGAGAATGGTGACCGGAGATAACATCTTGACTGCGACTGCAATTGCCAAAAACTGCAGCATATTGTCAAGCGAAGAGGCGAATAATGCCGTCTCAGCAATGGAGGGTCCAGCGTTTAGAAAACTGTCAAAAAAAAGGCGCATGGAGATCTTACCCAATTTGAGAGTCTTGGCGAGATCCTCTCCCGAAGACAAAAGGATCTTGGTGCAGACATTAAAAAAAATGGGTGAGGTAGTAGCAGTGACGGGAGACGGTACGAACGATGCCCCAGCTCTGAAATTAGCTGATGTTGGATTTTCGATGGGGATTGCCGGGACGGAGGTTGCAAGAGAGGCTTCTGATATTATTTTAATGACTGATGATTTTTCTGCCATAGTCAATGCAATTAAATGGGGGCGATGCGTGGCCGTTTCTATCAAAAAGTTCATTCAATTCCAACTCACGGTCAATATTACTGCCGTTGTACTAACCTTTGTATCTGCCGTAGCTTCCACGGACGAATCATCTGTTTTGACGGCGGTTCAACTTCTTTGGGTTAACTTGATCATGGACACGCTTGCAGCTCTTGCTTTGGCCACGGATAAGCCAGATCAAAATATATTCGAACGAAAACCTAAAGGACGAGAGAGCGCACTTATATCCGTTTCTACATGGAAGATGATTCTAGGCCAAGCCACTTTACAATTGATCGTCACGTTTACTTTACATTTTAGTGGTAAAAAGATTTTCTTCCCAGATCAGTCCCAGATAACACCACATCAACAGGAGCAGCTTAACGCTTTGACTTTCAACACATTTGTTTGGTTGCAATTTTTCAAATTGATCGTCACCAGGAAACTTGATGAAGCGGATGGCATTTCTGACATTAAGAAAAGAATTACGGCGAACAACTTAAATTTTTTCCAAGACTTGTTCCGGAACTACTATTTCATTGCCATTATATTGTTGATTGGTGGTTTCCAAATTCTAATTATGTTCGTCGGGGGCGCTGCATTTTCCATCGCAAGGCAAACCGGGGCAATGTGGGGTACCGCTATCATATGTGGTATGCTTGCATTACCAGTGGGTGTCTTGATAAGAATAATACCAGACGAGTGGGTTCTGAAGATTTTTCCCAGTCGTATTGTAAGAAAATTCTTTTATTACGTTGGGTTTGAATTTTCAGAGAAGAAGAAGAAGAAAAAGGCTGAAGATGAGGAGTCTTTATTACATGGAGATGTCGAGGTTCATTTGATGGGATCTTCAGCTTTCGAAAGGGCTAAAAGTGAGATGCTGATACATAAAGAAAACGAGCCAGGAAAAAACAGATTCAATCCCTTATCTGCCTATAAAAACTGGAGACACTCAGTGACAACTGTGGATTCGGACTCTGAAGAAGATCGCTCATACATTGCATCTTTGACAATGGTACCAACGCTAATTGGGGGTGCAGTAGGTGGTTTTTCTCAGTTCACACCACCGAATTATGAGAATCTTTCCCATGACAATAAAAGCAAAAGCAGCGTTACGGCTCTCACGTGAAAGAGCTCATCAGTTCCTAAAGCGCGGATTCAAATTTCATTTGATCTTGCAAAGTTGTCACAAGAACAACTATCGATCACCAGCATAGCATGTGTATTCAATGAAACCAACAGTTTTAATGTGTTTTTAAGAATAGTAAAAATTCACTTCATTAAATCTTTCATATTCTGGCCTACTAGTCTACTGAGGCAATATGCCATCAAATAGGTGCATCTAGGTCAATATCTTCCGTTCCAGCAAAGGTATCGACCGTACAGCCAATTCGATCTATAAATTCTCCATATGCCGCCAAAAATTTTGGGAGGCCCAAAAAGGCTGATTTCAGTTCTTTGAGATCGGCAATTTTTTGAAGCAATTCTTCCTCCGTTACTTGCACAGATTCTTCTTGCCTTGCCTTTGCCACTTTTTCCAAATTCTCGATGACGGTGCGCTCAAGAATGGCCAATGCTTCCTTAAAACTCGCCAAAGGTATATTTTGGAAATCTTCTTGTCGGTCAATTCCTTCCAACGCAATTGACGCGATTGACCTTATTTGTTCAAACCATCGCAAAGCCTCGAGCAAGCGCAACTTTATCTTTTCGAGATCTCTTAAATCATTTTGCGTTTGTGCGGCCTCTGAATGTTGTAAGTCCAAATTTTCGAAATGTGTGTCGATGCCGCGAATATCCCTTTCTAAAGCCTTCACGGAATTTCCTAGCGTGTCAAGGTAAAAATCCAGTTTCGTCGTGGTGATATCTTCATACGTTTCAGAACTCATAGAAAGCCTTTCGGTACTTTTCTGTAAAGTCTGTAGAGTGGAATTTAACTCCTTGGTCAAATGACCCATGTTGAAGTCGAATTTGGAAATTAATGATGAGGATATGATTTGAAGGTCATTTAGGTCACCGCTTTCCGGTGAAAGAAGAATATCCAAATACGCCTGCGGCACAAACTCTTCATCGAAAAACATATCAAGGAATACATCTGACTGAGACATCTTGATCACCGGTGGATGGTCTGTTGATTTTAGAATAAAGCTTTCAAGGTACGCTTTCAATTTGATATAGTTCGGTCATGTGACACGAAATATCAAACCATCCACTTTCATTCCGCTCCAGTGTCACTGCCGACCACCTGCATGCTTTCCCATCCATTACAAAGTCTTTAACTGCACTGCTTTATACGAGTGCTAGCTCGAATTTTTTTTTGCATGTAAAGTCGTGGGAGCGTTGAAGAACTATTACCACTTTGCAAATAGGTAAGTCTTATAGTGCCTACTTAGGGACAAAACAGCTTTTTGCGTTCTGATATGCGTTATTCCTTCCCAAATCACGTTTGGTGATTCTGCGTGCCCCTTAATTAACAAATGTAAAATCTGCCGTGCTTCTCTTCACCTGACCTATAAGCATTAAGTGAGACTTGAATAAAATAAATGTCGGGCTCTACAACTAAAATGCTTTAATTGAACCACATCTTAAGTTAACCGAACCATGACTTGTTATAGTGAGATGCCAATCGACCGTTGATGGCTCATCTCTAACTTGACTTTCCCAATCACTCATCACGAACGATCCGAACGCGTAAAAATCAGCGAAAATAAAAAAAGCGTGTTTGCCACGCTAATAATGATCCTAATTCCTTAGAACAAAACACTTTCCTCACGGTTCTTGTCTTAGTGAAAATTTTGATTATGAGTGGAATCGCTTTAAGTACAAATGATCTTCGGGTCATTTTCACGGATTTGAATCGTTACAATAACGCAAATGATGGAGTTTATCAGTTACTGAGAACGCGTAAGAACGATACCTCATCACACGTTAATCGGAAGAACCTGATAGTGATATCTGACGGAGTTTACAAGGTCAAGGCGCTTCTGAGGAATGAAGCTATTGCAAAAGCACAATCAACTGATCTAAACGTTGGGGACGTGTTCAAAATGACCCGAGGTGAACCAGCGATTGTCAAAGAGAAAAAGAAGTATGTGCTGCTAATTGACGACCTCGAAGTGATGCAAAAAAATTGCGAGATTATAAATCCTAACTCCGAGTTGGTTGACAACTATCTTATCTCGCATCCAGACGAGGTCGTTTCGTTCGAAGACGGGGGACCATTGCTGGGACAAGCCACGAGCACTCCAAGTGGCGATTTTGGTGCTAAAGATACCAAGCCACAACAACAGCAACAGCAACAGCAACCGCCCCAACCAAAACAGACTGGTTCGGGTTTTTACAATCAACAAAGCTACATGAACTCGGCTTCTCAAAAGAGTAGGCCGATCTTTGCTATAGAGCAACTATCACCATACCAAAACATGTGGACTATTAAGGCCAGAGTATCCTTCAAAGGTGACATCAAGACGTGGCACAATCAGCGGGGAGAAGGTAAGCTTTTCTACGTCAACTTACTTGACACATCGGGTGAAATTAGGGCGACCGCCTTCAATGACAATGCCACCAAGTTTTATGAGTTTTTGCAAGAGGGTAAAGTCTACTATATCTCTAAGGCTAGAATACAACCGGCAAAGCCCCAATTTTCTAACTTGCCTCACCCTTATGAGCTTCAAATTGATCGCGATACGGTTATAGAAGAATGCTTTGACGCAGTAGATGTTCCTAAGATGAATTTCAATTTTGTTAAGCTCAGTACTGTCGAAACTCAAGAGCCCAACTCAACGGTTGACGTTATTGGAATTATACGGACGGTACACCCTCATTTTGAAATTACTTCCAAAGCTGGAAAGAAGTTCGACCGTCGCGATATCGTGTTGGTGGACGATTCGGGCTACTCGATTTCTGTTGGGCTCTGGAATCAACAAGCTGTTGATTTTAATTTGCCCGAAGGCTCGGTGTTGGCAATAAAAGGTGCAAGGGTTACAGATTTTCAAGGTAAAAGTCTCTCTATGGGATTCAGCAGTACACTGCATCCAAGCCCCGAGGTCCCTGAAGCTTTTGCTATCAAGGGATGGTATGATGCAGCCGGTCACAACTCTCAGTTTCACTCTTTAAAGCAGGAAAGTGGCCCATCCTCTCTCAATATTTCGAAATATATTGCTAGTCGGATTACCATCTCAAAAGCCCAATCCGAGAATTTGGGTATGAGTGAGAAAGGGGATTTCTTCAACGTCAGAGCCGCCGTCAGCTACCTAAAAATTGACAATTTTGCTTATCCAGCGTGTCAAAACGAGGGCTGTAACAAGAAAGTTATCGAAGAGTCTGATGGAACTTGGCGTTGTGAAAAATGCAATTCCAATCATGCCTCACCCCAATGGAGATACATGCTGACAGCATCAATCGTTGACGAGACGGGTCAACTGTGGATCACTTTATTCAATGAGCAAGCCGAGCAGATGCTGGGCGTTGACGCGAGCGCCTTGATGCAACTCAAAGAGACTGACCCAGATAGCTTTTCCAAGACCACCCAAGAGATCCAAATGTGTCAGTTCGATTTCAGAATTAGGGCAAGAGAAGATAATTACAATGACCAAAGGCGTATCCGATACACTGTTGCCAATCTACACACCTTGAAATATAGGGCAGAAGCCGATTTTCTAGCAGATGAACTATCTCAAGCTTGCCTCTAAAGCGATGGACGCAACTGTCGCGGTCTCCAGTTGAGTTATGTACCTTTTCTTTACGGAGTAGATTTATTCTTGACGATAATCGATCAGAATTGTCCATCTAAACCAAGAAATCTTAACTATGAAAATCCATATTAACTAAGAGAAGCCAATGTGATGAAAGTGATAAAGAGACGCAGAGTGATCAAATCCTGCAAATACTGTTATGAGCACAAGCTAAAATGCGATAAAGTAAAACCTTGTAATAACTGCGTTCGTCTGGGGGTTACTCATGAGTGCATATACGGTTTCAACAAGAAAGAATATCTTTCAAGTGTCAGTCCCAGTCGAAAAACTGTCCAACCAAAGCGATCAAATCCCGAGGAATTTAAAACGACGGGGTATTACCCCTATTTCTCGAATGAGCTGGGTTCAAAGATTGCGTCCTCGTCTGCTTTGGAGAAGAAAAAAGGATCAACACGAAGGAATGCCATAACGAAATTAGAAAGACTGTCGACAAAGAGGCTGTTACCAGAAGAAATATACGGCTTAATACCGGCTAAAAAAAACTTTAACTTCATTCTCGAGTCATACTTTCAGCGAATAAATCCCATAATTCCACTGCTTGAAAGAGAAGATGTCGAGGTAAGTTTGAGCGTATTTTTCGAGAAACCAGACGTTGCCAATAATGAAAAACATCCAAAACTTCTTCAACTTTTCACAATTTTGTTTTCTGTTGCCTATGCTAATGTTGCTGAGGAGCAAATTCCAGATCTTTTTTTGTCAGAGAAATATTATAGTGCTTTCCAAACGTTAGTGGACTGGTGTCAATTTCCAATTAAACCGTCTGTGGAGCTTCTTAGATGTCTTTTAATCGTCAATTTTGTAATTGATCCGAACATGGTTGAGACGCTAGGTCTTTCTGCGATCTTATTACGACAAGCACAGCAATTGGGGTTAAATTTCCCAAAGAGTGATTTTGACGCTGATGGTTTCCATGCCACATCAAAAGCAGGGTTCGGGCTATTATGGAATTACATACTCTTTTTTGAGGGTTCCTCTTCAGTAGTAGCTGGATTAGCGTTTATGAGTGCAGAGGACCAACCTCGACCTATCCTCCTAACTGAAAACAGCTCTACGAATGGCAATATTGCTGTGCCGTATGCTCGAGGCAGATTCCTCATAAACGACTTATATCGCCCAGTTATGGCGTTGAAAAATGGTGTGTGCGGGGCAAGTCAGTCAATTCTTGATGATATTGATTCCAGGTTGCAGAAAGCTTACGGAAAAATAGAGGGTCTGTGTTCTCTTATTCAGAAAAACGAGGACGAAGGGGAGTACTTTTCGAGCACTCTGAAGATTTTTCTTTTGCGCTTCCAATTGAGGTATATGGCAATAACAAACCAAAGGCCCAAAGAGCCTTCAAGTCCTGTTCATGATGCCTATAAAAAGGGCCGCTTTAATAAGGGAATTCTCGAGGTTCTTACTGAGGGAAAAGCATTTGAAGACAAGACCGTGCGACTATCATTTGCGCTACTTTTCTTCACATTGAAAAGGCTTCTTTCAGGGAGCTGTTACAAGTATGCTTGGTATAGCAAGGGCTCAACTGTGATGCAATACCTTTTTGTGGTGATCAAAGACATCTTCAGCTTTCCAAAGAAGGGATATCATCTTCAATATTACTGCGAAGAACTAAAAATGTTTCTGTCTCCTGACATCAAAGAATGCCTAGAAGCGGACCCTGTCATGTACAAATATTTGCTCATAGAGCAGTTGATGAAAGTTTTAGAAATAAAGTTGGCGCCTTTATGGAATGACAATGATATAAATGCGTTTTCACTAGTGAAAAAGGTGAAAAGGGAGATTTGGAGCTCAGAAGTGGTCCGTGAATTTCGAGATTCGCATGATGAAGGTCGCCTGCTTGGATGCAGCATCTTTAAAAAGGCTCTCAATCACATAGATTCAATTCAAAGTATTGACTTCGAAGAGTGCTTAAAGCAATGGGAAATGGACAAAGCGGCTTTGAATTTAGAGGGTATCCTCATGAACTGGATATCAGAGGTGTGATCACTCCCCGCGGATGCTCAGTAAAGTGTCAAGGACATTCAAGAACACCGCTTCTGGAGGAAAAGGATTTTAAAAAAAAAGTGCGTTTTGGCACCTTTGCACTCTTTTGTTTTGCGCGTGGGTTACGAGGTAGTTTTGGGTGAATTAAAGGCAAACTTTTTGAATGATTTGTTCTAAGGCAAGAAAAGCGTCGAGAGTAAATCGAGAGTGCATAGGTAAAGATGGCTTCGGCCTTCTCGTTAGTTGTTCGGCTCTAGAGGCTTTTTTCTTGCCGCTGAACTTAATTATACCCAATCAGAGCGAAAAAAAAAATTTGCCAAAAAGGCCTGCCACCTTACAATATCGAAATCCAAATAAAAACCCGAAATTATCATGCGTCATAAGTGTTACGACGTGTTTCAAATTCTCGAGGTCTGGCGCGGAAACCATTTTTGACAAAACTAACTGTGTGACTTCTTTTAGTACTAGAGGGACCTGGTCGAGATAAAGTCAATTTTTGGCGTTAATATGAACCGCAAACAGTCGCCGTAATTATCTTAGACCTTTGCAATTGCATGGTGAAATCAAAGGCGCAATCCCCAACCCTCGTTGACCGTTTTTGAGGACATTTTGGTGTGTATGTTTTTGCAGATCGTCACATAAAAACAGTGGCTGGTAAAATGGAGGCCTTCCGACATATTAATTTGAGGCCCGAAGTTTAGGTTGCACCTACTGGTCGAGATACGATTATGAGAAAATTGACTGTTATAGTAGCACTAGCTTAAACATCTCAAGATATAATTGGCAAGCAATGCAGAGGTAACGCGCTAAACGGATCGGTAATAACAATGGCCGCCTAGTTGGTCGAACTGATAATTACCTCCTCAAAAATTCACATCTGGCTCTTCAGAGCTATTGCAGGAAAGATCGATCTTCTTGAGTGTACACAGGAGGCCCAAATGCAATTAGCTTTGATTGAAAATACAGTGATTAGAAATACCTCGGCGACGAAAATTCTCGACACTGTTGCCCGGCGGGAGGCAATTATCTCTCCACTATATCTAGAGATTGTTTCATAAAAGTTGACCAGGTAAACCAAACTAAAACCAACTCAACATGAGTAATTGCTCTTCCTTAAAATGCCTGTAGAAATAGCAGGAGAAATAAAAGTATTGCTCCTATCCTTCCAATGCGCAAACTAAATATTCAAAATCAACTTGTTTTTACCATTATTCTATCTTAACTGATTAAAAGCGTTCAAAAGTGTAGACGACGAAGGTCGCTTCAATGTCTGTTTTTCGAATATTTTCCAGTAACGCAAAGTTTCATCACCAGCTCCAGATACAATTGTTGTACCGTCAGAAGAAAGAGTCAGGTGTAATACTCTGAAGCTATGACCTTTGAGAATCGCTACAGGTTCTAGTTTTGACGCTTCCCAAATCGTTAAATTGTACTTAGAATACCCATGAGAGGTAACGATCTCGTCGGTATTTTTTGACCACACCATGTTGCAAACCTGAGAAGATGTGTCCACGTCATTGATCTTATTTGATGTGGAAACATTCCATATCTTCAACTTCCGATCTGCCGTGCCCCCTCCCGAAGCCAAAATCCCTCTTCGATGAGGTGACCAGGCCAAGGCCTTTACAGCAGCAGTGTGTTCAGAAAGGTTTAAAAAAGGCCTCTTGGAAAAGCCATCGTAGACATAAACTTGATTATCATTACCGCCTGAAGCGAGTTTATTCTCCTCAGCATTCCACTTCAAACCACAAACTTCCTGGGTATGAGACCTGATCTCTTCAAAGTATGGATCAGGCATTCTAACATCTCTGTGTAAAATCTTTCGATCTCGACTTCCCGAGCTTAAAATGTGGTTATTCCAAGATAAGCAAGCAACACGATCCGCATGTCCAGGCATTGTTCTTATGCACTTTCTTTTCACAATGTCGTATATCTCCACAATACCATTCCCTCGTCCAGCCGCTAGATGGGAGCCCGCTCCTACCCAGTTCAAACTGGTAAATTCGTCAGTTGTATCAGCCAGCTGTACGACTTCATTCGTGTTATTGTCAGTCAAGAAAATCGACTTTCCGAGCGCTACTCCCAATACATCCGTGCTTGACCAGTCAATGAGGTCATAATAAAAATCATCGGCAAGTGACGGAGCATCAAGGACCCTATAAGGAACTTTCGCAATCTGTCGAATCTTTTTCCTCGGAGATAACAGCAACCTTTCAGAGTCTGAGCGTATTGGAGATGATGAAGTTGAGTATTGGTTTTGAATTATAAAGGCTCTGGTGGGTCTTGTTGCCGTTTTCTCACGGTAAGTCAAGAGACTAGCTCCTCTCACGTTCTCAATTCGAGTTCCGAGACCCTTTCGTGTGGCATTGGCTTTATTTAGGTCAGAATCATGTCGAGGGGACTCATTATCCGAAAGAAATCCATGCGATCGGGTGGGTGTAGAAGGCTCCTCGGGGTTTGATGAGGTTGCCCACTGAATTTTTTCGATGCTGTCTCCATAGCCGCTAGAATCCATATTGAGCTGCTCTCCAAACAGCTCGTTTTTCAAAACGGTATCGAAAGTCCGATGAGCTTCCCGCTCCTTTTGTAATTCGAAATGGCCTTCAGTATCCGCACTTTCAGGTTTTAAAAGTTTCGAGCTTCCTATTGAGAACACAGCATTTAAATCTAGCTCCGTGCGCTTGGGGATGAATCTATCGGTGTATTTGACATTTGCGGACGAATTGGGTCGCCTCACGGGTGAAGACTGAGTCGAGGTAGTTGCCGACGTCGTGCTTTTCGATATACGTTTGCCATTCAATTGTTGTTGTTTAGCAGGTGAAGAAGATGGGGTATTATTTAAGAAAGGATTTCCACCTCTTGACGACATCCTGATTGATAAAGTGTAAGAGGGCAATCTATTCGTCCTGATAGCTTTCCTTAAAGTTAGATTCACGTCCCTCGATATGGAGAAATTAAATCAAATATTAACGTGAATAAGTAGTGAAAATCTTAAAAACTTGAAAATCACGTGCCTTAACCCAAAGGACAGTTTCGCCCTTTTGCCCCGTTCATAAATATCAACAGATGGCACCAGAGAAATTCTAAGCAGCCCCTGCCCCGTCCCACATTTTTAGCATAACTATGTCGCTATATTCGATGGGAATTATGAAACTTTTCATGGTGAGATCGTTGCCTCTCACGTCGAATTTTTCCAGCGCTCGTAAATCGATTTCCGTCTCTTCGGCTTCGTCTAGCTCCTGCTGCTGTTCAAGAACATCGCTTTCATCAAACTCGTCTTCTTTTTCTTTGTATTCAATATTTTCGTCGACCTCTTCGAAATCTGGGGCCAGAGCGCTCCATTTTGGCGGTATTACAATGGACCAAATATAAATATTTCCCGTTTCAATTCCGTTAGCTGCAATGCACATGTTGTAGAAGTTCCAATCAATGTCCAATAGTTCTTCCTCCGTGCCCTCTAGGACCCTTACTAAGGTTCCGCTGCTCGTCTCCCAAAGATAAATGTCGTGAGCAGATGATCCGTGCGTCGATGCAATTAAATACTCCGCAGAATTGTTACTGAAGAATATACTATTCCACTGCAGCTTATTGATCACGTCTTGATATTTGTGTTCAATCTCAATGTTAATGTGTTCCATATCGTCGCTGATGAACAGTGAAAACTGACGAATGGTCCTATCTGAAGAATTGATAGCAATTCTATCCCCAGATTGGGAAATGACGAGATGTTTTGTATTGGAATTCGCGAATTTGGAACAGTGTCGAAGCGTAACGCCATCTTGCCTCAATTGATATATTTTGAACCAGCCTTTCGAAGTCCCTGTAAGTACAAGATCAGAAAAGCGGGGATGAGAGCAGCTTACCAACGTATAACCATGGTCCAAACTCTCAGCGTCGTCATTATCCAGAGTTGACTTCAATTCTTGCACAATTGCCTCTTCTCCAACAAAATCAACCACGTAGGCATAGCTCTTTTCCAATACTGTTGAAATGCACTCCCATGGAGCTCTAGAACTCCAATGGCATTCCCAGATCGGTGAGTCGAACTTATGTTCCTTCAAAGGTCTGCTCCTTGACTGCAAGTCCCACACCTTAATCCACCAGTCCCTTCCAGAACTTAACAGATATCGACCACATCGTGACCAAGATAATGATTGCACAGACCTTATGTGGCATCCACCTTCGCTTCCCAGCATGGTGATCGGTTTTGCCGTGTCGATGTCATATATCACAATAGCGCCATTTGAACAACCGGCAGCTAAGTAATCGCCGCGCGGAGAAAATCGAATACAACATGTGTATATAGGAGAAACGAGGATTTGCGTGAGCTTCTCAGGATACTCCTTTAACACCGAAAATGGATCTTGTAGTTGCAGATTGGCCATTTACGTGTCGGTAACAAATTTAAATTTAAAAATGTATGCAAAAGTTTTCCTTTCTACTGATCAAAACCAAACAAGTAAGCCAAAAAAAACAATGAGATCAATCACATCAGCAATTGGCTTGCTAAGCCTATTGGTACTATTTCCATGTATAAACGCGTTTTACTTTTACAGCAATGGCGGAGAACGCAAATGTTTCTACAAAGAGCTTTCCAAAAACACGCTATTGCAAGGCGTGTACAGTGTTCAGCAGTGGGACGAAGGACTCGGAGCTTATCGTACAGCCAATGGAAATGAGATCTCCGTGGTAATTGATGTTGAAGAAGCTTTCGACGACAATCATCGCGTTGTTCACCAGAAAGGACTCGCTGAAGGAGACTTTACTTTCACAGCTCTCGATACTGGAGAACACAAAATATGCATCCAGCCCCAAGCCTCTGGGTGGCTTGCCAAAGTCAAGACCAAAGTTGATCTTGAGTTTGAAGTCGGTTCAGACTCAAAGTTGGATTCTAAAAGGAAGAAAACGGTTCAGACTTTGCAGAATAAGATTCAAGTGTTAAGCGAAAAAGTCGAAAAGATCAGAGAGGAACAGACTTTGGTTAGAGAAAGAGAAGCTAATTTTAGAAATGCTTCTGAATCCGCGAATTCGCGTGCCATGTGGTGGACTATCATTCAAACCATTGTTTTGGGCGGTACATGCGCATGGCAACTAAGGCACCTGCGCTCGTTTTTCGTAAAACAAAAAGTATTGTAAATTGTGCCAATTTATGCTTCATATACAACCTTACATATAGCCAATCTTTGGTGTAACATCCTTAAAAGTTCAATACCATAACTTCTGCTGAAAGAGTAATAGGCTCGAAAAAATAATCAATTTTCCTTACTAGTATAAGCAATGATGAAGCCTAAACAATTGGATTTCAAATGCACATAGGGATTGAAGACTCCTGTTCGTATTATACTTCATTAATTTCAAGTGATTTTATAGCGAATAATTGCATCTGGTATTCATGACTTTTAAAATATGAAGAGAGATCTACACTTCGCAACTTGTTCTTGATTAATTGGTGCCGAGTCTTCGGACACAGATAGCGGAGTTTCGAAAGTGAAAGAACTTTTCAGCCCTTTCAAACTCGAGTTCTGGTAGCTATCGACCATGTGAGATTTAGGCAGAGAAGCAGGAAATGTTCGCTCATTTAACCCCTCGTTCTCGTTGAAGGCCTCTTCATGCTCCTCTAGATCGGGTTTCCTTTCAATATCTTCATTTTGATCAATATCATCTTTCACAAATATCTTTCCTTTAAAAGATGAAGTCGGCTGAGATGGTGATTTGGAGATCTTAGTCTGTGCAACTGGCTTCTTAAACTGGAAATTAAAGGATGATGTTGGGACCGATAGATTTTTTGTTTCAGCAGACGATTGCTCTGTATTCTTAAACTTTTCTGAATCGATTGAATGTGACTGTCTGAGAGACGAAGATTTGGTAGGTCTGTATTTATCAAACAAGTGGCCCTTATTCTCAGACTCATTTGTAATGTCCGTATTCTCGGAATTTTCGACTGATGACAAGGCAAATGATTTGACTGGTGTGCTTCCTATCGATTGATTTTGAGACTCGTTTCCGGGCAGTATATTTGGTGTCCGCCTGTGACGTTTAATTTCAGATACCAAAGGAGAGTACGGGTTTGCGAGGTTGTTTAACGTCGTATTGGTGTCTTCATCCAGTAAAGAGATCAGTGTGGCTGCCGTGTTGCTGATTTTCTGCGTCGTCGAAGTCTTATTGGTTTTTTCCTGTGGCTTCTGCACTCCATTTGTAGACCTTGGACGAGATCGAAATGCAGAGCTATACTTATGAATTGTTGTTCTGTATGGAGATGGTAGACTAGAATAGTCAAAAACCCTTCTTTTGCCAGTGAAATTGACGCTTTGTAGAGATGAATCCGCTGTCAGACTTTTATCATACTTGGGCTTGTATGAGGGCGTTTCAAAACTTTCCTTCTCTCTGGAACTATGCTGCGATCTTAGCATTTTGTTACCCAGCTTGAAACTTTGGGTAGACTGCTCATAGGCTGGAGTTGGGGAAGACTCAACAGATCTGCTTTTCCTCATCAAAGACAAAACTCCTTCGTATTCGACATCCGATAACGACTTTCCAGCTTTATTCTTGAAAAAATCGGCAAGAACCTGGGTTGCATTTGATTGAGTTTCAACCGTCTCACACTCATGCCTTCTGTCAGATTTTTCGCTAAAGCTGCGAATTATGGTTGCTGGATAGCTTTCGTGGGAGCTAGGCACGTAGAACCCACCAGGAACAGTAGCGTCGCTAACATGTAGAGCCTTTCCGCCTCGAGCCGAATTGGGGTCGCCTTTTTTTGGTGCTAGAAAGGAAGCAAATCGCGACAACAGCGAAGAGGACTTTCCTAAGCCCTTCCCTTCCTCTCTATATCTCATGAGAGCGCTTTTGGAAGTTGTGCCACTACTTTGAGTTGCAAACTTTTAGTAGTAACAATTGTTAGTATCGAACTGAGAAACAAAATCCTTTTCATCTAAACTAAACCCGAACCGATGACGGAAAGTTAATTCAAATTTATTTTTCTTTGAAGGCTGACCGAACACTGTACAAATAAAATTAAAAAATTAACTTGGGGCGAGCTGGGAATTGAACCCAGGGCCTCTCGCATATTTGTGATTTTTAGACCAAGTATAACTCAATCTTCGCCCAAAGCGAGAATCATACCACTAGACCACACGCCCTAATATAATGTATTTTAAATTCTTTCCAAGCTTAGTAGCAGTTAAGTCAGCTTGCCTTTAGCCATCGGCGTGATATACTACTGCTTTATAACTGGATCAGCCATTGAAGACGCAGTTTATAATACAGGCGCTACATCGACAAAGTAATAATGAGAAACAGAGATGCTTTTGGTCCCGATTTCCAGAGCTTTTTCGGCCGTTCTTTTCCAGGAGTGTCAAAAACTATTTGCCCGTGAACACCATGTTGAGTTGAGGTTACTCTGAAGCCTCTCTATTAAGTGATGAGGCCCTTCTTTAACTTTCATTACATTTTACCGCCCACATCCTATACTCGTTGTTTTCCACTCGGGAGAAAGCTCTACATAAACACTTTATACCAGAAGAAATTCACGAAATATCCGCCGAAATCTCCCCTTTCGACCGCTTTCATTGCTTTGCACCATCCAAGAAGCTTTGTCAACTCATCGAGTGAAACGATTTTGTAAAATCTCGCAGCCAGGCATTCTTTTGAAATGCCCGGATTGAAGGCAATCTCGTTTATAATCATGCAGAGAAGTTGTTTCCAGACTTCAATCCTCACATTTCCCTCCAGATCAATCCACAAGCTGCAGCATGGGTCGCTCAAAGGTATGGGACATATACGTTCTGACTCTTTCCACGAAGCTCCGCCCGATACTATAACTAACGGCGGTATCAGGGAGTCCATATCACATCTCCTGGTACTGTAGTGCATTGGGGTTTCGGAGGTGGTGTCGGGAACAGCTTTCATTTTCACATAACCTGCCGCTAAAGCGTTCACTAAAACAATCGCCTTGTGATCGCCAGGTTCGTCCTGCAAAATCAGCCCTTTACGGTTTTCCAACCATGGGAAGATTGTGCTCTGAAACCTTGCAGCCGCTTCAAACTTTTTGAAATTGCCGATTTTTTTGAGATAGTCTGAGACATGCTCAGATAATTGAAGCTTCGAAGTTCCCGTAAAAATAATTTGCCGATCCCGAGCCATGTCGAGTGTTACCTTATCGATGTCATCCTTTGCGAATGATTTTAAAGCGCTAATTTCATCGGCATCCACGTCGGATTTGCTGATAAGTAGCGACCTTATAATAGATCTTATCTTGTCTTCTTTGGTATCGCCAGAATCGGACTCTCCTTCACGCCTACAGACGTAAACCTTCCGAAGCAAGCGTCCCTCTCTCTGAACCATAGATGACATCTCAGCGCCTGAAGGTGGATGCCAAAGCATCGGTTGCTTGATCAAGGCGTGATTTTTGAAGTTTTCCTCAAGATGATGATAAAGTTTGAGCGGAGATTGTTTTTCATCCTTTTCCTCCCTCATCCAAAGTTTGACTAATTGAGGAAGATCCAAATTCTCGACATCTTGAAGATCAATCTTTCCATTTTTCATTGCCGAAACGACAATATTCTTCCATTTATCCAGTAGCGCTCGCCAGCCACTGTGTCCTATCTTAATTCTACGAAGCATCCACTGCTTCTTTAGACTCTCCAAGGAGTTTTTAGGGAATAAATCGCTAATTTGCTCCCATGCAATCTGTCCCTTGATACTTTTCGTTATCACAACAGCAGTCACCAAAGCTTTGGCACCATGATTGCTGCCTAAAGTGAAGTATTCGGGTGTGGCCGCCAAAGGCAGATCATAAGGCTTGACCAAATTTGTTTCCTTATTTTCGATTCCTTCCTTTATCCTTCCACCAGGGCGCGGTTGCTCAACTGTTACTCTTTTGGCAGTACGACTACCCTTTTGACCTGCGGTTCTTTTAGAGCGGTCTTTCTTCTCGAAATTTCTAACACGTTCAGCAGATTTTGGACCACTTTGAAATCTATCACGCTCCCTCTCATCGAAGAAGTAAATATCCGTATTTTGAAGAACGTCTTTGAAATAAGTAGGTTTATTATCCTTTTCCTTCAAAAGTTTATCGCAAGCTTCCTTGTGGTCCTTACCTGGCAAACAAAGAACTCGTCTGCCGGTATTAGGTTCGACGTGAATGAGAAGTTTTCCAGATGCTAGTAAGTTGTCGACATCGCCCCGTATCGTCTTTTTGTCGAGTTGGGTCCTAGACCCCATGAGTCTCGTCACTCGGTCAAAGAGTTGATCCTTAAACACTGTTGCACCCCCTTCCAGTCTAACAACCTCTAGTAAGGCACTCTGTCGCTCCAATGATTTCAAAGAATTCCCAAATAAGCCACCTATGCTCAATAATTTACCATCAGATCCATCATGTGTCGTCACCGATACAGCAAAGTCTATGTGCTGATCCCCTCTCTCATCTACCCTGGAGCTTGCTTTTTCATGTGTTAGCCCACCGATGTCACTCTTTGCTACTTTCGTTTCAGCTTCATTTTCTTCGACGACTCCCTTTCTCTTTCTACCTCGCGGAGCAGCATAGGGATTAGCCATGACTTTAAGTTCCCCATTCCAGAAGAAATTTTGTTGTCCATCTCTCTCTATGAATCGTAAGGTGTTGTTGAGCGGAACAAAAAACTCTCTATTCAATTGGTGAAGGTTCTTCTGTTGAGGAACAACAGGTAAAAATTCCATACCAGACCTATCATTCCCCATTCCTGACAGAAATTTAAAATGATCCTTAGTAAACAGACGATAGAACTTCCTTTTGCCTTCAAAATCATAGACCCTTATCAAGCCAAACCCATCAAGAGAGCCTTTTTTGCCGATGTTTTCTATGAAATATTCGCCGCATTTAGCAAAAGCTCTCCTATAATCTTTGCCTGTTATAGTGTTAACTGTTTCCATTGTAGAAATTCCTTTGGCTTTGAATTTGTCAACAAGAGAATATGTTTGACATTGGATTGGATAAAATCTGTTAAGCGAAAATCGGTTCCTCTCTGACTGCATCTCGTCCTGAACAATCAGGTCGTTGCTCTGCAACAGTTGAGTGGCATTGAAATTCGCAAATCCTTCTACAGCAGCATCCTCTTCCTCCTGAATCGTTTTATCACCACTTTCCTCTTCTTCGTCATCTTCTTCATCTGAGGAGTCCTCGAAGTCATTAGTCACCTTTTCTTCAGCAACAAAGTCGCGTAAGTACTTAACACAGCGAATTCTTAAAGTTGGGGTCGCGGGAGAGACAACTAAGACCTTTTTCAGATACTCCTTCTCATCAAGCCACGCGATGGCAGCGATGAATGATTTCGAGAGTCTTTTATCCTTATCGAATTTCAATTCCCTCCTCAGATCTATTAGCTGTCGAACGCCATTCTTGGAATTCTTTACGACATCAACGATTTTAGACAAGTGATCACGCATATTGATATAATTCCGTGTTTGATCACTTCTGTCGATAAACTTGTGAAACTTGAGGTGCTTCACAACATGACCTTTACTAATAACTTGAATTCCATCCACCAAGTGCCCCAATTTCTTGACTCGGCCAGTGATGCTTCTTGGGTCCTGCCCTGTGGCCTTCGCTAGCTCCATGGTATTAATTCCTTTTTCCTTAGCTTTTGCAACCTGCAACAGCAAGTCGAACGTTAAACCGCCAATAGCCGATTCCTTCTTTTTATACCCAGTTAAAATTTGCCATAGCTTATCCTCTGTTAGTGAGATTTCAACCACCATTCCAGAGGCGACTACACCCTCCAGTGTTTGATCTCGCAATTCCTTACCTCCCACCGTTATAACAATATCGTGATATTCTGCCAAAGAAGAAAAAAGAAAGCTTTTTAAACTATTATCCAAGTTTTCGGTGAAGAGAGAAACAGCCTGCCATAATTCAGCTTGCTTTACTCCTGAATGAAAGTTAGAGTTGTCCTATGAGAATGAGACATTATTTCGTTGAAATACATACTTCCACCTAAGAAGGCAATCTCCTCGCAAGTCTTATCAACGATTTCGTCCGGAGAAAAGGTTTTCATCGCGCTATAGCTAGTTCAGAGTTAGCTTTATCCTTATAGCATGGACCGAAAACAATCTTGAAGATCTTCTTCACACGAGCCCAAATGTCGCATTTATTATTATCGCTTTGAACGACTTAGGCGCTCAAGATATGGAAAACTTCCCTGTTCATCGACAACCTAACTCCATCAACGAAGATAAACCAAAGATTTCGAGAAGCTTGACAGCGGAAGCAACAAGACGTGACCATGTCGGAGTCGGACGAGGAAATGTAAGATTTAAATGTATAACGCTTTACAATTGACGATTACTAACATCTGTAGCTCGTTATCGGCCAATGCATTAGCTGCTTTGCAAGAATTTCAACTTGAGGAACATCAAAGGCAAGAGGAATTTCAAAAATTGTATGAAGAAGCTGATCGCAAATTCCTAATCGGAAAAGACCAAACTGGAATGGAGTTGTTTGAGGAAGATTGGCAACTTTCACAGTTTTGGTACACCGAAAAGACGGCCTCTTTGCTTGCCGACGCACTACTTCAGGGAGCAGATGAAAACACAGTTGTGGCGGTTGTCAGTGCACCTTCTGTATATGCAGCAATTTTGAAGAAATATGGTGATAAGCTTCCTACACAACATATCTATCTCTTCGAGTATGATAAAAGATTTGAATTGATGGCAGGGAAAGATAAATTCTTCTTCTACGATTACTCTAAGCCACTGGAGTTCGAGAACACTCTAAAGGGAAAGGTTGACAGGCTATTGATAGATCCTCCTTTTTTGAACCGCCACTGCCAGGAAAACTGTATGTATGATATTTGGTCCAATTACTCGTCCCTTCGTCATTTTGCGATCACGATTTTTCAATACTAACAAAATGTCAAACAGCTTCAATCGCCGCCAAGGCATTATTGGCGCCAGACGTTGGTGCAAAGACTTCATTTGGTGTTGAGAAGCATCGCATGATGTCTTGCACTGGAGAAAGAATGGAATCAATTATTGCTGAAATTTACCCTTCTACTAAAATGACAACATTCATGCCTGAACATGCAAATGGACTAAGTAACGAGTTTCGATGCTATGCGGACTTCGAATGGGATGAGTGGACATTTCGGTTATGAGCTATCCAATTAACTTGGCCTCGCGTGCGTCACTCCAGGCTGACAATTCTGTACTCCGCATTTCTGAAGCGCACAATGATCTAGGGAAATTCAGTGTTACCGATGCCTCTCCACAACTTTATGGTTTTCATTACGAAAGCTATAATATATAGGGTAAGTTACTATAACCTATTCTTGGAAACTTCTCGACGAGGGTAAGTAAATCACAAATCGCCAGTAAAAAATCAAAAAAAACACAAATATAAAGTAATTAATACACCCATAAAAATACTTCTAATCAAAAGTAAAAAATCTTTCGGAAACCACAAACATATTTTATTTGATATTTACTATGCAAATGTAAAAACTAAATAAAATTAAATATATTTTTTAAAAAACAAAACTTCTGATATAAAACGTGATCACTCGTATAATATTTTTTGAATTTAGAAGGAAGCATATAAACTCGGTGGTCCAACTCTAGCCTCTCAAGATGTGTCTCCACCTTATTGACAATGTCAGCTATAAGCTCGGTACTGCTAGTTGGGGGCTCTGGATTCCTGGGCCTTCATTTGATTGAGAGGTTTCAAGCCCTATCGCCGTGCCCCAAAATAAATGTCTTCGATGTGAGGCCCTTACCTGACAAGATATCCAAACAGTTCACATTTGATCCCTCGAATGTTGTATTTTTTGAAGGAGATCTCACTGAACCCGCCGACGTCGAAAGAGCTCTTAAGGAAAGTGGGGCTGAAATCGTCGTTCACTCAGCTTCTCCTATGCACGGTAACGTTCAGGAGATATACGAAAAGGTTAATGTTCAAGGGACTCGGAATCTGTTGCAAGTTTCCCGCGCTTGCGGTGTGAAAGCATTTGTATATACTTCTTCAGCGGGAGTAGCGTTCAATGGCCAAGACCTTCACAATGCTGATGAGACATGGCCAATTCCAGAAATCCCAATGGATGGTTATAACGAGACTAAGGCAATCGCTGAGGAAATGGTGCTGAACGCAAATAGTCCTGAGGAGGACTTCCTTACAATTGCCTTGAGGCCGGCCGGTATTTTTGGACCAGGCGATAGACAGCTAGTCCCAGGATTGAGAAACGTCGCCAAGTTAGGCCAATCGAAATTTCAAATAGGCGATAATAATAACCTATTCGACTGGACTTACGCAGGCAATGTGGCAGATGCTCATGTACTTGGGGCGCTTAAACTGCTCGATAGTTCAGCGGCGTCGACTGTTGCCGGCGAAACTTTTTTTATCACAAACGATTCTCCAACGTACTTCTGGGCATTAGCTCGAACAGTCTGGAAAGCAGATGGTCACATTGACAAGTACAATATTGTTTTGAGCCGAAATGTGGCTATCGCAGCTGGTTATTTATCAGAGTTTTTTTCTAAGCTTGTGGGAAAAGAGCCTGGGCTTACTCCATTTAGGGCCAAAATTGTATGCGCGTCCCGTTACCATAACATCGACAAGGCCAAAAGGCTTCTTGGTTATAAGCCGCGAGTCAGCATTGAGGAGGGTATCCAAAAAACGCTCGCATGGATGGACGAATGAAACTCACAGTTTTGAGGCCCTACTTTAAAAGATTGCTCAATCTGATCAACCTTTGGTCCCTTGATTTAGAAGTACGAAAATCTGTGCACTTTGATTGCAATCTTGTATTATCCTATATAAGTGCTTATATGTTATTACTTACGTTGCGAAATTCTAGTCGCGGATTACATGTTTTTCTTGGCAGTTAAGACTTTTGTCAGGTGTTACTACAATAATGAGAATAATCTCACTCGTAGATGAATGCTTTGCAGGCTACAAACAATTATGCACTTTTACACAGAAGACAAAAATAATCGAGTTTTGTTTGACCCAATCTTATAAGGCAGTTCAAGTGAAAGCCATGACCACAACGAAAAACTATTAAAATTTTGGGATCCTCTAATAACGAATCTTTTCCGTTGGAGGAACCACTACCTCTGGCTTCCTTCCATTTTATAAAAACGTCAGAATCCAAACCAATGCCCCAGAGCTTGTTGCCACACACCTCGCATTCAGCGTTTTTTATCAACCATCCTTTTTGTACTAGGCTTTCATAATCCCTCACTGCCTGAAAACTAGCATTGTCAATGATCTTGAAGCTAAAGCTTTGCTGCTGCTGTGCCACCGATAAGTCGGACAGAACTTCTGTTAAGAGAGGCTGCATGTTAGCGAGCTTCAAAAACATGACTTCCTTGCTTTCAAAAACCTGTGTCAAGGGCATGCAAAAGCTCTGATGGGCACCATTGCAACGAATTCGTGATGTTGTCGTGAAGTCAAACAAAGCAAATCTGACCGCTTCTTGAAATTTGTGTTTTTCGGACTCGCCTAAGATTCCATAAATGACCATCAAGCAAGTTAAAAGTTTGGCCCAACCAGCGATATGCTCCTCCTCTAAACCCCTAATAATGTGCGTTGCTAGAAAAACAAGATGCTTCGATGTTTGACAATTCCACGTTCCCGCCGTGGCAGCTTCAGTTAAGTAGTCCGTGATTCGAGTCACTGCTTGTAAATTGGCTTTCATGCCGCATAAAAAAACTACCAAACTTTCCAGCTTTCCATATCTTTCCAAGATGGACAAGACGGGTTCCTTATCCAAATGCCTGGGGTTGACCGATTTCAGGAAGTTGATGAGCTCCTCCTCAGGGGCTTCTTGACAAAGAAGCTCGACGAAGGTTGTAGAAAACGCTGAATTCTTGACATAATCTTCGAAGACTAACCTGAATAATTCGGACAGATATTGGAACTTGAGCGCTTTGTCGCTGACGCTCAAGGCGTTATAATGTATGTTAGGATCAAAGTCCTGAAAATACTGGACAGCCAGCGTCGGCTGGCACTTGATAATTTGGCAAAAGTTTCTGTCAACGACAGATTTGACCAGAGTTCTCTCAATGGGGGCATGACTTGTATTTTTTAAGGATCTCTTGACAATCTCCAAAATATCATAGTTTCCAAAGTTAGAGCGCTGAAGTTCCAAAGCGAGATCCAAAAAATGGGAGTATTGCTGTGATCTACTGTAAAAAGTCATGAGTGCGAAATAAAATTGCTTTTCTCGCAGAGCTGTGACGAGGTGTTTTGAATCACCAGGAATATGAAGTGAGAGCAATGCTTGCAAGCTTTCTTCACTTTCCTCCTTTCTTGGCCCACAGTCCGAAGAACTTATCGTGAGCAAAAGCCGGTCAATCGTATCTGTAGATAATACAACGAATTGCGGATATTTAACAACATTTTTGGCAATAAAATTTGCCAGCAGGAGTTTCAAATTCATCTTAGTAGTGAGTTGAAAGATATCAAGTAAGGCCTCGATGATAAACTGCCTTGTAACGTCAGACTGAGTCACGGAACCGCCAGCTTGTTCAGACTCTGATCGATCCTCATCCAGTAACGAATCCTCTAGACTATCATGGACAATCGTCAATGCTTTTGCAGGATCTAAAACAAGGAGCATATCCAAATAAGGATACACTGGCTCATTTTGTTTACTCCCGCATGTCTCAAGTCTTTTTCCGCTCCCTTTAGGCCACTCAACGAGAGCTCCGCTGAAGATCACATTATAAAGATCTTTCTTGATTTTCAAAGATAGATCGTTGGGTATTTGTCTGCATTTAGGAAATTGCCAGCCGCGCAGCAGGAAGGCAAGATATTCGAAAATAGGGATGTCGTTGATGTTAGAATCCTGAGAAAAAATTTGGCAACGCTCATTGTTGCCTGAGTAGAGGTAAACAAAGTCAGCTAAGGGACTCAAGTAATCGGTAAATGCCACGTTCCATAAATATAATAAACCGTCGTAAATTTTATATTGCTGACATGAGCGTATAGCCAGATCAATACTAAGTTGCTGCCATTTGAGCGACAAAATTAATGTTCGAACCATTTGCCTGTCTTGATGGCTCTCGCAAAATGTGAACAGCCGAGAAAGCACAGTAGGGCTCAGTATCGAAACAGCGCCATTCGAAATCTCTTCAATAAGGCACTGTGCTAAAGTATCGCCTTGTTCAGGAGCAGAAGCTTCCAAAATTCCCTCGATGAAGACAAGCTGTTCCCCTTCCTTGACGAAAAGCCTATCGAGCGAAACCACAACGTGAAAAAGCTCTTTCATCTTCGCTAGCTGTATTTCAGGATCGTCATTCGCAGAACTCTTAAGCACATATCTCAAACTCGCAATCGCCAAATTCCTATAGGGAGATTCCAGCTGCTCTACACGTTTAGGTAAATGAGAATCAAGTCTCAGCAAATAAAAGGGTAATCGTTCGTTGGTCAAAAACGATGCTATGCACTTCAGAGCGGAAATGTATAGGGCTCTTTGAACAAAGACTAAAAGTATCTCAGACCAGGACAAAAAGCTACCAATTTTCGCACAGGATGTTGTCAATGCGATCAACTGTCTGTTCAGAAACGTACACGTTTTCTCGTTTGAAGCAAGGAGGTTAATTGCTAAAAGATCCAAAGTCAGTGAGGTGCTCAGTTCAGTTGCGCCCTTTAGCACCACTACCCGTGAAGATGCAGTCATTACGATTAGAGCCTGCGATGAAAGCCAATTAATTTCCGTTAGGGATTCATCACAACTCCAGAGCAACTTTTCTTTAATCGCAGCATGACTCCGATCAGAGTTCCAGGAAAGGCGCAAAACGGTTAAGCGGTCATCAACAGAAAATGCCAGCAAATCATGAAAAACCCAAGATATCCGCGCCATGGTAATGGGCAGGCCGAAATTGTCGTTTCCATGCTCAAGCTGCAATATAGTCTCTTCTTGGTAATATATCACAAAATCTTGACTCGTCACTATCGCTACGAGATTCTTATCCGAACGAAACCCTTTCTCAGCTTTGATGCGGCCAGCGCAAGCCAATAATCTTTTCTCTGGACCATTGAATATTTGTTTAAGCAATCTCGAGGAATAAGTTAACTGCCAAAGACGATTTCGCGATCCGCTATGAATCCAGATCTTCCCAGAATCATCGCTTACAAGAAGCGCGGTATGTCGGGCACCATAAAATTGCAGCGAGAGTACTTTCGTATAGCAATGCTCTTTGATATGCAAAAGGGGTTGAATTGGTGTAGGCTCGCCTTTGTTTCTACCGTCTTTCTCAACAGGGGTTGTCAAATTCCAAATGAAAATGTCACCCGAATCCAGAGCGGCACTAACATGCGTCCCATCGAGAGAGATTGAAATCTTGGCAATTCCAGAAATCGCTTGCTCCTCACTCACTAAAAGTGTGCATTTTAAGATCTGTTTATAGTCGAAGATAAGAACCGATCCTCTCGAGGTTCCAATAGTAAAATAGGCTCGCGCGGGATACACACACTTGGGACGGCCGTATAAAGCTGCAGATTGGTATATTCGTGTTAGATCAGACCATTTGATGGGTTCATTCCCCGTCTTACGAAGTTCTTCAAAGGGGTTGAAATTAGCGAATTCGTCGCTCAAATCCTCAGGCCTTGTATCATGGTCATTGCTTGAAAGGCCTAAGGACTCCAACCAACCATATATCGGCGTGCGTTGGTCGCCTATATCCATATACCTTTTAATCTTTGCGTCTCCCATCTAATTATTGCGAACAGATGAAAGCTTTGAAATCTTTACCATCAAATGTGAAAATTAATCAAAAGTACATAGATAATTATACCCAGATAGCTAGCTTTGGGCTCTACAACTTTTGCATAGCAGCAACGTCAGTGGACTGGACGTGGTCCTCGTCCTCCTCGATGGCTTGTTGCAAGTCGTCTAGAGACACCTTGGCATCCTCAACAACAAGGTTGATTTGTAGCTTCTTAATCCCAAAACCAATTGGAATCCATTGGTGGGCACCCCAGGTCAAACCGTCCATTTCGACAGCCTTGACGTTCGCGACCAGCTCTTCCAAGTCAGTTTCGTCATCCCATGGCTTGACGTCCAAGGTGACAATGGACTTAGCAGCTGGTTTTGGCTTAGCGGCCTTCTTAGCGTTGTAGGCAGCGATTCTCTCGGCCTTCAACTTCTCAGCCTCTTTGTCGACTTCGTCGTCAGAGCCAAATAGGTCGACCTCGTCGTCGTCGTCCTCTTCAGCAGCGGCGGAAGAGCCAGTAGCAGCTGGCAAAGACTCGAATTCAGCCGTCTTGCCACCAATGTGGTTGAACCATCTGCTGAAGTCAGGGAAAGCCTTTTGGAAAGCCTTGTAGGTGGTGACGTCTGCTTGAGAGGCAGATGTACTAAATCAATAAAGTTAGTCACGTGGTCAAAAATTCACGTGGGTCCCCTCGAACCCCTCTAAGCGCAGAATTAGACTTCATCTGCTACCGCGTCGTCCAAAAAATCCTCTTCGTCAGCCATGTATTAAAAATACGTCTTCTTTGTCACTCATACCGGGGGTCTTAATCCCGTCATAAACACGGACCAAAGATTATGATCATCATTCAGAGATGTCTCGACGATGGAGTAGCAAAATTATCATTCAGCGGCCTATTTTTTTCACATACCCTTCAATGTAGGACTTGTCAGCCAAGAAGGTGTTCAATTCCTTCAAGGTGTCAATCTTGGAGAAGTCAGTAAAAGACATTTGTGCTGTTTGAAGATCGATTATTTCTTACATTCTAATGTGTAGAAGCCAGTAATGAAAATTTTTAATTGGAAATATATCATCTGTCGGTGAAAAAAATTCGATAGAAATACATGTGAACGAATATATTGTCGCTTGAGACGGGAGGGCTTTCTCTGATGTTAGGGCTTCTACGTGCCACGATAATGTCAGAAATTGGACCACGACACATCTACAGGCCTGAAAGAGCAGCTATACCAATCGGAACTGGATGTGGCTCTAACAGACGGCGTACTAAGTTCAAGTACTAATTTCAGGCTCTAATTTCGGAGTTTAATTATCGTTTGGTGAGTATTAGGGTGTGAATATTTTCGCCGAAGGCTTGAAATTAATATACTCAAGCACATCACTTGATAAATTAAAAATGGCATGTATTTTTCAGTTGCTTTAACTGGGGCCTCTTCTATTCCTGTGGTGGTAATTTCTCGAAATCGTACTAGTTTCTCTTACAGTGGTAAAGGTATATAACCAAAAAGAGCCAGGAGACACTCACAAGATGCAGAATGGAAAAGTATTCATGAAATACGATGACAGGAGTGTGAAGAATGGTGAATGGATACAATGAGAGAACTAAAGAGAGTGGTTTACCGTTGAAAACTTCAAAAATCACTTTGAACGTAATAGGCGTATAATCAAGATTTCATCGTCGCGGTTTAAGCATATGAGGTTGATTGTACTTTGACAGAATAACAATTCAAGCCACGCATGAGCCAGTCCCTCTTGCCTCAGGCATTCCTGACAAACTTCTACAACAGAGTGCGGGATGAAGACATTACTTTTTTCATCACTGCCCAGCCGACTCGTGGACACAAGAGAGCCAAAGTCATCAATTATGCCGAGTTTGAAACTGACCTTTTAGAAGAGTTTGCAGAAGATGCGGGCAAAGAAAACGGTGAAAACGACGAAGAAGGAGGCAAACCGGGTCCCACCCCGGAAGAAATTGCCAATCGAGATGCTCTACCGGATTTAGACGGTCAAGATGACACGACAAACATTCTGAAGTACCCTCGCATAAGAGAAACGTTTCTACAGGGTAAAATTGCAACGCCTTACAAGATCGAATTTAAAAAACAACTTGCCAGTGACTCGACCCCGGTGATGATACCCATACGGCTAAACGTGGAACACAGCGGCCACAAGATCATCGATTTTTTCACGTGGAATCTAAATGACCATTATCTGAGTCCCGAACAGTTCGCGACCATTTACTGCCAAGACCTCGATTTCCCAGTAACCTCAGTTATTCATAGTCAGATTGTCTCCGCGATTAAAGAACAATTACAGGAATACTCGACATTGGCTTCCATGGTTATGCCCGATCTACATGTTGTTGTGAACCTCACATGTAATCTTGATTCTAAACTATACGAAGATAATTTTGAATGGGACATGAGCGACACATCTTTCACACCTGAGCAATTTGCCTGCATTGTGGTACAGGACCTTGGGCTAACAAGGGAGTTTGCGCCTGCTATATCTCACGCCCTTCATGAGACTATTTTACGCATAAAAAAGGATTGGCTTGAGGGTCATATAAGTCCTGACCAGGTGCCGAATGGGGCAGCCTTTGGCTACCTTTCCGGTATTCGGTTGGACGTTGAAGCTCTGGGAGCTGAATGGTGTCCGAAAGTCGAGGTCTTGTCCCAATGGGAGATCGAAAAACGTGAAATTGAAAAGGAAAGGAATATGAGAAGACTAAAGAGAGAAAGTGCAAAAGTAGAAGATAGGGTCAGTAGAAGGCGCGGGAAGAGAAGAGGTGATGATTTAGAAACCACTCTGCGTATGTAATATAGATGACGGCTAGTCTGTCGGCTGACTTCTCCGCAAGGACTGTATATCTTTTGACGAACAATTTTAATGTAAACAACAATCGTTTTGGGTCAGCAGAAGCAGATGACTGATGAAATAGAGAATCTCATTGAGGAGTTTCTCTCTCAAGGTCTTTTGACCTACGCATTGCGTCCCGACGGGCTAATGGAGATCACCGCACCAGATGCCGAAAACAATGACGGCTTGAAAAAAGACGTTGAAGCTCTATATAATGCTGTGCGGGTCAGAGATGAATCTACGCGACTTGAGATCGATTCCAGGGTATGTCGTTTCGTTCGTGATGTGGCAGATAAATCTCGAGAAAACTTCGAGATCATACAGCTGAGTGACTCCATCTCTATGGAAGAATTGATTTCCGCGCTGCAAACAGCGAATAACCTCATTTCCCATAAACTTTCTGACATAAATTTGGCAGCCGAGAAAAGTGTCCAACAAATTGAAGAATTGACTGAGATTACTCGATTTCATTATGGTCAGCGCACTGACGACGTCGAGGTCATAGCGGCGACACTGAAATCACTAATTACTGAGGCTGAAAAAGGCTTTTAGCAACATACACGAGGTTCGATTTCAGGTAATTCAAACTCATCTCCAATCCACTGGAAAACCTCGTATTTTGAATTCAGCCGACGGTTATCGTGTATGCAATATCCATCGCCGCTATCTGGCCGCAGAGATCCGCTTTTTCCCATGGATTCGATGAAGATACATCTTTTGATGCGGGAGTGAATGAGTGCCATGGCACACATTGAACATGGCTCGTGAGTCGTATAGACATCAAAGTTTAGACAGAGGTAGGTTTCGGTTTCTCCGGAGGTCTTTAGAGCATTTTCTCTTCTTTCTTGTTCTTGTTCAGCTACTTGTCTGATTGCTCTCATGCAACTATGACTTAGCTCCGAACCATCTTCTCTTCCATCACTCATGTAAATTTCTTCCCCATCTACGGGATTCACAAATGCACTCACGACAGGTATTTTAGAGTGGTTGTTTGCAGCAAGGCTTCGTGATTTTTCGGTGATGTTCTGTAAGACGCTTTTTATCTTGTCCATATCGAAAGTGTAACTATTAAGCTCTTGATCATTCGGGTTTCCTCTCCATATGAGAGGCCAATATTTCGCTGACCATTCCATAAAAAGCTTCTTAGTACCTGGTCCCTGAATTGGTACCCAAATGGGCTCATCAAGCTTTAAGTAATCGAATTTGACATTCGCCATGAGCTCATCGAAATCGACTTCTTCATTAATAAGTTCGAAAGAACATACAAGAACGGTTAAATAACCCGATCTATGACTTTTCTTAATTCTTTTGAGATGCAGAAATGATACCGGATCCTTCTCTTGAACATCGTCCCGTAAGAATTCTATCAGGGCTTTGCTACTTCGAGCATTTATCTCAATGGCCCAAACTTTAACCAAATATGGCTCTGTCGAATCAGTTTCTTTCCTTATCTGCAGAAGTTTATCTTCTATAACACATTTCTCGAAGTCGATTTTGAGCGGGTTTTGCTTCTTCTTCACCATTCTCGACCACTAGTCATGAGTAAGTTGATCTAATTGCATTTCTTGATCTCATTTTTTTTCGATAAATGGCATTTCGTTAATTCTACATTGGTGATATTCATCTAATAAAACATTGTCATCTTGGATGCCAAAAATATAGCTCTATGAGATGTCTTAGACAGTTCATTACGGAAGAATGGGGCAATTCAGGACAATCTAAAGATTTCCAAGAGCGATTGAACGCGATTGTTGCTACTGGTGGGATTGATATTGTGAAGGTCTTGGATAATTGCCAAGTAATACCTAACAGATTGCGAATTAATTGTCCATTCATTCTAGCAGATTCTCATGGAGAATTGGTGGACAAAATTATTATCTACCTGATTCAAAGTGGAGCTTCTAATAATGTTTTATCGGGAGGTTATAAGATAGCGAGGAATGAACAGATCAATAGATCTGTTCATTGCGAAGCAACAAATTCGAGTGTCAAAAAACTTAAAAGTGGAGCTTGGCGTGCCATTGCTGGTGTGCTGGGCCCTGAGCTGTTTACCGAACTTCTGATAAATCATAGCATTTTTGAATCCCATGGAACTCATATGAACCAAATATCGGGCACTCAGCCCGACAAACGGGGGCTTTCTGATGTACAAGATCTTACCAGCGGTAAAACAATTCGCAAGTGCGCATCATTAGAACCGCTTCTTTACAAGGATAAACAAACTGGGACAGCTTTCTCAATCCTACCTACAAATGCAACACTCTGGCTAGAGGACGTTTTGAAAGATGCCAAGCTCATGGCTCGCGATCTCGATGCGGTGAATATAGCGCGACTTCGTTTTCTATTTTCAGTGGCCGTCAAACGTCATAAGAAACTGAATTACCGCGCAATTGTTGATAAACTCTGCCCAGGAAATTGGCCCGCAAATGCGCAGTCTAATTTTGATTATCAGACTGACAAAAAAAACGTTGTCAAGTTTATCGTGGCGGCCACAAACAATTTGTTTCCGTATCAATTGTTTGGAAATAAATCAAATCGTTCCAAAGTTTACGCGAAGCTGGCGGTATTCTTGCAGCTCAAGGTAAATGAGGAACTTCCATTCCAAATTATAACTCACAAATTTCGCTGGAAGGAGTTATCGAAGAGTAACGTTTTACGTGAACGTGGACCGCGTGCCCTTTCAATTAACGTTGAAATCGGTGAAGCTTTCATCCGTTTTGTGTTCAAAAATTTCATACCACGCCTGTTGAAGGCCTTCTTTCATGTTACTGAAGAACTCTTGACTAAGAAGGCAATTTTCTTCAAGCATGAGACATGGTCTCGCATGACAAGACCATTTCTTCAGAATTATACGCTGAAATACCTGAAAACAAAGTCTCTCAGTGGTCACCTAGTGGGGGACAGATTTTCGAGTTCTCCTTCTGGGTCCCTACGTCTGATTCCAAAACCTTCTTTAGGCTGTTTTAGAGTTATCTATGTTTCCGCAAAATGTCGTAATATGGAAGAAAAGGCATTTTGGAGAGAGTACCAGAGGCGCAAGTTGAAACCAACACTTTGCATTCTCAATCACTTGAAGAAAGTGCATTTTCCAGAATCGACGACTCTGAAATCGCCAAACGATATACCCGAACGCTTGCGTCATTTCAAGAACTCATTTCTTCAGGAAGGTAAATCATTGTCAGATTTGCATTATATTAAGTTTGACATCAGGGACTGTTACGACTCAGTACCTGTTTCCAAAGTTCATTCACTCATCCTCGATGCCTTTAAGGAAGAAACTGACTTTGTTGTTCGTTCCGGATTGGTATTTACGCCAAGTACTGAAAAGATTCGTAGAGTCAAAAGCATTAATGGTTCCAGCAAATATATTCGAAACACGACATATGTTGATCATTCGGCGGCTATTCACATAACTAAGGAGGTGTTGCTCGATGTTGTCAGGAGAGAACTCTCTGAAATACAAATAAACATTGGAGGTAATCGTTTCGTTCGCAAAGAAGGAATTTTTCAAGGAGCCGCATTATCTGCAACGTTCGTTGATTATTTGTATGAGGACTTGGTATCGCATTACGATGAATTCCGCCAAGAGAAAGGTACCAGCTTACTCTTGCGTCTTGCCGATGATTTTTTGATGATCTCAACTGAAAGTAGTCAAATTAACAAGCTGAAGAACCTTGTCAAAAAGGGATTTCCCGACTACAATGCCATCGTCAACGAAAGCAAGGTCCAGTATTCCGGTGGGCTACCTCACGAGCATATCATAAAGTTTTGCGGATTAAACATAGATTCCCGATCTCTCGATTGTTACAAAAGCTCAGAGATGCTTAATGTCACGCGCTTTTACTCACTGTCGGCGAATGCGATCTATGCTTCATTGTTGAACACGTATCGCCGGCGACTGATCGGTAATCTATTCATCTTCGAATTGAATAGCTGGTCATCTATTTTGAAGCATTTGGAAGCCAATGTTGCCAATATCGCCGAGTCTTTTGTAAGGTCAACTAAGTACCTAGATCTCGAGCTTCACACCTTCAAAGCGTTTTATGACGAAATGCTATCGGTCACTTTGAGGCTTTGTTTGCGGGGTAATGTCAGTTCATCCAGAAAAAAGTTGGTAGAGACCGCTATTGAACAAATAATATGGAGAAGTGTTGTCGAAAAGCTTCCTTTTAACCAAGTTATGCCACTCAGGACCCTGGAACTGATTGATGAGTTCTGAAAATGAGGAACGACCCTTACAGAAAAGCTTTCAACGAATACTCGCCGTCTGGAAAGAAGCTTTTATATTTTCTTGATCTTTTTGTTTTCTAGCCTTTTCTATTTCTGCAATGCCTCCAGCCTTCTTAAAGCTCCCCTTTCCGACAAAACTTCCCAGCTCATCTTCAAAATCAGTGGTCTCTCCGAAACCTCTCTCTCTTAGCCTGAGCCTCTCCGCTTTTTCGATCGCCTCAACGCGACTGTCGTGATCAGGTGCTAATGACTGAACCTCCAAGAGCACAGCTTCCCTAACTTGATTGAACGTCCCTGGTTTTGGTATAGGTAGTAAAGGTTTTCCTCTTGCCCTCTTGGGGTTTTTCTCCTGCTCCTCACAACACATTTTTACAAGGTCAAACGTTTCGATAGCTTTTCTAAGATCTTCTCCGAAGTCAAAGGCCAAATCTTCCTGCAGCTTTAAAAATTGTTGCTCTTCGCAAACTTTTTCAAGCTCACTTTCCCATATTCTCTTCCAATTGGGTTTCTCAGTTTCAATGTAAGAGTTCATGGTTCGCAACGCATCATCAGCTCCTGTGATTTCCAGTGAAACTGCCTCTATCTTCTTCTTTGAGGGCTTTGATCCTCTCACCGCTACGTCTTTCCTCATTGCCTCGATAATATCCTGCAAGTCATCAACTTTACCCAACAATTCATCTGACACTTCAGATAACTTACTGTGAGCTTTCTCCATGTAGACTCGATTGGCACTTGTGGAAGCATGGAATGACAGCGATCTAAACCTTTCAAGTTTTTGCGACAAGATAGCGATATTAGAATGCAAATCTTCGCTATTATTTGTATGGAGTTGCTTCAATACCGACAAGTCATGCTTTAAACCTTTGAAGTTTGGATTTTTAAAACTATTGGATCTTGATGTGCTCTCTTCAGCAAGTTTGCCACCGTTTCTATCAGGCATTACAGCTATTCCAGTATCAGTGGTGCGGAAACTTTTGAAAAATGCCTGCTGTTGAACCAAAAGCTCTGATTTTAGCTTCGAAAATTCTTCTGCCAGATTTAGCAAATCATTACCACCTACGTTGGGTTCTGTAGGGACTTGAAGTTCGAGTAAAGATCCATTCTTGATGCGTGGCAGTTGCACTTCCTCTAATTCGTAAGGAACTTGATCACCAGGTTCTTGGATATAAATCTCGGGGAACGCGGTCTCTCCCGGTGTGTAAGTGAATTTTTCTAAGAACAAAAGCCTCAAAGTATTAAAATTTATGGGCTGAGACGCAGAACATTTTTTCGTTTTATTCCCAATTCTCAGCAAAAGTTGAATTGTTCCGAAAGTAGGAGTTTTTTCTGCTGAAATTCCCGTAACTCTTTGTGTAGTTGCGGCTAATTCATCTTTTAATTGCTTAGCAGAGGCTTGATCGGTGCCCTGTGGAGATAGATTTTCCACACCAACAGCTAGGCCTGGTACTGGTACTGGCGTCATGTTAGGAGCATCTGAAACGGCATGATGGGCAAGCTTAGCCATATGATAGGCAGAAAACCTCTTAGAAGCTCTTCTTTGAAGCGTATCGCCCTTTTTGAGACGATCAAGTGCTCGACTGGACTCTCCCATTTGCTGAGAGGAACCCGAAGACCTTCGTAATGGAGTACTTACAGCCGCTGGACTGCGAACCTCAATATGTGTGCCATTATCTTTCGCATCTTCAAATGATTCCGGAAAAGTAGCAGAAGAAGCTCTTGCCTGACCCGTTGGTGTTACCGGTAAACTTCTCGATCCTACTTGTTGTTTCAAATTTCTCATTAAAGCTTGTTTCACTTTCAACTTATCCAATAAACTTACAATAATCTCTCGAATACTAGGCAAGTACCGATCTAGTACTGCCTCCGACGGTGTTTCCCTAAGTGCAACCTCAAGCACTTTTCTTAGATTCATTGGAACATCACCCAAATCCGTAACATCCAGTCCAGAATGCGAAAAATGCTTCGAAACCAATTTAAAATCGTTACCAAGTTGCACGTATGCATCAGACACATTTCGTTCATTTGCTTGTCCCTTGGACCACTGTGTCAACCGTTGGAGTAATTGTTTTGTTGACATCAACAATCGCGTCACACTGCTATCCACAGTAGAAACACTTTTAGAGGTGGAGGACGATGGTTTCATGGACGGATTTGATGAAAATGGTGAATTGCTTCTAGAATCATCTTGAGATTTTGCGGGCATCCGATATTTCTCAGGTTTTATAGTCTTTTATATGTCTTGTTTCACTAGCCCAGTGATAATTAAAGTAGAACCTTTTTTCGAAATCCAAGTAACCTTCTCTCGTAAATTGAAACACACATGGATGAGAGTTCAACTAAATCTCTTATATCAGATTCAGAGGTTGAAGAATGCGAGACGATCTACTGGAATGCACAAAACAATTACTCGATAGCAGAAAGTTTCCTTCCATTGGGATCTGTGGGCGATGAGGAGAGCAGTGTAGTTTCTTCAACTGTAGTGAACAATGCAATTTACGACAAGAAGACTCGTAGACGGCTACGAGAGAGAACCGCGATTCAACGAAACCCTTACAAGATTGATAAATTGAATTACAAATTTTTGTTTGATGGACTTGATGCAACAAACAATGAGGGATGTAAAAGGTCGGCTAGGAAAGATTCTTCAGCGAAATCGAAGCAAGACGTGGACGTATCTCAAAATTTGTTGGAAGATACGCAGGATTGGCTTGACTTTTCTGTAAGTTCTGACGAAAGTTTTCGTACCGACTTTTCCGTAGATGGGAGGTTCAGCGGAGACGAAGCAGAGAAAACTGGATATGAGACATCGAGTACGATACCATCCATCGCTCGGAATACTAAAGTTGCAAGTTCAAACGACTTTCAGAAGCCGGGAACAATACATCCGTCATCCCAGTTAGTGGTAGATCACGTAAATTTGTTCAGCGGTGCGTCACGCCCCAAGAAGGACGCACTAGACCGGCTTAATATAACCGATCGTCATTCAGAGCCTATTGGACAAAATGAAGAAACACACGATGAAAATTTGTTTATTAGTCGTCCTGATATTGAAGTTATTAGCGATAGTGAACCATTTTCCAACGCAACTGAGGCCAAAGAAGTTAGCCATGAAATTAATTTCATGCTTGACAGACCAAAAAGGAAACACGAAACTGCTCGTCGTCTTCGTCGTCGATACCATCGTGAAAAGCAGTCAAACATTGTCAATTCGTTGGCCCGCACTAAAAAAAAACCCGGGTCTCATCAAATCAAGCAGCGTTCTGCAGGTACGAGATCAAATTTTGGTTTGACGAACCCCAAGAGGACCATAAAACGAGTCAAAACTCAGCGATCGGAACGATCTAGAGAAACAAGTGGACGAAAAAATAAAGAATCTTTACAGCATTACTTTAAACCTGTACCCGCGCTTACACTTCAAGCCAGTGAAATAACCCAACACACAAACAAGAGAAACAGGCAGTTTTTTGAAACTGTTGTCGAGAACGAGGCGTCTGAATTTACTGTATTGCATTCAAACGAACGCGCCTATCCTGAGGACACTCGTTTTCATACTCCATCAAGGAGCAAATCTCGGTCTGACTCCATAATACCGATAATAATCTCAATTGTTAACGACGAGCCTCTAGATCCATGCCAATCATTCACGGCCTCTTTGTCTGGTAAACGGTATACCGTTTCCAAGTTCTCACCGATCTGCATTCAAGAGATCCGCCAAATTTTTGAACATATCATCAAATTGGGAGCATCTGAAATAGAAATATTGAAGCTCGCCCGATTCCTGTTATTATTTTGCAATTTATGCGACCTTCCTGATCTCAAAAATGCCGTTGAGTCATTCCACATCGAATTCCGATCAAAGGTCAATTCTTTGAGGGATCGTGCCAAAGCCGTGCATTTTTATCAGATCGCAATTTGTCAAGTTCTGTTGTTTCAAGTCTCAAAATTCAACAACATACCGTCAAGCGTCAGACAAGAATTACAATCAAAGATAATTGACAATACGGTTGCCTGTGTCAGGCTTCTTTCAAAATGCTATGCTAAGGCGACAGCTGACGATATAAGTTTGCTCAAGGATAGCATGCAAATGTTAGGCATCCTCTTAACTAAGCAACAATTGACCATCTCATTTTGGGAAAGATTGTCTGCGTTTTCTTTACAGTCTGAGCTGCTGCTCTTCACACTAGAGATGTTCCCGGTACATCATACTTTCTGGAATGCTTTGGATATTGGTGGTAACTCTTTCAATTCAATGTCGTCAAATATTCTCTTTGTGGAATCGGCTTTGAATACGCACTTGTGGAAAGCCGACGACTATCTGTTGCTCCGACTCTACGAACTGTTTAAGAGAAGAAAATTCACAGATTTTGAAGAAGAGAGATCAAAAATGAGTTCTGATGCTGCTATCATCTCGAGCCATCTAGACGTAGGGCCAGCAACTCTTTTTAACAGATTTTTGGCTATAGTGAGCACTTCAAACTTATCACAGGCCATGATTGAGAAAATGACTCCCCTGAGCGAACTAACAACTCATGATAGTGAGACCTTGCTTGTCAATCGGATTAATTTGCTAATAGTATTGGCTCGAAAATCTAGGAAGAGTCATGAAAAACAGCTAGAGAGTCTTGTTTCGCCTTTTCTTGCAGGGGACAAGCAGCCCAGAATGACCGAACGTTCTTTTATTTCAATTTTGAGTGGTGTCTCATCCCTTCTTGAATTGAACTCCTCTAGGGACGTGCCATTCAAAGGAAGAATTCTAGTGTCATTGTGTCAGGTCACCGTGAAAGCGCATCGCCCCGGGTTAGACAACCAATGGAATAGTTTTTTGACTCAAATCCCATCCTTCGTTGAAAAGATGGGTAAAACGAAAGGCGTTTTTCTCAAAGGCTGCTTTCCCACTTTAACATGCATGATTGAGGACCGAACAAGATTCGTAACTTTGACATCAATCTTTTCGTTATATGCCAATAACGTTGAAAGCTTGGAAGCTCCTTGGGTTCAGACGCATCTCTATCAATTTCTAATTACCAATGCTCCCAAAGACGTTCGCTTGCTCGATCCTTGTTGCAAAGTGATGAACTATTTGGTTGGCGAGAATAGGCTAACTTGGTGGTCCATTCTCAGTTACAATCCTTTCGGCGAGCAAGATGATATAAAGCTACAATTTTTAACAAAACTGTTGACGTATTGTGGCAGAACGGTCTTTGAACAGATCAAATTTGCACTTTATCAAGTTGTAGTGGAATTGTTGTTGAGGCGAGCAGACTCCCTGTTTGTCAAGTATCTGCTATCACTTGCGGGAAAAGATGAGAACTTTAAACCTCAAATCTATGGGTTTTCATTTGTCGGGCACGTTGAATTGATATGCAAGGTTTTGAGGGCTTTCGAAGCTGCAGGATACGTCAATCTGATCAAAGACTGTGTTAAGAATTTGAAAGTTGACTTTCTGCAACAGCCAAATAAAAGAGATCTCCATGCAAGAATTATGGAATTCATCAATTCAGGTTTCTTCGATAAAGTGAAGGCGGAAGACGATTTTTTGTATCTCAAAGAGCAGTTTAATATTTCCAACGTCGAAACGGAAAAAAGCGCGTTTCGAGAATTACTGAGAATGAAGACTAATGATTTTGAGAGGGCGTTCTTAGTTCAAGATCGATTGGTCCAATCTTTCAAGAACAGGGGAAATTTTTTGGCCTTTGTTGACGCCTTAAAGTGCTCTTTTGCCCAAAATGTCTATGAAAACGACATTACATTTATTTGTTCCCTCATTCAGGTGAACGCAATGATCAATTGGAATACAAGATCTGATATAAACTGGGCTCTTCTCTCAGTGTTGGTTGGCATCATCAACAAAATGATGGGCGATCAATGTTGCCAGGTTAGTCCAAGCGAGTTTTTACCATTAATACAGTTGCACCAGCTGCTTTGCCATGGCTTCTCAAGAACACTAGTGATTCGAAAAAATTCACTTATCTTGAATTTTTGGGTTGAAATGTGCACTTTTATGCGACGTATACTTATGCTCGCTTCTGGGTTTGCAGAGTATGATTCTCTTATAGAAGATACAAGGCTATTTTTGTCTCGTCCTGTCGCCGAAGCAAGTTTCTGGCAGAAAATGACAAGTCCGTTATTCATTTCGGCGAAAGTAACGCTAAAACACGCGGAAAAACTCGATCCTGGAGCCTGTATAGAGAAGACACCTGAGCATGTTTTGCGGGACAAAACTGACGCTCTCATTTCACAATTAAAGGTTTTGACGAGTTATCGACATTAAATTCTGTCCTGTTAAGGGTGTTCGTAGAATTCCATTCAAACTTTTACATTTATAAAAATATAAATAATGCATTTCAACTTATTTCGTTAGTAGCAGATTTCTCGGCTTCATGTTTGTCGAGCTGCTTCTTTATATCAAGAAGCGTCATAACTCGCTTTAATAAATCCTCCTGCTTCTGGACTATAGCAGCTGTTAGCATAGCTGGCCTCGATGGCAGTCCAAGCTCTTGTAACATGGCATTTACTTTGTTTTGGACGGCAGGTTTAAAGACGGGGAGTTTACTTGAGCGGAGAAACACACCTGGCGTTAATTTTTCTCCATGAGCCTGTACTCCCAGTAAACTTCTTTCTTCTGGGGTAAAATTTTGAAGCAGATGTTCAGCATACTCGCTATCGGCCTTTCTTTTCATAGCGTTCTGCATTTCTTGTCTTTGTTTCTTGGTCTTTTTATTTGCTTGCGTTGCGAGATTAGCCGCGGCCTCTTTCTTCCCGTCTTGCGCCTGTTGCATCTGTTGCCGTTGTTGAGCGAAATGATGCTGTTGTTTCATCCACGGATTCTCAGGAGCATTTGCATCATGTTTACGTTTCCGACTTTTATCCACAAGGAGACTGTTGTATAACTGGGTCAAACCTTGAGAGCTCAAGTATTGGACGACTGGTTTTTCTGAGTTCGGAGAGTCCAATAATCGCAGTATTGCTTCTCTTTCGCTCAAAGTTTTCTTGGCAGCCATTTCATATTTCTTGGACTCAATAATAAGTGCTTCTTCCTCTGCGATTTCAGCAGCAGTGCGAGACAAAAGTCTTGCCAAGTAGTTTTTACGTTCAAGTTCACGGCCTTTCGAGAACTTCAGTGACGGCAGAAGTGGATTTTCGGGCTCCTGTTTGATAAAATATCGTTCACAAACGAGATAAAATAATTCTTTGAGATCTTCGAGGCTTCGTTGTTTGCTGGATTCATAACGGTCATAAATGACAAACCAGCGTAAATCGTACTTGCGACAAGAATTGAACAAATTATCAATTTCATCAAACGTCCATTCTTTCAGGGCTACTTGTTCCTTTTCGTCCCCCATAAAGTCCTCATATTCTTCTTGAGAGAACGTCGGAATGCTTAACTTGGTGTTGAATTTGTCAAAAGTTCTTGGTTGAGGTTGTTCTTCGATCAACTCTTTAGATCCTTTCACCCAGTGTCTCAACTTGACGGACGATGCCGTCTCGAACTCTGCCAGAGTCCAGGGCGACGGCTTCGACAGTGCATTTAATTTGTCTTTGAATTTACTGCCCTTTTGTACAGTCAAAGACGGTGAATTGTCCCCCAATAAATTGTACAATTCTCGCTGCATACCTGTCATTTGCGGTTTCGGTAATCGACTTGCACCGGGTGTAGTACTCGTTGACGGTGGACTGCTCGATTTCGGCTGTTGAATATTTAAAACATCGAAAATATCAGATGAGGACATGGTGAAATAATGGTACTTCTAGTCTTCCAGTTCGCTCTAGCTTTCTTTTTGTCCCCTTCTAGGTCCTCGTAGCTTCCTCAGAAGTTCCTTATAGCTTCCTTATAGCTTCCAGTATCACTAGCTCTTGATGGTGATGATGATGATGATGATGATGATGACGGCTATCTCAATTTTCAAGTCCCCCATCTTCAAATGAAACCGAGACAATGATCAACTTAAACATCAAAACCATCAACAGAGGCGGAAGGGCCATGTTTAAGGTCAAGATCAGATCTCCTAGAGCTTTCAATTCACAAGGTGCAACTGAATTTAATGATCAATGGCCTTTTTTGGAGAAAGCGATCTTTGAAATATTCGATGGAAGAACGCACCAATTAAGTTTTGAAAAGCTTTACAATGTTGTCTATGGAATGGTTTTACGTCGAAATGGTGCAGAATTGTACGAAAATGTGCGTGCTACGTTGAGAAGTTTGATGATTGCGGCGAGAACTGGTGAATTGGCCAGGAATGATCCCGACTTGCTTGAGAAATTGGTAAAAGTGTGGGAAAAACAATGCGAGAGTCTTCAAGCTGTCAGCGATGTGATGATGTATTTGGATCGCGTGTTTTGTAAAGAAAACCGGCAATTGTTGATTTTTGACATGGGACTCGAACTTTTCCGTGACGAAATAGTCAAACCGTTAAATGGGTCTGTCAAACGGTTGTTTATTGAAAATTTGAATGAGGTTCGATTGCAAAGGTCGGAGGCGAAGCTGAGACTATTGAAATCGACCGTATCGATTTTGGAATCTCTGTCAAAAGATGACGATACTTACTATGTCAAAGAGCTAGAACCTCACATCCTGACTGAGACGACGAATTATTACGATAACTTCGTCAAGTCGCATAGATATACGCCGTCACAGTACTTGAGCCAAATACGTGAGCTTTTCGAACTGGAAAATCAATTGGACACCGAGATTTTGAATAAGGACACAACAGTAAAAGTGAGAAATGCGATGAAAGACGTTCTTATCACGAAAAACAGTTCCTTTATTATTGATCAGGGTTTACCGGCAATTATCGAGGCTGAAGATTTGGAGTCGCTCAGTTTACTTTTCGAGCTTTGCGAAAAGTCTTCGGACAGAGCCAATCTTTTGAAGACTCTTTCTAAGCGTATTATTGACGAGGGATCGGCCATCAAAGTAGAGGACAACCTAAAAAAAAGAGCTATACCTGCTATCAAATGGGTTCTTCAAGTTTTGAGACTGAAGGAAAAATACAATGGGATTTTAAGCGCTATTGGACAAGACAAACTCAAGACCGCAAGTTCTGTCGATGCAGCTTTCTCATTACTGTTGAACCATCACCACAAAAAGACCGCCGAATTCTTGTCAACGTACATTGACTCGGTTCTCAGATCTGCAGAAGAATCACGAGTGCCATTGTTAGACGAAGCCATTGGCATTTTTAAACTTTTGAAAGATAAGGACGTGTTTGAGAAGATATACAAACAGCAGCTCTCTAAGCGACTTTTACAGGATAGGTCTCAACTGGAGCTGGAAAAACACATGATAGAGAAAATGAAGCAGGAAATAGGAGCTTCGTTCACGTCCAAAATGGAAGGAATGATTCGAGATCTTCTCATTTCGAAGGGATACGAGAAGAAATTCCGGCAAGATTACACGGTTCCAGTAAATTTCAAAGCAAACGTATTGACAACAACGTGCTGGCCATTTAGAAATACGGACAGCTTCCAAGACATTCAACTCCCGGAAACTCTTGAACGATTAAAGCTGGATTTTGAGAACTTTTTCATCAAATCTCATACCGGCAGAACATTACGTTGGGCGTATCATTTAGGTTCAATGGACATTGGGTGTCAGTTTGCAAAAGATTACTATGTTATTTCTATGTCCGTCTACGCAGCGACCGTCTTGTTGTTATTTGAAACTCATAGCCAATTGACAACAGAAGAGATCGCAGATCTTACATGCATACCTTCTGAGGAATTGACAAGGCAATTATTTTCCATTTCTGTACCGCCCAAGACGAGAATTTTGAAGAAAAGGCCGATGAACAAAAACATAGCACCCACGGACATCTTCACATTCAACCACGATTTCACAGCCGCGACGAAAGCAATTAAAATTTCAACGGTCTTTATGAAGGGAGATTCCAGTTTGCAGGGTTTGAGCTCTTTACAAAACCCAATTCAGGAAGCAATGGAGGACAGGAAACTTCTAATAGATGCTTTGGTTGTTAGGGAATTAAAAGTACCCAGATCCATCAAAGAACGCGACCTCTTCGTCAAAGTTCAAACCAAGCTAGCCAATAAGTTCGAATTGTCTCCCAAACTCCTGTCGGAAAGTCTTGCGCGCCTGATAGACCGGGAATATGTGCAACGAGACTCCGAGGATACTGCTTGCTATCATTATTTACCCTAAATAGTCCCAGATTGACTTTTCAATATCCTATCCAAATCTTTAGCCCTTCTCGCGGCTCCATGTGTGTTTTCGCCACACACTGCGCAATTGGCGGTTTTTTTAGCCGACCGCATGAAACACTCCTCGCAAAAATAGTGTCCGCACGCGGTAACGATGGGTTTCTTGTAATCCTGTTTACAGATAACGCATTTAAACGGTATCTTCTTAAGTACCTCGATATCTTTGTCTTGTTCGATTTTCCAGTCTTGATTGAGTTTCCAGCCCGTTTTGAAATCGTCTCGCGAGTGTAAAAACTTGCAGCTATCTCCATAGCCACAGTAACCGGTTTGTTTGAAATCTTTGCATATGTCAGGTTGATAATCCATCAAGAGGGTCGTTTTGATGCTTCCGATTTTCCTAGTTGGATCAATTTCGGATTTTGTTGGTTGGCCAGACGCCGGCGTGTCCCCACGGGAATTATAATGGTCATCCTTATCAGCTTCATCGGTCCCAATGTCACCGTTCTCATTGGCATCAGCGCCATCGCCACCGTCACCATTTTTCTCGTCTAAGTCATCATTCAGATCCCCAAACAAGCCCGTCCCCCCCCCACTTTGTTTCTCTTTCACTGTTTCACCTTCGCCATCATCGTATTCTACCTTTCTCCTCTTCCTAGCATCGCTACCAGCCTTCAAAGTTCTCTTCTTGAACATCGATAAGTTTCTCGATTTCCAACAAGATTTCTTGATGGGATGATAAAAGCTCGTTAAATTAGACAAACCTATCTACGCAAGACATTAACAATAGTGGAACAGCCTTTATGCCAAGAGAAAACTGCAGGAATGAGTGAGCATTCAAAGGAAACCGAGACTAGAGCTCAGTTTATTGAAGAACCCGAAGCGAGATTGGGTGGGGCCAAAAAACGGACTTTGAAAAGTGCCATTAAAGGTGCCACTAGCAAACAGGACGGATTTGATGAAGAAACGGTACAATCGTCACCGCTGTTGACATCGACACCTCCGACGGTGTCTAAGACTTTAGTGCACTTGTACCCTTATTTGATTACGGTAAACAAAGCGCTGAGTGTGATTACATGGACGAACGATGACATATGGCCTAGCGTTTTAATGGTCATCACTTACATTTCTGCCGTTCTTTACATCGACAACTTGCTAAAATATTTGGGCCACATGGCGCTGGTGGGGGTACTGTGGTGTTATTCGATGCTAAACGATTTTGTTGAGGAGTCTGTTAGAGAATATCCTACGCTGGACGATATCATACATATCATCACGTGTGTGACTGCGAAGGCTGAGCTATTGTTGTCACCAATTGCAATTTTGAGCGGTAACGATATCAAACGGCTTTTGTTTACTACGGTATTTTTGTCACCGATTTACATGATATTCACACTTTTCATTCTACCACCACGGAGGCTGATTTTGGTTGGTGGTGTTTACATGCTTACGTATCATTCTACGTGGTCCCGTGTGATGAGACGGTTGTTGTGGAAGTTTAAAGCGGTTAGACTTTTGGCCTTTTATATCACGGGTCTGGATTTGGGCGGTGTCAATAAAAGTCATGGCATTTTTGCCGCTGTTCAGAACAAAGTGATGAAGATGTCGTCTGGGAAAAATGCTACAGATGACGGTAAACCTATCAGGTTTACGTATGTGCTGTACGAAAATCAGCGGCGGTGGTTAGGTATTGGCTGGACCTCAAACATGCTGAGTTACGAGAGGGCCGCGTGGACAGACGAGTTCATGAATGAGGCACCACCACCAGATCAATTCAAGCTACCGGAAGAAAACATGGGCCTCTCTTGGAGATGGATAGATCGTACTTGGAGACTAGACATGACAAATGACGGTGCCATTCAACTTTCAAGTAATCGGCCCAAGACCACCGCACAGCCGAACTCAGATGACGGATTTATATTTTACGATAATACTTGGAAAAAACCTTCGACAGAAGATTCGTTTTCCAAGTACACAAGAAGGAGGAGATGGATTCGCATTGCAGAACTTATAAAAACGGATATTTTGAAAATTGACGACAACTTGCCTCTAAGGTCGAGCGCTGACACCTCAGTCCAACACGTAGAGGTCCAAGGCGATACGAATGGCACCAGTCGTCTTTCTGGAGAGAGCTCGACGGTTTTGAACAACGTCAGAGAATTAGAGTCGTACCAAAGAAAAGTATCCTTCAGCGATAAGAAGGATGTGCACATAATTGATCCTCGCGGCAGCCTTGGCGTGGAACATATCAAGCATGAGGTAGAAGACAACGAAACAAATCCTTTGGTCTTAGAAGATGCCGTTATCGAGGACATAGTCGACAAACAGACTGGCCCAACAACGTCCGGGTATAGCAGCAAACCCGAGGCGTAAACTTCTCAACGGCCAGTGGGGAGATCATAACTAATTAATATATATCAAATAAGATATGGTGCAGAGCACGTTGTGGTATTGAGGGTAGTTTATTGAGCTTTGCGCAACAAGTGATGCGAAATACATTTGTACCCGAACACCTCACCTCCTTGTGCAGCCCACTTCCTCGTAGCAACATAACCCCAGCCCCGGCCTCATCTCAATTTAGTTGTAACAAATGCATTTCATTTTATTAGAAATATACTTCGGGCATTTAACATTATAAATTCCCACCGCCAACATAAAGCGTGCAAACCTCCGCTTACAATTTGTTAACCTTCAAAGTTGGTGGCAAAGATTGAACCAACTTCTTAGCCTTACCAGCGTCGTTGACGGTCAAGGTGTAAAGGTATCTGGAACCTCTAACCTTGAATTTGGTTTGTCTGAAAGCCTTACCAGTCTTGCTCAACTTCTTGTTCACCTTGACGGTGGCAGACTTAACGTCGGCTCTTCTGGTCAATTCCAAGAATTCCTTGATGTCGGTAACTTCCTTAGCCATTGCTGTGCTCACGGTCTTGGAAAATAGAGGGCTCAATTGGCAACGAATGCTATTAAGTGAATCGCCTATACTTTGTCGAAATTTCAGCGAGTCGTCGTTCGCTGAGATAATGCTGGTCTTCGGTCTCTTCGAAAGACAAAGTTTTTGGTAGACGGGAAAAAAAATCGAAAATTTCAAAATGTACGGATGCTCTCGAAAATGTGAGGATTTAATGGGCTTAAAGCAGTCATAAGGTTTTCATACAGGAAAACCGCGTGGTTTAGGGCTTGATGTGAGCGATGCAAGTGATGCATAAAATGAACACATTACGTTTACAACACGTCTTCCATCTCTGCTTCGTCTTCTGGGTTGAGTTGTTCTTCTTCTTCTTCGTCGTCTTTAGCCAGCTCGCCGAGCCTAGCTGCTCTTTCGGCCTCTTTCAGTTTCTTGTATTCAGTTTTCAAAGTATATTTCAGAGCGTAGGGACCCTTCTTTACCAGGATGGCCACTTGGTCCAGACATTCCTTAAGATATACCTCCGGTTGCTTGGTACGTTCTTTAAGACCCTTGAGAGACCAATAATCGTACTCGTCGAAAAGTTTAAACAAATAATCTAGCAATTCCTTCTTGGGCATCCGGATCGCACGTACACTGTTCTTGGCCTTTTCACGCCCAACTTTCAAGAAATTCGACGTGTCTGAACGCATTGACATACCCGCATTGCTCATTGTTACACCTGGAGTTTGATCCAATACGGTGACTGTGGGTTTGTGCACGTTACGCACGATCTGACGACGTTGTTCGACGATTTTGTGGTAATTGGGGTCCGTCATAGACGGAATTACATGGCATTCGTGACAAATGGTACCCATTATGGAGGTCTTCTTGGGAATTGTCTTAACATATGGAATATACCGATCACGACCGTCCTGATCAGTCATAACCCGATTTTGGAATCTCCGGCGGTTATTCCGCCTCCTGGTCTGTTGCAACCGTTTACGTTGTTCTTCTTCACGTTCTTGTTTGCGCATATACGCCTGTTTCTGTTTTTCCGGGTCCTGTGCCAGTTCCTGTTCACGTTGCTGGAATTTCTTCAAGTTCTGTTCCGTGAATATGTACTCGTTTTCAACCAGTTTCTTAGTGAGTTCCAAGTCGTATTGATGAGGGATTTGATCGTTATCGTTTTCGTTCAGGATCAACTGGATATTTTGGTTATTCTTGCTGATTCTAATTTTGCCCAACTCTTGACCATCCAGATTCGATTTATTTCTCCATTTCTCTGCTAAAAACCTAGGTAACCGTACCAGCCAAATCTGTTTCGAACTGTTGTCCAAGTTCAAATCCAGGGATTCCTCATACACTTTGGTCTCGTTGTTCTCAATGTCGTTTCCATCAAAGACTTCTTCGTCCTGGGATAAATAGTCGTCACCGGATTCATTTTCATTGGTCTTAGCAGCCGGTTCGCTCATCTTGATGCGATTTGGCGAGATCCTGGTGAACTCCACAAGTCTTGTTACTTGCTACTTGCCTTATACTCAATATCAAGTTTTTTCAGCAATGCTGTAGTACGTAGTGATCTCATCTAATGAACTATAACAGAGCTCATCGCCAGGAAAGCTGATAGCTGAAGAGCAGACCGGGCAGGGCGAACAAGGCGAGTTAAACAATTTTAAACGGTATTAGTTGAACTGAACAAATTAAGCGTGCTAAGGAGATTTGTTATGGGCCTGAACGATCTTTTGGCGGCTGAAATTGAAAAAAAGAGAAAACGTCTTGATGATGAGACAGACGCGGTGAAGCTGAAGCCAAAAGAGCTCTTAAAGCGCCAGGAGGTGCCACAACAGGTGAAGGAACAGCATTATACGGGTACTGAGGGCCGCTTAGAGGGCCTAAAACCTTCAAAGCCCGCTGAAGATGCGTTATTACTCGTAAACCGTTTAAAAACGCGTCCGGAACGTATTGATGCGATCATCGCGCAAGAATCCCAGGTCAAGACCCAGATCACCGTCGAAACTATCCAAGAGGAACAAACTGACTTGCTCTCGATTCAGTGTAATTTATTCATACACACAGTTCTACGTTCTTGGACCACAGACAATTACAAACCCGACCTGATCCTTGACACCAAACGCGCATTGTACCCACTTTTACTCAAGCTACGACGGAAAACACTCCCCACCCAGCTACTCATCTCACTATCGACTATCCTGTTCCATATGCAAAGATCCGAATTCTCACTTGCCACCCAATCCTACATGGAGCTAAGTATTGGTAACGTTGCCTGGCCTATTGGAGTGGTCTCAGTCGGCATACACGCCAGAAGAGCTCATGAACGTATACAGGGTAAAGACAAAGTTGCGAACGTAATGCTGGACGACACAACGCGATTATGGATCACGAGTGTCAAGCGATTGATCACGTATTGGGCTGATCGGGATAGGAGATCTCGAAGTACGGAATCTTTAATTATATCACATTGAGATATTAAAAGATGAACCGGTAACGCCTGGTGAGACAGCAACCTGAGTAAAATAGTCGACAAGATGTCGTCGCTGGTACAAGGTCTTGTGAAAAGCTTTGCCGAAGATTGGGCCGAGAACAAATGGGACGATTATGCCGGTGAAAAATTGCAACCGACAAAGGGTATGTGCACCGCGAATGAGGCATGATTTTATTTCAACCACTAACATTGTTTCCTGGAAAAGACCCTTTCTATTGTAAAATGCCAAATGGAAAACGTAAGAGAAGAAAGTTACCGGAGTATTGTACGCAAAAGGAGAAAAAACTGTGGAAAAAACTTCAAAACCGGGCTTGGAAGCATGACAGATGTATGTGTGGATGTATATGGGTCAATTGGGGGCTTGGACTTGCACCTGTGTTGTCGATTTTACCCACGATTGGACCCATTATCATGTACTGGATTCATTCGAAATTGATTAGTATGGCCGATAAAGAGTTGAATTTACCGCCGGAGTTGCTGGTCAAATTGCACGGTAACATCGTGATTGATTTGTTAATTTCGTTGCCACCGATCATTGGCACATTATTTGCATGGATGAATGCGTGCTCGACAAGGAACTGCGCGATGATTTATAATTACATGGTGAAAAGAGCATCAAAGCAGTCTGCGGCGCAAACGCAAACGCAGTCGCAGACGGTGAATAGCCATTTAGCGCAGACGACACAAAACGCTCCCCGGAATGCAGTTCCGCAGCAATACGCCAATGGCAGAACCGGGAACGCCGTAAACGTGCAACGCCCGCAACCGGCGATGCATAGGCAGGTGCCTAAGCAGATGCCTAAGCAGGTGCCTACCCAGGTCCGTGCGCGGCCACAAAAGGGAAGACCACCTTATCCAATCGAAATGCAAACCATGGCACCTGCGCCTGCACCTGCGCCCGCCCCTCCGCGCAATCGCAGAACACCTCCCCAGGCCCAACGTCCATACCCTGACGAAAACGTCGCGCGACACCCAATCAACAACCAAAAACCTTTGCCGCACCGGCCTGCTCCTCCTGCGGCAAGGTACAACAGATGATGGCATAGCGGGAAATTCGTCTAGCATTGTTGGATTTTTCACTGCAATATATAAAAGAAAGCTCATTTTAGTAGCCTGCACGGAGCCCCCGCAAGAGTCGCGTCTATTCCGCGTCTTGCAGCCGAACCATAAGGACATGTGAGAAACGTCTAGGATCGTCGTGGTCTTATCAGCCTCCAATACGTAGTTCACGTAGTCTTTTTATCATTGATAACGTTGTGTGCATTTTAATCATGTGACTTATATTGTTGATAACGGGTGGGATCTTAATTCAAATTCAACGAAACACTAAGTGAATCTTAACGAGCTCTCGTGGCTCCGTTACGGGCATTCGTTTCAAAACCAAATCATGGACCTAAACCCAAACCGGTTGTGGGTTGACGGGTGTTTTGATTTCACACACCACGGTCATTCTGGTGCGATCTTGCAGGCGCGCCGGCTTATCCCACGAGACCAAACCGGAGAGTTGATATGCGGAGTGCATAACGACAAGGACATTCTCATCAACAAGGGTGGAATGCCCGTAATGAATGAACGAGAACGGTATGCGCACACGCGTAGCAACCGCTGGTGTACGCGTGTGGTTGAAAACGCGCCGTACGTGACGCAGGCCGCAGTGTTGGACGCGTGCGGGTGTAAATACGTGGTTCACGGTGACGATATCAGCAACGACGCCGACGGGAACGACTGCTACGGTCCAATGAAACAGTTGGGCCGGTTTCGTGTAGTGAAGCGGACTGAGGGTGTCAGTACGACCGATATCATTCACCGGATCCTGAGCGGGTCACGAACGTACACGGACGTGGATGCGGAGATCGAGGACGTCCACTTGGACCAGCTCGCGCGGTACGCGACCGCGACCAATGGGCACGACCCTTGGTGCTACGTGTTCATGCATGACTTCGATCACGTGACCGTCAAGGGCCGCTTTGCGTTCGATCCACGCAAGACCGTTTACATCGAGGGCGATTTTGACCTGTTCCATGTAGGCCACATCGAGCAGTTGGCGCGGCTGCGCCAACGTCACAACGCGGACGATACCCGCGTCGCCGACGGCGTCGCCGACGACGGCTCTGTCCACGTGATCGTGGGTATCACGTGCTCCGAAGACGATTTGCCGTGCATAATGACTCTCGCCGAGCGCGCGCTCGGCGTGTTGAGCTGCCGATACGTGGACGGCATTGTATTGGCACCCGTAGCTGGGCTCGCCACGAGCATACGCTGCCTCGAGCATTGGCGTCTTGACGACCCCCAATTGACCCTGGACGGTCAGTTTTCCTACTTGAACCGCCGCGTCGTGCTCGACCGAGTTCTGTCGCAGCGCGACCACTACGTCGCGCGCAACGCCCGTAAGGGCGTTGCGAGCTGAGCTAGCAAGCGGACGTCGTATCATCGTTTCGTGTTCAAAGAACTATACATTGTATAGAATCGACTAGTTCTCGTGATGCTGTACCTGTTCGTACCTGTTTTCGTGCGATTGGACATTGGACCCACGTCTGTCCTTGTTGAAAATGGGTGGGATCTCGCCGTCGTCAATAAGGTCTTCTATTTCGTCGCCGAGTTTGCCCCAGTTGCCCTTACCGGAACCCATTTTCTTGACGCCATTGGGTGCCTTACCGTAGGTTCCGTTATGTGTAAAATAGTGGGATTCGGCCTTGGCTTCGTGAACGGTCCATTTGTTAGTTCTGGTCATTGTTGAGTATATAGATTGGTTTCTCGAGTGAGATGGTGATGGCTTGTGACTGAGTTAACTATGTTGACAACGAATGGCCGGCTTATATAGTCTCGTACAGAGGCTTGCACTCGACTTGGTAAGTGGTGTGGATGTGGCGTTTGCAACTCAGAGTGACTCACATCGTTTAGGCGGTGATACGGATAACCGGGAGGGAAAGTGTGGGGAGGAGGGGAATACGGAAAGAGTGTGGGGAGATTAGGGGGGAGGCGGGGAGGGATCTCCAAGGGGGAAGGGGATATGAGGGTGTATGGATGTGTGTTTGTCGTGCATAGTGATATATACTCCGTCATAAAAAGAAATGGCATTTTCCTCGTACACAGCGACGCACGGATATAAGAAGCGGGGTTTGCTCCGGTATGTCCGCTTTTGTGTCAGATCACATGGAACGGGCAAACATATCCCTCGTTTTGTACGAACCCGAAAAAAATTGGTCCCGTACAACCACCAACAGTCATCGACAAAACAGCGGGAACCATACTCCTCGAATGTGCCATATCCACGCAGCAGGACAATCCGGTCCCCCCGAAGATTTCCGAAGGTTACGGAAATCTAAAAAGCTTGGACAAATAGGAGACTTGCTGGCATATATTTGAAACAACCCCGAACGTTACCGCCCTTTTGGTTGCCCCCCCGATAACACAGCATGGACCCGACCCGTGCACCCGATTTCGAGCCGCCCTCGTCGAACAAACAACCGGACCCGCCGTTGGCGCCCCAGTCGACGATCCCAAAGAGCGGACCCATCCAGCCGTACGTGCTCGCCGACTACAATGAGTCCATCGATGCGCCCATTCACCCGCGGGACTACAAGAAACAGTCTCGATTCGGGCGTCGAGTCTCGACGGCGCACCATAGCTCGATCCCGATGAAGCTGGATGCGTTGCAGCCGTTGTCGCACGAGACCTCGTCCGAGGACGAAGGCGAGCCCCGCAAATCTGAAGCGAATGCGACGACTTTGCAAAGCACGCGCCAGATTTGCACGCCTTTGCTAGAAGAGTACGAGGCGCTGCCCCGCGACCACCATATTGGATCTCGCGTCCACAAGTACCAGATCGCCGATCTGGAGGAAGTGCCGCATGGCGTGGTGCGGCAAGCACGAACGATCGAAGAGTATGCGTTCCCGTCGCATCGATTGCAAAAACGGCTCCGGAACGCGAGCAAGCTGCCCCTCGTCGTGGTCGCGTGTGGTTCGTTTTCTCCTATCACGTATTTACACCTGCGTATGTTCGAGATGGCGCTCGACGCCATCTCGGAACAAACGCGGTTCGAGGTCGTGGGTGGGTATTACTCACCCGTGAGCGACAATTACAAGAAACCAGGGTTGGCGGACGCACACCACCGGGTGCGCATGTGCGAACTTGCGTGTGAGCGTACGTCGTCGTGGCTTATGGTGGACGCATGGGAATCTTTGCAACCGCACTATACACGGACGGCCAAAGTCTTGGACCATTTCAATGACGAGATCAACGTCAAACGGGGCGGGATCGCGACCGCGACGGGGGAACGCCTGGGCGTCAAGATCATGCTTCTGGCGGGCGGAGACCTGATCGAGAGTATGGGTGAACCCAACGTGTGGGCCGATTCGGATTTACACCACATTTTGGGCAATTACGGGTGCTTGATCGTAGAACGCACTGGGTCCGATGTACGGTCCTTCCTGTTGTCGCATGACATCATGTACGAGCACCGACGCAACGTCTTGGTGATCAAGCAACTGATTTACAACGACATTTCGTCTACCAAAGTGCGGCTGTTTATCCGGCGTGGTATGTCCGTGCAGTACTTGCTGCCCAACAGTGTTATCCGGTATATCCAGGAGCACGGATTGTATGTGAACCAGACCGAGCCCGTAAAGCAGGTGATGGGCAACAAGGAGTGATTTGGCCCGAGCGGGCTTTTAGGAACAGTTTGTAGGCTTACATTTAATGAGACGCGTGAAGGAAAGTTGGCGTGGCAACCGCGGCAAGCGCACTGCAGGGTGCTGCAGCACCCTGCAGGACCTTGCAGGAGGAAGCAGGAACAGAAAAGAAATGCTATGACAAAGTGCAAATGCTTATATGACGGGGGGAGAATGCCGGATAGAGGACAATGGAGATTACATAATTGCGTGACGGTGCCTGGGTGCCTGCTATTTGCGGTCAATAGCCGCTGGCACCGGCGTCGCCGTGGTCAGGGTCACGAAGGTCCGCGTCGCCAGGGTTTGGGTCTCGGTGGTCTGCGTCGTCTTGGCGGCCCGAGTCGGCCCAGAGCGGCTGCCGGTGGGGCTCGTCGAAAAACGTAAAGTTGACCTTTACGCTATCCCAGAACTCGGGCGGCAGCGGGATGGACGTCGGCTGCACGGGACTTGACGCGTTTGGCATGTGCGCCGTGTACGGCAGGGGCTCCTGTTGCGTTTGCTGGAACACCTCCTGGTCCGAGGCGGGGCTGTGCCACAGCGATTGCCGGCCGGAGAACTTGAAGTCTGCGGGCAGGGGTTCCGAGACGTCCGGGAAAAGCAGCCGCGGGTCGAATTGCTGCGAGCTGGCGGATGCAGAGAGTACGTCGGTGGTCATGAAATTGAAAGGTGGCGCCGGGGCCAGGGCCGGTGGGCCCGCAGGCACCGCCGCAGGCGGTGCCTGCATATGCTGCAGGGCGGGCGCAAACTGCACGGGCGCAAACGGCGCCGGTGGAAACGGCGCGGCCATGTGGGGGAAAACCGGGTACTGGGGCGGCGCCTGCGGCACCTGCGGTGCCTGCGGGGCCATACCTGCAGGCACGCTCGCAGGCACCACCGCCGAGGGCTCCCACTCGACCTCGAGCGGCAACTGCGGCGGGGCCTCGTCTGCGCCGACGCGGTCCTTGAACTTCTGGACGACGCTGCGCAGGTACGCCGGGTTCTGCGTGAACTTGTACAGCACGTCGCGCAGCAGCTCGCACGAGTTCCAGAGCTCGCCGAACCGCGCCAGCACTTTGTCGAGCACCTGGTAGCACGCGACCGCGACGTCGCGGTACGGCGAGCCCGGGTCGTACATGCGGTGCACGAGGATGATCATGGCCTCGAAGAAACAGTACGCGTGCGACACGTAGCAGTACCCGACCTCGCCGCGGTCCAGCAAGATCTGGCCGATCAGCGTGAGCGAATGCGCGGCCTGGAACGCGATCCCCGCGGAGTTGTGCTGCGCGGCGTTGCCTTCCGTGCCTTCCGTGCCTGGCGCGTGTATGTTGCCCTTGTGCAGCAGGCACAGCGTCTTGTAGTAGAGCGCGTTGACAAACGCCTTGGGCAAGGAATGCTGCGTGAAGATCTCCGCGTTCGTGCGGTACGCCAGCGTCTCTGGCAGATCCTGGCGCCACCGTTGCAGGAGCACGTCGAACCGCGCCACCAGCGCGGCCCGCGGCCGTTCTGACTCGTGTCGCGCGAGCTCGCGCGCGACCCGAGACATGATCTCCGCGATCTGCACCGTGCAGATGACGCAATCCCGGTTCGCGAGCGGCGGTGCGTGCTCGGGCAGGCCACCCTCGAACTCGAAGTCGCTGTGCGTCAGCACAGGCACGTCGCAGTCGTCGAGGTTGATTGCCTGCGGGCGGCCGATCGCTACGGACACGACTGTGTCGAGCACGTAGAGCTGCCACCACACCAGCTTGCGCAGCCGCATTTCGTTTGGGGTAAACGTCGGGTGCCGCTCGGCGGCGCGATGCATGCCGTACGTCTGCGCCACGCTGACGGCGGCTTTGATGAAATACATGGGCATCTGGATCGTGTTTTTCTCGTGGAACCCTTGGCGGCTCAGCAGCAGCATGCCCTGTAGGAGCGCCATTTCGTTCTGCTCGTACCGCCCGTCGTAGAGCGCCTTGGCGCGCTGGTAGAAGATGGTCGCGGCGAGGTCGCGCGACCCGCGCGCGTCGCGCAGCTGGGCGCGCAGCCAGGGCTGTTCTGCGAGCTTGACAGCGACGCACAGCATGCTCTGCAGCAGGAACATGGAGCAGCAGTGCGCTGCGTACTGGGCGCGGAACTCAGTCTGGTCAATGATCGGCATGAGTGCGTGCACGCGTGCAAAATAGGTGTCGACGAGCGCGTCGCAGATCTGCTTGGCAGGCAAGAGGAACGCGCCGGAGATGCGGAGCATCTCGACGTTGGCGATGCGGGGCGTGCCTGCGCCGCCGAGGGGCAGCGCCGAGGCAAGTTTTTCTGCGTTGGCGAAATGGGATCCGTCGCCGAACGCGGCGCCTGTGAGCAGGCCTAGAAAGCTGGAAGGCCCGAAATACACGAAGACGCGTTCGCGGTCCTCGCGCTGCGCGTCGAAGAATTCGCCGGGCTCCTGCACGCCGCGCGTCAGCAGGTACTCCTCGCCGAAGGCAACGCCGTTGGAGACGGCGTCGCGCACGCGCGCGTCTGCGCGCGACGTGCCTGTGCGGGGATCTGCAGGCGCGGGTTTGCCTGAGCGCGGGTCCGCGGCTAGCTCGAGCCCGCCGGATGCGGTGCGGGGAAGGGCGGCCGTGCCTGCGGCGGCTGGAGCCGCGGAAGCGGCGACGGCGGCGCCTGGAGGGGCGCCTGGAGGGGCGCCTGCGGGGCCGCCTGCGAGGCCGCCTGGGCCCAGGCCGCCGGCGCCCGCATTTGCGCCGGGCGCGTTGGAGCCGCCGAGCTCAGACCAGCGCGCAGCAGGGTCGTCGGAGGGCGGCGACGGCGTGACCGGTGGGCCGTCGCCCAGAACACCCGCAGCGGCGGACGCGGCGCCGCTGCCGCGCGTGCGTTTCTCGCGCAGTCGGCACACAAGTCCGAACGCCTGGCACGAGCTGCAGGGCACGCGGATAAACGCGTCGCAGCGCACTTTGCGGTCGTGACACACCTCACAGGCACGCGTCGTGCGGCGCTTGTGCACTCTGTACGGCCGCGGTTTCGCCGGGCGGGCCCCGGCACCACTGCCGGGGCTCGGGCCTGGGCCCGGGCCGCCGCCAGTCCCGGCAGCGGCTCCGGCAGCGGCTCCGGGGCCGGCCGTCCCCTCCGTGGGCCCGGGGCCCGCCTCCGGGCCTGGAAGGGGCTCCCCTGCCCTGGCCCCTGCTCCTGGCCCCTCTTGCAGGGATGCATCGCGAGTGCCGCCCAGGCCAGCGGCGCTCTCAGCTGCACCACCGCTACCACGGCCCCCGGATTTTGTCTCGTCGTTGCGTTGCATGCACAAATATCTATACTGTCAGCGCTCAGCAACAACCTGTCTACACTATGTAATCGGGCTCGCGGGCCCCCGCCGGCGGCCCGCGTGCCGGCCCGATGATATATGGCGGGTTTCGCCCGCCGCCGCAGGCTCGCGTTTTTTTTCCCTGTTTTTTTCCACAGCCCGTGTGTTGATCGCGTTGCCCTTCTTTGGCCTCCCTGTGCTGGGAGATCTAAAGCGGAATTAGGTAACGCAGCGTGTGATCAGCGTAGGCACGCTGCGCGGCAGACCTCGGACGCAAGTTTGCGACTCGGACCGGAATGCGATCGGAATAGCCCAAAGGGGCAGCCGAGCACCGCGCCCAGACGGCGCCGCGCCCCCCTGCTGCGGCCAGCGGACACGGGTGCTTGGTTTGTGTCCGCGTTGCTACGCGCCACTGCGCAGGCCACCGCCCGGGCGTCATGAATGCGCATTGTTGGTGGCGCGCGGCGGCGTCAGCTTAGGTCCGCTTTTCCCGCGACACCCCCCACGCGACCCCCACGGGGCGCACGAGGCTCACAACGCGCACGAGGTCCACCTTACGCAGTCATGGCGGCTTGCTGCACAAAACCAGCTCGGCCTTTCCCATTCGGCCGACGGGTGATCCGCGGGTCCGCGGAAGCGCGGACCCGCGGATGCGCCCGGAACGGCCTTCCGATGCGGCCCGTGCAAACGCACCTGCCGCGGACGCTTGCCGCAGACGCCTGCATGCACCGTAAACCGAGCGCGCGTTGCCATTGGTTCGCCCGCCAACCTTTCCCCTTAACGGCGCACTCGCGCGCAGACACATTCTCGGCACGCGCGGCGCGCCTGCCGGCGTTCGCCGCAGTGCCTGCACTACGGCAGGGGGCGAGGGGTCTGGGTGTGCAGCGGCCAGGGGTGCATGGGCGTGCGTGCGCCGCAACATCCGAACCTGCCCATAAGTACGCGCTGCCGGCCTACGGGGAGGCTCGGGTAGGCAGCGGCCAGCAGCAGCAGCGGCCAGCAGCAGCACGCCCATGCACCCAGGAACAAGCCCCCTTAGTCCGTTGCAGACCGGGGCAACGGCGGCGATGAAACATCCTTACACCGCGGCCTGACTTCGTATGAAGCGAGCATGCTTCTCCACCCATACACCCGCTCCTGCCGTAGCCGCCGACCCCCGGGCCCGCCGCCGTACACGGGCATCTACCCGCTTCGGGACCCACGGTCCCTTCTTACGGAAACTCCGTCCCTGTTTTTTCCACAAGTTTCCATCGGCAACGGCTCGCAATTGCTAGGCGCGTCCAGAAGCTTCTGGGAGCTGCTGGAAATTAAGGGAGACTCCGACCCTAAAGTCACCCAAGTACCCAAGTGCAAACTTGTGAGGGATAATCAGTCGGAGCCAACCGCCGCGTGCGCCGCGGAAGCCGCGTATATAAAGGGCGCTTGGATCTTGTTTCTTGCCCCGTCAACTTTTTGCCAAACCACACTAAACCAAAAAGTGTCTTGCTTCGAGAAACACTAGAAAGACAAGAAAGACAGACCAAACTACACAAGCCTGTTGAACATCTATCCGCCATGTCTAAAGCCATTGGAATTGACTTGGGTACCACGTACTCGTGTGTGGCGCATTTTACTAACGACAGAGTCGAGATCATTGCGAACGACCAAGGGAACCGGACGACGCCCTCGTACGTCGCGTTCACGGATACGGAACGGTTAATTGGAGATGCCGCCAAGAATCAAGCCGCCATGAACCCGGTGAACACGGTGTTCGACGCAAAACGACTCATTGGACGGAAATTCGACGACCCGGAAGTGGTCAACGACGCCAAGCATTTCCCGTTCAAAGTGGTCAACAAAGAGGGCAAACCGTTTGTACAGGTGGAATACAAGGGCGAGACCAAAGTGTTCTCGCCCGAGGAGATCTCGTCGATGGTGCTGGGCAAGATGAAGGAGACCGCGGAAGGGTATCTGGGCGCGGGCGTGAGCGACGCCGTGGTCACGGTGCCCGCGTACTTCAACGACTCGCAACGGCAGGCGACCAAAGATGCAGGCACCATTGCCGGGCTCAACGTGCTCCGGATCATCAACGAGCCCACTGCCGCTGCCATCGCGTACGGGCTCGACAAAAAAGGCGCCACCGAGCACAACGTGCTTATCTTTGACTTGGGAGGTGGTACTTTTGACGTTTCCCTGTTGTCCATCGACGAAGGTATCTTTGAGGTCAAGGCCACTGCCGGAAACACCCATCTGGGGGGTGAGGACTTTGACAACCGGCTCGTCAACCATCTCGCCGACGAGTTCAAGCGTAAGAACCGCAAGGATCTCACCGGTAACCAGCGGTCGTTGCGTCGGTTGCGTACCGCCGCCGAGCGCGCTAAGCGCGCTCTGTCGTCGTCCGCGCAGACCTCCATTGAGATCGACTCGCTCTTCGAAGGTGTCGATTTCTACACCTCGCTCACGCGTGCCAGGTTCGAAGAACTGTGTGCCGACCTTTTCAGATCCACGCTTGACCCCGTTGAGAAGGTGTTGCGCGACGGCAAGCTTGACAAGTCTCAAATCGACGAGATCGTGCTCGTTGGAGGCTCGACCAGAATTCCAAAAGTGCAAAAACTCGTTTCGGATTTCTTTAACGGCAAAGAACCCAACAAGTCCATCAACCCAGATGAAGCGGTTGCGTACGGTGCCGCCGTACAGGCCGCTATCTTGACCGGTGACCAGTCCTCGAAGACTCAGGACTTGTTGCTATTGGACGTGGCGCCTTTGTCGCTCGGAATCGAAACAGCAGGAGGAATCATGACCAAATTGATCCCCAGAAACTCGACGATTCCTACCAAGAAATCTGAAGTTTTCTCCACCTATGCCGACAACCAACCGGGCGTTCTAATTCAAGTGTTCGAAGGTGAAAGAACCCGAACCAAGGATAACAATTTACTTGGGAAATTCGAGCTTTCCGGGATCCCACCGGCGCCAAGAGGTGTACCACAGATTGAAGTCACTTTTGATCTCGATGCCAACGGAATCTTGAACGTGTCTGCCATTGAAAAGGGTACCGGAAAATCCAGCAAGATCACCATCACCAACGACAAGGGTCGTTTGTCCAAGGACGACATTGAAAGAATGGTGTCGGAAGCAGAGAAATTCAAAGCCGAAGACGAAAAAGAAGCAGAACGGGTTCAAACCAAAAACTCATTGGAAGCGTATGCATTTAGTCTCAAGAATTCCATCAACGAGGCCAACTTTAAAGAAAAAGTGGGTCAAGATGAATTCCAGAAATTGTCAACGGCCGTTGAGGAAACTATTTCTTGGCTCGATTCGTCGCAGGCTGCCTCTACGGAAGAGTACAAGGACAGACAAAAAGAATTGGAAGGTGTGGCCAATCCTATTATGACCAAATTCTACCAAGCAGGAGGTGCTCCTGGCGGTGCTCCCGGTGCTGGTCCCGGTGGTGCTGCGCCGGGTGGTTTCCCAGGTGCCGGAGGCCCTGCACCTAGTGCGGGCGGCGATGCCGGACCAACCGTCGAAGAAGTCGACTAATGTGTACACATTACTGAGAACAACGAATTTTCTATATATACTACGATTAGTTTAGGTATACACGACAACATAAATGCTGTAACGACATGTCTATGATTTGAAATCGTAACTTATCTTAATATATCTCAAACTACCAATTGGCGCTCAACAATTATGTTGTCATTTCAATAGTGTCAAATGATCCTTGCATTACTGTTTTGATTCACGTATTGCTTGTCAATGCCAAGGTAATAATAGACCGATGACTTCGGTCGAAAATGGTGATGGCATGTTATACGATAAACTGGGTCTCTCTACCAAAAATTTTTCAATTTTCACGTTGAGCGATTCCATGAAGAGTCATCTTGCGAAAAATAAGCAAACCTTCCGATTTCAACAACTTTGGCAAGTTCACTAAGACCTGTGTGAGTTGTCAAAATGGCTGAACAAAGTGGTCCTTTCTCTTTTCCGAAAGAAGAGGAAAAAATCCTCGAATTTTGGAACGAAATCGATGCTTTTCACACTTCGCTCGAGCTGAGTAAAGACAAACCCGAGTTTTCATTTTTCGATGGACCACCATTTGCGACCGGTACTCCACATTATGGTCACATTCTTGCGTCCACGGTCAAGGACATCGTGCCAAGATATGCGACCATGAACGGGTACCACGTCGATAGAAGGTTCGGTTGGGACACTCACGGGCTCCCCATCGAGCACATTATCGACAAGAAACTCGGCATAAAGAGCAAAGAAGACGTTTACAAATTAGGAATCGATAAGTACAATGCGGAATGTAAAGCGATTGTCATGACGTATGCGGAAGAATGGAGACGAACTATCGGACGTATGGGTCGTTGGATCGACTTTGACAACGATTACAAGACGATGTATCCTTCATTCATGGAATCCACTTGGTGGGGGTTCAAGCAGCTTTTCGAGAAGGGGCAAGTTTACCGTGGTCACAGGGTCATGCCTTACTCTACGGGCTGTACTACACCCTTGAGTAACTTCGAGGCACAACAGAACTACAAAGAAGTCAACGATCCCGCTGTGACCATTGGATTTAAAGTTGTTGGTCAAGAAAAGACGTATTTGGTCGCATGGACCACTACGCCTTGGACTTTACCTTCGAATTTGGCCCTCTGTGTCAACGCCGATTTCGAATACGTTAAGATCTATGATCAAAACAGGGACAAGTATTTTATCTTAGTTGAGTCCTTGATCAAAACTCTTTACAAGAAGCCATCTAATGAGGATTTCAAGGTTGTCGAGAGATATAGCGGCAAAGATTTGGTCGGCTGGAAATATGAACCTTTGTTCGATTATTTCGCTAAAGATTTTGGCGAAAAGGCATTCAGAGTCATTTCGGACAATTACGTGACCAACGACTCCGGTACTGGTATTGTTCACAATGCGCCTGCCTTTGGTGAAGAGGATTTCAACGTTTGTTTGAAGGCCGGCATTTTCTCCGAGGATGATGATATTCCCAACCCTGTAGATGATAACGGTAATTTCACAAGTGCTGTGAGCCATTTTGCCGGCATGTACGTGAAGGCTGCCGATAAAGAAATCATCAAATTTTTGACTGCGTCAGGAAATCTGTTGTTGGCTTCTCAAATTCGCCACAGCTACCCATTCTGTTGGAGATCAGACACTCCCCTCTTATACAGGACAGTTCCAGCTTGGTTTGTGCGTGTGAAGCCTATTATCCCACAATTCCTAGACTCTGTCGGCAAATCTCGTTGGGTTCCGCATATCATCAAAGAAAAAAGATTCGCCAACTGGATTGCCAATGCTCGTGATTGGAATGTTTCTAGAAACAGATACTGGGGTACTCCAATTCCACTCTGGGTCTCTGAAGACTACGAGGAAATTGTTTGTGTTGGTTCTGTCGAGGAACTTGAGAAATTGTCAGGCGTCACAGGTATTACCGATTTGCACCGTGATTCTATCGATAACATAAGAATTCCCTCTAAGCAAGGAAAGGGTGAACTGAAAAGAATTGAGGAAGTTTTTGACTGCTGGTTCGAATCTGGTTCCATGCCCTTTGCGTCCCAACATTACCCATTCGAAAACACCGAAAAATTTAAAGATAGAGTTCCAGCGAATTTCATCTCTGAAGGTTTGGATCAAACGAGGGGTTGGTTTTACACTTTGGGTGTTTTGGGTACTCAAATATTCGGTACTGTTCCTTACCAAAATGTTATCGTTACGGGTATCATCTTGGCTGCCGATGGTAAAAAAATGTCCAAGAGTTTGAAAAATTATCCTGATCCGAACTTGATCTTGAACAAATACGGTGCCGATGCTTTGAGACTTTATTTGATAAATTCTCCTGTCCTAAAGGCCGAGTCGTTAAGATTCAAGGAAGAAGGTGTCAAGGAAGTCATTTCTAAAGTTTTGCTACCATGGTTGAACTCTTTCAAGTTCTTGGAAGGTCAAATCTCTTTGCTGAAGAAAACCTCGAATGTGGATTTCAGTTTCAACCCTCATCTCAAAAGTGAGAATATCATGGACAGATGGATCATGGCCTCACTGCAAACTTTGATCAAGGACATTCACAGCGAGATGCAGGCCTACAAACTATACGCGGTTGTTCCTCAGTTGTTGAGCTTTATCGACTTGATGACCAACTGGTACATCCGTTTGAATCGTCGTCGTTTGAAAGGCGAAAACGGCGTTGAGGACTGTTTGGTTGCGTTAAACACGCTATTCGACGCTCTGTTCAATTTCCTAAGTGCGATGGCCCCTTTCACGCCATACCTTTCCGATAACTTATATCAGAAGATGAGAGACTTCATTCCAAAAGACGTTTTGTCGCAGTACTGTAAAGACGACAGATCTGTGCATTTCTTGCTTTACCCAACGGTGAGACAGGAATTTTTCGACGAGGCGATCGAAAGAACCATGTCCAGAATGCAAGCCGTCATCGAGCTTGGTAGAGTCATTCGTGAGAAGAAGACTATTTCTTTGAAAACGCCTTTGAAGAGTTTGGTGATCATCCACAGTGATCCGGCGTACTTGAAAGACGTCGAATCTTTGAAAGGCTACATCATTGAGGAATTGAATGTGCGTGATTTGATCATTACGTCAGATGAAGCCGCATATGGTGTCGTATACCAAGCGTTGGCGGACTGGCCTGTTCTAGGTAAAAAGCTAAAGAAAGACGCCAAGAAGGTCAAGGATGCTTTACCATCTGTGTCGTCTGAACAGGTGAAACAGTACCTTGAGACAGGGAAGATAGAAGTTGCTGGAATCCCACTGGTCAAAGGCGATCTTGCCGTCTCCAGAGCTTTGCCGGGCGACAAAGTGGGCGAAGGACTCGAGTCTCGTACCGATCAAGACGTTTTGATCATCTTGGACACCAAAATTTACGACGATTTGAAAACCGAAGGTTTGGCGCGTGAATTGATCAACAGAATTCAAAAACTAAGAAAGAAATGCGGTCTGGAAGCCACTGACGATGTTTCCGTGCAATACGAGATCGTCAAGGATACCATTGATTTCGATACCGTTGTGAAATGTCATGCTGAAATGTTGGCAAAGGTTTGCAGATCCGATATCACCAAATTCGATGGCTCTCGCACCGAAGGTGAAATCGCCGACGAAGAACAGTCTATCAATGACACCATCTTCAAATTGAAAATATTTAAGTTATGAATATCGCTAAATAAAGCTGATAGACGGTGATGAAGTGTTTGTGAATGTCACGTCACATTTACAGGTTTATACACATATTTTCAAATATCAAAATTCATGAAGTTAAGCATCAGAAATGAACAAATAACCAAGAAATAAGCCATTGAAGCCGCTGATATGACCGATTTTAACCCCCGAATTATTACGTCGAGTCCTCCCTCAGTTCGAAGTCGACCGTTATTTGATCAAAGTCCTGATAGTCCACCATATACGGGTGTTTCTACGCCTTTCTCAGACACATCTGTTGTTGAGAAACTAAGCGATCAACGTAGCGCTGGCCATCGACGGTCGATGCAACCTCTATCGTCCCCAATACGAGCTGATTCTCAGATGCGTCAAATGACCACTGAGCGCCAGCAAGCACGAGATCGACGTGCGATGCGTATGCGTGGTGGGATCGACAAAATGGAACGACAAGTGGCACAATTGGAACAAATTCAAGAACGACGTGTACTGGACTCACAGGCAACGTACCACATGTTGGATCCGGAGAAAGCGGCAGCGCTGGAGCGTGAACAAGAAGAGCAAGAAGACGACGAGACCTTGAGGTTCATCGAGGAATACCAATGGTGCGAGGATGAGTTGAGACGTGAACAAGAGCTTATAGAAGCCATGCTGGCAAGGTTTTCTATCAGTTGACATAGGTAGGATGACGCCGGCCATCGCCACGTGATCTTTACTCGTCTTGTACTTGATCATGTTTCACGAGTTACATTTAATATCACGTGCCATTCACGCTCTTTGTTACCCGCACTTGGTTACATTTTGTGATAACAGCCTTAAAACCCAAGGGGCCAAGGGACTCAAATTAGTAGGGGGTTAAAGAAAGCTAGTAACTTTAAGCAACTCATCACCACATTTGAACAATACGGGTCTTTAAGGAGAGGTCCCTTTTTATACGTGGGAAGTATAAAACTGGACAGCAAGAACCGACGTTTAAGACAAGATTATTCTTTAGCGAAGTTTAAGATGAAGTCCGCTTTTAAATCTGAGTATCCGTTCGAGAAACGTAAAGCGGAATCGGAACGAATCAGTCAAAAATTTGAGAATCGAATCCCTGTGATTTGTGAAAAGGCAGAGAAATCAGATATTCCGGAAATCGATAAACGTAAGTACTTGGTACCTGCAGATCTTACAGTGGGCCAATTTGTTTACGTGATTCGGAAACGGATCAAATTACCTGCCGAAAAGGCTATTTTCATTTTTGTTAACGATACGTTACCTCCTACAGCGGCACTAATGTCTGCCATTTATCAGGAGCACAAGGATAAGGATGGCTTTTTGTATGTGTCGTATTCGGGTGAAAACACTTTTGGCAACGGAGCGTGATATTTCCTATTTTAGAAGATGGAAGGTGCTGGGAGACGTTAGTCGTTTAAATTGGGGTCAAAATTTCAATCTCAAATGCAATTCAATTTGCATTTCACCTTTCATATTTTCGTGACTTCTTGACCTCATTTTTGCAGAATCTGGGCCGGTTCAGTTGTAACCGGTATGCCATCACATCACGTAGACTGCGCGGCGCCCAGCCCTTGGTGCTCGGCGCCCCCGGTTTTATCACTCTTATTATTGTTTTCAATTTATTCGATGTATGTGCTAAACACTATATTATAAAAGTGCATTTATTATATGCAATTCCCGGTCCGTTTGGCGTAATTTTCAATGGGATCCTTCTCAATGCTATATGCGGTTAAGTTGCGGACTTCATCATAATCCAATATGTCCCTTATCTTACGATCAGCCGCATACCATTCCTTAATAAGCCATACCATCTCTTTTTGATAAATTTCGCTATTAGACTCGGCGGTTTCGATCAGTTTTTTCAACAAATAGTACATTTTGTCGTATGGGACACCCGCCGTGATGAAAATCGAAGTGACTGAACCCGCGTTGATGTGCTGCTGCGATAGATTATCTTGAAACAAATCAGAAATTATTGGCAACAAATCTTCCACGGGGAAGACAAATTCTGAAGTCCTCACATTCCTGCCAATTCTAATAACAACGGCAGATAAAAGCTGTATGAAATTAGTTGTCGCTTCGGGGCCGGAATCCCCTCCCAAGACCAATTCTTCCTTCAATTTGTTGAATAATTCCATCCATTTCGAAAGAATTTCTTCGTTATTTCTGAAATCCGAAATCTTGAATATGGCTAAACATATGGCCGAATAACCAAGCGGGTCTGCAAAATCGTTGAACAAATCGCTCACTGGTAATATTTTCCCGTCCAGTTGTTTGCAAAGCTCATCCTTGGTACCTTGAGACACACGATTATCGCTCTTCACTTGATTCAGGATATCGTCTTGAATTGCAGCAACGTCAAAGATTTCTTGTATCATTCCAGCAAGCTGAATCATCTCTTGTCTCTCACTTGGAGTACAAACACCGTTGCAAAATCCGTTTGCCCTTGATAGGTACTCTATTCGTTGGGCTAGCGGAATTTCGAAGTCGGAAATGACCAAAGAATACAGTATTTCCGAGGCGGCCAGAAATTGAGATCTTTTGGAAAGATAAACCCAAAGTAAATTCGAGATTTCCAATGAATTTTTGGCCTTTTCTTTCAGATATGGCAGTATGAATTCCGTATCCAGTTGCAACAGCTTATCCTGAGATTTCTGAGACACGAGCCAATCATACAATTCATAGTGGAATAATTTATCGTTATAATTTAAAGCCGTTTTGTAACTTTCTTCTCGAAGATGCGCCAAATCGTTGCCATCACCAAAGCCTGAAGGCGAAAAGGCTGGAGCGGCGGATGAGAGGTCATCGATGCGAACGAGCGTTTCGAAAACCATGTCATAAATGACCAGTCTCTTCTCGTAAAACGTCTTCCTCTCATCTTCTTCAAGAAATCCGTCAGCAACATACTGATAAGCAAGTTTACCTTTGTCGATAGAATTGGCAATATTCAGTAAAAATTCGATGGTACCAGGGAAATAATTCAAACCAAGCATTATGTTGACCGCTTCTTTGAGCTTCTCAGTAGAAATGTTGTCCACAATAGTTCCAAAAAGCTTAATCGCATTCTCCAAGTGGAACTTGGCGGCTTCCATGTCTCTCGAGCCAATCTCTTTAGCCTTTCTCAAGTGTTCAACAGCTCTAAAACCAAGGACGTCACCACTAGAACAGAAAGAGCCACACCGCTCTTGTAATGCGCTTGCGATGTACTCGATTGACCCTCCTTTAGATATATTACGGTTTATTATCGATGAGAGAATCTCGCGGACTAGGTCTTTCTGCCTGTGATTCGGAGCAAATATCTCTTTGAAGGTCAATTTTCTCAGTTCATTTTGATGATCGACGTTTAAGTACTTGATGATCTCCTTAAATGCAACGTATTGGCCTTCGAATCCCTCGACCTCGCTCTCCTCGTAAAGCACGTTTAGAAAGGAAAGTGCTTCCTTCATGGATTGCGTGAGTTTTATCAAAGAGTTTATGGCTATATTCTCCGCCTGATTTGCCACTTCCTCAGACCGATCCGCAGCTTTGCCGGAGTGGAATGGAGAAACTGAAATGCTGGAGATCGAGTTCCCGTAGGTATTGAAAAATTCGTTTATTATCATGATAGAAGACAGGTGGTACTCTATCTCTGATTTAAGAATGGAAACACCGCTTATAATGCTATCTTCGGTGGCTGAACTTTTGATTAATTGTGACTGTGAATCGAACTTGGCATTAATGTTCGTTTCGAATACAGCTTTGTTCCAAATGTCCCTAAACATGCGAGCAATCAAAAGAGCTGCACCGTAAAATCTGGGCGATAGTATGACATTGTCAAGGCTATAGTTTCCAGAGCCCGGGCCGCTAGAATTTGAAGGATTGCCATCGGCGCCACTCAACACCAATTTCTGTGGTGTTGATATCATGGAAGGTTTTGTCAGCAATGATGTGACTGCCGAAGCATTGAAAACGCTGTACTTTGGCTTGATATCTATAGCACCCGGAATGCCCACGGTGAAGAATGTCAAAGCCTTCGATCTCAAAGTCTCGGACTTATTGAATTTGCAAGTCACAAAAAGAGCCGTAGAGCAAGCCTCCGTTAACCCATATTTGAGAACGAACGGGAGTGGATTATCAATTAGTGTCTCAAATACTGCATCAGGAGTACGATATCTGTAGATTTCTAAAGTAGTACTCGTGAGTACTGCAATGCTCAAGGGCTGAACACTGTATTGCGTCGCAAACTCATTAGCGTAACCTTCCGGTTTATTAGTAGCATTGAATAGGGGCGTAATAGGCGCTATATGTCTGACGGGAGTTGTTGTGTCCAACATGCAACAATTTTCCACATATTTGCTATGATTTTTCAAAATACCGTAATCAGGTATCGAGACCAAGAGCTTATTTTGGATCGTCCTTTTGAGATTGTGCTTTGATGCATTTGCCCGCTGCTGTTGTTCATCTGGAAGCAACTGTTGCTGAGCATTTTGATTTGCCTGTGTTACATCTTGGTTTAAAGTCTTTAGCACAGGACACACGAAGATGCCTGGTGAGATAATTGTACTTGCTGAACTTGTTTCCAGAAGTACAGACGATTTTTTTTGAAATTTTAGCACGACAGTTTCGCTTGAAGTTAGTGATGAATAAAATGGTACTAATTTCTTTTGTTGTTGCTGTTGTATTTCTTGCTCCAATGCTTCCGGCGTTACGGAACTAGGAGGGAATTTGATGGATTCCAGCCTTAAAGCCTCGACACTGGTCCTAGTCAAAGAACCATTGAAACAGAGGCGAACACCTCCAATTGTTATTGCTACTAAAAACAAATTGGAATTCTCTTGCAAAGAAATTGCTATAATCTTGGATATCTTCAGATATTTGTTCCCAAGAATAGGAGCTCCCCTGGCAGCTGTAGTACCCATGATTCTCTTAATATAGGAAGTTTCAATGGTCAGCGGTCCATCCAGACTTTTCCCGTTGATCTTGTAAGCCCTCACGACAGATCTACTGGAAAGGGTATAAAGAACGCCTCTCGATTGATCAGCAGTCAATTGTATGATGCGTTCTTGCCCATTTTTATGGTCATCTTCGAACAATGATTGGAGCAAATTACTGCCAGGTAATTTAGAGATAAGGTTAACGGGCATAAGGCTGCTTAGGGCAGATTTAGTCAAACAAACCTTGTTGCATTTACTATTAAACCAGTCGTCGGTCTTTGAATATTGCAATTCCCAAACATGGTTACCGCTTCCATTGCCCACGAAAAATATCTGACCAGTTCTCTCGTATGCGATGAAAGCTGATACGTCCAGTCCGTTGACCGAGACGTATATGCCGGTATTGAAGACATTGATTTCTTCGGTCGTTTCATCGTATGACACCGCAAGAACATAAATGTCAAACGGGGTAGCTATAAGCAAAAGATGATTGATATTTTCGACAAAAGTCTTGGGTTTCGGCCTTACCAAACCGACGGCTAGAATCGGATGCTTTATGTCGTCTATCGATTGATAATCCGCGCTATTCTTGATATTCCACAGCACTAATTTGTTGTCTATGGTTATCCAGCATCGATTAAGCTCGGGGAACAGACCCATATCATTTTTCATTTCTGCTTTACTGGCCTCTTGCAGCAATTCATCTGGTATGTTGATCACTTCTGTTCTTTCGAACGGCGTGAACGCTCCCAGACCTCCAACTTCCTTCGTGAAATTATACGTTACCCCATTGTTGTAATAGGATCTTTCATCCAACACCGGTGTGCTTGCATCTTCACGTTGTAAGTTGTCCACGTAGAAATTCGCAAGTTCCAATGGCTGTTTTTTGTCAAACCCAGTCACACGCACATGTCCCTGAGTATTTGAAGGTAAAAGACTGTTCGTACCCGAAAATCCATTGTAATTCGCAGTTGCCACTGAATTCGATGTGCCTTGATTGTTCGTTAATTTTGTTTGATTCTGACCCTCAATTGAATCACTTAAAGGTAATCCTACTCCCTGCGTATAATCAATTCCGCTTTTAAGAGGTGTGGAAAAAATTGACATCGTCTCAAAACCTCCGACAGGCTCTGCTTGCCAGTCAACTCCCTTACGAGATGATATCTGTTGATACTTGGTTTTGCCTATGTTATTCTGCAAAATTTTGCGTATTTTCAATGGTCGGGTAACCCATCCTGAGATTTCAAAAGTCGATCATCCTAATGGAAAACTGACACATCAACAAAGAGAACTACAACTTACAAGCAGCTGAAACATAGAATAGGTTGGTAAATAAGGTTTGTTCAGTAGATATTTAGTCTTGACTGAGAAGGAATAATAAGCCTTATGCACTCGAAAACGCGATCAAAATCGGCGCTCAGACCGAAAAATATTAATCGAAAACTTCATGAGCCGAAGCGGGCGAAGAATTTGAAATTGGATGGTAAAAGCGCGGGATTTCAAACTAAGAGTTTTGTGGAGCAAACATTTGGGGGGCCTACTGAGATTGATGGGGACATATCTTTTATTGAACAGAGCTCTTCAAGTGAACTTCTGGATCCTAATGACAGCTTAGATATTCGAGAGACAATACCCTTGACGCTGGAGAGTTTGAGAGCCTTGCAGAACTCTATCCATCAGAAAGAATTGCAATGCACCTGTTCTCATAGCTTTTGTGCAGAACTTCGTCACTCAGGAACAGATTTGGTCACTGTTCGAACCGTAGTCCTGTTCGAATTAGAAATGATACCCTTTGAAGAGCGGCTAGAAATGGTAAATCTGCGTGAGAAATGTTATTTGCAGCAAGTGTACAGGCAAATCTTGCAGGGTTGGAAACTGAATCCGCGAATTCAATCTATTATACCGGGCACAGAAGAATTTCCGCTTGCGCAGCTTATGATGGCACCAAAATGTGACGTGTTAGTTCCAGAGATCTTATTGAATCCTGTGGCAAACCATCGCATATTTCCCATGGGTGGCCTTGCCACCCGAGGAACATTCGAAGCGTTTGAAGAAAACATCAATGCTAGAAATATTTTGAAAGAAGCTTCGTCTTTAACGGGGGATACTTTAGAGCTGAGCGCCAATGGGAAACATAGTCTTACAAGTTCTAAATGCATTCTACGTAGTAGGGATTTCTAAAGGCAAGCAGTACAAGAGCAGAGATTGTGTTTAGTACTCCAAGATTTTCATGTTTGTTGGTTATGAAATGATTTTGGTGAAGATTGTCGAAGATGGTTGTCACAACGCGCAAGTATCAGCTCAAAGAACAGCCGCATGGTCACCAAATAGCTCCCTGAACTAGCTTCCTGTCCCAGATATTGCTAATTTCTAATCGAATATCCACATTGAAGTACAGATCGCCAGACACCGAAATGGCTCAAACCCATTTACATAATTGCTTAAACAGTGATAAATGGCTGAGATTTGGGTAATTCCACGTTGCTAGAACATCCGATTGGAATTTTAGGCCAAGCAGCCCGAAAGCACTTGACGAACAGCCACTGTGCTTAACGACGTCGAAAATATCATGCCTACTTGCAGGCAATGTATCGTTAAAGGGCTATCCTCGGGGCTCGGGGATGTATTCTGCGAAATATAGTCACATGTTCATGACAATTCTTCACTGAAATCTGCATCGAGGTGTTCTCTTGAGTGAGTTTCCCTATGGGATCCGTGTTCATTCACTCGTCGTCATGTAGAAAAATGTCACAGTTGTTAGGTGAAGACTTTTCTAAGAGAAAGAAACGAGGAGAGGAGCTACGCCACATGATCCGTTCCTTCTCATTTCAAAAGACGCTACAAGGCTCACATCAGTCATTGGCAAATGGGATCTTCATGACTTCTGCTTGGTTATTTATCAAGTGTTACCAGCGTCAGCGTAGATGCTCTTCCACAGGGGTCACTTCGTAGCTTGGTTGCAGATATATTGAGCGGTGAGCTTACCTCTCTGTTACTTGCTTGACGATATTACCTCCAAAGCTGATCATATCGTCTACTTCTTTAGTTTTTTTACTGGGCTTCGTCAGCGTCGGGAGGGGTCGGCGGTCCTCCACATTGTCTCCAACTTCATTCGTGGCTCTTCTTAATTGTAAATCTATCGGGTATTGAGAAAGCAAAATCCACATTTGCATGGGTATTTGGACAAGATGGGTCTGCTAAGGCTCATAATATCGTATCTTATACAAATTATGGTGATGCTATGTCTATTTGTTGCCTATTATATATGATGAGATAATGCAGAAATTGTACCTCATGAAGCTTTCTTATAATTGAAAGTGCTATGATGACTACAAGACCACCATTGGGATCACTCGGACTCACGCCATGTCCTTATGAGTTGGATCCCTCTGTTCAAGATTTGCTGTACTATTCTGTCATTGTTATCACGTGATACTACTTTACCTTGATGAAACTTGACGGTATTATAACCGCTCCTCTAACGCATATTAACGCTCAAGATCGTAGTGATCAGAATACCTAAGCCATGTAAAGGTAGTGCCTCACACTCATACTTTGCTACTCGCAACTGTTCACCATGTGACGGATCCATCTGATTAATTGACTCTCCATCAAAATGTATGATAAACACTAATCACACAGCACGAAAATCGCCTTGAACCTTTTGACCATCTCACTATCACTACCTTCGAAGAGTCCCATTGTACCCTATAGGGCTGTTGTGGTTGTTGTATTGATGCTTAGATATAGAAGCGCGCTCAAGGTCTGGGGTAGTAGGAAGTATAGCGTGCTTTTGCCCGAGTTTAAGTTGAAATGCGGGCTTGAAATCCATACCCAACTGTGTACTAAAAACAAGCTTTTCTCCTTGTCAACCAACGATGCGTTCGCTGCAGCTGATAAGCCAAACTACCACGCGTCTTATTTTGATGTCTCTCTGCCTGGATCACAACCGAAACTGAATTACGAAGCGATTTTGTTTGCGACCAAGTTGGCAGTCGCTCTCAATTGTCAAGTGAGTCCGGTTTCTCAATTCGATAGAAAGCATTATTTCTATGGTGATCAACCACTTGGATATCAAATAACACAGCATTTTGCTCCTTTTGCAAAAAACGGGTATCTCGAGCTTTCCAAAGATTTAGATGGGATCGACCAAGAGCATCGGAAAATTGAAATCATGCAACTACAGATAGAACAAGATACCGGCAAATCAATTTATAGAGATAACGAAAAACTGTCTCTGATTGATTTGAATCGTTCAAATGTTCCTCTCATTGAAATGGTAACGCATCCGCAGTTTACCGATTGGAAAGAGGTTAGGGCATTCATAAAGAAATATCAAGCCCTTTTGAGATCCTTGGGCATTTCAACCGGTGATTTGGAAACCGGGGCCATGCGTGTTGATGTCAATGTGTCAGTTAATGACAATGCAAGGGTAGAATTGAAAAATTTGCCAAATACGAGTTCAATTTTAAAAGCCATTCAGTTTGAATACGATAGACATGTGCATATAATTAAAGAGGGAAATCAGCACAAGCTTTTAGCTCAAACAGAGACGAGAAGTTGGAATGGATATTCTACGGCAAGACTTAGGGGCAAAGAGACTAGCATAGATTACCGATATATGCCTGATCCCGAGATACCGGTTGTGAAGGTGTCACAAGAACTAATCTCAACAGTGGCTCAATCAATACCAGCTCTCCCTGATGCAATCTTGAGAAAACTGATCAGTCAACCGTTCAACTTATCTCTGAAAGATGCCAAAATACTTGCATTTGCTAGCAATGGACATGGAGAACTTTACTCACAGGCAGAACTTTTACCTTTTTACATTAAGACCTTCGAGAATTACCAGGAAAAAGCGGGCAAAAGAGTTGAGACAAAACTTCCAACAAGTTGGATTATTCACGAACTACTGGGAAATATCAATAAACTTTCATTGCCCTTCAGTGACGTAATAAAAGTTTTGACTCCCACGAGCTTTAGTGAGTTTTTGATACTTATGACGGAAGGAAAGATTTCGAGACCTAGTGCCAAGCTTCTTCTCTTCCATATTCTCAAAGACCTCCAACAACGACAGGATAAAGTGCCACATCAATCCATTGATTTCCAATCGTTGATTAAAGAATATGGTCTCAATGAACTCAAAAACGTTGATCAAGAAGAACTTGACGAATTATGCTCGAGTATCATAAAAGAGGTTGACAATCCGGCTCTCATAGAGGCCATCAAAACGGGTCAGAAGAGAAACTCTATAAAGTTTCTCGTAGGGCAAGGAATGAGGCTTTCACAAGGCCGCATTAAACCACAGTTATTCGAGAAGACTTTCAAGAAACTACTTAGGGTCGATTGGTAAAACGAGGTAGGTGCGAAAAAATCACACCACTACCATCATGTATGTAACTCTCAAGATTCGGTTCATTAATTAGTCATTCTCTGTTACTTGTTTGACATTTTTATACAATGTGGAAAGCATTTCATACTTCGCCCACAACCTTCTCCCGAGCTTTCTTCATATCCCAAGTCCTATAAAGGCAAGCATTTCCCAAAACGAAAAGAAACACCTGAATTAAACAATCCACGCAAAACGGTGACGATCGACATCTTCACAACAAACCAAAACGAAATAAAAAAATAATGATAAAACACCAAATGGACATAAAAGTCTAAAACTTTTCTTTCTAACAAACGTCCAAAACAAGCCCGGAGATTTACACCACTTTTCCATAATTCGACCCCATTTGTCAAATGAAGGCTTCAATTGGAGATTTCGGGTCTCACCTGTGGAATACCAGGGTACACACCACCTAACATGTCTTTTCAACGTGGCTGATTAAAGCTTTCAGCCAGTGTTGGAACCTTGTATATTTTATCTTCTTCCTTCCTTACTTTTATTAACCTTTTTTTCTTATCTGAATTCTTTCCAATGTAGGAACAATTCAACTCCAAACGCTCATATCGTTATTCCAAATACCAAATGACCCCCCTGTGGAGGACGCACTTGCAGTGCTACTTCCCCAAGTTTTTGAATTATGCATATTGAAACCGGTAGAAGAGTTGGCAGCAGAACCAGACAAAGGCGCCTGGTATGGGGTACCGCTACCGAATAGGATGCTTGCAGAACCTGTATTAGATAATAATCCATTGTTTTTATGCGAATTTTCCGGTAAAAACGACGAAAGAATACCTCTACTCAGGTCTGAGTTCGAAGATCCCATAAAATCAGCCTTTGAGTGACCCACCAAAGCCGGTGCAGCAGAACCGGAGTCAAGGTAGCTGCCGGAGAGGGGTACACCAGTCGTGACACCCGAAGAACCCAACACAGAGCCAATGCTATTAGTGTTGTTCATGTCTCCGACGGTGTTAACCGACATAAACTGACCATTGAGATCGCTTGGTAGCAAGAAATCGTATTCGTTGCTCAGGGACGAAACTGAAGAGCTTCCACTAATGGATGCATGAAGACGTGGAGGTGGTGTCGAACTTGACGAAGAGCTCGCAGTCATGAGTGGCTGAGTTGGCTGCTGCGACTGCTGCGCTTGCTGTATAGACTGAAATTGCTGCTGTTGACCCATGCTGTTGATCGCTGGTGAGAAAACATTCAACGGGCCCGCCTGGTTCAAACCCAACGAATTGCCACCTCCAGGCCCGTAAAACAACCTAGGATATGCCTGTTGCGCCGCAACCTGCTGCGCAACCAAAGGTGCCACGCCCGATCCTGGGCCCATTCCGGGACCCGCGTTCACCTGCTGTCCATATTTCAATCCATTATTCCCATATCGCTGCGTACTGGCTCCAGAAGTCGAACTGATACCGCCCAAGGTCTTTTTACGACCGTTCTGGGGTCCTGACCCAGAATTATTGTTACCTAAAGTCCTACCGCCGTTATAACGCACGTGTTGTCCGCCATACGCATTCCCATTCTGCGGCATCAATTTCAAGCTGCGATACTCGAGCAGGTACTTGTCCATGTCCTCGATTTGGGACAGGAACGGAACGCTCACAATTTCACCTGGCATTGACCCTTTTTATCTCAACTCCGCGATTGAAAATCCAAAGACGTTCCTAGAAAGTAGAAAAAAATTCGAGTAAAAAGTCCTTTTAACTACTCAGCAGCCGTCTACTCTATCGACGAACGTAGCACTCAAAAGGCCACTGCTGTGATTTAATTCAAGTCAATAGCTCTAGAGCTTATCCTTCTAAGAATTAAATCAACCTGTAGGTTCGGACAAAATTTTCACTTTTGAAAAAGGACCATCATCCATCTGGCTTCAAATGGAAAAAGACGGGTAAAAAGATGGCCACGTGATGGCCACGTGACCAGTGATACCAAGAACGAAACCGGACCTCTAACTGGAACAAAATGCGACTCGTAACGGGTCCGGGACATTTGATTGAGGTATCGGTGACTTATTGTTTGAATTCAGAAGTAGCAGCTTACCTGCAAAGCCATTTTGCCGGAAAAACTTGGGATGATTTTTGACTTTTTGGAACACCAGACAATAGATGGACTTGACCGATGGCATTTGACGGTATTTGGGTTTTGATCGATGTCACAATGAGGTGTGAATGACTGGTGGCTTTTGGCAGAGGAGCAGGGCCTTTTGGCTACCAATGTTGCGTTGTAGAATGCGGGAACAGCGAAGGGAGCAGAGATTGAGAGAAAGTAAAGAGGGGTTGGAAAAGCAGACTCGCTCTACCTCTTCTTCTTCTCCTTGACCTCTTCGTCCGTAGTGGCGTGAAGACGCACGACGTTAGGGTAGTCGGGTCTGTTGCCCATGTGGCCCTCGTGCCAGTCGTAGCTGAGTGCGTATGCAAAGACGGTACCGTTTCTGTTGAAACTGCAAGTCGGGATCGACGCCTTGAGAGACGGGAAACCCTTGAGACGGTGTCTTTGGTTCTTATCCCAAAAGTGGAAACTCCCGTCACCCCCGGCGGTCGCGAACGTGCCGTAAAGCGGATGGAATTGAATGCAATTCACTGGATACACGAGAGACTCACTCGACGCGCGTCCTCCTGCGCTTCCTGTCGCCTGTTGTTGTACTCGATGGCATTTGAAGGAAAACCCGGATTTACGTTGTTCCTGCTCGTCCACGTACTGAATGGCGCAGCGACCCTCGATAGACCCGATTGCGAACCCGTTACCCTCGATGTAGCACGATACAGAACGCGTCTGCCATTTGAGAGGTGACATGGTGGTCTTGAAAATTGCGCTCGGATTAGTCAAATCTATCACGCTGATATGCCGCTCTGCGGTGCCCACCACGAGCAATTTCTGCTTGGAGTCCATACAGTATACACGATCGGGCATCGCGACCGTCGAAACAGCCTGTGGCTGTCGCATGTCCCAGTAACGGATGGTTTTGTCCCATGACCCACTTACAAGACATTCGGTATTTGACGGCCCACATTGTGCAAAACATATACTTTTTACCGCAGAATCGTGAGCCCCGACTTGCTGTGCTGCTCCCGAAGCTACGTCGTAAGCCATAACTGCATTATCGCACCCACCAGACGCGATTTTCGTCCCATCCATCGACCACTTTGTAGCTAAAACAGGACCCTGATGTTGAAATTCGGCCCTGCACTGTGGCATGCCGCCATTGACATCCCAAACCCGCACTTTACTATCCCACGAACTCACTGAGAACAAGAAATCCTGTTGCGGCGAGAACGCAATCTCTGAGATCGAATCCTCGGCCGGATTGTTGATCACGATATCGTTTGCTAAATCCTTGTCTGCGGCATTAACCGCGGGTAATCCACCGCTGGAAGGCGTACTACGGTAAAATGACATGTTTTCTATCAAAAAGTCGATCCTCCAGTATCCTAAACAGCTCCTTTCACTCTACTTTTACGCTGTTAAAAGTGTTGATGTTTTCGATCTTGTCTTCTTAAATTTGAAATTTTCACCAACTAGAAGTGGAATTTGACGAACATGTGAGGTGGAGAAATGGCGAGAATCACGACACAGTGGTTCACAATGGGGAGCTTTGATTTTGATATCTTGAAAACAAACCCAACGGACTCGTCAATTCAAGGCGGTCTGGACCAATTTTCAGGGTTCAAAACGGGATAAATTTGGCCGAGTTTCAATTATTACAACTCCGGATCTTAATATGGGAGATGGGGTCCCATCAGTTTATATACCGTAATATTACATGCTGGCAGTAAAAAATGGTCAAAAGGCCTTTCACTGCCAGCCCAAGAGGTTGAGATCGTTGTAGTTCACGTTAGCTTGAGAATCGAGGAAATCGAGATTGTATGGCTCATCGATGTGCGATTGAGAAACGTTCTGATTCGAAGCATCTTCATGCCGGGCCTGCTGTTGGGACTGCGACTGTGATTGTGACTGCGATTTTGACTGTGACAATTGCGTTTGAGGTTGCTGTTGGGCCTGAGGTTGTGCTTGAGGCTGGGTCTGAGGTTGCGGTTGCCGTTCCTTGGTCGTTTCATTGTGCGCGTTTGATTGTAGCGGGTGTGACTGAGACCGATGGAGAGTCGAACTGGCGTTCGACTCACCAGGTGTCAGTTGCAATTTCTCCTGCGAGGCGGATCTGTCAATAAGCCCTAGATTTAGATTGAAAAGGTCTTCGTCATCAAAGTCGTAGGCTGTCGCACCTAGCGTTGGATCTGTGCGATTTAAAGGCTCAAAATCCGTCTGCGGCGTTGGATCCGTCGCAACCGAATTGGGGAAAATCCCATTGTTGCTACCCGTCTCGTTGCTGCTAGTGCTGCCAGGTAGCACATCCTCAGTCGTCAAAGGTGTAGTGCCCGCGGACAGCGCCAAACGATTCGCCTTGAAGGCGTAGACCGATTTTTTAGGCCTTCCCCGCGATACTTTCCTTGCATGCCGGACGTCCAAAATTCCATCAAGCTGCGGAGATGGAGGTTGATGGGACGTAACAGAACCAGTATTAGAATTCGGTATGCTTGAAATGGTCTGTTTCGTGGAGGTAGTAGTCACCTTTTTTGCCTTTTTTTTGTTTGAAGACCGCTTTGCAGTGGTCTTTACATTATCCGGGTCCTCAGAGGGGCTTTCTGCCACCGTTGACAAAGGAGGTTTCCCGATATTGTTGTTGAAATTAAGATTGTTGCTTGCGTTATTCTTTGGGCCCATATTAGTGTTGTTGTTGCTGTTATTGGCGTCCCCATTTGCCGGCGTTGTGGGCCCAATTGGCGTGACAGGTTCAGAAGCATAACTTTTGCCGCCGCCGCCCATCGGTGTACCTGACCCAGGACGAATCTTAGTTCCCGTTGTCGGGCTTGTTCCTGCAGTAAGTGTGGCTGGAGAAGCACTGGGGTACCCTGAAAGTGAGTTTCTTTTCCTCGACGCGCTAAATGCGTAAGGCGCCACGGGCGCACCCATGTTCGAGTTTCCTGCTGGCGTAGTTGCAGCTGATTTGTTGTAAGAAATTACCTTTTCGTTCTCTTTTTCTAACATTAAAAGTTGTTTTTGATAATAATGAAGACCCTCAGTACTCGAAAAACGAACGTCGGGTTTGCTCACATCCATCTCCATGCTTCTCTTGCGCGAGACTGCCGGCCTTGACGAAACATCTGTACTAGATTGGGTGGGTTGTACTTGAGGGGGAACCATTGCTTGTTGCTGGCCATATGATTGAGGTGTAGGTCCTTTGGTTTGCGAAGCTCCTGCCGAATTGCTAATGTACATGGGACCAGCCCCGGCGGGCATAAGAGCTTCATTTCCCGGTGCGTATAACATTTGAGGCGCATACGCTTGCGAGTGAAATTGTTCCTGTTGGTGGTGCTGCTGGTGTCGTTGCTGCTGTTGTTCATGCTGTTGATTACGCAGTTGCTGGACATCCTGCGGCTTGAATTGACGAGTCGCGGGCATGGACACAGCTTGTCTCGAATACGGATCCTGCATTTGTGCATTCGGTACTTGCGCTTGTACTTGTTGCATTCGTGCCTGTGCTGCCTGCACATGTCCATGCACGTTCGCCTGGGCTTGGGCTTGGGATTGAGCTTGAGCTTGAGCCTGGGCCTGGGCCTGGGCTTGAACTTGAGCCTGAGCCTGAGCATGGGCATGGGCTTGTGCTTGAGCTTGTGCCTGAGCTTGTACTGCCTGAACCTGAGCCTGAGCATGCGCACGGGCTTGCGCCTGTGCCTGGGCTTGAGCTTGTGCCTGGGCTTGAGCGTGAGCATGGGCTTGCGCCTGGGCTTGGGCTTGTACTTGCGCGGAATTTGCCGCTGGTGCCTGCATCCCGGTGTTATTCGTTTGACCCTTAGGTCGCGTATTGTTATACATATGCACTGGGTAGGCCGATCTGTAATCTGGGGGTTCCTTATGAGGTGGCATAGCATACGCACTCCCGGAAAACATAATTGCTGCCATGGCAGGGTCAAAAACTTCATGCTGGTAGTCACCTTGTTGTTCAAATTGCTGCTGGACACGCGCTGCATGCATTGCCATATTACGATATGTGTGTTCCTGACGTCGAGACTCGAATTGCAATTGAAAGTATTGCTGCGCTATTTCAGATCCGCCTCGATGCGTACGTGCGTTGAAAACGTCCCAAAAGATCTGCCACCATTCATATAAAAAACCTTGTGGAGCATCATTTTGCGGGATGAATGCCGCACCATCACCAGGACGCCGTCCGTTTTCTTCGATATCTGCCTCAAATGCAAAAGCGCGGGCGGTTTCGCCCAATGACGATTTGTTCAAAAAATCGTATATGTAAGCGTTCAACAACTGTTTTGATTGTCTCGTGCCAGCTCCATACGCCGATGCGGTCCAATTTTCATGGTTATCACCATCTGGACCAGAAGGTTGCTCCAGTGGAGCTCCTGCCACCCTAGGACTCTGCTGACTGCTGTACTGGCTTTGCTGCTGCTGATGGTTTTGTTGCTGTTGCTGCGTATACCCGGCTTGTGGATGCATATATTGCAGATTCCCCGGTAAACCATCACCCATAGAGCTCATTCCTGCTTTAATACTTGCTCCTGTAATGCACCTTTTAATCTTCTCTTACCTCACACACAGCGTCCTATCGACAACTTGAATGATCAACGGGACACCGCTCAAAAACCGGATTTTTTCGGGCAATTCAAACGGAAAATGGCCCTTTTTTAATATGAGCGACTGTGAACCTAAATGTGTCCAAATTTACAGCGACAACCCCAATTTTGAGGGCGTTATGGCTTGGTTCAATTCCTAGTTTTCGCGTTTCCTTTAAAGTTTGTCGAGATCGATAAACGGGGTTAGTTCCTTTTCTACGCGATATTGAAAAAACTTCGATAGTTAAAGAACTCCGTGGGCAACGATGAGCAACGATGAGCAACGATGGGCATTTGTTAGGAAGAGAATCAAAAGGTTTACAAGGCTACAGAAACATGATGAGACCTGCTGATTAAAAGGTAAATCGGTCCACGACTAAGGGCTAATATCCACGTATCAAGCGGTCTTTTTTTGAGCCGAAACAGGAGATGAAACGTTGAGATAAGCCAAAGTTAGTAAAACGGCGTTGAGCGTGAACAAAAGAGTGCTTGCGAGCTCATTGGGAGGATAGCTGTTCCAGCAGAACTCATGCAGAAAGAACCAGGGCACTCCCAGGTAGACAGGGATTCCACTCCAGTGTATAATTGCCGGTAAAGTCCATTGGTACCAGGATAAAAACTGGTAGTGTAATGAGCGTGCAAAGAAGATACCGACGAAATTGGTCATGAGTAAAGTGTATCCGATGCTCTGGGTGGTGGGGAAGGTATGAGGCAATGAACGTGAAAATGGGTGGAGGGGGGCGGAAACCGCAGCCCGTAGCTGCGCGAAGTTCGAGAATCGTGTTAATGCAAAAACAATTAAAACGAGTAAATGAGCAGCGAGAAGTGAATGGTGGAACAGCGGATGTTGAAATGCGTCTTCTTCAAGCATTTGCCAATTAATACTCCATTTGTACATGAATTTGCGACCGAAATCAAACGCAGTGGGCCAGTATTGGTTTGCATGCTCTGCGAGGAACTCGCGCGCAACATAAATCTGCCAGGCTTCGACAAGGGCGAGACATGCACCGGTTTCGAGAAAGCTGCCTTGTGTGAGTTGGAAAATGCACAATACCACGGCAGGCAAATACAGAAGCGCGTTCATCTTAATACTGACTGCGACTCCATAGGCGACGCTCGCGGCAAAACAGGCCATACGACTGCGGAATCGTGCACTGATCAAAAGAAGCATTACGGTGCTAATCGCGAAAAGGGTTTCAAAACAATCGTTGAAAAGACGCAGCACGTAGATCGAGTGCAGTCTTTTCGACAGCGACGCTAGCACGACACACCATGGTGGTAAACCAAGGAGAACATAACATACCATTTGCAAACACAACGTCGCAATGTAAAGGTATCTGAAAATCGTTTGACCGGCCTCTAAATTGTCCATTCCAGAAGTGAAGCGATCCATAATCTTGTAAATGGCAACGTGACCCGCAGGGTACACCAAAGGCCCCGTGCCTCCCTCGATCAACGAGTAATCACGTTCTCCATCTTTCACCATCCAGATTTGTTCCATATACGCCCTGTAGTCGATTTCCGTATAAGCCACATTCGCGATAATCCATTTCAAAGCAATGCTTTCAGCCAAGACCACTAAGGGCATTACAATATGGTTAGCTTCGGGTTGAAATATCAAATACCTGAGCGCATCTGTAAAATCTTGCCATATATTAATAGGAGGCCTTTCAGGCATTTTTTCATCAAAAGCTTCGGTTGCTGGCTTTTTCGTAATTGATTCAACTGGTTCAATTGTCTCTGGATCAGTCATGACCATTTCATTAAGTTTTCGATCAAATTTCCCACAGGTTCATCATAGCCATGATGTACCTTTAATTTTTCGTTCATCTCGTTGAATGTTGTATGGGAAAAAAATCCTTCAGGCAAAGGAATGTCACTGTACGATGGATAACGAGAGTGAGAACCAATGATAGAAAATGGACTTATCAGTGACGAATTGTCTAATGGAGCATTGTATATAGTTTACATCGCTTGGGTGTCATCTTGACGACCACGAAGCTTAGGCAATAACCTTGGCCAACATTTCGTTTTGAGCCACTACTCCGTTGAAAGTAGTGTTCAAGTACTTGAGTAATTCAATGACCCTTTGTTGGAGTTCCTTGGATTGAAATTGTTTCATTCTGTCTAGGTTTTCCTCTCTTCCAAGAGTAGATTCTCTTTCGAGTTTAATTCTCTCGTCTTCTTTGGCGAAAACGTTAGCGAGAAATTCGACGACTCTTGGTGTTTCATTGACTATGAGATTATTGTTGGATTCATAAAGCCTCATGATGAGCTTGAAAATCGGATCGTATTCTTCGAAACCGGTGTTTAAAGGTAGATGATTTAAGAGCGCTGGGAGAGTGTGTTCCAATGGTACCAAAGTTTCGTTTTTCAACGTCATTCTCGCAACACAGCCAGTGGCGTTCGCGAAAGCTCGGTCCACGATCTCTCTGGTGGCTTCGTCGTCTTCAGCGGTCAAAGCCTTTTGATCGGCGGTGCTCAAAAGCTCATACATGGCTCTCAAGACAGGTTCATACATGGCAGAAACATCCATGGTAGTGTACTGACAAAGCAGACCTACACCATAGGCAGCATTTCCCCTAACTTCCAAAGATTTGTCGGTGGTCAATCTCACGATCAAAGCTTCGAGCATATCTTGAACAAATGGATTTGCCTCTTTTAAACCTTCCGAAATTTCGGAAATGGCGCCAACGGCAGCCGATCTCTTGTTTTTGGATTTGGATTGGAATAAACTCAAAACCACTGGTTTGAAGTTGTCAAAAATTTTGGCAAAATCGGCACCAAGAGCGTAAGACAAGCTTACCAAGACTTCGAGGGCACAGTCTAGAAGAGCAGCTTCTGTTTCGGAAGCGTCTCCATCTTCGTCCTTTGGAATGTCTTCCTCGTAATCGATGGTTTGACATGCGTGAGTACCCTTAAGGACGTTCATAACTTCGACACAAAGTCTTTCTAATGAGGACGAATCGCCATTGTCCATAACCACAATTGGGCCAAACTTCTTAATCATTTCAGCAAAATCTTCCATAACAGTAATGACCATCGAGGTTTCAAACTCCTCAGAAAGGTTTTCCAACGATGTGATTCTGGCATTCTGCACCACTGCAAGAACCATGCTGTCAACATATGAGCTGGAAGGAACGCCGATGGGATATTTGTCTTCTTCCACATTGGCGGTCAGCACAACGGCTTTTGCAATGTTCCAAATGGTATGCAAGGCGGTTTCTCTCAAACCATATGATTCTTCGACTTGCTCGTTCAAAACCTTTAAAGACTGTTCAACGTACTCCAAAAAGCTGTCCTTTGTAGCAATGGCCAACTCAGATAGAGCAGCAGCAGCGACCTCCTTCTCGTAAGAAACACCAGTGTTAACACTGAATTTCTGTTGTAGCTCATCCTCTTCAAGGTTCTCTAGCTCCTCAGCCTCACCGTCAAAGTTGAATTGGTACTCTTTTTGTTCCAAAGTCTTGAAAATTTCAGGCAATATGGTAGTCAAAAATGGAGCGAAATCCTTGCCATACACTTTGGCCATGTTAGCAATGAACGCATATCCAGACTCTCTTAGCCTGGCACAGTCGGTCTTGATAGCTTCATATGCAGAGTTCAACAGTGGTTCGGCGAACTCGTGAAAGGCTTCAGATCTGACAGCTCTACCCATAGTTGAGATGTTCTCGAAAGTCAAGGCCCTCAACTCAATGTCGTCATCAGACAAACCCTCAATTTGACCAGAGTTGGCAATGAACTGTTGCAAGTATTGAACGGAAGTCTTGAAGTATGGTACAAATGCGGACCCTGCAGCGAAAGCAGCAGAACCAATTGCAGAAACGATAGCAGCTCTGAGCTTTGAAGACGTGTTAGTTTCCAACATGTGGAAAAGTTTGTTCATCAAGGGCTCTAAGTATTTAGAGATCGCCTCGAAGGCTGTGAACTCCAAAAGACCATCCAAAGCCACGGTAGCGTACTTGTAAATAACGACACTTTTGGCAGAGTCGATAATGCCCATGATAAGTGGTAAATAGTCTTCGTGAAACTTGGCGACTTCGTCTTGCAAATCGGTTGTCAATTGAGAAATACATTTCAAGGCGGCGAGTTGAACCACAGCTTCTGAGTCCTTCAAGCCCACAATAGTACCAGGAATAATCTTGTCCAATTGAGAAAGAATATAATCAGGACAACCTGTCACCGCAACGGAAATGGCCAAAAGAATGGCCCTCCTTTCGAATGGATTAGAAGAGCTTAGCATAGATGGCAGGCTTTCTATTATTGGCACGGCAACTTGAGATGGTGGCAACTCCGACGAGGCAAAAGCCAAAAGTCTAATCGCAGTCAGAGATGGAGTATTTTCTTCATTTTCGCCAGCTTCATCTTCGTTGTTCAGCTCATCTTCAACATCTATCTCTTCTGATGCCACCTTCAAAGCAGTCATTGTCATTTGTGGGCCCAATTTGGCTTGAATGACCTTTGATTTTCTGAAAGAAAGCGCAGAAGTCGCGAACTGAATGGCGTAAACACGCACCTCTTCATCGATGTTGGAATTGCCCGCGATCTGCAAAGAAAGAGAAATCAAGTCCACAACGCTGCCTCCTGTAAGTTGAGAGTCAAGTAAAAGGAAATCGTTCAAGCAGTTGAACACCAACTTGGTGTTGACAGCGTCGTCAGACTTGATGGTTTCCTCCAAGACTCTAACGACAGATGGGATAAGCGCGGCGAACCTCGCGGCGTACTCAGGATTGATCTCGCCTTCGTCTTCGATCAAGCTCGAAACCTGGTTTAGGGCTTGCGCGGACAAAGATCTGGCCTCGAGCGTGTTTGGCTCATTGATTGTAACTCCGAACAACGTCAAGAAATCGCCAATGTACAACGTGAGCTCTGGTTCCATGTTGTCCAATAAAGACAGAAGCACGAAAAGAGCGGTTTCACTGGCCTTGGGGTCCGAGCCAGAGGCCGATTGAACCAGACTAGGAACGAGATCTGGCCATTTCTTCTCGCCAAGATCTTCGCTACCAATGGCCGCAATCACTCTAGCGCTAGAATGACGCACCACTTGACTGGGCTCACTGAAGGCCGAGATGAGAATAGAGCTCTTGATCTCAGTCTGCACGCCGGCATCTAGCTGACCCCAGTGTTGTGGAACTTGCTTTCTGGCTTCAACACCTGCCAATTGTTTGATACCGTTATCGGAGCTGTTCTGCAAGATGTGCAGAAGCGCTGGCAAACAGGCAGGTTGGTTGTAAAACTGCGACTGCAAGACTTTGGTGGCCTCTTTCAGAGACGCAGAGTTGGGCTGCGTGATAGCTGCGAGTAATTGCTCCAAATTGGAGACGTATTGTTGATCCATGGTATCTAAATTTCGGTTATCGACTAAACAGGCGAGTACAGCGATCACAAATTCTCGATCAAAGACTCTTGTGCGAGTTTTCTGTAGCAGAAAAAACCCCTGGTATTCAAAACGGTGGGTTCTCGACTCCGAAAATCACAGCTACCTTCGGAGATTTATTAGTTTGTGCTGTAATAGATGGTCTCTAAGAAGAGAATGTGACACCAAATCTATGTTCTTAGCTCTGAGTCTTCGCTAAGCTTTCGGGCTTTTCAAAATTCAATATAAACGACCCAACGTCGCTGTGCTGCGTTTATCTCGAATGATGGGGTTCGATGAGTGAAATGGCAGCTCATCGCATCTCATCTCATCTCATGAAAATTTTTTGTTGCCTCTCGGGGCGACAGAAAAGAACAACACAGCAGGAGGTCACGTGCACTCACCAGTATTCATCGTCTAAGACGAACTTACTCATTCTTTGAGATATGAGTATGCGTAAACTATGATCAAAGTTCTTGACATTTAAATCATTTTGAACGTAAAAATGAACACCTCCTTCCCGGAGCCGCCCAGGGTCGAAGAAAGGACAAAACAGCGCAAGCAGTGCCCTTCTATGTGTCTTCTAGCGATTCGAAGCTCATAGAATCGAAATGTTGGGGTTACGCCACGAAGGGCATACTCAGATTAGCTTTTTTGACAGGAACTTCGTAGTTTGTGGAATGGAAATGATAGGTGTACCGTCTCAGGGACTTCCGCCGAGACCCCCTTCTTTATATAGTGAGCTCGAGAAAATTGAAAAGCGAAAGCTAAAATGATCACTATTTACGAATCAGCCGCCGAGGTATTAAAGAGAACCAAAGTGGTGTGCTTGTATGATGATCACGGCGAATCTCTGACGAGCTGTTAGCGTTTACGTTTGTAAAACTAACGTAGTTTATCTACAAATAGTGATAATAATCAGGTTTCTGATATATAAAGTCCTTCCATGCAGCTATATCGCTCGTACAATGCACTGCCTCTAGTGCTCAGGCTTTGTTTCAATTTTTCTCTGGTTCTTAGTCTTTATTCATCGTCCTTATTCATCTAAACAGTTGCCATTAGATCCTGCTCAATATCTTGTAGCTTGGAATCTATTCCGTCTATCGTCATACCTATGAGTTTCCGGTATTTCTTGATTTTCGATGTGGAATTGACCTCACATTTGGAACGCGACAGCTGCTCAACCATGTGTTTCCTCCTTAACTGCATCAGTGTCAGTTCCAAGCCCATGCATAGCATCTCGTCATTTATCACTTTGACAGGTGATTGAGCGACGGACGCCTCCGGTGAATCACACACAGAATTTACCCTGGATTCTTCTTCGTGCACCAGCGTAGCCAGAGCGAGCGCTTGCGACTTTTCGATCGCGTTGTTCAGCTGCCCCATTTGGTTCTCAGCTTGACGCGAAATCCGGTTGACATCCGCATGCAACTCTTCTCTTGTCGAAAAGTCGTTCAGTATCTGTTTTTCGTGTGCGTTGTTGTGCTGAAGAGATTGACGGATACCGTCTATGCATTCGCGTGTCTTATCGATCTCGAGCTCCAGACCACCGATCTTCTCGTCAACCGAATTGGTCAGAGTCGCAGTCAGCCCGGACAGTTGTTTCACCAAGGATTGTGAAGAGTTTAAAGTTGCAGTAGGATCCAACGACACAGAGCCCTCAAACTCTTTATCAGTCACAGCATGTACCGCTGTATCGCCCGTCCAAGATTGCTCCGCGTTCGGATCTGTAACATGTCTTTTTGGTTCTTTGACCGCTGTCGACGTAAGAATAGAGTTTTGGGAATGCGACAAAGACGATAGTTCTTGTGTCAGATTGACGGTATAATCGTCCCCCTGTACAAAGCTGTTGCTCTTCTTTCGGGTCATTAGAGGGGTACTTAGCTTTAACTGCCGATCCTGGGTAGGTGCAGCGGTCCCTACATGGGCATGCGGTATCCCATCCATAGGTTGGGATGTTGGCGGTACCAAACTGAATTTAGCCAAGATGGAAGCCGCATTTTCGTTGTCTAAGTTGACAATGTCCATAGAGCTACCGAGATAGCATAATTTGTTGCACAATTCCAAATTCAAATTAAGTGCAGCTAAGTGAAGGGCCGTGTTGCCCATATTGTCTTGGTAATTGAGGCACATTTTCAGGAGTGAGATATCTTCTTTTCCCAATAAATCGAGGATACAGTCCATGTAATAATTTATAATGACAGGATCTTTGGATTTGTTGACACTAAGTTCTACCAAATAGTGGAACGGTAACCTGCCGTTCATATCCGGAGTGATGATACAAGGTTTCAACAATTCCAAAACCTGAGGAAAGGCACCAGCATTGTAACAGTTGTTATAGAAGCAAGCCTTGGTGATGGCAGTGAATCCGCGATCGTTGCATTGCAAAAAATTGACAGGCAGAGTCAACAGAAGCTTGATCAAGGGTACATTTGCCATAGCGGCTGCCCAGTGGAGAGTTGTATGGCCCTGGTCATCAACTGTGAAATTGACGTCAAGACCTGCCGGAGGATGAAACAATTCTTCAGGGAGAAATATAGATTTTTGATCGACTTCGGAATAATCGCATGAGAGAACTTGCAATAACATTTCTTTGTAATTTTGTTGATGCGACACTTCAGTGGCTTCACCGTCTTTGGCCTTTGCGGAGTCTGGTGACTTATTCCTTGGAGAAATGGAACGCGATGACATCGGAGTCGGATTGTCCTGGGTCGAAAAACATTCGAACGACGACCCATTGGACCCATTTGATTGAGAAGTACGATGCGATGACGGTTGAATGACCATGACGGGGGGCTGTTGCGATTGCTGCGGCTGCCGTTGTTGCTGTTGAACCCTGAATTGCTGCTTCATTGCGTGGAAGGTGTGACGAACTTGTGCATGTTTGCCCGATTTCTTGGCAATCTTGTTAGATCTTTGCGACAAAGGCTGAGACGGATTGGACGCGTCAAACGTGAGAAACGCAGGTTGTTGCTGCGGGTACGGAAAGAATTGAAGTGGTTTTTGAGTAGTTTCGTAACTAGACCCGTGCAATGGAGTTTCTTGATCGGGCGCTACAACGGTAGAGTTGTTTTGTTGCGAAGAGACCATTTGCTGCTGATGTTGTGGTGTTTGAAACACTAAATTCTGCAAAGGGCTTGGTTGAACGGCATTGCTCTTTTTTTTAGCAGCAGTCGTCTTTTTCATTAGAGACTCGCTTGTCTTTTTCGGGGTCTTATTATAACTCGAAGGTGAATGAATCTTGGTCCCCGGAGATTGTCGCTTGATCACAGAGTTTTTCGTCCGCCTTTGCGGTGGATCGTTGGGATCCAATTCGAAATTCAAAATGGCTGACACCACGATATCATTAACACTATATTTCTGAACCAAATAATGTGCATTTTCTAATGAAATCCAGGTCCCTTGAAACCGTCCATACCCTCCTTGGATCTTTTCATGCTTGATTCGATTCGATTCTTTCTCTAGGATCTTGGTCCGTTGCGTCTTGGAAAATGACGCGATCTTGAACACCTGAGTGATATTAATCCAATCATCAGCACAACGCCGCATAACAATCCTAGCTTCTTGGCCACGACAGTAACATTCGTAAACGTCAACTCCGGCATAAGTTGCGACTTCTATTACCGGTCGAATCGGTGGAATGGTTCCACTTCCCATCGCAACTCCTCCTTCCGTCGTTGCAATTGCCATGCTTCTCTTACAGAAGTCTGTTCGGTTATCGGACTCGTAACCAATTCCCAATCTGAACGTCCAACCTGTTTCTCCTGCCGGTACCTCCTCCTACGAGTACCTTTGGTTGAGTCCGATGTGGTTTGCTAGGGAAAATTCTTCTTTGGTGAGATCACTTTACTGGAACTGGCAAAAGCTTAAATGACGCGTAAACGCGTAAAATTTGGCGTTTATTTTACGATGATTTGTTTACATCTTGAAGAGGAAGAGAGATGACTGAGATGAAGTGAAAAGGTTGGAAATGAGACGCATGACGGTTTGAAATGCTTATCGAGAGACATATTTGTAGAATGATTCAAAAACGAGAATTCTTGGGCTGTTTTTGCGAGAGCTATGGGGGTTTAAAGGTTTAAGGTGGTATGTGATGAAATCGGCGGTGATCCAATGGAAACTCGAAGATGAAGTGCACTAGAATTTGTTACTGGAATGGAGTTGCCGTTAGACTCAAAAGGTGGGAATTTTTGGGCGTTTTTCGACCGGATTTTGAGCATTTTTTGGCGTTTGAAAGCTGAAGATGTCATGAATTAGATATATTGGAGAGCAAAGATTTAGCGACGTGATTGCAGTTCAGAGTGTGGTGGTAGTATTGCTCGAAAAGCGGAGTTTTCAGGACGTTTTTTGGGTGTTTTTTGGTTGAACTCTCGGCTCTCAAAGGGTAATACCTGATGAGTTGAAATAGTGAGTGAAAGAATTAGAGAGGACAGGAAGTCAAGGTGTGGTGTGTCGAGACGTAAGCGCAGGGAATTAATGTGAATTGATTTGAAAAAGCAGAGTTTTGAGCTCCTTTGAGGCGTGCCTTGAGTTTTGAAAAGTCAACATGTAGTGAGTTGGAAACTCGGGCAAAACGGAGGAGACGATTTATAATGTGCTATAACGGATACTGAGGGCGCGGTCAGTGTTTGACTCGAAAAAATAGGGGTTTTCTGAGTATTGTCGGTCGCGTTAAGAGTTCCCAAAAGGCAAGATGTATTGAGAGTGAAATAGACGGGCAAATGGCTCAATTAGCCGTTTGCATACTGGCAACAATGGTAACGGCGCCCTTTTCAGTCGTAGTGTCTCTTAGAGCTGCTGAAAACGCGCTGGGTCCTGATAAGCGGTCTATTTTAATCACAGAAACGATGTGTGGGCCTGATCCTGTGACGGGCGTCGGAGGGCTGTGGAGTTATGAAGTGCTATGCATGAACACGCCTTTTAACAATATCGACAAGATCGGGATGCAGCTGACGCGAAAATTCCTAGTTCGGTGGATCCTGGGGTCTTGATCTGCATGCGGTACTATTTTAGCCGAAGCAAAAACAAACTTTATGCCATTAAGCCACATGAGAAGACATATTTATCGTTGCAACAACACACTACGTCGAGGCTTTTTAAAGGACGGTGTCACGCCTGGCAGATTTACGATCAGGACGTTGTGCGAGGGATTCCAAATTCCTCATTGCTCCAAACCCGTCGCTACGTTCCAAAACTACTTCATCTACAATCACAGTCCAGCGGTCAAGCTACGTCTACGATCCTCTACGTCGCCAATAATGGGCTCTCACGGTTTCCCTTATTTTCGGCTTGATATCTTCATACAGCGTCTCTAAACGACACAAATTCATCCCAATCCCACCCAATGCACTGCTATAAATGTTTCAGACATAAAAAAGATTGTCTGGTCCCTCAAACTGGCTCCCCTCTAGCTTGATTTGCCAATCTGGATCATCATTACACCCTTGCTACCATACCTAATCCTTCAGCCTGTCAAAATTGAATCTGAAAAGTTTGGCAGATACCTTGAAATCACTGCCTCATCTTGCACCCGCTATCCTGCCATTATCTTCACTGTACACTCATGTACATCGTCTCAGACCCATCGTTCACTTTGTCACTAGTTATTTTTCGTTAAGATGACCATACTTGAACCAAGTGAAAATTGTTAACCAAAAATCATCGTCATTAATAAAACTTGAAAACCGACAAAACAAGCCTTAGAGGGACCTTTACCGCACTTCAATATGCTACCTCTTTACCTGTTGACCAACTCCAATGGCCAGCATATGCTAATAGAATTGAAAAACGGTGACACCGTGCAAGGACAATTGACAAATGTGGATAATTGGATGAACCTAACATTGGCAGATGTCACACATACAGCGTCCAACGAAGTGATAACGCTACCCGAAATTTACGTAAGGGGCAATTTTATCAAATACATCAAATTGCAACAAGACGTTATTGAAAAGGTCAAACAATCTAGCGCACAACAACAGTCGCAAGGTCACCATCAAAACCGGGATTTTAGAAGAAGACAAGGCGGTGGTGGTAACAGACGTGATAACGATAGAAGGTTCAACCAAGGTGGTAATCAAAAAAGAAACGAAGGACGTGGATCTCATTACAATGGTGGAAATCGTCGTTACAATAACCAAAGACAAAGCAATGATGGAAACCATTCCAGTGCGATGGGTGGATTTGTTCAGCACCATCAAACAAGCGCACAACAGCCGGCCTCACTGGGACACAACTAGTTAGTGCTATTCATTATCATTAAATACTCTACGTCTATGTGAAATTTATAACGGATGAAAGTCCCTTCTAGTTACTGCTCCTTTGCGTATTGGAAAATGCTGTCCAGAAACCAACAACAAGACAAGTAACCCAGGCATCCAAACCCGCACCAGCAAAGGGCGTTGAACAATAGGGTGTAGCACACGAACAAGAGGATCGACGAAAAGTCTCTCAGATGCAGAACAAATGCCAAATAGTACAGGGAGTATAGCATGAAATAAAATGCAACGCTTCCTCCTGCGAAAAACGCTTTCCATCTCCAACGTGCAAAAGCGATATTGAATTCATAATTCATGGTAACGAAAAAAGATTTCGACATGCGCCAAACGCCGAACGGAGTAAAACAGTCTCTCCATGAAAGTGCCAAACGATGTGGGTAGTTTGCGTCCTGTCTTTTCGTAACTTCTAAATCAACTTGCGGTTTATGCAAAATTGTCAAATAGCAGATGATAACAGATACTTCGCTTACGATGATGCACAGTAACGTAAGGTTGGCAAGCAGGAATCCGTAAAGGTAGTAAAAACTGGTCTTTTCGAGCCACAGTGATTTGTAGACAAACAACAATTCCACATAAATCACTGCGAATGGAGGAGCTCCCGCAGCGAGACTTAAGAATAATGGATTTCTTAAGATGACCGAACCTGTTTCCTTCCTTGCTGGAACGAGCGTCCTTGTCGCTCCGCTGCCGTTCCAGGCGTTTTCGTATTTGATTCTGTACAGGAAAAACCGCTGCGACTTTGATTCATCTTGCACAGTTCCCTTTTGCACGGATTGCTTTGCACGCCGTGCGCCTAGTCCTCCCAAGACAGATAGCGGAATGCAAAGCACGAAATAAGCCGCAATGAACAGGATGATAGTTCCAAATGGCAATGCGTTGGGAGAATCCTTGGCCCAGATAACGCAATTCAAAATCAACAAAATGCAAAGCGTGATCGCTGGTAACGTTGAACCAAAGACCACGGACATGCCAAGGCTCGTCTCTGACAAAGGTGACAACAATGAGCCCACAAATGAAGCCGCGTAAGCGCCAACGACGAAAAACAAAAGTGACACCGAAATGACAGAGTTTCTCACGTTATGCAATTTGCTCAAAGAGCAAGACACTATAAGGGAACCTAACATGGAGAACATGAAATGTACTCCGACTGAGCAAGCCAAGTTCAAATGAATCAAAAGCGGTGTTGATTGAACCGACAAACTCCGGGCCGCGGAAGACACGGTTTCTTCTTGCCGGCTAGATGTCACTAAAAGTGCTACAATTGAAGTCATAACACCCACCACGATGAAACTATTGGCCAACGAAATCCAATGAAACTGAGTCGACTTCGAATTTTCCAATTCACCGCTGTTCATGAAAAAATTCCATCTATTGGCCCAGTCGACTTTGAATTCTTCACGCCAATAGATCGAATATGTGAACGGGATCAAGATCGGTTCCTTGGCGGCAGTATCGATTTCGAAATGCTCGAAATTCTTGGATGCACCGGGACATCGCGCATCCGAGACGGATTTTGGGTAAACCTCGAAACCAACAATGGTGTGTTTATTGACATCAACAGAGTGAAATCTGATGACCAACATGACGTGGTTGTTGATGTAGGATTTACCAGTTGTAAGGTCGGTATGTCCCAACGGGAAACCCGAGGCGTAGTATTTTTTCTCGTCTTTGGTAGAGATAAATGTCGTTGCGGCCGGCAATTCGTCGTCTATGAGCCAATGCGCCACGTAACCTTGTTGTATCATTTCGTCCGCCCTTATTAGCCCGTCTGGCTGCGTTCGACGATCGCATAGACGTGTACAGGGCTCATCTTTGCCGAATTCAAGCTTGTAGTCACTTTCCCATTTTCTATCGCCACGGATCACTTCGCTGAGCGACAAATGTAACGGTTTTTTACCCGCGGACGGAGGACACACAAAGGGTAAATCGTGGTACGAATACGGGAAATGGGTCACATCGGACTCTACTTTGTTCACGATGATTTGCACGGGATCTCCGAGCTTATAATAATGCGGCCTGATCCATCCTAGGTTGCTTGCAAACTGCGCGGATCTGCTGCCGCTCGAGCACAGCCACAACAGATACACGGTCACGGCGATGACCACCGTCACAAAAGTCTTGCTTCTTCTTCTCATCGAAAGTCTAATCTCCACCACGCAAACACTTCTAAAAACCGATCGGAAAACGACCTTAAAACGGCCGGAGTTGCAAATTTAAGCGAATGTAAAGGTTTCTGTACCGTGGAAAGCTCCCGAAAGTCGAAACCGAGCAATACCAAGGAACCAAAGCAGGAAAACGGGGTAACACACAACACGGAGCTTTTAACTCAATCAAAAATCGGGTTTTAGATACCGTAAAAGTCTCGCTGAAAAGGCCCAGCCACGCGCAATCTAGAAACCAAAGCAACAACGACACGCGCGTTAAGCCAGTTATGCTTATTTAATTGTAAAAGGTGCGTGGTTTCCGTTGTCACTGAGTTCTTAAAAGTGATGAATTAGTTGTCACTTTTCACTTTTTTGAACAGCTCTAACTACGAACCTTAAACAAGACCCTAGTTGCAGACGCTGGCAAGCTCAAAATACCACGCAAACTGGAAAAAAAAGAAAAAAAACACGCGAGAACCACGTGATTTTAACTCGCTTTTCACGAACTAAAAATGTCACGTGCATATCATGTGACATTTTGATCGCAATATACGAATAGTCACGTGCTTTGGCAGGCCACAAGCTGGTTAATTGACCATAAACCCAGTTTGTATACTACAATCCGATGAGCACCTTTTAAGATCGATAGTTGGCACTGGCATCCTCTTTGGCATGTATCCTGTGTCTTCCGGAAGGCTACGGGGACTTGGAGAAGAGCCTTTCGAACGGTTACAAGCTTTAATTGAGGCTTCGATCCAGCAAAATAACTTGGAAACTGCCGAATTCCAATGTGAGATTCTTGTGGGTGAAGGCAAACGTGAAGAAGCATCTTTGTCACAACTACACACTGCAAGTTATTACTATGGGCTTGTACTGTATTTGAGAGGCAAAATTCAGATTGCCTGGGACGCCGTGAGCCCGTTCAAAACCCAATTTTTAGGTTGCAGTTACGTGCTGGCGCGTTGTGCGTTGCAACTTAAAGACAGCTATTGTCGCGAAGCGGCCACTGCTCTCGCAGGTTTTAGCAAGTTTGAAGAACGTATTGGTGTGGATGCTTCTGCTTCTGCAGCGGCTGGTCCGCTGTTTATGGCACCAGACGAAGCCACGTTACACTGCGTTTTGGGCCAGCTGTACATGAGACTTGGACGTACGAGTGAAAGCGCGGCGGAGCATTACAAAGCTTTGACTTTGAATCCGTATTTATGGGAATCCTTGCGTGCTATGTGCGAATTGCGAAGCGATTTCAGCGTTGGTAAGCTTTACGTCAGGCGACAAAGCAATCGCCGCGTCCAATCGAGTTTGGGCACTCGGCCGCGACGTGGACTCATTTTGAAGCCACATACACCATTTAAAGTGCCTGCATTCGACTCCAAACGTAAAAACGTGGCGATGGCCGCGCAACAACAACCGCATAGCTTGAATAAAACCAAGCATGGTGTGCAATTGAAAGCTTCGAACATTTCTATGACCAGCACGACGGGCAATGGTAATACACATTTGAAAAGCCGATTACTTGCCACCCCGCCTTCGAAATTGGCAGCGTCGGATCGCGTCGTGTCACCCGTAAACTTGTCCAACGACACTTCTGGCTCTTTGACGGGTTTTGAGCCCACTGGGCTGATAGATTCCATATTTTACGCATTGGGAAAAGCCTACAAATCTGCTTGTCAATATGACTGTTACAAAGCGATCAGGTTTCTGAGTGAAGAATTGCCGCCAAACTTGCTTTCAACGATGCCCTGGGTACTGGCATGCTTGGGCAAATTGCATTTTGAAATTGTCAACTATGAAATGAGCAATAAATATTTCAAGGCATTGCGGAAGTTGCAACCCAAGCGGGTAGAGGACATGGAAATCTATTCGACTTTACTATGGCATTTCCGAGACGCGGTGGAACTTTCCGCATTAAGCAGAGAGCTTGTGAGCTTTGCCAAATTGGCCCCTCAGACTTGGATCTGTGTGGGTAATTTCTTTTCTCAAAAGGGCGCTCGAGAAAAATCGATTCAAGCCTTTCAATGGAGTGTTGAATTGGATCCCAAATTTGCATACGGTTATACACTTCAAGGTCACGATCATTCCAGCAACGATGCCTTCGACACGGCTCGGACTTGTTATAGGCAAGCACTTGCCGTAAATTCACAACATTATAATGCTCACTACGGGTTAGGCATGTGTGCTTTAAAATTGGGTCATTATGAAGAGAGCTTACTTCACTTTGAAAGGGCTCGTGGTATTAATCCTGCAAATGTCATTTTACTATGTTGTTGTGGTGTGGCTTTGGAAAAATTGGACCACCAGGACAAGGCGCTCGACTACTATGACCTTGCGTGTGAGCTTCAACCCACTTCGTCACTGGCACTATTCAAAAAAGCACAATTACTATTTACAATGGCCAAATACAACAGTGCTCTTGAAAATTTTGAAACGCTCAGAGCATTAGCTCCTGAGGAAGCTACGGTACACTTTTTACTCGGTCAACTATATCAGATAATTGGAAGGAGACAGGATGCTGTGAACGCTTTCACCGTTGCATTGAACTTGGACAGAAAGGGAAGTCAAGTCATAAAAGCCGCATTAGAAAAGTGCTATCGCTTGGAATGAGGACTCGCGGTTGTAATATCCGTCCCACGCAATCGAACATTTTATAGGTCAATCAATTAATGGGATATTAGTAGTTATGAACCTTTTTCTATTAATATTACATCGAAGCAGAAAGCAGTAACTTCCTTGCGAGATCATATTCTATGATCGAGATATTTTGTATCAACGCCGAAATAATCCCCAGGGCTTTGATCAGGCATACGGCCATTCCCTTTTCCCAAATTAGGAGATAGAACTCCTGATGCTAGCAAATACGGGCTCTGAAAACCACCCGAAGTATTATGCTGTATTGAAGAACCCGGTGTCGATGTGTCCGTGTTATTTTCATGAGCACCAAAATCGCCCCGTTGTTGCTGCTCCCAAAGAAGTTGATCCTCATCTTCTTCGTTCAAAAATCTTTGCTCTTCTCTCATACGTGTTTCCTCACGAGCCTGGGTTAATAGTTCTTGTGCCTTGGTTAGCGACACGGTAGGAGTAGCACATGAACTTATAATGGGAACGCTGGTATCAATATCTATGGTGGCTTTAATCAGAGCCGCCATCCATGCCCTCATCTCGTCTTTAGTATCAACAGCAAAATAATGAACGCGAGGTTGCGTAAACGTCAAACCCTTCTTGGAACCAGGTTGAGGTGGTAAAAGCTTGAAACAGTAGCGGCCTTTCCCCGTACTTGCGGCATAAAGTGCGACAAATTTGTCGTCGTCTTTGGCGGGAAGTACTCTGTGAGCAGTAATATCTATCAGTCCGCGCTCTCGAGTGTCTGTGGTATTGGAGAAATATGAAAGACGAGTCCCATGTAAAGTGAAAAATCTGTTTTTCCAGACTCCCATGGCGCCTGAACCTTTTTTACTCATCCATCCGGAGCAATTGGATTCTATCATGGCATCTTTCACCGATATTGTCCTTATACCTTCCATAAACGCAGACGTATTATGCTTTCTTGCCGTAGGTTTGATAGTACGAGACGCTTTGGATTTGGTCGCCTCGCTGACAGAGCGTTTCGCATTGGTATCTTCCAAAACCTCCTCTTTGGCATCTACAAAAACATCTCCCTCTGTGGCACGTTCAACAGTTCCGGGCTCCTTGGCACTAACGGACCTTCTTTTGCCATCTGCCTCGGGTGATTCTGCAATTGGAACAGAAGCCTTCATGGCCGTAGCAGCAGCAATAACGGAGTGTCTTTTGGAAGGAGAATGAGCCGAGCCCTTTCTGCTGTGAGAGTAAGAGCCTTGCTGAGAGTGACCCTTCTTGTTCGGTGAAGAAGGTCTAGCCATCTCATCTTGTTTGCCCGAGAAAAAGGACAATATTGATGAGTTTCTTCTATGCTTTTTAACATCTGAATTCGAAACCTGAGACGGCTGTCTTATATGATGCGGCGACGCCGTTCTTGAGTGCTCGTAAACGCTTGAAGATGGTCTTTGAGACCGATTTTCAAATACGAAACCGTTGTCGGTAGGTTTAAAGGTATCGTCATTAGGAGGCGAAAGCATGGAGACTCTCTGGAAAAGGTCTACAAAAGAACCGCCTGATCTGTTTTTCCTGTGTCCACTTTGTTCTGAGTACACCACAGAGCTTCTGTTACCGGTGATATTGGCAGGACTTCTAGAGATTGCTGGGTCACGCTCTGCAGAACTGCCGTGTCCTGCCGTCGAGGCACTTAACGGTTGTGGCGGAGACGTCTTAGGGAATTGATACCGTGGGGTTTGCAAGCCCTCGGGAGATGCAGAACTCTTATCATATCTCGCCACTCGTTCATATATAGTTGGAGGATGATTTTTGTAGCTTTGAGCGAAATTGGACGTTGAAGGACTAGGTGTGAAATTGTTTGCCATAGGAGATTTAGGTGGTTGTACCGGTGATGGATAAGCAGGTGGTTTAGGAGGTTTGCGAGGAGACAGGAACACTTGATCGTTCGAATCTGAACTGGTTTCAGCGTTTGAGTTTAAAGCTAAAGATAAAGGTCTAGCTCTGGATCCCGCAGTGGTTCCAGTAGATAGCACAGAGTCCTTTGAAGCTGGTGGGGTAGATTTCGAGGGCAATTCGTCCAGGGATTGCGAAGTTTTGCGCATGTGGCCCATGTACGACCTCTGGTTGACCGCAGCGGCGGGCATCAACTGATTTGACCTTTTGGTGGTTTTTTTCGAAAACAGAAGTTCCTTAATGGCCTCTATCTCTTTGAAAATTTCAAACCTGGTGCCAAAGGAATTTATTTCGAGTTCTTTGAGATGATTCAGTTCCAATTCCAAAAGAATCGCACCCGATATTTTATGTTGTTGAAATCGGCTGGAAGATTCAACGTCAAACCCAGAACAAATGAAATACGCAGTCACTTGTTCGGGGCTCCAGCCCAATGCGTTGGCGATGTCCAACTCTCGCGTATCGACACCGTTAATGTGCGAAATACCAAAAGACGTGTCATTGGTAAGCGAGTGTGTCGACATCGAGTTGGGTACATGTGAGGCGCCACGTGATAGTTCCGACTCGGTCATCGTAGTAGTCGTATTAGCGACGGTAAAATCCGCTGAATTTTGCTGCGACACGTCAAGCATCGATTCGCCCTTGAATTCTTCCAAAGCACGGTCTATATCGCTAAGAGTGGTTTTGACGGATATGTTACGTTCGATGTGTGACTTGCGACCGGACAAAAGGTTTACGGGAGCAGCGGTTTCTAGAGGTTGTGGGGTGGGTAGTTCGCTAAAGGATCCGTCCTTAGACATTTCGGAAACGTTGGTGCTGCTGTCGATACGGAGCCCACCAGGGCCGGTGCCAGCAGTGCCAGGGGTACCGCTGGCGCCGCTGGCGGCGCTTCCAAGTGGACTAGCCACCCTTTTCGAAGATTTGGCGCGCATCAGTGACGGGGTCGAGATCTCTTGCGTGAACACTCTTGGATACAAACCCTCCTCATCAGTACGCAAGTTACGTCCATAAAACCAACCGTCGTTGTATTCTTCATCGTCTGTGATTACTTGGATCTTATCACCTGGTTTCATATCGAGTTCATCTTCCATACGTTTGCTGTACTCATTGATCGCGATGTACACGGGGAACTTGCGTTTTTGCACGGAAACGTCCGAGAATCGGGCGCTGGAATTTGTGTCAACGGGCGCAAGTGCGATGCCTGATCTGGGCGCTGTAGACCCCGTAGGCCCCATAGGCTCCCTATTCATGGTTTAGCGATGCGTCGTTAATAGGTTTTGGCGTGTGGTGACGTTCAGGAATTCATCGCGTTTTAGTTTCAAAGCGAGAGAGGTAAACCACGTGATCTTGATCGTAATATACGGTACAAATCATGTGATAATGTATCGTGTGATATGACATTTTTATCAAGGCATTGTTGACGTCAATACTGGAAGGGCGTCTGGAGCAACGCCTGGAGCAACGACTCGAAGTCGCAAGTTACGAAAAAACTGTCACGTCTATAATGGCTTCATGTAAATATTAACCTGGCCCGCGACAGAAGCCATTGTCATTTAGAATGGCGTATGTTAATCTCTGGCTTTACATACAGAACAGTAGACCGAGAGGGTTATCTTATGCAGCGCATTTGTACACTGCGCTGGAAAATGACCATCTGCATCAGCTATACCAGCTTATCAAGCGTTTGAACCAATCTCTGATGTATCTGATGATTTAAGTTTAATATTATCTACATTTTTGTAGGTTCGCATGCAGCCTATGCCAGCACCGCCAGCACGCTATCTCGAATGTACTGTCGCAGCAGCAGCTTGCAATCGCCCAGCAAAAACGTATTAACACTTGTGTCGACAAACTCGAACACCATCGCATTGTCACGTGTCCGAGGAAGTACGTCTAGTGCCATCTCGAGGCCAGAGATTGCGTTCTTGTACGCGCGCATCGATTGAAGGTCCTGCCTCCTGTGTGGCGCCGCCAGCGGTGTCGTGGGTTCCTCAGCCGTGTTGTTTGTCGCCGCAAGTGAACCTGCGCTGTCACTGCCCTTGCGCGTGGGACGCGACTTCGGAGCCCGAAACCAGTTTTGTAAGAGCTGTGTCGACGCCCGTGACGCTCTCCGCCGTGCACGTGCGTCTCCCGTCGCTCCAGCTTCGCTGCTTCCGCTGCTAACGACACTGCTCCCGGTGCCTGTTTGGAAGGGTCGCAAAACGTCGCTGACGTTAGAAACGTTCCTCACGTGCTGGCGAGCGGCTCCAGCAGGTCCCGAACTACCCCAGGCACCGATCAGTCGCTCTAGATATTCCAAAACTTTCTCAGTCTTGGCGGTGCCGCCAGCGTGCTGCTCCTGTACTACTGCGATCAACATTTGCAACACGTTGCACTTGACTGGCACGTTTTCCAACGGAAAACGTGTCTCGTCGCGCGTAAGCACCGCGCCGTCCCACGCGTCCCACACATACCTATGCATAATCACGCAGTCGGTCAGAGCAACGTCTTGTTCCCGCATACTCGCCGCGATCCGACTCAACACTCGCACGCTTCGCTCCGCGACTCCTCGTGGCTCAATAGCGCACACCGCCTGCAATGTCGCCCGAACGCCATCATACTCCTCTAACAACTCACTGGCCAACCCAACGCGGTCTCCAGCTCTTGAAATGCGCGATCTGGTGGTCGATCTCGTCCGAGACGAAGTCGCGTCGATCTCTAGCAAGTGCTCGTTTCCGGGCTCCGAAAGCGTCCAACTATCGGAATATATCGACAAGAACGACGAAGTCATGCTCCACTCGCCTAATGGCCTCTGAAATCCAGCCTCGTTTTCGTTAACTCGAGAGCTTGCTCTAGTTTATCAAGTTGATGGACTTGATGAACTTCCAAGTCATTGTGTACGCACACATGCAGAGATGTGTGAGTCATTTTACACGAAGTCTCTAATCCGACTAAAGTCGCGGTAAGCAGGTCTCACTTGGTGACAAGCTGCTGGTAGAAATGGAAATTAATACAATACTGCGAAACCTGGTACTTGTTCGCTATACAATCGGAAAAATCCTGATTTAAACACGTATGTATTAGTTTTCATACGGAATCTCAGAATTGTTCCAAAAATATTTCTGAATCGCCTTTTTGCAGGTTCGCATGACTGACCAAACGCTTTATGGTTTCGCTGGCCCCTGTACTACGTCACTTCCTTTTACTGAGTACTGTGTACCATCGCTTGAAACTGACGCTACTCACTTGGGACTCATAACCGTACAAAGATATGTAACCTTATGCTTATATAAGCGTAAGGTTACCCGCATTTAGTATATAAGTATCTATATCTTTCCATTTCCGGGTAACTAATTTCTATGTCACTATCTACGCATTATATCATTGACGACTTAACCAACCGACTAACCAACCGACTAACCAACCAACCAACCAACCAACCTTCCTAACTCTCCATCCATTAGAACACGACCCTAAAGGATGATAACGTTCTCACACAAGGGCAAGAGTCAGAGACCGAAGTTTCTGTTTTACCTGAGGATCAACGAATTGACCAATATCCCTCAGAGTAGCGGGTATTGTTACGTGAAATGGCAGTTTAAGGATGGCACAGGCACCTCGAGCCATTCGGTGATAACGCAAGAAAATGGCGGGGTCAGCGGAGCGGGATCGACTATTCATACGAATACGCAGAGCAGGGGCCTTTCGCCCCGTGTCTTGGTCAAGGCGCATCGTGCCAAATGGAATCATGAGCTGGAAAAACCTGTACAGGTCAAACTCACGACAGACAAAGAAAGAAGACTGCATGCGAAATACGTCGTGTTGGAAGTGTTTTTCGAGTTTTTGGAACCCAGCAAAGGCCACCCAACGCGGTATGCGCATTCACGTCAGGGTTCCAATGGGTCCGGTGCGACCGGTGCGTCTCAGTCGCAGTCATCTTCCCAACCGCAGTCGCAATCGAGCTCTGGTTCTAGTGTATACACGCAAAAGGTATCGCGCAAAATACTACTGGGATCAGTGCAACTCGATATTTCTCAGTACATCAACGAGGACCAAAGCCCCGTAACAAGCCGGTTCCTCCTACAACACTCCAAGATCAATTCGATCTTAAGTGTAAGTGTCAAAATGGTCATTGTGAGAGGCTCTTTCGGCGATTTCAGGCTACCCGGCTCGACCGGTTCGGGTCAATTGCCCAGCTCCTTGCGTAATGGGCTAGGAGACGTACTCGACGAAGGCTCCGATGTGACTTCCCCGATTTCGTCGACTTTTCCCAACGGGACAGGAACTCCGTCCAGTGGAGTAAACCACACGATCGGTAGTCCGACGAAAAGTGCAGTGACAGACATTCCAGGCTCATATTCGATTGCGATCTCTAACCCTCTTGTCGATCGACTTTATCAGAAAACTTTCCAGATTCCTTGGGACCCACGGCCGGGCGAATACACGCCACGCGAATGCGTCGAAGATATCCTTGATGGTGGTGACGGATGGGCCAAAAACGAAAATGGAATCAACCTCATCGATATCGAGGCCTTACAACTCACTGAGATTGAACGTGACGAACGGAACCAGGGGCCTGATGCGCCCATCGCGCTCAATTACGGTGAGATGGACACACGTGCGTTTCTAGAACGACAAATGCGATTCGAGGCGCAATTGAATCCTAAGACAAACGCAATAACTGATCGCAAACAATTGTCGCCCACTGGGAGCGAGGACAACCTGATACGATACGACATGCTACCTCAGGAAAGTGACACTTACAAGAGTTGGACTATAGGCAAAATCTTGCCCTGAAGGGCCTAAACGCGTAGCTGTCTTTGTATTTATGCAGAGACTATATTTGGTGGGGAACGATTATCATAATGACCTATATCTCTTCGAAAAAAAAAGTCGTACAGGCGAACCCGTATCGCTGCCTCTTGTGATTTGTATGCCAAATTGTCCTTTTCCAGTTCGCTACTGGAATCGCGGCTCTTTGAGCGTTCGCGAGATTTCCTTGGCCAGGGGACTAGATATCACCACATGCGTACGACAAAAACACCGGTCGTTGGGTTTCAAGTAAAGTCCGTGCCGAATCCCAAGTAGTTGGCAGTTGAGTTGTCGCAGATCTTGTTTCCCACAACACACACCGTAACGCACCGTAATCTCGGGCAAGACTGATCGCACTTGTAATTTCCGAGCTCGTTTGCCTCTTCCGGACAATCTGCTCAAGAAAAAAGTAGCAGGCGATTTCTTCTGTACTTGAAGCGCCAATGGTCGTCGACCCAACACTTTGTAACGAACTGAAGTTCTTGTAGTCTGCTTTTCAGAGGTCATACAGGGCCTTGATAACTCTTGTTATGTTGGAGATTGTTAAGCAACCCACTTCAATATATTCCAGCGAGGTTTCCACTCAGGTCTTAAGGTTCGCAAACGAATATCTGGCACAAGGCTTTGTTCGTTCTTGTGTGCACCTCCTGTATGTCGGTTGGCGTCTGTTGACGTTTGCACGTCGAGCTCTATCTTTGCCCAGCAAATTACTGGACCTTGCGCACCCGTTTCTTGCGAAGAATAGTCAAACGTAGATCATTTAGTCGTACATCTTTCCGGCACAATGCACATTTGCCAGATTTGCGGTGCCCTCTTGAACTGTTCACCATTTGGAAAACACATTCGGCACAGAAAACATGGCCACAACTTGTGACTAGCGCGGTATCTGGAGGTTCGAAGCAAATGGGGCACCGGTAATCGAGCGCTCTTCTGATTTGGGTGCGTTGAACACGCGTCTCAGTGTCAACTGGCTCGTTTGCTGGCGCTTGTGCGCTGTCTTGTTCTTCATCTGAGATCTCAACCACTTCCAAGGGCTCTCCGTCACCTGTAACGAGTTCTGCATCGTCTGCGTCTGAGTCTTTTTCAGCACTGTCAGCAACTTCTACGATCTCATCCACGGTCTGAACCACTTCATCGCGCGTTACGCCGGGTACATCCAAAAGCGCTTGTTCCAGCTCTGTACTCAACCGATCATCGTCACTTTCAGCTACGCCAGAGTTCCTAAACTGCGCAGCAATGCGCCGCCGCTTATTACGCGGTTGTTGTACTTGATCCTCCTCATCGCTGTCGTCGCCGTCCGCGTCCGTCGACTCCGCATCCGTTGACTCCGCGTCCTCTGTAGTTACCACTGGTCCGAAAAGTTCGGCCTGTGACCCATCACCGTAGGGCCGACTTTCTGCAGCCCTCAAGTACTCCGGATCACCGAAATCGCTAGTTTCACTACTGGAACCCATAACTCCTATCTGACCCCGCAATTCAGGTTCTGTCGATTTCAAATTCTGCTAGTGTTACCAAAAAACACGCGACTCAAACAGTTTCAACTCCATCGACGTTTCTCAACGTCTCCAAATTACTCCTCGCAGCACTCAGATATGCCAGGATTCGTCTTCCTTCCCCGTTTGTCTTTCTCTCCAGAAGCACGTGGATGGATGTTCCAGTTACTTATCCATATGTCATCGATAGTTGATATTCGATATTTCAGCCCTAACAATGGACCAGGGCTTATCACCTAACATCCGTACATATTTTTATACAAGACTGTCGCATCCGTGCATTGTACAGTTAAATATAAATCAGTTGCACCCACACATTAGATCGATCTCTACTTCAAAAATTCTTCAACTCTTTCAAGACGCTTTACCATGACAACCCACGCAATTTTCGAAACAAACGCACGATTTTATATCCCTGTGTACGAACTCGCTAATTCTGGAGGGACTCCGTCCACGCTTCGATGGCTCGGTTTCTCTACAGTAGCATCAATATCTTTAGTCAATACACAACGTCGATAGGATTCAGATAGAGACTACAGAACAACAACTATGTCTGGTAACGGTGCTCAGGGTACTAAATTCAGAATTTCTGTATGTTAACATTGCGAGGAAATGGACGTTATAGGTTGGGATATCTGAGAAGAACGATGAACAAGTAAAATTGTGAAAGAGTGTGAAACAATGAAAAAGAGAGTGAATAAGAGCTTTACCCGTGCAGTGACGCTGCTTTAAAGGAACGTGGGTTGGATGTTTATTGCGGCAAATCACGGAGACCAGGGATGGAAGATATGTGTCGTTTTGGGATTTGGTACAATTTGAACTTAGATTGTCGTTCCAGCTCATTGTATCACAACTTCAGAAAACCTTATTTCAAGCTGTTTTACTAACAACCTTTTAGCTTGGTTTGCCAACCGGTGCCATCATGAACTGTGCTGACAACAGTGGTGCCAGAAACTTGTACATCTTGGCTGTCAAAGGCTCTGGTTCTAGATTGAACAGATTGCCTGCTGCTTCCCTAGGTGACATGGTTATGGCCACTGTCAAGAAAGGTAAGCCAGAACTAAGAAAGAAGGTCATGCCAGCCATCGTGGTTCGTCAATCCAAGGCTTGGAGAAGAAAGGACGGTGTCTACTTGTACTTTGAAGACAACGCTGGTGTCATTGCCAACCCAAAGGGTGAAATGAAGGGTTCTGCCATCACCGGTCCAGTCGGTAAAGAATGTGCCGATTTGTGGCCAAGAATCGCCTCCAACTCTGGTGTCGTTGTTTAATCGATCTCATATAGTTTTCAACATTAGGGCTTAAAGCTATTCTCAAAACCTATGTAAACTCCTAACATTTACGTGTGAACTAGTCGAAGTTTTGTTCATGTGATCAGTCTACGATGCCCTGATACTTTCTACATAATCAAAACTACCTGACTACGAACCACTTCTATTGTCGTCGGGCAATTCTATGGACACATATCATGTCAGCAACATCGTTGATGCACTTTCCTCCAGTAAGATAAAAGAACGTCACACTGGCTTAAATGATTTGACTACAATTTTAAAGGAAAACCCTGCAATTATCGAGCCAAAATGCGTGTTACCTGTGATCGAAAGGCTAACCGAAATCATTGATCTAGAGCGGTCTAGGTTCTGTTCACTTCTCCATTGCGATGCTACGACCTCCAGTGACAGTAAAGTTACCGCAGTAGAGAATCGATTATCTGAAGCTGCCTACGTTTTAAGGTTATTTGTTGAAAAAACGGTCTCGTCATACAAATCGAAGCATATGAAATTCCTTCTGGTGATGATTACAGAACTCGTAACCTTTGATGGTGGGAATTCCTTACTTGTTCCCGTTTCATCGCATCTTTTGCTGGCGTTGAGCGTCTTGATTGAATCTGACATTTTCCGACTAAAATTTGAACCGCATCAATGGGTATCGTTAATTAAGCGCTGTTCTGGATTCCTAACGCACCATTTGAGCGTTGATCCGTCTGACAAGTCAACTTTTTATTTGATCTTGATTTTGGCCGATTTGTTGACTTTCGATGTTTGTGAGGCGGGGACTATGAGCAGAGATGTCTTAGCAGTGTTGTTGGCTTATTTCCAGAACGTTAGGACCGATACCCCTTGTACCAAGAATGTGTTCCGTTTGTTGAATAATTTCTTGCTAAAATTGCATTTGGTTGATCTGTTCGCGTGCTGCAAGGCATTGGAATCGGCGCTGGCGTTTATCGTTTCCGCTCAGAGAGTTTCGGGCCAAGACTCTGAATACGAATTAGCTGTGTTTGCCATAATGGCGAGTGATTTAGTTGTTAAAGGTGTAACAATTTTGGATCGTGACGGCGTTTCTAATCTTTTGGAACAAGATGATCTTTTTGACATATTTCAAGGATTTGTTACTTTTGGCTTGAATTCTTTCAAACCAAGCGTGCTGTTTATTGACGATATAAGCTCTAGCGGACAGCACGTGGATTTTTCGTGGCTTGAACGGGTCTGCTACAGTGTTGATGTGAATAACGAAGGTTTGGCGTGGCTTCAGTTATACTCCCTTACGCGAGGTGTCGAAGAGTACTTCCAATTATCGGGCTTTCGAGAAGCTACTGAGACTAGCTTACTTTTCAAGAGGCGAAAAACTGCTGACGATTTGAGATCAATATTCCTGAATTCCTATACCACAGAGGGTTTCATAGAGAATTGCCTAGAGAGTTCGTTTGAAGTCGTTCAATTGCTAGGGTTGCAGTTATGTAATTGCTACGCCAGTAATTACCTATTGACAGGACTCACCATCGAATCGCTTTTCAATGCAGTTTTTCGTATCATAAGTCTGCCAAGCCTAAGTGGGTGGGCATTTTGGGCCATAATACCGCTTTTAAAAGCAAAGAATTCTCATCTGCCAGAGACTTCACTCCTAAATCTCTTCAAAATATCCTTGCCCTATATTAGATCGACCCAACTGTGTGGAATCACTTGCAAGCTGTTGGCAACGGTCTTGAGCTTCCAAGAAATTGACGTGATGTCAGATCTCTCACTGGGACATCAAATTGACGAAATTTACACGTTACCCACGGTTTATGGTCCAACATTGATGAACAATGAATGCTTTCAATTTTGGGTACAACTTCAGCGTACAAGAAAGCCCCTCAGTCAACAGCAGGCTGTGGCTTCTGTGTATACATGGCTTACATCCAAATGGGAGCTACTTGACATCACATCGGTTGGACAGAATACATTTCCGACCTTTCTGGGCTGGATCTGTGGACAGGATTATTGGCCTGACTTTCCGTCATCGCCTTTTGAAACCCCCAGGTTTTTGGAGCAATATTACAGACCATGGAATTCTTTTAAAGAGCAAAGAGATTTCTTGCTTCATAAGCAAACGGATCTGCAAGCACTCAAGGTCAGTAACCTAGTTTTGAGAGTTCCTGTTGATATTGAAAGAATTAAAGGTGCTGTAGCAAGGGTCTTGGACCTTTGTCTGCATTTTACGGGAGACCCACTCCACGAATTAAAACTGTCAGCTTCATGCATGCGCATTTTTAACACTTTGGCAAATGATGCGTCGGTAAGGTCTTTAATTATCGAGTTTGAAAACCATATGAAGTCTCGACTTCAAAATATTTTTGCTGATGATGAAATGCCCGTTGTGCCTTGCTTGTGCCAACTCTTAGAGATGCTCAATTACCCGCGGGTTTCAGCTTCTTCTATCAAGGGTCTAGATTTGACAAATCTTTTGACAAAGCTTCAAAGCGAACTACGACATCAGGCCCTCGATGATGAAATGCCCATGGATGATTTTATACCAAATAAGGCGTTATCGTCGGTGACTTCTTCGGAATGCAAGCTCAGCGAATTATCGCTACTCAAGTTTGCCATATATTTTGTTTCGGGTGCTCATCGATTAAGAGGAGAAAGTTTCTCGTTTACTATAAAAGAGATTCTAAGGTTCTTAACTCCTCTCCCATTGTCTTTGATTCAAGCAGCCGCTACTACCTTAATCGCACTTCTAAAAATGCGTTATGAAGATGCTGACGTGAAGTCGTTGGAAACAGTCACACTATTCCTTGGCTCGACGCTCCTTAGTACAAAATGCAATACCTCAGATGTGTCACTGGAGGCGCTAGTGTCGTTTCTTGACACTACAAGGAATGCGTGGCTAGTTCCACTCAACAAATCACTGAATACCGACTGCAATGATATCCTCGAGTGGATCACTGACAAGCTTTCAAGAGCAGAGGCATCAGGTCTATGTTTCGTCCAAGACCTGTCTCGGCTTCTTTTAAATATGTTGAACTTTCACAACTTGTCATCTGATGTTTTGCGTGGAGGGAAGCAGAAAGTTTTCGAAACCTTTTCCAAATGTCTGAAGCTATTGCCAAGTTATGCAATCGTGCCTCTCGTCAGTGATCTAGCTGAATATTTGGGCAGTTTAAGCTATAAAAACCAAGTCATTTTACTCACTGAGATCAAAGATACTTTCGCGTTATCATCCGAGTGTGAAGAGTGTGGCGGACATTATGCTCTCTCATTGGTAAGATTTGTAGCGGACAGCTTGCATTGCTTCCTAGATATTTTGTTCGATATTATCTCCTACAGAGGCTCTCAAAACATGGCGACATACATCAAGGAGGCCTTGCAACGTATATCAACCTTGTATGATTTTGACAGTCCCCTCGATATCCTGAAAATGTGCCAATTTGAAATAATTGATAATTTCATCGGCCAATCTCACCAGGAAAATATTACAAGCATGAGAGAATGGCCTTTTTCTTTATTTGGAGATTTTTCATTAAATCAATTTGTCCTTCAATACCGGGATTCCATTGCAGCTTTGTACTTTTCTAAGACAGGACTTCCAAGATTCGTGATCTCAGAACTGCTCGAGATATGTCCCAAGCTGGAAAATGAACTGTTTGCGGACTCCCTTCATTATTCGGTCCCATTAGCGTATCGTAGCGGTGGCCTCCAAGACGGAATAATGGCTCTTGCAATTAAAAAATGTGGGAAGGATGTTCGCACTTATCTCAGTGACATTTCGCTAGAGATAGCATATTGGTGCTTGTTCTTTGCTGACCTTAGTGTTGACGATGTAATTCGAAAGACTCTGAAAAACGGGTTTTCAAAATATCGTTTACTTCCAATACTATTGAGAGGCGGCACCAAAAGACGCTGCACTTTGCGGATGAAGATCCAAATTCCTACTCATGTCGCTTTAGGACTTTTGATCAATCATATCACCCATCACAACATGGGACAACAAGAGCTGCGCATTTTATTAGAAAGACTTTGCCTCGAGATTTTTGAGAAGGCTCCCGTTCCAGAACTACAGTTAAGTGCTCTTAAAGCTGTGAAAACATTAATTGTGCTTTTTGAAAGCAGAGTTGAAATCTACGAGCATCTTTCATGGGTTGTCAAGATGTTGTCCCCATTGCTGACAGTGGATTCGCTTTTTCACGAGGTTAAGGACATAATTTTGGGTGGACTTCATATGAGTCAGCGGTATTCCTCAAATTCAACAGATATGTTCGCCGCTATATCCTGTAGCCTGTTGCATCTCCATCGAAAAGACGCTGAACTTATCGATGAGGAATTGATAAAAGGTTACAAAAAGGGCCTTTTAGATTGCACTTCATATCTTCAAAGCCCACAAGTATGGCAAAGTTGCGTGAACATTTTAGAGAACGAATCTTTGCCAAGAGGTATCTATTTTGAAGATGAGTTGCTACAAAGTGAAAGCTTGAATGTCGATCGCGTTGCTTTTCTATCGGCTTTGTATGAATATTTTCCTGAACCCAAAGCCTTTCGATTGGATTTTAACTTTAATGAGGTGGTGATCAAAAACCTTCTAAATCTCAACTCCAAGACCCATGCTCTATCCTCAAACTTCAACCAGTGGCGGGGTCTCTATTTAGGTGGGTTTTATTTGAAACGAAGAAAGATTCCAAAGTCAATAGCTAAGAGAAGTGCGTTAGATCTTCGCCAGTACTTTCAAGGTGATAACAACAAAATGTTAGCCGTTTTGATTGATCTGATATTTACTGGCGGGAATTTTCAGGACGTTCCCTCGTATATCAAAAGTACTGTGACAGGATACCTTCTAAATTCGCCCTCACTGAAAGCCTTTAATGGCTTGGAAATTGTCAAAAATATTCCAGTGATTTCGGAGCCGCAATTTCGTTTGATGCATAATAATCGACATGTCCCTGGCTTCTCTTTTACTCGACGCCATCAATCGCATAACCAAGAGTATAAAGAACAGTTGAGTAACATACTGACATCTCTGATTAATGAGCTGCTATCATACGACCATGTCATTTCTGGTTTAAAACCCCTTGCGGATTATGACGAAAGGGCATGTGAAGAGCTTTCGCTGCGCTTGCTGCATGATGTCTTTTCAAAACATCCCGATAAGGCCTATTCTTTGTTCACAAGCTTATTCAAGTCTGCGAACTTCATCCGAGACTCAAAATCAAACATTCGAGAAGCTAAACTTTTCAGTCTTAGGGCCTTTGCACTGATAAGAACAGGAGCCAAAAATGGCCTCAAAACGTTCCTGGATATTTATACGCGATTGGATCGGAAAGAATACTACAATCTGGCAGTAGAGGCAGATGAAATGAAGTTTGCCTTAATGATAATAGAGGAATCCAGTGAAAACTTTCATTTTGACTTGACTGATCCAAATTTACCGCTGATTTTCCGTCGACTTGATGACAATGATTCTCTCGGTGCGTTGCCAACCGAGCCCTCTTTGAAGTCTGCATTTGCCTCCTTGAGCAATTCGCATTCCAACAGGATGAAAAGTTTTGTTCTCAGTAATAGCGATTACGATGCTAGACTTTTCTTGAAGGAGGATGTCAATACCGGAAGTCTTCTCGCATCTGCAAATCTGAATGGCTTTCGCGGGCTCTCCAAAATTTTGGAATACGACAAGACGGGAGAACTAAACTCGGAGGAGGACATTTATCGGTGGGGGATTGAACTGGGGCAATGGGATTTGCCCTTTCCTCAAAATAAAAATACAAAGACTAACACGTTGTATCATATCCTAGCGCAAACGGATTTGGGCTCTCTCCGGAAAACTCTCAAGAAGTCCATTGAAAATACCATAGAGGCAAGGTTTGAGTTTCCTTGCAGTCAAGAATGGCTGACGACACTGTCAAGTATAACCTTATTCGAGAATCTCTGCGAGAATTGGGCTACTGAAGAGTTTTCTGCTGAATACTATAAGCTAATAACTAGTCTGAACAGAAATCTGGAGACGTCTGGCGTTGAAAATTCAACCTTTGACGCTAGGGCACGCAACATTTTTACATGGAATTTGGCCAATTTCGATAACAGTTTAAGCATGCATATATTGAAGCAATACGCTTTTACCGATTTGGTCGGCCAAATAAGAGGCTGCAGAGAAAAAGGTGACGTTTATGGTTCTCTTTTTGGAACTATGATCTTCGACAAAATGACTCAGGATGCTAGGTTTGGTTTCAGCGAAACACCTTGGCGTAAGTTGGCTATCGTTGAAACTGCTAAGACCTTGTGGAATCAAGAGGAACACAGCATTGCGATTAATATGTTGCGTTCCACTTTGGAGATGTATCAATGGTCAATGCCAAATTGTGCGACATTTTTTGACCGGTTTGTCGAAATTCCCGAGGTGGAGGTGAAGTCACTGTTAGTCGAGTGGTTATCTATTTCGAGGCAAGAGGCACCAGATTCTATCTACAAGGGGTGCATAGGATCTTCACCAAATGACCTGAGCGCTGTTAAGGATTATGATAAACGCGCCGAAATATACTATCGGTTCGCGGAATTTTGTTATGGTCAAGTTAGGAAGCTCACGACGGACAAAAATCTCCAAGATCGAAGACTTCGATATGAAAGTGCCGCGAAAGAGCTTCGTGCATTGCATACAATGGCCAAAAACGCCAACATCACTGATGGTGACAGAAAAGACGCTAAAAAGCATTTTAGCAGGTTAAGATTACAATGTGAACAGGATAGAGAAATTATTTCCGCATTGACAACACAACTCAATCTTTTCTCATGGAAGGCCCTACAATTTTATCTGAATACAATGGTATTCAGTAACGATAGGGACGATGACGTTCTGGATAAGTTTTGTGGGATGTGGTTCCAGTTTTCAAGTGATGATGAGATAAACTCAAAACTTTATGGCGAGATAGGCTCCATTGCTAGCTTCAAATTTCTTCCTTGGATAAATCAAATGACATCAAGACTTAGCGATGATATGAACCCATTTCAACGAACTCTCCAGTTAACACTCAAGCGGGTAATGTTCAAGCTCCCTTATGACTCGTTGTATCCGCTTCTAAGCATGAAACTGTATCGCAATTACACTTCGAAAGATAACACCAAGTTGCTGAGTAAGGTGAAAGTAGTAGAGAAGCTAATGAGTGAGCTTGAGAACTACGAAAACGGTTGCTATATCAGGGATTTCATCAATCCGATGAATGAATTTTGTGAGATGTGCATAGACCTAGCCAATGTGAAACCTCCCAAGAATACACGAATGATGACTGCGACAAGTTTAAAGTTTAGTAACTACTGGCTTCACACCTTGAAGATGAGATCTCTGCCTTTACCTACTGTGCCTCAGCAGATCAATTGTTCAGCTGATGGTCGCAGTCCAAGACCTACTATAACGAGTGTGAGCAGTCAAATATCGATTTCAACGTCAGGACTTTCTTTACCCAAGATCGTTACTTTCAGTTTGAGTGATGGTTCAAGTCATAAAGTTCTGATGAAGGGCAGTAATGATGATTTACGTCAGGACGCGATCATGGAACAGGTCTTCAAACAAGTGAACAAGATTTTAAGTAGCTCAGAGGTGACAAAGAAAGAGCGTCTCAGAGTTCGAACATATGAAGTAATACCAATGGGGCCGCAGGCGGGGATTATTGAATTCGTTTCGAACTCCACGGCACTACATGAGGTGCTGAGCAACTTGCATAAAAACGATAAGCTCTCTTTTGACCAGGCTAGAAAAGCTATGAAATCTGTGCAGGGCAAATCGAAGGAGGAGCGACTGGACGTTTATTTGGAGATTACTTCGATTATCAAGCCACTTCTTCGCCAATTTTTTTCGAACTCTTTCACGAATCCAGAAGACTGGCTAGAAGCAAAGTATACCTATACTAAAGGAGTAGCAACTACTTCGATTGTCAGCTACATTTTAGGCCTTGGTGATCGGCATCTGAATAACATTTTGCTAGATAAATCAAGCGGAGAGCCTATTCACATTGATCTCGGAGTGGCCTTTGATCAAGGCCGTCTTCTGCCGATTCCCGAATTAGTGCCTTTCCGTCTCACTAGAGACCTTGTGGATGGATTTGGAGTTACTCAAATTGATGGCAAGTTTCGCAAAAGCTGTGAACGTGCGTATCGAGTTTTGAGAGAAAATTATGGGAAAGTCATGAATGTGTTAAACGTCTTAAAATGGGATCCATTGTATTCATGGGTGATGACTCCCCTTAGGAAGCAAAAACTCCAAGCAGATATATCTGAGGATCCTGAAGAAGAACGAACAGACTTAAAAAATGCTGGTTTCGAAGAGGACAATAATCAATCTTTGAGAGCCTTGCAAAGTGTCAAAGAAAAATTGATTGGGAACGGCCTGAGCGTTGAGGCGACTATTCATGAGTTGATTCAGCAGGCAACCGATGAGCAAAATTTAGCCATGATCTATATGGGTTGGTCACCATTTTATTGACCTTGGTATAGCAGGGCGGTGGAAGCGGGCTTTTACAGCTTAAATAATGGATAAAATTGAATTAATACACGACCTATTAGCATGTAAGCCCATAGTAAAACTACCGAGTGTTGAAAAAATCTATACTACATCGTCCTCGATAAGCTGAACGTAGTTGCTGGGTATGATACCCGTGTCACCATTAGATCGTTTAGCCTTCCACCATCTCCCCTCAATATCCCCAACTTTCAAAATCTCTCCTTGCTCGAATGATATTTCATAAGCGTCTGAGGCGTCAGCGTTATAAGAATAAAGGGCTCTTGCGGTATAGGGAAAGCTACTTTGTTCATCACCAGCATCGCTGTAGAGACCCAACGTATCCCCCATAGTAGTCTCTGTGTTGCCATTGGTGTTATCTGTAATATAAGTGTTGATGTTGTTAGCATTCAGATTACCTGAATTCAGAGCGGGAGCGCTTGGTGGTTCCGTGTTCTCAAAACCATTCAAAGCCGTAGAAGAAACATAATGTTGAGATTCGGGATAAAACCCGGTATCTGGAGGACCTGCGTTGTCGTAAATTCGGGGGGAACTTGAATATCGAGAGACGTGCCGACTTGCAGCACGTGGATATGCGTTCTCACTTAAAGCAATGGAAGTTTCCAAAACAGAATGCCGAATGCCCTTGAGAGAATAAGAATCTATCCACCTGTTCGTCGGTGCTGCACTGTCTCCGCCAAAATAGAAAATCCATATCAAATTGATCATGGAGAGAAGAATTACGCCTGCAGACGCAGCTGCCATGCTTGAACCGTCATTGTATACCAGATAGGTGGCACTGTTTGTCGTATAGACAAATGCGACAGCGATGGCCCCCGTCAGAAACGTCTTGTAGTAGGCCACGATATCAAAACAGTAAAAAACCGTGATAGCAACCATAACCAGAAATTCGTAAACTATCCCCCACCAAGTGAATCGCGGAAAACTGTCTGTAGTACTCGCTGCGGGAATCGAGCCCGCAATGGTAACGATCCATGCGATGAGTCCGATTGAAAGCGAAGAAATTGCAAACGGATCTGTTAGAAGGTTACTGATTCCAAAAGTGTGCAACTGGTGTGGCCTGCTTCGCATTTGCTTGGCCTGGAGCCTTGTAGGAACGGACATTTTCGATTTTGAACAAACGAGTGGTTTAAATCGTTTAAAACATGCAAATCACCACTGTTTTCGATGCTCCGAGTCCGATAGAAACGGGTTTCGCACTTCCAAAGTGATGTTCGTTATCGCTTATAAGTCCTAAAACTCCTTTTAACCCAGAAAATGGAACTGTCCTGTTTGCAGATGCCTTTGGTTTTCAACGTTCTTGAAAGCATGTCAATCATCAAACTTGGGAAATTCTTGAAAATTTCGCGACTCGCGTCTGGGATCTTCGAGTGGTTTCCTGAGTCGTTTTTTGAGTCGTTCCCAGAATTGATTCCTTAGTTGGTGCCTGAGTCGAGCCCTGAGTCGTTCCACGGGTCATGAAAAACATCGAAACGTTACTGGTATTGAGCCATAGAGGTCCGAATCTGTTCTTATATATTTACAGTATGTAGCGCAGTCCAGTGCGAGCATAGCTTGGGTAGTGAAATGTGGTATTACATTTCGATTGACGTTTTTTGGAGGTATCTGCCTGTAAAGAGGAACGACGCCTATGACGGCACGTCTCACAATAGAAATCCTTGGGGGGGTGCAAGTCCCGGTTCAATGCTTGGCTCCGAAAAACAGCGTCGCTGACAGACAAGTCACAAGCACACAGACGCCCCAGCATGCGAGAGCAAACGCGAGTTTATTCATGAGTTTGACCTGGAAAGGCGCTGTGCCGGGTTTGAATTCAGATCCTATGAGCTGATATCCAAAAATACCGGGCAAAATAAAAGAGATGGAGGTGGATCCCGTGGCACCAACTACAGCTAGAACTCGAGCAAGAGAGGTGACAGAGATGGCCAAGAGATAGGAAAACACGAGAATAGCTGCAGTGATTCCCAAAAACCGGCTACCTTCTAATGGAACCGTTGTTGGTTGTTGCGGACTGCCTTCTTCGATGAGTTCGTCTGTAGGTGTCGGTGGGATGAGACTCGCGAATTCGTCGGTGTGTGGTCCCGCGGGAGATGCAGCTGTCACAGGAGTAGTAGTCGAGGGGGCATTGAGATCTACAACAGGGACCGTAGTGGTATCCGTTGTTTTGGTTTCGAAGAAATGTAAGATATGGTTGACGGAGGCGCGGGCTGGATGGCATTGCAAGGGGAACGCCAGGATCACGAGCAAGGCAATGGCAATACGACCTAAAGTTGTAGCCGCAGATTGTGGGTACCGAGTGATGACGTTCCCCACAACATGGTCACCAAAAGTCAAGTATCCAGCGCCGCCGATGACCACGTAAAGCGCCAGCGCGATAGTGACCGCGGTGATCGAAATACGGCGCAAATTTTTTAACGAAGGGTTAGCTTGTTCGTTGATGATGGAGAACATATTGTGGTGGCAAGTATATGCAAACACGTAGATGGGGAGACAACTCATGGCTTGGGCAAAAGGTCCAGTAGGCTTCCAAATGGTCACGTCACCTTTCAAGTCGCGCAATTCTTGGGATGGAACGAGGAAATGTACAACCACTAGCACGCACAAATACGCAACCGCAGATATCGCGACCATAGAAGCGTAGCGGAGCGAGTTGAGACGACGCATGAAACAAAGCGGAGCGACGACACAGGCCATAACAAGCGTAACGTGGAAATTGCGATTCAACAGCAGCGGGTGATGCGTAAACGTACTAAAAATTTGCGGTAGAACGTCTCCTGCCACGACCATGTACGAAACTCCAACGCCAAAACATTTGATTGCGATGGCCAAGTCGAAAACAACGCTTAGTTGCGGGTACGTAAGTTGTGCAAGCGCGAAAAATGACGCGTGTCGCGGTGGTGCATATTTGGACACCTGAGATTGTAAAAGAAGCCCGCCACAGGAACAAATGCCGCAGAACAGGATCATACCAAATCCAGCGACAAGCCCGTAGGGCTTGAACGCATACGGCATGGCAAGAATGCCAGCGCCGCAAGCGGTGTGTAATAGTGTGAGTACTCCAGAGCCACTAGAAGACGACATGAGGGGGCAGAGGAGTTCACGTGTGTCTAATTTAGTCTTGTCGAACGCGTTCAATAGCTCTAATCTTTAAACTAGCAAGACGATAAGGCCTTGCCAGGTTAAAGTTCGAGATGTCGTTGTCTACGAAGGTCACATCGACTCCCAACAAGCCAAACTTTGGTATAATAATAAAGTAAGTGTTTTGGTGGTTCTATTTGCAGTAAGTTACCATGAGTAACATTGGAGAATTGACATGTAAGGGATGGCCTTCACCGGTGTTCTTTTTCTAGGGTTTTGAATTTTGGGTTTTTATGATTTTAAATGGGTGATGACATTGCCGGTTGAGTTATCCTACCGGTAACAAATAATGACATCGGTGTTGAAATAAGTAATAGTGAAATACAAGCGAAACACATGATATTAGGGTCATGAGATTTTTTTCTTATGGAGAAGGGTAGGATGCGAGGTGTGAACGCTTATATGATGCAATTATTTATTTAATTGTTCAATGCATTCTCTGTTTGTAGACGAGGGTATTCAAGACAACTGAAGTCGTACGCCACTTCTTCAAAAGTTAGTTTGATCGTTTTCTTTTTTTAGAGGGAATGGTGCGAGAATCAGAGGTCTATTTAGCGGCACCGATTTCCTCATTAAAACAGACGTGGTAAAAGCAAGGAAAGGTACGGGAGGCTTATGCCTTAATTTTCAGCCGAAAACAGATTAAGATATCTCTAATTCCTATCGGCAGATATTCAAAGGCCAACAGTGAGTAATCGTGAGATCTCCGAGATCACGTGATCAAGATGACAGAATACCCACAGACCTTTTGAATCAATCCCATGAATGGCTTTAGAACTGTCGCACATTTACAATTAGACTATTAGCGAAGTAGTACATGGCTTAAGTCGTAAAATTATTATCATGTTTCGGCCGGAATGAAACGCGACTCATAAAAATGGTGTTACAGAGGGCGATACAACCAGGATCGCATGGTCACGCATATATGTACTTAATCACTACTTGGTCTCATACTGACCAATTTGAAGTTTAGAGGATTTATGAAACCGCAGCTTTCTAAATTGCTCAGTTGTTTTATGATTTTCTCAATTGTCAATATATCGCTATTAGATACTCATACATCCAAAAGAATTCGACAACATGACGCTTCTGTAGTCAAACGGTCTCATAAAAGTATTGTCATATCATTTGTCGATCACTTTAAGTAGTGAAAATTCTACTCTACGCAAGCCGTATTGGTGTTTGAGTAATTCCAGCAATGCAATGATTCCATGGTCACCAAGGGGACCACTCATATCCATAGTTTCCTGAACTGATTCACGCTCGCATAAATATATCTGTCATTGAGGTCACGTGTTATCTCCTGCCAAGAGTGCAATTCGACAATCCTATAAACGCTCCCTCCCATATTTATGCGAGCCTTCTTTCGTAACAGAGAAATATTGGTCCCGTACCGCATGGACTGGAGTCTTAGGTCAATGGTTTGCTTCTTGAAAGGCGATATCATAGCTACTAGAAGTCACGTGACTTAATGACATAATAAAGAATGATACCTTGCACATCTCTAGCGATGACAGTTTGATCAGTTCTAGAGTGTTAATATTTGAGATATTCACACATTGATAATCTTAACTATAAAGAATTTTTACGTTAGCCGTGTCGAGTAAGATGATCATTGGTTGAGTTCACGTGATCACAATGACAGAAACACCTACCGAGGAAGGCTGAAACGGAAGGAATCGACTCATGAGGTAGTAGCAGTTATTCCTGTCCCAGCCGTAGTTGTGAAATTACCACAAAATTATCAGGGGTCTGATAGATGTGTGGGATAAGTTTTCAGTTTGTACTTCACCAGAAAGTAGACGATAATCGCAAATACGATTATAGGAATGTACAAGGAACGATGTGGTCAGTCTTGGAACGAGTAGATTTTTAGATGCCTATGGATAGATGTACGTAGTTTACAATCATAAAACCATGAATTGACAAATTCAAACTACGAAAAAGGGTAAACTACAATATTATCGTAAGTGGTTTACCTTGTTCTTGAGCTATTGACGCATTATGACGCTATAATCTGACTGCAGCAACTAGTCTTCCTACCGCAACTCGTGACATCTTCAAATATTCTAGATACCATTATGGCATAGTTCTAATTACAAGATATTTTCACCCTATTCAGGTATGATGCTTCCCGCTACGTATTATAGACTTCCCCGGCTAGTACCCCTTACGATTGGCATCTTTAACCACTTCTATGAGTCGCTTGAAACCTTTCATGAAATCACGTCTGTGCCGTTGTGACCTACGCATTTCTTTCGCTTTGCCTGGTTTCAAATAAAACCGTTGTGATCGGCGATCTTGTGCAATTCTATTGGCAAAAACAATCGAATTCAATTGTCGAAACGCTCCACTGGTATCACCGTTGAAAACGTTCACGGTTCTACCTGCACGTACACCTGTGACTCGTGAGGTTAAGGCGTCTTCTTTGGGGGATAGCATCGACGTCGGGTCTACTTGTTCCAGTCGTTGTCGATCCAAACCGGTCTCTCTAGGCTTCCCCTCTGTTGTACCAGTGAAGCTGAGTCCTGACACTCTGCTATTCCCCCCAGATAGCTTCTGTTTCGAGTTCAAGGGATTTAGTTGGGTTGGATCAAAAATAAACGAATCTGACTCGGAAAAAACTCTGAATGTACTGGAAAAAGCGCGATATGCAATCCCACTAGTGGCAAAACTTGAAGCGCGGGTCAAAAGACCGTGTTTAACCCCCAGTATGCTCATTTGGGTATGCTTTTTGTCGGGTTTACCAATACCGTTAGGTTTAAAATTTTTCAGTTTAAGCTTTAACCGGAGATGCCCTCTCTACCTTACAAGACATTGGCATCATCAAGGATAAAAGGACATAAAGAGGTGCTTTGGATCACTAAAAGTATTTGAAAAGACCTCAGGATGCTGGAAAAAGTGGACAACGCTGTTTCAACGGTGCAAGAAGCCTTGAAAAGAAGTAAATTAGACCCACAATCGACGACATCGACCGGTGTCGAAGGGACGAGGCCCACGCCTAGTAGTGAAGCTACTACCGGTGAGGTTGGTGGCACCAGTGACAAGAAGAAGAAGAAGAAGAAAAAGAAGAACACCAACATCAAAAACATCACCAATTTTTACCCAGACAACGTTTATCCCGAGGGCCAATGGATGGAATACCATCAAGATTTCAACTTGCAAAGGACCACGGATGCAGAGAAACGGTACGAAGCAAGGGACAAAGAGAACGCGACCCGTTGGAACGATATGCGTAAAGGTGCCGAGATTCATCGTCGCGTGCGTAAGAATCTGCAAAACAAATTGAAACCTGACATGTCGTTGATGGATGTGGTTGATATTGTTGAAAATGCTACTCGTAAATTCACGGGTGTTGACGAAAATGGTGAATTTGCAGGTCAGACGAAAGTCCAGGGTATTGGTTTTCCTACAGGTGTTTCTTTGAACAATATAGCAGCCCATTTCACGCCCAATGCGGGCGATAAGACTGTTCTTCGTTACGAGGATGTTATGAAAGTCGATATTGGTGTGCACATTAACGGGTACATTGTCGACTCCGCGTGGACCGTGGCGTTTGATTCCAAGTACGACAATTTGCTTGAAGCCGTGCGTGAGGCGACCAACACGGGTGTTCGTGAAGCCGGTATCGACGTGCGGCTCACGGATATCGGTGAAGCCATCCAGGAAGTCATGGAATCCTACGAAATCGAACTTGACGGGACTACTTACGGTATCAAACCATGCCGGAACTTGTGCGGCCACAATATAGCGCCCTTCCGCATCCACGGTGGGAAATCCGTGCCCATTGTCAAGAACGGTGACCAAACCAAGATGGAGGAAGGTGAACATTTTGCCATTGAAACTTTCGGTACCACTGGCCGCGGCTACGTCGTACCCAGTGGCGAATGCTCCCACTACGCAAAGGCGCAGGGCTCCCATCCTGTACCCTCGCTCTCACGTGCCAAGGCTTTGCTGAAGACCATCGACGACAATTTCGGTACTCTGCCCTTCTGTCGTCGCTATTTGGACAGAATTGGTGAGGACAAGTACTTGTTTGGACTAAACCAGCTCGTAAAACAGGGCATTGTTCAGGATTACCCACCTCTCGTCGACGTCGCGGGCTCTTACACGGCTCAATTCGAACATACCATCCTGTTACATCCGCACAAGAAAGAAGTTGTCTCAAAGGGTGAGGATTACTGATTTCGGGGCGCGAGAAAAAATTCACTAGCACAAACAACACCCGCTATAGCGAATGGCGCTGTTATCACACTCATATTTAGACTCAGACATAATGTTACCGGCGGTTTTACAAAGCTATACCACAGTTAAGAGCCTGAAGGACTATATCACTATGTACTAAAGCTTTGACTTTTTCATTTTGGTGTAATTTAGTAAAGGATCCAATGCAACTACGTACTGTTAAGAAGGTAATTGCTTGAGCTTAGTTCGCGAAGAGTAACTCTAGAGCTATGATCGATATTACTCCCAGTGTCTTAGAGTACAAACGTATGTTTGAGGCTTTTTCGGGGCTTTTTTCGTGCTTTTTCAGGGCCATTTTTGGGCAAGTTTGGTTGAGGTCGAATGTTCCCGTGATCCGTGGGCTTGTTGGGCAAGAAACATGGTTTTTAGCGAGCAAACTGCTTGAAATTAGCTTACAATGGACATCAAATTTGGAAACTGAGGTCTCGTTTCGATCAAGAAATGGAGTCTGGAGTCCTTCGTCTGAAGAAACCACGGAGAACGTTGGATTTCGCTTTGTTACCATGCCTTTTAGGCTGAAAATCAGCTATCTTCTGGCTCAAAATACTAACATTACACACACGCAGCTCCTTTCACCTCACAATCGACTGAATATGTCACTGTGACGAATAATTCGGACCAGACGGTCGCTTTCAAAGTAAAAACCACGGCTCCTAAATTCTATTGTGTGAGACCAAACGCCGCGATTGTTGCTCCAGGTGAGCAGGTGCAGGTGCAGGTCATTCTGTTAGGCCTGGCCGAAGAACCCACGTCTGATTTTAAGTGTCGTGACAAGTTTTTGGTGATAACGCTTCCAGCCCCTTATGACCTGGGAACTTCTTCTGTGACGGAAGCGTGGGCGCAACTCGAAGCAGAATTCAAGCAGCAGGCTATCTCCAAGAAGATTAAAGTTAAGTATCTCATTGGTGAAGAGGCCCAAGGTGAAGACGCGGGCAAGCCCGCAACGACCACGTCTTCTGCTGCGGCTCCGATGCCTGCAGTGGCACCCGCAGCAGCTCCAGCGTCGAAGTCTGTCGCAGACGAAACCAAACCAGTAGCAGTTCCCGAGCCACAAGCCAAGAAGGCTTCCGTGCCAGACCAAGTGATCACGGAATCCGTGAACTCACCTGTTACTCAAAAGGAGCCCGTGGAACAACAGAAATTGGCGGAGAAACAAGACGCTTCTCTCAACCCATCTGTCATACTTTTCGTTGCTTTGATTGCGCTGGTTTTGGGCTGGTTGTACTACTAAACTGAGGAACCTTTTTGAATAAACAAGAACTTTAGGGGCTTCGAATGGATGTATACCGTTTCTATAATAGGGACTTAGCGAAATCAAAGTGTTTTTTAGAAACAAAATGGCGATTATGTCGAGGTCGTTTTTAAAATATACAACGTATTAAAAAATCTTGCAATAAAGCCTGTCTTGACTTGAATTTGAGTCTAAGTTCGCTTAAGCGGACAAACCCAAACGGCCCTTAGGGTTGGTAACCTTGACGCCCAAAGCCTTGGCTTTGGCCAAGAGAACGACTCTGTTCTTGGAAGACACGTTGTGAGCGATCTCAGCAGCGTAAGTCTTGGTGTGCATGGTCAACAATTCCAAGTCCTTTAGGTTAGAAACCAAAAAGGTCTTGTGACCAGAAGGAGACATGAATCTGGTCTTCTTGTTGGAACCATAACCGATGTTTGGCTCGTCAATGTTGCCTCTGAATCTTCTTCTGACAACAGAGTCAATACCCTTTTGCTTTCTCCAGTTCTCAGCGACTCTCTTGTAACGGTCAGAGTGATGACGCTTGAACTTCTTTGAGTGTTTCTTGACGATCTTTGGGTGTGGTAAAGAAGCAGCCATCTAAACGGGGAAAAGTTAGTAAAGGTTCTTAGTTGGAAGTCTGTGAGAGCGATGGATACTGAAGAAGGGTGGTTCCAAGATGAGAGAGAGGAAAATCGACGCAATACGACGAATCTGGCAGTTCCGACACTCGACGAACTGTGAAACTCTCTTCACTCAACGGTGATGCTAGGAGATGCACTATTTAGGCATGGGATTTCTCGACCATCTCTTAAAATTTGTCAAAAGTTCACACAGCGCCTACGAATTCTCTTGCCCAAAAAAGCCCGGAAACCATTCCCTTCAAACCACGCTCTCTGCTTACTACCTCGTTATTCACATACTTTCTTGCACTATCCTTATCTCCTTGTAACGAGAATCTGTAGTTAATTCGATGTATATAATTGAAGGAATTTCGGCAAACCAGTGTCCACTGCTACGATGCCCGTGCAGCGAGGAAGAGGAGCCCGCCTGCCGGGCCCAGGGAGAGGCAGTGCTCCGTCCACCGCCAGGGGGTGATCCCTACCAGGAGTGTCCATCGGTGCAGAACCCCAGGCGGAGGCGATCGTTAGGCAGCAGCCACGCTGGGCCTACAAGGACGGCGACCTGTCGAGACCAACGGATCTCTGACACGGACGCAAATAAACACACCCCCGCGATAAAAACGCCACTATTTTTCAGAAATTGAGTTTTATACACAGCCCATACACCAATATCTACATAAATGTATGGGCGCAAAGCAGTCACAATTAAGACAGAGTGAACTCAATATCGGATTGTACGAAAATGGGCACTTAATGGGCACCGTCCGTATGAGCACGTAACACTACTTAGCAAGATGGAGCTACCAGCTGGAACGGCCGTTTCCCAAGCGACTAGAAGTATAATCTCGCCGCGATTTAAGCACCCAAGGAACAGACTACTGCACACCGATGGCGTCAACACCAACTTTCATATAGTACTTCACAAGCTGAAACATATCGCGTCAAACAATTCAATTGCTCGAGTTATTTACAGGTCAATGCCGGCATTGGGTCAGGGTCTTTATGCCCCGTCGTGCTACTCAACAGACAACTCGCTAGGCTCGCTCTTAGGCCTCGTACAAATTGATGATCCAGACTCCAAACAGAGGAAGAAAGCTTTGAGAGTACAACATCCTGTGAGAACTCACGTCTTCAAACAAGCCGGTTGACTCTCAACTGAATAAAGCTTGTGTGACAGTTCATCAACCTCGCAAGAATGTAGAATCATCCCTTCATAACTGGACGAACAAAAGGCTTGTCACTGTAATCGGACTTCACTTCCCTCATGGCATCGCTCCACTACCGATCATACGACTCTCCGCCTCCTCGGTCTCCGCCTTTGGCCGCGCCTCGCCTCCGCCTCGTTGTCCACTGCCCAACGTCAAACTAAATGACCTTTGGAAAGCTCGAGAAACGGACAGACGCCAAGTTATCAGCATAGACAGCGACGTAGACACCGAAGCTACACTATGGCCGCTTCTTGACACGTAAACGACATCCCGCTGCTCCCAAGTCACGAGGACAGCCCGCCAAACGATCGTCTCAACAAAAGTAACGCGACTACGAACAATGGTGCCCGTAAATCAGCAAGATCACCGTTCCACGGAATTTCAACAATACAGGATTCTACGAGCTCTGAAGCTGTTGACAAGCTGCCGACAAGCTGGGATTCCCGCCAGAAGGCTATTGAGTTTCGCTTTGCAAGGTCCCGCTGGCCTCGAGGCATCTTCTATATAAACAGTTACGATACCTCGATAACTTCATCAGAGCTGGCTTTTCACAAACCGTAAAGAACAAGCAAGTGAAATTTCAGTTTTCATTGCAGACAAAAAGTCAAAAAACTGGACACATCGCAGAAGAAACACATCGCAGAAGATGGCCACAAACGACCTCATATCACCAGCATACTACTACTACGTTGATCCCGGTGCCGTGTATCAACCACAACAACCAAATCCACTGGAAGACTTGATCTCTGTATACGGATTGCAAGACGTTTCACGACAAGTGGCCCGTACCAACGCAGACGGTTCGAAAGCCGTGAAACTGCGGAAATCGTACAAGAACCAGATCAGTGATTTGTCGGGCAAATTTTCTGCCATTCCCACGCGCGAAAACGGCAAAGCGGGCGACATTTCTCATATTTTGTTTCAGAATAACCCAGATATGATGGCACAAGTGACCAGGACCGCAGGAATGTCCGACGATCAATGGCGACAGCTCATGATGGATAGAGACTCGGCCATATTTAACGACCCGAATAACATCAACTGGAACGCCTGTCAAGCCGTTCTATCCCAGTTTGACAGGAGTTACCCGGGCGAGTTCCAGTCGCACGGATTCCAAGTCGAAGACCTGGCCTTTGATCTAGACGGTAGTGGGAACGCTATCAAAAACCGGAAGCGTAAGGCCAAGTCCGGTGGTAGCTCCATGGCCACGCCGAACAGCGACATTCAGGACGACATGAAGCGGCGCAGACTCGAATGAATTTTGAGTTGAAATTGTTTAATAACAAGGCATTCACTGGGTATATATATAACTGTTGCATATAATATTGACGGAAGCATTGATTTGGATTCTCTCTTTTTTTTCTGGTTGTTCTAATTTCAGTTTCTCAGGTAGTCCCGCAGATAATTGCCCAGTTTCTGTGCGCCCTGTTCCACGGTGTCCCGAAGCACTTGGAACTCGTCGTCGGCGCTGCCGTTGAAGTCTACAAATCCTGCCCCATGTTGTTGCGGCATCACGGGACGTCCGAACTCGTCTAGGTGTTGTTCTTCGTCGTTGCCAAAGTAAGAAGATGAAGAAATCGAAGTCGCATTGCTAAAATTGGATTTCAACTTGTCTTGCGCCTGTCGAGACGCTTCTGCGTCGTAATTACCGAGCCCGAAAAACTGGTCTGAAGAGATCGCCTTCTGAGACCCGTATTTGGCAGCAACTTGACCCGTGTACTTGGGCCCTGATGCGGCGCGTTTGCTTTCTTTTGCCTCTTGCGCAAGCTTGTTGGCATCGTTCATGGTCATACCGAACCCGAGTTTGGCCAGTTTGGGCTGTACCGATTCGACAGACGCCGCGAGGGAATCCGCTTTGATCTGGTCGAACGCGACTCCATCGTCAAACTCAGTACTCGCGCTCTTGTTCACAGACCCGAGCGCAAGCGGCGCCTGTTGTTCGTAGGTCTTGGATGCTACTTTTTGCGTCGACGAAATGTATTTCTCCTCACGCTCTTCTTTGGCCGCTTTTTCGAACTCGTCAAACATGTCCTGCGCATCTGCTTTGTCCACTTTCTTGGCATTGGAACGAGCAGTTCTTCGACTCGAAGACAAAATCGAGTGGGATTTCGCCGCGCCCGCGCCCGCGCCCGTTGAGCCGGCAGCCGTTCCCACACGCCGCTTGGAGCTGCCCGCGGCCAAAATCGAAGGTTTGGCACTGGATCTTGCACTTCCCGTGTTAGCAGGCGTCAACACTTTAGGTGACGGCGTAGCCGTTGCCGGTTTTTCCCAGTTAGAGAAGAAATCGTCAACACTGTTATTTGCGGACGAACCTATCGGCGAGGAACCTGAGGAATCGAGCGCCTCGGATTCCGCTGCAAGCACGATCTCGCCCGGATACTGTTCCGCGTCATGAATCACTTTTTTGTCCAGATGCGACTTATAGTTTTTCGCTACGGCACTGGTATACTTCATACGCGCATCTACGTTGCTACCCAGAAACTGTTTACCATTGTTTTTCATAAAGAACTCGCGGGCTTTCGCGTTCCCACCCACCTTGAACCGTCTCAAATTGTTCAGGGTCCATTTGTCCAAATTCGATGATTTCACAAACGTGATGTGCACGCCCATATTCCGGTGCACGGCAGAGCACTGAATACACAGCAACACACCGAATGGAACCGAAGTCCACGTAGGGTTCTTGTTCCCACAGTCGAAACACGCCCGATTTTCCTGTTTCGCGGTCAGCCGTTGAAACACTTTGGCAGTTTGCTCCTTGGAGCAGTACACGTCTCCGCTATCCTCACTCATGGTACCCACAAAACCTCTAATACCTGCTAAAGCACTTTGATACTCGGGACCCACTGTAGTGGTGAGAACGATCGCTTGTGATGTTTGGATGTGACTTGGAATTTCGGCAAAATCAGAAAGATAATAGTGTACGATACTCATTTCGCTACCCGACCGTTGGTCATATTCACGTCACGTGACTTGGGCTCAAAACGCACTGAACCAGCTCATGTGCTTGAACCATTTAGGTTCGACCAGTATACAGGTTCCAGATGCGATTTGGGTTCGTTTGGTCGGACCCCAGGGGTTGTACCAGGGTCTGGTCGCGGGCAGGGACTCGAGAGTGCCGTCGATGACGCATTTGCGACCTTTGGTCTCGCGGACACGCGCGCGGAGCACGACGGTTGAGTCTGCAGGTACGTCGTGCGCGAACGTGAGGTCGAGACGTGCTGTGACGCCGCGCTTCGAGGGCAAAGTCGGGAACCCACAGTAACAAAGCGCTTCGTCCATCAGGAGCGCGACGATGCCCTTGTGGACGTTACCGCGTTCGTTGCCGAGGTTGTGGCCGAGATGGTAGAACACGACGAGTTCGCGGGTGTTTAGATCGTGGAAAAGAAGCGGGTCGATCTCCAGATGGCCCTTCCCGTACAGTAGACCTTGTCCGACGTGGTAATCGCGGTGCGCGTGCGGGATCTTTTCGCTCTGCGAGAAATGGTGGACGTCACCGTTGGCGACGAGCGCGCTGTATTCTGGGTCGTTTTGGATCTGGGCAAGCACGTCATGGCGTTGTTGCTCGAGAGGCCGTTTCAAAGTCACGGTGCCGAGCCTTTCGTCTTTGGTGGGGGGCCAGGGCCGGAGAAAGCATGCGCAGCCGAGTGTGAACCCGGCTGTGGGAGTTACGATCCATCTCAAGAGAAGTCTGGAGGTCATGGTGGTGGTTGTGGGTTCGGTGACGCGATGAGATGTGGGGTGTTTTCGAGCGAGATGAGTTCTGGACATGGGGGAGAGGTGGACGGTCGTACGAAACCACTTGGATGGCGACGAACGCGAAACGAACGGGCCGTCTACATAGGGGTTTTACAGCTCTTGAAATCTGGCCGTCTGCACGGTGGGAGGGAGGCGTAGCGCGAGAAGCAGGAGTGCGGCAAAAACGCTGTCGGAGGGAGATAGCGAGAAAGTGATATGGTTCAATTGCGATTGTCACGTGATCGAGGTGACAGAATAAAGTTAGAAATGGACAGACCATTCATGATCAAGACAAAGTCATAGGAACTGAGTGATGACCCACCGTCCATCTGAGCGAAATCAGCGGATTTCGAGGTTGGAACTGTGTTACGAGAAATGTATAAAAGGAGACGGTATGACCGGAATTACATTAGGCGTCGCACGATAATTACTGAACGATACAGTACTCAGCTCCCTATCTCCCTTATTATGTAGATCAACTATTGTTGAGGTTTATCGTTGTCGGTAGTCGATAGATTTCTGAAGTGCGCATGTAATTCGTTCATAATTGATCTAAATAATAGAGCTGTTAAGGAATGAGTACTTACATCTCTCCGTGGATATCTTGCGATCATAATTGCCACGATCCTGGTCATATCAGCTCCCTTATACAATTTCTGTAACATTGTTCCAATTTTGGAATCCGTTACTTTCTCTAATATTCACGGTGAGTCAGCATTACGACGTATATTAGATCACTCTTAGAGTGATGAAGAGGTGTGACGACACCATGACAACCACTAGAATCATTCGGTTCCTATGACTTCATCTTGATCATGAATCATCCGTTCATCGTTCTAATTTTATTCTGTCACCTAGATCACGTGATGATGTAATTCAACGCTATCGCCTTCTCGCCAGCTCCTTCCAACATTAGGTTCTTGAAGTGCCCATTTAAGTCGTTCATGGGTAATTTAAACAACAAAGCAAATAAGATGTTGAGTACTTATATCTCTCCGTGATTATCTACTTTTAATGTGATGATGGAATCTGAAGATACCATGACCATCACTGAAATAATTTGGTTTCTGTTACTTCATCTTAATCATAAATTGTCCGTTCAGTTCCGCCTTATTTTAATCTGTCATCTGATCACGCGATAATGTAACTTGCCGATATCCTATCTCGCTATCTCCTTCTAAAAAGAAGTGAACGAGGTATCATGGACGTCGCATCATAAGTGTTGACTAGTCTCATCCATGACTATTTACATCCTAGACTTTTTTCTGAATCTGCGTCACCGAAATCAAGCTTTGAACCCCATTTTTTGCAATTCCATAAATACCAAGCCGATATTGGTATTGAATATGCAAAAGAGAATGTGATAATTGCGGTGCAAATCGGATTATAGTGCTCATCAGTGGAAGCTGGTAGCCAATATACAATCCCACCATCCGTCAGCGTCACGGTGGAAATGAAATATTTTCGACGTAGGCGGCGGAGATACTCTTCCTTCTTTTCCGGGCATGTAATGGCGGAACATGCCACATCCCCATGATAATGTACAAACCCTTGGTAAAATCTCAAGCTGTAGTCCACGCTATAGGATATTATAAGGAATGGGAGCAAAGCTGACAGAATGAGTCCTATAATCTCATAACCTGAAAGACCCATTATGCTTTTGTTTGGAATTTGTTGGTTGTCAAGCTCTGGATGATGATAATAAGGGAATTCTTGACTTTCGTATTTAAATATGCTCAATGGCAAGGTGAAACTTCTGGCATAAAAAAGGTTGCAAATATCAAACATACCAACAACAGCTGGCATTATCTCTGCAAAAAAATTTGAATAGCACAGCACTGGGTATGCCTAGTTGCTAATGTGTTTTTTATTTTGTTGAGGTTTATCGTTGTCGGTAGTTGACAGATTTCTGAACTGTTCATTTAATTCGTTCATTATTGATCTAAATAATAAAGCTGATAAGGAATTGAGTACTTATATCTCTCCGTGGATATCTTGCGATCATAATTGCCACGATCCTGGTCATATCAGCTCCCTTATACAATTTCTGTAGCATTGATCCAAATTTGGAATCCGTTACTTTCTTCAATCTAGACGGTAAATTCTCATCATACGTCATTTATCATACCACATACGATCTGATCACGATGTTCTGATGATTTTAGAACTGTCAATGGACCTGTTTTAGCTTCCAGCTCTTTCACGGAATGCCAACCGTCTGTTCAATCCTCTAATTTATTCTGTCATATCAATCACGTGATTATGCAATTGAACGATATCGCCTTCTCGCCAGCTCCTTCCAACAACTATGAGCGAAAAAGTGAACAGTTCAGAAATCTGTCGTCTACCGACAACGATAAACCTCAATAAAGTAAGGGATTCTGAAGTTAGAATAGTGTTACGAGAATTGTGTAGAAAGCGACAAATCCACCACTTTCAACAGGCTGGGTGTGAACAAGCCGCCACCATTCAATGACTTATAACTTAAACTTAATCTACTTGAGCAATCTCGAACTTTTTCAGTAGCCTTATTTCATCTTTTGGTAGCCGCAAGCGAATCTATCCTGTCAGTTTGGGCCTGTTCACTAGGCTTGGGATATGATTATTTGTGTCGCTTCCGTCGCTTGCATTGTTAGGTTCCATAAATTCGTTATTCGCTGAACCGTCGTCCTCCTCATTCATCATCCGTGCCCCTACTGGAATGTCTTCAGTAATTTACGTATCTGAGCTCAAATTAAAACATTTCAATCGATTGCGAAATATCGTTGTACTTATAAGATTTGCGCTGGCTAACGAAAATCTACTGTCGAGAACCCTCCTGCTTACGGAAAAGCACCTCTCTACATCGGCTGTCGATAACTTGGTATTGTAGAAGGAAAGGGCAGGGAAACGGGCTTGATTTTTTAGCCAACTATCCACGTAAGATTCGTCTTTTTCATATACATGCCATTCATCTTGAGCAGCACTGTAATTGCTCCTTGAATCCCCATCGAAGTATTGAGACATTATCTCCATTATTTGGTTTTCTGTTTCTGCTATCGCTGGCTTTTGAAGTCGCTTCCTTACCATCAAGACTGCTCTCATTCGTTTCGGTGAATAGCTTACAATAATTAACATATTTTTCAGCCATTTCGAGAGCTTCATACCTGAAAGGCTTCCCGAAAGCTCTGCTTAGTCGGTTTGCCTTAAGATGGGGTTGCAAAAGATAAACCACCCAATACCCGGGCTCATTATAAGCGACCGTCCTGTACTTTCAAATTTGGGACGCGAGCTCAAAAAAGACCTAGCATCTGCTCCTGAGATTCCTATGGTGGCAGATGTGACGGTTTAAGTCCGAGGTTTTTCAATAACGGGGTGTCATCCGAGCCGCTTGACAAATTCTCAACGAAGTCGTAATATTGACATAAATTCATGTGGTATTCAATTCCATTGATGAGAGAGCTGGTAGACTCACCCTGTAGCAGCATCGTAAATTCTTTGAAAATGTGCGTTAAACGTAAAAGAAATGTGACAATTTTCACTTCTTTCTGTTCATAACAAAAAATCAAGCACTGATCTGGCGTAAGCTAGTACTATGGTCAAAGCAATTCTCAAAAAAGAACTCTTTAGCACCCTTCGAAACCTTAAGGAAGACTCCAAGTTGACGGTAACGTGATAAAAACCTTGCTTGATTAAGCTTAAGGATCGAATATGGAATCTAAGAGTGAATCTTTTCACGAATGTAGACGTTGCTCTTAGTGAGATAGGCAAGTTTGTCGATTTTCGACAGCAACGAAGCGTGACGTTCTTCGAAGCTCTGGAACAGATCTGCAAAGACCATGTTCAACACATGATTCATACACCTAATGTTGACAAGGCGCCAACACCGCTAATGCTACACCCAAGCATCGAAAGATTATTCGACCCATTATCCAAGGCAATGCTACTAACCTTGTGGCTAATTGCATTTTTGGGCAAACATGCTAATAAGGCGGTTTTCACGTTATCACCTGTGCGTCGCTGATCGCTCAAGTCTATGAAATCTAGCACATGTGTGTTGTAATTTCCACGAGTTGTCACGTCAACTTTCTCGAGGCGTGATTTGCCAGATTGGGGCAGAAGGAAACCAAGACGGCTAGGTAGCTTTTTTGACTGGATGATGTCCGCATGTCAATCAAGATGTCGAAATTTGAAGAATTACGCATGGTTCGTTTCAACTGCTTGTTGAACTCAATTTCATAGTCTCTCAAAAGGCTAACGTGCCCTTTTCTTGACAATAAAATCGGGCGACCGGATGTGTCGAGAAAGTTCAGAAATGTTTTCATGACTTACGATTCAACTAAGCTGAACGGCATGAGTCCGTCAATGAAAACATTGAATTGACTAGGCCTAGGTTTATGGAGGGATAGGAACTGAAGGAATCTCCTGCTAAACGAGAACGGCCCTTGGTAACTCGAAGAAACAGAGGGGAAGGCTTCTAGAATTCTTTGGTTGCATCTCAATTCTTTCCGGAGCAGCTCGTAATCAGCTTTAGGTTGCCGCATTAAACGCCTTACAATGTTAGATGAAGCAGGATTGCCATGCAACGTAAATTTGTGTTTACAGTTGTCGAATTTGCAGACAGCATAAGATCGGTTATCCGCCACTTTCGTCTGTTTGAACCACAGCTGAAGCTCCGTCTGCCTGTTGACACCGATCGAGGAACCCTGTCCAATAACCCCTTCGTAGGCTTCCGAAGGGCTCCTTTGGGTAACCTCAGGGCTAGTAGCTTCATCAGACGCCCTGTCACTCACGACATGCCATCGCGCAAGTCTTCTTAGATGGTTTCCCCACCAAAGAAATGCGTCTTTTCCACACACTGCCTCTTTCTCGAACAACCATTCAGCTCTCTATAACCTCTTCCTATAATCTCTTCCCCTACCTGTTAGAAAATGTACAATGTACTGAGCTAAGCAAAGCGAAAGCTAACCGCGACTGCGAGTAACACTACATCATCTTGAACGGATCAGCGCCGAACCCATACATCTTCGCACACCCAGACCCATCGCGACACCCTGTAGCTCTATACGAACACCCATACCCAATCCAGTCCTATGACGTTCCATCACTATCCACGACCTCCCCCACCTCCCCCACCTTCTCCCCCACGTGGGGCCACCCTGCCATCCGCGCAGACTCATTTTCTCCGGGAGTTCTCCCGGGAGGCCTCCCGGGGGTATCTCGACCTTCTCGCCTCCTGGTCACCAAGTACGGCCCAACCCAGACACCAGCCCAACACCCAACGCCCGTCCGTGATGACTCCCTTTCTGGGTGGGCCGATTGTGTCGCTGGTTGAACACAAAAACAAAAAAGGAAAAGAAACGCGGCAGCCCGGAAAAACCTTGCTGCGTCAGCAGCCTGCAGCATCGTGTGATTTTTCCGGATGGGCTGATGACTGACGAAAGACTGGCGGGGCGGGCCGGGCGCGCGCGGGCCGACGCCCCGGGGTTTCGATATATATGCCCAATTGGCTCGAGGTCTCTCCGCCGTCGCTACATGTCTTTTGGGCCGCGAGTAGTATGCTCAACAACTGCCAAATCAACAACTTCAAGATCACGCGCCAGATCGGCGCTGGCGCGTACGGGCTCGTGTTCCACGCGACGGATGTGATCACTGAGAACGAATACGCAATTAAGGCCGTCGTCAAGACCGCCGGCGGGCTCGCCGGCGGTGTCGCCGACGGAGGTGCCGCCGCGGCGGCACCGGCCGCCGTGCTGCGCACGCAGCTGTACCACTACTTCAAATCGTTCCAAAACGCGGTTTTCCTCCCTGCAGTGGACCTCGCGTCCATCGCGGCGCTCACAGACGAACAGCTCGCGCGGGCTCCGCACTTCCGCGAGCTCGCGCTGCACCTGCGCGTGCACGCGCACCCGGCGGTCGTGACCGTGCACCAGGTGCTCGAGTCGCCGCTGGCGACGTTCGTGGTGATGGATCACTTCGAACGGGACCTCTTCACCGCGATCGTCGACCACCGCCACTTCGCCGGCGACGGCCGCCGCGTCAAGAAGGCGTTTCTGCAGCTGTGCTCCGCGCTGCGCTACTGCCACGCCCAGGGCGTCTACCACTGCGACATCAAGCCCGAAAACGTGCTGCTCGACGCACGTGACAACGTCTACCTGTGCGATTTCGGGCTCGCCACCCGTGCACCACGCCTGCCGGCCTCGGTGTGCGTGGGTTCCAGCTACTACATGGCGCCCGAGCGCGTGGGCGTGCGGCAAGCGGACGCGGCTGCGTCCGCTGCATTGGCGGATGCCGGCGCGGCCGACGCCGCGCCGGCCGCGCCGACCGTGCCCACCGCGGCCGGCGACGTGTGGTCGCTCGGCGTGATCCTCATCAACCTCACGTGCATCCGCAACCCGTGGCCCAAGGCGAGCATCCAAGACGATGCCACGTTCCAGTACTACGCTCGAGACCCGCTGGTGCTGAAGCGGATCCTGCCCGTGTCGAACGACCTGTGTGCCATTCTGAACGCAGTGCTCCAGATCGACCCGCTCAAGCGCATCTCGCTCGAAGAGCTTGCGTCCCGCGTCGCCAGCTGTGCCAGCTTCACCACGTCGGGCCCTCTCGCACACGTGGACGTGCTGGAGCCGCGTGTGGTGCACGATTTCGTGGCCGGCGACGACGGCGTCGCGCTGCGGAGCATGTTGTACGGGTACCTCCACTCCGATTCAGACCCGGAGCAGGATTACCCAAACGGGCAGGCCGCTGCCGACGACAGTTCTGACTTTGGAGGGGTGTCGTCCGTCGTGACGACACCCACCGGTTCAGTCGACGGGAGCGAGCAGCGGCCGCTGCACAAGCGTCAATTGCATGAGTTACAGTCCCAGCCGTTTTCAGTCGCGTACTTGCAATTGAACGAGTCGACCGCGACCAATTACTCCACGGGAAGCAGATGGCTGCCGCAATACTAAGTTATTGCAGGGCGATCTGCGAAGGTTACGACGGTTACGAATGTTACGACGGCGAAATGATAAAGATAGTAAGAATAATTAGGAGGTAATTCAATGTAAATAGCCACGACGAACACAACGGCACGGACGGAATGGGTGTGGGAATTTTTTTCGGTGCGGGGTCGTGCGTGCCGTACAACGGCACACACCTCCCAGTTCACTTGAACAACACATTAAAAGTATACAACATGTTATGTAGAAACGTGTTCCATGCGCTTAGGCCTCAGCCATCTCCCTCAATCTTCTGATAGTAGATCTGACGGTGGCAGCGGCAGCAGTAGACACGGTGTAAGCACCGCCGGCAACGGTCTTCTTGCAGCTGGAGCAAGTCCAGATACCAGTAGCGCCTCTCTTGACGGTCTTCTTACCGCAGAAAGAACAGTCGTATCTGGCGTGCTGCTGGATTTCCAACTTCTTGACTTGTCTTCTCAAGGAGGAACCGTAACGGACACCGTACTTACCGGTAATACCGACCTTCTTCGTTCTCTTAGCCCTGTGAATGAGTTAGTACTGGAACTGAAAAGAGTGCTTGTGAGGTTCGCTCTGGCGCGCGGTGGCACAAGGCCATCCCAGGAATCCCACAAACTTCAAATCTTCGACCTGGCCTGCATTGCCCTTGGCATCGGCCATCCTGTCCTTTGCGAAACACCACTTATCTCCCCGCCTTTAGCTCATCCTCACAGCTGTTTCCCGCATCTATATCCATACATTTTTGTCTGTTGGTTTCTGGTCTATTGTAAAGCACGCTAGATGATCTTGAATTCTAGAGCATGAAAAACTATTTTGAAGAATCGAGCCACGGGCACAGCGTCCCTATTGCCCGCTGCGGCGCTTGCATTACGATGCCACCCAGGCGACTCGCACCTGGTGCATGGGTGCTACCGGTCAAAAATATAGCTTCGCACAAAATGTATGGGCGTCCCCTTTTCCGGAGCAGTCACATACCCGTCCTGTGGAGAACCCACACACCAACACTCTGGCTCCCCACGTAGATTTCATCTCCTGAAATTACCCAAAGTGGCAATCGAAATCTCAGATCCCTGACTCCCACCCTTATTCTCGGCCCGGCTCGAGCCCAGAAACAGCCGCAAACCACACAAGAAAAAACGACGCACTTCCCGCTCGTGCGTCTCTTTCTAAGGCGTCGTTTCCTCGAGCCTCGGCGGCCCGCCCATGTCTGAGCGCTTTATCGCATGATAAACAACAAACCCCCATCAATAGCCGGGGATTATTTGGAGCAAAACCCAACACTTTCCAAGGGGTTAAACGCGTCTTTTCCGCCTTGTGACAGGTATATAAAGGGTTGGCTTTCCCAGTGGAGACAGTAAATGTCGCACTTTGTGAGCCATCACACTTTGTGTAGGATCGCATAGTTAGAGTGCACTACGCACTAGTGTGGTTATATAGTTACATTGTATATATATATATATATATATATACATTTTATATATATACATATATATGGGCTACTGAAAACAGTGGCGCCGGAGCTGAAACCACACGGACGAGGAACGACAAGGAACGGGTCTCAAATAAGAGACGCACAGGACAGACAGAAGGGAAGGTTACAACGGCTGAAAACTCCGTTCAGCGTTTTTTGCAGAGTTTTCTCGTCTTTTCGAGGATACAAGACCCCAGGCCAAAAAAGAGAGCTTCACGAGTGAGGGCGTGCTGTTTCCAAGGGTTTCAAGATCGCCGCCTACGTTCGCCTACGTTAGGATTGCACTATGTTTGCGCCCAGCTCGCAGCCCGATGGGCTGCAAGACGTGCTCGAGCAATACCTGCATCTCGAAGAAGCAGACGCTACGGTGGAATTGCCAACGGTCGACGACACCGTCGTCGACCGTGATGTGAGGATGTCGATAGACCCTATCGACATGACGCTGGCCGAAGCCGCCGCCAGCGCTGGCTGGCAAACCGACGAAAACGAAGATTTCAGTGGCTGTTTTTCGCCCGTCGAGCCCGACGCATTCAAGTTTTACATTCCGCGGCACAGGTTGGGCCGCTTGACACACACCGTGTCGCGGCCCGCGCAAATGGGCCAGTCGCCGTCCCCTGTGGCGCGCAGCACGTCCTTCAATTCTGTCATTTCCGCTGGAACCGAAGTGGACGCGCTGTTACGAGAGGGAGAATTTTGGAACGAAGAATTGCATCTCTTACGCACCCATGAGCTTGGCACCCAGGCTCAGATTTTGTCTGGAACTTCCAAAACAGCTGCATTCCTCATATGTCCAGTCACAGGCTGCGACAACAGCATACTGTGCTCCGAACATGCTCTGTGGGAAAAACATATTTCGCATTCGGAGGATTCGTGCCGCGAAATCCCACGGAATCCACCCTTACCACTCGAAGAGCTCATTGCACACTTTGAAGAAAATCGAAATGAAACGATAACGCATTCATCCGTGAACCTGAACCTGTTCGTCAACAACTATGTTCCACGGTCTAATTACATTGCCACTGTGTCGGTTGAAACCGAAAAATCGCCCCAATTCTCCAAAGAGGAAGAACTCATTCACGTTGTTTGCAATAAATTGTCCCGATACTGTGGCTATTTTTTCGCTGATTCCCGAGAACAGGAATATTTTGACAAAATTCGAATGCAGGAGATTTTCTACCGCTTAAACAAAACCTATTTTGATTCTGTGGATTACTAGATTTCCCAGCATAACATTCTGCTTTCCATGGTTGCTGTACGATTTGCTCGAGGTTTACTTCCAAAGCCTTTATTCAAGCGAAAAGAATAATTAAGACAAAAATTTGAACACAAATTATAATACGTCCCGCCGGGCGGTGCCATTTGAGGTTCAACGAAACCCAGGGCTTCCTCAAGAAGTACCTTCAAACAATCCCAAAAAAAAAAGTTGAGACTTCTAACTTGCCGCATCATCCACTAAAGCGCACGTTTCAACCAGTCTTTTCGTTTTGCATTCCCAATACATTGTTATAATGTGCTATTTCAAGCACAACCCCATTGTTCACATTTTTCACAGCCTCCCGACAATTTGTTAATCACCTTCCATTCGGGCAGGGTTTTTCCTTATAGTTCTTTCACAATAATGTCTTGAAATTGGGTCGAAAAAGGTTTATCAACCCCCATACTCAGTGACTCATGCCCTTTCAATTTTCGAACCGCGAAACTCGGTTTATTTCGGCGCCTTTTATTTATAAAGCCATTTCAACCTCGGTGAGCACAAGCCTAAAAAACTGCACATTTATATTGAATGTTAATTGAAAATTCTGACCACCAACCTTATATTCTATACTGTCGCTTCATCGAGTGAGGAACTTCCCACTTTGATTATCTCTGAGTATTTCCAACTACCACAATTTTCAAGACGTGATAATAAATTTGATTATGACCAGGCGACAAAAAATCAAAATCCGATGCCAGCTTTTCAAGTGTGGCTCGAAGCTAACGGGTTAGAAGGTTACAGCGATTGAAATATTATGGATCGAACATCTCTAGACGAACTACAATGGAAATCTCCCGAGTGGATTCAATCGTTCGGATTGCGAACCGACAATGTCCTAGATTATTTCTCGCAGTCGCCATTTTTCGATCGGACTTCTAATAACCAAGTGGCCAAAATGCAACAGCAGTTTGCGCAACCACGAGCGCCGTCTCAAGCACCATCTATCTCTGAGTTTGATAACGAGTCGCCACACAGAAAGGCCATCCTGTCCACGTATCTTGTACATGCTATGTGGGAACAGGAGCTGCGAAAATTGAAGGGTATCGAATACGTTCTTGCCTATGTGCGCGAGCCCGACTTTTGGATCATTCGCAAGCAAAATAGACAGAGCCCGACCCATGTTGAGACGTTGCAAGACTACTTTATCATCGGAGCAAACGTTTACCAGTCGCCAGCGGTAGCGAAGATCGTCCAAAGCCGTCTCTCCGCGACAAATTTCCACCTTACTCGCGCACTATCGACTTTGAGATCAATGGGTACTTTCAGACCCTCTCAAGGCGCTAGTTTTGCTGATAGAGCGAATCAGCCTCAAATTAGCTCCCAGTCCGGGAGCACCACGGGTAGCACAATGATGACTGGAAACTCAGTGGGTCCTGCCACTGCTAACGGGCAAAGTGGACCTACCAGCTCTACAGATCTTTTGAATAGTTCGGGTTCGCAAACAGACTTGATAACTCCAGATCTCATGGACCGCCTGTTGGTAACAAGCATGAAATCCAGTTTCAAGTATATTTGATTAAAGCATTCTATGCCAGAGAATGAGGCAATCGAATTCAATCCCAGACACCAAAGATTCTCCGTCTCAGAGACCAAAAATTCTACGTTTCATCGCTTTCTCGCATTTTCATGGGGGCTTCACAAAAGTTAAAAATTATATTCTACGTTACTTGGAAGCCGCTACAGCTTGGCTACTGAGACCAAACTTGAAATTGAATCCGTGGAGAACAAATCGTGTAACTGTTATGAGTGAAGTACGATCCGGCATTTCGACCATCTCCTCTGCTATCGACCAGAAAAAGGTACTTCAGGAGACAGAAGAGCGTTCAATTTCGGCTCAATTCACTCAGTTGATTGTCCCCGTCGCCTCCATCTAGCACCAGAGTCCCCACTGCTCGTCTTTCACCTTAGGGCGTCAAAGAGGTTCGAATTTCAAGTCATGTGATAGAATTGTGTGTTAAGTTTGAAAAAGCAGGCGCCCCTCTCTTTTGCAAATGTTAAAAACCCCACAGAATCGCACTCAATGCTTGTAATCAAGGTCTTCATTTCAACGCTCCTGCTAGCGCTGGGCGTCTTAGCCTCTTCTGATGCTGTTGTCACCAAAAAGGTGTTTTTCGATATCGCGCACGGTGACGAACAAGTTGGACGTATCGTCATTGGACTCTTTGGTGATGTTGCGCCGAAGACGGTCGAAAACTTTTATGAGCTTACAATCTCCGAGAACCCTAGCATGGGGTATCTCAATTCTACTTTCCACAGAGTTATTCCAAATTTCATGATTCAAGGTGGTGATTTCACGCACGGATCAGGTGTCGGAGGCAAATCAATCTATGGCGACACTTTTGAGGACGAGTCCTTCGAAGTGAAACATGATAAACCAGGTCGTCTTTCCATGGCCAATAGAGGTCGTAACACTAACGGTTCTCAATTTTTCATTACTACCGTTGCGACGCCATGGTTAGACGGCAAACATGTGGTATTTGGCGAAGTTTTGGAAGGTATGGACGTTGTTAAGTACGTCGAATCAGTTCCAACGGATCGTAGAGATAGACCTGAAAAGGTTGTCAAGATCGTTGCTTCGGGAGAAGTCGAAACAATCCCTCCTACTGAGCAGCACCACGACGAATTGTGAAGAACCGTATAAACCGGAAGGAAACGAAACCGAAAGCGGATTTGGGTTAACTTACAAATTGGCTTCCTTTATATACCATTTGGATTAGTCGTCAAGCTACCTACCTTCTTTAGTTCTCTGTAAGAATGATTTGGTGATAATCATCCTCAACAACGAGAAAACGATATCTCGTTTCTCGGATCAATACTCCGTAAAGCACGGCAAGAAATGCTTCTGAAGAAGCTGGTATCAACGAGAATGTTCCATATCTCTCGGATCAGAAGAGACGTGGCCGTTCCTCAGTTCTCCAAGAAGTTGAATGGATCTTCTGCAGGTCCGTTTATACAATTACCACAGTTTACACCGTTCCAGGATAGCATGCTGGTGAAAATGCCGTCATCGTGTTCAATCTACACCAAACTGGATAAAGTGAGTGTCGTGAGTGTAGAACCACCGGAAACGGTTGGTCAAACCACAGAAACAGCTACGGGACCCGTTTTATTCAAATCTACGACTCCGAACGGCTCATTTCTCAAATTATCCACGAAACAACAGTCTGTAAATGCTCTGCTAGTGTCTAACACTGCAACTTCCAGCGTGGCAGTAATTCAAATTGAAGATTATGAGAAAGGCTGGTATTTGACAAACCCCAGGGCCAGTATTATGTGTTACAGTGGAGATCTATCATTTCCTTCTGAAAACAAGGTCATCGGAAGCGGTGTAATTGCAATGGGTGGCGATGGTCCTATCTACAGAATGCAATTGAATACGGACGAGCATATTTATATCAATCCAGCTGCAGTTTTGGCATTTGACAAAGATATTAAACTTACCGTTACGAATTTAAGTCGCAAGGCAGCCTTCATATCAACCTCATTGCTGCGATTCTTCTCACAAGATACTGTGGACGCTTCACTCCTGGCTTGGGACAAATTGGCTGACAAATCAAGCATTTTTTGCCGGGTTCAAGGTCCAGGAACGATTCTCTTACAAACAGCTTTTACACCTGGTGCTCATTTTACTCCGTCGTCGAAATGAGAACATGAGAATCAATCGATACATATATATTCACACCACCTAAATGCATTTATATTCCGAGTAATCTTGCCAATATCTCCCTAAACGTATGAGCAAATTGTATACCCGACGAAAGCACCCAAATATCCTCCTACAACAAGTGGGATGGGCCATTCTTGCCAAGGTCGATCCCAATCCAATGGAATCACAACGCAACTTACCCAACAACCTATACAGATGCTGAGAAAATAGTTCTTAAAGACTCCGACTTTAAAATCACAGTTAAAGACGGAATACACCGCTGGGAAAGCCAAGAAACAGCAATGAGCTGCCAAAAGCCAAGTTTCCCACAGAAGCATCCCGAAAGGTGCACCCATCAACACAATGAGTAACATACAGGGTAATGTAAGCAAAAAGCATGCAACAATGGATATTGCCAACGATCCAAAATGAATTTTCAAACGTTTATTACCATAAATGGTATTTCGATTGAACTGGAAGACTAAAAACAACAATTGGGTGACAATCAACATGTATAAAAGCCGAACGGTGTCAAAATCATTCGAAATTTTCAAATAATAGTAAGTCAAACCTGGCAAATGGATTGGAACTGTTCCAATGGTTTTTCGAACGTATACTGGCGGATTTAACAACCCCATTCGCTTGTTCTCATTTTTGGAGCTTCTTCTTCTCAAAAAGGCTTCATCATCTGAGAATGATACCGTCTTCTTAATCCCATGTCTTTTTCTAGAAGACATAATGACACCTTAGGATGTTTCGGTGTTAAACGTTATAGATTCCTGATCTTTGCCAGGTTTTGGGATGTCCGACCGAAATGACGATTTTTCAAGATTTACTTTGACAATAATATTCTTGAAATATATACACATCGAAGTCGATATTGATAACGACACTGAAAGAAGTCCATTGATGGGCCCGGGTGACCCACAAGAATGTCTTTAAGAAGAAATTTTATACAGTAAGGCCTATATAAATGGGGTAACCAGGTCCCAGGCTTCTAGCGAATAACTAGCTAGGTGAACCTGGTTTCAATGCGAATTTTACGAGATTATGATGGAAATCATCTTGACATGATTTCAGAGCGCCAGCACATATTATACGTTAAATTTGCCTTCATGACAACGATCTCAAGGAATACTCAACGTCAATTAAATCACGCCAAACTTCGGTTTGAGCTTGACGACCCACTTTAGAGATGACTTGATTTCTTCGCGGCAGAGGTAAATTGCAAAACGATTTTATCACTGTGAAATCCAGTAACGGACGCATTACATGTCCTTTGTGATAGAACTCGTTTTGAAGTCTTTCCATTTTTGGGTTGAGTCCACAACATTGGATTTCTTTGTCTATCAGTTGTTGCTGTACGACATAAAGCCTTCTGTAACTGCTTTCGCTCAATGGTAGCACTTTGAAAATGGATCCGTCCATTTGACCTCCAACGGCCTGGTACGATTGTGACAATTGTCCAAATGGCGCAAATTCCTCATTTTTCAACAGTAGTTTCATGGCATTATTCGACGAGTGCATATTGAAACTGGTGCAATGTACAAGTTTTTGACCCGAAATCGAATGTGGTTCATCAGGAGCGTATTTCAAGACATGCAGAATATCATTTCGGTCCGATAATAGGAAAAATACGTCACCATTATTCACCAGGAATTCAAGAGTCTTGACTTCAAACTTATGACCACTCCTTCCTAGTGGTATCATGCGATAGGGTTCCGCGTCAAACCCAACAAATTGGACACCTTGCATGGAGTCTCCTATTGCAAGCAGATTGCTAAAACTTTTGCAATCGGTGACGAAAACAGGCACATCTAAAAATGCCACGGGTACCACGGAATTATCCTCTTGTACATCTCTTACAAGAACCTTTTGACTTTGACTAATCAAAAATCTACCACTAATTTCGCACACATTTGACACTGCACCTCTGAACTCTTCACTGAAAATACTCTTCAATTTAAAATTCGTATCTGGCTTCCCTGGTTCTGGAACGACTTCAGTAACGTCATACAAATGAAATGACCCCATTGTTCCGATATCTTCATCTCTGACGCATGCTGTACCAACAACAATATACTCTCGCTTCCGCTTGGTTCTTGAGTTGAGTTGGATCATCATCGTCTTGATGTCATTCACAAGAACGTTGTCATCGTACTCAACTTTATCAATGATATTCCAAGTTCGAGGATTGAGCAATAAAATCCCCGACTTGAACGACTTGGCATGCGGAACACCTTCTTTGTAGCCTACAAGACGCTCTCCTTCTTCACTAAGAGCTGAATACGGAATACATTTTGTATAGGAGACAATGAACGTTTCAGTCCGCTCATGGTATGCAACGTTACCCAGAGTGCCTAACCTATCCAAAATATCTTCAATCCTTATTCTTTTGATTGGTAAACGATTTGAGTAATCATATGAATTGTCGATCGTTACAATTCGAGCGTTTTTGATATCATCAACACACATCACTGAGTCCTGGCCCCATAGCGTCAAAGATACTAGCGGTATGTTGCCGAATTTAAAGATTTTAGGAGTTGCACCGTTTTCCTTGATAATAATGTAAGGTGTGCGCCCTGTTATGAGAATCACAGAATAACCATTGAGTGAAGGAATGTAATGCACGATTCTTTCGATAGTGCTCGTACCTTGAGAATAAGCATTATTAGGAGCACCTGTAATTAAAATATCATTTCGATGCATGATCTTGACGAATTTATTATGCCACCTTCTGTATAGGTAAATTTCACCACCAAAACTTAAAATCACTAAATGCTCTTCCTGCTTCTCTTTTCCCAGCTTGACAATCATCACCTGCTTGATGGAGGGATCTGGATTTCTTTCTTCCTCAACCAGGTACGTGCTAATAAATAAATTTTCATTTAAACAGTCGATACCATTGAGTTGGAAAACCTTGTCATGATGATCTTTGGTGAAGAAGATCATTTGATTGTTCGCAGTCACGAAAGTGAAAAGAGGATTTTCATCTTGACTAGAGGCGGGTCCATTTATGAATTCGTCGCATATAGTACTTTTTAAAATGAATCCCGAAGTAATGATTGTTCCTTCAAGCGCCTCAGGTAGCCTGACTTTGGTCAATTTGTTTCTATGCTTTGAATCCAATTCATATATCTTGATCTCTCCCTTAGAATTCGTCAGTAAAATGAACGGATCCAATATGGATACATGGATAACTTCAAAGTCAAAGCTTATAGTTAGGAGTTTTTTGAATCCCAAATTGAAGAGGTAAAGTGCCTTGGTGGTGACCTGTATTATTCTTTTCCCATTACCTATCATAGCTATCTCCACAGTGGTGACATTTCTTTTGAAGTGTTTGGGCTTGAGCAACGTGAACTTTTTACTAATTTCAAAAATGTCACTTTTGCTTGCCCCAGAATCAGTTGTCACCAGGTATTTATCCTTATTTCTCACTCTCAAGTTCCAAATTTGTGTTACCGATGTGAACTTTAAAGCCTGTTGGACAAGCGGTTCAACACTTGGATTAATTATGTTTAAATGCGAGCCTTCGCCATTTCCAGATGAGACGATCAATGATTTCTCTTCTCGGTTTGGGTTTGGCAAACCTTCCTTGGTCTTTTCAAGAGAGCAAACTTTACCGAGCGCTATTGATGTAATAGGTGCCAAATTGACAATTCGGTCGAGAACCTCTATATTGAATGGTGCGTCGCTCTCCAAAATCTTGACCCGGTCTATTTTGCCATTTTGTGTTGACACTTCGTCTCCATAAAGTGCATCGTAATCCTCGTCTTCATCCACATGTGCTTCGACCATCACTTCTTGTCGTGTGTTCAACACATATTTGAGGTTATTTAACTCCAGCAAAAGTGCATCTCCAGAGTTGAAGCCCATAAACAGTACACTTCTTCGAAGGTTTGAAATATCCTGCAAAAGACACATACATGCCGCAATGCTGTGGAAGTTAAATATATGGTTCACAATGGGCAATTTCGTTATGCTGAAGTCAGACAGAAGCCTTCCTTCGAAGTGTGAAGATATGCCCAACATGTCGCCAGAATGACTCATAATCAGAGTAAGCTCATGATTTTTACCGTTAACCTGCAGACTTGTTGAAACGGTGGGAGCCTCCAAAAAAATCTCAAGCGGGCGATTGTTGATTTGCCTTCCTGCCAAGTGTTTGGGGGAGAACGAGTTTATTTCAATGCACGCCTGTAAAGTCCCGGTGTTATCCATGCTTATAATTTCATTAGTTCCTAACAAAAGCACCGATCCTGACAAACTTACTACTGTATGCAGGTCTGAGGGCAGTTTTGTCTGATGGAAAATTGTAGTTCCCAGGCCTTGCCCTATGTTAAGTGTGATTGCAACCAGTTGGGAGGCCATATCGCCCACAATTTTTTCATTACCACACCAGGCAAGTCGCGGCTGAAACAGCACCGCAAGTGTTGCATTGTTGAATGAGTTTAGAAATTGCACATCTATGACATTCATTATATCTGAGTGTAGATCTGCAAAATTTAAAATTGTGCTAGGTCCAGCAAGCATTGCACTGGAATTTTGAGACGAACTGGGTTCCAATTTCTGTTTTTTCTTAGGCTTTAGCGTTTCTTCAGCGTCCTCATCTTCTTCCTCCATGCCCAATAACGGCAATATCGCCAAACAGTCATTGTTGAATATAAGTAGCATCTTGTTTCCGGGCGTAAACCGCAATTTTGAAGCCTTGGTAAGTTCCAATATGCTTTTTTTCGCAAACTCAGCTTCATAGTAATGCAGACTCAGCGTTTCCAATTGCGTCGGCACCGAATCATTAAACCTGACAATGGAAAGTTTGGCTTTTCCCGTGCTTAAAACCAGACAATTGAGCTTCGAATGCTGTTGTGGAACAAAAACCATGTCATGAATTTTCCCTGAAATTTTAAACTCATGTTCAATGACAAGCTTGTTGTTCTGTATCGCATATACCGAAATGATGTTTGTCTTGGCTAAAACCAATTCTTCTTGGTCTAGTCGCGTGAAATGTCCCCTGACAGCACAGGAAACACGACTCGCATCAACGACGTCGTCATATATGTTCATCTCAAACTCCGATGCCCTGCTTTGTCCCGTCTTATCACTCGCTAGAATCATCAAACTGTTTACTAGATGGCCAACTGTTGGTCGAAGATGTTTCTGTAACATAATATCATAGTGTACGAACTATTCTAATTCTTCGATCATCACTAATTAAATCAAGACTCATCGCATTGTCGTTTAGATCAGCAAGTCCGGCTCTTAATAAAAGCATTTCAGTTGATTATCAACCTCGTAATCCATCGCTTTAAATATTCACGATAGGTCTCATATTTACCGAATTTGAAGCACAAAATTCCGTGAAGATTGGGTTTCTATAAGTGGAAAAACATTATGACAAGAACCTTCACCATAGTGATTAAGCTGGGGTCTTCTTCTCTCGTGGATGAGAGGACCAAAGAGCCCAGATTGGCAATTATGTCGCTGATTGTTGAGACGGTGGTCAAACTTCGCAGAATGGGTCATAAAGTGATAATAGTGTCGAGTGGAGGCATTGCAGTAGGTCTTAAGACGCTTAACATGGACAAACGTCCCAAACATTTATCCCAAATTCAGGCGATAGCTGCCGTGGGGCAAGGCCGTTTGATTGGAAGATGGGATTCTCTTTTTTCGCAATTTGGGCAAAGAATTGCACAGATTTTGATCACTAGAAATGATATTCGGGATTGGACTCAATACAAAAACGCGCAGAATACGATTTACGAACTCTTGCAGATGGGGGTAGTGCCCATTGTGAATGAAAACGATACTCTTTCCGTGAGTGAGATTAAATTTGGTGATAACGATACATTATCGGCGATAACCGCTGCGATGTGTGGTGCAAACTACTTGTTTCTTCTCACTGACGTGGATTGCTTGTACACGGACAACCCCAGAACAAATCCTGATGCGAAACCGATTCTCATTGTTCCAAGTCTTGCCAATGGGTTCCCTAGTGTCAAAACTTCTAGTGGTTCCGGTTCAGACGTCGGAACAGGTGGTATGACTACAAAATTGATAGCGGCGGAGCTTGCGACCAACGCAGGCGTGAACACAATAATTATGAAAAGCACACAGCCAGGCAATATTTATAAAGTAGTGTCTTACATGCAAAGCCAAGACGCGGACGAACCCAACGACGCCCTTGATTCTGACGAATTACAAGAACAAGAGCTTCGGAAGTTGGAAGCGGCAGATGTTCCACTGCATACACGATTTGTGGCCAATGAAAATCAAGACCATTTGAAAAGTCGCGAGTTTTGGATGCTTCATGGCCTTTTAAGCAAGGGCTCTATTGTCATTGACACTGGTGCATATGCTGCGTTGACCCGAAAGGACAAGGCAGGGTTGTTGCCTGCTGGAGTTATAGATATCGAGGGTCATTTTCATGAGAATGAATGCGTTGATCTCAAAGTTGGCCAAAGACTCGCGGATGGAGCGCTGGATCCAGATGCCGTTCTACAGACCGTCGGTAGAGCACGTTGTAATTACAACAGCATTGAGATCAATAAGATCAAGGGACTCCAAAGTGGCGAAATCGAGAACGCTTTGGGTTACGCTGATAGCGAATACGTTGCGCATAGAGAAAACCTTGCATTCCCACCGCATCAGTAACTTTATTGTTCCAAAATGCGAATTTATAGAAGAATAGACAGTTTGTTTTCCCTTTTGATGAATGACATTTCCATCCTCGGCTCATAAGTAGAGACCAAGTGCGGCAAAAGAATCTCCATGGTTTTTAATTTGTGAACATCGAGATCTTTATTTTTTATCACAAGTTTGTTGTCGCTTTTGCAGTATGTAACGTCGTAGTCGTCTGGCGAGGCCAGTTCGGAACAAATTTCGATCTTAATTTTGGCTTCGTTCTCCGTTGCTTTACCCATAATAACACTATAGTTTAGATCTCTTAAGTGACGCTGGGAACTTCCGCTTTGCAATTGCGCATGCCCAGGGCTAAGTGTCAAATTTTCAATTTCCTGAATCAATGGTTTTTTACCTTCAGCCGGAGCGGCTTGCGGGAATAGAGGTGGCAACCGATCATCATCAGAATACTCTGGATCCTCCCCTTCCAGTAAATCTCGCCTAAGTTCTAAAATGACCGTAGGATCGCTTTTCCGTTCTTGAAACATCTGGATCTCTTTTTCAAAATTATGACCCAGCTCCTTTGCCAGTACCTCAATCGCTGGAATATGATCACCCTTTTTCTTCATTTTTGGGAATGAAATCGCATCTCTCGATATTTCAATCGCTTCGCGCAATTCACAGGACTCAATGCACCATTCTACCAAAATTTCACGTAATTGTAAATCTTTGCCTATCCACTGAATACACTTGGAATTGATACAACAGTCCCACACATAACAAACAGAACCTTTCTTGTCTCTATCTTCTCGCATTTGCGACGTAACTATAGGAATTTCCCATCTATTGCTCATTATCAAGGGATAAACGATACTCGGGTTAAAATCGACGTCCGGTTTCGGCACTTGCTCATCGTAACAGACATTAATGAAAACCTTGGCTCCAAGTGAAAAATTGGGCTTAGAACAGGAGGCAAGCTTGGATTTGATCGTAAACGCCGCGGTTGGTTCGATCTTGACAATTCCGTCCGAATCGTCGGGGTTGTCTGTGTTCAATGGTCTTAACAGAAAGCTCATCTCGCGATGTTCGGAGTTAAGATACATATCATGGAAAGATTAACAAAGATTAATTTTTCAACTTTGATAAGACAGCTTGAAAAAGGTATAAAGGTATTAAAAAGGCGTTTAAGACTGTGATTTCAGTACTGGAAGTATTCACACGATCTCTGAAACTTGACCATTTGAACGGTGAAACTTGGACAATTTTCCGTTGTCTCAAACTCGAGTTATGGGCTCTAGTAATACATCTTTAATAACAAACAACGATCAAAATAATAGAGATTATTCGACTATTTCTCGAGCCAATGAGACTGGTTATTTGAGCGACGGTAGATCTGTTTCTTCGGACGAGACCTGTGGGAACAGATTTCGATTTTTCAGCCCCGATTACGAAGATCTGGAAGGTAATATAGACGATGATGATGCGTTGACGACTTCGATCAGCAAAGAAATAAGCCATTTGCTGTATTATTCGGTACCGATAACAATAACATTTTGTATGGAATATTTGCTGGCCGTGACGTCGCTTTTTATCTTGGGACATTTGGGGAAAGCATCAGATCTCGCCAGTGCGTCTTTAGCCGTGATGACGTTCAACATTACTGGCTTGGCAGTTATCGAAGGTATGTCTAGTGCATTGGATACTCTATGCCCACAAGCATTTGGTGCTCAGAAATACACGCGTGTGGGACTTTATTTCCAAAGATGTACTGCGATGATCTTAATCGCAGCGATTCCGATCTGTATTTCGTGGTGGACTTGCGAGAAATGGTTACAATACTTGGTTCCCGAGAAAGACCTCTTGGCGAACGTCCAAGTATTTTTGAGAATAACCTCGTTGGCGTTACCGGGGCTCATTTTTTTCGAAACGGGCAAGCGATTCGTTCAGGCTCAGGGCATATTTGACGCTAGTACCTGGGTGTTGGTGTTCAATGTTCCTCTCAATATTGTTATCAGCATATTTTTGACAAAGAGATATGGATTTGTGGGTGCCCCAATTGCGATAACAATAACGTACTGGTTAATGGCCATCATACTCTTCCTTTATTGTCTGTTTTTTGTTCCGACTACGAAACAGTGTTGGTATCCGGTGTTAGAGAGTTCATTCCATTTAAAGCGTGTGTTTTCCAATTGGGGTCCTATTTGGAGACTTGCATTTCCAGGTTTAGTCATGATCGAATCCGAGTATCTTTCTTTTGAAGTCCTGACTGTAATGTCAACGCATTTCGGTGTGAGAGCAATAGCAGCGCAGTCTGTCATCGCCAATTTGGGTTCCTTAATATACCAAATCCCCTTTGCCATGGGATGCGTTGTTGCTACTCGAATTGCTAACTATATAGGTTCTGGCTTGCTGCGAAACGCCGGAACAACGGTAAAAGCGTCATGGTTGTTGGGGGCAATAATTGGGATTACCAACTGCTTGCTCATCATGTTTGGGAAGAGATGGCTTTGCTTGTTGTTTACGCGGGACAAAGAGATAATTGAAGTGGCAGCTCGGGCTTTACCTATTTTGGCTCTGAATCAATTATGTGACGGTTTGGCAACTTTCAATGCCGCCATTTTAAGGGCTCAGGGTCGTCAGGCGCTCGGAGGTTTGATTAATGTGATCAACTACTATTTTATCGCTCTACCGTTGAGCTATTGGTTTGCATTTGGTCCACTTCATTTGGAACTCAAAGGTTTATGGTACGGTTGCGGAGTTGGCATTTTTCTTATGGCACTGTGCTTGATGGCATGCGTCCGAAAAAGTAACTGGGGCGAGATATTGCAAAACTTCATAGAAAGAGAAGAAAGGGAAGCGGAAATAGATATGGACAGCATCGCAACTGGTTAAGTTTATAAAATTCAATCTACGTAATTTAATTAATCTGACGGGCTCACAATGCGTCCACTGAGATAAGCTTACCCGAAAATTTGAATACCGTCATTCTTAATGTCATCGTCTTCAGACGAGTTGTGTTCCAAGCGCTCGTCAATTTCACTGAAACTAACCTTTTGTCCTAGAAGCCCAGCGAAAAACTCGTCAATTTGTTCGTCCGACCATTTGAATCCACCATTAACAGGCGCCTCATAATTCGCAATAGGTTCCTGAATTTTGTAATTAATTTTTCTACCCTTCGATGCTTTGGTATCTACATTCTTTTTCAGTTTGTTGCTGGAGCGTGATGTTAGAGCTATTGTGACACCACTCGATTCCGTTTGTGCGTTGGAAATTTTCTTGTCTACAAGATCATTCAACAGGATTCGGTAAAAGTCTTCATCATCAAACACATATGGATTTTCATTTGTATCAATCGTCGTATTGTCCTTTCGCCTTGGATCATAGTTTTTGGGGATATCCAAGTCATCAGATTCGGCATCCATGCTGTTCGTTGTGTTCTTCAATTTGTCAAGTAGGCCAGCGTTCAAGTCAGCTTCAAAGCTGAGTGGAACCACATTTCTCCTATTGAGAGTGGTTCGTTTCAAAAGTCTTGGTAAGTCGGCCAGTTGATTTTTCACTTGAACGTCTGCTGTTTGATTAATGGCTTTAAATTTGCTCGAAGCAAGCGCTGATTTGCCCGAGGCGGACAAAATCTTGTGAGACCATTTCTGGAGAACTGCAGAACGATAAACTTTTAATTGGGCATCGAGCGTATCCGTTTGCTCGCAAAGCTCGGAATAGCTTCTCTTTTTTGCGGAGTGATCCAAAAAGGAATCTGGATTTTGATTTATGTTGTCTCTCATTTGGAATTCGTCCCGGAAATCGATTAATTGGCCCATAACGTCTTTTAGTTTCCCAATGGCTTCCTTCAAAAGACGTTTGTTGCCCTTGGATTCTCTCAAATGTAATTCCCACGAATCCTTGCTGAGAGGTAACTCGTTTGCTGCTGTGACCGCTTTCTGGAGCTTAATACGAGTGTCCAAGATTTGATCAAAAAGTCTGTTCTGTTCTAAAATGGCATAACCTTTGGAGGCATTCTGCCGCGATGTCTCAGAAAGCCTTTTCACTGCGGTTTGCGTCTCTTGCTGAACTAATGCTGCCAAACGTTTTCTCTTGTATTCTGTATCTTCTTCTTCTTGGTCTGATTCAGGGTCTTCAAACTCTTCAGAGGCGTCACTTTCTGAGACGCTCTCCACCACACTCTCAACTTCAACACTGTCATCGTCAACACTGTCACTGTCAACACCGTCCACATCCTCACTTACACGATCTAAATTATTGTCAGTCTCACTATTCTCACCGCTTTCGCTGTCGTCGTCGCCATCGTACAGTGCTTTCCGCGAACTTTTAGCACCTTTATATTTCTCATCTCTCAAATGTATTCCTTTGTCCTTCAGCTTGGATTTACCTACCGAAACATAATGAGAACTGGCTTGTCGCTCATCTTCAGAACTATCCAACTCATCGTCCGAGCCTTCTCTATGCTCGAAGCTATTGGTCTCGGCGTTTTCTATATCATAATCGGCAACCACCGGCTTGTTTGCAATCGCAGAAATCTTCTCTGAAAGTGACTTGCCCATAGATTCTATTAATCGCTAGAAAATGCTGGTTTGGACCGCTTTTTCAAATTCTATTGGCTATGTTTGTCGCATCAAAAGCTCATCTCATGAGCTCATCGCAGGTTACTATTGAAAATTTTCAAAGTTATCCGTACAAAGCGATTTAATCATAACTATAAAAGCGTCAAAATTAGCCGCCGCCGATTTACTAACTCTCCTAATCATTGACATTGTTAAACAAGAAGAAGAAAGCTATAGGGGAACCCACCTGGTGATATTGGTGCCGAAAGACATAGTAAGGGTCGTTGTACTGATCAAGCGCGCCGTTTTCCGACGTTTTCGTTCAGATTTGAACGGTGGCGGCAAAGTTTAAGTTCCTTGAAAGTGTCGCGAATGACTATCCCCTTTAATGAAAAATTAGTTGAGACTGGTTTTGAGCGAGAGAGTTAGAGGGTCCAGGGCGATGCTAGAGGCCTGTTGGGGTTTGCACCGCGACGGGAATGTGAGAATTCCTGATCGGATTGAGATTTGGGTCACATCAAACGTTAAACTCGAATTTGTTTGAAGAGGCATAGGGGAGGCATCCTGATGCTGTGACGTCTTCTTTTATCTACTATATTGCCTTTTGGTCTTTACTCGCCAAAAGGTACGAAAAAACGCTAAAGTCCTTATTTTTTACGACTTTGCGCAGTTCAACGACATCAAAACCAAGTCTCTCCAACGCGAAACTAGGCTCCCTGAAGTCTCTAAAGGGCTCCATATCGCTCCTTTCACTGCGCTACCCATAATTGCCTCCAAAGTCATGCGTATCGCCACGTGCACATCACGAGAATATCACGTGATTTACATCCAATAATAAAGTGTGATAACCCACTTATACGGTTGGAAGACGAGAATTGGGAAAAACAAAATTTTCAGATAGGAGAGTAATTCTGTTAGAAGAGCAGATCCAGTTACTTAAAACGGGGCAAAATCGATCAATTATGTTTTCCAGAGTGTTTGTACGTTCCCTTGCATCTGCCGCCAAAGGTGTGAAACCTCCAGTGCAGTTGTTTGGTCTTGATGGCACATACGCAACTGCTTTGTTCACAGCAGCTTCCAAGTCTTCTTCCATCGAAGGAGCTTCTAAGTCTCTAAACGACTTGGCTCAACTTATCTCAAAGGACAACAAGTTGCAAACCATTTTGAGTAACCCGGCTCTTTCTTCTATTGACAGAGGGGTTGTTGTTGACACTTTGGCCAAATCACAGAAGGATCTTGACACCTCCGTGTCCAATTTGCTAAAAGTCTTGGGCGAAAACAACAGATTGGATCTTTTGTCAGACGTGACTTCTCAATTTGCCAAGCTAACCGACGCTTACAAAGGTTTAATTCAAGCTACAGTGACTACTGCTCAACCTTTAGATTCCAAATTGCTCAAAAGAGTCGAAAAGGCACTCTCACAATCCAATCTGGTCGGTCAAGGTAAGACTTTGAAATTGGAGAACACTGTGAACCCTGACATACAGGGTGGTTTGATTGTTGAGATTGCAGACCGCACCATTGACTTGTCAATTGCGTCAAAAATCCAGAAGTTGAACCAAGTGTTGAACGAGTCCATCTAGGGTTATGTATAACGAAAAGAAATATCAAATATTCCAAGTATTAATACTAAATACACATCATTTCATCTGTGACTTGGTATGTGCTTGATTTCCCATGCCTCTTTCACACTCAAAACCTTCAAAGAAAATAATAGATATAAATTTTGACTAGCCGCTAGCTACGTACGCGTAGGTCACTCGTCTTTCTTGACGTTAAAACCTTTCTTGATTCTTTCTGCTTTTTCGTTTTCTCTCTCACCGAGAAATTTCTTGTATCTGTCAATCGTTATCCTCCTTTGAGCGTGTTCGTATTCGGCCAGACCCTCATATTTGGTATTACAGAAACTGTCCCAAAAGGTGAAGAATGGTTGCGCAAAGTTGGTCTTGATTCCGAATTGCTGGTGATGAATATCGTGATACACCGCGTTGTTTGGGAACAACCATTGGAAGGGGTCCCAGGGCAAAGCATAGCCACAGTGGTCATCTACCGTTTTCATCGTAGCAAAAGTGAATAACAAGATTTGTTCTCTTGGCGTGATACCGGTCAAAAGAGCCGCAAGGCCTGTACCACAGGTGTCTAACAGAAAGCCCTCAGTAGGGGCATTGTACAACGCGCCGTACGCGTATGGAACGTACAACCTGTGGTGTCTAGAATGGTACAGCTTGTACAAAGTCTTGTTGACATGCATTAGTCTGTGAAGCCAATATTGCCATGAGTCAATGATGCCAAATCCGATTATCACCTTGAAAAGTGGAAATCCGTACATGTAGCCGAAATAAATGAGATCGTTGGGTACAAAACTGGGCAATGTCCGTCTCCAATCCCACATGGCTTTGGCCTCGAACCCGGTCATCGGAACTTTGTCGTAATACACGAACACTATGCCTGTCACTGTTTGTAAGAAATGCTGAAAGATCACTTCCCGCAGAACTTCAAGCCGACTTGCTTTGTTTCTTGAAGCAACTTCTTTCGAAGGATGGATCCGGTACTGTTCGGCCAGCTTAAACGTGTCTAGCGCGTGAAATATCATGGAAAGAGTCCAATAAGCCACCACGGGACATAACAACGCCAAATGTCCGTCGGAAATCCACGGAAAAAGCGATTTCTGTGGAGTAAGCACCACCGGTGGTGCCACTGGCGAGTTCATAAAGGCAAATGTTCCCTCTAAAACGTTATATTTCCAGTTCATCTCTGAAACTGTTTCGTTCACCAAATTCATTTGGGTCGATGAGGTGCAATTGCAAGTATGTGAATTTTTTCAAAATTTCAATAGTTCACGATCTACGTGTCCAGACAAAGAAACGACACTAGAACTAGAAAGAAACTAGGTTTATGGGCATATTAGCGGGAAAGTAGTTTCAATTTATAATAACTTCGTTAGCTGCAAACAGCTGGTGATGTTGATCCGAGCGATCGTCTTTGTTTGTCTTTCTTCCTTTTTTTTTTTGGTCGTAGGAGTTGCGTCTGCTATACGAGCAGATGGCCCCATCGCATGGAAGAGCGTGGCGCGAATAAGAAATTTATTTACATGGAGTCGCGCGGCCGCCGCGTGACGATGGGAACACGCGGGATCGGATGCAGTGCGGACGCGGTGCGGATGCGGAGTTCAAGCCAAAGTTTCGACGCCGTCAGACTCTTGTTTGGCTTCACGCAACTTGGCAAATTCTTGTTTAGCCCGTTCTCCTAGCTCCCTGAGAACGAGGGATTCCTCGCGGACAGAGTTCCCTAACTTGGTAATTACGTTGTGGGTCACGTTGGGCAGCACGGGAGTCCAGTGTTTATCCAAATCGCCCATACGCCAATTGTCTTCCCAATGTATTTGAGCCCTTAGCGCGCCGGGTATGCCAAGAGCGCGAAGCGATTCGCGCAGGTCTGCAACGGCCTCTTGGGCGTACGTGGGGCGGTACTGCCCCGAATACCAAACGTGACCATACTCGTCTCTTTTGCGAAATGCTTCTGCAGTCTTTTTTTGGCTAACGTCACGAAGGTATCGCAATCGGCAAAGGTTTTGGTACAAGGTGACGCCTGTCTCATAAGTTGGGACGTCCACAACTGCCATGCATCTCCAAATATCACGTCTTGGTAGAGGTTTCTTATTCTCCCAATTTGGTCTCTTGAACAGTTTATCGATTTGAGCCTGTGAAAAGACGGGCACTTGTGAGTAGATGACTTGACCAGACTCGAGGTTTCTGAACAGAAACACCTGAGGGGCATAACCGGATTTACGCAGCCATCCCGCTGGACGGAACCGAGCCGTAGCGGCCATATTTGCACTCATTTATTCAAATAATGTGACGGGTTGAAAAGACACAAAAATGAGAACCTTTAGCGGGCTTCACACTCACTGAGGTCGTCGTCTCGCTGCCAGCGTTCAGTTTTTTTCTCGCAGTAGTGTATGTTAGCATGTGGAAGTTCGACTTTTGCTCGTACAAGACGACATAATTAGCAGTGCACGTGAATATCGCGTGACATACGTCTCAGACAAACATTCTCACTCGTCATGCGCGTCTATTCTCTGTTAAGGCAGACTGGCAGGTGAGGATTGCTGATTGAAATATGCGGTGTTTGCCCAGCGCGGTACGGGTGTGTTGTACGCCTTCGAACAAAAATAACATTTTCAGATGTGGCTTTCACCAAAAAAATGGAAAGGACATACCCAAACCACTCCCGTAAACCTACGTTGACAAAGCATTCCGCAAAAGTTAAGCACAGGCCTGCTTTTATGCTTTCTTGCCCTTAACGCGTTTTCCACCTCAAAGTCACGTGATCAACATTATTTCCATATCACAATATACGAACAATTCTCCTTTTAGCCGCCGACCCCCTTGTTCATTTCATGAACCCGTACTTTGAGAACACCAAAATGCCAAGCCGAGACCCAAATAATCTGAACTGAATTATCATCATTCACACATCCAACCCACTACTCCAATAGCACTTCTCCTTATGGTATCCACATTCTCCTGTTCTTCCTTTCTTCCGTTCTCCTCTTTCTAATTGTACGTGGCGAAAGTCAAGATCCATCAACTCTCTCCATTTTATACGCTTTTAACCGCGAAGCAACCCGAAAGAAATAGAAAATAGTTGAAAACTAACATCAACATCAACAGAAACACACTCATCGGCACTGTGAATGCCGTAATCTTATCGATAACCGTGAGGCAAATATACGATAAAGTACATAAATTGGTACTACTTGGAAGCAGGACAGTGAACTATGTTGGTAGATGAGGTTAATGGGCGTTTTTGAGCCTTAATGATTCTAGGTTTGATGAGACAAGAGCCGGGCGACGGCAAATTGGAGAGACTCAGGGAGGACCAAGAGATATTACCATGTCCTTGATAGTGCATGTCGCCGTCCTTTGTTAAGAAAACGTACTTTTAAAAATGGTCGCAACGAAAACAACTACAGAGGAAGTGCATAGAAACGATGTGATTGACTTGAATGTCATTATTGAGACCCCAAATAAAGTCAAAGATAGCCGCAGGATCCAGATTACTTGTATTCTGTCGGCGCAGTCACGTGACTTTAGAATCATCACACCATTAACGGTACTCCAAAGCCACTTTAATCCCAATTTTATAGAATTTCCTCGTATTCTGATTGCTTATGGACTCCGGGCTCCTACAAAGGTTCCTTCTTTCGGTCCTTTATGCTTGTGTCTACGTATTCCAGCATAGATTACTTGCTACGAAGAAGGTCGGCATAACAGATAAGCCTGCTCGCCGTCAGCGAGCTGTCACGAGACATCTTCAAAGCCGTTCCAGTAATGATTCTACCGGCCTATGGAGTCGTACCGACATCGCGACTGGAAGCTAGACTTCAATTGCTTAATATCGATGAGGCTGGACATCTAGATGTGTTGTATGAGCCCTCTTTGGAGGACAAGAAACCTTTGGTGGCCGTTCAAAGATGCAGAAACTGTGGAGCCATGATTATGAACAAGAGCGCTGTGTACGGTGAACTATGGATTTGCGGTATCTGCGATTCGGGCAACATGCTTGTTGAAAAACCCTCGAGCGAGTCCTACACGGTCAGACTGGACGAGAATCCTCAGGCTGGGCCGGAAGACGGCCGTACGAGGCCCATAATCCTTGTCATAGACCGTAACGAAGACGCAGAAGGTGACGTGGCACGCTTGACGCAGGTCTTGGCCGATAAGCTGGCCATGGGCCCGCCTCGAGATGTTGCCATAGTCACGATAGGCCCTGATGGAACCGTCGAGGTTCATCATCGCCATGGTGGTGACGTGTCCGACGACTTAGAGCCCAAGAACCTCTCTGTCGCTTGCTTTCATGCTCACGACTCCACTACCGTTGATGCTGCGGAGAAGCTTGACTTAGAATTTTTCAAATCGCGTTTGTCTGCGGGAATTGGTCCCATCTTTTTCAATGAGAGCGATGCCGCGAAAATCGTCACGGGCTTGGTGTCGACAGGCGCACGCTTGCCAAAATCTCGTCATCAGAGGGCAACAGGTCTCTCGCTTGTTATAGCTGCCGCTTTGGCTCAAACCGCGACCTTCGCTTTGACAGTGGCCTGTTTATCTGGCCCTTGCACCATAGGTCCTGGTAAAGTAGTACCCAAGAACCTAAAATATGCCATGCGACAGCATCACGATCTGGACAAAAGCTCTGACAAATACTTTCGCAAGGCCAGAACGTTTTTCGAACGATTATCGACCCAGAACGAGTGCCAAATGTTGATAGGATGCTTAGATCAAATTGGGTTCGTGGAATTGGCGCCTGTTTGCAATAGCGTGGGCCAATTCGATTCATTTTCCTCCCCAGGGTTTGAACTGGCCCTTGAAACGGTCTTGAATAGCGTTGCATGGGGTTCAGAGATTACCATCAAGGCCTCTAAGGGTTTGCTGGTGGACGGATGTTATGGGGACGTTCAAAGACTGCCGCCCACGCAAAAAATATACAGCGATACGCCTTGTGGCGTGTCTGGAACTAATAAATGGCAAGTGGCACCGGCAACTCCTTCGCTCGCATTTCGATTCAGTATCGAAACGGCGGCAACCAAAGAGCAGTCCATAGATTCGGTTCCGCAGTTTCTAATATTGCAGTTCCAATTCAGCTATTTCCATCAGGGAGAAAAACGATGCAGAATCGAGACCATATTCCTACCTACAACAAATCATCAGTCCGCAAATTCGACGTCTATTCAGGATACACATTCTCCACTTGCCTCTTTGGCATGTCTGATGAAAAGAATCGCATTCAGTCAGCTCAGGCTAAGAAAATTTCATTCACTCGATCTAGAACGTTGGCGCGAAAAGCTCGACCGAATTGCCGCTGCCCATTTCCACCAGCAGAGCCACACGTACATGGTGTTTATCGACAGCCTATACCATCTCAAGTGGAGCGCGCTACTCCAAAAACGCAACACTTCCCCGGATGAGGCCTGTATATTCCAGTCACTTGTGTTGTCATGGACTGCCAACCACTGTAAACTTCTGTGCAAGCCGTTGGTGACTATTTTCGAGGAAAGAGGCCCAATTGACGTCGAAATAATTGATGAGCAACTGATCTTCTCGAGAAATGCGACATGCGTGGACGGTGGTAATTTCATACTCGTGAGGTATGCTGAGAGGGACTCAATGGCCCAAAACGCGGTTAATTACGGAGTGCGTCTCGTCGAAACTCGGTTCCCACCACCGGTTTTCAAGGAAACTGTCGTTGGAGGCAGTCAGGATCGCTATTTTGTCAGTAAACTGGCTCCACGCACTGGATTGAACACAGAAGATGCATCTTTCAACGAGTACATCGACTCCTTACGCAAAATAAGGTGATTTATAAGGTCCCGAACTCATGCAAGACTAGATGAATTGAGAACTCGGGGTAATCTCAAATGTCGTCAGCCCACTATTTGTCCGCCATTTAATACCAGAACTAGACGTACACAACAAAACCTTGAACCAGGTTTAATTCGCATCTCAATGAGACCATTAAATTTACCACCGTTTCTAAATTTAAGAAGATATAGACCTTGATAACTGTATTCTGTTTAAATACTACCCTTGATTAGCTACTTTTGAAAGTGACAATCAAATTTCCACTGTTTATAATCTGACATAACCAGTGTTGACGAAAAAGATAATAAGACGACGAATACCTTCGTGACTGATGTCGACATCCGTGATTTATGTCCCCGTGGGCCTTACATCGTTACAACGAGATCTGATTGAGATCTTAGTGTCTATACATGCGTTTTCACTATTACGATTAATGAAGCCCGATGATCCAGCGTTGAATGAGATTTCTAAGAAACAAGAAGAAAGACAAGTTTTGAGATTACCCCAATTATCCGATGTGCAAATGATGTATTTGCTTGCCGCTAATATTCGTGCTGTTGCCAACCATCCTTCTCTGCTTGTTAGCCATTACATGCCCCGTCAGTTGCTGCTAATGGAACCTGGTGAAAGGCTTATAGCAGCAAGTCATAAATTTCAAGTACTAGCTTCAATTGTCGATAAGTTTAGCGGCCGTGATCGCAATAGATTTACCGGTTCGATGAAATTGGCATTAATTGCACACAATGTCAAGGAATTGGATCTTATAGAAGGGTTTTTACTAGGCAAATTAGTGAGAATTAAAAGGTTATCTGGCACCTCCCTTTTTGATGAAAAACATGTTTACGACAGTTCAGTGTCGTCTGATGCTCCCTCAGTGATGTCTTCGAGAGAACCCAGCGAAGAAAATAACGGTTACGTAAAATACGTTTCGCAAGAATCCCAATCTGACTTCAACGACTGGGTATTTCTAGCCACGTCGACGCATGTAGCACACGACCCAGACCTGTTTGAGCCGTACGATATCGATATGGTCATAAGTTTTGATGCGCTTCTGGACAGCCAATTGCCTGTCTTTGCCCGCACGAGAAGGTCTGGAGGACCAATTCCGATCGTCAAACTTCTAGTTGAGGGCTCGCCGGATCACTGTATACTTGCCAGCGGCAAAGAGGACGACGAGAATGTAAGCACGGAGAAAGCACTGAATTATTTTGTCAAGAATAGAGCGTATTCCACGTCTGGAGGTGGTGTTGCCGATTTGTCTCTTTTGGTAAATTCTTTTCTGGAGGACACACTAGAAAAATCACCGCTGCCGGTGCTTCCAGAATTACCAGATACTGCGGATCTCTATCGTGCGCTTACGACTCATTCGAGCTTGAAAAAACTCGAAAAGACGCAGTTTTCGCTACCGCCTCGTCCAGACCAATTCGATATCAAATCCTATCAAGCTGCCATCACAGACCTTGTCTTGCAACGCTTGAATGCGTGTGAAAGTGAATTTGATGCACGCGAGGAGGACGTGCTGCAAAAAAGGTTGCGTGAAACCGAAAGACAGAATGGGTTTGACGAAATGCGGATGGAATCTGCTAAAATTTACAAAAGTCTGAAAGAGGGCGAGGGTAGGCAAAACGACGTTAGTAAAAAGGCCGAGAAAGCCAAATCCGATTTTGAAAGACACGATGCGCGCTACAAAACTCTTCTTGAAAGGGCCAAACATTTGGAGAACTTAGTCAACCTTTTAGATTGCAGTAACGAATTGGAAACCGCTAGAGGGAGCCTACAAACTTTGAAAACCCAACTAAACACCCTGCTTGACGAGAACGACAAACTTTCGACTTGCAACGACAATCTTCGTTTGAAATACCAATCGACTTCAACAGAGGCTGCGAATGAATCGCTTGGTTTAACCACGCTAGAAGAAACAAAGAAAGCGCTAGAGAAAAAAAAATCTGGACCTCTCACGACAATGCGTGTCAGCGAAGCCCACTTTCACGAGAAACAAGCCCAGAAAGAATTAAATCGGTGCCAAGAACAATCATTTTTCTATCAATCCTTAACAAAAAGATTACAGACTCATTATGCGATTACCAAGAGAGATTCGCCAAGCAAATCTTCAACCAATTCTCGAACTAGAAGAGGAAGATCAACAGCACCGGTCTACACATGAATTGACGCATTTTGTTTTGGATTCCCCATTCCATGTTTTTATGCTGTCGTGCCAATTGACGACAAATTTCCAGAAGGCATTAAGATGATCTTGCCGATTGGCACTGTTGAAAATCGCTCACGGGTTTTGACATAAAAGGAGGAATGAGACTTGTGCTATACGGTCTAATCTTCACGGGATTGGCTAACTAGTGGTTTATGAATTCAATTCACAGTCAATTGATGTATTTGCAAAGCTACCTAGGGCAGATGAGTCCGATTTCGGAGGAACTAATATCGGACTTAAGAACATCTATAATCAACTATTGGCATTCGGCATCGTGGTTTGAACTAGCGAGAGACTATCTGTTTGTGCTGTTCTGTCTGCGTATTATACGGCGCGTTTGGTCTAATGTCTACGGTTACGGTTTGCTTACATCGCTCACGTTTCTGATTAAAGCCGTTGCTAAAAAAGGTTTTAATGCGTTATTTGGCTTTGCAGTGTTCAAGTCCAAAGTCGATGAGAGAGTTCAAAAAACGATTGCGGACATCGAAACGAGTCTTATGAAGAATGATTCGACGTTGACCGATTTTCGAAGCTTGCCTCGCATAGGTCTTAGTAATCAGGACGTTCTGAAAGAGCTAGACTTATCAAAATCGGTGCTCAAGCATTCGGACTGGGAAAATGGGAAAGTGTCTGGAGCTGTGTATCATGGCGGGGATGATTTGATACATTTGCAAAGTTTAGCATTCGAGAAATACTGCGTTGCCAACCAACTTCATCCCGATGTTTTCCCCGCAGTTAGAAAAATGGAATCCGAAGTTGTATCAATGGTTTTGAAAATGTTTAACGCTCCTTTGGACACTGGGTGCGGTGCCACCACGTCTGGAGGTACCGAGTCGCTCTTGCTAGCGTGTCTTAGTGCCAAAGTGTACGCAAAACGGTATCGCGGTGTCACTGAGCCCGAAATTATTGTACCAGTCACAGCGCACGCTGGATTTGACAAAGCCGCTTATTATTTCGGTATCAAGCTTCACCACGTTGAATTGGATCCAGCCACCTACAAAGTTGATATTCGAGCGGTCAAGAGGTTGATTAATAGAAATACTGTACTTCTAGTTGGATCCGCACCAAATTTCCCACACGGGATTATTGATGACATTGAAGCGTTAGGCAAACTAGCGGAACGCTACCACATCCCGCTGCACGTCGATTGCTGTTTAGGCTCTTTTGTCATTGCATTCATGGAAAAAGCAGGCTTTTCAGACGTAGCACCGTTTGATTTTCGTGTACCCGGTGTCACTTCTATATCTTGCGACACCCACAAGTATGGGTTTGCGCCCAAGGGATCTTCGGTTATCATGTATCGTAACCGCGAGCTGCGATCATGTCAGTACTACTTGTCGACGGAATGGACCGGTGGACTGTATGCGTCACCCACGTTAGCTGGAAGTAGACCCGGTGCACTTGTCGTTGGTTGTTGGGCCACCATGGTACATTTGGGTGAAGCTGGGTACACCGAGTCTTGCCGAGAAATTATACAAACCGCGCGCAAACTCAAGACTTTCATACAGGATGAAGTTCCCGAGCTTGAAATCCTAGGAAATCCGCAATGCTCCGTCGTTTCCTTCACTTCAACGGAAATCGACGTTTACGAATTGTCAGACAAGCTGTCGAAAAAGGGTTGGCATTTAAGTGCACTCCAAAGACCTCCTGCGCTACACCTGGCAGTCACAAAACTGTCAATATCTTCTGCTCATGAACTTAAACAAACATTATTAGAAACTGTCCGAGAATTGAAACAACTGGATTCCAAACCTGCCTCTGACGGAACAAGCGCCTTATACGGCATCGCAGGAAGCGTACAAACGACGGGGATAGTTGACAGATTGCTTGTAGGATTTCTCGACACGTTATACAAAGTTGATCCAGATGTCCAGAGTAACTAGTTCATGGAAAGCAGATTACGAGCTTTTCAAGCGTTTCTTAACAAATAAACGTCAAATTTAATTCTAATTGCACCAAATACTTCCATATTGCCGTAACAAATAGGAGTCTTCGACTAGATTAATATATACCTTTATAGACTATATCAATCTGATTAGTTTCCTCTCTTCACCTTCCATAGATTTCTCTCCCGTTGACAATCAAAATTGCAACGTTACCAGGTTAACATTCTATCAACTTGAAAACTCGAACATTTAGAGGTAATGGAAAACCCAAAAGTGCTCTGCTGATAAATTGAATCTTGGAGATGGATGATTTCAGTAAGCTCTCAATTTTAGATTTGGATTCGACGCTCGAAGAAGAGGACTTGAAAGCCATTTCATGCCTTTCCATCGACGAAAGTGACGAAACTTGTGCTAAAAAAACAATTCCACAACAACTTTTGAACAAATACATGTGCCATGTTCCGAGCAGCCCGTCACCGCTCCGAAAATCGGTTGTTGTATTTGAAGAGAACGATCAGATGGATGTGGATGTGGATGCTGATGTGGACGATGACGACTACAACGACTACAACGACAGCGACGACATCACGTCTTTATCTCCGGTAGTAAACACCGAATCTACTCCAGACAACGATTTGCTTGAGGACGATAGTGATGAATACGGTGGAAATGAGAACTCCAGCGAGTCTGGACCAGAAACCAAAGCGGTAATAAGGGCACTTTTGTCGCCTACAAGTTTGGGGATCGCAGCTGCTACGAAATCCGACCATGGACCTCGAATATCTGAGCTTGAAGTCGAGAAAAATATTACAGAAGCTGTTGACAACGAACCTACTGGGATCACGCAAACCTCTATGAACGACGACGATATCCAGTTCCTGCGACAACGGTCGCGCGACCACCCAATACAAATTTCTATCAATAACCATCATTACTATTGCAATCCGCCTCTACCAGTAACGCCAGCGATGGCGACAACAAAAGACGCGTACCACCTTCCAAGCCCATGGTCGATGTCGTCACGCCCAGTCTCACCCTTTTCGTACCTGTTCATGTCTTATCTGCAACTCTTTCTCAACGCATTGACCGTGCTAGTAATTTTCTCGGTGGTGACAATGCTGGTACGGGCATTGAAATCAGATCTCAAAGCCGCGTGGCACCACGCCAAGCTGGAATTGGATCTGGAATCCGCGCAGTGCGAACTCGAGTATCGCGCAAACAACTGTGATCCGCTTACCAGAGTGCCCTATTTGGAATCACAATGCCAAGACTGGGCGAAATGTATGAACAGGAACAACGATCTACTTTTCCGTGCTCGAACCGTCATCAGCGCCCAATTGTTTGGTGACGTAATAAATTCGTTTGTCGAACCTTTGGGGTGGAAAACGTTACTCATCGTAATGATCGGAATGGCCATATGGTGTTTTAGCTCCAACTTCATCTTGGGTTTTGCTCGCGCAAAGAGCTACTACGGTGAGGATGGTCAGCAGGAGCGGGGTTGCAAGCTAAGAGAGCCGTCTTCGTTGGTTTCGCCTCGGTCCATCCTGGAGAGTTGCGATTAAGCTACAATTTTAAAACCAGCATCAGAAACTGCAGACCAATAACGATTCACGCCTCGAGAGGCGTGAACTCTCCTTCCAACAGCACTCGAACCACGAAAACGAAGTCTGTATTGATCTTCACCAAAACTATCATGGTTTTGGACTAACAACGTCTGAAGTTTCAAGGCTACATTCCGTCGACCGGACATAAAGACACTACAAAACAAGACAAGACAAGCCAAGATCAAAGTAATTGATTCTTCAAGCCACACGACTACACCCTGCTCTTGATTTAATTATTTCAGTTGAAGTCAACTTCTTCTCGCATTGTCCTTCTTTTAACGTATCTGCGGAAGTCGCTAACCGATTCTTCCATCGGAATTCGATTTCCGTCGGGGTTTTTCGCACGGCGACAAGAAAACCGTGATTGGCAGTTCCCACCAGCAGTTATCGAACTGACGATTCTGGAGTTACCACCAGTTCGCTTTACTTTCAGTACTTGTTGATGTGCTGGAGGGCTGTTATCGTCGAGAGCCATTGCCGTTCTTCTATTATCTTCATATTAGTTGTATATATAAGAGCCCAATATTTAGCGGAGAAAATCAAGAATCTCTGGAGTTAAGGCAACAGAGAAGAAATAACGGAAAACCCGGCCAATATTCCAGTTGATTTGATAATTTGGATCAAAATAGCTATTGAAAGCGGGTTGGAGGTATCAGATTTCGAGTTCGAAGTGCACTTTTAGCTCTATTTTTGGGCATTTTGAAGACAAAAACAGGGTATTGAAGATGATCTCAGGTATGAGATGTCTACGACACTCTAGAAGGACACTTGCACAGCTTTCGACTATCAAACCACCGAAACATATTAGCAATGAAGCCGTTAAAACCTTTTCTCAAAAGGATACATCCGATTGGGACCTTTTACGGGCGTCGCTCTCGAAATTCAACAATGCATCGCTGGACATTCCGCTAGTGATCAACGGCAAGCGGTTTTTTTACAATGAGGGAGGCCGCGAGAGTTTCCAACAGACCAATCCTGCCAAGCATTCGCAAGTGCTTGCGAATGTGACGATGGCGACGGAAAAAGACGTTTTGAGCGCGATACAGGCTTCCAAACAGGCCAAGCAGAATTGGTTAAAACTTCCCTTTTATGACCGGGCCGCCGTGTTTCTCAAAGCTGCTGACCTCATTTCGACCAAGTACCGCTACGACATGCTTGCTGCGACGATGTTGGGGCAGGGCAAAAATGTGTTCCAAGCAGAAATCGACTGTATCACCGAATTGGCCGATTTTTTCAGATTTAACGTCAAGTACGCCTCGGAATTGTATGCGCAACAACCTATCGAGTCCACCCCCGGTGTCTGGAATAAGGCTGAGTACCGTCCTCTGGAAGGTTTCGTGTATGCAGTGACGCCGTTCAATTTCACGGCGATCGCCGGTAATTTGGTGGGCGCGCCTGCTCTAATGGGGAATACCGTGGTTTGGAAACCATCTCAAGCTGCGTGTCTATCTAATTACCTTCTCTTAACCGTCCTCGAAGAAGCAGGACTACCTGCGGGCGTGATCAATTTCATTCCGGGCGATGCGGTCCAAGTGACCCAAAAGGTGTTGGCCGACCGCGAGTTTGGTGCACTTCACTTCACGGGTTCGACATCCGTTTTCAAGCAATTGTACGGTGCAATCCAAAAGGGTGTTGCCACAGACGTTTACAGAGATTATCCCCGCATTGTGGGCGAAACTGGTGGTAAAAATTTCCATCTGGTACATGCGAGTGCAAGCATGCCACACGCGGTTTTGAGCACTTTGAGAGGCGCGTTTGAGTTTCAGGGCCAAAAATGCTCTGCTACGTCCCGGTTATACATACCGCAGTCCAAGAGCACCGAATTTTTGCAAGATCTCGTAGGTACAGTGAGTACTGTAAACCCTGTGAACACTTCTGCGTCTCAAATCAACGGTGGAGACTTGCATGGCTTTTTCGGCCCTGTTATTCACGAGCAAAGTTTTGACAAACTCGCCAAAGTCATTGAGGACGCCAAGGCAGACTCAGAGCTGGAAATTCTTTACGGTGGGGAAGTCGACAAATCAAGCGGATGGTTCATTACGCCTACAATCATCAAGACCACCAATCCGCTGCACAAATGCATGTCTACTGAATTTTTCGGTCCCATTTTGACCGTGTACGAATATCCAGACGAGCAATTCGCGGAGATTTGCACCACGATCGACGAGACGGCCGCATATGGGCTTACTGGGTCAGTATTTGCACGCGACAGGGACGCAATTCTCGTGGCAGACGAAAAACTCAAGTATTCGGCTGGCAACTTCTACATTAATGACAAATGCACCGGTGCTGTAGTGGCACAACAATGGTTTGGTGGTGCCAGAATGAGTGGAACCAATGACAAAGCCGGTAGTGGTAACATTTTGACCAGATTCGTTAGTATTAGAAACGTCAAGGAAACTTTTCACGAATTGACTGATTTCAAGTATCCATCCAACTACGAATAGGTAGCGGGATGAAATAATCACGATGTGAGATGCTAAAGAAAGCTTCTTCCGTCTTCGACAACTCCAGGAAATTTCACCGAACAAAAGCCCAATGCGGTCTGAAAAAGCCGTCAGAAACCAAATTAGACCCCGATTTTTTCGCAATAAAGCATAACATACATTAAAAAAGGTGAAACTTTTAAATGGAAATCATATTCTAATGCTATTTTGATGTAATTTTACAATAATCGTTACGTTTACCGGTAGCATTACCAGTGAGCCCTGCCGAAGCCGTTATTATGGGCTATCACAGATCTCTATATATAAACCTGATGCAAGTCTCGTTACACGAATGAAGGACGTGATATATAAAAATTAATCAGTTGGCACCCAGGCTCCTATTACTTCTAATGGCTTGCATCCCTTTGAACAACAAGAAAGGTAGAGAGCCTTTCATTCGCTCTAGAATTTGGCTTTACAAAGTTCTACGTGGAAACTGATTTAGCGGGTTTTGGGGAAAAAACTGAACTCCTCTAGCCTAGAAAAGAGACGAGTTTGGTGGTTGTTTTGCTACCTGTGCATCCCTAGAATTTTTTGCCACCTAAAGGAAGAGCGGTCAATTTTGATTAATTGGGCAATTTAAGGGTTTGAAGCCGTTGGTTGAATTTAAAGAAGTTTCTGGGCCTTTGAGAAAGTTTATCACTTTGAGGAAAAGTCGGAAATTTTGGTGAAAAATCCGTTATATCATATAGTAGGCTTTGCACAACGTTAAAGGTTGAGTTATGAGCGGTATGAGTTTCAACAATAGGAACACGGGTGATCCGCAGGGTAACGAGGCCAAATTCGCCACGACGACTGGCGGGAAAAGTAATCCGAAGCAAATTCACATTGCACACCGGAGATCTGCGAGCGAGCTCACAAGTCTTATGATTGAACAATTCACTTTGCAGAGACAGTTAGAGATTGTTCAAGCACAACAGCAACAACTGTTGGCACAGCAACAAGAATTGGCGCATCAGTCTGGTCAATTTTTGGCTCCGCATGTAGCGGGTTCTGGAGGCGCTGGGTTTGTTCCTCAACCTCCTCGGCCCCACTACAATATGTCACCATCTCCCAGTCAATCTAATAGAAGCAGATCGCATTCGAGAAACAACTCTGGATTTTACAGCAACAATAGCAGTGGTGGTGGTAGTAACGCCAACACCAACAATACTGGTAACGACTCGCAAGGCGGACATCGCAGAACTGCATCCCAATCAGGTGTCTACGGTCATTCTCGCAGGCATTCGCTTGGTCTCAATGAAGCCAAGAAAGCTGCAGCAGAAGAACAAGCAAAGCGTGCTAGTGGGAGTGGAGTGTCCATTCGAATCGGTAATGCGGAGGAGTCACAAATTCCGTCACCGTCGAATTCGACGCCAGGGTCGGGGTCCGGATCTGAACAGATGGCCTTCAAATTCCCTGCGAGTCCCAGTTCCGGTGAAAAATCGGCGCAAAGCTCCAAAGGTGCTAATGTTTCGCCTAATAAATCATTTCAATTTCCTGCAAAACCTTGTAACAAAGAGAATCAGGATTCGGAATTTACACTTGTGGGTACCCCACATCGTCGTTCTAATTCAAGAAACAAGGACATGGGCGGGATCAACACGAATTGGAGATCGCAACAGGGCCAAAACACTCCTCATTCTCCTTACAATAACCACCGGAAAAGTCAATCACGTGACCACAGCTCTTTTGGCACTTTAGAACCACCACCAGTATTTCAGCCTGGGCACAAGCCTCGTGGCTCTAACGCTTCGACTCAGAGCTTCGGCATGGGTGGCGGCAATGGGAATGGACGCAAGTCGCTTTTCGCACCTTACTTGCCTCAGGCAAATATTCCTGAATTGCTACAAGAGGGCCGCTTAGTATGCGGCATATTGCGAGTTAACAAGAAGAATAGATCTGATGCTTGGGTCTCGACTGACGGTGTACTTGACGCGGATATTTACATTTGTGGGTCGAAAGACAGAAACAGAGCTCTTGAAGGTGACTTAGTAGCCGTGGAACTCTTAATGGTTGATGATGTTTGGGGATCCAAAAAGGAAAAAGAAGAAAAGAAAAGAAGAAAAGATGCTACTAGTCAACAGGACATTCCTTTGAACACCAACGAGGATTATCATAACGACGCGTCTTCGTACGTAGCATCTGCAACCCATTCGGGCCTTACACCTCCAATTGACAAGGAAGAAAAGAGCAGCACATCCACTTCTGGTAGCATTAAGAGAAGGGGCTCTTTGAAGCAACGTCCCACGCAAAAGAAAAATGACGACGTTGAAGTTGAGGGTCAATCACTTTTATTGGTAGAGGAAGAGGAAATTAGTGACAATTTCAAGCCGCTATACGCCGGTCATGTCGTTGCTGTTTTGGACAGAATTCCCGGTCAACTATTTAGCGGAACGCTCGGCTTAGTGAGACCTTCTCAACAAGCAAACAATGATGCCAATAAACCTCAGAAACCGAAAATTGTCTGGTTTAAGCCTACCGATAAAAAAGTGCCCTTAATCGCGATACCAACAGAACAGGCACCAAAAGATTTTGTCGAAAATTCAGAGAGCTATGCGAACAAATTATTTGTTGCATCAATCAAGCGTTGGCCAATAACTTCGCTGCATCCTTTTGGTACCCTCATTTCGCAATTAGGCGTTATCAACGACCGCGACACCGAGATTGATGCCATTTTGAGAGATAATAACTTCTTGTCAGACGAATACTTAGATCCGGTCGACAAAACAAAGGAAAGAGACATCTATCAACCTTTGCAACTCTCATCGGAGGACCTCGAATCTCGTTTGCATATTGATGGTGTAGTTGCTCTTCAGACAGGTGATCTATCAGATATGGCAGTTCACATCGAAAAACTGTCTGACGGGATTAGCCTTGGCTGCCATATTTTGGATGTCACCTCCCATATTGAAAGTGGCTCATCTTTGGATAGAAGGGCCAGGAAAAGATCCTCGAGTGTGTTCATTCCTCAAAAGGTTGTGAACCTTCTTCCTGAAGCTCTCAATGCCGCTTTAACAATGGAGGTTGGTAAGCCTTCTGCGACCATATCAGTGCTGTACAAGCTCGACCATAATTTGAAGATGCAAGGAGTGACTGTTTGCGAAAGCTTAGTTGTTCCCTCTTTGGTCAAGAGTCTGGACGACATTGAAGAGGAGATTGTATCTAACAAACCTTCTGAGTTTGTAACAAATCTTCGGTCAATTGCTACAGCATTCTATCGTCAAAGATTGCACAATCAGGACCTAGACTTGAGCAGTGGCTTGAGTCTTCTAGAAAGTCTTGACGATGAGAAAGTTAAAGTTGAATTGAATATCTTTGAGCAAAAACGTGCCGCCTCAATCGTGACTGAGATACAGCGCCAGGTAAACGCCACCGTTGCAGAAAAGATTTATCAAAAGCTCGGCGATTTGGCGTTTTTGCGGAGACAAGGCCCACCGATTTTTACGAAATTGGCTTCATTCCGAAAGAAGGTCGAGAAGTTTGGTTACCAAATTGATGTTTCTGACGCTCAAACATTGATCTCATCCCTTCTTTCCATCGAAGACCCTCACATCCGGACTGCCACTGAGATATTGTTATTTAAAACCCTGGGCCGCGCCAAGTACTTCGTGGCAGGTAAAGTGGAGCCTGATCAATACGAGCAATTTTCACTGAACTTGCCCATTTATACACATTTCACCGCACCTTTGAGAAGGTACGGTGACCATGTTGTTCATCGTCAACTCAAGGCTGTCATTAAAGGCACTTCTTGCAAGGAAGATGAGGATTCTTTGAAAATAACGTCTGAGTACTGCAATTTCAAGAAAGACTGTGCTTATCACGCTCAAGAGCAAGCAATTCATTCACTTCTTTGCAAGACCATAAACTCCATGGGCAACACCACGGGACAACTATTAACCATGGCAATAGTGCTTCAGGTATATGAATCTTCATTTGATGTCTTTATACCAGACTTTGGTATTGAAAAGAGAGTTCACGGAGACCAACTGCCTCTGCTGAAAGCTGAATTTGATGCCGAGAACCGAGTATTAGAGCTTTTCTGGCAGAAGAACGTCGATAGCGCCACTTTTGTTCCATTGGACGAGCAGAACCCAAAGTCCTATCGTAACTCTATCAAGAACAAATTCAAGTCAGCAACGTCTGAAATTGCAGCATCTCAATTGGAAAAGGACTTTGAGCATCAGAGTTTATTGACCGACGAATTAGCAGCAGAACTGGAAAGGCTACATATCAAACCCCCGACGCTTTCCTTGCCTAAGTCCGACGATGCCAATGCACTTGAACCCTACCTGAAGTCGGTGCAAATTCATACCGAGGGCGACAACAACATTCAAGAGATCCATGAACTACAGCGCATTCCTGTTTTGCTAAGAGCAGAAATAGGCATGGCGCTTCCTTGTCTAACCGTGAGGGCGGTGAATCCATTTATGAAAAGGAATTGAGAGTCGCTCACGGCTGTTTTCCCGCATAACAAATGAATTGGACTACATGGCTCGCTTCAATTTTAACACTATTCGAGGAGCATTCGTTGGTTACCAACTAACCCATACTATATTGCATTCATTCCTTAACCCAAAGCGTACGCAAGCTGTTTTCAGCTCCTAACGAACTTTATATGTACATTAAATAGCGAATTTTAGAAAGCATCTGTTTTGAATTAGCATTGGCGAGAGTAAGATTTCGACTGAAAAGCGAAATTCAATATCACAACTGAACTTTGAATTGACATAAACGGACCTAAATAATTTGATGTATTCGAGTTACCTCTTTGGCGCTAGCGCCTCCCATTCACTCCTGTTTAGCATTGGTAGCAGCAGTGAGTTGTGCTTGTTTGATCAAGGACTCAGGGGCGTCCATGACAGGCAAATGTATCTCGATCAGTCTTATTGTGCTATTCTTTTTGAATGCAGCACTTTCAGTTAGTTTCTGCCATTCTCCGTCAGTAGAAACGCTGTGAGTTTCGTAATCCTTCGCACCAAAAGTAGCCAGTAAATCTAAATGTTTCCAGTCTTGAATTTCATTGTACTGAGCCTTCTCACCGTGAATCAATTTTTCGATGGTGTAACCTTTGTTGTTCAAGACAAATAGGTAAGGTTTCAACCCCCATCTGATCATGGTAGAGATCTCTTGGACTGTCAATTGCAAAGAACCATCTCCAATGAACAAAATTACTCTTTTGTTTTTGTCAAGTTCTTCTGCAGCAAAAGCGGCACCAAGAGTCGTGCCAGTGGTAAATCCAATTGACCCCCACAAGACTTGGGAGATACCATAAGTGTCACTGGGGAAATGGGTTTGATTAATTCCAAACGCAGCTGTTCCAGTTTCAGTGATGACCACGTCACCTTCCTGCAAGAATTTGCCCAACTCGGACCACAACCATTGTTGCTTTAATGGGGTGCTCGGACCCGAAGATGCAAGAGAAGCAGGACGTTTGGGGACAGGAACAGGTTTATAAGATTTTGCAGCATCTTGAACCTTCTGCAAAAGCTTCTGCAATACAAATTTCATTTGAACGCCTGGGAAAGTAGCGTTTCTGACCTTGATGTAGTCGGAATGGAATTCGATAACGTTCTTTGTCTTGTAAGAATACGAGAACGAACCTGTGTTGAAATCTGACAAAAGTGCGCCAACGGACAAAATCAGATCAGCAGATTCGACAGAGGCCTTGACTTCGGGACTCGAAAGCGTTCCGACGTAAACACCACCAAATCTGGGATGTTGTTCGTCAATTGACCCTTTCCCCATGGGGGTGACAAAAGATGGGAATTGGGTCAAATCGATTAATTTTTTGGTTTCTGCTTTGACACTGTGTCTAGAGGTACAAGCATCGGCCAAGATAACCGGATTTTTGGCCTCTTTGATCAAATCCAAAACAGTGTCAACGACTTCTTGTTCCGCCTCGGGGTCGTTAGGTTTCAAGGAAAGATCGATAGGCTTATCCAACAAAGACGCCTTAACAGGTTTATCGACCAGATTGGCCGGTAAACCCAAGTACACGGGTCTTTGCTTGATATAGGTGATTCTGATTAGACGATCGATTTCAGCAGGAGCACTTGTGATATCGGTCAAAACCGCGGTGGCTTCGGAAATGTTGGCAGACATCCTGTGGAATACGGTGAAATCACCGTTGCCCAGAGTATGATGTAGGAGCAGCTGTTTCGCCTGAGAAGACGTTGATGGGACACCCACGATATGCAAAACACCCACGTGTTCGGCGTAGGACCCAGCAATACCGTTCAGAGCGGACAGTTCACCGACACCAAAAGTTGTCACTAACGCAGCCATGCCTTTGATTCTGGCGTATCCGTCAGCCGCATAGGCCGCGTTCAACTCGTTCGCATTGCCGGCCCATCTCATACCTGGCACTTCATAGATTTCATCTAGCAACCGCAAGTTAAAGTCACCTGGCAACCCAAAAATGGTGTTCACGTCAACTTGTTTAAGTCTTTCGAACAAAAAACGACCGAGTGTGATTTCTGACATTATGAAAAGGGGACTTAAATTTGTAAGAGACTAGAGGAACTTGTTTCAGTATAAACGGACCTATTCTCTGGCGAGCTTCCAATTCTCCACATTGCCGTCTACTATCGGATCCTTTTATATGTTTATACTACCCTTTGCATCAACATCTCATCCCTAACTACTCAGACCCATCATACACCATATTTTGATCCGTCTATCACTAAATCCATCCCTCCCTTTCCTCGGCTTCCCACGTCATCGCAGCTCACCGCAGCTGGCTTCCAAATCGTCCTGTGTACATTCTTAAGTACCCGGTAAGGGGAAACCCTCCTAGAAAACTCGCATGGCGATTCCGGCACCCATATATCCAACCCTTATTGAATTGATCTAGAATGGCTAATGGGTGATGAAGGATGGATGCATTTGTATGTTTATGTAAAATGATGGCGGAGAAAGTTCGTTAAGGGTGACAGAGGAATGAAAAAGAAATAGGAAAAGGCAAGGATAGAATCATATCATACGGAACTCTATATCGTCTTGTACGTACATAACGTGACCCATTGTATTGTCATTAGAAACGGAGAAATTTTGATGAACTTTTAAACGCATATTTCCTTCAAGTAAATATTGTAATGTATGCGGTTACAGGATACATAGGCAAATGCGATTAAAAGTACATCTCTTCCCACGATAAAATCTCATCGCATACTAACTAGTGATGGAATCATCTACTGTATGAGAGAACCTATTGAACTTAACAATGATTAGAACAAGAACAATTGGTTACCAAGCGCTTTATATCTCTAGGCCCCGGGGTTCAGAATTGCGCAACTTCTATGCGACACCAATTGCGTGGAAGAAAAATGCGAAAAAGGGCGGGAAAACCAAGGATAATTCCAAGTCCCAAGAGCAAGACGGCATCGAAACGGTAGATCTTTCCCAGTATGTGCAAAAGGCCTCGGAACTGTTTGAACGTACGTGCGAGCTGCATAAGAAAAGACTGGGTGAATTAAAATCCGGAAACGCGAATCCATCGGTGTTTGATCATTTGAAAATCGGTAAAAGCAACGCTAAATTCACAGACGTTGCGACTACCTCAATGAAAAGTCGGAACAGTCTCTTGGTGACGGTATTTGATCCCAAGGACACGAAGGCAGTCATAAGCGGCATTCTCGCGGCAAATTTGAACTTGACTCCCGAACCGATACCGCAGAATGAACAACAATTGAAGGTGATGTTACCTGCCCCGACTTTGGAGTCCCGGAAACAAACTTGCAAAATTTTGAAAGCTGTGTTTGAGGAATACAAGAACTCGGCGTCCAAGACCTCGCTTGCGCATGCAAGAGGCGAGATCTTGAAAGATTTGAAAAAACTTGATAGAAAGAGCGATGCTGTGAATAGGACGTTGCAAGAAATTGAAAAAGTGCACAAACAGTACACTTCGAAGCTTCAAGATCAACTGAAGCAGGCTGAGAAGAGCGTCATGGGTTGACGAATTCGACTTGTCTCTGTCGTTTTGTGCAAAAGATCCTGTAAATATATCTATCTAGTTAGCGTTTCTTGCCAATGACAGAAGCGCTTTCAGTCTTTGCCAAACAGATGGCGTATAACTGCCCGTGTTGAAACTTTTGACAAATTTCCAGGCTTTGGCATTGCTCGGGATTGGATAATCCAATGGTGGAGGAATTTGGGTTGAAACGAACGGTAAAGTATCGAAACATACACTCTTGGCATTGCACAATCCTTGTAAACCTTCTTCACCACCAAATTTACCATAACCAGATCCATTGATGCCTCCGAAGGGTAATTGACACACGTAGAAAGTGGCAAAATCGTTTATAGCCACATTACCGGTTTGTAATTGTTCTGCGACGCTGCGACATTCATTGTAATCACTGCCAAAGATGGATCCACCTAGTCCAAAAGGTGCAGAATTGGCAAGACGAACACAGTCCTGCGTGTCAGAACCTTTCATAACCACTAGCATTGGACCGAAAACTTCATTTTGGGCAATGTCCATGTCCGGTGTCACGTCGACCAAAAGTGTGGGTTGGAAATAGTGACCCTGAGGATAATTTGGATGGTTGAATCGACTCCCACCGTGCAAAAGTTTGGCACCTTTATTCACGGCATCTTGTACCATATCTTCCAATTGCGCAAATCTGTTATCAGAGATCATGGCGCCCACGTCTACGTCTTCCAAATTGTCAATATCAGACCCCAATCTCAGTTGGCCCACTCTATGTGTCAAAATGGACACCAGTTTATCGTAGTTCACTGCAGAAACAATGACACGCTCGATACCGATACAATTCTGGCCCGAAGATTGGAACGTACCGCGCATGATAACCGACGAAAGCGCCTCTAGGTCCTTGACAGAATCTAATACAATGAAGGCATCTTTCCCACCTAATTCCACGACGACAGGAGTCAAACTCTTGGACGCAGCGGACAAAACATGATGAGCAACGGGTTTACTACCGATAAACGTTAGATGTTTGATTCCAGAATGTGACGTGAAATAATTGGCAGCGTCATCGTTAGCAGAAGGAGGTAAACAGTAGAACAACTGGACCAAGTTTGGATCGTGACCGCACGCAACTAGGCATTCCCGGACCAGAGAAATGAAATATCTAGACGACCACACAACATTTTCAGAACATTTGATCACAATGGCGTTTCCAGAGAAGATTGCAGCGATAATAGGTCCCAATAGGTTGTGGAATGGATAATTCCAAGAAACAAGTGCCCCAACGACTCCCAAAGGTTCGTATCGGACCTCTGCGCCCTTGTACCATTTCATAAAGAAATTGGTTGGACCAGCACGCCGTGATGGCTTGAGCGCACGGGCCCCGTGTTTGATGGTCCAATTCAATTTTTCCAATGTGACAAGGATTTCTCCCATGGAAGCGTCAAGCATTGTCTTACCGGAGTCTCTACAAGCGACGCGCGCAATTGAGTCCTGATTTTTCAAAACATAGTCGCGCAACGATGCAAGTACTCTAGAACGCTCTTGTAACGAAGTTTGACCCCATTTCACTTGAGCATCGCGGGCTTTCGTCACCAACAAATCAACTTGTTCACGGCCCATTGACTCAAAAGCACCCAGAAATTGACCCGTTGCAGGACAGTAGCATTCGATCTGCCTATGTGAGTTGCCATTCGTCCCAGTGGTTGCTGCGTACAGTTTTTTGCCCTTCCAATGCCTCTGTGCAGCTTCTGGCACGACCACATCGAAGCGGGCTGGCTTGGGTAACGGACTTTGACGTACACTCAAAAGATAGTTCCAAGCCAAATACGCTAAAAGTGCCGTGACAACAATTGTGGTCCAACTTGATGTACTCACGGGCGCATTGGCCGTCAAATTCGTCTTGTTGAACGTCAACTGCTGCGATTTCAACCAATCGGAAACATATTCCTGCACCGTGTGATTCAGGTGTTGTAACATCGACGAGTTCAAGTAGATGTTGGACATAGTTGGAGCAAGGTTTGCGACCTGACAAACCGTTGCCTTCTCAGTTCTCGATGATACCTCGTATGTGAATTGACATGGTACGAGATGGTTACTTATGGTCTATACACGTATAAACGGATATACAGCAGAGTTTGGGCGAAAGCGATTACGCCCAGCGGCGACATCGCTTCGCTTCGCTTCACGAGCCGCCACTTACGCGGCGTTGATGTGTTTCTCTCCAACAGGTGTAATAACAGCGTCGACAAGCATTTTCACGACGTCCGACTTTTTGGTACCGGCAATTTTCTGAATCTCGGTAAGTTCTTTCTCAACGTTGGCTTGGGCCTCCTTCTCGAGGTCTCCAACACCTCCCGCGTTCTTGCTTTCGAAATTCTTGATCTCTTGGTCTTTCTTGAGCTTGTAGTCTTCGATCTCACGGCCGGCGTCACTTTTGGCCTGTTTGAGCTTTTCTTGCCGATGTTGACGGGCCTGCGAAACCAGCTCGTGGGCCTCTTTCTCAGCCTTCAACAGTGTAGCGATTCCGTTGGGTTGTGACTGAACATGCGCGTCGGGGATGACGTGCAGGAGTTAGTAGAAGAACTCGGGCTACAGACAGGCGTTTTGGCGCGTTTCTTGGGCAGATAAACAACATACCATAATATTTTGTGCTGTAGAAAGGAGAAAGTCGATTTCACGCTTGAAAAGCTCTCTCTGTGTTTTTCGAGCCTGTGTTCGAGTTGAACCCTTTTAGATACCAGGTGGTTTTTCCTGGTAAGGTTATAATTTGAGTTGGATAAGATATTCGTTAAGTGTGATATAAGGACATCCAGGGCACGTGACTATCTCGCTTTGTTTGCTTGCCCTCCATATGCCAGTGTCAGCCGTGTATTACTGTTAGACAGGGACGCCAATTGAGCTCAAGCAATATCTTACTGGCAGAGAATCAGCAGGGAAGTAATACCTCATACAGTCGTGAAGGGTTTTTAGCTTGCGCAATGAGAGTGTTATGTGATTTTCGGCGACATGTTTTGACATGGTGTACTTCAAATTTCACGCCAAAGGAGTATTTTTGCAAGCCACTAGCGACTTTATTCGATATTTGAGAGATGCGTGCCGAACATTTGATAGGAGTTTACGACAGCGGATACACGTCATATTGGACTATTAGTTGTCATTATCACGTGACCACGATGACAGAATAAAATGAGGCCATTAAACGGGAGGTTTGCATCCGTTAGGATGCCAATGAAATTCAACTTAGCCGTACAACCGGCGGTGTGAGGTATAACGCAAGTTGAGAACTTTACCGCTGATCTTATTGAAAGGAACAAATGCTAAAATTGGGATGATACAAGAACCGTGTTAAACGGACTACTGAATCAGATCTACGGTGTTCATTTCTCATTATAAAGGAGAGATATAAGTACACCATACCTAGTATACCTTTCTGTTTAGATTTATTGAGGTGTACCATTGTCGGTAGTCGATAGGTTCTTGAACTGTTCATATAATTCGTTCATGGTTATTTTAAATAATAAAGCAGATAAGGAGTGGAGTCCTTATATGTCTCTCTCATTTTCTGCTCTTGATATGATGACGGGGTGCTACGACACCAGACCACTGGAATCCTCCGGTTCCTATGACTTCATCTTAATTATGACCCGTCCGTTCTGTTCCGTCTTATTTTGATCCGTCGTCATGATCACGTGATATTTTCTCCAAAACTGCTACGACTCAACGATATCGTATATTGTACGCATTCCATCAGTGCTTTGAGACTTTTTGTAGGACATGGTCCAAACTAGGGCTGGGAATCTGATCTCGCAGCGACATTATGGCGAGATCTTGAAGATGAAGGCTGAGATCTTTTCATACGTTTACGGTTTCCCGTCTCACGACGCATATTCACAACTTAGCAAAAACCCTCTTGACCCTCGGGAATTTCTCTACTAGCTTGATTGGAAGCGAAAGAAACTGCCAAGCTACGAGATGTCGTGCGCCTAACTTCGAATGGACGAATTCGAGGTGTGACTAGTATCACTATATACGTATATACCCATTAATTACCCATTCGTACCAAGATACTTGTGTGATCGCCCTGAACGGTAAATAAGTACCTTAGGTTACTCGATAAGTTCGATTCGTCGTACATGATCACATCACTTTGATATGGAAATTGAAAATTGGTAACTGTGAAATCAAGCGATGAGGTAGTTTCGCGAGGGTCAGTTAGAGGGATTAGGATGAGTTTTGAGGCTTGTGAAGTATGTCACGAGAACGCGCGACAGTATAAATGCCCCAGATGCGCAAAAAAAACTTGTTCGTTGGCGTGTTCGCGCGCCCACAAGGTCCAGGACGAGTGTTCTGGACTGGGGCACGAACCTACCGCGTATATGTCGAGTGAGCAACTGAAAGCGGCTGATACTCCGGACGAGACGAATCTGGCAGTGCAAAGAGACTATAACTTTCTCGTGGGCATGAACAGACGGCTAGAATTGCTGAAAAGAGACGGGAAATCCAGAAACAAGCGAGCACTGGGGAACCAGCATTTTGGCTCTCAAAGCAAGCGTATGCATGTAGAAGAAGCACGCAAAGTGGTGCGCAGAGGTGCCGAATGTGTGCTGGTACCGAAAGGTATGTCGCGGTCGCTGCAGAACAAAAGTCGGTGGGACAAAGCTTTGGATCAATTCGTGTGGACCGTCGAATGGGTCGTTATGGACGCGAACGGTGCCATAGCACTGCAACACGTCAATCATCGCAACAAAGAGACGGACCCTTTGGGCCATTGCATGGGAAGAGTCGTTTTCGATAAGTGTGTTGAGCTTAGCGCTTGCGCACACAGTGACGGTGCCAAGGCGAGCCTCAGCGCTGCTGGCGCTGGGATTCTAGATGCTCCCGTCCCACCGGAAGACAGAGCTGCGTTGCTCACCGAACGAGGTGTGCGACTTTACTTGAAATGGTTCCCACCCAACGACAGCGCTAGGCCAACAGATTCCAAAAAACTTCTAGCTGTGGACGGTTACAAACGCCTCGGCGAATTGCTACGAGGCAAGACGATTATTGAATTCCCGACTCTATACGCGCTCCCTGACGACGTCAAGGCATCGAGCGTAGATTTTTCATTTGTAGATGAACGTGGACAGCCCTTGGAGACAGCAGCGTCATCCGACGAATCCTCCGACGAAACTTCCGACGTGTCGTCCTCATCCGGCGAGTCGTCGAGCTCAGAAGACAGTGTCTCAAGCTCCTCGGACGAGGACTCAGGACCCACAGAAGACTCCAGTGCACGTGTTGCGAACCATGATAGAGTTGTCCAGAGCACAGCCAAGGCTAACATTGGCGAGGACGACGACGAGGACGACGACGATGACTACACACCTGGCATTTCGTTAGATTTCTTCGCTGATTGAAGAAGCAGCAAAAACGGACATTAAATACAATAGACAACATAGATGAACCTAAGAAAGACAATAATTGATGCATTAGAAACAAAATAAAATGAAAAAAAACCTCCCGAATGGGAACCGTGTCGTAAGTGCTAAGCTGCTCCTGCAGCGTAGTGATTTTTATTCGTAAACGTAACCTGTTGTTTGTTTCTCACGATCTCGCGTCCCTTTGAGTCACTTTTGAAATTGTTACTCTCAAGCATGTGTTTTTCCCATATTGTAGGCTCAATCCCCATGGGACCGCGCCCAAGCACTGCTATTCTCATCGTAGCAAGCAGGTTCCGCGCTGCTTGTGAATGTAAGTACACTGCGCCGTTAAATGCCTGAGTAGCGTCTTTGCCAATACTTGTTTCGACAAGCGCGACCCCACCAGGGTGATCATAAATGAACGGCGTTACGTCGTGCACTACGCCCTCTATAGCGACAAGAGCTCTCTTATTTTTTATGAACTCCATCATGGCAAGCTCCACAAACCGCTCCGGTGCCATTATAGGCAATTTATCCAGCGGAACACCCCATTGTAATTTCGATCTCTCCTCATCTACCAGTTTCTGCTGTTGTTGAAGTAAGCATTTGTCCACTTGTTCCTGGCTTGCGTAATGTAACTTCTTGACAAACCCCAATGAGTAGAGAAGAAGTATGGCCCATCTGGCTGGATCCCACTGGTACCGATTATTGCTGTTTCGGTAATCACCTGGGAATTCGTGATGGAAATTGTGACTTGCTTCACCAAAAGTGGCTAGGTTAGAGAAAAACCCCATGGGTAAGTTTACCGCAGAACGGGAGTCATCAAACGGTTGCGAAGCAAAGATAAATCTTTTCATATGACAAAGTGAACCCACCAAAAGCCACTGCTGCTGCACTAACGACATCCTCACAAATCCCATATAAAAAATTGAACTGAAATAAGACACATTGCAGAACCGGCTCAACAGGCAAGGGATGAGCACTATTGTTAAAATCAAAATTTCGCCATAGTTGTCATCTTGCCATTTCAGAAGCGCGTAACTTGGCGATGTGACCAGTTGCGAGTTATCCTTGTGCGAACCCGCCTTTGCCGCAGACTCAAAAGTCGCCCGGCATTCTTTGACAGCCCGTGCGGATTTCCGGTTCCCGCGGAACAATTTGTGTCCCCACTGAGCAAATAACCACCCGTGAACGTTACACGCATGTGGATCTCGCTCTGTGTCTATATGCCGGTGGTGTGCCAAATGCTGACTGGAGAAATCCAAAATGGAGCCCAATCCACATGATCCGCCCACAATAGCAAAAACGGCTTGAACCATGAGATGACATTGATACGCGCTGTGCGTAAAGAACCGATGGTACCCGGCCACCAGACTTACCTGCGACAGCAGCATGTAGACGCCCATGAACACTAGCATACGTGGGTTCGACGCAGGCGGTGCTAAAATGAGCTTAAATAGCGAAAAAAGTGGGATAATCACGCAGAGACACGTGCTCTGCAAGCTCACTTTCTTTAGCAAATGTACCGCTTGCGGATCGCGTCTTCTAATTTTGGGAGAAACTATTTCTGCCTGGTCTCTATCCGCGACCACACGGTTAGGCATCTCATGTCCTAACTCGACTCCCTGTGCATCGTTTCGAGAGCTTAAAAGGTCTCGGAAGTCAAACTCGGGTATCCCATTCTCCATTTCAGCTTTCAGAAGCTCCGAAATCCTGCCCTCCAACGGTAATTCTGTCTAGTCTTCAACTTCGAATTTAGGCCTGAGATGGTTCCTCACTGTCTTGGTTAAACGAGTTCATCTTCATGCGATTATCGAATCGCTTCGGACGATTTTGTTTAATCGGGTATTTTATGAGTGGGTTCGGAATCGGAAGTAATAAATTAAAACTATCTGTGAATTTCTCATATCTCATGTAAATTGCAGTAGTATCAGACTAGCTAATAATTTAAAATTCAGCCATCACTTTAAGATCAATAACACAGCTTTTCGGATGGCTATGCGGTTTTTACTCTCTTTCCAACGCTGGAGATGTGCTAGCAATCAAGAAAAAAAACCATTCAGTAGCTTAAGATTTCTGCAATCATACCGTTGCCTTTAGCTCTAGACTAAAGGTCTTTGTTCTTTATTTATTTTGGTTTTAGATTTGATTCGAAAAACTGAACCACTCCATATATATTAAATGAAAAAACTGGTTTTAACAGAAGACAAGATGAACCTAAACTAACAAAAGAGGGAGTACTTTTGTGTGGGGTAAAAGACAATTACCATGGAGCAGTTTGTCGTATTCAGGCCGAGTGGCGAAGTTTTGTATCATTTCGGCGCTTCCGGGCGAAAATTGCAGGAGCAACAGGTAAATAAAATTGTTTCTGAACTTGTCGGTTCTCCACCCAGAAAAACGAGCAACAACGGATTCCCAGTGATCAACTTAGGTTCTTTTGCCGCCATGTACACATCTACAATGCAACCGCACGTTTTTTACCTGGTTACGTTTGCTGCTGAGACTTTGGAACTGAGTCAACTGGCCAACAAGCTCTTGCAGCTTGGAACAGATCTATGGGCATCTTTGGGATTGAACGAGATAATTGCCCAGAATCTGAGTGGCAGAAACGAGAAAAATGAGCATAATTTCACATGGTGTCTTAACGGTGCAGGTGAACTAATTGGGAAATTCGGAGAGTACTTTGGGGCGAAATTCGACGAAATATGCTCTGAAACGAGATCTCTAAATGGGGAGGCGCAACAGCAGACGCAAGCTGCACCGTCGTTATTGGGATCGGTTTCTAAGGCCCAGGGCAAATCCAAATCGAAGAAAAAGCCCCAGAAGGGAACTGGTGTCAAAAATCGGAAATGGGGTCGTGATGGGATTATGGAGGACACGTATGAGGGTGACTCAAGCACTCTTGATTTTTCCGAATCTGCTTCTGATTTTGTAGCGGCTTCGGAATCCAGAGAGAATTCTGTCGTGGATGAATCCACTTTTGGGACCAGAACCGGTAAAGGTGAGTTTTTGATCAAAGAAATCGATGAACTACTGAGCAAGAGCAAAGAGGTCAAGTCCAGACAGCAGCAAGCTTCTACAACTACGGGGGCCTTTGGTTTTTTGCAGAAGCATTTGATGGGTAATAAGACTATAAGCACCACAGATCTGAAAACAACTTTGGATAAATTCAGACAAAAACTGATCACCAAGAATGTAGCGCCTGAAGCTGCCGAATACTTGTGCTCTCAGATCTCGCAAGATCTGGTTGGTTCTAAGACACCCAATTGGACTAGCGTCGAAGCAGTTGCCAAGCAGTCTTTGCAAACTTCATTGACGAATATATTGACTCCGGGCGTCTCCGTTGATCTCTTACGCGAAATCCAGGAAAAAACGGCAACCGTGGATGGTAAAGGTCATAAGAGTCCTTACGTTTTCTCCGTCGTGGGGGTGAATGGTGTTGGAAAATCTACCAATCTGTCAAAACTGGCATTCTGGCTTTTACAAAATAATCTTAAGGTTCTCATTGTGGCTTGCGACACTTTCAGATCCGGTGCCGTCGAACAGCTGAGGGTTCATGTTGAGAATTTGGCTCAACTCACGGATAGTGCTCATAAACGCGGCTCAAAGAATAAAAGAGGTAAGACTGGGAATGATCATGTTGAGCTTTTCGAGTCCGGATACGGTGGATCCGATCTGGTAACGAAAATTGCCAAACAAGCCATTAATTACGCCCGTGATAACGCGTTTGATATTGTACTAATGGATACAGCTGGTAGAAGGCATAACGATCCTACCTTAATGTCACCACTGAAGTCTTTTGCCGATCAGGCCAACCCTGATAAGATAATTATGGTCGGTGAAGCTCTTGTCGGGACAGACTCCGTGCAGCAGGCCCAAAACTTTAATGCCGCTTTTGGCAAAGAACGCAATTTGGACTTTTTCATTGTTTCGAAATGTGATACTGTTGGCGATATGTTGGGTGCCATGGTTAACATGGTTTACGCTACTGGTATTCCGATTTTATTTGTAGGAGTCGGACAAACCTATACTGATCTAAGAACGCTGAGCGTTAAATGGGCTGTTGATACATTAATGTCTTGAATTTAAATACACGCATGTTGATTAACTAATTAGTGCTTTAAAAAAGGCTTGAAAAGGCACGATCTAACTCTATTCTTCCTCTTTTACCTTGAATTGCTCTGCCACCGGGCCATCTTTTTTTCGAACGTCAATAATTTTAACGTCTGAGGTAAACTTAACCTGCTCATGAGCAGGAACGATGGTCTCTACTTTGATCTCAGGCATGTTGGGCTCTGGGCCTTCCGCTATTGAATCGAAATAATCACTTTCGGAGTGACCTAAGATACTATGGAGTATGATCAAACTCGCTGGTTTGGATAAAACCAAACAATTCTCTTTACAGATTGGGGCAGCAATACATTCGGGACAACCCCAATCGCAAGGGCAGTTCTTTACTCTTTCTAGAGCGCCTTCCAAGATGTCGTCAATGTGTTCGAAGGCCTTTGTTGATAAACCAGACCCAAATTTACCGCCTTTTGAATCATAAAAGATTAAGCGAGCGGGCCGTTTCCTTGCGGTTTGCCTCTCAGCGAATTCCTTTTCAGGTGCCTTACATTCAGTCTGGATTTCGTCGACACCTGCTACAATGAAAGATGGAAGAAGACTCATAACAGCATGCTGGGCTGCATGTATTCCACCAGCAATACTTAGCTCTTTCTGCTGACAGAGTTCAATGACCCTGGGAGGTAAATCAATCCAGAAACCTTTGGAATCAATAATTATAGGCGGATTATGGGTCTCGACCGCGTCGATAATCCTTTTATGCTTGTCTATCTTGAAAAATCCAAACACAATTATAGTGCTTTGAATTTTACCAAAGAATATTGGTACATCGCTGCTTTCAAGTGATCTTATCATTTCAATCTCGCGTGGATCGACATCATTGAAATCCCTTTGGCTTGTAACCCAATCAACATCAACTCTTTGTACTTTGGCATAACGTTCATCTGGATTGAATTCTTTGACCAAGTACGGGTATCCTTGATGGATGAAAATGCCACCGTCGTACAATGTAAAACTCGACCGTGAAGCTTCGACCTCTTCAATCACAATATTTCTCCCATTTGTGATATCGACAACGGCGTATTGATCCTCTTCACCTCCACGTAAAGAAACCAGTTTAGACGGCCATGGCAAAAATCTATTATTTGTGTGAAAGCCATTCTCATCTTGCTGAAGCCTTTCGTGGCAAATCTTTGAGAGGTTCTCCTTTTTGAAATAATTTTCATCTCTTTCGATCTTTATAGGTAATTCGAAAGCTGCACATTGTATGTGGCCCTCTAGAATGAGCATATTATCGAAATCCAAGATGAGTTCCTGAAACGAATCTCTGTTCCCACCTTCTCTTAGGAGTTCTGGATGTGCCACATAATGTTGATCTACAGGTGAGTCGCTCGCAACCACTAACGTGAGTGAGTCTCTATTTCTTCTACCAGCTCTACCACTTTGTTGGTGAAAATTGGCCAAAGATAGAGGGAATCCGCACATCAACACGCAGTCTAGACCACCAATGTCAATACCTAGCTCCAAAGCGTTCGTAGAAATAACTGCTCTCAGATTTCCGTGAAACATCTCTTGCTCGATTTTTCTTCTGTCACTCGGAGAATACCCACCTCTGTAGGACATGACCTCGTGAAGAAGGTCCGTTCTATTCATTTCTTGTAGAATATTCCTCACTTCTTTCATCAACAACTCACACACGCGTCTAACGTAACAAAATGCAATGCTTCTGACATTTGATAGGATCAGTTCAACTAGGATTCTTGCACTCTCTTGAATGAAGTTTTCCCGTCTTCTCATGTGTTGGGACAAAAGAGGTGGATTCCAGACCACTAAATGCTTCTCGCCTCTTGGTGATCCGTCTTCTTCTATCAGCACAAGATCCTGGATACCGAAAATGTTTCGCATATGCTCTACTGGTCTTTTTACAGTGGCAGAACAGGATACAAACTGCATTTCGTGATTGTTGTAAAAACTCTTTGCGAGTCTGAGCAATCGTCGCATGACTAGAGCAACATGAGATCCAAATAGGCCTTTGTAAACGTGGAGCTCGTCGACGACCACAAGCTTCAAATGCATCAGGAAATGTCGCCAATTGGGGTGATTGGGCAGGATGCTTGCATGTACCATATCTGGATTCGTAAAAATCACGCGAGCATTCTTTCTTATAAAAGCCCGATTAACTTTTTCCGTATCACCATCGTAAGTGTCGACAAGTACATGTTGAAGTTGTGGAATTTTGCTAATCAATAATTGAAACGACCTTTTTTGATCTTGCGCCAGCGCCTTGGTTGGGAAAATGTACATGAAAGTCGATTCCGGGTCTTTCAGCAGAGCGTCCATTGCTGAAAGTTGATAAATAAGCGATTTACCCGAGGAAGTGGACGTTGTAATTATAACGTGTTCGCCTCGGTGAATCGCATTGAGTGCTTCGGCCTGATGGGAATAAAACCGATCGTGTTCAATCACTTGGAGGACTTCTGGCGACATTCGGAAATCCAAATCACCAAATTTCGGCGCTCTTTTAGCCATTAGAAATTCGTCGACAATTTGACTATTATATAATTCCCATAGTTTAAGTTTTGCCAAAAGTATGGGAATCGTTGGTCTCGTTGCATTCGTCGATTCGTCTACAACTACACTTGTTTCACCCTCGTGGGCTTTCATCATAGACTCTATCGGGTCCACGTACTCTTTCTTATGTGGAATCACACCCGCACTTTCTTGTTCTAATCTTTCCCAAGGATCAACATTCCGCAGACGACATTCTGACAAAAATCTGCGAATACTCGCTTCAAATATCTCTTTCCGCTTGCTAATCATCTTTTTCATAGCCTCCGGTGTAAACTCTGGCAATTTAACTTGCGTCTTGAAATCCTTTCTGGACAAAGATCTGGACAAATTCCCATCGGTGAACTCAAAAACCAACACCTGTGTCTCCTCTATACTATCGAACTCACTATTTTCTGGTCTCAATTGGAAAATATCTGAACTTTTCTGCTCGTACCCACCACGATTAAAATCGAATTTCTTGGATTCCGTCTGGAACTGATTTATGTCCACATACTTGAAATCAACGTCCCTGGGCAATAAGTAGGCAATTTTAGCTAAATCTTCTATTCCCAAACACCGTTTCAAGTCCTTTTCGATCGGTTTTTTCAAAACTTCAAATGTCGTAACAACATGTTTCCTGGACATAAGAAACGTGTAAAACGTATTCAATCGGAAGAATATCTTTCTCAGCTCTTTAAAGCCATTCGGACTATTTTCTGAGCATTTATCTTCCTTTTTAGCATCATTTTCCATGGTTGTATACTCTTTTTAGGCTTACATTAACGGTTTCTTGAAGGTTGGTAGACTGGAATTTGATCTTGAAATATCAACTATTAGTTAGTTTATCTTTGATATATATATATCGTCAAGTATAATAGAGAAACGAAACTATCAACAAAAATGCCGTACAGTGATGAGCAGTTACTGGGCAAGCTCAATGGACTTGATGAAACACAAGAATCAATCGTGGGGGCTTCAAAATGGGTTTTATCGTACTATAGAGACGCCGATAAGATTGCTAATTGTTGGAAAGATTTTGTATTAAAATCAAGCACCAACACGAGAAGAAAGCTTTTATCGATTTACTTGGCGAACGATGTGATTCAGCAGGCAAAACACAAACGAATTGGTCAATTCAGCGATTCTTTTGGTAAAATTATGCCCCAAGTAATGGGGAAAGTGTATCCAGAGTTACCACAGGATTTAGGTAAGAAGGTCAAGCGAGTGGTGGATATATGGAAACAGAGACAGGTCTTTTCGGATTCGGTGCTAAAAGACGTTTTGGTCAGACTGAAATCGCGGAAACCGGTTGAAAAATCGGATTTTGGTCGTGTTCCAGAATTGAAACCCATTAATGAGATATTACAGCGATTGGTAGGGTGTCAAGCTGGTATTAGTTCAACAAGGACAAGATTTGACTCTTCGGTCAATGCAATGGACCCAAGTAGTGTTGTATACATGGAAAACTATAAAACAGTCGTAAAGATTGGTCAAGCAGCGAAAGATGCGTTGTCCAAGGCTATAGAACAACGCGAAATGGCAATTCAAGAGTTTAAGAAATTGCAAGATTTCCAATCGGAACAGCTGGCCCAAGATCTGGATATGATTCAAGAAATTGACAGTGTGCTCGCCTCCAAGGATCCCACGAGTCAAACGCCGGCAGATGTGGGTGAAACTTTGGCCTTACCTACTTACGAAGCTAGTGACAGCGATGATGATAGTGATTCTGACCATGGTGGGACCAAGCGTTCCAGAGACGAAGAAGGGGACCCAGAGGATTCAAAGAAAATTAAAACTGTTGCATTGGGCCTTGAGGAATCCGAAGAAACGGAGGTAGAACCAAGCCCAGCAGAAGTCGCTGCCAATGCGTCTGTGACTGTGACGTCGAGCATTCAAGATCTGTTGAGTAAATTGGCAAATTAAGACTTCCGATACATGATCCGCTTATAGTTCCAGGACTCTTATGTATTGGTATGCAACGTCACAAAGGAAATGCGGTTTTGACGGATCTATATGATCAGAACACGTTCTAAAATCGCCCACAGAAATGTCTTTCAAATAGTTGCATATTTTATCGACTCGTTGCTGGAATTCTTCCGCCGCAACGTCATCTTCGCACTCCAATTCAATAACAAGTCCCTTGAAACTCCCATAAGAGAATATATTGGCAGCTCGGATGGTCAATTCTGTAGTTTTGTAAGTACTACCAAAATCACCTTTTATACTTTGTCTCAATGTCCAAAGATTTGACAATTTGGACATTAAAACGCTGTCAAACGGTTCACACGCACCTGCAGAGCAACTATTCAATACCAAATCATCAGGGATCGTGGATCCTTGGGCCGTAGTAACGATTGCCGATTTACTTCGTATGACCACGCTCTGATTGTCACGATGGGAAAAAGTTACCGCATGTAAGAGCTTAGGTTCTCCCACGGGTAAGTTCTTGACTGAAGATCTGAACGTTTTGAACTCAAATGACCATTTTTCCTTCACAGATTCTAAATCATTGGATAACACATCGTGGAATTCTGTAATCGTTGCCGGTGTGGCCTTTTCAACGAAAAGAACGCTACATGAAGGTTAGTAATTATATCGACACCATTTTAGTATAACCAATTCCATTAGCACACGTACGCAGATCGCTTCATAATGTGTCTCGCTTTGGTTATTAAGAGGTTTATTCTATATGATGTATTCATGATATCAAGAAGTTGATATTTCCTACTTACATACGGATAGCCTAGATTATCAACACATTTGATCCATCCTTCGGATTAAATTCGCTAACGCCTCCTCAACATCTTCACGGTCGAAATAACTTGTGTATCCCAGTCTTTACCTTTGTAAATCAACGACACAGGACTTTCCGGTTTTGTTACAATGTAAAATAGCCCATTTACTTCCTTTGGAAGCCTCTTTTGAAAGATTGTTGTATATGCTAGCTGCGAAACTTCTGGGAGCTGAATTATTACCTGAACCAAATACTTTCCTTAGCCATTCATCCTTTTGAGCCAGCGATGTAATTGATATGATTTCTAAAGTTTCATCTCTAATGGCATCTACTGCAAATATGGGAGTCGCATAAAGACTGTTTAAAATGGCCTTAGATGCGCTCCTGGCGGAGTCCTCATAAATCCATTTCTCCTTTTTGTTCGATTTCTTTGCGCGTGTTGCCATGTTCGGAATGTAGACGACTTTTTGAACCGAGGGTCCCGTAGAATTGTCGCTTCTACCATCTTGACTACCATCACCATTACTGAGTTCATCCCATCGTTTCTCTTCTATGGCAAGTGCTGGTTCCGCAAACTGGGAGGTGTCGGCTGCTGTTGTTGCGCGATTGCCTGATTCTTGTTGGAAAAGGCTCAGAAATTCTTCGAAATCCAAATCAAGGTCAGCTTCGCTGCTTATCTTTTTCACTCGGAGAGGTTTGTATTTTCTCTTGTGATTCGATACCGAATAACTTTGCTGCTTGAGAAAAATGATCCATTCCGCCCCGTCCTTTTGCGCTGCACTGACAACGTCGTCCACCGTAAAACAGTCTCGCAGAAAATCGGCACTGATACCTGCTTTCCACAGGTTTGCTAAGATTTCAACGCCAAAGCTGTTTAGAACAAAAGTCGAAAAGCTGCATACGAGTACGTCACAGCGCTTTGGCCTCCAGTCAATTGTCGATTCGCGCAGAAATGAACTTCTTTTCTTCGTCTTAGGACCAGCCAGCTTGAAGTAATTCTGCGCTACATGCACTATCGTTTCCCATGCTAAGTTGAAGCCCACAGCCTTGAGCGAAGTGTTAATACGGGGGCCTGATGACTTGGCAGTGTACGATACAAGGTTATCGTAACGACCACCAGCTGCAATAAGACTCTTGGTCTTTTGGTCGTCGTAAACCGCCTGGAACATGATGTTGCCTCTGTAAAAAGCCCAATTATAATTTGCCAACGGGCAAATGACCACATTTCTTGATACGCCGAAATACTTCAAGAATTGAAGCACTTTTACAATGTAGCTCATAGCGTCTTCTATCTTTGCTAAATGGGGGTTGTCAACCATTAACTTATTCAACCGTTTCTTGGCGGCTTCGTAGTCCAATCGAAAATCGAAAAGCTCTAGGTCGTTGAGAGAAGTTGAAGAAATATTGAGCCGAGATTTTAACTCATTTTTGACATCTTTGAACGTTTTCGTGTACCCTACTTGCGAGAGCATATGAGAAACGAGCGCACGCTGAGCCTTGTCGATCGAACAGTAATTAAACACACTGCTCAGGACATCAGCATGATTCAATATAAAAACTGTGTTTGTTTTTCCGAAGATGGGGAACTCTGAGATAATCTCGTCAATGACTTTGATGCTTTCGGCATCATGCAGGGCTGAATCGGCAGACGAGGCTGATACAATGTCAAAATCAACCTCAATGAATTTTTGCGGCTCCATACTGGACTGTGATTGCAGAGGTGGGCGGTAGACATATTGCATTCGGTATTGTTTGGAAACGCAGTGCGGGTTTTTGGAGATATATCTTGCCATTGGATAAGTCAGGTCATATTGAAGTTGTAAAACGGACCCACCCTTATCAAGAACTTCATAAACCATCTGATTGGAGTATATCGGAGCCTTGGGAAATACCACAGTAGGTTCATTATTTTCAATTCCGCCATGCCTTCTGAAAATTTTGGTTACTTGTTCCATCATTTGTGACCTCAGAAGCTGGTTAAACCTAGTAACCGATTTTGTAGGATTATCAAACAGGATATCGTTGGTAATACTGTAAGGCTGCGAAAACAAGCTTTCTCTTACCTGTTGTTGCCATGGAGAAGAGGGGTTTGACAAGCTTTTCAGTGCTTCTTTAATGACTTCATCTTGATGCTTCACAGGTATCCAATCGCTCCGCAACAAAAGACTGGCGTCTGGTCTTTTGGCAGGATCGTGATTGAGCAAAAGCTTCAGAATCTTTTTCTCGATTTTGAATTTGATCGCATCGAAATCTTTGGGAAACTCGACCTCTGGTGTTCTCAAACCTTTTATGACATTAACCCGCTCCATGCCCGTACTGAAAGGATAGATCATCTCGAAGAAAATAATACCGAGGGAATACATGTCAATTTTTTGATTATATTTCCCTTTTCCTGTCAGCACCTCTGCAGCAACATATAATGCAGTTCCGATTGCTGATGTGAGATCTTCCATGCTACCGGCACTCATTTGCGAATCTAGTCGCAAGAGGTCAGAGGAGCGTTGAACATTTTTTGCAAGTCCGAAATCTCCAATTTTAATGTTTCTCGACTCATCAATGAAAATATTCATTGGCTTCAAATCCCTATGGATTATTCCTTGGGAATGGATGTAACTCAACGCTTCTAAAATTTCACGAAACAACCGCCAATATTCATCTTTTTGGGCACTGAGATTTTCAGCATGAATCAAATCATACAATGTTCTATTCTCACAGTATTCCATTTGAATAAAAAGAGTGCTTTTCATTCGCGCCGCCTTGAAAGTCTGTTTGGACTGTAGAACGCTGGCTTTTGGTCTGCGTGATAGCTCTTTTTCATCGGTTGGGTCACCCCGATCAACGCTAGCTCTCAGTTCACACCCCGATTCAGTTTGCTTGCCACTTCCGATAGAATCTAGTGCATCTTCGCTACAACTACCATTGTCAAGATCATCGACATTATCATCGTGATCACTAACTTCATCTCCAGCTTCATCGCTGCTATTCGCAAATACGATTTCAGGATAATCAGATGCGCGAAGAGAGTTCGAGATGAAATCCCAATTACTATCGCTCCCGCTATCATATGGCTTAGCACTTAGCAAATCTGATCTCGAGAAAGATATGCTGTCGAAGTCAATGTTAGAGTTCTCGTCTTCGTCTTCAGAAGTCGCTGCGACTTCATCGTTTACATCTTCTTCCAACCATGCCGCATAATACCTGACCACATATTGATGGTTGAGACTGGCCAATAACATGACTTCACTCAGAATGGTGGAGAGTTTTTCTTCAGTGTGCCGCACTTTTTTGATCGCGTAATATCGACTATCCAGAGCATTTCTGGCTTTGACTACCTGTCCAAAAGCACCCTTGCCTAAAACCGCTATTTCCTCAAAGTCTGTAGCATACCGTGAGCGCGAATTATTATTAACAGAGGAAAAGCGAGATCCCACATTGAAACTTCTCCGGCGAGCGTCTCCTGATCTGTTAAAACTACCGCTGTGTCTTTTACAGTAACTTGACTTTCTTGGTGCTGATCTAGGAAAGTTTTCCGCGAGTAGTTGAAGTTTCCCAAAATCTGGATCAATGTTAGTTCTTAGGAATTTCATAGGTAGCAATTCTAATGGGCCGTATCTGTTCTTGAATTGTTCTTCGGTCATTTTTTCTAGGAAGTCTAAAAGCGAGCCGTCCATCTCTACAGACTTAAGGAACTCGGATGGTGATGGATAGTTTAAAGTTGTGTCAGCGCCGTTTACGACCTGAATGAAAAAAACCGCTAAATCCCAAATATCAGTCTTTTTCTGCGATTTGCTATTATTTCCTTTGGTGAGTTCAGGCGCTCGCCAATCGTTAGAAATTTCGTCCACTCGCGGTCCCTTTTTGTTAGGATGGCGACTTAAAAGGGTTGTGATGGCGTGGCCGTAAGATGCATGTAGAAGTTTCGGCACAGTAGTTCCAAAATCATTATCTTTCGCCAGAACTACGGTGTTTAGCCCAATGGCCGAATGTGCAATACCTTGCTTATGAAGGCTTTCCAATCCTTCTAAAAGTCGTAAAAGCCAACCACGAGCAGTAACTAAGTTAACGAAGCCCACTGACTGAAGGACGTCACCGACAAGATTTGCGTTGGAATACTCGGTCAACAACCGTATTTTCCACGCATACGAGGCACTGCTCCTCCCTGTACGTTCAACGGTGTATGCGTATAATTTGCAAACATTATCGTGACTGATCTTAGTGAGGGAATCCAAATCTCTTTCTAACATTGAAATGTCTTTTTTACCATTACTGGAATTAAAGTAATGGTTATCAAGTGTTACCTCGGTCAACAGGTAATAGAAATTGTCCAACATGTCAGACGTTGCCAAGGTACTGGCTAAAAGGGAGTCTGGAGGTATATATGGTTTGACCAGTTTTTGGCATGCAAAACTGAACAAATCACCGTTAGTTTTGATGTCCGTTGGATTGATCACGGCTTTGAAAGCATAGTAAGAATTGTTTGGTAACTTCGCTCTTGTCGCATTGGGGAAAACGTATGCCTGTCCAGAGGCGATCCAATCAGCAGGCGGAGATAGATCGACATCTGAGTCCTGCTTCGCGTCCAGAACGTCATCATGTCTTTTTTCTATTTCCTTTCTCACGATTTCATCAATTAATCTCTGTTCTTTTCGACGTTCCGCGTCCAAGATCTCTTGTTTCGCTTGTTCTTCCTTTTGAAGCCTTTCTTTCTCTTCTTGAATTCTCTGCACTCGCTCGTCCTCCAGAGATTGTGTATTGGCCTGTGTTTGCGCCTCGTCTAGCTTCTCTTGCACTAGAGATGTGAGTTCAAAAATGATTTCTTGGCCTTTAGACCTTCTAAAGATCTCATTGAACTCCGATCGCAAACAGTTTATTTGGCTATCCGGTACTTTTTTGATGTTTTTAAATGCAATTTGGGGCGGATTGTGGGGATATGTAGGCGCCAGCGTGATGCGGAGCGTCAGCGCAGACTCAACCGGTTCTTTCTCGGCTGATTTCAAGGATACTTCAAAGACAATTGATGGATGCTTATCCCATCCCGATTTTTGGACCGTTAGATCCCGAAAATCGTCCATGTAAATGGATCGAATTGCTTCTAGCTCATTCTTCTGTATCTCGTAGTATTGTGAAAGAGTTAGGTTACTCAATGACATCGTTCACCAGGGGCACATAGGATACAAAGAAAGGGTCCGACGCCAACACTAGCAGTTGAAACAAGAATCAATATGTTATCGCCACTGGAATGATGGACTCGCGGATCTTTCTTTGTTGGCGGACCTTAGGGCTTTGAATGATATGTTAAAGAACAGAATTGGATTTCAGATTTTAAGAAATATATCAAGTTGAGATGAGATGAGACCAGCTTTAAAAAAAATTAGAAGAGAACCGAAAGTTCTCTCACAGTCTTCCTGATTATATACAATTGTCTTTACGAGAGGGCCCTTTTTGGGCGTTTTCGGTGACTTTTTGCGTCAATATTGAGTTGTCCAGCAACAAAAATGGTGGTATTAGCTTTTTTGGTTTAGCAGCTGGCAGAAACCATCACTTAATTCGCGGTGGAGTTCTCCTCTTCATCGTTGAGAGGTTTAAATTCGGATTTACCCAATTCAAGAGTCACATCAGTGTCGTCTAAGACAGGTTTGAACGGAATTGGACTACTGATGCTGGGGAAATTTCTGTGGTACGCCCAGAAAGCAATGGCCATTCCAAGGCAGCTGCCGATGATAACATCCACGAAATGGTGCCTGTAGTCCTCTGTGCGCGACAATGCGACCGTTGTAGCGATCAGCAAAGGCACTGAGGCCAAGCATTTTCTCCAGGATCCCACTTGAGGCAGATCGGTGAGCAATTGGCCGCAAAGCCACAGATACAAATAGCCCAAGCCTGCGAAACTCTCGCTAGAATGGCCAGAGGGAGTCGTGCGGAATCCGTCCATGAGTTTGGGTAAATTGGAGGTCGTGCAAACTTCTGCCGCGGTGACGAGAACATGGCCTGGAATGCCGTCTCTGGGTCTGCAACGCGCTAGAAAGTCTGGTCTAAGACGGCCAATCCAGTTTTTCAGGTAGTCGGTGACAAGCGACGTGGTGCTCCAGGACAGTGCGAGCCCCAGTAACGAGATGTACAGCAAATACGGCTTGTGTTTGGCGTCAGCGACAAGTAGCGTGAAACAACAAATTACGACCGCAGGTAACACCAAACTGTACATCAGAAGCGCAGTGCTGCCTACGCGCTGTGTTTCCGCGTGTGGATGAGAGATTGTGAGGTCTGCAAGGAAAAACTGCCTCTGGAAAGGTTCAGCATTGGCAATCGCGTTGTTGACCAGCGAAAAGACTACACAAAGAACTGCGTCGCTCAATCTCCATTTCGTAATTTCCTGGTATCTTGGAAAGTTTGATAACCCTAATGTAGCACGATTTACTGGCATTTCGGAAGGATTTTGCTCGGAGCAATGTGGTGAAGCTTATTCTTTGATTTAATCGGGGGTCCAGATGAGCAAAAATTACTCTGAAAACGGCCTCTTAAACGTTAAAAAACCGTAATATGGCAGTTTTAGTATCAAAGTACGTGAACAGATCTTCTTGTCCTTTATAGATTTGACTGTTCAACAGGTGTGATTGAAGGTTCTCTATTCTTATTACATCTTAATGTCAGTCTCTCATATATATACTAATTTTTTACGATGGAAGGGTTATCAATCTAGTCATCGATGTAACCCTTAAGGCAGTTTTTCGATTCGTAAACAATCCCTTGGCGATAATCTAGACATTTGAAAGCATATTGGGTGCGCTGAAAGTTACAAGGGAGTTGAGAAGACCATACTGATACCAAATTCGAAGACTTTGGGTGAAATTAGAGCTTAAAATCGGTGCTTAGCGGTTACCATGTCGAGCTTCTTTAGAGACAACGCGCTTGGGTTTAAAAGGCGTTCGAACGTGTTTTCGAAGCACAGTACGGGAGAAGCCGATCCAGAAAATGTAGGGGAATGTTCTGAAGGTCATAGCTCCGCTAGGAGCCGACTTATGATCAGTAACAGCACAACCACCGATACGACCGTTTGCGACGCTAATATGGCCGAAAGCACGCCTAAAATGGGAAAGCGGACTAGCAGCGGGGGCATAGTCATGAAGGTAAAGTCTGTTGGGGATGTTGTGGATGTCGCGGAAAGCAGCGACGTGCTGCTAGATGCGTTTGCGAACGCCCAAAAGATCAGCTCGAGCATACGGCTCGAGCTGAAGCGGTCCAAGAGTGAAAATCAGCGACAACACGCAGAAATTGCCAATTACAGGACGGAATTGACGAATTTGAGCGAGCGGCTCCGAGGTCATGGCGAATTGTTGAAGAATGTTGGGGAAACATGCAACCAGTTGAAGGCTCGCGAAATTGGAAGTGAGGAGTCTCTTCGGGCTCTAAGTGCTCAGATGCTGTCTACGAACGAGAAAGTCTGTGTGTTGCAACGGCAGCATGAACAGCTGAGGCAAAACTATGCGGATGTTAAGGCGCGGTGCGAGCAGGAGCAATTAAAGGTCGCAGAGAAGCAAAACCTACTGGTAGCTTGCCGAACAGGGCTGCAGGAAGAGGAGGAATGCAACGTTGCGATTATGGATGAATTGAAGGCCGCTCGTATCTATTCTAATGATCTTCTTGAAAGGGTGCTTAAGAACCTGGATCTAACGGTTAAGAAGGAGTCGACGTCCATGGGTAAGATGCTAAAGGCGGAACAGCAGTCCTGTGGCGAACTTACGACTTTGTCGGCGAAGAATGCTGAAATTTGCGAATCTTTGAAGACTACTTGCGAAACGTATATACCTAAGGAGACCCTTGAATGCTTTTACTCCATGATCGCAATGATACTAACACGAACCCTGAGCCAAAAGTGTGCTTAAAACATTTTCCAATAAACTTGCTAAACAGCTGGCAACCTCATTTTCGAATTTTTCAGCCAATATTAGTTCGGGAATGAAAGATATGACTCCAACCTGTTCTGTGAGTATTGACGTGGGCAGGATACACAAGACCCTCGAGTTCATCGAAAGTCAGATGGCCTTGTCCGGAAACGGAATAGCAACGTCGAAGCTTGATTGTTCGTTGCTAGAAATTATGCACATGCTGAGAGGTGCAGCGGACTCGGTGAGTGCTATTTCTGAGATGATCGAGGCACAGAATGCTGACATTGCAAGGTTGCAGATCGATCGAGAAAACGTGAGCGATTTACAACGGGAGTGTCACCAAATATCGTTACAGAAGGGCGAGGCTATTAATATGATAAATGCGAAAGATGCAGAAATCAAAACTTTGCGGGACAAGGTGCTCGGGCTTAAGACGCAGCAGAAGGAGATGAATGAGTTGGTGACTAAAAAGGATAAAGAGATCGAAAGGATTAGGTGCGAAGTGCGATCAGTTGAAACAATGTTTGCAAGCCAATTTGCAGCTCAGGCCAATATTTTGGGAATGATCACAGCGGAGCGCAACGCGCTCAAAAAGAAAGTCGAGAAATCGGTCGTGAATGATCAGTCTTTTGCTGAAGAGTCCTGTCGCGATGTGCCGCGGGGAAGAGAAAACCCCGCGAGCGTCACAAAAAAAGTCGAGATGCAGGGCAAGGTGAGTCTGCCTGAGGAAGAGCTCGAAGCGGCGAAGAAGCTGATAGGGCGAGTGAAACCGGCGCCAGCAGTACACTCGGCTGGTTTGAAGGCCCGACGGACGAAAACAGCGCTGGGCCCGCCCACAAGGGCTCAAACGTCCGACACACACGGTGATAATCACGAGGACGCATTCGAGTTGCCGTCATCTTCGAGCGACGACCTTGAAATGGCAGTTGCGTCGTTGCTCAAACAGGAAAAATCGGCTATGCGCGCTACAAGAAAGAAAAAGCTTCTACTCGAGGACAACACGAGCAACAAGCGGACGAAGCGAGAATAGAGGAAGCGCGTGCGCGAGACGCTTCACAAACCTTCCACCTTTTGAATCGCAGTCTCCAACTCCTTCTCGTCCACCCTATGGAATATCTTTACTAAAGATGCCGCGTCCGTGCCGCGCTCCACGTGCACCACGGGCACGTCCAAACAGTATTTTGTCCACCATTCTTTGTTCTCCGGCCTATCGATATCCTTGACGTTAAACGTCACGGCACCAAATTGCTCTTGCGTAAGTACTTTTTCGACAACCGTCGTCGCCCTGGTGCACAGCCCGCAGTTTTCTTTAGAGAATAGCGTCACTCTTATGTTGTCGTTTTTCGTTGCACTGCTGCTGCTTTGGGCACTCAAGCTTCTCGAAAACACCCGCAAACCGTTTAATCGACGTCCCGGATTAACTCTGATCATGGCTATTTACTGGCTGCTCTTCCTGTACCCTTTCCCTATCGTTTCGCTACCGTTTTGGGTTTCTTCTGTGTCGTCTGTCTACCATTACTTATGATTCTTCGACATCAATCCATTCTGCTATATCCTTTAGAAGCTTCCCAAAACCACTGCCCACAGCTGTAAAGGGTCTTATAGTGTAGTGGTTATCACTTTCGGTTCTGATCCGAACAACCCCGGTTCGAATCCGGGTAGGACCTTTTTTCGAATGAAATATTCATTTTGAACGAAAGGCCTATTTTTGCTAATGAAGAAAGCGTTTAGTGATATGGGGAACCCTAGGAAACAGGCAGCAAGGGTATATAAAGGTCCACATTGTCAAAACCGTAGAACTTGGAAGGTTGAGTGCACATTTACAAGCAAACACGAGAAAGCATTGGAAAATATCGCTCGAAATGGTATTGAGCAAGCAAGAATTGAAGAATATCGAAACCGTTTTGGTGGAACTTGCAACGAAAGAAGTTGGGCCCGTTTTGAAGGAAAACGCTGGCAAAATGTTCGATTCGTTCGACGACAAAGCGAACCAGGTTGATTTGGTTACGGCGATCGACAAGCAGATCGAGCAGACGATCTTGAAAAGATTGAAAGCCGAGTATCCCGATTTCCATTTCATCGGAGAAGAGAGTTATACGTCTGCAGACCGTGAAATTTCAGATGCTCCTACGTTTATAGTCGATCCAATTGACGGAACGACGAATTTCATCCACGGCTACCCGTACAGTTGCACGTCGATGGGGCTCGTGGAAAAGGGAGTGCCGGTTGTCGGGGTTGTGTACAATCCGCATCTGAACCAATTGTACCATGCTTCGCAAGGGAACGGCGCTTTTTTAAATGGTGAGCCTTTGAAACCGGTGGAACGGCCACTTGGGCTGCAGCGGTCGATCATTGCGCTTGAAAGCGGGTCTGAGCGGTCCTCGGGGTCATCTGGTGACGACAATTTCGATATAAAGCAGGCCACGTATCGAAGCTTGCTCAGCGACCAAGGTGGCTACATCCACGGCAGCAGAAGTTGCGGTAGTGCGGCGATGAACATGTGCATGGTCGCAAGCGGATATCTCGATGCGTACTGGGAGGGCGGATGCTGGGCGTGGGACGTTTGCGCCGGCTGGTGTATCCTGACAGAGACCGGAGGAAAAGTTGTTGGCGGTAATGCCAACGAGTGGAAAATCCCGGTGGATGAAAGGTGTTATTTGGCCGTGAGAGGCGGTGCTTCGGAATCCTCGCAGGACAAATTCATCGAGGAATTCTGGTCGCACGTTGCTGGGAAACTCAAGTATTTCTGGCAGGGCTAACTATGCTGTCAGCACTGTCAGCGCTGTGTTGTCAGAAACCTTGTCATTTTGGTCGTTTTCAAGCGTTTTCATCAGAAAACCCTGGAAGAACCGACCAGGGCTCACCACACAAGCCGTAGCATGTCTCAAGTTTACCACGTACATGCCGGCTGATAACAGCACTCAAAAGATGACCTATTGGCCGAACCTCTGCTCAAAACTAGGCATTCCCAGGAAATTGGTCGTTTTTTATGATGGGCCTGTTAAACTATTAAGGTATTATATATAAGAATATGAAATGGAAAACCCTTCATCATCAATCAGGAACTAACCCGAGGACCCGTCTGTAAACCAATGGAAGAGGTCGAGCTCCATAATTCTTCAAACAATGATAAGGTGACACGTGTCGCCGTCAGTGCGACGAGATCGGTTCTTTCGTTGGCAGAATCACAATCTGCTATAATCAGCAGAAACCGACTTGCCACAATCTTTAAAGAAATCGGAGACTCGGTCCGTTTGAAACCATCGGGACGGTTTGATAGATGCTTTAACGAGCTGAATTCTTTACTGGATGAAACTTATGGTCTCAAGTTGCAGGGACTGTCTGAAAAACGAGCCAATACCGGTGGTAGCGGTACAACGACTGCGAAGTCAATGACGCAGGCGTCTAATGATTCTGAAAACATTTCGGTTACCAGTAGGGCACAACACTTCCTTCTAGTATCGACACTACCGCGCGGTCCAGCTGCTTTCGAAACCTTGCTCTTCAAAGAGACTTCTCAGATCTACGACGGATGCGTCACCGACGGAGAGTACACAGGTGACTTGTTCGACAACGTCGCACTCAACGACGTTTCGCAACAGTTTTCAACGGACGTAAAGCTTGCGATGCAAGGTTTGACGCTTGTGGTTATCGTGCTAGTGCTTCTGTCCAAGAATAACATCCTACACAACGAATTGCTTGCACATCTGGCCACGTTCGGCGTACCGACGGATGGCCAACGGATCCCGATCCTTGAGATACCTGTGGACGAGTTTCTGAAACGTCTTGACAAGCAAGAATACATTACGAGCACGCAAGAACGTGCGCAGGACGGCTCGGAGACCGTCGTGATGTACCGATTGGGCCGAAGAGCACAATTGGAATTCGACAAACAAGCGCTAGTTTCCGTGTGCCGAGATCTGTTCCGCGGGAGTCAAGATCAAGACAATCTGGAAGAAATGATCAATTCCAGCATCGGAGATGCCTATAAAACATGAGCACGCAAGAAAACCTCGTCAAATTGTCCTCCATCATTTCAAATTTCCTCATTTCCACGACAAAAAGTATGCTGTTGAAGCCAATTTTCGACACGCAAACATCGCAAACGCTCTTCACCGCAGTGCGATATCTTTTACCGGCTTTGATAACCGCCGATGCCGTGGTCGAAGCCTCTAGAGGTGCTCGTTCAGTGATAATGGACATCTCGTTTAAAAAATATCTCGTTTAACCACTTTGCTTACGTGATCCATCTTTTCTCGTTGTTCCATTATACGAACATCTGCCGTTAAGCGAAGTCCACCCAGAACGAAACTTTTCGATCTTTCCACTACTCGAAAGAAAGGAAACAGTCATCAAGATAAATTGGAACCGATTGGTACGTCCGAGACAACTGATTAAACGATAATGCCTTTGGGTTTGGACAAGCTTGATTTTGCCGTTCTCTGTTCTTTGGCTTTGGCCGTTTTGGCTTATTTTTCGAAGTCTAAAATCCAGGAACTTCTGTCATCAGATGACGCTATAAAGGTCAATTCTGACTCTAGGGACGTTGTACAGGTGCTCCGAGAAAATAACAAAAATTATTTGGTCTTGTACGGTTCTCAAACTGGTACTGCCGAAGACTATGCTAAGAAATTCGGTAAAGAAATGGCTGCGAAGTTTTCGCTGAATGTAATGTGCGCCGATGTGGAAAATTATGATCTTGAGAATTTAAATGATTTGCCCTCTAACGTAATCGTGTCGCTCTTCATTTCGACCTATGGTGAAGGTGATTTTCCCGACGGAGCCATTCCTTTCGAAGATTTTTTGACAGCCAGAGAAAGTGGCGACCTGAGCAACGTCAAGTATACGTTGTTTGGGTTAGGTAACTCAACTTACGAGTTTTTCAACGGAGCAGCGAAAAGAGTCGAAAAATATATGAACGAAGCGGGCGCTACTCGCGTGGGTCCCTTCGGTGAAGCTGATGACGGTGCGGGCACCACTGACGAGGACTTTTTGACGTGGAAGGACTCCGTGATGGAAGAATTGAAAGATCAGCTAGGTCTGGACGAGCACGAACAAGTTTTCGAGCCAAGCTTCGAGTATAAACAGATTTCCCAAGGCGTGTCTAATGAGATTTCCCTGGGAGAGCCAACTGCGCAGTATATGCCAAACAACAAGATTGAATTTAGTCCTGAGGGGAAACAAGTCGGTCCATTTGATGCAACTCACCCTTACGTTGCCCCCATTACGGCGACCCGTGAACTCTTCTCCTCGGGCGACCGTAACTGTATTCATGCAGAATTCGATCTGTCGGGCTCGAATATCAAATACACCACCGGTGATCATCTCGCTATCTGGCCATCGAACCCAGACGAAAAAATTGCTAAATTCTTGGAATGTTTTGATTTAGATGCCGACACCGTGTTCAGCCTTGTTCCAAGGGACAGCACGGTAAAACTTCCGTTCCCTGTCCCTACCACAATAGGAGCAGCGGTGAGACACTACTTAGAAATCACGGGACCCGTGTCCAGACAGTTCATTGCATCTTTGGTGCAGTTTGCGCCGAAAGAAGACCTCAAGGTCGAGTTGACGGAATTGTCGAGAGACAGAGACTTTTTTGCTAAAGAGGTCACCGTCAAGTATCTGGATCTAGCAGATGCTTTGTTGCATATTTCCCACGGTGCGAAATGGGGGTCCGTACCTTGGAATTTTTTAGTTGAGTCTGTTCCTCGTTTGCAACCTCGTTACTATTCCATTTCTTCGTCGTCTCTGACTGAAAAGCAAGTGGTCCACGTAACTGCCGTGGTGGAAAATTTCCCAAACCCGTCTTTGGATGATCACCAACCAGTGACAGGTGTCACGACCAATTTGTTGAGAAACCTGCAATTGGCGCAGAATAAGGAAGACATTCAAAAGACCACTTTGCCTGTACACTTCTCATTGGAAGGTCCACGCGGTCTGTTCAAGGGCTACAAACTCCCAGTTCACGTTAGACGTTCTACTTTCCGTCTACCAAGCAATACAAATACTCCTGTAATCATGATAGGACCGGGCACAGGTGTAGCACCTTTCAGAGGATTTGTTCGTGAAAGAGTAAAACTACTCGAGAAGCAACCAAACACGACTCTCGGGAAACACCTACTGTTCTACGGGTCGCGTAACACTAGTGATTTCTTGTATCAAGAAGAATGGCCCGATTACAGCAAAAAACTAGGTGATTCTTTTGAAATGATCGTGGCTCATTCCAGACTCGAGAACAAGTCCAAAGTTTACGTTCAGGACAAGCTCATCGAAAGAAAGGACGAAATTTACGATCTCGTGAAAAACAAAGGAGCTTTCATCTACGTCTGCGGCGATGCTAAGGGAATGGCCCAATCGGTTCATGCTGCGTTTGTCAAGATTTTAAGCGAAGGAAGCGAGATTTCTACAGACGATGCTACTGCTATCTTAAAAGCCATGAAACCTGGTGGCAGATATCAAGAAGATGTGTGGTGATTCTTCGAATGTTCGAATTCTCAATTATCCTCCGCATGAAGCGTCAAAGCTATGAATCAAGTTATTCTGATAAAATCTCCAGCCAATATAAACCCAATTTAAAACAAAGCTTGGCATCGCATTTATGATGCTTCTTGACAGTTAGTTTCACGTTTTTCGATCGCTTTCTTCAGTATGTTTAGGAACACTACGAAAACCAGATATATGTAGGTATATATATGGGTGTATGTATACTAAACTGTGATAATTTGAAGAGCGTTAAAACAACTATCTTTGAGAAACTGAACACGCACGATGTCGAGACTAGTAGCTGGTGGACTTTCTAACTGGGTTTCATTAGCTTTCAACGTGCGAAAATCGTTAAGTCGTGGATTTCATGGTGATCCAATAACGAAAGCGATCAAACGACCTAAAGGATCTGTCGAACCTGGAAGAGTCTTAAGAAGAAGCCAAGTACCCAAGAGGAATGGTAGATCCAAATCTTTGGATTCATTCGGATCTACCGGTCAAATATTCAGCTCAGTTTTAGAAGTTCGACCTTGCACTACTATTACTACTGCTGAATCTTACGATTTGCCGAAACTCATCGATGAGCTGAGAAAGTCTGGGTTGAGGCCCGTGAGTTTGATTCCAGACGAAATCGTCAGTTTCAGTTATCTGTTCGAGGGCCAGCTTGCGGATATAATGGTCCTAGGGAACAGTGGAACCGTTGTAAGCTGGGGTTTGGAGGAAAAGCCGGTAATGGAGGTAATCTTGCCGATCTTGGCTGATTCTAGGATCAAACCGATTGCTGAGGACCAATTTGAAAGTGAAGATATGGACTACGCTGAATTTGATTCGAATCACGCGCTACATGACGTAGCTCAGGCTTTGAACAAAGTTGAAGATGCGAGTTTTATAATAGACGATTTGATTGTTATAAATTCCTTGGATTCAGAAAGTGGGATGCTCGACAAAGCCGCGTTTGCCTGCGGAATGTCAAGAAGTACAAGGCTGGCTTTTCTAGAGAATTCATTGGAAAAACGTATTGAAAAGACGAGAAAGTTCACAGAACTGTTGTCTCAGGGCAAGAAGCTGAATATTACCGAATCCGACGTTCTCAGATCTACTGGAAGTCTTTTTTTACTCAGAGGCAAATTAAATCTGTATTCTGAGCTAATAGAGACTCCAGACCTTTACTGGAGCGAACCTCAGTTAGAGAATATTTACAAAGAGATATCCAAGAGCCTTGACATTCAGCCTAGAATTGCCATCTTAAACGCTAAGCTAGATTACGCTACTGATGAGTCCCGCGCTCTAATGGCAGTTCTAAATGAAAAGAAAAGCACTCGTTTGGAATGGATTATCATATATCTCATTTTGATAGAGGTTTGCTTCGAACTGCATCATTACTATGAACGCTATCTCGCTGAGGAAACCCGTGGGAAATAGGAGCTTAACAAGCTCTGAAATCATAATGTAAGTCATACGTGATTTATCATATATATCATAGAAGAGCATAAGATTGAGAGGTTAACGGCTCAGCGGTTTTGAAATTTCAAGCTTAATGCCTCTTGGGGACTTTTCAATGACCTTGACATGGGTCAAATCTTCTACCACGTAGTCAGCACCTGCTTCGAATAATCGTTCTTTTGGATACGATGAAGTTAACCCTACTGTAATTGCACCGATCTTGTTTCCAGCTTCTATTCCCACGGGAGCATCTTCAAAAACCACTGCTCGAGCTTTTCTCGAATCCAGATTGAGAACAGCACTCAGTTGGTTTCTGGCCTCGGTATAACCTTCGGGGTCTGGTTTCCCATGCTTTACATCAAAAGCTGTGATAAAGATGCTTGGTTTACCAACTTCTTTCAAAATGTTGTCAAACCAAGAAAATGCCAAGTACGGTGATCCTGACGTGACTATCGCCCACGGACGATTGTCAGTATTTGCCGGATTTTCAGTTGAACCTTGGTTAAGTGAAAGTAACAATTCTTTAGCTCCTGCGATAAGTTTGACAGTATCGAGGTAATCTTTACCAATCGAAAGCTCTAATTCCATGATAACATTAGGATCTTTACTGTCGATGTTAGGAAAGAATCTCTCGATGATCTCTGCGGTTCTCGAGCCGTGCGAGTGTTTAAATAACTCTTGCGGATCGACATGATGCTTGGCACACAATACTTTCCAAGCACTCTCAGCTGCCGTGGTAGTGCTAACTAGCGTTCCATCTAAATCGAATAGACACAGATCAACGTCAATGAATACCATTGTAGATATTTTAATAATTCAAGGTTTGTCCGTATATAGGGTCATATGTCTAGTTTCTTGGAGTCTACTATATTAATTGAACCCAAATGTGTGAGAGTTTGACAAAACAAGTATGAAGGAAGTGTGCAGGTGTATTAGCAACTTAGCATTGATCAGTAATCTGAGATTAAGTCAAACTAGTGAATGATGTCACTTTTAAAGTGACTTTGCAGCGCCTCCAACGAGGAAAAAGCTCCTCCCTCCTACGTGTCTTTTATGAATGTGAGCTTTTAAATCCAATCATCCACAGCGAGGACTTTGTATTGAGCTTCAAAACGCTTTCATTCTTCCTTTCCTTTCCTAAACGCAGAGACGTGAGCCTGTTTTCGAAATGGTAGGACTCTGTCCATTGGAATTTTTTTTACCAATGATGAGCATTTATACTAGGTACTCTGATTGTAGCATGCACCTAAGACTCGCGCGCATTCTCAGAACTTAAAATTGCTGCGTATTGGTTTCTGGTTTGTTCGTCTTCTTTTATTACTCGTTGGACTTGATCGGTCAATCTCTCGACTATATTGTAAGCCTTGTGACAACAATCCATCAAAGTCAAAGCGTCCATCGGTAAACCACCAGCTTTTGACACTTGAACCACTTCCCTATTCTTATTTAGCGTAATGGTTAAAGTCCCATCTCTCAAAAGTTCTTCACTGAGCGTCGCGTCTATAAGTGAGATCTCATTGTTGGATTCGCCCTTGATGTTTTCCTCAGTATCTTCTGGATTGAAGAACGAAAAGGTAACACAGATCGGTGTATGAAGCACACCCAGAGGGACCGGTTCTCTTTCTTCTGGTGGATGTACCGTTACACGTTCTCCAGATACCGTGACATCGGGTTTTTTGAAATGCAGTAAACCCGTCATCACGGCTATACAGCTTGCGTCGATGAATCCTCCATCACAATTCAAGAAATGCACGTCTGCTCTCACGGCCCAACATTTGCTACCGGCGACTATACAGAGTCCCTCTACATCCAAAGCACCGGATCTTCTGACAGCCTTCTCAATTATTCTAGAGCAAAGAACCTCATCCTCGCCAGTATTGTTCCCATTCTCAAACTGTGGTCCAGCCATCGGCGAAGTTTCCGTCGAAATGACAAAAAGTCCCTCGAACGGCCGGTCTTCGTACGGCTGTGCGATCTCACAACTAATGCGGCAATGTACACGTGTCTTGCCCATCGTTACCATGACATCACCGCGATCCTTGCCAAGTTCGATGTCGACATCTCGCATTTGATCAAATCGACGACCATCTAGTCTAACTTTCTGCTTCAAAGTCTCGATAAGAAACCGTCCTTGTGAAACTGAAATTTCAATGTCTTTGGCCATCTTCAAACTATTATGAGTTCGGCAATGGCTTGTTCTGAGAAGTGATGGTCTTGGTTCTCTTCAGCTACAAATTTTTGAAGGCATCGAAAGGCGAAGAGTTGATCACGTGAATTTGATGACTTCGGCCACCATCGAGAGTTGGCGCAGATTTTAAAGCAACAAGCCACTTGAATGGCGCTGGATAACAACTGAGGCTTGACTTCGGCTCGTTTCATTTTTTCTTCTTGAAAAATCCGTCGATGGCGCCCTTTTTGACCACAACTTTCTTGACAGCAGTGACTTTTCTCACTTTCAAAGGTTTCTTGCCCTCTGTTGATCTGTTGGATAGTCCCACATTCATAGCGGCATTTATAAGTATCTGTTGCTCCTTTTGCTGTGCGACGACAACTTCCATGTGTTGTTTGTAAGCCCGAAATGCTTCAGAGACGTCAAGATCGGGTCCGTCGTATTGGATTAGCAAGTGGTACGCGGCGCGAGGCACCAGTGAAACCAGAAGATTGCATGCGAAATATACTTTAGCTTTGTCAAGGATATCTTCTGGTAAAGTTTTCGGAATTGGAAGACTTGCCGGGAAATTCGCGACAATTCTCTTCACTTTGTCTACCAGCCATTGTGTGACTTTGACGGGCGATAGTTTGTAGTATACGTCGCCTGCTTCTTCTACATGCTCACAAATCCGTTGCAGAGCGGCTTCTAGCATCGAAAGCGGGAAAAACGACCAGTGTGCGCCCTGGGTTTCAGCCAGCGCGTCTTGAAAGTCGCGAGGTGTTAAAAACCTGTTGATCAACGTCACATTTTCGTAATCATTTGCATGTGGAACATACTCTGTTTCCTTTGCAGCTCTGGAATCTGGCAAGAGTGCTCCACAGAGACTGAAAGCAAGATCGAATTTGGTCGAAAACTCAAACGTCCCAGTCTCCAACACCAATGCATCGGTTCTGTCTTGGGTATTCACAACAAAGGTAGATTTTAATGGCGACCCGTCATTGGTATAGTTGTACTTATTACTCTCTGCATCTCGTGCCTTGTGCAAGCTGCAACCTCTGCTGAACGCTTGTTTTTCCAAATGGAAAAGCTCGTTACCATGGATGAATAGCTCCAGAGGGGCTTTGTTGCTGGTATTTGACGGATGTGGAACGCTTAACGTCTTTATACGGCCTCCAAAATCCCCAGGAACCACTATAACGCGTTTTAATGGCTGTTTCCCTACAGTCATAACCGTTTTAAATTCACGCGATGAGATCAAGTTGTTTGTCTTATAACCTCGGCTAAAATAAACCAAAACTTGCCAGAAAACTATATTGCAAGTCTTAAATTTCTTCAAAAGAGGCTGGCTATTGCACTGTCTCGACAAAATCCTGACGCCTTTTATCGTCTTTTGATGTTTCGCGAAACTGTCTGTTCATATATATTTCTAGATCATCGTTCAAGCTCATTAACCAACAAAGAACTCCAATAAACCTTAAGACCCAGTGGACCCATAAAAGAGCCCTGGTTCGAAATACACTCGAGAATGCTGGATTTACTGACCCTATTTGAATGGGTGGTGTCAATTTCCTGTGTCTTGATTGCTAGTCTCATAGCCATTGACAAGCTCGTAATAGACGGTAAACGGGACTTACATCCAATAGCATTGAGTCAACAATCGAACGTTGCTGGTGTTCGAAGGAAGAATGAAACGGCAGTTTATCGTAATTTTACAGTTCCGCCCGGTTTCCCACTTACCACGGGTCTGGCACTCAGTTTGGGGTATAGAATACGAAACGGTAATTTTGGAGATATTTGGGAAGGAATTATGAGCAAATCGGTAGGAAGAGGCATTGAGATTGAGAATACTAGTGTGAGTTTAAGTCGTATAAATGGGTTGGCGAAATGCGTTAGTGGTAGACTTTTGAAATATATGCCAAACGATGGAAGAGTGGGCATTGCAGTACCGTTGTGGACATTGCCAGGGCTATCGGTGAGCTTAGCAGCGTTAATGAGTTCATTGGAAGGTGTGGTACCATGTTTTTTACCTGCTGTACCTCGCACAAATCTTAAATTGAACGTTTTGGTAATTGACTCATGGGATACATTGATGATGATGCGTGACAGTCACGAATGGTACCAATGGATAATTGTCTGCGACGAAAAGCACAGACCTCCGAATTTCTCAATTGAAAACGTTGTGATGTGGTCCGCGTTGACATCTGATGCTGTGGACGATGATCATTTCAGTTATGCTCCACCTTCTGATAATAGTGATGACACCAAAGTATTGGCCATGGTGACTTCGCCTTGGAATCATACCAATAGTTTCACACAAGGTGCATTAGTGAGCAGTGTGGCGGCATACGTAAAGTCTTTTCCCCTAGGGCAGGAGCTGACTGAGGAAGACCATTTGGCCCTTGCGTTCGACAGAGACACGGAGAAATCTTACTATTTCCAAAGCTGGACCAAGTTATTGTCGGTTCTCCTGTATGGTGGAAGCGTATCGCTTTTTGGCCCCGATCAAGAGTTCTTTAATCCAAAAATCACATTACTTCAGCTTGACGCGCAAAATCCTGGATTAGAAGCTCTCTTGCAAAAACCTCTCAGCGTTTTACAAAAGCTTAAACTCTCATGGGCGTCAACGCTATTCAGCAATGGAATTTTCACCAAAATCTCCAAATTTGACTCGAAAGTAAGAAAACTGCGGTGTGTTTACATTGCAAATCACGCTAGAAGCCTCCAATACGTTGATGAACTGAGCGAGCAGATTCCATGTTTGCGGAAACGGTCAGAAAATCGTCTATCATCATCGCAACAAAATCTTCTAAGAGGTTTGCTTGGTTCACGACTTATACCGGAACTCTATAGTCCTTATCTGGTCATGGGTCCTGTAGCCAGCGCCAATTTTTATGATTACAGAGTCTTTCCCGAAGCTACGGATATCAAATTTGCATTTTACGGTCCCATCACTACATCTATAGAGGCTAAACTTGTTGAGACAAAGGAAAATCCAGATTTATCAGTCGAAAGTCGACAAGGTATGCTTTGCATTCGTGGATTTACCATTGGGAAGCCTGTTGAAAACGATCGCCTTGAAAAAGCAGCGAAGATCGTTCAGAGGTTTGACGGTGGGGGAGGGTGGATGCCACTTTTGGGAGAATTCTGTCTCTGGGGTAGTGACGGCTGCCTGTATGAATACAAATAAGCTTTGCGAGAGGTCTTCAACTGCTTTGTGGCGTTTTATTCATAATCAGATTTTGTTGGGCCAATATAAAAGGATACGATCCTGCCCGTTAAGGTTGAGACTTGGTCTCACGACACCAATCACACATTTTTTGGCTCTAGCATGGATATTCGTATCATTTTCTTGCGTTATTTAAAACCTCATTTATATTTCTCGCGTTTATGAGTAAGCCACTAGGCGCTTTGTCGTCGGGTTTGTAAAGATGGCAGCTTTTGATCTTGCTCATCGCAAACGTCCATTCTATCATCAATTCAATCAATATTTGAGCTGTCCTTGGACGCATTTCCAGAAATCTTTGATATAAGTTTCCTGTTCGCTCGCGGCCAGACTGCCTCTTACGGCCAAATAAGTCCTATTATCAACTTCAATGTCCCATTCACCCTGGTTCGCACCCACGACTCGACCACCTGCTTCATTAAGTATGCACCAGCCCGCACAAACATCCCACGAGTAACATCCACCATCCCAGTAGCTATCAAGATAGCCTATACTCAAATACGCAAGCGTCATAGCACTAGAACCGATATTTCTAAAACCATGAATAAACCCTCCGTCACACGACAATAAATTCCGATAAGTATTGATTTTGGTCTCAAAATTCGAACCCTCACGCGCGGATCCTGGTTGTAATGCTACAATGGACTTGCGAAGCGAAAGTGGGCCCATGTGTTCCAACTTTTCTCGAGAATCGAATTCTTGTCCATTGACCCTAATACCATTGCCCTTAGACGCACAAACCAAAAGATCCAAGTGGGGATTGAAAATAACACCAACGACAGGCTCACGGTTTACCGTGAGTCCCATTGACGTACAGCTGAACGGGAAATCGTGAACAAAATTTGTCGTTCCATCAATTGGATCAATGATAAATGTCGCATCTTCGGTGATTTTGGTCACACCGGCAACGTAACTTTCCTCCCCAACGAACTTGAACTCGGGATATTTACGTTTAACATTATCCCAGATTATTTTCTCAACTTTCTTGTCAATGGCTGTGACGATGTCCACTTTCCTCTTACCAGTTTTCAAATCGTAATCCTGATGAATACCTGACTCGGCCTTGATCAATGGTCCAACTTCATTAACAGCCAAATCCGTAAGAAACTGTTCGATCGATAACAGGTCCAGATCCTGGTTATGGCTCTTTTCCTGCATTATTTTGATCTGTCCACTCGATATAATATCGAGTCAATACCACTATTAGGTCTTGAAAAAGATTCAAATCAATCGATCTCAAATTAATTGGGGTTGATTGCAGACGTATTCTCGTGAATTCCGGCTGATTCAGGAACACAAGCTCTCGGTTTCTCGATCTTTGTGATGTAACGTTATCGGGCTATCGAAAAGAAATCAATCACCACGTTTATAATACAGTAAAACCAGTCGAATTAAACAAAAATCTAAACAATATGAATTTATCCTATAAAAGGGTCACTACAAGTGGAATCTTTACGATTCGTTGCAAATATTTGCACTTCCGTCAATGTTGCGGTTAATTCATTCTTTGAATGTCCTTCACAATATTCCATTACAGCCTAAAAGTCGATCTTAGCGTTAAAAACAAGTATATCACCGAGGAACGTTTTTAAAGACAATTATAAATGTGCTTTAAATCTACCGCGTAGAAATTTACTCTTTGAAGAACCCATGGTCTTTCAAAAAATCAATAACCACCTTGCGGTCGCGGGCGAGCCACTTAGACTTGGAAGTAATGGTGTCTAAAGATTGAGCCAACCCTTGATCGAAACCCTTGGTGGATTTGGATGAGAAGAAATGCTTGATTTCGTTGATAGCCTCCTGAGATGTGAAACCAGAAGTACTTAATGTAACCACGGCACTCAAAATTGTTAGGCCGGGTGGAAGTCTCTTGGTGACCTCATCCCAATTGTCTTGGAGCCAAGTCCACAGCGCTCTAACACCAGCAGCATGCGATCTCAAACCTTGCATGGGGATGTAAATGTCCTGGTTTAGAACCGTTCCATCAAACAAATACTTAAGGGTTCTTTGGATCAATTCGGGTTCAGAAAACCTTCCAAGTGATCTCAGAGCGGCAAGTTTTTCATCTGTGGAAACTGGGTTCTTGTAAATGGCCAAGAGCTTATCGTAGTTGTCGACCCCACCCTTCTTAGCGACTGTGCTAAAAACAGATGGCTTGATTAAGGCAGGAATAGCATCTTTATCACCTGAAGCATACGTTGCAAACATTTTCAAAGCAGATGCAACCACTTTGGATTCCTCTGCTGCGCAAGCAGCGGAGAAAAGTTCAACTTTTAGACGCTGAGTGGCAAATGGTTCAGAAGCAGTGAAATCCCAGCCTAATTCATTGATTTTACCGGAATACAACTGTCTGGCGAACTCATTCAAACCTTCTCTAACATTTTCGGGCTCGAAAAGCCAAGCCAGCTTTAATTGAGAAAAGCTGTTCACGATTTGTTGCCACACAACAAACGAGTCTTCATCTTTCCACTGAGAAATCAGGTTCAGAAAGTTTTTAGTAGAGGTGTAACCAGATGCAGACAAAGATCTCGCTTCGGCGACCAAACCGGTACGATCCTCAACTGACAATTTTCCAGCTTGGCTACCGAGTTTTTCCCATCTGGCATCAGAATAAGAGGTAACGTAGATGCCGGCTTGTTCAGCATTAACTTTGAAAAACTCAGAGTTTTCCAATTTGATGGATCTGGTTCTCCCATCCAAAACGAGCGAGTTGTCAACTCCCCTGTCAGTCTTCAAAGACAAGAACACGGGGTACAAGGTCTCATCTTCGGAAGCAGTAACGTCGTTTGTAGTCAAATAACGGTTTTGTTGGAACGTAATTTCATTGCCCTTTTCCTCGACGGTGACCACAGGAAACCCGACTTTTTTGGTCCAAATGTCCATCACTTTGCGGACATCTTTACCAGATGCCTGAGATAAGGCGTCCCACAGATCTTCAGTTTTGGCATTCCCATACTTGAATTTGGCAAGATACTGTGAAACACCCTTGATGAAAACATCTTCTCCTAGCCACTTCGAAATCATTCTCAAGAGGGACGATCCCTTTGAGTATGAGATGGCGTCAAAAATCTGATTGATTTCGTCTGCGCGCTTGACAGGTACCTCGATAGGGTGAGATGATCTTAGAGAGTCAAGAGTTAGAGCACTTTGCAAATTATCAGCAACGTATTGCTCCCAAACTTTCCATTCTGGTTCGAATTCGTTGCACGAATACCATGACATCCAGGTGGCGAAACCTTCATTTAGCCATAGACCTTCCCACCAATCCATGGTAACCAAATTTCCGAACCATTGATGAGCCAATTCGTGCTGAACAACTTCTGCGACTCTTTCAACACGATCCAGTGTCGAGTTTTCACGGTCTAATAGCAAGTCTACAACTCTGTAAGTGACCAGGCCCCAATTTTCCATAGCTCCCGCACTGAACTCATGCACAGCGACATTATCCAATTTTGGTAATGGATACTTGATGCCGAACGTACGTTCGAAAAAATCGAGCGTCTTAGCGGTCAAATTAGCGGCAAAAACACCTAGGTGTTCGTCACCGGGGGTGGCATAAACCCTAATTGGAATACGGAAGTCCTTGTTTTCGACATAGTTCAATTCCGCAACGATAAAGGCCACCAAATAAGTGGACATTTTTGGACTAACATTGAAGACCGTGATCTTCTTGTCATCCTTGATTTGCTCAGATTTGACATCCATGTTTGAGAGATGAGTTAGCTTGGGTTCCGAGATCAACGTGATACCGAACGTAGCCTTCAAGTTGGGCTCGTCGAAACAAGGGAAGGCTCTTCTAGCATCGGTTGCCTCCATTTGCGTCGTGGCCATGTACTTTGTTTCTCCAGTTTTCTTGTCGGTGTATTTCGCCCTGTAGAAACCCGCCATGTTGTCGTTCAACACACCTACAAATGCCAGCTCCAGCGTCACAGTATCCTTCATGGTACCTTCTGGAAAGTTAAACCTAACTCTTTGCTTGCTATCGTCAAACTTCCAGTCCAAAGCAGGAGTGCTGCCAATGCAAGCTGACTGAATATCGATTTCAAGTGTGTTGAGCTCTACAAAAGAAGTGGACGCGTCATTGACTTTCAAGTCAATCTTAACATTTCCCTGGAACTTAAAAGTGGTGAAATCAGGTTCAAGCGTCACATCGTAATGAAGCGGACTGACGTTCTGAGGTAAAATTTCACGTTCTGGTGCCGAACTACTCATTTTCGAAGCCTGTTAGTTATACTTGTCACTCTTGAAAGCTTTCTTTCAGACTAAAACGACTTTTAAGGGTGTCCTAAATAAGGAAATTTCTAACGCCGCTAGTAATCGAGTCGTTCGATGGCTGAATCCAAGGTTCAAAGACGGCTCAATTGATGGAATCACTAGTCGCTTTTGTCGGGTCGAATAATTCAGAAACTTGCCACTAACCGAAATAGACTCTTTTATGTCTGTCGATGGAGGCAAGGTATCCAACACAATGACATTTTTTTCTCTCTTAGACGTCTCCGAATGGCCCTTATAGCCGTGCAGCGGTGTGGCAGGAAAGGGAGCAGAGAGCGGCCCATACTCTAGTCGTCTAGAATGATGTCTGCAACTTCAGTGGGAAACGCCAGAGAAACCGCGGCAGAGAATGCGCGGTACATGCAACCTCTTACCAACTTGACACATACATCCAACAACATCAGCAGCGTTCGCTGACGCTGCGCTCACCTTGTTTCGGCCTTTGCAACAGTAAACTTGAGTTCCCTCAAAATCTCTAGCTTAGCTGCTCGCACGGGCTCCCTCGACCTCCAGCTGTCTGGCCTTAAAGGACAACCCCGTTGTAATCGTAAGACTCACCTCTCCCCTCCTCATGTACATACCCTTTTGCATGCAAGTGCTGTTTCGCCTTCTCGCATTTCCCACATGACATTTTTGACGCCGTGAAGTAGCTTCTTCCGAGAGTTTGTTTCGAGACTGACATCAGTCTAGGCTGGATTCGGCCTGAGCTGTATCCAGCCACTAACCTTGGTAATCTCAACGCTCGCGTTACGAGCTCCGCATACGGAGCTCGTGTAGCGCGCGTCGAACCCCACACATTCCTCGAAATAAGCTGACTTGCCAGCATTGTTCGTTGAAACATCACGGCTTGACCTTCTTTCCACTCCTCACCGACCTGTGGTAGCCTGTTAATCTCGAGCACCCAGTGCCAATCGTCGCTCGCCGGTTCAACGAGGATAGATAGTTCTAGGACATCCGTACACAACGACACAGCTCTTTGCTTTGCTCGAATCACCGCACCTTGTCCCATTGCTGGAACCCGCCGTCGACTAGCCTTATGTACTGTTCTAGAGCGTAATCTATATGAATTGTATCTATTGAAGCTCATATACACGCCATTGTTTGTCTGTAAAGACAAAAAGTGCTCAGCGAAAGAATCGAGAAAACAGGGGGGTCGCCACTTTCGTATGCCCTTTTATACCTTTTCTTCGAGGGTGTTGATCATCAATCCCGTACCCCAACCGAAAAGGATGGACCCGCATTCTCGGTTCTAGGCCCGACCAGCCGTCGAGCAGCCGCCGAGGAGTTCATGAAACCCAAACACCACAAGAGCCGCGGACGTCACCTTCGAAAGTCGCCCTCGCAACTAACGAGATCGGCCTTCTCAAATACCCTTTGACCCCGTTCACCGAGAATACAAGAATTGATCCGACATGCAAGCTACAGGAGTATCACTGAGGAATGTCGAGCACGGCCAAGTATTTTTCGCTACTCTGTAAGCATTTAAACGACGTAGCGACCACAAAAATTCGAAACACCCGTGATAGACGTCCGCAACCCAATTTAAACTCGTACAAAGATCGAGTTATCGCCGCTCGTCGTCTATATATAATACAAATCGTATGCCACAGCAACCTTCCTTACTTCTTCTATATGCTAAGCCCTTTGATAACTAGCTTCGTTTTCGTAACAAGTATCATTTTCGTCCTCCTCTCCGTCGTCGTAACTAAATTCATTATCGTGGTAATCGACTTCCGTAGAATCGTAATCATCGTGAAGTTGTTCCCCAGTCCTGTTGAAGTCATCCAATGCATAATCCGAATCGTTTGAATCTGTTGATGAACAGTCGAGAAATCCGAATTTCGTAAATCTGTCTCTCAGGACCAGAAGGGTACCAAAATCAACATGTTTGAGACGTCTGCTGTCCTTCGTCATAACAGTTCCAGCTAGGGAAAAACATTCTCCCACGTTACACGCACTTAATTTCGTGTAATAGAGCGAAATGGCCAGCTTGAACAATTTGGGATACTTCTGTCTGCGTTCATACCACCAGCAAATAGCTTCTTCATTTGACTTGGCCACTAACTTTGGTTCCTGTTGATACTGAATCCACTCTTCGGTGTACCCCTCTGAACTCGCATTCTGCAGCTCCGTTCCATGAGCGGAGCTTTCCGAGCTCTCTTCTGCTGAAAGATCTTCCTTGTTGAAGTACAAGCTGGACCTTGAGAGTGAGCGGATTGGGTTCTCCACAATCTGCTGAGATCCCGACTCTTTTTCTGGGCCGCATTCTCTCATGTATTTTTTTATGAAAGCTTGCGCCTCTAGGACTCTGGCGGTACCTTCTTCAGGGGTCGTCATGTCAAAGATGCCTTCAACTTTACTGGTGGGATCTAGCATGACAGCGACGTAGTACAGGGGATTACACCGGACGTAACTCATGTATTCCTGATGTAAAGCTCCTGCAAAGTCTACAGCATCAAGCACATGCTTCTTATCTTCACAATTGAGATCAGCGGATCCATTCAAAAAGGAATAGTCATAAGTTGACCGGCTCTTCGTGATACGAGAGCCTGAAGAAGCTTTTGCACATGTGTCATAGAAATGTTGCAATAAGTAGTACAATGGAACGCCATTGGAAAGGTGATTAAAGTTATCACGCTGAAGCTTTAAGTTCAAATCGTTGAACAACCGAAGAGTTTGCAGGATATACTTGCATAATTCCATGGTTCTTTTATCGAAACAAATACATTCTTCAATCTTGAGTGCCAAATCTTCCTGACCATCCTCAAGCAGTTGTGAATGCCAGGCCTGATACTTGCCATGATTATCCAAGAAAACACGAAGCAGGGACCAAAGATATATGCGTCTGCTTGGTGTCTCCAAGGGAAGAAGTGGAATTTTCTTCAACCTTAGACTGCAAGACATACGGGATGATTGTCTCATAATTTTGGCCAGCTTCTGTAATTTCGCAAATGCGTTGAGGAAACGAGTATTCTTCAACAAAGCTCTAGTAGCCGCCTCAATTTGAAGGTTCAAAATATTACTGGCACACCTTATGTAACGGATTTTTCCAAATAAGCGATGCGCAAACGGGCTTAAAGCATTGAAAGCGCCGTAGCACAGTTCGAAGAAAATTGATTCATTAGCTGAGGCACCGTCCATCGTTAGAGTTGCCATTTTTTCGGTGAGCTCGTATTTTTGCAACAGGGAAAGAACCGTCTTGCTAAGGTCTTCTCCAGTACGTTTCCTGTCGCCCAAACTTGTAAAATCCAGGATGTGATTGTTGTGGGCTTTTCCTGAGTTGTTGAGCAAAATGCTTGGATTGTTGGCCAAATCTAAAGTCTTAGGGTCCCAAATGTTCGGAGCAAACGAGACCATCATGGCCAAAAATGATTCACCGTCGGACGCTGTCCGTATCCCGAGCTGGATATTGACGAATTGAGATTCCTTTAGATTTGCTAGTAAAGTCTCATTCATGTTGGTAGAATACAACTTCAATTTTTTCACCAGTGTGCTTCTTGATCTGATGGTAGCTTGGGTAGAACACAGTTCACTGTAGCTAGCCCACGCCGGTGACAGCACAAAACTAAGTGGTAGAAGTTGTTCCACGACCAGCATTGCCGTTCCAAAAATTCCAGGGTTTCTCTTGCGCTCATCCGTGATGAATTGAGCTACTTTCATCGGTCTTGTTTTCAAGACTTTTCCCTTTGCCTTAAATGCATTGGGATGCAATGCCCGGACATGTTTGGCCATATTACCTACGCAGTCTCCCTCTGAATACTGCTTGCCACAGTACATACACTTAGCCTTCAGTTGTCCATCTATGGTATTCAATTCGAAAAAGGACCGTATTGAAGACTTCATCATCCAGCCAGATGAATTGCCGTTATTCGATGTTTTTGCCGCTATGAAGGAAACGCGTCGTTGACGCGTTTCTGAAGAAGAGTCTTGTAACGGCATTAGCTGTTCTACAAAAAGACGCTGAGAACTTAAACCCTCTGGACACATCATCTCGGGGCAAAGCTACATAGTGAATTGGTGATAACGCGTATCCAATTTAACCTTGTCCAACGTTTTTGACGAAGCCACCGACTTTCGCGTTTTGGTCCAGGATGAAAAATCTACTTAATCCGTCAAAGTAATCCAATAAGTCACACACGTGTAAAATGATAAGCTGCATGAGTAGATTACTCGTATGAAATGCACAATCGATCAAGGTTTTCGTATATAGAGAGATGACAAGGTGCACGGGTGGAAATAATATCGCTATTGACGCACCGGAATTAGTAAGACGAAAGAGCGGAGTTAGTACATCTGACTACCTCGGCCGAGCGCGGCCGATCGCCGCAGTTCCGCCGCTTAACGCCGCACTTTTCAACACAACTGCTCTTTATGTTAAGGGTTTACCATCAAATTCCATCATTCATAACCTAAGGAATTAGTCAAACCTCCATAGCAGAATTATAGCAGCGTGATATAAATGCGAGCCATATAGGCTCAAATTGTTCTGCAGCGTGTTTAGATTGTATAGTTTGTTCTGTATCCGATCGTACAGAATTCGCAAACATGGCTAGTTATTTATCAAATAGCGAAATGGCCAATAGCTACTGTTCGACTAATACAGGAATTGATGAAGAGCGGCTGCAGGAAAATTTGAAAGTGGAAGACGGTAATGCTTCAGAGCATTTGTCAATTGAGCGATCCGCCAGTACACCTAGCGATGAAGCGCAGAATTCAAGGGAAAACGACGAGAAACGCCGGTTCGAAGTGACGCTTGAGCCCGATGATCCTGAGAACGTAATGGAACGATTTTCGCTTGTTTACAAGGCCTACGTGACGGTTGTGGTGACCCTGACCACGATCATCATCACCATCACGTCTTCGTGCTGGACGCTGGCTTCGCCGCACATCATTGATCATTTCCATATCTCGCGAGAGGTAAGTATTCTTGGCATCTCGCTGTACATTTTCGGAATGGCGGTGGGTCCTCTGTTGTTTTCGCCACTGAGCGAATTGTACGGGCGGAAAATCACATTCATTTGCTCGCTGATGCTGAGCGTCTGTTTCCAAATCCTGACCATCTTCAGTCCCAATATCGGCGGCATGTTAGTCGGCAGGTGCTTGTCTGGGTTTTTCGGTAGTCCATTCCTGAGCGTGGCTGGCGGTGTGGTGAGCGACCTTTACAATAAGGCTCAGATCGGTATCCCCATGGCTCTTTATACCACCGCGCCATTTGTTGGACCTGCAATTGGTCCCTTGATCAGTGGCGCGCTTTATGGACACTCATACCGCTGGACGTTCGGGGTCATGTGCCTTGCTACAGGCGCGGCTTTGTTGGCTATAACAGTTTCAGTAAAAGAAACCTACAAGCCGATTCTTCTGATTGAAAAAGCGCGTAGACTGCGTTCAGAAACTGGCGATGATCGTTACTACGCGCCTTTGGAGCGTTTGCGTCAAGAAACGAGTATTCCGAGGGCAATTGCGATCTCGACCAGCCGGCCATTCGGACTGCTGACGAAAGATCCAATGATATTGGTGTTGTGTTTCTACACGGGACTGGTACTGGCTATAGTGTACATGTTTTTCGTTGCATATCCACTGGTGTTCACAAAGCTGTGGCATTTTGGTACTATGGAAGTCGGCCTCAGCTACTGTGGCCAACTGGCGGGCCAAATTCTTGCTGCTCCGACTGTCTACGTCTTCCAGCAACGATACGCCGAACGTGTGAAACAAAACAATGGGGTCAGGGTTGCCGAATTTAGGTTCGAACCTTTGTTTTATGGTGCTTTCATCACCCCGATTGGGCTAATGATCTTTGCCTGGACTTCTTATAGCCATGTTCACTGGATAGGCGCTCTGATCGGCACAGGGATATTTGGCGCAGGTGTAATGTACGTTTTCATCGGCGTTCTAGGATACATTGTGGACGCCTATCGATTGTACGCAGCCTCTGCGGTCGGATGCAACACGTTTGTGCGGTGCATTATGAGCGGTGTTTTTCCTCTGTTCACAGAGCAAATGTACGAAGGAATGGGAATCAACTGGGCTATATTTCTCCTTGCAATGGTCTCAGTCGCCATGATACCAATTCCTTTTCTATTTACAAAATACGGACATGCTTTGAGAGAAAAAAGCCCTTACGCATGGGACGGAGAGGACTGAACAACGAGCCCACGGTTTCTCTCAAGATATAAGCATAATTCATTCTGTAGCTTCACAAATAATAATATCCATTTTGATACAAACACGTCAGACTTGACAGCTTCAAAACCCCCCTTCCGCCAGCGTTTACCGCCAACGACGGATCCTTTTCGAGCTTTGATTTTCTTTTTGTCGCTTCTTTTTTCGAACTAAGTCCGAAAGTAAATCATCGACGTTCCAAACGCCGAAATCGTCATTCGCATACAATAAGTCGGTTACTTAGCACGGTTAAGAAATACTATAAGAAGCTTTACCATAGACGAACAAGTTTTAAACCACTTGACATAGCGCATCAAGCAACATGTCGACTCCCAGACTTTTGTTTCTACACGGCTTTTTGCAAAATGCTAAAGTGTTTTCCGAGAAATCATCGGGTATCAGAAAGCTGCTCAAGAAAGCAGGCGTGCAATGCGATTACATAGACGGTCCCGCTGTGCTGGAGAGAAAGGATTTGCCTTTTGAATTGGATGACGAGAAATGGCAAACGGTGCTTGACACACAGGTGAACAGAGCGTGGTTTTACCACAGCAATATCTCGAAGGAGCTGGACTTGACAGAAGCGCTGAGAACCGTTTCGGATTATATAATGGAAAACGGGCCCTACGACGGTATTGTTGGGTTTTCACAAGGTGCAGCCGTTGCCAGTATTGTCACCAACACGATCCATAAGTTGGTTCCCGGCCATCCCCAGTTCAAAGTCAGTTTACTGTTTTCAGGTTACTCGTTCACCGAGCCAGATCCTTCTCACCCGGGTGAACTGCGCATTGCTGACAAATTTGTCTCTGATTTTACCGTCCCATTAGAACTCACTACCAGAGTTCTTTTTGTATACGGAGCCTCTGACCAAGCGGTTCCTGCAGAAAAATCCAAGTATCTGTACAAAATCTACACGCACGGTGAAGAGGAAGCCAACAACGTCAAAGCGTTCGAGCATCCAGGAGGGCACATGGTCCCAAATAAAAAAGACATCCTCAAGCCGATTGTCGATGAAATTACAAGTGCTTTCAACGCACACTAACCAACTGACTATAGAAAATTACATAGAATACCTGTCTAAACTAAGGTTGGGCTTTATTTCTCCCTCAGAATCTCTAATATTAGCAAATGATTGGATATTCGCCATCCTTTCATCGTAGTTTAGCTGTTGAAGTTAAGCTTGGTGATGGTACCTACAAGAGGTTTTCCCATGTGATGAAAAAATAAGACTCGAAAATTGACAATCTCTGAGGTACTCGACGAACAAAGTACCTGAAAACAACGTCCAACTGGCCGAGATAGAGGCCTCAATTGCTACAAACTTGTTGATTGAGATCACGTTGTTTCATATATGGTAGATTACCAGCCAGTACGAAATGTGCCTAGTGAAGATTCACAAGAAGGTACAAGTGCAAGACACGAAGAAAATCTGGGAATAAATGTAAGAAATGGTGGGTCAATGGGTGCAAAAATCATATCATTCTGTCGAAAGTATGCACGTTTCATTGGCCCAGGTCTCATGGTCTCGGTATCATACATGGATCCTGGCAATTTTAGTACGGCAGTGGCTGCAGGGTCAGCACACCGTTACAAGCTTCTATTCTCGGTTTTCATCTCGAATTTACTTGCAGCGTTTTGGCAATGTTTGTGTGCGAAGCTTGGCGCTGTCACTGGTTTGGACTTGGCGCAGAATTGTCGACGCCACCTTCCGCCGTCTTTGAATCTTGCGCTCTACATATTGGCCGAAGTTGCTATTATAGCGACCGATCTAGCCGAAGTCGTCGGTACCGCCATTTCCTTGAACATCTTGTTCAATATCCCACTAGCTTTGGGAGTTGTTCTCACCGTGGTCGATGTTTTGGTGGTCTTGATGGCGTACAAGCCAAACGGATCTTTGAAGTTGGTTAGATGGTTCGAGATGTTCGTTTCCGTGCTCGTTGTTGGGACAGTCATTTGCTTTACAATTGAACTGTTCTCAGTGCCAATCACTAACGTCTCCGATGTGTTCCGCGGATTTCTGCCTACTAGGGCAGTGGTTGACGGTGACGGCATTTATCTCAGTTTGGCAATTTTGGGCGCCACGGTGATGCCACACAGCTTGTATCTCGGATCAGGGGTGGTTCAACCTCGGTTGCGGAACTACGACATTAAAAACGGTTACTACACCCCGAACGACGCTGACATCCAAAGCAATCATACCAATTACAAACCTTCATTGGATGCTATCAACGACACTTTACATTTTACCATTGCAGAGCTTCTGATCTCGCTTTTCACCGTCGCGCTTTTCGTCAATTGTTCCATTTTGATTGTCGCGGGCGCAACGCTGTATGGCTCTACACAGGATACTGACGCAGCAGATTTGTTCTCCATATACAATTTACTGTGCGAAACGCTTTCGAAGGGTGCAGGCACGATTTTCGTTCTCGCGCTTTTGTTTTCGGGCCAATCCGCCGGCATCATCTGCACCCTGAGTGGCCAAATGATCTCTGAAGGATTCTTGAACTGGTCCATTACCCCTGCATTACGCCGTGCCCTCACACGTGCGGTGGCCATCACACCTTGTCTAATATTGGTTCTCGTTGCTGGCCGTAAGGGTCTTTCAGGTGCTTTGAATGCGTCTCAAGTGGTTCTCTCGTTGCTTTTGCCCTTCGTGTCTGCTCCTCTTCTGTATTTTACTAGCAGCAAGAAAATCATGAGCGTTGAAATTGGAAATAATTGCTACTACGAGCTCAGAGACACCGGAATTCCACTGCAAGATCTCGATTACGCCACGGCGTGGGAAGAACGAACCGAAACACCAGAACCCAAATTCGTCGATATGAGCAACACACTGTTTACAAATGTCATTGCAGTATTGCTGTGGCTATTTATTTCGGGTTTGAATTTTTACCTTTTGGCTAGCTTCTCTTTGGACCAGGAGGTACATCTGTAGCCGAACGTCTGTGACCGAGCAAGCATATGAGAGAAAGCCGAGAGATGTAAGTTGAACAAAAAAACTAAATAACATTCTTAACAGGTCTGTCGATCGTATTCCAAGGCCAATCTGAAGATGGGAGGAAACTGACTCTCACGATTCTTGATTGAAATGCTCATTGAGAGGGTTGTTATGACAGATACGTATGAAATGATATCAAGATATTGAGATCAGGAAATTAGATGAGAATCACTAAGCCGCCCATCGCTACCATTCCTGATGAGAAGTCTCCCTGAGAGCTCCTTTAGATGCCAACAAACACCATTATAATAACCTCTGACGCTATTGAAGTGGCAGAAACGCAATATGTTACCAAAATACAGCGATTTTTGAGCGATACGACGTTGAAACGTCACAACGTGGCCGCGCCAAACGCGATCCAGATCTTACCGTTGAGGGGCCTCCAGCGGGTAGTCATTGTTTTTCCCGACGTAAAAATGTCATGCGAGTTCATGGATGCGGTCCGTGACACGGACTGCGGCGAGGATGTACGTCTGAATTTCTCAATGTTGAACACGGACGCTACTCACTCAGAATCCAAATACTTGAAACTACCGCCTCACGAAAAACTGTTCCTGGTATCACCACCGGCGTCGCCCCCTCCGGAATTTGATTACTCACGATTAGAAGACCCCCCGGTCCGCTCTTGGCCTGAGAATAGACAGTCACGTGACGTATGTGAGAATTCCATTGATTCCAACTCACCGGCACGCGTGCTCTTGCAACATCCAGCAGGCACAATAGTTATTGACCAGCACCAAGAGTTTAGCAGAGACACTTTGCAGGACGACGACGTGCCGTTTCAGTCTGTGGCGTCTTTCAAAACAGGAATGCCGCCAAAATCGACTTTCGACACAAGCTCTGACGAGGACTAGTGGTTAGGCTCTTCAATCCAATTGCAGTGAAGCCTAGGAAGCCAAGCTCTTGGCTGAGATTCTTAGCTGGAGGGTACTCGAGTCACGTCCCAAACACGTGACGTACAATCACTTTCGACACATCCCAATGTACGAACCAATAGCATTGTCAGATTTCTTAAAACCCGGTAAAAATCTCACGATTCCCGGCTTGATGCCCAAAGCTTTGATAGCATGTTCGAATTTTCAAGATTGGTTTTTACAAGGAAACGAGCTGGAGAATTGAAAATTTTCCATTCAAAAGTACTTTGAACCAGCCCTGAGGCGATTAGGAGGTTTATTTCGCGAAGATAACATGTTGTCGAGAACCGTTTTGAGAAACATTGGCATGGCCAGACCATGTGTGGCCAGCTTCACTAGAGCCGCGCCTGTCTGCCAACCAAGATTGACGCAGTGGACGAGTATCAGAAAGTATTCTGCGCACGAAGAAGAGACTTTCGAAGAATTCACACTGAGATACGAAAAGGAGTTTGACGAAGCTTACGATCTGTTCGAAGTGCAGAGAGTATTGAACAACTGTTTCTCATACGATTTGGTGCCAGCACCAGCTGTGATCGAAAAGGCGTTGCGTGCCGCCCGCCGTGTAAACGACCTCCCCACCGCTGTGCGTGTGTTCGAGGCTCTAAAGTACAAGGTCGAAAACCAGGAGCAGTACGATGCGTATTTGAACGAACTAAAAGAAGTTCGTGAAGAATTGGGCGTTCCTCTAAAGGAGGAGCTTTTCACCGAGTCGGCTTAATGAACACTTGCGAGGGGGTCGGTATGCAGCCAGCACTGTGTCCGCTGGCACTATTTTTAAAGCAAGAAGTTGTTGCATAGAAAGTTTTGAAAATCGGGTTGATTCGCATACTGCAAATTTTTCGTTTCTATGTATGCTTTTATAACATCTAACCAAAGTCATGTCACCTTAGCGTCGTAGCGCCGAAGCCCTGGCGCGCTTTCCACACCAGTGGGTCAAAGGTCTTATCTTATTCGTCGTCGTCGTCGTCTTCGTCGTCATTATCGCTTTCAACGATGGACATGGGCCCTCGCTTCCCACGCCCCACCGTGCCGCCTTCTTCGTCAGAGTCGGCTACGGAGGCCTCGTCAGAGTCCGCGTCTGCACCGACAGCGGCAAGACGCGACTTCCGGGTTTCATCCTCGGAATCGCTCTCATAATCGCTCTCTGAGTCGCTCTCACCTTCTGACGCGCTAACTTTGCCCTGGTTGACCTCTTCGACGGCATCGAACCAGTCACTGTAAACGTCGACGGGCTGTGACAATGCGTTGATCTGAGTTTGGAAGCTCTGGCCGCATACTTTGCAGGACAGCGATCCAATGCTGTTTTTTTTGTCCAGCGTACACGTTATAGACCTTTCATGGTTGCAAAACAGACAGTTGAAAGCCGTGTCAAGCTTTTGGACCACTCGCTTGACGGGGCCTCTCGATGACTTCTTTCTCTTACCCATAGAATGAGCGGTATGGGGCCGAAACTGGGTTTACACAGTTAATGCAATTGATTCTACTATGGCTTGCATTAATAGATGAATATTTTGTTCAACGCGTGTCGCTATGTACGGCTTCTCATCAGATTCCACTCCTCCCTCTCAAGTGTATTGAATCCTGCTCAAACAGTAGCGCCACGACCCAAGCTTGAAGATACTGCTACATGGGCTTTCCAAATGAAGCTATTTACCTTCAAACGTTGCTGTCGTTGAAAATCCGTCACTGTGGTCACGTGATGCGTCCCCACCTATATAAATGCCACTCCACGATCTCCGCTTAGCCGTAAGCCCTTTTCAACCGTAAAAATTCGGACCCATGGCTCACATGACAGCTTAATTGTCGTTCCATTTCAGCGGTACCTTTTCTTGCTGGCAGCTTAACCAGTGAAAGACCAAGGGCGTACGCATCGAGGGCTCGCACACACTTCACAACGACAAAGCAGCTAGTGACTGTTTAGGTCGGATTTTACGCAGAGAATCACTACGATACGTATATTTAGCTGGTATCTCATCATCATGCGATTGCCTGGGAAAAAGGTAATAGAGGGCATATCGGATAATTGGCACTAATATACAAGGAATATTTAAGCGTCGATAGTTACATATACACAGGGCACGTGACAGCGCTAAACAAATGTGACGTGCATAATGACATACGAGAGTCAATGAGTAAGTAACGGGTAAGTACTTGGGTACGACGGAAGTGGGCATTGGTTATAATGCCTACAAAGTGATGCAGTTTCCAAGGCTAAGCATGGCAGTAGGAATCCCTTCGATCGGCCGTCCAGCTGCTCGCCGATATACACATCCCTGTCATCAAGTTATGGGCCGGTATTTTTGGAAGCCTCGCGTAACAGTCACGTGATGGAATTGGGCTCGCCTGTCAGCCCGATCACGTGCTCATTTTCATCAGATGGGTTCCTTTTCCCGCTTCAAGAAAATTTTTCAGCTCTTACTCGCTATACTGGAAAAGAACCAAGCTCATCTCATCTCATCTCAGCAGAGGTTTTTGATCAGAAACAGCTTCAGAAACAAGAGAAAGGCCAGCTTGGACATCATCTTTAAGCACAGATCTCACACCTAAAATGGCCAAACTCACTCCCGGGAAAAAGAAGTCCAATTCCACAAAAGGATCGCCAGCAGTTTCCCGTATAAAAAACGACAAAGTAACCAAGTCTCCAGTTGGGTCTGCGCAGTCTACGCCTACTAGAAAAGCTCCCAAGAGTCCTAGGAATGCGAAGAGTCCCAAGGGTCAGGAGGTAAAAACTGCACCAGTCGCCCAGAAGGAGAAAGAGGATAAAAGCGTCATACCGCGCGCAAGAATAATCGCTGCGATCAGCGAGCTGCGCAAATATGCAGACAAAAAATGCCAGACGCAAGAAGATGAGCAGTTACTCGGAGATGAGGAACTAGTGCAGAGCGCCCAGTTGATCGCCGTGAACACCACTTCTTTCAGCGGCAGCAGCAAGATTTTCAAGCCCAAACAGCTCGCAGTGCCTCACTCCCTATACAAACCCTGGAGAAAAGCCAGTCAGACTGCGCTGCGCGATTTTAAAGTGCTTGTTGTCTTGAAAGACGCGGACGTGAGCAAAATCACCGAGGACGAGCTCTACGACGCTTTGGAGCCTAAGGGCGTCGCTGTCGATGCGGTCGTTGGCGCCGGCGATTTCAAGACCAAGTACAAGTCCTTTGAGAAACGTCGTGTGTTCTTGCAACAGTTTTCTCTTGTTTTGGCCGACGACTCCGTTATCAGCGCATTGCCCAAGCTCGTGGGCGGTAAGGCGTACGAAAAAACAGCCACGACGCCAGTTCCAATCCGTACGGGCAAGAAGGGCGTTTTCTCGTCTACCACATTGGCCAACAGCATAGAAAAAGTGTATCTACACCAATTGCCCGTCAAACTGCCCCGTGGCACTACTTTGAACGCACATCTTGGGAATTTGGAATGGTTCACGGCGGAAAATTTGGCCGAAAACGTGTCTGCCATGGCCGAACAGCTGGTCGCTCAGTTTCAGATCCGGGCCCTGTTTTTGAAAACCAGTGGGTCTCCGGTGCTACCATTGTACTACAACAATGATTTGCTCAAGGAACTAACGCAAACAGCTGCTGCTAAGGCAAAGAAGTCCGAAAAACCACATGTGGCCCACAAAGTCACAATTGGAGATGTTGAAGTCGAACTCTCGCACTTTGACCGTGCATTGATGGAAATTGCCAACCCAGACGAGTTAGACAAAGTTTTCGCGGGTCGTGTTGCAAACGCTAAGAAACGTGCCGCGGACGAATCTCAAGATCTGGAGCCAGAAACCCCAAAACGCATCAAGGCCTGAAAAGGCGCAACCACACGTTAGTTTCCCATTTTATCTGTCTCTAACTCTGTATACTAAAGTCGGCAAGGTACTACTCACTTTCTACTTTTCGTCATAAACGAATTTCTTTATCATCAGCATAATGTTTCTGTTGAGAAAGAAAACATACCCACTTATAAGCCGTTATTTGCTTACTACCTCTTCTGTATGCACCCTGTCGGCTTCTTCAGCCACAGCTCTGTCTTTGCCCCGATCAAATCGATACCATTTAACCGCCAAGCCTTTGTTTACAATTTGTTTTCAGAAAAATCACCAAATCCGGGTAACTTAAAATGTCACTCAGAGAAGGATGGGCGGTTCAATTCCACAAATACAAATCAATAAGTGCTACATGACGCAAATAAGCACAGTTTTACTGAGCTCCAAAGAGCAGTTTTTAGTTTATTAGTGTTCATAGAAAACAGAGAAATTGTCTCGGCAATTTGTTCGAAATTGACGGTTTCATTTGTCGAGAAACGACAATTTGTGCTATCAGCTTTTATATTCAAAAGTGGACTCATTTTCAAAGCACAACGACACTAAAGATTTACGAGGAAATTTCATTGTCCAAAAAGCGACGGGTCCTTTCTCCGGTTTGGAATTTATCCTATAGACTGACAGGAAGATTAACGGGAAGCTGTGTCCAATACGCGGAACAGCGCAAGATCAAATGGATCTCGAGGACATTATTGAGTCATTCAAATCTCGAGTCAACAAGCTCTCACAAGACTGGGAAGCACTTTCAATTGCATTTGAAGATGCCAGTACACCTGACGAGGAAGTCAATTATTTTAAGGCCAGACTCGAGCTCGTGCAAGAGCAAAATTCGGCAATCATTGTGAACTTAGACCAAATGAAGCAGCATATGAATTTGGATGATGGGGCCTCAAACAACGTTTTTAACCTTTTAGCCGCGTCATCGAATGTTTTCGTCAAACATCCACAGGAATCTAATAGGAAGTCATCCAAAACAGTGATCCCGCCTTTGTACTCAAAAACTGAAGTCTCTGAAAAACCAAGTCCAGAAGGATCTACCGTAAGGTGCGGCGCTTCACAGGAAGTGGCCAAGGAAGATCGAATAGCGGAAAATGAGGCTTCTGATAACAATGAGGGGAACGATACAACTGTAGAAGACCAAGAAAATGGAGAATATGCGCCAAGCTCAGATTATAGCTTTGCAAGGTGCTTTTCACCTCGCGACAAAGCCCCTGGAGTTAATGTACTCCAAATGAAACCCTTTCGCAATATTACCAATATGAATAGGGGAAACGTGTCTTTCTATGGCTCGATGGAGACAAAATCGAGATTTTCGAGAGATAGAGAAATCGAAGCGTATGGACTAAAGATGGCGGAAACTCCGAGGTCTGTCGCTGAACTGTATCGAGAATTCGACGACAGTTTGCGCATACAGATAATGGAGTTCGAGAAAAAATTCGGTAAGGGCCAACTGTCACGAATACCTAAAATTCGAACCTACCAAAGGCGAAGAGCACTTGTCAGTGAAATCGACAAGTATGCGAGATTTAGTAGAAAATCAACCCCGGACGCCATTCAATTTTTTGAAAATATTCTACAAGAAAAGAACAAAACGGTGCCGTGGTTGTACAATAATTTAGGAAAAGTTTTGGCAGAGTATTTGTGATGTTGGAATTCATGGAACGTAGCGGCCAACCTCGGCAAATTGTGCTCATTCTTTGTTTGAAGATCAATTTTTCGTTGCTTAAAAAGATTACTTTAATTACTTATTTTATGGCTCATTTTTGTAACTCCATATGACTGAGGGTGGTGTTGATCGACTTCCAGCATTTTTGGAGGGCCTGATTAGACTCGTTCTTCGGTTGTACGTTTTTTCGCAGCACGGATTATATCGTGCCAATTGCAGGAAAAGACTGCATAGCATTGAGACACACTCATGAAGACCAATCCGCTGGTAATCCCATACCAGAGACCGTGCAAACCCAAATGACAACGGAAGGTTAAGGCATACGCCAATGGAATCCCTATGCAGTAAAATGCGAACACGTTAATATAGCCACCAATTTTCTGTTGACCTTGTCCACGCAAACAACCCGCTGTACAGGCATTGAAGGCATCAAATAGCTGCATAATTGCGAGGAGGGGAAGGGTGCTGACCACTAGGGAAACGACATCGGGGTCTGTAGAGAACGCGTTCGCCAAGCTGACTCGGAAAATATAGATAATACTGAGATTAAAGCAACTAGTGAGAAAAGATAGCAAAAGTGCTACTTTACAAGTCACTATGCAGCTCTCATGGAGCCCAGCACCTATGAAGTTGGCTATCCGCGTGCTAGTAGCAATCGAAATGGAAAATGGAACTTGGTATGCCAGTGAAGCGATTGTAGAAATGATTGATTGTGCACCAAGCTCGCTGGTTCCGAGGCGAGAAGCGAAAACGGTCAAAATTTCAAAACCCAAGAATTCAGCTTCCACCATGATCACACCCGGCAGAGCCAAGCTGTACATCTTTTTCCAGTTCTTGAAAACTTGAGAGGGTTTGATGAAACCACCCCAGCACTTCCTCGGATTAATCTCATTTTTGGTAAAGATGGTGTAGGCCATCAGCCCAATAGCCATCAACCAGTAGTTTAGGGCTACACTGATCGGAGCTCCCAAGTAGCCAATTCCGACACGACTGTCAAGGACAAGCAAGTAGTTCATGAGTGCGTTGAAAGGCGCGCAGAAAAGAAGCACGACAGTAGAAGCGTGAAAAATCCCTTGACATTGCAAAAAACGCTTACCACATTCGAAAAGAACAAAACCAGGAACACCAAATGCAACCACTTTCAGGTAGTTAGCAGCCAAATGACAAAGCTCGCGTTCTGGAATCATTAGGGCCAAAATGGATTCAGCCCAAAACCACCAAATGTAAAGTATGGGCAAACAGAAAATGATGGTTATAGCGGCACACCTCTGCAAGAGAATGCCGACCAAAGAGTATTTTTTAGCTCCGTACGCCTGGGAACACAGGGTGTCCAGACATGTACACAGGCCCTGAATGGCTGCAAACCCGGTGATATTGGCCGTCATGGACCCTAGTGTTATACCACCGAGAGCATTGATACCGAGATGGGAGGCAGAAAAAACCGAGGCCAAAGAGAGGGAATTCTGCATGATAAATGTGAACACCAAGGGCAATGCATTTTTCAGTACAACCTTCGTTTCCCGAGAATAAGACGTGGAAATCGACTTCCCCGACTCAATAACTTCTTCCCAAGTATTTACAACCTCTGCTTCCTCTGCGGGCTCGTTGGATTCCGTCTCTGGTTCTTCGCTGTAGAGTTTGTTGTCGATGAGCAAATCACGTTCTTCCTCGATGAGACTGCGTTTGCGAGGCGGCAATACATCGCGCACCGTCCCACCTACTGACCCGTACGTTCGCTCGCTCTCTGCTTGCAACGAACGCGAGTTGTTAGTGCTTAGAAGCGACTCATAACCTTCGGGTGCTTGGCCCTCTCGTGCATCTTCTGCCACCTTGTCATCGTCACCGTTGAGACCCGTGTACGCAGGAATATAGTCCTGTGGCGTGAACAGACCGCCTTTTCCAATACTGTTGGAGTATATCACCGACGACCGACGCTCACTCGTGGTGTGCGTGAACTGACGAGATTTCTTGGGCATTCGTGGTGTGTGTATATGGGTTGAAAAAAGCGCGAAAAAGGGCTTAATGAGGAAATAAGATGCGTAAAACTCTTATCAAGTATATCCAACCGCTGAGACCCGTCTTGAACACTCTAATCACCTTCTGATAGCTTTTCCACTATATTTAACTCTTGTATTCTTGAGCTCATCGCGGGCACTAAAGGCTTCGTTTTCTACAAAATTTTTCATATGACATAAGCAGAACCGAAATTCCGTGCAGGCACGAACGAAATTCCTTTTTCGTGCAAGAGCTTCGATGCAGAATTCTGGAAGCCTTAGCGCGATGCCTAATTGCGTCGCTGACGTTTGACAACCTTCTTAGATAGTAAACAAATGAAAACGTTGGATAGGAAGAAACATCGGAACATGTGAGAAGGACTTTACAGAGATACACGTTAGGCTTGGATAAAGAGCACGAGAAAAGAGGAAGCGATCATTACCTCGCAATTATACGCTTGCTAAGATATTTCCTACGGGAGGGAAGAGATATGCTTGTAGAATTGCCTCTCGGCTCTCTGAGTTGACCCATTCAGTTTTCGAAGCAAGGTATGGGTATCATTCGTTTGGTGACTGGATACTAATCGTAATAAATGACATTAAAATTCTCCAACCCTGAGTCGAAAACCTCGACCCTGAGTTGGAAACATCGACTCGGAGTCGCTTTCGACTCCGAGTCGAGAAACGTGATCCAGGTTTACGCGTTTTCCGCTATAAGCTGTCCAAATGGAAACAAACGCGAACATCGATGTGACCTAACCACCGAAGCCGCCGTCTCGAAGAAGAGTGCTGTGGTCGCTGTGGAGGCACAAATCCTGCTATAGGGATCCGGGACAGACAGAAAGGCCGAATTTTGCGAACTTTAGTGGACAAATAGCCATGTTCTCGCGATACTCGAAGAAAGAGACCGCGAGCCAGGTCGAACTGAGCAAGAGCTTTGAAGCCTCTCCTTCTGCTCAGACCAAGGATTCGAAACCAGCAATGCGTCAAAAGACCCTGATGTCGTTTTTCAAGAAAGACACGAGGGTCGTCCGGACCACAGAACAAGAACCTCGCTCACCGTATCCGAAAGAGATCCGAAGAGGCCGACTTGGTCGGTCAAAACCTATCTTTAAGGCGCAGGGATCCTTTGATGAAGAAGACCCACACTCTGAAATCCAGAGACTTATGCAAGGAACGCCTTTGAAAAACTTCAAAAGTCTATCCAGAAGCAGTTCGTCGCTAGACGAAAAACCGGTGTCACACCAGCCTAGCAATGTAACAAGCAGCTTTAATGAAGTTAGAACCGAGGACTTGGAGCAAGATTTCGGCTCAGGTTCCATTTTGACCTCTACGCCAGCGCCTAGATCTGCCAAGCGACCTGCCGTTTCGCAATTTTCGTTTTCTCTGACCAAGAGAGTGCGGCCCATACGTACAGCAGGTAATCCGCCATCGGGCTCCAAAGCCCTCGCATCTGACTCAAAAGGTTTTGAATTAACATCTGAACAAAAAGCCGTCATAGATATGATCGTGTGGAAGCGACAAAACGTTTTTTACACCGGGTCCGCAGGAACTGGGAAATCGGTCGTCCTTAGGGAGCTTATACGACAACTGAAGTCTCGCTACGGAGATGCCGGTGTGGCTGTGACCGCCTCCACGGGACTTGCTGCCGTCAGCATAGGTGGTATCACCATCAATCGATTTTCTGGGATCGGAATCGGCGTCGGGTCGGTTCAGAAGCTGGCGGCACAGGTACAACGCAACAAGACGAACAGTGAAAGATGGAAGAGGACTGCTGTCCTAATTGTAGACGAAGTGTCGATGATTGACGGTACTTTTCTTGACAAAATGGATTTTGTCGCTCGCCATGTCCGCAAAGTGCCGCATAGACCTTTCGGCGGCATTCAATTAGTCTTCACAGGAGACTTTTTCCAACTCCCGCCAGTAGGAGAAAGAGGCCCTTCCGCGTCTAAACCGCCATTTTGTTTCGAAAGCAAAGTGTGGAAAGCAGCATTTGAAAAGACGATTTGTCTAACCAATGTGTTTCGACAGAAAGATCAAGAGCTGGTCGATCTTTTAAACAACATTAGATTTGGAACCGTGACCCCTGAAATAGCAAGGGCAGTCAGACAATATGAGCGAGAAGTAGAGTACGAGGACGGTATCATGCCAACAGAGCTTTATCCGACAAGAAGAGAAGTCGAAATGTCGAACCGGAGAATGTTGGAAAGGCTTCCAGGTGAGTCAAAAGTATTTGAAGCTAGTGATCAGGCTACAAGTGACAACCCACAATTGCTCAAGAATTTGGAAGCTCTGATGGCAGAAAAACGGGTAGTCTTAAAGGAAGAAGCGCAAGTCATGATGATCAAAAATGTAGACGAAAGTTTGGTAAATGGGTCGGTAGGTAAAGTACTTTATTTCACTACCGAACTCTTGCACCATAAGTCACTGGAACTGTACCCCGCGACACGAATCGGCGATCCGGATCTGGTTTTCGATATGAGGCTTGTATGTCGGTGCATTGGACTCTCTGCCGCAGTTTATACGGACGAATTGAGGGCCGAAATCAATGCACGACCATCTCAGCGGCAGGAATACCTAAATTTACTTTTGCGAGTAGCAGAACGCGAAGAGCCAAAAATGGCATTTCCAATGGTCAGGTTCTCAACCCCTTTCAACGGGTTCCGCTACGAACTCATACTGCCGACCGATTTTACCATTGACGTACCGGGTCAGAATTCTAGTGTCAGCAGAACGCAGTTGCCCTTGATCCTCTGTTGGGCGTTATCCATTCACAAGGCCCAGGGGCAAACTGTCGATCGTCTGAAAGTCGATCTTGCCAAAATTTTCGAGGAAGGTCAAGTCTACGTCGCACTTTCGAGAGCTGTCTCAAAGCAAAGATTGCAAATCGTGAACTTCAACCCGCGCGCCATAAAGGCTAACGAGAAAGTCAAAGAATTCTACAAGACGTTGGAAAAAATAGAACAATAGAACAACGCTGCACCGAGTTTTCGGTTCAAAGCTCCCAATCTCACCGTTCAACGGGCATTGTGCATCCCAGGAAAACTATTTTTAGCGAAAAAGGCATGACAACGATACATACACACATTTGCACCGGCGATACTCAAAAAACGGCGTAGAGCAACCTCAATGGCATGCGTCGACGTGCATTGGCAGGCCACCAACAGGCTAAATTTTAACGCCAGGTACTACTCCTAAAAAATAGCAGGCAAGATAACATGCTTGGCTTACGTTCAATTTTAATTTCGGAAATTGGTATAAATGAAATCAAGCCGCCAAGTTTGACCAAACCAATTAATGCAATTCTACAAACAAAGCTACAAAGAATTGACTTGTTCTTTACTATATTCTCCCTATATTCCTCAAGAACTCAAGCCTTAGTCATTGGTTCAAGCCTCCAAGAATCACGACCCCAGGCTCATAAAAAATTTTTTCTAGCTTGAACACGGATCGAAGGGCTAAAATTAGTTTATAAGAAGCCAAGCTGTTTGGTGATAATAGTCTTCAACTGTTGGTGGGGTGGGCCAGTAGAAGGATCATAATGGATGAACCAGAACGTCATACTTTTAGGGTTTTCAACCAAGACTTCACTGTCGATAGAAGATTCCAATTGATCAAAGAGATTGGACATGGTGCATATGGGATCGTGTGTTCTGCGAGATTCACAGAAGCCACCGAGGAGACGACCGTAGCGATTAAGAAAGTGACCAACGTTTTTTCGAAAACGTTGCTGTGCAAAAGATCACTAAGGGAATTGAAATTGTTGAGACATTTTAGAGGTCACAAAAACATAACATGCCTGTATGATATGGACATTGTTTTCACACCTGATGGGTCGTTCAATGGATTGTATCTTTACGAAGAACTCATGGAGTGTGATATGCATCAGATCATCAAATCGGGCCAGCCTTTGACAGACGCACATTATCAAAGTTTCATATATCAAACGCTTTGTGCTTTGAAATACATCCATTCTGCAGACGTGTTGCACCGAGACTTGAAACCGGGCAATTTGCTTGTGAACGCGGACTGTCAGCTCAAAGTATGTGATTTTGGCTTGGCAAGAGGTTATTCGGAAAACCCGGATGAAAATAACCAATTTTTGACTGAGTATGTTGCGACCAGATGGTACAGAGCTCCTGAAATTATGCTAAGTTACCAAGGGTATACTAAGGCAATTGATGTGTGGTCATGTGGTTGCATTTTGGCCGAATTTTTAGGCGGGAAACCGATTTTCAAGGGAAAAGATTACGTGGATCAATTGAATCGTATTTTGCAAATTCTAGGTACACCACCGGAAGCGACTCTTAAGCGAATTGGCTCCAAAAATGTTCAAGACTATATTCATCAACTGGGTTACATTCCCAAAGTACCTTTCAGCAGATTATACCCAGATGCGAATCCGCAAGCGCTAGACTTACTAGAAAAAATGCTGACATTTGACCCACAAGACCGAATTACGGTCGATGAAGCATTGAAGCATCCGTATCTATCGATATGGCACGATGCCGCAGATGAGCCTGTCTGTACCGAGAAATTCGATTTCGGGTTTGAAGCGGTCAGTGAAGCCGACGAGCTTAAAGAGATGGTAATTCAAGAGGTGGAAGAATTTAGAAGTTTCGTAAGACAGCCGCTCATCGAAGAAGCCGAATTACAGCAGCAAGAAACCGAGGCTAAACACCAATTACAACAAGAACAAGAACTGCAACATGGATTAGGAGCCGGTAAACTTGTCAATGACGGTTCCTCCCTCGACGATAGTGACTTTAAACAGCATATGTTGCTAGCTCAGCAGTCTTCAGTGCCTTCTGAGCTGCAAGATCAATTCATTGGTATCCATTCCGACAACTTGCCCGAGCATGACACCGATTTCCCACCACGACCTCACGAAAACTTGCTCGCGTCTCCACTAGACGCGGCCAATTGTCTTGAGAAAACCGCTTCTTTCGACACGGACGGCGAACTGGCGAATTTTCTTGACTTGGAAAGGGAATTAGAATTTGGCTTAGACAGAAAGTACCTTTAAGCTTTGCAATTCTTGTCGCTCAACATCTTTTCATGAATAAGATCAAGAGGTATCGAGGGCAACTGCCGGCCTACGTCCTTCGCGGGCTCTAGCTATAATGCCAAAATATCATCTACTGGTTTTGATTTTCATCACACGCGACAACGAACTTGCTGAGCATGTCCAAGGCCCACTGGTGGGGCTTTTCAGGACACTTTAGTCGAACCAGCAACAACTAGCAACGCCACGAAACCAGCCCAAAGTAACCGTAGCAAAAGCCATGAGATTTTCATGTTGCCTTCGATTGCCACTGGTGGGCGAAACTTGATGTGGTTTGGAGATTCATTACATCTTTTACTTTTCAAACATAGTGGCACATGCCCGTTTTTGAGTTGATATCAGCTTTTCGAAGAAAGAATACATAGTTCTTAATTTTAAGCAGTTGTCCCCTTTGATGATCATAAAATTATTGGTTGCAATTGGGAAAACTTTCAAGTCAAAAGTTTCGATTACCGATGACCGCATTTGAAGAGTCATAAAAAAGGTGTATTTATAAACATGGCCTTGTCATACGGAGGTGACAGTTTGAGCGCCAACAACTCTCACTGATTACCAAAATGTATACTTGTGTTCCTTTCAAACAAGTCGACGTGTTCACTGCAGCACCCTATAAGGGCAACCCCGTCGCCGTCGTAAACTTGATGGATAAAGATGAATCTGAATATTCGACCGAATATCTGCAAAGCATTGCGAACTGGACAAATCTTTCGGAAACGACTTTCTTACTGAAGCCCACGAAACTGAACTGCGACTACAAGCTGAGAATTTTCACACCTGCTTCGGAATTACCCTTTGCCGGCCATCCTACCGTTGGATCGTGTTGGGCGTTCCATGAATTTACAGGCAAAACCGGTAATTCTTTAACTTATCAAGAATGTGGCTTGGGAGTCGTCGAGATTACTCGCACGGGCGAAACGTTACTATTCAAAGCCGCTAAAGCTGACATTGAGGAAATTTCACATGCTGAAGTCGATGCCTATGAAGAAGTTTTAAACACAAAATTTCTGGAGCCAGCAAAACTCCTGCAAGTAGGACCCAAATGGATTGTATGCCTGGTCAAGGATGCTGAGATCTGTTACAACTTGGAACCAGATTTCCAGAAGATGAAAGAGTACAATACTAAATTCAACGCTACCGGCCTCATTGTAGCCGGCAAAAAACAAGGTGAAGACGCCTACGAAATGCGAGCATTTGCTCCTGCTGAGGGTGTGTCTGAGGACCCCGTATGCGGCAGCGGTGCCCTCGCTCTTGCCAGATGTCTACAATCTGTTCACAATTTTCAAGCTACTTACAGTTTCAAAATCTACCAAGGCGGTAGACTTGGAAGAAAGGGCCAAATAAATGCCATCATAGAACATGTGGATTCGGGCATTAACTATAAGGTTGGTGGACGAGCCGTGACCGTTGTAGACGGTACTATAAAGTTTTAAAGTGAAATCACGTGACATTATACAACGAAAATCACGTGTCAGACTTCATTTATTTCTAGATGGACGGAGTGGACATCAAGGAAAGCGTAAACTTAGACTTATATAACCAACCACCAGACTAAGAATTAAGGTAGCTGTGACATTTGGACTGTCAGTGCATAAGAATTAGCCACTCAAAACTGTGTGTCCAAAATTCTTCCGGGCTTTGGAATCCCAGTGAAAAATGGAAGATGGCTATCAAGAGTTAGATGAGCCAAACCGCAAGAAAAGGGGTTCACTAGAAGCCTGGATCAAACTGGGGGTCATCTTGGTGCTTTTAGTTTGGGGATCAGCTTTGCTAATCAGCAGTTTACCGCTAGAACATCATTCGGATCATAAGAATGGATTGAGACATATCCCAAAACGCACGAAAAATGGACAATTAAAAGTTTCGTTCGCGAATTTACGAAACGACACTTTTTCACCTGTCACCCGGTCTCTTAGATGGCTTTACAGTGATGACGCTACGGAAGACGATCAGGGGTTTTTTTTGACCGAGGTCAATGGAACGTATGTGGTCAGATCCGTGTTCGATAAAGATTACTCGAGAGTATTACTGGAGAAAAGCGATTTCGTTTATGCCGGCCAAAATCTTACAGCGGAATCTATCATTGCATCCCCTGACCAGGAGCACATTTTGCTCAAGACTGACACAGTCAAGAATTGGAGACACTCTACATTTGGGTCATACTACGTTTTCGACACTAAGGACCATAGCATCAATTTTGTAGGCAACAACATTTCTCTGGCGCTCTGGTCTCCCAACTCAAACGACGTCGCGTATGTCTTCGAGAACAACGTCTACGTGTATTCTTCAAAAGCGGGGAAGACAATTGCGCAGGTGACGCACGACGGAAGTAGCCAAGTTTTCAACGGCATCCCGGATTGGGTCTACGAAGAAGAGGTTTTCGAAGGTAACCAAGCCCTATGGTGGTCCACAAGTGGCGAATATTTGTCATTCCTGAAAATCAACGAGACTGAGGTTCACGAGTTCCCAATCGCATACTATGTCCAGCACGATGATGACATCTACCCCGAGATACGCAAAATCAAGTATCCAAAGAGCGGCACGCCAAACCCATCCGCGGAAATTCAACTTTTCCATCTTGAAACCCAACATTTGAGCTCAGTCTTTGCTGGGAACAGTAGCACACTAGTGACGGAGATGACATGGCTCGGTGGCGAACAGTTACTTGTTAAAGTCACTGATAGAACTTCCGATACACTTTCAATTCTACTGGTTGACGCCGGAAAAGGCGGCGTCGTCACGACTCCACGTGTATGCCCTTCGGGAGAAGGATGGTGGGAGATTACTCATCGCACAACCTATCTTCCGAAAGATATCAAGAAGGGGAGAAAAGACGAAGGCTACATCGATCTGATGCCTGTGGATGGCTTCAATCACCTAGCATACTTTTCTCCGCCTGAAACGGATGAACCCGTCATCCTGACGCGAGGTGAATGGGAAGTTGTGGATGGGCCAACTGCTGTTGATCTCGAAACAAACAACGTTTATTTCATCGCTACAAAAAAGTCTTCAACAGAAAGGCATCTTTATCGAGTGAATATTTTAAAACCCGAAAAGATAGAGGCAATCACAGACACTTCCAAACCGGGTACATTTTCAGTGTCGTTTTCTTCCGGCAGCGGTCTTGCTCTGTTGAACTATCTGGGTCCCGACATTCCTTATCAAAAAATTGTGACTTTAAGAACTCATAAAAAAGATTCCACGATCCATGGTAATATCGTTGGTAAAACGCTTTATTACTTGGAGGATAACGCCGCTCTCCATAGAGTCCTGAACTTGTATGATGTACCCAAGAAAACTTTTGGTACGTTGGAACTCGGTCACGACCAAAACGGGAAGTCTGTGACAGCTAACTATTATGAGATTTTGCCCAACGATTTTGATCCATCGCGTCGTGATCATTATCCCGTATTTTTCTTCGCATACGGCGGCCCCAATTCACAACAGGTTCTTCAAATATTTTCCGTCGGGTTCAACGAGGTGGTGAGCTCGCAGCTAGATGCTATCGTAGTGGTTGTCGATGGTCGCGGTACAGGATTTCGTGGTAAGGATTTCAGATCTTATGTTCGGGACAATCTCGGTGACTTGGAGGCGCAAGACCAAATCGAGGCTGCCAAGATTTACGGCAACAAGCCCTACGTTAACCAAGACAAGATCTCGCTTTTCGGCTGGTCTTACGGCGGATATCTAACTCTCAAAACACTTGAAAAGGATGCGGGCAAACATTTCAAATACGGTATGTCCGTGGCCCCAGTGACAGATTGGCGTTTCTACGACTCAGTATACACTGAAAGGTACATGCATACCCCACAAGAAAATCCAGAGGGTTACCGAAAGGCCAAAGTGAGTAACGCGACTGCATTGGGCCAGGCTCAGAGATTTTTACTCATGCATGGCACGGGAGACGACAATGTCCACTTCCAAAACTCATTAAAATTCCTGGATCTGCTAGACCTGGCCGGGGTCGAAAACTACGACTTCCACGTCTTCCCAGACTCTGACCACAGCATCAGATATCACAATGCCAACATCATTGTCTTTGATAAGCTTCTTAATTGGATTGGTCAAGCTTACGATGGCCAATTCGTCAAGATTGGTTAGCGTAGAAATATTACGTAAGCCGGGAGAAAATGCAATTGTTCGTATATAATTACACATCTGAAATTTAAGGAATTGAGAGAAGCAAGATTAACCACGGTGGCGAATCAATAGTTAGCCTTTAAGTGACACCTTTCCAGACCAATTACCGAGGGGAAATTGCCAAATCTACTCAATTGATAATGGTGGATGAGAGGAATGGCAAGCATGACAAAGCCACGGCTTTAAACGGCGACGCATCTGCGATTTCTAAAGAAGAAAATACGTCAAAAACTGATGAGAAAACAGAAGAACTGTCAGAAGAGGATCTGAAACTCAAGACAGATCTTGAGACGCTTGTTGAAAGGCTTACGGAAAGTGATGAAAAGCTTTACGAAGTTTCTTTGAATCAACTCAAAGAGCACATCAAGAACTCTACGAGCTCGATGACTGCAGTGCCCAAACCTTTGAAGTTTTTGAGACCTTCATACCCAACACTATGTTCTGTTTACGAGAAATGGACGGATGCTAAACTCAAGTCACTTATGGCAGACACGCTTTCAGTTTTGGGGATGACGTATTCTGACGAAGGTAAGCACGATTCGTTGAGGTATAGACTGCTTTCAGACGAAAAGGACATAGAAGGCTGGGGTCACGAGTATATTCGCCATTTGGCGCTTGAAATCGGCGATGCGTATAACGAGCAGGTTGAGCACGATGCCAACGAATCCTCAGAAGCGTCTCCGGAGCTTGAAAGCTCTTCAGACGTGACCTTCCACAAAGAAAATCTGGTGCAACTCAGTTTAGACATATTGCCCTATTTTTTGAAGCATAATGCCGAGGCCGATGCCGTAGATTTGCTGCTGGAAATTGAATCTATAGAGAAACTGCCCCAATTTGTGGACGAAAACACTTTCCAAAGGGTTTGCCAGTATATGGTTGCATGCGTTCCTCTTTTGCCACCACCAGAAGATGTGGCATTTCTTCACACCGCGTATTCGATATACTTACGCGAATCGCAATTGACGGAAGCACTTGCCTTGGCTAACAGATTAGGTGATGAAACTCTTATAAGATCGGTTTTCGACTCGACGGCTAACCCTGTCATTCATAAGCAATTGGCATACATTCTTGCTAGTCAAAGGTCCTCTTTCAACTACGAAAGTGTACAGGACATTATCGGTAACTGCAAGCTGTCAGAGCACTTCCAATATTTGGCCAAGGAGCTCAACCTGACGGTACCCAAGGTTCCCGAGGACATTTACAAAAGTCATCTGGACAGCTCCTCCAAAAGCCTTTTTGCAGGCACTGGCTTGGATTCGGCACAGCAAAATTTAGCCGCTTCTTTTGTTAATGGGTTTTTGAATCTGGGATATTCAAGCGATAAACTAATAGTCAATGACGATAATTGGGTCTACAAAACCAAAGGCGATGGTATGACTTCAACGGTGGCAAGCATAGGATCCATTTTTCAGTGGAACCTTGATGGTTTGCAGCAATTGGACAAGTATCTGTACGTTGATGAAACAGAAGTTAAGGCCGGTGCTCTTATTGGTATTGGTCTTTCCGCCTGTGGCGTTCATGATGGCGACGTCGAACCCGCTATGCTTTTACTTCAGGACTTTGTCACAAGCTCCAACCTTAAACTCTCGAGATCATCGATCTTGGGTCTAGGTATAGCATTTGCCGGTAGTCGCAATGACGAGTTATTGGGACTACTTTTGCCAATTGCCGCTGACACAAGCCTTCCAATTGAAACCTCGGCTTTAGCGTCGTTGGCTTTAGCACATGCTTTTGTTGGTACATGCAATGGTGATATTACGACGGCTATTGTGGACAATCTTTTGGAACGCTCAGCGACAGAGTTGAAGACCGAGTGGACAAGATTCTTAACTTTGGCTTTGGGAATACTGTACATGGGCCAAGGAGATCAAGTTGAGGATGTCATTGAGACTCTTTCGGCTATTGAGCATCCAATTACTTCGGCTATTGAAGTCCTTGTCAACGTGTGTGCATACACAGGAACTGGTGACGTACTCTTAATTCAAGACCTTCTACACCGTCTGACACCGAAAACCAAGGATGCCGATGATGAAGAACAAGAGGAGGAGGAAGACCTTGAGGCTGATATTGAAAATGTTCTGGAGGGTGGCCTAGATTTCGGTAAACTTGCTGACGCAGAGACCAAGGACGCTAGAGATGATTCCGTCGTCGAAGACAAAATGGATGTCGACGAAGGAAACACTTTAGAGAGTGAAAAGTCTGGGGATACTGCTATCAAGGAAGAGGACAAAGAACAGACTGATTCGGACGAAAAGGAAGTTGCTATGATTGATGAACTGACGTACGCCGTCCTTGGTATTGCCATCATTGCGATGGGCGAGGAAATAGGGAAAGAAATGTGCTTGCGCCATTTCAGTCATTTGATGCATTACGGAAATGAGCACATTCGTAAGGCCGTGCCGCTAGCGATGGGACTTCTCTCAGTTTCTAATCCTCAAATGAAGGTTTTCGATACGCTTTCGAGGTTCTCCCACGACCCTGACTTGGACATCTCTATGAACTCCATATTTGCCATGGGTCTTTGTGGGGCTGGTACGAATAATGCGAGACTGGCGCAATTGCTCAGACAGTTGGCAAGTTACTATTCTCGGGAACAAAATGCTCTCTTCGTAACACGTCTTGCCCAGGGTCTAGTACACTTGGGTAAAGGTACAGTAACCTTGGACGTGTTCAACGATGCACAAGTGCCAAACAAAGTAACACTAGCATCTTTGTTGACGGTAATAGTAGGGATGGTGACGCCATCGTTTATGCTCAATCACCACAGTCTGATTTATTATTTGAACATCGGTGTAAGACCCAAATTCATTTTGACTCTCGATGAAGAAGGTGAGCCTATAAAAGTCAATGTCAGGGTCGGCCAAGCAGTCGACACTGTTGGCCAAGCTGGTAAACCCAAGACCATTACAGGGTGGATTACCCATTCGACTCCTGTTCTACTAGGTCACGGGGAAAGAGCAGAATTAGAGACCGATGAATACATTAGCTATGCCAGCAGACTCGAAGGCGTAGTTATTTTGAGAAAAAATCCTGATTACAAGGAAGAGGAGTAATTTAACAAATGCTTTATAGGCATTAAGTGAGCGACTTAATTGTGTAGCTGCATGTTGACCACTATATAAAGAAGTATGTGGCGAGTACAACATATTCATTTTTGAACTAAACGTGATTGTTTTTCTAATGCTTTTTCTTGTATTCAAATCTAAAAGTTGACGTGTCCGGTTGATCAAGTTGTGCTGCTAATAAGCTCATGTTGTAAATTCACTGGAACTCGGTAGCTTTACCGGTCATTAAGAGACCAACGATCAATCCCAACAGCCCCAAAACGGAGCCGAAAATCTCGATCACCAGGATTTTGACGAAAAGCGAAGAATCGGCCGCATCGGAAACGGCTGCCGTTGCACCGGTAATACCAACTGCTACACCACAGATAAGATTAGAAACACCGACGGTAAGTCCCCCCCAGAAAAGAGAGTACCCGGTATAAAGGTTGGATTTTGAAAACATGGTTTCTTTAGAGGCAACTGTAACCTTAGAAGAAAAGACAATTGCCATGATCAATCCGTAGATGGCCACGACTTCGCAGAAAATGATGGATATAAGATTCTTGGTGGTTATTCTGGGTGCACGTACACCGGCACCAATAATCGACGCACCGGTAATAAAAATTCCCCAGGCAGCACCCACAACACTCAATCCAATACACAATGCAATACCCAAATTGGCCCAAAAGTATGGTGACGTGGAAGTAAGAAACTTGCCGAAGTTGATATCTTCACCGTGTCCAGTGAACAACTTTTTGCCCGCATACCAGACTACCACCAAACCAATAATCCATTTTGTAACTTGCCCGAAACTTGGAGCACTCAAGCCCATTGAAGAACTCGACTTGACAGACATTTGTGGCCGCCTGATCTCTTGAAATCTTTGCTGGGTTTTGATAATGACGATAACATTAATTAAAGGGCATTCTAGTTTCTTAACGAAAACTAGACGCTTCGTACAACATGCACGGACTTCTATCGAAATATACAAGGCCTACGAACAGACTACTAAAACGCCGAAAGCAGTGTCAAATACAATCTTTTTCAAAATTTGAAGGTATCTTGAATGCTTGCCCGCGCCTGGAAATGCTGAATTAAAATTTCCCGGTTTTTCCGGACGAAAATGTCTCCTTTTCGGCAGATTAAGGAAACATTGAACCCATCGACAATTGCGAGCCATAAAGATTATATATTCTCAAAGTGGATTGACCTCAGCACCGTTGTATGCAAGCTCTATGACTTTCCAGCGGCAAGTGACGTTTTTTTTGGCAAATCTGTTAATAATTTCTTGCGCAATGTCATCAAAGTTGTCGACTGCGAGTGCCAATATAGTTGGTCCGGCTCCGGACAAACAGATACCCAAAAGACCAGGGTAAGTAGACGGAGTCACACTGGATAGTATCTCAGTAAGACCGGGAATCAAAGTCTTTCTGTAAGGCTGGTGCACACGGTCCTGCATTGCTGGGTATATCAAATTTGGGTCAGGTGGGTCCTGTGTGAGCGCAGTGGTTAGCACGGCAAGCCTTTGTAAGTTAAAAACCAAATCCGTTGAGGTGTAGGCTTTTGGAAGAACGCCGCGCGAGTCAGCTGTAGACAGCTCGAAATCTGGAATGATGGCAATGCACTTGATCTTGTGATTCCATTGATATTTAACGTGATGTCCGATGTCGGTTGGAGGCAATGGTGGTACAAGTCCCGTATCATCACCGCCACTGGGTTCAGGAAGGACCTCACTCAAAGGAATTTCGCGACGTTCGACCTCTGCAGGTGTCAATTCTCTCAAAAACGAGCCCGCAAATCCACCCATCATAGCTGCAGTGATATTGTCGGGGTGTCTTTCGATCATCAAACAATAGTCCAACATTCTTTGTTTTGAAAACCCAAGTTGGCCCACTTCGTTACCCAGCATCACACCAGCAACTACAGCAGCTCCAGACGATCCTAGGCCACGTCCTAATGGGATTGGGTTGTGTACATGCACTTTGGTGCCCGATGGGAAACTACGCACATTGTTGCATCTGAGAACGTAGAGAGCAGTTCTGGTGATCAAATTTTCGTCTGAACGCAGGGGTACCGTAGTCGCACCTTCACTGTCTTCACTGTAAGTCAATTTACAGTTATTGGGATCAGAGTTTGTCTCTGGCGCGGCTTTCGAATCAATGGTCACATCCAGCTCGAGATACAGAGCTAAACCAATGCCTAAAACATCGTATCCTGGTCCAATGTTAGCGGAAGAAGCGGGAACACTAATTTTAAAGCCGCGAGCCATTGTTTCTGGTACTTCTAAAACGACTAGCAAGTCCCGTTTGAGCTCAAATGACACTGTTCAATTTCACAGATTGTAGTTAGTGCTATGACTCAATAAATGATTGTAGAGGTATCGAGAAACTCGAGTTTGAAAAATTCGAGATTGCGTATGCGATGATATCAACACTTTTATTAAAGACAAGACTAGGAACCTTAGCGAAGAAGCAGTTTGAGCCACGATCATAACTGGGTTTTATAAGCGTTAGTTTAAGGTTTCGCAAGTCAATATAGCACTGGAGTGACATTGCACTTGATATTTGGTTTACAAGAATGCTACGGACGAAAACTAGTGCTTTGAGGGCTGCATGGAAGGCTGGTTCGAAGCGATTTTCTAGTTCTTATAAGGAGGACTTTAGACTCACGAAACTGGACAATGGAGTCCGTGTGGCGACTAGTAACGTGGTGGGACATTTCGCTGCGTTGGGAGTTTACGTGGGTGCTGGATCGCGGTACGAAACCAAGAATCTGAAAGGTTGTACGCATATCATGGACAGATTAGCTTTCAAGTCTACGGAACACGTCTCGGGTAAAGAAATGGCAGAGACTCTGGAGCTGCTTGGTGGCAACTACCAGTGCTCTTCGTCCCGTGAAACAATGATGTATCAGGCGTCCGTGTTCAATACGGACGTAGAACGCATGTTCGGATTGATGGCAGAAACAGTGAGATACCCACGAATCACAGAGGAAGAGTTGGATGAGCAAAAAATGACGGCACAGTACGAAATAGACGAGGTATGGAATAAACCAGACTTGATTTTGCCAGAGCTGTTGCACGTGACAGCGTACTCTGGTGAAACCCTCGGGTCCCCGCTGTTATGTCCCATCGAACTGATCCCATCCATTTCGCGATATTATCTGAAAGACTATCGAAACAAACTTTACACACCTCAAAATATTGTCACTGCGTTTGTGGGCGTACCGCATGAAGATGCCGTTGAGTTGACGAGAACCTATTTTGGAAGTATGACATCCTCAAATACAAATGGCTCGTCCTATTCTAAGACAGCACACTATACCGGAGGTGAGACCTGCATTCCACCTGCACCTGTTTTTGGAAACTTACCCGAGCTTTATCATATACAGATTGGATTTGAGGGTTTACCGATAGGACACCCGGACATTTACGCACTTGCAACTTTACAAACGTTGCTTGGTGGAGGAGGGTCCTTCAGCGCTGGTGGTCCTGGTAAAGGCATGTACTCAAGACTATACACGCATGTTTTAAACCAGCATTTTTTCGTGGAAAATTGTGTTGCATTCAATCATTCCTATTCTGACTCAGGCATCTTTGGTATCTCGGCTTCGTGTATTCCACAGGCGGCACCTTACATGGTCGAAGTCATTGCGCAGCAGTTTTCTAATTTATTCGCCAATGATAAAATGAAGTTAACTGAAGGAGAAGTAGCAAGAGCCAAGAATCAACTGAAATCGTCTCTCTTGATGAACCTAGAATCCAAGCTTGTGGAATTAGAAGATCTCGGCAGGCAAGTACAACTACATGGCAACAAAATCCCTGTTAATGAAATGATTGAAAGCATCGAGAAGTTGACCCCGGATGATTTAAAGCGTACTGCCGAAACGGTGTTCACAGGCAAAATTCATAACGAGGGCAAAGGTATTGGAAAACCAACAGTCGTGATGCAAGGAAAGCGGGAAATGTTTGGAGACGTCGGGGCCGTTCTGAAAAAATATGGTCTAGGAAGTGAATCTGGGTTGGATGGCGCTTCGAGTCCTAAAACTGCGAAAAGAACATGGTTCTAATTGATAAACAGTAAAATAAATCCTGTATATAGCATTGAGTTTTGGTATTGCTTATCATACAAAAACCTCCTCGTAAGACTTGGCATTGACGCTGCGGCGCCGATCACTCAAATCGTTATACTTTTGTTTCCAAAGGTCAATTTCCCTCTCTATCTCAGATACCCTTTCCTTGTAGTAAACGTTGTCTCTTTCTAGCATGGATAGTTTGACCTCCTGCTGCGAAGCATGCCTCTCTAAACTCGAAATTTGTTCATTGCTTTTTGTAATCTCTGTCACGAAGTATTCTTTGTCCTTAGTAGCCGTGCCAATGATCTTTGCTTGTCTTTCATTAGTGGCCTTTAGATCCGCAAGGGTTCTTTCCATTCCCTTGTTATTCTTCAAGAGCTCTGATTTTTCGTCGGCTTCATTGCCAAGAAGATTTTCAAGCTCATGAAGCCTGGAGATCCATGCATCTTTTTCGCTTTGATCCGCAAGCTTAGCTTCTAATTTTGCCTTCTCGTTCAAGAGCTGCTCATTTAATTTCGACAAAGTTACGTTTTCTTCCCTTAAGGCGATCGCCTGCGTTTTCTCTTCCCCAAGCTGCGACTTTACGAAGGTCGCGTCCGTTTGAAGCTGTTCAAAAAGAGTACCATCGCGATGATTTTGTTGCCGCTGTAACTCGAGAGCCTCTTTCAAAGATTTGATTTCAGCTTTGAAGTTGTCATTTTCTTCGAAGGTTTTCTGACGAGAATTCTGAAGCGTTGTGAGCTTTTGTGCGAAATCCTCAATCTGAGTTCCTAAGGCTTCTTTTTCAGAGGAAAGTTGAGTAATCTGTTCAGAAAACGAGTCCGCCTGTGTCAACAACGACTTGATTTTACCTTGGGCTTCATTGTGCACTAGCAGTGCTGCGTCTCTTTCCCTGCCCAGAGTCTCGACCAAGTCTTCGTAATGCTTTTTTTGAACCAAAAGATCATCGATCTTGGAACTCGAGTCGGCTTTTAAAGTCTCTAAAGAATATTTCAATGACGAGATCTCCTTGTTCAAAGCGGTTTCTTTTTTCATTGAAATTGAAAGCTGCTCCTGCAGCTGATCGAGCTCAACGGATGAGCTTTCGCTTTCGCGGGCATTTCTCAACCGGTCTTTGAAATGATCTAAGTCACTTTTGAGTACTTCATTCATTTTTTTGACACGATTCAGGTCGATTTTCCGGTCTTCAAGCTGAAACTCGAGGTCGCTACAATAGGCATCTTTTTCCCACACTTCCTTGTCTTTTTGCTTGTTTTGCTGTTTAAGGCGATCGATGATTTCAGACATATTCTTAAGATCTCCTTCTGACTGCTTCAAATTGTGCAAGACGTCCCTAAGCTGAGCTTGGGTCTCAAGCAGGTCACTCGCACATCTATCGTACTGGGCTTTATGTCCTTTGGCGCTTGTGACTAGGACCTCGTTCTGCTTTTCGGTCGAAGAGAGATCGTTCTCTAATCTATCGATTTGTTCAAGTAAACAAGTCTCTCGTATCTGCAATTGCCGCATTTCGCGTTTGAGCAAGCTTGCGCCCTTTTGAGTGGCTAGAAGGACTTCTTGTAATTTGAAGTTTTCAAGCTTATGAAATTTGAGATCTTCCTCATATTTAGAAATGCTCATCCGCTTTGTGAAAATTTCCCCGTTGTTGAAGTTGGGCTTCTCCCTCAGCGGCGTTGAGTGTAGCTTGCTCTCCAGCATTCGAACTCTCTCTTCGCTAGCCTCAAACTTAAGGCGGTAAATATCAGAAGATGAATCTGATCGGTGAATTCGCTTTACTTTCCCATGAAGAGCTGTCGCAGCATTTTCTGCATCTCTCCGCGCTTGCGCTTCGGTCTTTAATTGACTTTTAAGATATTCAATTTCTAAAATCAGCTTCTCATGATTGAATTTAACAGGTTCAATCTCATCAAGTAATTTCTCAATTTCAGCATCACTATTACTTCTCCGTAGAAAGTCTTTAAGTCTCTTTAATTGTGCAGACAGCGTTTGAATCTCGAAAGATGCGGATGCTAAGCGAGTCTCTGTGAACCGGAGCCTGGATATAGTTTCCTTCTTGTGCTCACATTCATTTTCGAGATCAGTGGAGAGTTTGCGCAGCTGAAGCTTGAGATTTTTCCACTCATCAGAGGAAGGTACATCAAACTGCTCGTTTTGGTCAAATGGTGCAATGGCCTCTTTAGACACTGTGGTACCTGCTTTATGTTCCATCCAGCGGTCATTGAAAAAATTGATCAAAGCCCTTTCGTTTTTGAGCTGATCTTCTAGAGTTCTCAACTTACTTGCGAGGGCCTTTTCGATTGGGGCAGAGACGTTGCTTTCTGCAACCTCTTCCGCTTTACGGCTTCGTAGATTTTTAATCTCATCTTCCGTTTCCCTGCATCGTGTTTTGTACTCCGAGAGTTCTTTTCTGGAATCCCTCAGCTGAGCAACAATGTTATTGTATTCCTCCGAGAGAGAGTCTTTTTCATTGTTGATGGAAGCGATTAGCCCATTTAAATCTTGCAATTTTTGAGACAGGTTGGAAACCTGCTCTTCCTTAGTTTTAGTGCTATTTTGAGAATCCAGCAGTGACTTTTTCAAACCGCTAATTTGATCCTTCAGATCTTTATTCTCCTCGACAAGAGCCTCTAGTCTCTTACTCGTCGAAAGAAACTTCGACTCGAGAGAGTTCAAGCTATTTTCAATTTCCTCATCATTAGCATTCAATTTACCTTTTAGGCCTTCAATCTCAGATTCTCTTTGTGCTATCACAGATTTCAAGGACGTGATCTCTTGTTCAAGGGTTTTTCTTTCCAATGCAAATGAGGATTGTTCTTCCCTCGCCCGACCCAATTCTTTTTCCATGACTTTCGAGCGACTCAGCACCTCTTTTCTCGAATTTTCTAGGTCCCGCATGCTAGACTGGTGTTCACTGATGTCATTCCTTAGCTTTTCGAGCTCCAAGGATGTTTCCGAATGCTTAGCATGGATTTCCTCCTTATCCTTCGCAAAATTCTCACTTTCTTTTTTGAGCAAATCCAACTGCCTGATGAGCTCGCTCTCCCTGCTTTTAGCAGACTTCAGAGCAATAGACGTTTCTTCCAAGTTTTTACACTCAGCGGAAAGTTTGTCTTTGTATTTTAACAGTTCGGAATCAAGCTTCTTTTTTTCGTCTACCAGCGAAGTATTTTCCAATTCCAGCTTTTCTAGAGCCGCTTCAGCGCTTTTCATCTGGGCGGCAATCTTTTTGCTCCTGATCATTTCGTTAGAAGTGGATAAAAGTGGTTTTATTCTGATAAAGATATTGTACCAGTCATCCTTGAGAAGTTCGGTATGGGAACGTAGGGCTATGGCAATCACTTGCGCTGCTCTCAATTTCTGAAGCTGCTGATTTAACTTTCGCCTTATGATCATGCCGCTTACGTGGGCTTTGAAGCTGGTGCTTATCTCTGATATTATTTCCTCCTTTCGAAGTTCCAAACCAGCTAAAACTCCTGCTTTGAAGAATAATTTGCTATTGCCCACCTTGTATAAACTTGGGTCAAGAGATATTGATGATAAAAGTGTCTCGCAGTTCTTTTTCGAATTATTGCCGAAACGGCTGAAGCCGGCCAGAAGCTTGTAGCGTTGAAAGAATTCTTTGAAAAAAATTCTGTTTGGATACCCTTCACGAGCAATTCTGATGCCTTCAAGAACACCATTACATCGAAGCTGTTCTAAAATCAGACGCCGATCAAAGTCTCGGGCCTTTTTTTTGTTATTCGGTATGATACACCGCACAAAATGAGGTTCGGTCGAAGATAGGCGCTGTAGAAGAGATGATAACTGTTCTCTGTGCTTGTGAGAAGCAGTTTTGAAGGGGCTCACTTTTTCTGCGTCGGAATTGAAGAATTCTTCGAAAAGGCCATTTGTTGACGACGACAAGACTTGAAGCATATTGTCGCTCAAGGGATCTTTATTCTTATTCAGCCACCCGCTGATATTGTATTCAACATCCCCGGCATAATGCCGCAGTACAAAGCAGCTGTTTGTTTTTGATCTTTTAAATTTAGAAGAGCCGTTATCACAGAATGTAATGAGTTTGGAATAGAACGATTCATCCGTTGATTTAGGTAGAATAGACTCTTCATCCAGCAAAGGTAAAACACCCGGTGATTTACCCTTTTGCTCAATCAAATCAATTGTTGATTGCAGATCTTTGCCGTAGTCGACGAAACTCCATTGAATATTTTCTTTCAAATATTCACTTTGCTCGAGAACAAACATATGATGATTGAAAAACTGTTGCAATTTCTCGTTGGTGTAGTTAATGCAAAGCTGCTCAAATGAATTGTTCTTGAAAATCTCGAAACCGGCAATGTCTAGTAACCCAATGAAATTTTCCGTCATGGATCCATGGTCCAAACTAGCATTGATTTTCCTCACGATATAAGCGAAAAGCTTTTCATAGAGAGTTCTCGAAAGGGAATCGATGATTGTTCTGGCCTGGGATGCATTTTTCACTTGATAAACCCACTCTTTACCGGCCTTGGATCTCGGCTTAAGAACGGCAGTTTGAAAATCACTTGCCTTGACGTTCATCAGCTCGCATAGCGGATCCAGGCTACCCTTGATAATGGCCTGTTCAGCCTTTTCTGAGACAAAGTCCACATTGCCCAACTGAAGAATTATAGAGATGCACCTGAAGATGGCATCGATCTCTGCTGGAGAAAACCCTACGATCTCAAAGGCAGACATCAAATTTTTGAAATCCTGGGCATCGTCGATGCCTGGAATGCGCGCATTCGATTCACGCAGATATCTGTAGTCTTTCACTGAATTCGAATCTAGTTTCAGTTTGCGTAGTTCTTGGGGCGACAGGCCCGCTAGCATTTGGTAAAAAATGTGATAATTTCTTTCCTTGGAATTTTGATGGATTACCCTTGATTTTTCGAGCAAATACCAATCGATGTGCGCGCCATTAATCTTGCCCAACTCGTCGAACTCAATTTTGATGAATTTGCCGAACCGCGATGAATTGTTGTTTCGTACCGTTTGCGCGTTTCCGAACGATTCTAAAATGGGGTTACTCTGTAAAATCTTGCGTTCGAAACTCTCATGGTTTTCCACGGGCTCAAATTTGTCGTTGGTTGTAACGGAGGCCAGATATTGCAAAATTTTCTTGGTATTCTCGGTTTTACCAGCGCCAGATTCGCCAGTCACGAGAATGGACTGATCCGTCTTGTTTGTTAGCAGGTTTTGATACGCTTCTTCCGCTACAGCAAAAATGTGTGGTTTGTTATCCTCTTTGGGGGACCCGTGGTACAAACGCACATATTCGGAGGTATATATTCTCAAATTGCTGTATGGGTTAATTGCTACCAGGAAAAGACCTGAGTATGTGTAAATGTTGTCTTCCGCGTACCGATTTTCTAAATTGAAAAGCACCGACGCTTCGTTAAGAAACGTCAGTTCTGACATGTCATCGATCTTATCGAACGTACTTGGATTAGCTGGCGAGATCAGATCCATGGGCAGATCCAATTCTTGGGCCCCTGTTCGTATCGTACCCACTTCTTCTATCACGTTCTGCTTATTTTTGATCTTGTTTTTGGCCAAGAACTGGCCCTGGACAAAACAGGCGTTTTCATCGGGTATCCAAACCTGCTGGCCCTGATTGATCATCGCCAAAATGCAACCGAAAAAGAGCAAGAAGTGGTGTTATCGGACGTTAAAATATACCACTTTACGCCTGTCGGTTTCACTTCGACTCGAGTTTGTACAATGTTTACATCTTTCAATTTCGTGTTGTCATTGCATACGGGAGAAGGAGATCGAGGAATCTCAGATTAATGATTTCAGCTAAAAATGTATCATTGAAATAATATGAAACATAACAAAAGCCAATATTTATGGATTGAGAACCTTGACTTAGGAGAATCATATTTGGATCATGACTTCGTCGAACAGCTTTACTACGGTTCTCACCAGGCTGTTTTTCGAAAGATAGCTTCTGTCGAGTTCTCCAGGCCGGGGGTGATTTATTTTGCGCTGCAAGGTGATCACTATTGAAGGAGCCGGATCCTTTACGATTAGTACCCAATACCAGAGAGCGCTTCACCACTTCAAACGCTTATTATTAGAACATCGTTTTTCTATGCTTAAAAATTATCTATTGAGGTTTACCGGCATACGCAGGAGATAGTCTTCAAATTGTTTCTTCGTCCGTTGCTTCCTTAATTGTACATGGACCAGAATATTTATACATCTGGGTCATCATCTTGATAACATGATTTCTTATAATAAATAAAGCTAGTCACATAATCTTAGTTTATACATTTCTTGTAGTATCGTTTTCATCAGCATCTGATTTACCTGCAGTAAGGTGAAATTTTTACTCTACGGTTGGTAATTTCCCCTTGATTACCTGGTAGTTCCATATCTAATACTGGGACTGTTTGTACTTACGTGGCATCCTGACATCCTGCTGACTCCTATCCAAACCAGCTGTTCAGTCATTTCCCGTGCTATTTTGACATCTGATCACGTGATAATAACCTTCCAAACTGCAACTTGACTGCAGTCACCTACCGTAGGCTATTTGCAATTGCGTTTCTGTAGGAGGCCTTTGTTTCCAGGGGTTGCTGTATTTTCGCTATCGATGTTGCAAAATCAGGAAATGAGGTCAAAGTGAAAACTTGTAAATGCTGGCATGTGGTGTTTTCTTGACTGCGCTACAGGCTTTAATAGTTTTTCATGCCCACATTAAACTCTCACCTTATTTTCGTGCTGTTTCTATGGTTTACACTCTGGCTAGCGCTTTGGAACTATTCTGTCATTTTGGAAACGTGACAACACCGTGAAGTGGTAATGATGATATGCCTACAGGATACTTGAACAGATGAATAACACCCTAGCCCATCGAACGCTGAAGACATTGTCAGGTCCAGTAATTTTCAATTTCACATTTCAATTTTCAATTCGTTCCCTCAGTCTTTCAATTCTCTTGTCGCAACTTTGTTCACGAAACAGCTATCACAGATATGTCGCAGATAGCTGATTCTTCCCATAAAAGCAAAACAGTTATGCAAAACATGCCCATAGAACAAGCCCTATATTACTTCTGCAGGACGCCTATGCCGCTCAAAATTATGCTGTTCTTTCGATACGTATAAGAAGTGAGGTAAGACAGAATTTATACACCCTGTTAGCAACAAGGCCGAAAGGCCCCGGATATCAACATTACAGAGCTCCTTATGCACTGCTGGGGTCCCACATTGATGATATGCATCTGCAAACCGTTAAAGTAGTAAGTGTAACTGAACATTCACGTGACTTGACGATCGGAATCATCTCCCACGTGAATTGGCAATAGGAACTAGGGTGTAAATCCGACCCGTTGACACCCCTGCAAGACGTAACGCTCTTCAGTGACCCATTACGAAGGACCGTTCAAACAGCAATTGAACTACTCATTGGTGTTCGCATGGGTGGAATTCAAATGGGGTGCACTAGGGTCTTCGAATCAGCGCGGTAACAAAGCATAAAAATTCTAGTCATCACACAGAGACAATGTCCCAAAATCCATCGTCTGCGAATTATGCCGGTATCAGCAGACGCGATATCATGGCACGGTATTTCAATCTATCTGCTCCTGTTGGACATGCCGGTGTTCCGCTACCGGAAAGCTGCTTTGAACCTGCGAGCGCGACAGTGGAGGAAACCTCAGAGATTTACGACGAAAACACCGACAAGACAGGCGAAATCATATTGAATTTGCCCATTGAATTAAAGGTCAAGATTACGCAAAAATTGTCGCAATACGATCTGGTCAATTTGGCGCGTACGTCTCGCGCGTTTTACGACGCGGCAATGATTTCCCTTTATGAAAATGTTGTAGTGGACTCTAACTACTCGTATCTCAACGATCCTTTGAGTTTGAAAGGGAATTTCACGTTCATCAAATCGAAGTACAATCTCAAAAAATTTATGGGGCTTCTGTCCGGCTCGGTGCCGGCACCGTTCCCGATGGGCGTGCTGGTGAAATCTCTCAGGATTCTTAGTCTCCCCGACGGCGTGACGCAGCACGAGCTCAAAACTTTCGTATACGGAAGTCTGCCCACCATGTCTCGTCTTTCGAGGTTCTATTGGGATAGCGACTGCTACGTTCTGCCCGCGTCCGTGTTAGAAATAATCCCGAGCAAAAAAGAAGTTTCCGCGCTCTCGATCAGTTTGGACTTTTCCCGACCCGAACAGCTCAAACTGGAGCCCTTTGACAACGTCCAAAAATTGTCACTGAGACCGTTTCTGAATTTCGAAAACCTGGGCTCTTTCGCGGAACACATCCTGCTGGCAAACCGCTGCCTGATTGAAAAACTGGAGACCCTGCAACTTTTCCGGGAGGTCCCGTCGTTGCTGCACAGACTCGGAAGCAGCGTCAGTTCGAGTCAGGCGTTAATTGTGACCCAATACATGATGGCAAACAACGTAGCGCAGCCGAGCAATGCAGAAAGCGATCGCGTGGTGCAATTTAACCAGGTCGACGTGGGACTCTGGCGCTTTCTGGACCCCATAGTCGGGAAAAAGCGCCGCTTCGAATCGCTCGCGAGTCTAGAGATCGATTCTGTGAGTCTGGTGCCTGAGGACGCCCAGAAATTGAGGGCCGCCGTGAATCTGGAGAATCTCCGGCACCTGAGTCTCACGCGGGTCGACGAAATTAGGTTTTTGCCAGACGTGGATTACGAAGTTCACGACATGGGACAGCTTGCCATCAGGCATCCTGAGCCGGGGTTTCTGGCCCAGTTGTCGCCTTACCTGGCAAAACTCACCAGCCTGAGACTGGACTACCGCGAGCCCTTTACAGACTCCGTGGGAGCCTTCATAGCCGCATTGGAGTCCGGACCGGACGCCGTCACGTTGCACGAACTCGACGTGACGATCCACTGGGACGCCGCCAAAAGCGGCGTCCTTTCGCCGACGTGGGAACTACTGGCCCAAAATTACGTCGACGCCGTCCTGCGCCACAGCAACACGCTTACAAAACTGTCATTGATCGGCGTCGAGGATTCTCGTTTCTACAAGCGCCAGAAACCCCTGCCGGCAAACTTGCTGACAGCCCTACGTCTTTGCACTAGCCTACGCAGCCTGAGAATCCACGGCCAGTCGCTGCATCCGTCTGGGGACTTACTCATCCATGATTTACCCACACTCGCGCTTCTAGACCTTGTCGGCAAAGAGGCCGGCGGACCTGCCCATATGGGCCTGCAAGTGATCCACGCCGGCGTCCTGGACAGCTGGTACAGGGTGATTCACGTGGCCATAACGCTAGCCCAAAACAACCCTGCTCTTAGATTCATTCGCATAGACAAGTGCCTATTCGAGTGCGGCAAGAGCGGGAACGTTTCTCCGAAGTCCGACAGCCTTTTAAGCTGGTTCAAAAGGCACACCAGGGTAATGCTCTCTGCGGAAGATTTCTGAGTCGTCTACCGTGTGCTTCCCACCATTACTTACGTAAACCAAGCCTCTCTCTTTCTCTAAATTGTTTCCACCTGCTTTCTGTCAACAGCTCTTTCCAGCTTGGGCTTGCCAAGGGCGCTGAAGTAAGCTTGCAGATCCTCCTGCAAGTGCGGCATTTTCGGACCAAGGGTCTTGCTTTCATCGTGGAAAAGAAACGAAAATTGCAAATCTACCTAACTCCGAACGGAGCGAGGCTCTTTTCTCCGCACGTGTCAAGGCTAGGGCAGAGACGATTTACAGTGCAGTCAGAAGACTTGCAAAACGAGAGCGCTGGCGAGAGCACGTAAAGTGCCATCTACCCGGAGGACAGGCTCACGTGTCGCGTCTGTTTCCCGGCCGTTTCCCGGCCGTTTCCCTTCCATTGTCCCCTCGCGCACTGGCTCGTTTATCTCTGCGAGCTTATTTCACACCCGTTGAACCAGTAACGAGAATTTGCACCGTCGACTTGGTCCTTATCAAGCCCGCTCGTTTAGACGTACACAATTATTTGGGTTTTGGTTTCTTTTGAGCCCTTTGTGAAGACCGAGCTGAAGAATTCTCTTGCATGAAAAAAGATTCTGGAAGAGCGTCCATAAAAAATTGCTTTTTTCGTCCGCGACCAGGTAAGGCTAGGAATACAGGTCCAGCGAGCTGAGAGAAGTAGTATATCTCGTGAGAGGAACCACAGCAAAGCAGGGCCCTTTTCCCTCCAATTAATTTCACGGAACCGGCGTTTTTTATTCGGACGTTCATATCTGGCCACAGCGTTTGCCGATGTCAGCTCTTTTGTTCGACACCAGTGAGTGCAGGAACCAGCGCGAGAACCAAGGAGATGCCTGTTGCGAGAACAGACCCTGTGCCAACATCACGGTGATGGGCGACAAAGGCAGCGGGAAATCGTCGCTGATACTGCGGTGGGTGTGCAAGTATTTCGACCCGTCCGTGGACCATGTGGACGAGCTGCACGAGCGATCCGTGTGCTACTCGGCGCTGGTGGGCAGCGACTCGCCGCGCCAATACGACGCGTTACAACTGGAGCTCAAGTGCAACATGGGGGGTCCGGAGGAGCGCAAGTCACACGCGACGATGAAGGTCCAGGTGCTCGACGGGCCCAATCTCGAAGTCATCGACTACTCGGAGCTGAGCAATTTGCAGACCATGCAGACGGACGGGTTCGTGGTGTGTTTTGAATCGACGAACCCGGAGTCGCTCGAGAGCGTACCTGCTTATGTCAGCCACATCTGGCAACTCCGTGGAGAAGGCGTGCCTATTGTGCTTTGCGCGACGAAAACGGACCTGGTGTCGCAGCGCAGTGTCACCGAGAGTGCGGTCGCCATGGTATGCGACGAGCTGGGTCTGGACTACGAGCATTCCTATTTCGAGACCTCTGCGCTTGAAAATCACGGCATCAAGCAGGCCTTCTACCGCTTGCTGGTGCAAATCGATGAGCAAAAACGCGCAGCCCTTGAGGCTAAGCAAGCTGTCGCCCCGTCTGCTGCGTCTGCTGCCTCTGTGGAAGAAGCGGCCGAGAGTCCTGCGGATACCTCAGCTACTGAACCACCCGCACCGTGTCCGACTCCTGCAGCCGCCGAAAACGTCCTTTTGGACTCGCCCAGCCTTACCGCGACGGAGCAAAACTCAGCTTTTATTTCATACCACGACAGTTGTTCCGAAGAAAACACAACGGAACAGAAATGCACCGCCAAGACCAGCGAACTGGGTCCTCGAGGAGTTGCTCCGGATGGCCACACGCCGCCAGATTCGCCCGAGCAGTCGGTCACAAATAACAGTGCTCGTCGACACCTCACTCGGAAAAAGAATAAGACCGCCCGTGAGCGGCCCAGGAGCCAACGCGCGAAAAACAACACTTGCTGTGTGATTTGCTAGCAGCATTTACAAAGGGTAATATCGCTTAATCGGCTATTTAGTGTCAAGGAATTTTGATAGAATTTATAGAATGGAAAACCAGTAAATAGCTACTCTCATTTTCTAATTGCATGATCGGAACTGACAGGTTTACGTCGCCCAGAGGGCTAAAATGCCCGTCGAGATCGCTGTGACAGATCGTTTTTTACGATTATATCCATATCTCCTCTTCCATTCCAATTAAGTCGGAGCTCCGGTACCGCGAATAAGGCACACACCCACGGCCTTTACGCAAGTTCAAGAGCCAAAGCACAGTTTATCCCAAATATTTAGATCTCTTCCCTTAAAAAAGGTATTACCGGGAAAACCTCCCATTCGACCGCTCCATTCAACACCACATACTCAGAACACTCCTTAAATATTTACGATCATAGAAATCTGGCGAACCCGCTTATAGTTTCATCTCTCGCACAGTGTTGTGCAATGGATCAAGTCTGCACGTCCATCGTTATTAACGACAAGTCCGAAAACCTTTCCCTGCTTTTCCTATCACAAACCCACACATTCGCAGCTTGCTCTAGAAAGGTCCAAAGTTCAAACACCCAGTAATTATGTTTCGAAGGGAAAAATTTTCAAGTGAAAAATTCAAAAGAAAGAAATAACGCTGACCCCTATCTAGGACCCCCGCATCGCTTGATGATCACTCAGAAATAGCCGCAGAACAATTGCTTTCGACTGGGAACCGCAGAGGTCTCAGTTGCTGAGAGATGCGTACCCAATCTCCGGATAGGCCTTCTTTGACTTTTGATGAATTGATATATCAAGAGACCTGGATTGATAACGTAGTGGAATAATCCAAAGAGAAAGCACAAGATACCAAAATGGTATGTTTAAAGACAGAATAAGAGCGTATGAAGTGGATATTGGCGTTAAGTTGTGGGATGCTGTAGGATAGGCCTTTTGAAGATTGAAAAATGAGAAAATCCGTGAAGATATAGTGGAAGAGATGATTTTTGGTTGAATAATGGTTAGTGGTTGAGAAAGATATTCCAGGCGGGTTATTGGGTGGTCTAAGAGAAATTGTAGGATCATAGGATGTTGTGCCGGACTGAGAGTGTTCGTTGAAGCGAGAGCACAGTATTACGTGAAGCAATCTACTTTGGAAATCCTTCAGAAGTTTGTCTCCAGTGGAATAGAAAGACACTATGGTTCCTGTATAATGTCCGGACCTCCCAATAGCTGTTTACTAGGCAGCCCACAATAACGTGCGAATCGACAGCTTCACTCCCGAGGAGTTTTAATAATAGAAAACAAGACGCATTTACTAACAATTTTCGATTTTAACAGGTTTTAGTTCAAGATTTGTTGCACCCTTCTCCTGCCACTGAAGCCAGAAAGCACAAGCTAAAGACCCTTGTGCAAGGTCCAAGATCCTACTTTTTGGATGTCAAATGCCCAGGTTGTTTGAACATCACCACCGTGTTCTCTCACGCCCAGACCGCTGTGACTTGTGAGTCCTGCTCTACGGTCTTGTGCACCCCAACTGGTGGTAAGGCCAAGTTGTCTGAGGGTACTTCTTTCAGAAGAAAGTAAATCAATCTCAGATAGCGTTTGATGCTGTACATTTTTCAATAGTCGTTTAGTCATATAACTAATCACGTCCGTTAGCTACCTATGTGCCTGCTCAGTGCAGGTCCGCCCCTGGGTTGTTTTCACCCAGATGCTCGTGGAATTAGCAACAATGTACGTTGAAACTTGAAATCCTTATATACAAGATTATTTTAACATGCCTTTGCGATCCGTTACATTCCAAGCCTCAATCTTGACCATTGCCAATGCTCGCGGCTTTTTTCCTTTTACCTTTGTCGAACTCAGCGCCATATAGAGCCGCCATCAGGTCCACTGAGTTCAATGGCGACTCTTGGTCAAACCCGTAATCCACCGCGTTGACGGCTTCGCGCAATTCTCTGTCTTCTCTTTTTTCTGCCTTCTTCAGCTCTTTAATTTTATCCTTCTCGATTTGTTCAAACTTCTTTACGTCGAGATTTCCCATTCCTTCAATTTTACTCTTGGCGTCCAAACCCCATAAATCACCCTTACTGGCCTTTCTGGCATCATGGTAGACTTCTTTGGAAAATGAGCGTGGTACCGTCCACTTTTCCAAGTGTCCCGATGGGGCACAGAGATCCAAAGTGACGTGTCCCTTTCTCTTTAGGGGACTATTAAGAATCCTAGGCCAGGTACTGGGCGTTCTGTCGCCCAGCGAACCTACTTTGAAGTCCCAATCATTATCTCTCCGTTGTCTCTCAATTTCTTGAATTGTCGCAACGTCTGTTTTTGAACGTTCCATAATTAGGTAAGAGTAATTTAAAATTTCAAAATCTCGTCCGTTGGGCCGTCCACTGCCACTTCGTGCCAAGCCCTTCGCGCCAATTCCTTCTTCCTTGCTCTGCCACGGTGTTGCTAAGATGCGACCCTTCTTCAATTCCAAGCTGAACTTGGGACGCTGAATAGATTTCTGGAAGTTGCAGAACTTCAAATTTCTGCCTTCCTTAAACTCGTAGTATTGCGGTTTACCCACTTGGAGGGGACACTTTCTATGATGTGGGCATGGGGCTATAACACTGAGATGAAATGGTGGCGATTCTTTATAAACTTCTCTCAAGCTTGCCATGAATTCGGGTTCGAGCTCACATTGCTCTGGAGTGGGAGCAGAGTTTGTCACGCTTGACGCGTCCGTATGGCTTTTATCATCAAGTACCGATGCACTTGTTTGATTTTTTCCCCAAGGCCGAGGAATTTTGCCGCCTTCTTGAAGGTAGTTTTCTGGCCTTAACATGATTTGACGTGCTCTTGCAATGGTCTCAAACCCCAATGGATTGCCTCTTTCAACCAGAACCAAATGTCCGCCTGGTGAAAGAAGGCTCAAGTAATGATCCAAATTTTCGTCAATTTCCAGTGGGAATTTATGCCCTGACTTCAGTAACTGATGGGTTAAGATGATTAAATCATACTGCTTCAACCCGGGAACCCTACCACTAAGTCTTGTAGCTATTTTAATCTTTTTCGTCATAACTTCTCCAACCAATTCATTTTCCAATTCTATATCATCTTCTGGCGTGCTATCTTCCATAACACCGTCATCACGGTTTTCTGCAACACTCGGTAGCTCGCTTACCTGTCTACTGAGAATAATTTTGGCCCTTTTCTGCATATCAATATGCCCTAAAATAACGGCATCTTTTACCTCGGGGCGGAAACTTTCATCCATCAAATCATTCAAGGCCACCATGCCTGTAGCAGGCCCGAATCCCACGTCAAGCACTCGTTTGGGATTGAAAAGCTGTCCCTTGCGCTTTTTTAGTTCCTGCAAGGATTGATAAATGGCACCATAGTTTTGCAAAAAAACCGTCGAAATATGAGCATCAACTTCCGACGGAGATGCAGTGGCTCTATGCAATTTGGATTGTTCTAATCCTATGAAATATTGAGCAGCCATTCTTCGCAAATTGTTAGGAACATGTAAGCTCAAGATATGATCGTTTATAGCTTTGGAAACGTCAGGGTTCAACTTGATTTGTGCATCCGGTGCTTTGCCGATAAGCGTTTCTCTTTGGAGTCTGGCCTCTTTAGCGTTTTCACCTTGCAAAGGGTTACCTTTTGAGTCCCGGTAGGAAGAGCTGGATCTCTCACCATTACTCAAATCTTTCCAATCCAAAACTGTCACACCACCCGCATCAGTTCTATTTACTAAAAAACCTTGATTTTTAAAACCAGTAGCGGAATCCAACTCCGAATCTTCTTGGGCATCGCACACGTCAAAATCAACCGCAGAAAATGCTCCAAAAGCCGTTTTTCTATGCGACAAACATCGTTGAAAACCACTTAAGATCTGAACCCGGGAAGATCTCAACATAGGCTAGAAATTCGGTCCTGAATGGCTTTTTCAATGGCTTTTCAATGTAGTATCTAGCCTTGAATTGGCATCTCATCGAATTTTTTCACCACCAGAATTTCGTGATGAGGTATTCAAGGTCCTTCTGAAAATCTCACCATCATGAAGTGATCAACGGATCATACGAGACCAACCATCACCACCAAAGGCCAGCCAAAGGATGAATGAAACCATTACCATATCCTTGTTGATCCTGATCATTACCACATCATTGCTCTTGATAATACAGAGGCAAAGTGGGAACCTGATTCCTGGTCTTCCCGGCCAAAAAATCAAAAATCGGAACCCGACTTTCATCATTGCAGGGCCCTGCGGTAGCGGTAAAACGGCATTGTTCAGTCTGGTATGTCCAAACATTTTGGTCAATTTTTAATTTTGACTTTGCCGCCAAGTTTGGAAAGTATCACTAACATCAATTGATTAGCTCACCACTGACACGGTCAAACCAACTGTTATGTCCCAGGAAGTCAACGTCGCGTACGACTACATGTTGCCTTCGACGGTTAAACATTTGAAGTTCAATTTGATGGAATTTCCTGGCCACGTCAAGCTGCGGTATCGTTTGTTCGAAGCTTTGAAAGAGTCCAGCACGATAAAGGGCTTGGTGTTTGTTGTCGACTCGACCGTAGACCCACAAAAATTGACCGACACTGCAGAATTCTTGCACGACATCTTGGCCATCACTGAAAGAGTGCCCAATGGGGTCGACGTGCTCATTGCTTGTAACAAATCTGAGTTGTTCACGGCGAGACCTGCGCGCAAGATCCGGGAAGTTCTCGAGCGTGAAATAGCCAAAGTCATCGAACGTCGCGCGAAATCTTTGAGCAGCGTCCAAAAGGGAGAAGCAGGTGCTGAGACCGATGACACCAACGACGGTTTCAACAGCCACGGCCCATTGCTAGAATACAATTCCACCAAGGGGTTCAAGTTCGAATTTCTGGAGGGAAACGTGGACGCGGTCAGCGGTAGTGTCCAAAAGCAAAACATCGATAAATGGGAGTGCTGGGTTGACGAGAGAGCCATCAATTGAATTGAGCCATGTCCGTTGTTTCTGTCGATACCGTGGTATATCATATATACCATATCGCAGGTCTGTTTCCGTAAAGTAAAGCCCGTACGTAATTCATTCGTGATGCAAAAGCAGCAATAACCCAGAAAATGTTCCTACCAAGAGCGTACCACAAAGAAGCAGCACAGCAGGTACAAGCACCGCGATGGAACTCGGTAGCGGAAAAAACCATACTTTCCCTTCACCGTCGAAAATCGGCAGACCTATCCATACACAGTAGTAAGCAAATGCAACGACGACAATCAAGAATCTGTTCATCAAAAACGCTCGAAGATCACCACTTGAAGGTCATCCCGCTACCAATCTAGAAGGTAGTGCGATTAAATTAGTCGCGATGACTTATAGTAGATTCACTGCTCATGACCAAATACCTAGTACGAGTATCTCAAAATACCAGAGAATTTTGATTAAAGCTCGCGTGGCGTAATGGCAACGCGTCTGACTTCTAATCAGAAGATTGTGGGTTCGACCCCCACCGTGAGTGTTTTTTGAATTTAAACTTCCATTTTAACGAAAGAAATGAAAGTGTGAGACAGCGGAAAAAGCTGTAAACCTTTTGAGAGGCGGATATTGATGTTGCCTATTTTTTGAAATTAATTCGTCATGTTGATATCCCTGTACTTCTGCTTTATTGAAGGCATTGAGATCATCGGCAGTGCCAACGTTCGAGAGATCACCTCGTTAATAGTGATCAACAAATTTTCCAATACTTAACCATATGTAAATAAGGATTGCGAGAACCCATCTCATCAAATTTCAGACGTCGGTTTAGGCGCTATGCAATGGTTGTTGACGGCTTTTGAAGATCTGTACAGATCCATTGAGAGCGGATCATTTGATGCCTCGCTTTTCCAGGAAATTTTACCGGATTTGAAGAGCCTAAACCTGGACAATACCAACGGCAAAAGCAGTAACAGCCGGATCCAACTTCAGAAGGGTGAAATCAGTCTTTCAAACGGAGAGAAATACAAGATTAATGAAGAGTTCAGCATTGCAGTGGTGACAGTGGCAGATGAGCTTAAATTAGACGAATTGGTCGTGGCGGAGATTATGCTGTTGAACGAGAATGCGGAAGAGGCATCGGGATTAGAATCGGGCATTTCGTTGGTAAATTCTGCCAAAGTATGGTACTATTTGAGGCGGCAATATATTTTGCAGATTTGCTCTTATATTTTGAACTGCCGGCCCGAAGGCGATGAGCTTGTGTCAGATTTAGTGAAAGATGGCGCCTTGGTTGCCAACGTGATAGAGGGCTTCAAAGCGATTGAGAAGCAGCTTCGTGAAATCAAAGAGTTCATAAACAAGGGTCAAATTCTGGACAATTACGATGCTTACGCTAAGCAGAATGTAACGTTTCGCAGAAATTTCCTTCTTAAGGAATACGATACATTGAGTCAGGTCCTATATGGCCTTGTGGTACATGGCGAATACATGAAGAAGGATTTAATATATGGAATCATAGAACGAGCCTGCGAACTTGATTCTGATGATTTTTTCATCGTATTCTATATACCGGCCATTTTCTACGCCTTCAGCACGTTAGAAAAGTTCCCGGATGCAAATGTCAAAGAAATGCATAAAAGGTTTCTCGGAGATCTCAGAAACGAAGCTACCTACCAAAAACCCATAAAGGCTACCTTCATTTTTGCTTTTTTGACTCATTTCATAGGTTGGTGCAAACTTGCTCCTGCGTCAAGAGCTAAGACGTTCGACTTTGCCACAGATGTCGATGAACCGATGGCTTTGGCAGTAGAGATGGGTGCAATCGAAGAGCTCATGATTATTGCAGCCGAAACCTCAGAATTGGACAAAGATCCCAGTATTGAACTGTTTTATGATATCAGAACTTTACTCGAGAGACACCTCCCCAGATTAATTCCCAAACAAATGCAAGACATGGATTTTCGTAAGACTGGTGTTGAAAATGATGCGGGAATAAATGGCTGTTATATTCTTTCGCAAGAATTTCTAATTCTTTTCGAACCGGCCTTCCATCGTTTCTTACAAACTTTCATAGCAGAATGTGCCTTTTTGCTAACGAAAATGAAAGATGCAGAGGAAGACTCTCTCCTCTCTGGTGAAGATCTTTTTCTAGATGACATTTCTGCAAAGGCAGATTTGGAGCGTGTCTTCATCACAGTTCACTATTTTTACGCTTTTAGACCCACATTTACAAGCTGCTTTTGGTCTGACAAGGAATCAAATGCATACGGGTTTATCGAATGGGCCATGAAATGCACAGATACTCTCATGCGCTCCTGTGTTTTTTTGATGATATCAAGTCTAGCTTTCGAACATCAAAACTCAATCAACGTCTACCACTACATCAGTAGTAGCCCATACTTGTCATGGATTAACATTGCAAATATTGTCAGTGACTACACTGTCCAAATTTCAGAAATTGATAAGAGAATCACAGAAACTTCTTCACAATCTCCTGGCGAGATAGAAGGGAATACATTAGTTACTAATGCTGGTTTGAACGAGGAGATTATTATTCTACTTTCCTCCTTGTTTACGCTAGTGGGATCGGTGTCGCACGATTTACAAGAAGAGCCGAAAAACACGCTTGCCAAAACGTTTATGGACATTTTTTTCGAATTTCTCAAGGTAAAAACTCCACTCATCGGCGCTGCTTTGAAGGTTTTGGGTAACCTCGTTCCCGCTGATCTTCGTCAGCGGGATATTTTCTGGTGTTCTTTGGACGAGTGGATTTTCAGGAGCCAGTCTTTAATAGACACTGATGATTCCTACAGGTCTGCCTTTCAAAATGTTCTGACCGATTTCTCAGACGTCAGCGGCTTTTTGCACCTCGTCTACAGGCTTTTGTCTCATAACGACTCTGATGAGGATGCCAAAATGCCTTTTGGGCAATTGCCATTTTGCTCACTCTTAGGTGCTAGCTACAGGAAGGCTGGGCTATTTCCTTATTATGATTTCATCTTCAAAAACATTTTCATAAACGCACAAAGGATTCCTAGCGCCAAGGACAGAGTTGCAGTTGAACTAACAGTTTTGCGGATACTAGATAATTCGCTCCGTTCTTTTGACTCCACTGTTATTCTGAACTCCATTCCTGCCGGAGCAAGCCTTGACAGTCTAGTCATAACTGAAGACTTTTTCACTTACGTGGTTGAGAATCCAGCCACCGCAGTTTTCAATTATGTTTTCGAGGAGAAAGTGTTTCAAGCGTTGTTCGGGATTGCATCAGTGGGCGTGGATGTTCTACAGGAATGCAAAGAAAGCAATCCTCCGCTTTTGAACTCTGTTGAACTGGCTCTCAAGATAATAGACGAAATTCTAACGGATCAAGAAACGCATCTGGAGGAGCTCTGCCCCATTGTCAAAAAGCACTGTTCTGGAAAAATGTTTTTACCAAAATCTTATGGGTTACACGGTTTGCGTTCATTCTTTGATGCCATCATGTTTGACATGCCTCTTATTGCTCATCTAGGCCTGTACATTGGGGTTGATAGTAACAAATTAGCATTGCGTGCGCTAAATGTCCTACAGAAGCTTTCTGAGCATCTTTGTAACAGAAATGGAAAGCATGTTGTTCGAGACAGACTTCTCGCAATTTTTGACTCAGTTGATGAGTCCGCGAGAATTAAGCAAGCGTTCATCAACCAGCTTGAAAAGCCTGTTGCTTCGGAAGAAGATGCTCTTTTGAAGATAGGAGTTCTCGACTTTTTATCTTCCAACCTGCCTGCAAGGGTGGGCTCTCCTACCGTGTCTCATTTTTTGCTTGGATTTCTGGTCTCGAATGTTATATCTTTGGGGCCGAAGTTGAGTACTTTCATCAGTTCTGGAACTTGCGTCCTCCAATCTTTAATTCATTTGTTGAAATCATCTCTTGAGGCTTTAGATCCCAACAATATCACCTACTTGCCCATGCGTTTAAGTGCGTCCATTATGGAAATTATACTGAAATTGTGCCGCAATCCGCTGACTTCAACCATTGCATTGCAATTTTTGGGCGAAAGTAGACTTTTTGAGATGATAATTTCGCTAGACCCTATGATCGATTTGAGTAGTCAATGGTGTGGAATGCCGTTCAAAGAAAATTTCGGAGAAGAAAGGTTTAGCTCCTCATCTTCAATGGGTGCGTTCCTTTCTTTTCTGAAATACAGAAGTCTTGTACTACAATTTTTCAGCCTGGATATTCACCGTCTTCAAGAAAACTCTCAAAGGTCCTCAGTCGACCATCGAACTTCGATGCTTACTTTAAACTACACAAGGTCTCCAAGAATATTTTCGTTTTTAGACCCCCTTGGCTACACTGCGAGCAAGACGCCAATCGAAAAAGCTGAGAACCTGACTTTTCTCAGAGGAATCGAATTTAACTTAGATTCCGTTGAAACCCGGAAATTCTGCTCTGGTCCTCTGTACGATTTTTCTTCGCTGGTTTCTTTGGTGGAGTTAAAGCTTTTATCTCTCAAGAAAACGCTTCCGACAGCGGCACTGGCCTCGCAATGGAAAGACGAGCAATCTTTGGAAAAGAAGTTACAGGATGAATGTGTGCAACTTCAAGATTCCATAAGCAACCGTTTGAGCTATAATAACTTTTCCTCCCACCAACTATCCCTTTTGCATTCCTGGGTTCAGCTTGTCGAAATAGTCGTACTTGATGGATCACTGGCGCCTGTGTCAAGGAGTAATTTTATTCTTGATCTCTTTGAGGCAATTGTACCGAAAATCAATGATTACGTGGACTTTGATATTTCTTACTCTGAAGAGCTTGTTTCCCTCTGCGTTTTCCTTTTTGACATCTACCAAAAGGACCGAGAAGCAATCGACGGAGACTCCGTGGTGGATAGTAGATTGCATAGCTTATTCAAAGCGTGCTTGCATGGCATAACTTCTCCTTTGTCAACTCTATCGCTGAGGTCCGATTTTTACATCATCTGCAACCGTTTCCTGCTCAGAGTCCTGAAGGAAGAAGACTTGGCCAGGCATCTCCTTCAGTCACTAAAGATGATGAGCGAGCGCATGGTAGAGGTGATATGCAACGACGCGATTGCAGGTGAAGGTTCCACACGTATCACTGGTATCCTCTTTTTAGACGCTCTCGTGCAGATAGCAAGTCTAAACAAGGTGAACTTCATTCTAGAAAGTTTAACCAAGAGCAACATGCTATTTTTAATTACACGTTCAGTCAAAAACACCGATGAACTGCTGAACGCATATCCAGAAGGTATCAACCTTGATCACTTTCTTTACGAGCTTACGGCCTTTAAGTCAACAGCCCATTTCATGATTCGAATTGCCGAAACACGCAGAGGTGCTAGAGCTTTAGTTCAAAACGAAATTTTCCAGACCATCATGTCTTGCAAATTCTTACAAGCAGATCCTGATCTCGGTCTCGAACTGAACTTTAATAGCCTCATGGTTAGAAGTTCGCCGCTCGTGCGAATGAATTTAAATTTGCATAATTCCCTGACGTTCACCAGGGAAGTAAACGATATCTCACTTTTCGAAGTGTTGGTTCCTATCTTTCAGCTACTAACATCGATAGTTTTGAGCATGGGCAGTGCCAATCAGCCGGTCCTAGACCAAGCAAGAAAACTGTTGATGCATTTCAAGAAATTGGTTCAAGGCGTTATAAAACAGGAGGCTCTTTTGGATTCGGGCGAGGGACCTGAGCTACAAAAACAATCCTCTGATGGTTTAAGGCAACTGGTCAAGTTGGTTATTTTGCTGTGTACACTCACAGGATACCAAGGTGAAGATGCCTAAAAGTCATGCTTTCTAGTTATGTAGTTGATTTTATTTGGAAACAGTTTTAATCTTACGCTCTAATGCCTCTGAAGAAGTGTCCAATGTCTTAAGCGCATCCAGATGCGAGTTAAGCAGTTTTATTAATTGAATATTCTCATCCTTGTTAGCGACATTTAGGTTGGTGGCTTTGTTGAATATATCGCTCACGTCATTAATTTCGGAAATCAGAGACGAGAGATTGGTAGAAAGTGAATCTAAGTTGTCATCTAAGCTCTCTGCTGTTCTGTAAGCCTGTTGTCTTTTCTGATCGTTGCTGTTGCCGGAAGACCCTGGGTTTGATGATAAAACATCTGATAGTAAAGTTTCGGCCTTCCTCTCATAATTATCCAGAAAGGATTCTAATTCTGTTTGCTGCCTCTCGATGTATTGCAAAGTCTGATCGATCCTATTTTGGCTTTGTTCGGCAAGTAAAGTATCAGAATATAACTCACTTATCTGTTCACCGCCCTGAACAAGTATTTTATCCCAATCTCTAATCTTCTGGGAATACTCTTCGAAATGCAGGGATGACCCACTGAGCTGGGACGTCCACTTTGTGATGAGATCGTCTAAAGTCTTATTATCCAAGGTTTCAGGTTGTAGTTCGACGGTAAGCTTCGAAGTGGCATCACTATTACTTTTCTTCCCGGTCTCTGGTGGCGACGTGGTTCCCACTGCCGTCTTCTGGGAGCCAAAACTGGTAGTAGGAAGCTTTTCGCTCGAGGCTGCATCCATTGGTGGTTTGACCGAACCAAACGAGAAGCCCGTCGTCTTTTTCTCCTCCTTTTTCTCAGTAGTCTCGTCGGTTGACGGTTTTACATTTGACTGTGAACTTTCTTTAGACCCAAAAGAAAACGCGCTCGGCTTTGAATCAGTTTGCAATTGAGTTTCGTTCTTCCCAAATGAAAATCCGTCAAGTTTTTTCTCTCCTCCCTGCTGAGGTTTGCTCTGACCAAATGAAAATGCGGGTGCTGTCTTCGCCACTGTACTCGCTGCAGGCTCGGCGGTGGATTTAGCGGCGTTTGCATCCTTTTCGTTCATGGAGCCTAGAACAAATGCCGGGCTGCCGCTGGTTTTTGTTTCCTGTCCAGAATTCTTGTTAAAGAGAGGTTTGGTGTCAGCTCTTGGCTTTTCCGATCCGAAACTGAAAGCTGGTTTTGTGTCGGTTTTAGCCTCTTTCGGCTTCGAGGATGCAGTACTGCTATCGTTCTTGGCTCCAAAGGCTCCGAAATTAAATGTGGGTTTTGTGCTACCTTCTTGGGCGTCATTTTGAGGCTTATCCAGGGATGCACCGAAACCGCCAGAAAGTGATTTACTTTCGGTGGATGTACTCAGCAAATTATTTGTTGTGGGCTTTGTGCTTCCAAAACTAAAGGCTGGCTTATCATCGCTTAGTTTATTGTTATCTGCCTGATCTTTTTTGTTCGCGGTTGCTGTGGACCCAGATCCGAAGGAAAATGCATTCTTTTGAGCAGATAAAGGTGCAGCTGATGAAGCCTGAGTAGAATTTGTATTACCGCCGAACGAGAACGCTGGCTTTGGTGTCGTGTCATTAGCGGTGGTAGTCTGTTGCGCTTTGCCAAAATTCAGGCTGGGACCTGTAGTTGTTTGTACCGCCGCAGCAGATCCGAAAGAGAATGGTTTTTTTTCTTCTTTATTTTCTGTAGTATTCGAAGCTGTAGACAAAGAGCCAGCTGACAAGCCGGTCGATAAGCCTTGACCAAACGCCGGTTTTGTAGATGAAGTGCCGGTGGATGATTGAGATCCTAAGAGCTGGCCTGGTTTAGCATTGTTTGCACCACCAAACGACAAGGGAGGTTTCGCCGTTTCCGTTGAGTTTTGAGTCCCATTACTTCCGAAACTAAAACCTGTAGGTGCTGCGCTCTTGGCAGCTGCGTCGTTCGTACCGGTGTTAAGCTTTGGTGCTCCAAAAGAGAACGGTGACGTGCCTTTATTGCTTTCTGTCTCTGTGGGCTTGTTGTTGAACCCGAATGTGAGCCCAGCGGGCTTCTGTTGGCTATTTGCACTGCCTGTTTGCATCTGGCCAGGCGGTTGTGATATCCCAGTGTTTCCAAACAACGATGTGGCTGGTTTCGCGCTTCCAGCTCCAAAAGCCGGCGTACTTGATTCGCTGCCAAAAAGCGTGCTTCCCATTGATGACGAGTTCTGAGTGCCGTTTGTAGCGATATTGCCAGCTGCTGAACCAAACGCACCAAACGGTGATGCCTTAGGAGCATCATTCGAACCCGTACTCGCGTTAAGACTGCCGAAAGGCGATGCACCACTTGCTTGGGAATTTCCAAAATTCATCGTGTTCCAGTAGAGTAAATTTGACACTTAAAGAAACCCTTAAATGAGTGAATCGATCTCCAACTAATGCACGAATGTAATCTAGCTCTACAATCGCACAAACAATGTCTAAATCGATTCCCACTGGATCAGTTCCTCCTCAATCTTAATGCATTTGTTATACGTTAGATAGATAATTTTGAAAATTTATGACTTGTTTTGAAATATTAAAGTTGAAAGTCCGGGTAACAAGAAAACGGCATCACGTGAGCGATTGTGATGATGACCATGATGATGGAATGAAAGAATCAAGCACAACTTGAAATTAACAGAAGCTGTGGTCTCAACTACTGATTAGGAGTTATTATTGGTTCGCACTCGTTCGATGTTGTCTAAGATTTGGTCGTAGGCCCGGTCTATGGCATGTTCTTCATGTTTAGAACTCACATCTGAGTCCGTTTCTGAGTCGCTACTTTCAGCCGCACGACCACGAGAGTCCATCAAGTTGGCCTGGACCCCGACAATTGAGTTCGCACTGGGCGATAGTGCCTTTGAGTCGACAGATGATTCTGAAGCTTTATTGCTCTTCTTGAAAAAGTCTTCCAACTCGACACCTTCTTTCTGCAGGTTTTCAAGAACGCTAACCACGGATGTAATGTCATGACTGAGAATAAAATCCTTAATGACCCCGCCATCGTACGCTGCAGCGGCATCTTTCAGGTGCTGTGGAAGATCCATGTTCTCTCCTTCGTCCCCTTTCCGACTTAGCTGCTGCATGAGATCGTGGGTGTTGCGCAGCACTGTGCCTTCCTCTCGGAGTTGTGAGTCTGCCGCTTGTCCTGCCTTTGAAACGTCATCTTTGATCTCTATGGCGTCTTCTGCTGGGTCCTGAGTCTCAAGCGAAGGTTGATGGAAGGGCAGAAGTGCCGAGTGGCCGGTTTTCTTAAAATGCATTGACGACAACGTTGCAGCTGAAGCCGTACGATGTATTCCATCGTTGTTGGCCAAATGAGTGTTCTTTTCATCTTCTCCATCAATGATATCAGACGAAGAGCCCAAATTTGTGTACTTGTTTAGTGCCGGGATCTTATTGTTGTAGCGCTTGGCCAGAAGTTCCAGACCTCTCTCGAATGTCGCATCAAAAAAACAAAATCTTATAAGCGTTTCTTTGCCCTCTCTGCTCAATTGACCATTTACCCTCAACTCAAAAAGGTCTTCAGTGAGTCTCTTAATAAGGCCACGAGCTTTGTCGAGCCTGAGCAGAAATTTGCGAACTCCCTCATCCAATTCCTCTGTTGTGGATGGCTTGTCCGTCAAAAGCTCTGCTAATTCATCCTGCAAGCAAGACAAGTCATTGGAAACTTTGTTTACTTGTGGATTATTGACGCGCTGGATTTCTGCCTCCATGTTGCGCATAGAGTAAATTGAGATTTTCTCCTTTATCTTGTCAGGAACATTCTCTTCGTTGATGTCCACTGTAATGATAGAATTACTTTTCCTCACCGCTGCTGCCAACGCCCTGCTAGCTGCAAAATCCAGCTTTGTCCCCTTCATCGACACGTAGTTCAGTTTCTTGCACATCGGTAAGACTTCCGCCAGTGTTACCACAGATGTTGACGAAAGATTATTATCATCCAAGTGTAATCGCATAAGGTTGACAAATACGGGCAAACAGTCTGTCAACGTGTTCAACACACCTGGAAACATATTCGGATTGTTTGAAAAGTCCACGAATTTCAGATTCTCACAATAACACAAGACGTTGAGTAAATTTAGGACCTCGTTGTTTCCTGGATTTGCCCCCTCAGGTACTTCCAAATTGGTCGAATTGAAAGAAATATATTTGAAGACGTTCTTAGTGTGTTTAATTTTGTTCATTACCGCGTTGCTGAAAGCTTGCAGCTTTCCTCTTAAATCATTAAAGCCAACATCAATTCCCGTAACTTTAGAGTTCACCAGCCAGCTGGCCATTACCGAGCATTGTTCTTGCGAAAGGTCGTTATAAGCTAGGCCTAACCTCTCGGTCTTGATACACGCAACCTCGACGAAATTGACGAACTCTAGAAGCGACATTTTGGCTCCCGAAAGTATAACTTCTTCCAGACCACCTTTAGACACAATTGCCGCGCTTAGAAGATCCCAATTCATCGAGGACCGATCGTTCATGTCGCATTCCATTCTAATAACTTTCGATTTTTGGGAAGACTTGGACGGCCTCTGGACGTTAACTGTTATTCCAGGAACCATCGTCAAATCGAGGGACAGAAGACTCCTGCACCTTGAAATATAAAAGCACAAAATCTTCCAGCCCTCGTCATCAAGTGGCGTATTTCTCAACGACAGCTTCTCAAAATTCTCTTTGAACATGAGAGAGCTCAAAATTACTCTCAGCATTTCGGTGCTCAAATTAACTCCATCCAAAGACAAACACAGAACTGGTGAGATGCTGAGAAAATCACTGAAGGACAAGACTTCAACCAATGATGGTTTAGGATTTCTAAGCTGTAGAAGCGGTATTGGATCCGTGGAGCCCTTTTTCAATTGCTTTAAGGTTGCCGGTATCGGCAGAATTTCTCGCAGATGACAACAACGAGTATACACCACATCGTGTGGAATCAATGGGTGTTCAGGTGGCAAACGTTCATCTGGTGTCTCACTCTCATCTGTCACTACAGAAGCCAAGGAAACATTTGACCTTCGACTAACCATAGGCTTGTCGATGGTAACTTTGGATGCCGATGTAGAAACTTGAACGTCTTCCTCAGTGGCCCCATCCACTTTCCCCGCATCGGCAGGCCGCTCCATCGCCCGCGCCTCTGCGGCGGCCTCTGCTGCTGCAAGTCCGATCTGTCTTCGTTGCGCAGAGGACTCATTAGAGCTGTCGAGGTCACTTGACCTTATATGACCAGGTGGAATTTTCTCCTCTGCTCGCTTAGCATCGTCTTCTCCCGATGAATCATCTGTAATCAATTTCAAATGACCAGAACCACCAACGACAATACCAGCACTGGTATTTTGAAGAATTTCTCGACGTTCTTCTGGGGTCAACCGATGAATGATTACTGATCCATCTGATTTGACCTCCACTTCACCTTTTCTAGGGAATCGGCTGCAAATCTGTTGCGGCGGATCGTTGAAATACGTATTGGTGGCGAATGCTACCCGTTTCAAAGGTTTAATATTTTCCAGACCCGGGATTTCACCCTCCTTGACCGATAGCTCAGTTTCGGCGCTTGATTCATCTGAGGATTCGTCTGATGACGAGTCAGATATAAAAGAATGGTCCTCAACATGGGACGTGACCTTTTTCAAAAAAGCGCCAAATTTATTCGTAGTGGTTGGTGAAGGAGCCGTTGGATGTTTGGAAAGCGAGTTAGACGCTGACCTTCTAGGCTTGTGCTTGAGCGCAGAAGGGAATTGCGATTTAGCAGGGTGTGCAGGAATTGGGCGACCTTTGAAGTCGACTCTCGAGCTGCGCACCGATGCAGGTCGTTCAAGGCTGTCGTCAATCGAAAAGTTGGGTCTGCCTCGAAAATTGTCGGAGAACCGTCTGCGTTTCCCTAATGTTGGCGGGATTGCGGTCCCAGTGGGTCTGGAACCCGTACTCGAGATCTCTTTCTTGCACTCATCGAGAAACTCCTTCAGCCGCGGATCCCACGAGCCATTCCCTGTAGGAGCCGTCTTGGATCGTGTCAAAGGTATACCGGTATCACGAGACGCATCGCAACTCGCATCGCGACTTGATTCGTCTAGAGCCGGGGCTTGCACGCCTTCCGGCACTGAACTCAACCGCTCAGCAGATACAGATGGTTTTGCGCTGCTGATACTGTTGCGGCGTTTACTGGACACAGAAGACTGTGAGTTTGACTGAGGTTTGCGCATATTTTCTGCATTCTCGCTCGTATTCTCATCCTTCTTCTTCCGGCCGAAAAGCGACCTGAAAAACCCACGTTTTTCCTTCTTGGGCTCTTCTATATGCCCGTTACTATTCATCGACAGCGATTTTGTCCTTCGTAGCGATATTTCAGGATCTAGCGGATTTTCATGGACCACTTGCCAGTCCCGGCCCTGATTACCAGCAGAAACGGAACTTCTGCGTTCTCTCAAGACCCTGTTCGGTCCTATCACCACCGAGGTTCTATCTTCTGGACTGCCTTCATTCTTAACGTCTTTTCGCCTCGCAGATGATACTTGTAACGCCCTAGCGTCACTACTCGTATCGTCAAGTCTCTGAGACTTTGCCCCCACATCTGACATACGTCTCTCACCTCTCCTGGCCCCTTTAACCAATCCATCTCGGCTTTTGGCCCGTTCTTCCTTCCGATCCTCGTCTTCCTCTGGTTTGACGTTACTGACACCCCCAGGACGCGTCAACCAGCTCAGGTTTAAATCCTGGTGTTTGAGCCTTTCTAAGAGCTCTTTCTTACTCTCGTCACCAGCGTTATTGTCATCAATTGGCATGCTTTCCTTGCTGTTCAACTTGCTTTCTTTGAGACATATATGGGTTTATCAAAGACCCTTAGTACCTCAAGTTTGGTAACTCCGAGATTATAGGTTGATTAGCGGATCACATGATCTGAGGAAGTTCGAAGATCATCAGGATACTATTAGAAGAGGAAGTTACATGAACGAAGAGAGGCTATAGGACAATAAAGGTGACTTTAAAGGGTCTCTTCTTTAAACTACAAGATTTCTTGGGTTTAGAACTGTTGAGAAGGTTTTTTCCAGGTTTTGAAAGGACATTTTTTGACCCATTTTTGGGGGAAAAACATTGAACATTGAACGACAGCCGATCCTGGAGGTTAACCGTTGATTTTCGCGCTGGAACGGCTAATAAAGGTTTACTGGGCTACAGGGCATTGTTTAAGAGTTATCAGCACGAAATTTGCGAGTTTGGGTGCATTTTGGTGCATTTTGGCAGGTTTTGTAGCTCGCGAATTGCAACCACTCGACTAAAGCGTGGAACGTGGTATGAGCGGGAAGATAGAGCATCTGGTCAAACGATATTGCACGCGGGAAGAGCTTTCGAACCGAGGTGTGTGGCGCGGCGAGCTTTACAAGGCGAGCGAATGGCCATTTTTCGAACGTGGATGGTGTTGGAAGACGTTGTTACTGGGCGAGGAAGACGGACTTCTTACGAGACTGGAGCCTGTTGCTTTAGTGGAGAGTGAAATTTCAGGTTGGAATGCGACGGAAAGTAGTGGATTGAGACGATTGACCCCAGTTGTCGCCGACAATCATCCTTTGGAATTGTGCAACCCGACGCAGGCAAATGACAGCCGTGAGGAAGACGATAGGTTCAAGGAGAAGTTGTCGATGATGGAAACACTTGAGATCATAGAGTTGGATGTTAGACGACTTTTATTAGACAAGATATTCGCGCATGAACAGGTCAAAAGCCATATGGTACAGATCCTGTACAATTACGTGGTGGAAAACAATACCAGTTACAAGCAAGGGTACCACGAGCTATGTGGAGCCGTGTATTTGCAGATGTTGTCCGACGAACCCGAGATGAGGGTCGTGAATACGTTTAATATCTTCAACAAACTCATGGTGCGAATCCGGCCTGTGTTTTACGAGGAAAAAGCGTTAATAGCGTGGTCCAAAGACGTTTTCGACACCATTCTGAAACTCACGATCCCCAGGCTTCATACCTTGTTGACCGACCATCACAAGGTGGACAGTACACTGTGGCTCATACGGTGGACACGGCTATTGTTTTTACGCGAGCTCGATCTTTCTTACGCACTACGAATTTGGGATCATATTTTGACATTCACGTATCCGGTACCGGACCTTATTGCATGTGTCATTGTGGTCATGTTGATCGCGATTTCACAGGAATTGCATTCGTGTGAGGATCAGGGCGACATAATAAGTCTGCTCTTACACTATCCATCAGATCGACAGATCAACTGTGTGGATCTGATGAAGCATAGCGCCAACTTGTACGAGTTGTATTCTACGCATCAATTCCAAGAGATGCCTGGGTTCGGCGAGATCATCTGTCGTACTTACAATCGAGAGTGGTACGATAAATCTGCACAGATTAAGGACCCGAACCGGCTGCGATTGGAAGAAAGGCTTAAACGTCGTGTGGAGTGGAGATTACAGCAGGATAAATAGTTGGAGCAAGCAAATGCACTATTGGCTTTTCAAATGGTTTATCATTAACGTTACGTAGAGGCAAATAATAAAAGGGCATGTTAACTACACCGCTGGAGCGCGCAAACAAGCTTATTTCTTCTTACCTTGAGCAGCGACAGCGGCGGCACCGGCAGCAGCGGCTTCTGGGTCCAAGTAGTAAGCGGGCTTGGTTGGCTTCAAGTTCTCGTCCAGCTCGTAAACCAATGGGATACCAGTTGGAATGTTCAACTTGGCGATGTCAGCATCGGAGATGTTGTCCAAGTGCTTGACCAAACCTCTCAAGGAGTTACCGTGGGCGGCGATCATGACAGTCTTACCGTCCAAAAGCTCCTTGGAGATAACGTCTTGCCAGTATGGCAACAATCTGTCGATGACGAGCTTCAAGGACTCAGTGGCTGGGACAACGGCTGGGTCAATGTCGTTGTATCTTTCTTCACCCTTTTGGGAGTACTCGGACGAGTCCTCGATGGTTGGTGGAGGAACGTCGAAGGATCTTCTCCAGGTGTTGAATTTCTCTTCACCGTATTCGTTCAAGGTGGCGGCCTTGTCCTTACCTTGTAGAGCACCGTAGTGTCTCTCGTTCAATCTCCAGGATCTGACGACTGGGATCCATAGTCTGTCGGCCTCAGACAAAGCAATGTTAGCGGTCTGAATGGCTCTGCTCAACTTGGAAGTGAACAAGATCTCTGGCTTGACGTTCTTTTCTTTCAACAATTGACCAGCACGAGCAGCTTCCTTTTCACCAATAGCGGACAATCTAACGTCCACCCAGCCGGTGAACAAGTTCTTCTCGTTCCATTCGGATTGACCGTGTCTGACTAGAACCAACTTTGGCATTTTTGATTTAATTGATGGGTTTGAATCTACAACTAGATTTACTGAAACGAATTCAAAGAAGTGTACTTCAGGATCCAACTTTCTCCATTTATATAATTAACCCACTGCGGCTCGTCACCAGGTGTGGCACTCACCTGTCGGGACGTCTGTGCTGGCCACATCCATCGCTACACCATCGCGTGTAATGTCCGAGTAATCAGGTGTGAAAAGTTTCAGAAGCTACAGGAACCTACAGGAAGCCGATTTCAGAAGCTGGAAGCAGCGGGCATCCATACGAGTTTTAGAAAAAACGAGGGAAAAACATGCAGAAAATGAACGTAAGAGGGCTGAAAACGTGACGAAGACGTTACTGAGAGGTCGCGAACGCAGCTGGCTTTCCAAAGAGACCACTTGAGCTTGCTTAGTGGGCTTGGAAGATATACTTCTGAGTGGTGAGTTGTCAGGTCACGTGACTGTGTAAGGTCAGTGTCAACATGTAAAAAGATGGTACTAAGCAGACGATAGTCATGAGCCGATGGACAGTGGCCAGCACCTAACGCACTAAAACCGCGCTGTTCAGCACTTTGCCCGCATTTTGCCGGCATTTTCGTGAAAATGTCACAGGGGAAGCGTGCCGTACACAATGATTCTCTACTTATCGATATGTGGAACGAATCCGCGACTAGAAAGCGGGGGGTTCCGATTACTTTAAGTTCCCGGACAATATTAGTACCTCCTCATTGGCCTGCTTGAAGACTCACTCCATTTCTTGCCGGACTGTCTTGAATACAAGTCACTAGGTTGTGGTTGAATGTCTCAAACTCACTATCGACGGGGTTTCTGGGTGATTTGTTTAGTATGGTGGCATAAGACATTGCGCTGCCTGATCATCTTTGTCCGTTGCCAAATACCATCAGCCCTCCAATTGTGTGTCTCCTCTTTTCTTTGTGTACTCTTGAAATGTCCGATTTCAACTTTTATGTCTTGTAAGGTCATAATGACATTAGGTATATTTGAAATACAAGAAATACATGAATTAGACAAAGCTGGTGCCGATTACGTGTAGTGTCTCTTAGTGTCTCGTAGTGCCCGGTAGCATCACAGACGCGACTCGTCGTCTCGGTCGTTCTCGGGGTCTCCGAGCAAATTGGTATACGCGCGACCCACCTGGTTATTCAGGTCTGTAGTTTGCATGGCACGTTTTGCGCTCGCGTACGCGAGTCGGGCACATTCGCGTGTTGTAGCACACCCAACGTAACAACTCAAGACGACCATTTGTTCCCATTCGAGCTTCTGTGGCGGTTTCCAGATTTCGAAATCATGGGTCGCGCGCGAAAACGCAAGCATTGCGGCGATCGCGCCCGTTAATGTGTCGCCCTGACCACCAACACGCTTGTTACTGCCTTCGCTCGCGCACTTGAGCGAGCCCTCACGATGCCAAATCGTGTCGTGCGTGCCCTTCTGCACCACGATGCACTGCAATTCACGCGCCACGTCTGCGCCGGTCTTACAGCCCAGACGCTTCGTGATACGCCCAAACTCAACCACATTGGGCGTCAACACCACGCGACCGGGCTGGAACCGCCGCAGCAAATTACACACTTTCTTCGAATAAGGGTCACTTGAAACCAAAAACAGCCCGTCCGCGTCCAGCACGACGGGAATCGCGCCCTCGTGTTTTTGCACCAAATACTCCAAAATCTGGATTGTCGTTTCCAACATGCTGGTGTTCCGGCCCAATCCCGGTCCCACTACGCACACGTGCATTCTATCCAGCAGCGCACAAATTTTGTCCATGCTCGCAGATCCGCTCTCGCGCAAGTACGGATGCACCATCAAGTTGGGCGAATAGCTCTTAATCACAGGAGCAGCGTTCAATTCACACATCACATGCGTAAGGTCTACACCAAACAGCGCGGCCGAATGCGCACTGAAGTACGGTGCTCCCGTGTAGTCTTCACAACCACCGATAATGCACACACGTCCATTTTGGCCCTTGTGAAAGTTAGGCAACAGCGGTGGCACACAGCTCCTTTTCGCGAGTAGAAGGAGTTCTTGATGCGATAGTTTAGAGAAAAGTGACATTGCGAATTGCCCAGGCTACCGATTTTTCTGGTTTTTTATGCTAGCTTTCTCGAAACTTAACAGGTTTCCGCTATCGAATGCAGCTATTCCGGCTAATTTTGAAAACACTGATCTTGCGTTCTGTTACGTTTTCAAAACTGACGTTGTTCCTTTCACGGTTCTCTTATTTTCATTAACGTTACAGTGGAAGCTGAATTCTGCTCTGTTATACGGCAAGGGCTTAAATTGCTATGTGGTGAAAAAGTGAAAAGTGAAAATTGGAAAACTGAATATCAAGTGATGCGCTTTAAACAGCGAAATTCAATCGATGGATAAGGCAGATAAGTGCCATTGAATCACTCTTTTAAGAGCAGAAAACCCAAAATCTAGCCTCGTATGCTGTTAGAATATCTTTTGACCGAAAGGATGGGGTTTTTAGGTGTCTTGTAGCAGTAGAAATGTAGAATAAAGGCATGGCTTGCCAACTGCACAGTAAAATTCGGTTTGTAAGCGAATTTGCGGTGGAAATGGGTCAATTGAAGACCCCCCGGACCGGTCGTGCCGGAATTAGGTATCTCGGGACGCAGTAGCAACGGCTACGTACCCTTGCGAAGCAGGAGGTTGCAAAACAACCCATACCCTAGTGGGTAGCAGCAGGACGGGCTTACTCTCGCAAGCAGCGTTGTTGCGGGAAACAGATTCGTCAGCCACTAGAGGTGCGGCTCTGCGTAGGTATATAAGGGGCAAGACCTCGCCGGCTCTTTGCCAGAGTCAGTTTGAATCGATACATGCTTTCTCGAAGACCAGATTCAATTGTACCACACATGAGCATTTTCGCAAAAGCATTCAGGCAAAGAGCTGCTATCCCATTTGCCGTTGGCGCCGCCGCCGTCGCAGCGTCGTACTACTACTCGTCTGTTGTCAAAAACGAAACTCTGAAGACGTTCAAAGGTGACGATACCTGGGTCGACTTGCCTATCAGCAAAATCGAGTCTGTCTCGCACGACACCAAGAAATTCACATTCAAATTACCTACGGACGACCAAGTCACCGGTTTGGAGACTGCGTCTGCTCTTATGGCCAAATTTGTCACTCCAAAGGGCTCCAATGTCGTCAGACCTTATACTCCGGTCAGTGATGTTCATACCAAGGGCTACTTTGAGCTAGTCATCAAGCACTACGACGGTGGTAAGATGACAGAGCATCTACACAGTCTCAAGCCGGAAGACACGGTCTCTTTCAAGGGCCCTATTCTAAAATGGAAATGGACACCAAATATGTTCGACTCTATCACGCTATTGGGAGCCGGTACCGGTATCACTCCACTCTACCAACTCTTGCACCACATCACGGCCAACCCAGACGACAAGACCAAGATCCATTTGTTGTATGGTAACAAGACCCCTAATGACATTTTGATCAAGGACTTGCTTGACGAAGTACAAGCCAAGCACCCTGACCAAGTGAAAATAACCTATTTTGTCGACAAGCCTTCGGGATCTTACAAGGGCGAAGAAGGGTTTATTACCAAGGAATATCTCGAGAAGAACATTCCTAAGCCCTCTGAAAAGACCCAATTATTTGTCTGCGGTCCACCACCATTCATGAACGCGTATTCGGGTCCAAAGGTTTCTCCAAAAGACCAAGGTGAACTCACCGGTATCTTGAAGGAATTGGGTTACGACCAGAAGCAAGTGTTTAAATTCTAAAGCACTGATTTTCAAAATTAGTTAACGAACCACGTCACATAGCTTAAATTATACATTCACGTCCTTATTTACCTTGTAAAGAGAGCCCAATTGGCGAGTTTGCTCCTCTGCTGATTGTCCATTCATGGGTTTTGTTGCGAACACACTCCAGTCGACATTGCTCATCGGTGGCCTATTCTGAAGCAGCTTGACGACATCAAGGTCGCCTAAACCCCTATTGGGTGGGTTAGATTGCAAGTATCGCACAGAAGAGACGAATTCTGGATCGATATAAATATCAATTCGGTCGCTGTTGTAAGTAGGATGCTTCAAATCCATTTCAACTTCTATAATTTCCATGTGTCTGCGTCCCTTCCCGCATTTATCTAAGGCAAGGAAATTCGTGCGCCGAGGCGGTTCGCACTTTTCGCTAGGAACACTGTCTTCTGGCTCGTCATCCAGATCAAGACTAATTTCATCAGGATTCGCGTGGTTATCGTCTCGAGACCGCTTGTTATCAGAAATTGTAGCCTTGTAGTATACATGCAAATGCGCACTTAGCCACCAAGCAGGAAACTGCAATTTGAGCAATTGCCAACTAAATGGGTTACCCAATTTCCCATTTTCGACGTCTTGACGGAAAAAGGGCTTTTTGGACAAAAGTAGCTTCAAATTGCCCGCTCTTGCTGCTCCAACGGGCCAATCATGACTGAGCATCACGTCAATACGAGATTGCATGAACAGTGGTATCATGTCCGATTCGCGCACATGATAGAGCGATTTAACATGTGTTTGCCAGCCGTCGGCCTCAATCTGCGACATCGACGGTCTGGAACGATAAAAATCATGACGCTTGAAGATCCCACTGAGGCCAGAGATCCTTATTCCTTGGACAACAATGGCTCCGCTGAATCCCATGTAATAGATATTCTTGGCCACATATCCTCCAAACGGTAGCTCCATCAAATATTGCATACATTCATGGTTCCCACCAATAAAAATAGTGGGCAAAGGTACCTCTTTCTCACCACGGAAATACGCCGGGAAATCACCCAATTTGGCGTATTTCTTGGGCACCGATATCGAGTTTAGGTCCTCATCGCTTCGCAGCGATTGGAAATCACCTAAAATAATCAAAAGGTCAGGTAATTGACCTCGGGAAAAACGATTTAACGACTCATAAATTTGACCCAATTCACCATGTGCACACCCTTGTACCGCAATTCTCAGCTTGGGACTCATTAAGGGGTTTCACGAGTACAGGCTTGTTCGTAGGCACCTAATTTTCAAGAGCGACAAGCTTCGTAAGCCTTCTGTAAGATCACCCGCCGTACGATAATGATATCAAGGAATAAATATATGTACTGGTAATAAATAGTTACTTTGTTGCAGCAGCTCGTTGCGGGGGAGGCATAATTTCGTTGAATAATAAGACTCATGGGTCAAGATTCTTGCGTCGCTCAGTAGGCTCTCACCGCAGGTGGAACAGAAGGGCACTCTTTCTCATCAAGAGTGTTAGCAATGACGCCTCTGTAACCGATATCGACTTTGCCGTGAGGCTCTCTTTGCCAGGACAATGTGTGCTTCATCCAGTTAACATCGTCTCTCTCTGGATAATCCTCTCTGGCGTGAGCACCACGAGACTCCTTTCTGTTCGCGGCGGACACAGCGGTTTGGGTTGCGCAACTTAGCAAATTTTGCAATTCCAAAGTCTCTACCAAATCCGAGTTCCAAATCATGGATCTGTCCGAGGTCTTGACTTCGTCGAAACTTTGATCAACTTTAGTGATGTTCTTGACACCTTCGTCCAAAATTTCTTGGGTTCTGAAAACGGACACATCGCTTTGCATGGTTTTTTGCATGGCCAATCTGATCTCGCTAGTTTGTTTAGTCCCGTCGGCAGTTCTTAAGCGGTCCAAATTGGCAATAGATTCTTTGCCCAAATCCGAAGGCAAAGGCTTGTGAGGCAAGCCTGGTTGCAAAGTGTCAGCGATGGTGTGGGCAACGGCACGTCCAAACACAACCAAGTCCAAAAGTGAGTTAGCACCAAGACGGTTGGCACCGTGAACCGAAACACACGCGGCTTCACCGCACGCTAGCAGGCCTGGGATGGTCTGGTCTTTGCCCTCCTCGTCCACTGTGAGCGCCTCACCGTTCCATTTGGTTGGAATACCACCCATGTTGTAATGCACGGTGGGCAAGATTGGGATGGGCTCTTTGGTAACGTCGACACCCGCGAAAATGCTAGCCGTCTCGGAGATACCCGGTAATCTCTCTTTGAGCACGCTGGCGGGCAAATGGCTCAGTTGCAAGAACATGTGATCCTTCTCGGGACCAACACCTCTTCCCTCACGGATTTCCATAGTGATGGCTCTGGAAACCACGTCTCTACACGCCAAATCCTTCGCGGTAGGTGCGTATCTCTCCATAAACCGCTCACCTTCGGAATTCACCAAAAACCCACCTTCACCACGCGCACCTTCTGTGATCAAACACCCGGACCCGTAGATACCAGAGGGATGGAATTGCACGAATTCCAGATCTTGCAATGGGAAACCGGCCCGGGACACCATCGCGTAACCGTCACCGGTGCAGGTGTGCGCCGAGGTACACGAGAAGTACGCACGACCGTAGCCACCCGTGGCAATGACGGTCTTGTGGGCACGGAACCGATGGATCGTACCGTCTTCTTGATTGTACGCGATGACACCGACGACTTCGCCGTTGTGGGTGAGCAGGTCCATCGTGAAATACTCGATGAAGAAATGCGTGTTGTGCTTGAGGGCCTGGCCGTACAAAGTGTGCAACAGCGCGTGACCGGTCCGGTCCGCGACCGCGCACGTTCTGTATGCCTGTCCACCCTTTCCGTTCTCCTTGGATTGCCCACCAAACGCCCGCTGGTAGATACGGCCCTCTTTGGTTCTTGAAAAGGGCACACCGAAATGTTCCAGTTCGATGATCGACTGCGGCGCTTCACGCGTCATGTAGTGGATCGAATCCTGGTCACCTAGCCAGTCGGAACCCTTGACTGTGTCGTACATGTGCCATTTCCAGTCGTCCTTGTGCATGTTCCCCAAAGCAGCGTTAATTCCACCTTGTGCGGCCACCGTATGCGATCTCGTTGGGAAAAGCTTTGAGATACAGGCGGTCTTGTATCCGGCCTCGGCAAGCCCAAACGCAGCCCTCAAACCGGCACCACCGGCTCCCACAACAACACAGTCGTATTCATGATCCACCACTTGATACTTGCCGTTGATGTCGTCCTGCGCTGGAGCAGCGCGCATTGCGCGTCTGCTCGTGCTGAGCTGCCTGCTGCACTCAGCAATGCGGGCCCGCGAGTTCTTCAAGTTTCTGACACACAGCATTTCTGGTTTAGTTACTATGACCTTAGAGCGCTTTGGATACAGACACCTGTGTTGATGTGTATTGGTGGGTTTCGTTATATATAAAGGCGAGAAGTTAATAATCCAGCGTTTGTCACTCCGAAACCCAGGGGCAAGCACTTTATTGGGTGGTCGGTGCCGAACGGGAAACTCGGAGACGAGATCGGAGCACGTACGTAGTGATATCGCAAAATGGCCGACACCCACACATCCCGTCCAAAGCGATAGTCCGTGAGAGATGATCATACGTATCAAACGACCATGAAGAACCCAGACACCCAAACGTACACAGTGAGAGGAGTCACGAAGGACCGGTCGCTCGATACGGGGGGGAACCCGTCTTCTCACCACTGCATTTCCTGTGCATCTGTGCATAAGAAGTCGCATACAATTATCAACACTACATGTAATTACCAGAAGGTTCGCAGAGGGCTCGTTTGCCCGACGGCTGCGGTGCGCGTGGATCCAAAGGCGTGGGCGCGTAAGTCACGTGACCATCGTTAAATCCCACCTGTAGTATGCCGTCGATGGCATTTAAAGGCGCATGCCCCGTCACATACCGCTCACCGTCTGCGGAACCCCGGTGGAGGCTGAAAAGGACGTGGCTGTCGCTGTTGGTGGGCAGGTCCTTGTTGAAAACCGTCGGTCCCCGGCGGATTCGCTCCCGCCGGCGTCCTAGGCGCCGTCTTCGACAGTGTCGAAGACGACGCCACACCGGCACGTACCACACCTTTACCCTTTCGCTTGTGTTTGGCCAGCTGGGCTCTGTTTCTCTCGCCCGCAAGAGCACGTTGTTTCTTGGTCATCGCGGGCGCACTTTCTACGACAGTAGTGAGCACCTGCTCGCCTCGCAACACCACGAGTCCCAGCGGCCGCGTCTCGAGTCTGGGACTGTAGGCCTCTTTTTTCTCCTTGGATCCATTTTGCCGCTTCAAATCCTGCATTTGGGCCTCCGGGATCCGATGTTCAACGCACTCTGCGAGAACTAGGTTCATGTGCGCGTCGAACGCCATGAGCTCTCCAACAAACGCGCGTCCATCGACCGTGATCGCACGTATCCGGTAGTGTATAAGGTCCGAGAGCTTGCTCTTATGTCCGACTTTAGTGGTGCTCATCGCCGGATGGATATCTTTCGCCGTGTTCGCTGTCTCTGGTTGGTATATTATCCAGTCTTTTTCCTACCAACTTGCAAAAAATATATAAAAGGGTTCTCTTCGCCGGGCCCCATCGAAACCCGGACTGGCAAGACTCCAGCCTTCAGCAGTTTCGCTACGTATACAATGGCCGTCGCGCAGAAGCATGAGCTCAGAGACCAACCGGATAGAAAGAAGCAGAAGAGACGGCGCAATTACGATGCGTACGACCAAGAAGTCGCTGCGGAACAGTCCAAGACCAAGGAGCAGACAAAGGACGAGGACGGCAGCGAGAGTGAAGAAGATGACGAAAAACTAGACCAAACCATGGCCAAGGAACAAGAAGAGGAAGAGGATTTGACCGAAATTGACACTTCTAACATCATACGTGGCGGAAGACGTACCAGAGGCAAGGTCATCGATTACAAGAAAACTGCGGAAGCACTAGATTCGGAAGTGGCCGAGGCCGTCGGGACTGAGGCGGTCAAAAAAGATCCCAAAGATACCGCCCAGGAGGATCCCAAAGAAGACTCCGAGGAGGTCACCGAAGAGGTCACCGAGGAAAACACCAAGGACGGAGACGGAGACGGAGACGAGGACGAGGACGACGAAGAAGACGAGGACTACGCTGGTGAGAGCTGAGTCCATTGGCCTCTGGCACATTGTCCTCTTCGCTCATGCCTCGTGATGGACTCGTACAGGAGTAGATGTGTACGTAAACGCTATATTTTCTTTCGGAACGTATGTGGGTTGTTAGATTTATGACTTGCTTACCTTTAAATACCCGTCGCACGGGCGTCGCAGCGCCCGCAGCGCCCGCACGAGCTCAACAGCAGTTGTTGCCCTTCTTGGCCTTTTCGTGCGGAGCTGGCGTTAAACTGATGGTAGGACCCTTGGGCGCCTGCCCCGAGCTGGATCCGTATTCGTTGAGATCCACCTGGTGTTTGCTGACCATTTGGTAAATGGCGGAAATGAGTTCGCGGAACGCCTGGTCGACGTTTTCGCTGTTCAACGCACTGGTCTCTGTGAACAGCAGCTGGTTTTCTTGCGCAAAGTTCTTGGCCTCGTCCGTGGGCACCGCGCGCAGATGTGCCAAATCCGATTTGTTCCCGATTAGCCCCACAGCGACGTTTTCGTCCGCGTTTTCGCGCAGCTCCATGAGCCAGTGATTGCAATTTTCGTAGCTGCTCGACTTGCTGATGTCGTATACGATCAACGCGCCTACTGCGCCCCGATAATATGCAGAAGTGATGGCCCGGTACCGTTCCTGGCCCGCCGTGTCCCAGATCTGCGCCTTGATTTTCTTGTTTTCGACCTCGATGGTCCGCGTCGCGAATTCGACCCCGATCGTCGACTTGGACTCCATGTTGAACTCGTTGCTCGTAAACCTGGACAGCAGGTTCGATTTCCCAACCCCAGAGTCTCCGATCAGCACGACTGACGTTTTGTTAGTGATTGGTTCCCAAACGCTTACCACGTATCGCTTTTCGGCTCATAGCCCCCCCATCCCTACCAACGTAACATACTTTTGAACAGATAGTCGTAGTCGTAGCCGTAGTCCTCGTTGTTCATGTTTCCGAAATGTACCTGTCTGTATCCCCCTGTGAGCTACCTGGCTGAAACCTCGACTCGTTGTTGCTGACGCTAAACGGTATCTGGGCTTTAAGGCCCGGTTGTCCTAATTGGTTTTCAAAGATTCCCAAATAGATATCGTCATATACGAAACACACGAAACACCAAATATCCAACTATCAGCTGTAACTAAACCCTTCGCGTCTATAAGCCTGGCACTGGAACGTCTACACTGCTAAAAACACAATCAGCTCAATTGACCCAAAAATATTCTTGCAAATGTCCCTGAACAAGCACTGAGGACCTTATACGGTCCAAGCTTCTTAAAACCTTGGGAGTCTTGGCACTTGACACCCATTTCCAGCCTGCTCGTAACCACATTTAAACCATATTTCAGGCTTTCATATAGTTAGTAAACCTTAACAAGTGTGTAGAGCAAACTTAGCCATTACAGTAAGTAAAAGCGACGTTGATCCTCGTTCCCAGCTGCCCTCCCGGGTTATAAAAGGTTGGCGGCTAAAAGCGGAATTGTTCTTTTGAGTTCTATGCGAAACTGTAATTTGGGGTTAAGATGAGACCCCGGAGCCCCGGAGCCCCGGAGCCACTGGCTCCGGGGCTGAGAGCGGGGTCGAGCTTGGGTCATGCGGGGCGTGCTGGGGCCGTTTCTAGGTAAAGCCTTTCGGCGGCATGACGTACACGCGGGGTCGAGCAAGGGATCAAATAAGGGGTTGGGAACAAAAAAAAGGTATAAATACGTGAGAATTTTCCTTTATCCCTGCTTTAGCTGTCTAGAGTTTTTGCCACTCGCAGCGGTCCGGGATGGAAACACGCGAGGGATTGAGCTTCAGAAGAAGGTATGAGCAAACAAAAGCCATTGCGCTTTCAAACATGTTACCTTTCGTCTGAAGCTCAGTCCATGCGTGTGTTTTTTGTCCCGGAACGCTCGGCGGCTAGAACATACGTATATTGTGATAGTGTAGAATTAGAGCAATGGATAGGAAATGGCTCCTTCGGACACCGTTTGGAGGAACTCAGCGGGCGACGCGGGGGACTGCATGTGTCTTCCAAAAAGCACAGAATTTTGAGTGCGCTCCGTTTTCGGCATTTTTTTCGTACTTGGAGGCAATGATAAACGATTCCCAAAGAGGAAATATGGAAACAATGGATTTCATCATGTGCATCCGTGGAGAATTAATCGCATCTTCACTTCAATCAGCCTTCGAATGCAAGGTATGTTCGGCGCGCCTGTGAGAAATTGAATTTGCTTCGAAGCTGAAGCCAAAGGAATTGCGCGCGGTGCGGAGCTCCAGAGGAGCTGATTATAACTTTAACGCGGGAATGCCGGAAACCGCATTCTTGACCCCTACTAAGTATGGTGACCACTTAACGCCTTGCTTAAGATCGGCAGAGCGAAGAGGTCCCACCTACAATCATCGTCACAGCAATTCCCAGGTAAGGTTCTCCTTGCCCAATGTCGAGGACGAGGACCCTACGAGGGACCTGGAGGAAGAACAACTGCACACGCCCATAAAGCAAGCTTCCAAGATAGTCTTTCCAAGAGAAGACGACGGAACTTTAGAGAACGATAAGGCCAAGCATTTTGTTGACCTTCCGCACAGAGTGATGATCGATGTTCCAAACGATATATGGGAATTCCACAGCAAAGGGCGTAGTCGTGAGATGCTAGCGGGCGAAGAACCACTCGAGCTGAAAAGGCCCAGTGCACGTCGCTCACATCAACGAACTCAATCTTTCCAATCCATCATTGCTGATACCATACACGCTTATAAGGACTCTAATCGAACCGTGAACGCTACACATATGTCGCCAGTAAGACTCCCGCCCGATACCTCGAAGTCCGGAACACTGTTTCTGCGCTCCGATTCTCCTCTCAACAAATATAAAGTGGCAGTGCCTTTGGAAATTTCGGTGCCGCCATACTTATCCCCCGACAATCGTCACAAGAGGCGAAATAGCGTGATATATGACGGCGACGGCTACAGCGCCTATTTGTCCGAAGATGAGGGCGATACAGAAGGGAGTAATGGCAATGAATCTTGCAGTCGAGACAGCAGCGGTGTTGTTGAAGACATCAGTGACATTTCCATCCCGTCTGCATCACATTCCATAGTTTTTGAAGCCGGTCAAGATGTTGATACTTTTCTAGGTATCGATAAAGACGCCAACGTCAATTTGAAGTCGCAAGTACGCAATTTAATGTCACCTAATCGCATCGGAATGTCATCTTCCTCACACCCAGGGCAGCATACGCCTCAAGCCAAATCAAGGCAGTCTTCGGCAAGCAAAACCAATCCTGATCAAAACGATTCTCTCAAGATATTAGCAACACCCTCCAAAACTATTGAAATTCCAGACCTGCATCAAATGGTCAAGTCTCCTGGCATGTTGCGATCACCAAATCACGCTTTCTTCGATGATTTAGGACCCGAGTTATCTTACGAAATGGAGGACACATACGGCGGCACGCGAGGTGTTCTAAACCAGAGCTTTGAATTCCCCGTCATCAAAGATTCGAAGGTCGCAAAACCTGGTGGTTTGACGATTTACCCAGAAGGTAACTCTGAAGATTTTATAAAGATACCAACCGCGACTGACAGCATCGACTTTGAGAAAAGACAAAGTCATCTAATGAACCTTGCCTCCCAGACTGGCAATGCAAGAAAGAGGCATTCACACGCGAGAAGTCGCAGTATCCGCAGCATGCAAGATCTCGATTCTATTGAACCATCCCGTCCCCTTGAAATTCCAGAAAGGTCTCCATTGAGGCCGTCCAGCATCTCGAGCCACGAGAGAAGTAGTTCCGCGACTAATCTTTCAAAACTATTTCTGGATGGAAATGAGGCTGTAGGTAGCACCCCAGCCGTGGGCCGTCATCAGAGCATTGCCAAAACTCTTCCCGAAGCTCGATCGGAGCTAGACTCTCTAAGGCACGAGGTGGAGTACACCCAGAATAAAAGTCCGGGCCACAGTGTAACGCCTAGCGTAGATTCTGCCCAGCATTTCTTCGAAAACGACTATGAAAGTCGTTCATTCTCCTCCAGCTCCTATAATGAGTTAACCGATGATGCCCAAGGGCTTGAAACGGGCGAACCAACATCTGCCGATGATAGCATCCAAATCATCAAAGAAGTTCATTACAATAGTACCGCCCCCCTTTCAACTTACAACTCTTTCAAGATACCTTTAGATGCCTCACATTTCAAGAAGCATGAGGAGCCAACATCTATGAACGAGAAACATGGTAACGTTTCTCTTCCCAGTCGACAACTTTCGAACAATTTCAGCAATTCGTCTTATGAGACGGAAAGCTCGCAACGGTCTCATCAAACTTCTTTAACGTCGTACTCGGCGGCTAATGACAATGAAGTTGTTCGTGCCCCTACCAAGGCTTCAAATAACAACCCTGTCGTGGCATGGAATCAATCGTACAATTCACCATTTTTCACAGCACAAAACAGGAACACTAGTGCATATCAGCATTTGCCTCTCATCGGGAAACCCAGGCCCGCCGCCGCGAATTTGGATGACTGTCAAATTTCAAGAGAGAAGATTGGTGGTAGATTTGTCGACGTTGTTATATTAGATGAGCAAGAGACACCTAAGAAACCCAGTCATCGGCCCAGATCTTTCCACGAGGGAGCTCGAGAAAACTGTTTCGAAGTCATGCAGATGTGCGATCAAACAGCTGACAGAGCAAAGGACGTCATATTGAGCCTAGTGGAGAAAAAAGTAGCGGCAACACGATCAATGGAAAAATCGCCTAATCGCCCTCTCCCCCCCTCCCTTTTATTCCGTCACAGATGAGAGCCGACAAAGGACAATATACATCGAAGTTGGACAGACTTAGATTTGAGCATCGTAATTCTGATCAAGGGCATGGGGGTATCGATCAGAAACCTTCCGCTAAGCAAAATTATTTTGACTACCAGGGTAGTGAGAAGTACACGTTTGACACGTTCATGGAAGGATAGTTTCATGCATTGGGCATTCTAAATATAATGTATAGAACAAGTCGGAAATTGCATTAATCGAACTGAAGTTTTTATGAAAGCACGAAACGAGCTTAAATGTGTACAAGATAAAATTTGAAAATGCCCGTTACTATCATTTGGAGTAAAGAGAAGACTTGGTTGATGCCTGTGGATGAGCACTGTGAAAAGTGAACGCAACCGCACGATTAGAAATTGTTCTCATCCCAAAAGAAAAAGAATATTAGAGATACTACAGTCCGAGAAGAAGTACAACAACTTTGCAGTCTGTGCGCCTGTCCTGTCCCTCCATGCAGTGTTTAGTTTGCTCTCTAAGCGTGGAGAGAGTAGAAATTTGCGAAATGTGGTGCAAATTGAACGAGTATAAAACGTGAAGCTTGTTAAAAGCGACCTGAAATTCGATTAATGAATACCGACAACTAGCCCTTCGAGAAGAAAATAGAAACCATGGTTCGAAATCGCAATGTTCAAGGCCCTTTTAATCGTGGAGATCCGTCAACGGAGGATGCGCCTTCTTGAATTGGGCTCAATGAAACGCTTTGATGGAAACCTGGACTTGGTCGACTAAACGAATTTGAAGGGGTTACCGGATTATTGGTTACATCTCCGAGTAGCGTATTCGTATCTCCTGCTGCATCAAATTCTTCCCTAACATGATAAATTCGTTCTGGAGATTTCAAGAGGGCTGCTGAATCAGATACTGAACGCGATAATTGACTATTGAAAAATGTGACCGTCTTGTTCTTCAGTTCAAGTTTGTTTTGATAAGGTTTCCTTTCTTTAGCTGCAGGTGAGGGTCGCTCCGAAAAACTGTGGGTTCTTCTGTAAGCTCCCATGCGTAGGATTGCATCCGGAGATTTGGCTGTTGAAAAGACGGTATCGTCATCATCCGGAAATGTAAAGTCTTCTGGCACGTAATTAACCTCATCCAAATAATTATCGTCGATATGTGCTTTTGATTTGAAATTATCTTCTTCGCTTTCATCGATGTAGTACAGCGTACTTGTCACACCCGGAACGTCGGAGTCTAGATTTGAATCTAAGTCATGATATTTCAAAGAGCCCCACCTTGAAAAAGGTCTCGAAGAAGAGCCTTCTCCGCGTAATGGCGTTCTCGAAGGACTAAAATTTATCGGCGATTGCAAGTAACTATTTTCTGGCGTTCGTAACGTCGAGGGACTTGAATTTCCACACAATTCTTTGATCTTGTTACCTGTCGCGGAGAGTTCGGTTTGGCCAGGAAAAGACTTTGAAGCACGCATGTCCGGTCTTCCACTCGAAGTGAACTCACAATTCGAGTTACCCCCGTTATACTCAACAGATTCATCGTCCCCTTTCAGATCGCCGTCGTATGACTGCTGTTCGTCAACATTGTCGTCGCCATCGGTCAAGTCAAATATATCGCCATAACCTCCTAGTTTTTTTATTCTACCTGCATTTTGACTAAGGGCTGGAATATGGTTTATGCATTTTGTACTATTCTGTGGTTGAATTGAAAGCTGAGGTGCAATTTCCACGCGACCAATGTCGTCAAGGCTTGAAGTGCTATTTTTAGCCGAGATATCATCACCCTCTTGACTAAAAGAGCTTTCGCCTCCTCGATCTATGGAATTGCTGCTTGATCTAATATCTTCCCCCTCGTCCGTAAGGTTCACCATATCACTGTAACCTGTGTTGGCCTCATTATCCCCAGAATCAGAATCCAGCTCATCAAACCCATATTTTCCTTCTGGTATATCACCTTCCATTGATAAAAGGTCCTGATCGTCAATATAGTTCATGTCTTCATCGAAGTCATCGTCTTCATAGACATCGTCGATGTAGATGTTTTTTGGCTTCAATTCCGAATAATATTTAACCGAAGATGTGCGACCACCAAAACCACCAAGCTCGAATGAAAATTTGGATGAGCTGTCTGAGAGATAGTTATCGTCAGAACTTTCCGAGGACGTTTGGCCTTTTTCTTCAGATTTCTTTCCATTTCCCAAGAAGGCCTCGTCGCCTTCTTCAAAAGATCTATCCTTAAGAGAAAACTCAGTCTTCGAAGGATTAGAGTAGCTTTCGTCCCGTCCAAAAGCGCTCAAATTTTGCCTCGAGGTTGATATTCCTAAGCCTAGATCCTTATTCTGTATAGAACTTTCGCCCTCATGCGTGGAACGACTGGCAGAGCTTACGGGACTGGCTTCAATACGACCCAGAGGATCGAATTTTGACTGGAAAACTTGATAAGGAACTTCCGACTCTTTGCTTAGCGTCAGAATATCCTCATTTGAGTGGATTCGCGCAAGCCTATTTCGATTCTTTACGGTGCTCGAATTCAATAAATGATAAGGATGCTTCAGACGAGCGTCAGACGAATCGCGACTCACGTCCAATTGACTTCTTGAAGCAGAAATTTGTTGCGAATTCGTATCGCTCTGAAATTCGCTATCAACAGTGCTTGAAGTCACAGACGATATCGACGCTCTCTGAGCATTTTGTCGCACAGATCCAGACGCGCCTACTCCATCTGAATGATGTTCTGACGAAAAAGAAGTTCGATTCAGCAAAATCACAGGTGTCTGTTCTTCGCAGTTAACGCCCCATTCGTGAGTACGAGTCCCTTTGACCGTAGTGGGACGCTCGTCCATATCGCGCCCTGCACGGGACCTATGACTTCCTCTTTCAAAACTACTAACCGAATATCCCTCAGGCGATGAAAAGTGCTTGAAGCCTCCATTCACGGGTGTATTAGGAGCTGTCCAAGGCGTCGCCTGCGGATGTGGCATATCGCCAGTTTTCTTGAAAAGTCGTGCTCCAAAAAACTTGTTCTTGTTTGTCAGCTTGTGAAGCGACTCGAAACTTGGAGATGATCGTGTTATTTCATAGTCACTAAAACCTTGTGGAGACGCCATCTGGTGTCCCGGTGAACATCCATCGGCCGATCCTTTTCTTTCTCTGAAAGCCGGTTTCTTGGGACTGCTATCGAGAGAACTTGATCGTTTATGGGACTTTATAAGAGAAAGCATATCCCCCACTTTTTGCCTTCCCCAAAAAGTACCTCTCAGCGAAATAGTCGCCAACTGGCCTAGACGGAATCTTGTTTAAAATGAGCCACCTACCCTGTTCTTAATGAAGATCATGATGAGATGGGACCCCAGTAATTAAAACTCAAGTCTCGAACTCACGTGATCATCATGGCGAACTACAAACTAGAAAGCTTATTCACATAAGCATGTTCGATCAGATCAGAAGGTCAGTTTCTCTAATGTTCTAGTGAGCTTTGCCGCTCCCGCTATTGATGAGTCGGTGTCCAGTAGGATTTTCGCCCTGTTTTGTTGTAGCCCCTCTAGCAACATGCAAGCTTTACAAATTTTGTTGCTTGACAAGTAGCCACATCTTTCGCATCTATTGCCGTCTATGAAACCGCTGTGCCGATTGAGCAAGACAGACCCGTCGCTTCGTACTTCAACGGCATCTGCGGCCTGTGCAGGTGGAGCTTTTTTGACCTTTTTAGGTTTTAAACGAAGCATTTCACCGCTCTGTATGATATCAATGATGCAACTGGGTCTCACGGCTTCAAGATTTTTCATAAGCTCTCTGGCAGTGCCGCGAAATGCTTCCGGTGCGTAGGTACACTCTGTGGAAAAATAGTCCAATTTCTTGTAATGCGCGTACAATACAATTTCCTTTTGGTACGAAAACTTGAAAGGTTTCGATCTTTTCACCGGGGATCCTGCACTTTGCGTGATAATGGAAGTCGATTTTTCAAGACGTGCTACGTCGCCTCGAAGAATGTTCATCAGTACAGTTTCGGCCATATCATCAGCGTTATGGCCCGTAACAACATGTTTAATACCCAGTTTCGCTGCGCCACGATCCAGAGCCTGACGTCTGAACACTCCGCAATAAGTGCAGCTGTTTCTGACACCTGCGCAGGCGACAATCTCATCCATGGTCCAATCGTACAATTCACGATACGAGACGATTTCTAACGGAAGCTGATATTGTTCTTTGTTCCGCTTGACAGTCGCAAGCGAGTCATCACGGTAACCTACAATACCTTCGTCAATACTGAGTAACACGATATCGATTCCATAATGGTAACGTTCATTAAGAAGCTTTAACACATATGCTAAAACCGTCGAATCTTTTCCACCAGAGGCGCCCACGGCAACCTTTTCTCCAACGGCAAACAGCGAGTTGGAGACGATAGTGTTGTGTATCTCCGTCTCGAAAACATGGAAGAAGCATAATTTGCAAATTTTCTGCATATTCTTGGGCCTTTTGATTAAAGCTTTCCTCGAATGACATAGTTCGCAAAGTTGCGAAACTTTGACATTCTTTGGTTTCTTCGTATCTGATGGCGGTTTGAAGGACATCTCAGGACTGTAAGCGGGCCCTTTTATGGAAGTTTTTTTGGATTGACAGAGGTGCGATGAGCCAGTGATGAGCTTAATCTTAAAGAACTTTTTCATTATAGAGATACTTAGATAGAGAGACCTAAATGGCTGAGCGAAAGCTTGAAAAATCCTGCTAAGTATTTGCCAACTGACTCCGAAATCGCCCCGTAGTGGTGATCAAAATTTGGCATCCTGGACCAAAAGCACCTTTTGAAATTTCAGTTTTTGATTGAATACCAACGCTATTTAAATGACGCCATTCGTCTCTCGATAATCGAATGTGTCTTTTCAGATTTGACACATTCATGCCACTCTGGCAATTTGGATAGAATTTGCAGAGTTCCTGGTATATTCTTTTGTGAGTTTAAAATATGTGGCTCGACAATGATGAGTGCGACTGACAGAGCAAAAAGCCCTCGTTGTAGTTGACAGTTCTCGGTTTCATGACCTCTCATTAAATCTTTTGGCACTGCGATTAGCCATGCGAAGTTTAATCGCAGTTTGTTCGACGTCTTCACTCATCATATCCAGCAGTTCATTCTGCGTGGCCAATTCCTGGTTCATGGCCAGTGACAAGTTCTTTTGATTCTTTATTACACCACGCAATTTTTCAAGTTCTTCGTCTTGGTCCTTCATGGTGTCCTTGTGAAGTTGCAAGAGTTGTTGATTATTCCTCGTCATTGTAGTGTCAGTTTCGCCGATCCTGCGACCTGCACCGGGCTTTTGAGATACTAAAAATGAACTATCCAGCCCTCTGTCCTCTGCAGTTCCACTAAAACTACTATTAAGATCAGATTTCAACACTTTCAACAAATTCTCACGTCGCTGAATTTCTCCCACCCCAACCACTTTGTTATCGCGCAAAAATACAAGCCCGTTTTCCAAGTTGCTTAGCCTTAATCGCAACTGCGCCAAAGATCGACTCCCACGGGACGATTTACGATTTTCTTCCATGATACGCTTACAATTTCGGAACTCTTCAAGCCATTTCTCTGCGTTTCGAAGTTCTTCTTCTGTCAAGGTTTCATTCTGATCAGTTGCAGTTAGTTTCCGTCGCGACGGAATCGTATACCAATCGCTCGGTAATTGCAAAAATTGACACACGTACGGCGATCTTTTCCATCTGGTATCAAACGAATCGTTCAGCATGTCGTGTAAGAAACTCGTTAGCTCCTTCTTCCGTTCTTCAATAACATCCGGATCGCACGATCTAACTGACCTCCCCCATATCGTATATCGCTGCGAAGACAACTCATACGGCAATTCTGAGTTTACGTCGTGCTCTAAATCCTTTTTCAGTTTCCAAAACTCCGAAAACCGTCGAAATACATGATAATCGTGACTGTAATTGTCACCTTTTGATACCTTTAAATCCACACGGTACAAAGCAAACGCGCCCTTTACCACTTGAACGTCATCAATAAGTACTCCCACATGAACACGGAGATCGTTTCCACTCATTGATACGCCATCAGTGCCTTGGTTTTAGGGCGATTCGATGTGATTGGAAGTTGACCATTTTTATGGGAATTTCGGTTTCCTGATATTTTGAAATTTCAAATATGTTATAACTTGATATTCTAACTTCGATACATAAGACAGAAAAGTCGCCAATTAATAATGGTATGATACCCAAAAACTGCTATATGTTTCACACGATTCAATTCACTAACGGCGCTTCTTGGAGCAGTCGAAACTGTTTATTTCGACAACTAATGTCGGAAGAGCTCATGAAGCTGATATATTCGGATTATCGATCTCTACACCTTACACAGTGACTTGTTCAGGTGATGGATGGATTAAACTGTGGAAGAACAGATTGCTGGAGGGCGACTTGCCCAAAAATAACGTCATTTCGAAGTTTGTGCATAGGACTGGTGTCCATCACGTCGATGCGTTTCATAGCGTGGAACACGGTGGGGTTGAATTGGATTTGGTGGCCTGTGTGACATTTTCTGGTGAGTTAGTGATTTACTCGGTGAACATGAAGCAATTGGCTGTAGAACAGGTGGACTTGTTTTCCTCTAGTGACAAGCAGAAATCTTACTGGTGCGTAAAATGGTTCAAGAGCAGCGACAGTGAAATTCCGCATAAACTATTGGCTACAGATGTCAAAGGTTCTACAAGAGTGTGGAATCTTACCGTCTCGCATACCGAGGACGCTGATTCACGTCTCCAGCTGATTTTGCATGGCGAGATTACCGCACCGGTAGCTAACTTCGCTACGTCGTGCGACATGTCGCCAAAAGGTTTGATCGCAACGGGGTTTGAAAATGGCAGTGTTATAGTCTCTCAGGCGGATACTTTGAGACCCGTTTACAATTTTGAGGGCTTTGGGATTCGTGGGACAGAAGAAAGCGGAAGAACGGTCCGGGACGTCAAATTTTCGCCCATGGGCGAGTTGCTTGCGGTGGCTAACGATTCTGGGTCTTACGGTTGTGTTACGCTTTATGAAACAGAATACGGAGAACGAATCGGTAATCTAACTGTACCAACTCACAGTTCACAAGCCAGCATAGGAAGTTTTGCCCATAACGGTTGGGTATTTGCTGTAAGCTTCAATTCAACGGGCGAATTTTTGGCTACATGCGGATATGACAGTAAAGTGCGGGTATGGGATGTTAAGATGCGAGAGCGTTTATCGACCTTGAGTTTAAGTGCAGGTGATATTGAAATCGAAGAAGACATTTTACTGGAAGACGAATTTGGCGATTCGCTTAAAAACCCACCCGTGTTTGGCGTTTCTTTCGTAGAAAAGGGCGTTCGTGGTGGTACGGGAAGCGATACAAATGAGGGTCTTTGCTGCATTTGCCTGGATAGAAGTATCCGCTGGTATAGAGAAGCTGGCGGTATATAACTCTTTAAACCTAATACTCCTGATCATTAGCAATAAAAAACGTAGCAAGATTTATCAGTAAAGAACTATTTGACCTTACAGAGATTAAAAAAAAGCTTGGTTGATGTATTGCATACAGAGAAAGTGTGTTGTTCGAGCTTGAAACTGAGCTCAGCTAAGAGATCCCAAGCTTCCAACAGTTAATAAAATTTCAAAGAAAACGCTCATAAGTGTCGAAGTCAATCGTGCTTTCAGAAAAGAATCACTCGAAACAAATAAGGAAAATTGGAAAAGAGCATAAAATCAACACAACACCCAGAACGTGGAAAATAAAATCAGAAACACCATTTGTGAATCATTCAATATTTTTTTCGAATATTTGAGAGAGGTTTTTCTATTTTTTTTGTTTGTCTTTTTTGGTGGGTTACCTACCCTTAGGATACGACGGCAACACGTGGGAAGAAATGGAACTTGATCGCCGTCGTTGATAGCATCTTATTTTTGCTAATTGGAAAGACAGCAGTGAACATTGCTTGAAACGACGTTTCTCTTGAAGTCATCTGCGGGCGTATTCCAAAAAGTTCCCGAAGCAATCGGTGCCGGTGCTGGAGCCATGCCTGGAAATGCATTGCTGTAATAATTGTAGCCGTAGCCGTTAATGCCATGCTTGGTCATTGGACTTCCGTTCGACAACGGTGAGGCAAAACTAGCTGGTGGGAAAAAATTGCTAGTGTTGCTTCTCTCGTCAGTGTAACAAGGCGAAGAGTAGACCATAGAAGAAGATTGTAGCGGAGTTTGGAATCCGTAAAAACTCTGGGAGTGAGACGATGGAGTGGCGGAGAATCCTTGTCCCCTAGTAGGAGAAGGAAGAGTGTATGCCTGTAGTGGCGACATTCTGCCACGACAGAAATGTTCGAATGATTGGGAATATTCCGAATATAAGACGAATTTGTCGTCAAACAGTCTCCATTCAAAGACAGCAAGCCATTCTCTTTCGAATTCGTTGATAGTGGCAATTTCCATTCCTGTAGCTTGAGACCAGGATTTGTTGGTGAAAGTTTTGTCGTCGTTGAATTTGTTTGCAAGCACGAACGCGATCATCAAAGTTTGATAAATCACGTTCACGGCATCACCACCGGCGCTTTCAGTACCGTTTGGCAATTTCACCAAATATTTGCGAAGTAAATCCAGGGCCAAAAACACCGTTACAGATGGCAATCTTGTAGCGTTCAACACAGAGTTAACGCCCTTTGTGAAAACGTCAGATACGCTTCCAGACTCCTGGTTGAAGGCTTCGTCACTGTCAAAGATCAAAAACGCGTTTTTGACCACGTATTCGGACATCAAGGCCAAATCGTAGTCTAGAACTTCGCGAACTCCGCCGTTAACTTTAGCTTCCGCCGGTGGGGCCTGACTAGGCATTAGCACAGGTGGAGCCATGTGCGCAGGCTGCGCGTATCCACCAGCATTCATGTAGCTCATCCCTGGAGGTGGGAGCACCACATTGTAGCTGGCAGAACGGTGATGTCCCAAATAAGGTTGTTGTCCTGTCGGACCCACAGCCGCAGCAGCAGGTGCTGCAACCTGCTGTGGAACGCCATAGTACCCATAGCCAACAGAGAAAGGAGCAAAATTGCCCATGGACTGCGTGTGGCCGTGGTACGGCTGGTTGTAATACATGTACGACGCCATGAATTAAAAGTTTCTGGTGAAAACAGAAGAAAAATGGGTCGCGTCAAGGGTTTCGAATGAGACAAATTAAACTAATAACTATCTCTGTTCTATGCTTTTTGGTGAAAAGCAGATTCTCGACTGATGTACACGTTTCTTCGTTTCTCCTTTGTCGCGGGCAGGAGAAAAGGCTTCTTCTCAGTGAATAACGACTTCGCTCCGAAAGAAACAATAGCGCACTCGCTGATACTGCTTAGTGTCGCTGCGACCGGTAAAAAGAATATCCTTTAAAAACACTGCACAAACGCAATTCTGTTTCGACGTTGTTGTCAATACAAGCTCTGTATCGCTATCAAGCTTAACACTTCAAAAATCTGAGCAAACGCACTAAACAAACACTCAAATTTCTCTCGATAACAACCAACAAATAGCTGCAACTAAGCAGACAGACCTGTTTTCGTAAAATGACCTAGTCGATTCAAGAATGACCGCGCAAAAGTGAATCAAAAGAGATACCTCGATGGTTTTTGTTGATATATTAAGAGAAGGAAACAGCTAATGAGACTGAAACTTCCTTAAATATAGTCGAACAAGTAGTTTTTTGGTTTAGTTTGAAGAGCATAAACCAAACTTCAAAAAGAGATCATTTCATTATATTTTATGCAGTAAATGACAAATTTTCCATTCTCTTTGTGTGTTTAGGAAAAGAAAAAAAAATGCAATGTCCTGTTTTACGAATGGAGTAAACGAAATCGTAAAAAACGAGTTGAGTATATTTCAGGTAGCACGTGATATAAATAGAAACGTGACTATCAAATAATATTTCGTGTTAGGTGACAGAAAGTATGGCACGTGGTTTGGGCTTACAACGACACCGCCTTGTCGTCGTCGTCGTCCATGAATATGAGGGCCGTGAGGTTAGCTGGGGACTGCCTCGGACTACCTCCCTCTCAGTAACGTTGTCTTTGTTAATGAGACTTTGCGGGGTTTGATGCCGCCACGCGGCGAGTTCATCTCGTAATCTATTGTTTCCGATCCACGCGGCACGTCCTGCATGCTCACATCTTCTTCTGGGTCCAAAATGGTGTTGTCGTTAACTTCTGTGGTGTTTGTGTTGTCATCGTCAACTATCATGGAAGGTTCGTTCTCGACGACGGTCGGTTCGACAATGGTCGGTTCCGACCATCTTACCTTTTTGTTGTTCTTGTATGGGCGTCGTTGCGCCGGTAGAGCCGCATTGCTACGTATCTTAGAGATCCGAGGCGAAGCCACAAACCGCCGCAGTGTTTGGTCGGCTGGGAACGACCCACCAAGATCCATGGTGGTTGACAAGTTCACGTTTTCCGCAAACCGTTCAAATTCGTCGTCGATTTGTACCAGTGTGCGCAACGCGGCATGCAATTGATGGTCAAGCGAGTCACCAGAATCGGCACCATCGTCGTCGGCAAGTAGTGCTGTCGACAAGAATTTGGCGCGGTCCGTGAGAAGTGGATCTTGCAACAGTTTCTCCATGAGCACCGAAGAGTTTACCAAAATATCATTTTTCACTGCATCCGACACACCTGCTAACAATGTATCGTAGAGGTGTAAATCAGAGTTTTCAAGCCACCCTTCCATCTCTTGCAATTTGGTAAGATCCACCTCACGTGAATTCGTCAAAGCCGCGTCCAAATCGTCTGTCGCATCGAAACTGCGTTCCAAATCCACAATTTTTTCAGAAAGTTGGTCGTAGATACCCGAACAATCCTGAAACAAATCACTATTCTTCTCTATTCGATTTAATAGTACTGACACTTCCATTTGTAACAATTGCAAATAGCGTCGCTTGCACAAAGTTAAAGATTTCTTGAGTTTTGCGTGTCGAAATTTTTCCAGTATTCTATAATTGTCTTGCAGTACCTGCACTTTATCCCATATTGCCAATTGGACTTTTTCTCTGCTAATTTTGTACTGCGTTAATTGCAGTTCGATCATCCTGCGTTCCCTGCGTCGAAGTTCGTCTATTTCTTGCCGCTGTTCAGTGATTAATTTCAAATACGAACCCACATGTCTGTCCAAGGACTGCTGATTTCTGATCACTTTTGTCTTGATCTCTTTGGCGCGCGTAGCGTATTTCAAAGTATTGAGCGTTTCGTCATAGTGAGAGCTGCTCGGTGACACACATACAATCATTACTGTCTTGCAATTGCCCCCCAGGGAGAACTTTAAAAGTCGAGTAAGCTTGGAATCTCGGTACGGAACATGACAGCCGGTGCCTCTTCTGCCCTGGACGCAAAGCGCATTAATGCAATTGCCTAAAGCTAGTAAAGAACGATTGATATTGGCGCCTTCGTGGAGTCGCTCGCCGCGATTCTTAGTCGCAGAGGCACGTTCACTACCGGCCAGGTCAATGATGGAAAGAGCGGCAAACTTGTGATTTTCCGTGATTTCTGCGGTCCGATTGCGTTGTGTGATGTGTACTTGTAAAACCGCGTGCGAGCGAGACGAGGTCTCATTTGCATCTGTCGCAGACGTGGTACGGCAGAGGTTTCCTCTGACTACAAGGTCCATGACTTCCTGTACGTTTGTAAGCGGATGATGCGACAGATTTGCGACCGTTATGCGGCGGTTCACGTCTTCGCGCAGTACGAGCTTCTTGGGCGGCATTTCTGGGTTCAAAAGGTCACGAATGGATTCGTTGTAAATTTCCAAATACGACGCAGAAAGCTCGAACCGTTTGGAGTCTTGCAGGGACTCGATACGCTGGAAAAGTTCCTGCATGGTGAGAAATACGAGCCCCGGATGGTCGGGTGTGCCGCTCACGGTGTATGTTTTGCCACAGCCGGTGGCTCCATACGCGAAAACTGTGCTGTTGAACCCATCGAGAACTGCATCGAGCAACGGTTGCGTGGTTTCTTCGTAAATTTCCAGCTGGGTCGAATTCACACCAAATACTTTGTCAAACACGAACTTCTGTTCGCCGTTACGGCGTCCCGTACCGTGACGCGCAGCAGCAGCGGCAGCAGCGGTGCCGGAGGCACCGCTGCTGCCGTTACCACTAGGTGCGGATCCCAGCGAGTTCAGCACCGTCTCGCTTATGCGACTAAGCGGGTTACTTTCTGCAGGATCAAAAACGAGCATTTTGTCGTCGACACATTCGAGAATGCGCCGAAGGCCGTGTGGCTTGAACCTGCCGGGCCCAATACTGATCGGATGCGCCGAGGCTTGCGGTTCGACGCCCGGCAGCGTCAGGTTCGTGTCGCCCAATTGGTAGTTGTGCACCGGCCCGCCGTTGCTCACCAAATGCGCTTCCTCCGTCGCCGTAAACGGACGGACGCGAACCGCCACCACTATAGACGACTGCCGGGTCTCGCAGGGCTGTGAGGACTCCTCGGGCATGGTGTGGAGGTGCGCTCTTGTGGAGATCGAAGTTGGGAAAGTCGATGAGATGGAGGACCCTGTTTGTGTCTTTGAGCCTCGAGCGAGATCTGTATTCGTGCGAGGTGATGTATGTATAGTAGCGGGTCCGAAATTATTCGCCGCTTCAGTCACGTGATTACTTCTTGTTCTTGCGAGCGTTTTCCGTCATGTCCTGTTGTGCCGGTGCTGGAAGGATTTCCAGGGACGTTGGGCCTGTTTCGTCTGTCATTTTCGGTATTCTTGGCTTTTGAACTATCACTGATGTGCTTTTCTTGTGTGCTCTTTTGCCTGGCGTCGCATCGTCAGAGCATTAAAAAATAAATTTGCACACCATATCTTCCGGCTTTTTCGCCGACGGTGTGATGGCTAGACTATGAAAGCAACAGTATATGGGCGAATTGTGTAAAACATTCTTGAGCGGAGTATACGATAAGTGATGGTTCCGAAATAGAATGGAGGTTACATTGAGAGTATGTACATCACGTGACAGCAATGACAGAATCTCAAAGGCTTGAACTACTGGACTGGGCAGGGCTCACCATAGCGATAGTTGAGATGTCAACTGTTGTAAACAGTACTTAGGGTATATCTTTGATGGTTTTACCGCCATATTTTCTACGGAGATTCGAATTGTATAAATAACGGTGTTGCAGCGGGGCAAAATTGCCAAGGTGACAGCAGGAAGACATAGGATACTACCAAGAACAATTTTGTTGAGGTTTACCATTGCCGGTGGTTGATAGGTTTCTGAACTGTTCATTTAATTCGTTCATAATTGATCTAAATAATAAAGCTGGTTAGAAATTGAGTACTTATATCTCTCCGTGGCTATCTTACAACCATGACCACTTACAATCCTGTTCATATCAGCTCCTTTTATACAATTTCTGTAACATTGTTCCTGTCTCTAATATTCACGGTCACGGTGAGTCATCATTACGACACCTATTATGTCACTCTTACAGTGGTGACAAAATGTGATGCCATCATGACCATCATGAGAATCGCTTGGCTCCTATGACCTCATCTTGATCAAGAACCGTCCGTTAATTCTTCCGATTTATTCTGTCATATCGATCACGTGATGATGCAATTGGACGATATCATCTTCTCGCCAGCTCCTTCCAACAAATTTTGAGTGAATTATGTGGACAATGAAGAAGACCACGACGTCAATAAACATGAACTGAGTTTTCCCAGTTTCAAATTATTACTTTCTTTGCAAGGTGGATTTTACTAATGTTCACCGACGTCGGCATTAGAAATGTTCTCAGTGCGTGATTCTGTATTTTTCTTATCTGTATATACCCAGTGTATACTGCTTAGATCTCTTTGAAATGGCACCTGATTGTGTACGACTCTTGCAATATCTTCTCTCCCCACAGTGTTGCTGTTAAAATGCCAGCTTCGTTGGGACGCAGTACTACTGCTTATGAGTTGGATCGGAGGCATTCGTTGGCCGCGTCGTTATTCCGCCACACTGCCGTCTATGTAAATCATTTGACCAGTTATTTGAGCGTGCACCGAGATAGGTAAGTATCGCTCGGGGACAGACTACTGCCGCGTTTGCGATGCCAAACCACCAAAACTCGACTCTTTAGGCGCGAGGCTGCTACGCAAATAGCCTTGGCAGGAAGCTGTTCGTTTAGGTGTGATACATGAAGCAGGACGTAGTCTGCCGCTCTCAGAACTCGTTCAACAGCAGGCTCTGATCAAATCGTGTTCGCTTTGGTCACGTGTCCAAAGTGATCAGATTCGGGTGGGCCCATGAGTAGAGCACGCTCGTCTCTGGTCTCTTAGAATGTGTACCTAATCCTACAATTCAAGGATTTTTAGCTTGCATCACTTGGTACATTTATTATTGCAGCTAATTGGGGACAGGGACCTTCAAACATTATGTAATACCACTCAAGACTATCGTGTCACCGAATTCGGACCGACGCAGCACGGTATGGGAAGACTACCTTTACTGTTTACTCTACAGGAAGTCGTGGGTGGCAATAACAGTACAAATGTCGTATAGAAAGAGACAACAAGCTAAGGACGAATCCACAACGTCCAACGTACCATCACCGTGGCTATGATCCAACACATAAGGCAGATTCCCATCAAGCGCGCTATGATTCATAAACTTTTCACCACGAACGCTGGTCAACCGTGAAACCCTCTCGTTTATCGTATTCTGTCACTGTAGTCACGTGCTTTCAAAGAACATAGAGTGAAATACTCACGCTTTCCGTATGGTTGACGACGAGCGTAACATAGAGTAAACAGCGTGTTAAAGATGCACAGGGGCGTCAGAACAAAATCCATAAGCTTTGAACCGAGTAACATGAAATTGTATTGAAGTAGCCCAGTGAAAAAGGGACTTCGAGCGTGTTGTCGCGAAATCGAGCCTACGTAAGCCGCACTGAAATTACGACAAGACGTAGTGCGACTGTGGAACCGACAGCTCGAACCTTTCTACGGACATGGAACGCGCATGTTGGCCCAGTCTGTTGCAAAGCGCGCAGTCGTTAAAGTCATGTACGGGTCACGTGACTCGAGTTTAACACTCGCTGCAAATACAGAAATTCCACATCAACAGAGAAGTAGAAACTGAACAATCATACAGGTGGATCTGAGCAAACGGAGAGAGCCAAGGAACGCATAGAGGTGAATCGCCGGGCTACATTGTCACGTGACTGGTATCATTTAGTCATGTGCTTTGATCACCTTTTACGGATCTTTAACCTTTCATAACATCGTTGTCCAATGAGAACCTCAAACAGGACTAGATCATAACATCAACCACAACAAGGCCACTTGCCGGCTACGTCCACGAGATGTCGTTCAGATTTGACAGAGGCACCTTCGAGGACAACTCGTTCAATGAGCAAATACGTGAAAAACTTACTGCCGCTTTGAATTCGAGCTCGTCGCAATCGGAATCGGCACCATCACAGGGTGCCAAGACTGCTGCGAAAAATATGGAAGAAGTGGAATCGGAGACCAAGAGTTCCAAGAAACTCGATATTCTCAAGAGCGGGATTACGGTGCGACGCGTCAATTTCCCCTCGATCCCACAGCTCGAAATTTTGGACCTGGACGTCTCTGCGCAGTCCAAATCGCTATTAAAGGGCATCTGCAAAGTATCCTGCAAGAATGCAATGCTCGAAATCAACACTGAGATCGAGGCCAATTTGCTACTGCTCTACACGGACAACTCTCCAGCGTTCACTACCCCCCGTCTGATCTCGAACGATTCCTTCACGGTGCCCATCACGATGACCTTTGATCGCATCGAACTCGAGGCCATCACCAACATTTTTGTGAAGAACAACAGCGTTGGCATCTCGTTCAACGACGTGAACCTCGACTTCAAGTTCGACTGTTCCATCAAGCTGCTTCAAAGCAGCATCGAAAAACGACTCAAGGGCTCCATGGAAAGTGTATTTCGAGACGTGCTCCCGAGTGTGATCTTCAGCATGAGCCAACGTTGGTTCACGCATGGGGAGGGCGGCACCGGCGCCGGTGATGACCGCAGCGTTTTCCCGGCCGAAGACCATAAACGCGTACCCAAGACTATTCTCGACGAAAGCGATCTCGAAAATTTGTCTGCTTCCAACATGCTGCGGCTCTCATCTCTGGTGGCTTCAAGGCAATCGCTTTCGCTGAGCTCTACGGCCTTGAAAACGCTTTCGACCATCCCCGGTTGCCTGGAGAGACAGAATTTGCACCGGTTCAACTCTAGAATTCCTGCGCTCAGTACCTTTTATCCAGACTATGAGGAAGAAGAGAAACTCATGACCCGCTCTGCGAGCAATAACGTTGTAGTCCAAACCGCTTGCAAGGAACATGCCAATACGCTACCGCAGCGGGTACTAGACGAGCACACATACGACCTGAAAACGATTGCTTCGGTTCAGTCTCGCATCTACGAACGTAGCGGCGGCGACACGTCCAACATAAGGCGGAGGAAAATAAAAATAAAACGGAAGGATGTCAAGACAACTCATTCGTTGCAGGAGGAACAGATTCCGCAGAGTCAGTCTGGCGATACAAAACTGCATCTCGCGCAGAGACCGATTGCTTCTGACACGATTTTTCACTCACCACAACCGCTCAGCGCGATCCAATCACCTTCAGTTTTATGCGGCGAAGGTGGCGAACAAGAATCTTTGTCAGGGTCTCCACTAAGCGATATACCGCAGTTACAATTGCCCGCAACAGTTTGCAAAAATTTCAAGAACACGACGCAGAAGCTAAGTCTTCTAGAGGAAGCTCAGCAGCTTAATCATAAACGAGAATTCCAAAAGCTGAGGTCTAGCCTTTACTCTCCTATGAGAAACAGCAAGTTCTGTGTCTCGCATGAGTTGGAAAGCCCATTGCTCGACAACAAAGGATTGACATTTGTTGGCCTCGCACAGAAATGGAAATGGGGCACAGAGGACTTGCCACCACCCTACGCTGGGTGATCCTAACCCCTAGCAAGTCGTGCCAATGTCTACGCAGTCCTTGGAGTAATACATCAAAGGCCGACTTTTATAACGAAGTATAATGAAGACGCTAACTATTAAGATACAAACTTTGGGCCTGTAGCCCTTGCATTTGGCGCTCGGCAACCGATATGTCAATCAAATCTTAAATATTCCGAAAGTTCTTGATAGTGAAAACTCTAGAAGAACCCCGTTCATGCCACCAGTTTGGACCATTCGTCAACCGTAAAGCATTTACATCCAAAAGCATGGATCTGTGCCACTTCTTCCTGAAGGATCTTGTTAACCATTCGACACCTTTGAAGCTTGTTTTTCCCCGCAAACGCATCCGTGACAACTGCGATGTCGAATGACTGACCACATCCGTTAGAGGTATCGGTTACAATGACATTGCACAAGTCAGGAATTGCAGCGCGAAGTTTGTCTTGAATTATTTGTTGAGTGACCATTTATCGAGGTTGGTATAGGCTCACCTTAGAGTTTTCGTCTAATCAATTAATAAGAAGGTGTAGTTGGCAAATTTCAAGAACACCTTCCTGGAAAGAAAACGTGAAGCATCGAAGAGACGTAAAGATGAGCAAAGCGTTAAGCAGAGCTCAGTTGGACGAGTTGATGAAAATCGTCACGAAGCTTTATCCAGCAAGTTATGCTGATGGAAGTTGGGACAATACCGGGCTTTTGATCGATTGTTCTACAACGGAAACTTTAGTTGTCAAACCAAAAGCACTTTTGACCGTTGATCTTACGTCTGCAGTGGCTCAAGAAGCCATCGACAAGAATTGCAATGTGATTCTAGCCTACCACCCTTTCATTTTTCCTAGTTGGAAGAAACTGAGTCCCACGTCTAATCCACAGCACGGTTCTGCCATTAAATTGATTCAACATGGAATAAGTGTGTACTGTCCTCACACGGCTGTTGATGCTGCGAAAAAGGGTGTCAACGACTGGCTTGTCGGAAGTTTAGGTTCTGGCCGTGGCATTGTTGCCGCTGCACGGAGTATTGAGTCCGTTGAACCGGTAGGCGACGACCAGAAATCGGAGGTTGGATACGGCCGCGTCGTGACTTTGAACAGAAGCCTGCCACTATCTCAAATTATCACCAATGTCAAGAGAACTTTGAACATCGATCATTTGCAAGTTGCTTCCAAGTTTGACGACTTGAACTTGCACGAAATTAAGAAAATCGCACTCTGCGCAGGTAGCGGATCTGGTGTGTTCCGGAACTTAAAAGAAGAAGTCGACCTGTACTACACTGGTGAACTGTCCCACCACGAGATCCTAAAATACAAAGAAATGGGGAAGGCCGTCATAGTGTGCAATCATTCTAACACTGAACGGCAATTTCTCGTGGATGTGATGAGCAAGAAGTTAACTGAATTTGGCATTGACGTGGTAGTAAGCGAAAACGACTGCGATCCACTGCGCGTTGTTTGAATTGGGAATATTTCTGAATACTTCAGTGGAAAAGGATGTGCTGTTTCCCGCTCGCACGCCTATACCAACGAACCACACTGAAATCTGGCGATTCCAGTTTTCAAGTTCTCGATCATCGGCGTGTCTCTTACCCAGATTTGTCGGCTACTAGCCATGCCAGACGCCTAAGTAAAGTCATTATATATATATATACTATTCTGGTCAAATTCCAGGCATTTGACGGTTAATTGGTTGGTTAATTGGCCGAATTTCGCTTTTTTAGAGTCACTGTGATGTTTCAACAAGTTCGGCTCTCTACAGTGTCATATATATATATATATATATGAAAACTGTTCTTACTGACATCTTAACGACTATAATCACTGAAGAACTCTATAAAAGATCAAAGAGCTCTCCATACCACGAAACGATGGACCCCTACAGCCTTAAAAGAGATAACCGGAAGAAGTTCTTTGACAAGGAGAAGCTTAAACGCAGACATGCAACGCCAAGCGATAGAAAGTACCGGATTTTGAACAAGCAAGAACAAAGTACGACGGAAATCGAAGAAGAGCTCTCACTAGAGGGGAACGATTACCGATACCATGAAGACCTTTCAATGACATATGGACAAGACGAGTTCGATTCGCAGCAGGTGAATCGGAAACTGAAGGAAGTACTTCAAAAGAAGGTCGGGGACACAGACTTTGGTGCATCGGAGCGATTAACTCGCAAAAACCTGGAATCTATGAACGTGGATCAGTTGAACAAAGTGCTGGGGAGAAACAAGTTTAAAAGTGAGCGTACTGAATTATCTGATGCATTGCCAGCGAAAAGTGTGCCGCAAATTAAAAAGGCACCAGCCCAATCAGCTTCGGCTACGACTTCCATGATTCCAGAGGAACTCGAGACCGAACAGAGCTTTTTGGACGATCTGATCTCTTAATTCCAGTGCATTTACATGTCACGCATTGGCAGGGAATGCCCGAGATTCATGAATTCCAAGGCTCACATGGTCAAACCTGTTTTCCACGTTTATTTCGCCTTCAGAATACGAAATTGACTCCAGATTTTGCACAAATACCCCACAGACTGCGATAGACCTCCTGATTGAGTTTCAGCGGTCAGCACTGCCTAATGCTCTCGCAAATATGGGTGGTAGTCCGGGTTGAATACGGTATGGTGAGTCCGGCTGGAGTATGTCACTATGAACGCAGATGGCTTGGTTCGTATTACCCGTTAATAGTGATATTCTTTGAGATGCCTATATCACCTTCAACGAATATGGCTTGTGAAAATGACTCGCAAGTCTAATTTGAGTCTCCTTATTATATCACAGATATCGTTATCGAAACTAAACAAACATCACGAGAACAAAGACCTTGAATGGATTGGAAGCTATAGTCACCAACGATGTCGACGGATACAATGTATTTCAATAGTTCCCGGCTCATGTCTATGCCTGGGAAAAATAGTACAAGCTATCTTCAAAAGCCGGAGAAAAAAGCGTTGAAAAATGCTAAAATGAACAAATATCGACAAGAAAAGAACGGATCAGAGCCGATTCCTGCGGCTCAGACGCTCCCAAATGGTCAGAAACCTGATTTTGGTAATTCTGGCCGGAAAAAACCGAACGACGAGCGGCGTCATGCAGGCAATGGCGGTCGTGGCCGTCGAGGCAATAAAAATAACAGCAGACGAGCGCCAGATACTGCCGATGAACTTACACGCGACTTCAAAGAGTTTCTTTCTGTTGAGGATGGAGACCAGACTGCAAAGAGAGGAGAAGGCCACCCTGGGGACGGTGGTGGTAGTGGTGTCCGGGTCAACAATGCAATCTCGGGTAGGACTGCCTTGAAAAGTCCCAAAGAGTGTCCCAACGACCAACAGACAACGTTGCAGAACCCGCATTTTCCTGTCAAGACTCCTACTCTTCAGGCGCAGCCCCTACCTCTACCCTCTCAAGGGTACCCGCCGGTTCACTATTCACCTGCAGTGTCGCCCATGCCTTATTTTAACCCTCCTCCTTTGAGTGCCTCGTCGATTCCGAATCAGCCTGGGCTTTTCCAACAAGAGTTCCAACATCAACAGCAATGCTATAAAATGCACAACGGATACCCTCCTTGGAACTATCAGCCCAATTACGCATTGACCAGCGGAGCCTTACCGTCGTTTACGGCTCCGCAATCGGCGCTGATGGGCATTCCTAACACGGTGCCTCCAAACTACTTCACTTTCCCAGCGCCTCCTATGCAGGTGCCCAAGCAGCTTCCTGACAACGCGTCCTCTTTCTCAGAGTCGAGTCCTAACACGACGCCAATGCAAACCCGGTCGCAGTCGTCGAGATCTTCAAGTGGAAGTGCGCCTGAGTACAAGAGATCACCTAGTGGTTTCAAAAACCACGTGCAACCTAACACTACTGCTGGGGGCAAGAAGACAAGAAAGTCGAGCGGTGGTAATGGCAACAGTCGGTCTGGCTACGCGGGCGCTTCGTTTGCCACGAGCTTGCCAGAAGTAGCGACTTTGCCTAAACCAAGTTTCGCATGAAGATCTGGCATTTTCTCGGCAGGAAAGCACAGGGACAACAACTCAATTCACCCAAGGGCTGGTGGTGTCGGGATCAAATTCCTAGCGGAAGTTTTATCACGGACAAAGCGACTTTTCCGTCTATTATTTTCACAAAAGAATAACATAACAAAAAAAACATGTCAGAAGACAAGGAGGATTTACTGGGAATTTTAAATCTTGTGGTGTAATCATTACGACAGAATTCAAATGCAGACTTTAGTGCCTGGCTCTTGAAAGTAAAGTGGGCATCATATTTTTTTTTACTATTTTTTTTTTTTTGGCCTTTCGAATATCAACAATTGAAGCAGTTTATTCACGGTTATTGTAGGGAATGTGAGCTACTCTTACCGCTAGACGGCTGAGAACCACAGCTCTATTACCTCACATATTAAAAACCTTGTGTAGTTTAAACTATCTCTTCTCTTGATTATTAGAAATACATGAAAATCTCTAAACATTTCATTCCTACCATTCATTCACCACTAGAATCATAGGATATTGCACAATTAATTATAAATCTACGGATGATTACAAGTCCTTCACCTACAAAACAACATTCTTCGCCAACTTGTTCTTGTATTGCAAAATAGAGCCATCCCACCTCGTAGCTGTCTTGTTTTCCACAACGAAAATGTCCTTTGCAATCTTGTCCAGCAGTCTGAAGTCGTGCGACACAACAACGACACCACCGTTGAAATCGTTAATAGCATCAGCCAGGGAATCAATCGTAGGGATGTCCAAACCGTTAGTAGGTTCATCCAACAATAGAATGTTTGGTTGTTCAAGCGCTAGTAGGGCGAAGACAACACGAGAACGTTGCCCTTCAGATAGAGTGGCCATTTGAGCAGTTTGACCTTCACCCGTCAAACCATAACGACCAAGTTGACCTCTCCAGTATTGGTAATCTTGAGAGATGCTCGAGAATTTGTCACGCACAAACTCTAGTGGAGACTTGGTCAAGTCAAGTTGATCTTGAGAATGCTGAGAGTAAACGCCAAGTTTGACATGAGTGTGACGAGAAACACGGCCTGATTGACACATCAAGTCACCCGTCATAAGCTTTAGCAAAGTGGACTTACCCACACCGTTAGGACCGACAAGAGCAATTCTGGAGTCCATGTCAACACCGAAACTCAAATCTTCGTAAAGGTTGTGTTCGGGGTTACCATCGTAAGCAAAAGAAATGTCATCGAAGGCCAAGACTGGTGGTGGAAGTCTCTCAACTTCTGGGAAACGGAACGAAAAGACCTTGTCGGGTACAACAGGAGGTATTAGGCCATCAGCTTCCATCTTGTCTAGAATCTTTTGCCTGGATTTGGCTTGTCTGACCAGGTTGGCGTAGGTACCCGCAGAAGCGATAAATTTCTTGATATGGGCAATTTCTTCCTGTTGCTTGTTGTATTGTTTCATTTGATTTGTCTCCAATTCGGAACGTGTCTTGACGTAGGAGTCGTAATTACCACCGTAAGCGGTAAGGACTTGCAAACGCATGTCTATCATGTTGGTACATACACCGTTCAGGAAATCCTGGGAGTGAGAAACAATGACCAAGGTTCTGTCGAAACGCTTCAGATATTCTTCTAACCAAACACAAGCTTCCAAATCCAAGTGTGCAGTTGGGTCATCCAGCAAAAGAAGTGTTGGCTTGACGAAAAGGGCCTTGGCAAGAGCAACACGCATTTTCCAACCACCAGACATGTCCTTGGTCTTTTTGTTGATCGTTTGAGAGTTGAACCCCAAACCGATCAAGATAACAGCGGCTCTACTCTCGAAGGTGCTTGGATCCAAAGAGTCCATTCTTTCGTACAAACCTTCCAAGACATCGGATTCTGGACCCTCGTCTAGAATGGTCTTTTCGACAAGATCCTCAAGTCTTTTAAGCTCATTCTGAGCCTCTCTAACGACATACTCCAAAGCGGAGTACTCAGAGGGCTCGGCTGGCTCGTCTAGCAGGTAAACATCGATCATTTCAGGGATTGGGTACTCTCTCGTCGCGAGCGACTTTAGGAAAGTGGACTTACCGCACCCGTTCTCACCTAGCAGACCATAGTGACGCCCGTAGTTGAGTTCGAGTTGCGAGTCCTGGATCAGCACCTTACCGTGGAAAAGAAGCGAGACAGACGAAAGTTTGACATCTCTAGAGGTCTCAAGGGAGTCTAGCACACCGGTCACGACACGGTCGGAGATACCGTGTTCATCCTGTTGCAATTTTAGCTGCGCAATTTCTTTGGCGGCAGCTTCGTCCACATCTTCACTTTCAGTGGCCTTCTTAGACTTTCTCACCGGCTTACCGGCAGCGACTTTCTTGGCATCTCTTTCGGCCTTCTTAGCCTCTCTCTTGGCTTTAGAAGCAGATGCTGGAGGCATATTGAGGTTGAGACTTTTGTAGTAGAATTTATTGGACCTTCTGAATAAACCGCTGAGTTTTCAAGGCCCTTAGTGTCGTGACAGACTGGTTTGACAAAACTTGGACGCTAAAGTCTGCTAATAAAGCGAATTCTAAGCCAAAAAATTCCTTCAAAAAAAAAGAATTTTCACAATTTCACACAAAGCCTGTTCGAAAGGTTATGTGGTAGCTAATGAAAAATTTTTAGAGGGCTCTTGCGGTCTACTCCAATTGTCTGTTCTTGCTCAACTTATACTATCTTTACAGTAGACTTTTTTTTGTCGGATTTTTCTTCAATTTGCACTTCGCGATGATGTCGATGCGCCAGAGATTCTCGCAGGCGTGAAAAATTTGACGTTCACTCGTTTATGGTGAGCTGAAGTAAAAAAAAGTATTGAGACGGGTAACTATGACGTATAGTATGATTGTCGTCGTATATAGCTACAAAAATTGGACCCATGCATCCAGTAGATCAGTACACCTTGACACCCACACACCTCGTACTCTGTGACTAATTGTCACTTGAGCACCACCCACACATGTTTCGTACATGGTGACCATAAGATAGTGTGACTTTCACGTGATTTTGTTTGGTCACGTGGATATCTCCGTTACCATCATCTCGATGATAATGCTAAATAATAAGCTGACATAGCTTGCACTTCCTAACAGAGCTTCCAGACCACATCTCGCAGTTCATCTTCAGTGTCTGCTCTAAATCAGTCTTATAAGCGTATGGCTGCACGGGTGGAGGCTCTCTTCTGCGAAAAAACCGTACCGCAATTACGCGATTATAGGCTCCAGCTATCGCAGGAGCTGGTGCGCGCTGAAAATAAGCTACGACTCGAGCTTGGGCACAGATATGATGACCTTTTGGCGGTGACGAAAGAGGTGGATACCATTTTTGTGCATTGCAAAGAGATAGACGCCAGTCTGATGGAGCTGTGCTTCAACGACAGCCAGTATAAACTCGATAACATTTCAGAACCGCAGCTGCGTCAAAGAGGCGCTAAGCGCGCTACAGCGGTGCCAGCCGCAAGTCATCGTAGCTCACACGCAGAAACCACGCTCTCGGTGGCCAGTTGGACTCGAGCGGTGCGTTCTTTCAACAAGGATCCAGAAAACTCATCCAATTTTGACAATGTATTGGCCAAATTCGCCGTTCTGCGGCAATTGACCAAGTTGGACACGTTCCGCACTGCTGTTGAGTCCCACTGTGCGGGTCTCGAGATGCGGCTGCTTGAAGAACCTCCTTCGTTCACGCCATCTCAACTGGTGCAGTTGCACACGTTTCTGCATGAGAAAAGCGCCAATTATGAATTTCAACACCTCAACGAACTCGACCAGCTCATTTTCGACAGCTTGTTGAAACAACAGGATCTGATCGAGGAACCGTATGTGGGTCCGAATGAAACCCTCGTCATCAATTTTTTGTCCAGCGCGCCTTTTAAGCGCAGACTCGTCGAAAAGCTTCTGCAAGACGCCCAGATCGAGATCCACAATTATCGGGCAGCAGCTCGCGACGACACACCCATTGAAACCTACCGGCGGTGCGACAGCAGCAACATTACCAAATTCGTTCAAGACATTGATCTGTACTGTCGCGGTCTTACAACGCAGGGCCAACAAAGGCTTTTCGCTTTGGTTGAGAACACGCTTGTCACTCTTTCGAAGCTCAGAACTAGCGATGCAACCGCTGACGAAATTGCGTCGCTAAAATCTCAGATCAAGGCCATTTTACAAAAGGAACTCGACAAAGCACAGTTGACGCAGGACGACGAGCACGTCGCATTTGAAAGAGCTTTAGCAAACAATTCTGATCGAAACGCTGATATAAACGGTGCAAGAGAAGTACAGGCGCACAAAAGTGATTCGCCGTCAAACGCTGAACAGCCCATAACTACGACCGGCCCTGAGTCCGACCAAGACAGTGCAAACGCACCTTTGGGTCAAAAGAACGAAGAATCTGACCGCACCGATGTCTCCAATTCTGTCCCGAGCGGCATGCACACTACGCAAGACAACAATATCAATGCTACCCAAGATGAAAGTACAGAAACTCAATCCCAACTAGAAGGTTCTGAAATGACAAGTTCCAGTGTTCAAGGCCAACACGAGAGCTCCACCATTGTCGCCACTGATTCCTCTCAGATAACCACCGACCAGATACTTGACTCATTGCTCTCGGTCACCAATCAAACTATTTTCCGCAGCTTCCTCATACAAAAGTTGGCAAACATTGAGTCATCTTGATTTTTCAGTTTACGCCGTCGGATATATCTTGACTTTTAGAAACGATCTAATAACGATCATTTACAACGTGGGCCAAGTTTCGAAGCTTATAAGCAGCCATGGATAACCATAGTTGCAATACTAATGGAGATGCCCTTTACTGGACCAAATATACCGAGAATTGGACTGGCTTTGGACAGGAGACATACCGATATGACGAGACAAATAAACACTGCATCCCAACAAGAATATAGAGCTCGCGTGGAGAAACAGCTGAAGGACAATGCCGAGAGTTTAGAAGCACTCGATTACGTTGGATCACGAGTAACTTTCGAAGTGGACACTTTGCAAGCACCGGAGTCGAACTCAGATTTGAAAGTGTTTTTTTTTGACATTGATAATTGCTTGTATAAGCGGTCGACTAGAATTCACGATTTGATGCAGGAATCAATCCACGAATATTTCAAAAATGAACTTAGGATGAACGATGAAGAAGCCTGGCACTTGCACCATAAGTATTATCGCGAGTATGGGCTGGCCATTCGCGGGTTGGTAATGCACCACGAAATTAACGCTTTGGAATATAATAGAATGGTAGACGACGCTCTGCCTTTGCAGGACATTTTAAAGCCGAATTTGGAGCTGAGATCAATGCTCAAGCGACTTAAAAGTTCTCAAAAAGTGGACAAATTGTGGCTTTTCACTAATGCTTACAAGAGCCATGGTTTGCGATGCGTGAGACTGATGGGAATTGCTGATCTTTTCGACGGCATCACGTATTGCGACTACGCTCAAACGGATACATTGATCTGCAAGCCGGATCCCACTGCCTTCGAAAAGGCCAAGAGAGAAAGTGGGCTAGGTAGTTACAGCAATGCCTGGTTTGTTGACGACAGTGGTAATAACATCGAGACTGGTCTTGCGCTCGGGATCCCCAAGTGTGTGCATTTGGTCGAAGAGGAAGTTGACGTTAACTTGGGCAAAACTCCCAAGGGCTCCATTGTCATCAGCGACATCGTCGATCTTGAAGAAGCGGTCCCCGAGGTTTTTTGAAATGCAGCGCATTTTTTGAAACTATACAGCATTTCACCGGTTTATGAGAAACGTTGTCAGATATCCTTCAAGTATGACAAGTTCCACTTCGTATTGACCTTTCCTTGATTTCTGTAGGCGATTTCGCATGGCTTGAAAAAGAGATTCGCTTTGGGTATCGTCTGGGCGAATCCCATAAATAAATAAAGTATAATACAGAAGACCTTGATGATTTCCTGCAAATAAAAGCGTGTCAAAGCCTTTGATCAACCGCCTGTTTGACAAACTAGTTGTATTGTGCAATTTTTGAAATAACATCCGGTCTGCGCCATGGATCTGGCGCGATACCCTGAGATGCAAGATATAAGCTTCCTTGGGAACAATTTTGAAATAATCGTCCCAGAATTTCGTAGGTCCAATCTTGTGATAGATATCAGTACACCAAGCTGATGTACAACCGACGGAATTGAATATGTTGCGGTCCAAAATGAACGAAATGAAACATTCTGTGAAGCGAGGCGATTTGATAAACTGTGAGAGTTGGCAACACATCTCGCTTAAAGCATTGGTTCGAATTCTAGGATCATATCCGTCAAGACTCACGTGTAGGTCGGTTAAAAGGCTCCGTGGAACTCCAAAGGATTGCAAAAGTTCCTCCAATGAACATCCCGGTTTTAACGAACCATACAAAAAGGTTTCCCATGAATCTGTAGGCATGAAGCTTGAATTCTCGCGCAGGAAATACCAATCTTTACGATTTTCCAAGTGTCGTTCTGTCAATGTTAAACTGATGTCTTTTGTTCGATCTTCCCGTTCCAGTTCTGAAACGAACGATTCGCTGAGCCCAGCGACATCTGCCGAAACTGGTGGTTCAGTTTCTAGTGCTTTTGCCAGTTTTTCTGTTTTATCCATCTTTTGTATAAGCGAATGGTCAAAATCTTCTTCACTCAGCTGAAGCAGGTTGTCTTGTGTCGATGATCGGTGTGGCGGCTCTGGTGAAGACGGTTGATCTAGACCCGGTAAGAAATCTTCTTCGTCTTCATCATCGAATCCTGGTTCTTCTTCCGTGGTACTGACACTCACATCGGCATCAAGTCCTACAACAGGCAAGGGCTCACCCAGCGAGTCTTGTGAGTCCATAATGGCATCCACGAAATCTGTAGAGTCAGAGCTTCTACTAAAAGAGCCATGGCTTGATGACCTGTCTCTTCTTCGCTTCATGCGCTAGGTTTTCATATGAGAGTTACAGGATAGTGAGATTCAAATCTAATGAAGAGTTGGCAAATCGTTATCTGCAACTTACTAGATTAAAAATTAAAAGGGTCAGAGATGCCCAGAATCGCACGATTATATGGACACTCTAGTAGCGTTAGAGAGTAATTTAATGTAATGTCTATATAACGACCATCATATCAGGTCAAGACTGCATTAATCGCATTTCGCGGAATTCGCGAAAATGTACGTCAATAGCTCTGAGGAGAGAGTGTGTCCCTAAGCCTTGACCTGTGGTTGTTGTTTCTTCTGTTTGGCAACGGCGTAAACGATACCTGCCAAGAAACCCAGGAAAATGGAGAAGAAGGACAAGAAGTTCTTAGGAGCGTCAAAGAAAATCAGGCCGGAAAGGGCAATTGGAAGTTTATTCAAGGCGCCGACCATGGAGTAAGTTGTCGAAGACGTGACTCTCACACACCAACCAGAGCAGTACGAGATACCGACGGAGGTGAGACCGGAAATGACCATGACAGTGAGCATTTCTTGCGAGAGATTAACGGAAAGGTTCTGGGCGGACCAGTCTTCGACCATGAAAGAGCAGACAAGCATGATGGGGAGCGCCAAGATATTGTTGTAGAACATGGTGTCGTAATCTTTGAAATTGGTCAACTTGATCCTTTTTCTCATAATGAGCACGAACAAAGCCGAAGAAATACAGTTGGCAAACATCCACACGTAGCCGACATTGAGCACGGATGTCGAAACACCTTCGATGGCTTTAGAGGACAGAGCTTGCTTGTCGCCGTAAGTGGCCACAACAGATGAGAAAACCATCAAGAAAAAAGCCGAAAGCTCCATCGCAGTGACTTTACCTCCGAAAAACAACACTTCACCGTACGCGATCAAAATGATGGTCAAGTTTTTGAAAATCGTGTAAATAGGAACTGCAAGGTATTGTAACGCCTTGGACGACGTGTAAATCATGAGCACAAGCAAAATTGAAATTGGGAACCAGTTTTTCGTGTCGGTCTTGTTCAAAGGACGGAATTTCGCGTATCCCAAGGCTTTGAGGACCACCAACGCAAGTGTACACACCAAGGCTTGCACGGACAACATCACAAAGTTCATGTTGAAGTCCTTGCCATTGACAACGAACTTGTTGGTCACGGTCATAAGGATCGACGAGGCACAGTACGCCAAGATCGAAATTGGGCCCGAGTTCGCGATATGGGAAAACGCACCGGTATCGACTTTAAGTTCCGACATTAGGTATTTCAAACGATTCTGAACGTGTCCCGCTTCGAAAAACCCCCTTGGACTGAAGGTGTAGTTGTCTTGAATCAACCAATCTCGAGTGTTTTGATTCTGGTATGAATACTCTAGAAGTTAATCTCGTTTTTCATTAAAGGCTTGCGAAGCGATGAAAACGCGAACCTTTGGGGCGGGTAAATCAGGCACAAGACGCGCCAGTTTTTCAACTGAGTGATAACGAAATGGGGGTGGTTAAAATAGCAAACAGGTAGCCGATAATTGGAGCTTCTGATTGCTGATGACTTTTGAATTATGTGGGATTTTTTCAGTGTTCGAGAGAACGACTTTTGGGTGAGTTGAAATTTTATGGCTAATTGGGAAGTCAAGAGGTCGCGTGTGGGGTGTCGAGGCATCCGAATCAAGGCTAGTAGCTGCCTGGAGTGTGTTAGAGCTGATAAAATGTGTTTCCTTTTGGTATATAGTTTTGTTTAGTTTCGCCAAGTAGCTTGCTTGAGAAGAAAAATCGGCCGGGAAACGACCTTTAAAGAAGCACTAAGAAGGATGAATCACTACCTTCCGCGCTCTCATCTATTTAAGCGCTTTTTAGTGTGTTCAATACCATTTCGAGCTCTCGCCGGCTATCGATTTGAAACCTGGCCAATGAGCGAAACAGAAGTCCTAAGGATACTCAGGGTAGAGTAGTCCCTGAAACTGACTAACAGCCGGGAAGTGCCATCAAAACACGAATACAAACTCTCATACAATCTAGGTCCATTTCATATGTTCTTAGGCTCTGTTCACCAAATGTCGTTGTGAATGAATTAAACGATAAACTGACTTCCAAGAGTTGGAAAATTTAGACATGGACATGAGGCAGGTAGTTCCACCTGCTAAAAATTAGCCAAGCGGCTCTCACAGAGGGCGAAACACAGCTTGAAAATCAACGCTGTGCGCTCACATGCTCATCGATTGCTCTTCATTAGCTACAGCGGCATCCAGAGCGGTCTACACAGCCCGACAAAAAAGAATATACACGGGATTTTTTACACAATCCATTCATGACAATGCCGACGAGTATTTAACTTCGTGTCCTATTTCAATACCAAGTTGAAACCCAATACTTGTCAAGTCTCAGACCTTGATTTCCAGTCCTTGCGCGACTTCCAGAAACGCTTTCAAATTCGTTCAAAATTCCATTATACACAAGCCGAGCCCTTTAAACACCATTGAAGCACTCCTAGTATCTCTAACCGAATTCTTTTATCCCTTTCAAAGCATTTCCACCAATCTCATCGCTTTTTCACCTTAAAGAATACGAACTTGACTCGTAGCGAGTCATCATGAAATTTTCAAGAGCATCGGTTAAAACTAACGGTGACGAAAATTTTCCACAAAGCGAGAGAGGAAAGCCTTTGAAGTGGCATTAGAGAAGGCTTAAATGTTCAATATATTCGGCGAGAACAACCAGAATAACCCGACCGGGTTTGACTCCATGCTAGAGATATTACCCGAGGAGTTGGACGTTAATTGGGTAGGAGCTTTTACCAGCACTGGAAGCTCCGAACAGTCACGGTCACGTTCACAACAAGCACTGCTGGGCGATGAAGAGACCTTACAACACGAGGATTTGGCTCCTATGCAGCCCCCGGTCGATGTGATGAACCAGCAAAACGGTGAAATTGCGCAGTTGTGGAGTTTTAACGTTGATGAATTCATGATGACTCCCACAGACACGAGCGATTCTGCTACTATAAGTGCTCCGAATAGCTATAATTCAGAGAACTGGACTCCTCTGAATGGTAGTTCCAATTTCGCGCAACTTCTGAGTAGCCCATTCCATCAGGATGTCAAGAATTCAGACCATATGGGCAGTTCGTTCTCTAGGGCAGGTGACGAAGGAGCTGGTATCCCCTTTAGACCCACGATACCGTCTCGAAGGTCGTCGTCTCAGATACCGAAAAATTTGGCCGACGACGGTGGCATACCGCTGTCGTCGTCGTCGACAGCAAACTCCGTGCGGAAAAGTTCCGTGACGCGGCCGATGTCGTCGTCATCGTTGTCGTCTTATCGGCAGGGTTCCACACAAGAAGTACCAAAGAAACCGCAGGTGCAATGTTTTAACTGTGAGACTTTCAAGACTCCGCTCTGGAGACGAGACGCGCAAGGAAATACGCTCTGTAACGCTTGTGGTCTATTCCAAAAGCTTCATGGAACGATGCGGCCGCTGTCGCTGAAAAGCGACATCATTAGAAAGAGAAATACGAAGAAGAGGGCCAAGAAGTCGACAGCTGCAGCAGTAGCTGATACCAAGGACAAAAAACCCCTGAAATCGGCGAGTCCGGCCAAGAGACCCGAACCCATCAATATCAACATCGATCCATCATTTCAGACTAGTTACTCGGCAAGCGCACCTCGCACCGAGCCCACAAGTACCAAAGGCAGAGAAGAAACTTCCGTTTCGACGGCTTTAACCACCACGTATGCGACAACTTCTTCATCGCAAGTTCCAGCTAGTGCTGTATTCAGCGTGGGCGATCCCAATACCGAAACACCTTCCAATCAGCTCGACTCCAGCAATCTACTTAACCATAATAAGCGCATAATGGCCTCTGCCGGACCAGGATCGGCACGAAAGTCTCGGAGGTCCAGTACTTCCAGTTCCGCTTCAAATTCAAGCAACAGGTCTTCATCTTCGAGATCAGTTGTACCAATTCTACCGAAGCCATCCTCAAACAGTTCTACTCCACAGGCTCAGTTCCAATTTCTCAACAGTCACCCAAGTAGTGGAGGTGAAAGCGCCGCATCGTCGCCACGGTTTTCCAACTCCCCTCGTGCATCTTTTGGCGCATCAAGCCCCTTGCCTCAATCCGCTGGCCAGACTTTGTCAAGTTCCGGCAGTCGGCCGGGCATGGTTATACCGCGCAGAAAATCATCTCGCAAAATGATGTCTTCATCATCTTTCATGGCAGCTTCGCTGCAGCAGCATCATCAACAACAGCAGCCCCAACAACAAGCCGCACCTCAGACTTTGGCTCTAGCGAGCAGCTCTAATTCGACAATATCTGCCCCGGGTTCTTGGCAATCGGGTTCCAATTCTGTACCGTCTCCCAAAACGGGCAGGTCCCCACGCTCGCCTTTCGACTTGTTTTCCCCTTCAGAAGTACAATCGCGGCCTGCGTCCCGCAAATCACAGACTTCTTTACTTTCTCAGCAGTTACAACAGGCGACAATATCTTCGCAGTTCCAGTCTTTGGGATCTCAGACTCAAATGGCTCCTAATAACGCCAACGGCAGCGGGCCAACTTCTGGCCTTGCTACTCCACAACCCATATCCCTCAAAAGATCTTCTGCCACAGCATCGCCCAGGCACAGCTATGTTGACTCAATACAACAGCAGAGAGGCGTTTATGCCGATTCGAACGGTCGCAGAAGTAGCTCTTTAAGAGCCGATACTGTACCACCACCACCACCTTCAAATGGCCAAAAACCCAAAGAAGTCGTTATGGAGGACCTCGAATGGCTCAAATTTGGACTTTAGAAGAATTGCACATTCGCTGCCTACGCAAAGACGATCTGATTCATTCTACAGACCAATAACAATACCAAACACATCACACATTTCTTAACGTTGACGCGGGCGTACGAACAAGAGATGTAAGCTAATTGTTTAATATATAATGCATGTGGCTGTCTGATCCCAGTCTAAAATCTTGGCCGGGCTCTACAAGGTCTCAAATCTTTCCTCGGAATTCACCTGAGTTAATGTATAAAGTGCATCTGGCAACGAATTAAGACTTCAAACGTCAAACGTCTAGCAAAGACCTGGCAAACGACCGTAGCAGCTGGAAAAAGTTGGATCTTTTCTGCGTAGTTCAATAACTTCAGAAACTAACAATTTGGTGGACTTTCCCTATGAAATAACCACTCTGAAAAGTGATTTCGGACAATGGGGAGTCCAACGCTTTGGGAAGCTCTAAAGAGAAACACTTATCATCGGCGCATCCCATTCAAACTCTTTGTCGATGAATTCAGGCAGGCTCATCGACGCACTCCGAAAATAGCGATCGATGCGTACAGTTGGCTATTCGAATGTGGATTTATCAAGAACCTTGGAGAAGGTGTGGAAGACAAATATCACCGAACTGTTGAATTGGCATTGGTTTCCTTGCTAAGTCGCTTGAAACTCTTTATCTCGCTCGATATTACGTTCGTTTTGGTATTCGATGGTCCCAGAAAGCCCAGCTTTAAGAACCAGTTCAAGTTAAAGAAGTTGGACGCCGGAGAACAGGTTCAGGACCTTTCGGCGACGGACTACGGGGTTGAAAAAGATGTGCACGATGGACTTCACTATATTTCGACTAATTGTTATGATGGTGCTACATATGCATACCAATGCTTCCCGGATCAATCCGTCAATTTAGTGCGGAAAGTTTTGAACGCACTAAATATCTCTTTCGTTGATGCCTGCGGCGAAGGAGAAGCAGAGTGTTCACGTCTTCAGAAAGAAGGATTGGTGGATTTTGTTCTGGCAAACGATTCTGATGTTTTCGTTTTTGGAGCTACCAAAGTTTTGAGAAACTTCTCTAAATTTTGGGACGACGTTCCAGCGACGTACCGGGCCTCTAAGAGTGGCAAAGACACTCGCGAATATATGCTGACGATTTTTGACCTTGACCGAAATTCAGACTGGAATCAAGCTTCTGCGACGTTATTTTGTGTGTTACTTGGCGCAGATTATAACCAAGGCGTCCGAGGGTTGGGACCGAAAAAGTCGACTGACATAGCATTGCATAAGATGCCCTGTTTTGCTGACGAGCTTGCGGAAATTTTTAAGGACTTTCGGAAAAATGCTAATGATCGTAGGGCTCAGTACGAAGCCTTTAAAACTGGGCTTTTCAATTACTGTCGCGCAGAAAGTAAACGATTATTCGGCAGAAAATACTTTTCTGAGGAGACTGAAGGTTTCAAAGGCTGGCCATCTGACACTGCAGTCATGTTTTACATGCATCCTCTTCTCAATCCGGAGTTACCACTCTTTTGCTTTAAACCGGGTTTTGTGAATGTTAGTGGGAAAGCTAACATGCCAGAGGTTCGATTCAGAGAGCTTGAAACGATTTTGATGGAGAAAGAGTACAGACGAATATCAGATTTGACGCGCTGGCTTCATGAATGGGCCCACGAAGCTTTCCTACTGAAGAAAATTTTGTATGAAAAGGACAATGCCGATGAACTTACAAAGGCAACCAAAATAGTAGAAGAGTGGATGTGTCAATTATGCGATAAAAACTTCAGCGTTCCATGTTGGCGGATAAGGTACAACACGTTTTTATCGGGTGTCAGAGAGTCCGCAAATTCAGACAGCAACGGTCTGAAAGAACCAAATTCAACGACCCATTCAAGTCCGCGACGTCGCAGCCCCACCAGACGTCAAATCGACAAAGCCGCGTATAAGTTTATGACTTCGATTCCTAAAAATCTTATCGATGACAGTCACATTTTGGTCGAAGCGTATCAGAAAGCCAAAGAAGCCCTAACGTCAACAAGCCCATCGAAACGAAGTCCCCGCAAAAGAGAATTGTCCCAGAAAAATAATCTTGACGATTTTTTGAAGCTTCACACTTCGCCTCGGAAACCTGCATTCCAAGAGCATACCCAGAAAGAGCATTTCGCACCACATGAAAAAGTCTTCCTTGATGCGGGCCCATCTCTCTTTGTTCCGGATGAGCCAGAACCCGAAGGCAACGATAGTTCTCTGATAATTTTGGCGGAACACGATCTTGATGAGCAACCGCAGAAAGAAACAAAGGTTGCAGACTCTCCCAAGCGCAAGCTATTATTATCGTCGCCTGCAACCAGTGATAACGACACCTCACCGCTAAAAAAACACAAACAGATCCAAGGCGCGTTGGATTTTGGCTTTACGAAACGTCAACTTTTCCATGGCCTTGTCGACTTGACAGCAGAGGATGACGAAAGTGTTCATTGAGAGTTCAATCTCGAGCCCAATAAAACATGCAAGAAAGCCACAAGTAACCTGAAAATTCTCACACAGAACAACGGTTCACGCCACGCGCCAACTTTGTCGAGATGGCTGTTCCGTTGATAATGAAGAGCCGAGCCAGAGCGAAGCCCGCTTGAAAATTCGAAAAGGACTCACTTAGGTTCACTTGTGTTCTGGCCACGGAACACTCTACAAGGGGCTTTCCAATATGTCCCATCGAAAGTTTGCCAGTCGCCTGCGCGCAAAGTTTCGGATTTTAGGCCCTAGACCGGCCATGGCTGCAACCAGTGGGGTGGTCAAATATGTAAGGCGGAGATGAGACGGGCATCAACGGCTATCATTGCGGAGAAAAGCCTAAAGTTAATTGCTCGAAGCTTTTGTCGGTAGTCTTGTAATTATGGTATAGAACCACTTCAACCCCCGCGTATATTGGTATTTGAGTGCACAACTCGTCTCTCTCTGATACGCAACTGAAGGGCAACTAAGAAGGTAAAGACATGGCTGAACCTCCCAACACGTTACCAGAGTTGAGGATTGCTGTACTGGGAACGGGCCGGATTGGCAGCGCCTTCGCCCTCCATCTTGCCCGTGGAAGCCAGCATGACGTTACTGTCATTGCCCGGCCGGGATCTGAGCGTCTTGCACAGTTGGAGTGCGACGCAGCGATCACAACGACCGACGGGGAGCGTGTGGCTGTGACTGTTGACGACAAACTCGACGAAAGCATCCCGTATGACCTCGTGCTCGTCACGCTCAAAGATTACCAAGTGGAACCGCTCCTGCCCGTCCTGAAGCGCAGCAGAGCGAAAACATTCCATTTTATGTTCATGTCGTTCGACCCCGATCGCCTGCTCAAGGCCGTGGGCTCGGATCGGGGCGTTTTGGGCATGCCCTTCCTACAAAGCAACTTCGATTCCCTTGGGCACGTTAATGTAACGGTCGGAAGTCGCCCCACACTGACAGGAGATCCACGATGGGCCAAAATCTTTGAAGCGGCCGGGCTCCTGGCTCGTCATGAACCGAAAATGGCTCTCTGGTTGCGGTGTCACGTCCCTCTCGGGCAGCGTTCGAAAGTGTTGCCGTTGCCGCTGAACAGAGTGGCGGCGGTGCGTCATGGCAGCGGGCACGTGCTCTGGCGCAAGGACTACACTCCTGCTTTGCTCTGATCCGCAGTCAAGGAGATGAGATTTATCCAAGCGACAAGGCCAGACTGGCTGGTATGCCTGGTTTCCTTGTTGCTGGCATGCTTTGGGGAATGTCGCGTATTCCTTCCTTTCGAACGCTTTTGGCGACAGGAGAGACGGAGTGCTGCGCCCTCATCGACGCCATGCTAATATCTGTTCACACGCATGGCGGAGTCAACGACTTAGGTGCAGAGGACTTGAACGCGATCCGCGCTATGATTCCGACTAGGCAGCTGGAAAGAGTTTCTTCAAGAGACATTGAGACATACGCAACCAAATAAGATTTTTCGCTAAACCTGATAGCTCCAAGATTTGAATCTTGGGCTCCATCCTCGACATTTGCTGAATTATATCGCGTTTGAGCTCAATAGATCCTTACGATTCGTCTTTTAGAAGCTCATCTCGTCGCCTATTCTCGAAATGGAAACCAATCATAAGGTGAAAATGACGCGAAAGTGCATATAGTAAGCGACAGCGTTACACACGCTCGTGGGAGTCATTTGAGGCCTTTCAAGATGGAGAAACCATGGCTTATCGACATTTGTATGAGGCATCACATCAAACGTTTTGTTGATCAATTAAATGTGTATATCTAATATCAATCATAAAAAATGCCATCCAGACCTTAATAAGCCAACAAATCAAGCATCAGAAGACTAACTAACAATGGTTTCTGCTATTTCCAAAACCATCAAATACACCGCAGGTAAGGACAAGCTGCTCACAGTAGCAGCTGGATGTTTCTGGGGTACCGAACACATTTACAGGAAGTATTATGGTGACAAAATCGTTGATTGTAAAGTTGGATATGCCAATGGGGATGAAAACGCCAAAGATGGGAACTCTGTTTCTTACAAAAGGGTTTGCAGTGGTGACACCAACTTTGCAGAAGTGCTTCAGATTTCGTTTGACCCGAAAACCGTGAGTCTCAAGGAACTGGTGGACTTTTTCTTCCGGATCCACGATCCAACAACGCTCAACTCGCAAGGTCCCGATATGGGCACTCAGTACCGTAGCGCAATCTTCACACATTCAGAAGCTGATCTGGTAGAATGCAAGAAACTAAAGGGTCAATGGCAACCCAAATGGAAAAACAAAATCGTGACTGAGGTCGCACCCTGCATCAACTTTTACGACGCAGAAGAGTATCACCAATTGTATTTGGACCACAATCCATCCGGATACGCATGTCCGACTCATTACGTCAGAGATTTGTAGTTTGTTGAGGTCACTTATGCCTTTAAGCTGTCAATCGTTTCAACTGTACCGTTTTTGGGCAAATTCTTCTCCTTTTTATAATTTACAACGCTGATAGCCAATGCTGTGAACAATATACCACTGAAAACACCTCTTAACGCTAATTCGGGCGTCGTCATCTCGATTTGTGCGTCGCGAGAACCTTTTTGAGCTCGTGGGCCCCACTCGCCGTAGGATATAAAATAAGCAGCTCTTTTCTCGCCATTGGCCATTCTGGTCCAAGAGTCTTCCATTTTCCAATCTAGGTACTGTATAACTTCTTCTCGAAGGTTTCTATCCATTTTACGCCATTTGTCCTTGTCCATTAACGATATATCTGGAGGAACATAAGTCATCTCAGTGGAATAATGCCTAGCGAAAAATCGATTTGGGACAAAGGTATACATATCTGGACTCCTTCGCACAATTCGAAATGGTACCCGACTGACGCTTCTGTACATATTCCAATCTTTGATGAATTTTGACTTTCTGCTTTAAAGATATGTATATCATAGACGAAAATCACGAAGTTCACGATCTTAACTTGAGTTCAAAGGCGTACCGAAAGGAACGTCTTTTAATCTCTTCAAAGAAGCATAATGAGCTACGAAAGGCTAATTGTATGTGTTATTGACTTTGGATGGGTTTAACCAGCCTTCAGCTAGGTTTCAACTAACTCATGCCTTAGAAACAGTACCGTCAACTTCCAGAATTTTCAAGCGTTATAAAGCTTGAAGATCAACCGAAATACGCAATTGCAACCCTAATGATAGCATTTGTCAGTCTAATTGCCGGTCTGGCATTGACAAGTAACAAAAAGTCTTCTTTTGTTCTTCGTTTTGTCACATTTGCAGCCTTTAGTGCGATAGCTAGCGTTTTCTTTGGTCTGGGTACGGTGTTTTTGACTGACTCTTTCGGAGTATACGTCTGAACCGAAGATATGACACTGCTAGCTTTACAATACAGTGGTCGGTTTAAATAAATTCCTATAGATTCAACAAATCTTCGTCTATGTTCACGAGCTTGTAGTGTCTAACATCGGTATCGTCAAAAATAGCCTCGTTGACGTCACCAAATTCTGACAGAACTTTGACCATGGCTCTTGTATAACTTACCATGTTTTCCAGAGAACTTTCGCTTTTCTTCTTTAAAAACGTCAGCACGCGGGAGTTAACCAATTGAAAGAGCCGGTCTTGCAGATAACTCGGAGTCAAAAAAACGGCCAGGTCCTCACTGCATTCTTCGAGTGGATTATCGTAAGCAAGCAACAGAGATATCTCACTAAGATGTGATTGGAAACTTTCCCTGAGGTCTGCTGGAATGCCATTGTCATGAACAAATTCTTGAGAGATTTCTTTGCCCATCTGTAAAATAAATTCAATCGAATGTTTCTCCAGGTTCACGATTGCAATCAGATATTCTGCAATTCGTAACTCAAACAAAAGATCCACATTGTCATCTAACAGACCCGGAAATTGTCCCTCTATGTATTTCAAACACTTTTCAATGCTTCCAGCACTAATCAGCCTCCGAATGTCCTGCCTTATACGAAGGTTTTTCTCCTCCGTCATTATCTGTTTTTCGTTATGCCTTATAACCAGCCTGGCGCGTTCCTCGTCGCTGTCCGGTATGCAGTCCTTCCGGAGGTCCACCAGAAATCCCTTTGCAACATCGATAAGGCCCTCATGAATTAAAAATTCGTTTATCATGGTGTTCATAGCACAGGAGATCGAATCGTCCGTCGAACTCAAACTGTTAAGCTTCTCGATTTCTGGCTTACAGAGCTTGTCACCACTAAACCTTCTGTCTGCAGGCAATAGAAATCCATCTGTTAGCATGTCGTGGTCTTCTTGGTCATTGACAGGAGACTCTTCACTGTCATCCTCTATTTCATTAACGTCGAAATCGTCGCTACCACCGCCTCCACCAAAATTCTGAAAAATGTGTTGATAAGCCTTGACTTTGTACATGTTTTGATAACTCATCAAATCAAATAGAAACTCTTCGTAAATACCGAAATTTGTCTTGACTGAGTTTCCCGGTCTGAGAGCAATATAAGGCACGAAGTCGATATCATTCACGTCGGTAAAGGCAGTCCCAAGGTTGACACCATTTTTTGTGAAGAAAATCGTCCCATCAACGTAATTTACACCACATCCAATGACGTCGTCTCGTCCGAAAGGTTTACCAAATGATTTATATTGTACCCCGTCAGTTATGTAGCCATCTGTTCCGCAATATCCATAACTTCCTTTGTCAAAGCCACTTCCTTTACCACCCTGCGTACTTCCTCCACCATGGCTACCGGAACTGGTAGATTCGAGAGTGGATCTGAGGATACTGGTCGATTGTCGATTGATGGAAGCAGCTTCATTTTGAAGTTCTGATCTGGAAGGGGACGCCGATACGTTCTGTAGTTTTGCATTTTCTTTGAAGCCTACTATGATATTAGAATTGTGTCCTGACTGAGAGCTCGTCACAGATAATACTTTGATCTCATAGTAGAAAATTGCAACTTTTTGGTGCGCGATAGAGTTATTGGACCAGGTTGTCGCATATTCATATTTTTGGTAAGTAAAATTAGTTCTCAAACTACCACCTATTGCCGAACCTGCCCTGTCGTAGCCCGCAAAATTGTGCCAGTTGGGATTAGGCTTGAGCTGCGAAGAGCCATCGGAAGAGAGTAAAACACTGTTTGTGGGCTGGGACAGCCACGCGTAAGGGAGCGGATAGTTCAAATATTTGTATATCTCAGGAGATATTGGATTCCCCTTGGATTCACTGCTATGCATGCTTTCAGAAACTGTAGGGAAAAACTCTAACTCTTCAGAATGTGGTGACTCTGAATTCCCATGTTGGGGGCCAGCTGCGTCAGATTGACGTTCGTTGTCGCTGTGAAAAACGTCCTCATCATCTCCATCGTCCTCATCATCGTCTTCACCGTCATTATCGTCGTCATCTTCGTCTTCCTGCATTTCGTTGTCATCTTCGTCATCAGAGCGTCTGCCAGTTAATATAGGATCTACTGGTTTCAGCATATCGGAAGTATCATTATCCATATTAGAACCGGCACTCTCTGGATCTAGGACTCGATGAGCCCCACTAGCATCAATGTTAGGGAAAAAGTATTGGTAAACTTGAATCAGATATTCGTCGCTTGCAGATTCAAATGGTACCGTCCCCACAACGCCTAAAGTTACCAATCTTTCCCAGATATCTTTCCTGGTCTCATAACTAAGCTTCTGATTTGGCTTGAATCTTGTTTCAACAACGTTACAAATTGAATCGCCTTTCGATCTTAGCTTGTGGAAGAGCTTGCGGTTGCTGAAATACAAGTTCCACAGGTCATGCGCTATCGGCTGCTCTAGTAAATATTTGGGGAATAGGCTTTTGATGAATGCACAATCAACGGCATCCATGAACAATGACATCTCCTGGGGACCAGCTTATCATTACAGTGAGAGAGTTGCAATAGAACCGTCAAGGGGTGGGCTCATTGTCATTGTCCTCCAGAAGTCGTTTATGTCATTATATACGCGTCAAGATATCATCAAGAACTCAATAGCTTACTGAACCTGTTAAAACAACGATTAAGAACTATTTAGAAGGCCATTCGATTATTTGGTTATTTATTGATATCAGCACGACATTTGATCAATTTGTTGCAATTTGACGTCAAATTTTTTGGTATCAAAACTCTGGTACTTGGAACGTTTGTTCATTGCATGAATAGAATACGATAAGCAGAATAGTACGGTACTTAAGTAGATCCAGTACAACTTTTAACCGTTGAAGATTCGTTTTATTAATTTATATCCGTTAAAGTATATTTACATACCCCAAAGCAAAACAATTGTGAATAAAAATGGATGATGTAGAGCAGTTGAGTGCTTGCGCAACCAGGGAAGAAAGCAATCGCATTCCGGTTAGTTGCTTAGTATCTGTAGTGGTCAGCCTTGTATGGACCCTCTTGTGGGATGCTCAAGTATTCAGACTGGACAGAAGACAGCTTCGTCAAGCGAACGCCCAACTTGTCCAAGTGGAACTTGGCAACTGCCTCGTCCAAGATCTTTGGAAGAACGTGGACACCGATTTCGAAAGGACCAGTCTTTTGGAATTCGACGTGTTTCTCTCTGAACGCCTTGTCGTGAGACTTGAACAAAGCAATTTGAGCAAGTACTTGGTTAGAGAAAGAGCAAGACATAACGAAAGAAGAGTGACCAGTGGCGCAACCCAAGTTGACCAATCTGCCGTCAGCCAACAAGATGACGTGCTTTCCAGAGGACAAAAGGTAACGGTCGACTTGAGGCTTGATGTTGACGACCTCCTTGGCGTTGGATTTCAACCAAGCAACGTCGATTTCGATGTCGAAGTGACCGATGTTGCAAACGATGGCGTCTTCAGGCATCTTCAAGAAGTGTTCGGAGGTGATGATGTCTCTACAACCAGTGGTGGTCACGAAGACTTGACCAATAGAAGCAACTTCTTCCATTGGAGACACTTGGTAACCTTCCATGGCGGCTTGCAAAGCGTTAATAGGGTCAATCTCAGTGACAATGACACGAGCACCCATGCCTCTTAGAGCAGCGGCACAACCTTTGCCGACATCACCGTAACCGGCAACAACGGCTACCTTACCAGCCAACATGACATCGGTGGCTCTCTTGATACCGTCAACCAAAGATTCTCTGCATCCGTACAAGTTGTCGAACTTGGACTTGGTGACAGAGTCGTTGACGTTGATGGCTGGGACCTTCAACTTGGCCTCCTTGACCATCTTGTACAAGTGGTGAACACCAGTGGTGGTTTCCTCAGAAAGACCGAAACAGTCCTTCAACATTTCTGGGTGTTTCTCGTGGACCAAAGAGGTCAAGTCACCACCGTCGTCCAAGATCAAGTTCAATTGCTTGCCATCTTTGAAAGCGAACAATTGTTGCTCGATACACCATAGATACTCCTCCTCGGTCTCACCCTTCCACGCAAAAACTGGAACACCAGAAGCGGCAATAGCAGCAGCGGCGTGGTCTTGAGTAGAGTAGATGTTACACGACGACCAAGTCACTTCGGCACCCAAAGCCACCAAAGTTTCAATCAAAACAGCGGTTTGGATGGTCATATGCAAACAGCCAGCAATACGAGCACCTTTCAGAGGTTGAACGTCGGCGTACGCCTCTCTGATGGCCATTAGACCAGGCATTTCATGTTCGGCCAATTCGATTTCCTTTCTGCCAAAGGCAGCCAAAGAAAGGTCGGCAACTTTGTAGTGGTTTGCTGGGGAAGCCATTGGATTTATAAAGGGTGAAAGAGTCTTCGAAAAGCTTTAAACCTTGTTTCCTTACGAATTCAACTGGAGTAAACGAAGGGTCTTCATTTCTTCATCTTTTATACTATCAATTTTTCACATTCATCGAAAAATTTTCAGCATGTGAATAAGAAAAAATGACAAACCCACACCTGTCAGGACCCAGTTCGATAGGAAAGAAGCTTATTAACGAATATTTTGGTGAACTCGTTACGAAATTTAGCCACTTTAAGCATTGTAGGAGACTTGAGAATTGAAATTCTGGGCTTCACGTAGTTTAGTAGAAGCGTTAACTTGGTCCTGAACCGTTTGAACGGACAATTCCTCTTTGACCTGAAGTTCGGGCGTCGTCGCTGCTTCGTGTTCCTTCTTAATAGATTCTAACTCTAGTTGTCGCTCGAGCTCTTTCTGTCTTTCTAGCTCGTCTCGCTCGCGTTTGAGACGCTCCTGTTCCTCTCGTTCCCGCTCAAGCTTTTCACGTGATTGAAAGGCCAAGTTGGCCTTACTACGTAAAATGAAAAGGTATTCTCCGGATTCTCTCTGCAAAGCCCTCAGGGTTACTTGAATCTCATTCAAAAATTCCTGCAACTGGTGCAGCTGAGCAGGATGGTTTATTAATTTGTCCCGCACGCCAATGACAAGCTTCTTGAGATGTAAAAAATCTTTCCAGTTTTCATGCTGTTTTTTGTTCAAGTCGTCCTCTTCCAACGCTGCAACCACATCCACGTAGGCCATACGTCTCGACCATTCAGAGACCATGACGTCCCCCCATTCCTCGTAGATTTCTAAGTGATCATGTCTCATGAGGTCGACAGCGGCATCAATTTCTTTGACAAACGCTTCCAAACGGCCTCCGACATGATCCAGGCTTTCGTCAACATAAACATGCGTGCGATTAAATAGCTCGCGCATTAAAGGCCGCGTGATGTACCGGTCCAGCTGAGTGCCATGTCTGTCGAAGTATATCGTTTCGTTTGTTTCGGGATCTATTTCTGCCGTGCAATTCACGTCCATTATCGCCTTGTTGATCGCTTGATAGAACGCTTGGCTCTGGTTGGTAATGTTGCGTAGAAGAGCGGTCACATCGGGATGAATCTGATCCAGCCTCTCCTGGACGAGTGATTCAACGTCGTGATTGAAGTGCGCAATGGTGTTTGCTGCTTTTCTCTCGATAGCATTTGCCCAAGCTTCGAACTCATCTTGCACAAGTTCCGTGACGGAAAGCTCAACGGTACTGTCAGTGGCGAGGTTCAAAGCACCAGATTCTGATGCTAACGAAGAGACAGCAGGGGCGCCAAACTCGCCATCTGAAAGAGTTACAGTTTCTATTATCACCGAAGTGAGCGTGATAGTTTCATCCTCGAAAATGTCGTCACCTGTTGCGGGCTCTTGTTCTAGACTTTCAGCTGTGGTCTCTCCAAGAGCTGCCTCGAAAGAGGAAGTTCTTTTGGGGCGATCAATGAAGTCTTCGCGCGCAGCAGAAAATTTTTCCAAAGCCGTAGCGACACCATTCCGAACAAATTCGCCCATGGCAGAAACTCTGGAATAAGTTCCGCGGCCAAATCGCTGAACGGCACCATCTTGAAAGATCCACTTGTTGTAAACATTTTGAAGGTGCCTTACAGAAGAGGCCAAATTGACTTGGTAGTAAAACTGCACTTTGAATTGGGCGGTTTTGTACCATTTGAGTGCAAAAGGTCTTACATTTTGATCAAAAGCGTCTTTAGCGGTGTAAAAAGCCACTTTGGCGCGAGGCGTGGTCCACTCGCACATTTTCTTCTCATATTTGGCAAGCGTGTCTATTTGAGGAGCAACGTACTTTGCTCTAAGCGGCTCAACGTTAGTTTCCCACCAGGGTACAGCGTTCTGCTGAAGCCACACATTGCGGCTTAGAAGCACCTTTTCACATATGGCAGCGTCCTCGTTGTTCACACAGTAGCGTTCAATTTGTTGATACCCAACTGCCAAGAACAGCAGCGCCAGTATCAGTTTATAAAACTTGGCCATGGCTAACGAAACTTGTGATGTTATAGGCTCTAAAGATGTAGGCTACTTGAATCAAAAAGTGAACTGAACAAGAGCAATGCCTTAATCAATGTCTTTCGTTTAGTAAAGACTCGGTAGGGACTGTAAAACAGAGCCTTCAAGATCGAATAAGTAAAGAAAAGCTATAACCGAAAATCCAATGCAAATCTAATGATCAATGTTAGCCACTTATACCTGCCTTTTAGACCGATGACCCCGTTGCAGGGATACATTTTTTTTTTGATGATAGCTGTGTTTTGATAATGACATATTCGTACATCATGAAGCAGGTGAACGATGTAAAGGTGGTCACCTTCAATATGTTTCAAGGATTTCAGAGGAAGTCGTTTATTATATTCAAGCGAATTAAAATGAACTTGAAATGGAACACAGTTCTTCTTTATCCGAACATTCTGCTCTTTTTGGAGGCTAAACATGGGCGTTTGAGGAGTTCTTATTGTTTGATGAAGTTCTGGCAGTAGAGGAATTTCCGTGCAATTTTAATTCAATTTTGGTAGCTGACGTTGTTTCTTGGTGACGGCTGCTTACAGTCTTTTGTATTCACTTTATTATTTAGCAGTTGCTCGAAGGAGTGCCGGATGAAGAGAAAAAGATCCTGAGAAATATGGCGATAATATGTGAACAAACTACAGTGACGTAGTCTGAAAGACTTTGCGTCCAACAAGGAAACGGAAAATAAACACCACTAATATTGTTACGTAGTTCTCACTTAGTTTCCTGCTTCCCTTTCCTTTCAGGTTCAAGCGTTCCGTGTTTTGATTGATAGCGGCTTCATACTTACGGTTGACACTACGACGAACGTTTTTTCCAACCTGCCATGGAGAGCCTAGGAAGACGTTCTATGTTAGAGCCAGGACACCCATAGCGCAAAGATCCTGGGAGAAAGATCATGCGAAGCATTACAAAACGCAGGATGAACATTGGGATTTTCTATCAGTTCCAGAAACCGCTTTGGCGAAGTCAATTGTTTTCGGCTAGAAAACGACTTTGAGAAGTTAATTTTCGAATGAATATACAATTACCCGTAAATACGACCACTTAAATTACCTAAAGCTGCCCCAAAGCCTTTGCTCTCTTGATTTCTACGAGGAAAACACTTTCGTTGTCCTTCATTTTTCACCATGTCGAAATTAAAAGATGACAGTCACTTGATGTGAAGTATAAAAAGGAAAAACAAAGCCGCCAGAAGACAGGAGAACCTTGAGTTGCTCAATCACCTCATCAATGTGACTACCAGTCAGAATAGGTTTTACAAATGGGAAACTTTTTTAACCCTGCTCAATAGGTGTTTATACGTCGGAAATGTTCCCATTGGGCTTTTAAATCAGTGATACAAAAGCACGTGACCTTTTAGAAAGACAACTAACTGTCACTCTCAAAACTTTTCCCAGGAAACCTTGTCATATTAGCAGTTGAAAGGTAATTCGACCAGGGTAAAAGCATGTCTTTCTGGCCTTTCGGGCAGAATGTCCACTCAAATATCAACAGAATTCTGGAGGAGTACTTCCATATACTGCATGCGCTGGAAAAACGAGACGAAAGCGGCCATGTGGCCGAGAATGCGGACCTGACCCCCGAAGAGCCAGAAGAAGTTAGCGACGTCCAGACGTCTTCCATGTCGTCCCCCGAGTCCCAAAACCTAACTACACAGTCGCTGAATAGTTGCTACATTGATAATATCCTGAAAGAGTCCGAGCTTCTGAACGAGCTCACGAGACAGAACAACACTTTACTCGATTTCATATGTTTTGGGTACTTTTACAATGGAGAAAACGCCAAAGTACAAAACATCGAATATCTCATCGACCAGCTCATGAAGTGTATCGACAACATCGACGACGCCATGGACGGCAACGTGATTCCCTTGCCACCCGCTACAGGTACGGACACGCAGGCCATTGGCCTAGGAAACGACGAAACGAGAGACGCTAACAACGATTTCCGAGATGATTATGACGACGACACGATAGTTCCCAACCTGGATGAGGATGACAGCAAGCAATCGCCCAATCTAAACAAGGCCACCATCATATCAGAAATTTTCGCACTCGACATATGGCTTATATCAGAGTCAGTGGTCAAAAACGTGCAATATTTGAACAAAATGTGGTCCATAATGTACCACCCGCATTTTTCTTCAGAGAAATCTCCACTGATCCCCATATTTCTTAAGATAAATCAGAATTTGCTGGCTACAAGACAGGACCAATATCTGAATTTCATCAGAACCCGCGAAACTTTGGTCCAAGACATGCTCAGCCACATTGAATTATCCGTCTTGATGGACTTCTTCTTGAAAATCATATCAACGGATAAGCAAGAGTCTCCATCTGGCATGATCGAACTCGTACATGAACAGAAGCTTATCGACCGACTTCTACAACACCTGGACAATGACAAGTATTCACCTGATATCCAAGCGTGCGCCGGCGATTTTTTAAAAGTTTTGATTGCTATATCTGCCAATGCGCCATTAGACGAAATGTCAATCGGTCCGAATTCCTTGACAAGGCATCTGGCTTCTGAACCATGCGTCAAATATTTGCTGGACGCCATAGTCAAAAAAAGGGGCGACGCGCTCATAACGGCAGTATCGGTTGTTATAGAACTCATTCGCAAGAACAATTCAGACTACGACCAAGTTAACCTTTTAACAACCACTCTCGATTCGCATCCACCTTCTGTCAGAGACCCAATATATTTGGGCGAGCTGCTCAAAGTCTTCAGCACAGGCGTTCCACTTCTTTATCAGGTACTTGTGGATATCGAGGAGGACAATACCATACCAGTGATAGAAAATCAACTCGGACAAAAATTCAAACCACTTGGGTTCGAGCGGTTCAAGGTGGTTGAGTTGTTTGCAGAGCTACTTCATTGTTCGAACATGGGTCTTTTGAATTCGAAAAAGGCCGAGAGGATAATGAAAGAACGTAATGAATGTAGAGTTCAGGTTGAAGCACAATTACGAGATGCTTTATCGGAGCTCGAAATACAAGATGACGGAACTCCTAAGAAGAATCCCACTGAAATGGAGGGGATTGACGTTGAGGATCTGGATGAAACTTTTGAGATACCTTATGTCAATGCTGACCAAAACAGGAAATTGAGGATAAACCCAACAATAGGGGATCTTTTCAAGATCAAATTATATGATGTTGAAGTTTTGCCCAAGGTCGTCAGCTTATTTCTGCAATACCCGTGGAATAATTTCTGGCATAATGTCATCTTTGATGTAATACAACAGATCTTTAACGGTCGGATGGATTTTTCCTACAATTCATTTCTCGTCTATTCCTTGTTCAACGGCGAGGGTTCAAATAAATTTATGAACGATCCAAGGAGGCTACCGAACCCTTTCAATATCACGCATAACTTGATATTAGAAGGCTACCGAGAATCATATTCCTTTTTCGAAAAATATAACACAAGCTTGGGATTCATGGGTCATTTGGTTCTAATCGCGGAAGAAATTGTAAAATTCTCGAAAGTGTACAAGGTGGAACTCATTTCACCTGACATACAGAGAGCCCTCCTAGATGAAGACTGGACCTTTTATGCCGAGGACGTTCTCAACGACACTAGGATAATGTACTCAAAGATTTTAGGTGGGACGGATTACATGGAGGATGACGAGAATTCTCGTCAACGGAAAGCACCAAGCGAAAGTTCGGAAGGAATGAGCTCAAACGGGGGCTCTCTGATAAATGTCAACAGCATAGGTAACGCGTCTGAACCTGAATTTTCGACGCAGGCAGACCTGCATCAAAAGTTAAGACAAAAACTCATAGAAAGATCACGCCAGGAGGTCGATCGAAAAAATAAAGAGAAAGGCGTTATTCTACTCGGCATGTCACCAGAAGATACCGCACAAACGCGGCCCTCGATTAATGACCATAATGATAGAGTATCTGGAGATGAGGAGACATGAGGAAAGATTGGATTTGATGAAGAAAAGGATGCATGACCCCAATCAATGTCTCAATCACCAATTAAGTTTATGATTTACGCACGAATGTATATAATAAATACACGTCTAATGATTTTAAATATATCTTTTAGTTACACGCGTGCAACTCAGCTCGATTTGGGTTTTGCTTCCGTTGACTGAGCTCGCTTTGTCCTTTTCCCCTGTTCGGGCTTTACTTCATTCTCATCAGCTGAAGATTTATTGGCTTGAAACAGTCGTCCAATTGTGAAATTCCAAAGCCAAACGGGTAATTTGACGAGACATGAGTCTCTAATTGAAGGATTCTTGATACCTTCAACGGTAATGAGGGCCTCGGACCCGTCAGGTTGCACAGCGTAAACGTCACCCATTTTGACCAGAATCTTCTTGCCCTCATCGACCTCTGATTCTTTAAATATCAAATTGCATTCACCCAGCCCATTTGTCGTGTCCTGCGCTTTCACTTGCCTTATAAATCTGCCAATACGCGTTTTGTTGCCGTCGTTTTGTAATTTGAGAAGCACGTAATGTATAAGGCCAGCTGCGACGTAGACGAAAAGAATCAGAAACCAAGTAGTAGGTTGCACACGCGTAAAATAAAACCCGCCTTTCTTGAAATTGTAATTAGGGAACCCATATTTCAAGTAGTAATCGTACGTTTTTCTACGAGAATCGTCACTCAGAATCTTCGATACAAGATTTAATCTCTCATACAATTTCCTGTACTTCTTGTTCTTGTCAGGATGATACTTTTTGGACAATCTCTTAAGGTTTTTCTTAATTTCTAAAGCAGAAGAGTCCTTGAGCTTGGGCAGCTTCAGAAACTTGTAGAAGTCAACTTCGTCCCCATAAGCTTTCTTGATCTCTTGTTGAAGCTGAAATATCTCAATTTCGTCGGGCGAAAAACAATAAGCCAAAGTGGCCAATCCCAAGAAAAAGCAAGCAATGAACCTCCATATGCCACTTGACATGTCAGGTTTCGAATGTTTTGTAAAAATTGTTCGAGATTTTTCACTTCTCTGCTGCGTTAATGAAAGTTGATTCCTAAAGCTGGAAAATTTCAAGACCATCACCACCGCTACAAGACAGACCGAGGCAGAGCTTCAAGATGGTCCCCAGACAGCAAAGAAAACCGTCTTCCCCGACCAATGAGATCAGCCTAACAGCCTCGAAAATTGCTTCCAGATCATATCAATACTTCAGACTATCATCGGGCTTCGTGTACTCTGCGTTGTTGGCCCGATGGCTAGCTCTATACCCGTTGGTTGGATCAAAATTCTTAGCGGGTGGAATTCATGAATTTTTATGCTACGTGATGGTATATTCTGCCACTGGAGAGCTATTTTGGAACTTGAAGCATTATGGTGTGAAGAGAGTTCAGGGTAGAACAGTGCTGAAGAATGTCAATTACCTGTATTTCGTTGCAACACTACATTTCCACGACGATTACGAGCATGCACCCGTTTTGAAAAGTCGTAGCTATAGTTTATTCATAATTGCGCTTTCTTTGACGCAGGCTTATTGCAATTGGTCTAGGTTGTTCAAACCGGTGAACAGATCTAGAAAATCGATGTGGTGGAAAATTGACTCGATCGCTTTACAACCGGTCCTATACCTGTGTGAATTTTACCTCTTACTTTTGAACCTACAAACACCCAATTTCCACTCGTATCAGTATTCTGAGCTGATCAACAAGCTCATTCTGATAGCGTTCATTCCGATGGCTTTACATGCCTACAGAAAGCAAATTGCACTGCTTTGATCTTATATGCATCTACTCAACTGCTCCGAAATATCTTCTGCGAATTGGCTCGCTTCTGGACCGGACGACATTTGTTGGTAATTGGTTCTCGCCTCTTCAAGTTTGTGCATTAATTCTTCCAGGGAGAATCCTTGGCTGGGCAACTTACAATCAATTTCTTCTACAGCTGACGCCTGCTTCGCTTGCTTCGCTTGCTTCATTTGCATAATATCTGCGTCCCAATTATGCGTGTCGATAACTTCTTTTACACGTCCGATTCCTAGGCTTTCGTTATATTCATTAGACTCATTTTCATCGCAATGGATGAGCTCGAAACTGCCCACCATTTCGTCTTCATCGCTTCGACGAGCCTCGCTCGTCAACAAAATGCCAAAATATTCCATACTTTCGTCCAGACATTTGGACAACTGATGGAGTGCTCGGTGTGAATCGGGATCAAATTTTGACCCAACCACTATTATACCAGCCAAAACATCCCTCAGATCTTGGAATTCCGGGCTCATAAGCTCGTCGCACCAATTGCTTAAGTTCTCTAGCTCATCTATGTATATATCAAGCTGAACAGAGTAATACTTAGTTCTCCAGCAATATTTTCGCACAATGCGCGACGAGTGCGAAATTTCTTGTCCAAATACTTTAGCTAGAAGCTCATCTTTACGAGAGAAATCTGCGCTAAAGGCTATCAGTAGCTTGTTTCTGGGCAGAGCAGAATTGGAACCGGTAGTCACTACTTCAGGATTGACCTGCATTGTGGTAGGGACGGTTGGTAACAGGGAAAGGTGCCGAAGTGCCGCAGTGTCTTAATTTTTCACCAACTTGTTTTCGATATACAAGACTTTTCTAAATATACCAGTGTACTGTAATGAGTTTCGCCGCCCTAAAAGGACATCATGTTTCGCGCGTTTCTAAGTATTCACGGCATTACGCTTAAATATTAGAGGCCTTTCCATAAGCAACTAGCCTCATTTAGGGTTCATATAATGTCTGATGGCAATCTTAGCGTTTGGCGACAAAGTAGCTCACAATTACATCGCAACCTGACCAACTAATGACAATATCCAAGCAAGGCGGTTTGCCAACCTTTTCAGCCACTTCTTTAAATTTAGATCCTCAGTGTTCGATAAGAGAAGAAAAACCTGCCAAATTAGATACTGAACCGAAGACGTCATCCAAGCCTTTTTTAGTAGTAGAACAGATTTTAAGCCAATTAAAACAGAAATTTTATTCTATTACATTGGTCTGTTTCGCTTCAAAGCTTGTTAACGCAGAAAACGCTAAAGTGCGTGCTGTAGTTACGGGTGTTCAAATCACATCTATAATGTTGATTATCACCCAATTTATCATATTGGCGGTTTTCATCACAGTTGGGATTCCGCGCAGAATCAAGAAGAATGTGGTTCAGGAAGGTATACGTTATACCAATGAATTAATACCAGATGACATTATAGACTACGAATTGTTTTTAAGCGCATTGAGGTAGTTTCGTCTTATCAAAAAAAATTCGATATAGACTACATTTTCGTTAATTAGGACCAGTCCAGTTTTCAATGATCCTGGTTCTGCGCTTGACCGTCCCTTTTCCACATTGATATAATGTCGAGTATAAACTAGTTCTTTAGTAAATTGAAATTAAAAATCAAGAAATCATCTCTCAACAAATTCATTAACTATCCACAAGACATGATGAAAAGCGGCTATACGACCGACACGACGTCAGCAACTCTTCCAAACTGGACAGAAAATCTTATTAATGATAAGCTTGCCCAAACGATAGACACCAAATTTGACAATTCGCTGCCATCTCCACCTAGTTTCAAACAGGCCAATAATGGTAGTAAAACTGCAAAATCGGCTACTAAACAAGATTCCGTGAAAGCCAAAGATTTGAACGGTATTGCCGTACAGAAAGCTTGGCAAATCTCGTTGCAACCAGCGAAATCGATTCCATTGAACATGGTAATGTCTTACATGTCTGGTTCTTCGCTTCAAATTATCTCCATCATGACAGCACTTATGCTCATTTCGAACCCCGTGAAAAGCGTCGTTAACATCAGACGCACGTTCAAGCCGGTCTTGAGCAATTCTGAAGTGAAAAATGAGATTATGCTCCCGATGATGGCGTTCGTGCTTTTTCAAGGTTTGCTCATGGCTATTGGCGTGCACAAATTGAACAGCATGGGATTAATTCCTAATACCAGAAGCGACTGGCTGTTCTTAGAAAAACCGGCTAGTTTTGCTTCTAATTCGTATGCATTTTGACAGTCGGTAAAATAGACAAATATATATATATATACATATATATTGATTAGACCGCCTCTCTTTCCTTGAATTTCGCTTCGTAGATTTGCTGCACGTTGTAGCGCTTGTATTTGGTACGGTAGTCGCTATCGACCACCGACATACCAATATTGTTCTTAAAGCACTCGACAAGTATAAGTTTGTCGTATTCTTTGAGATCAACGGTATGACCCAGTTGGCCTCCTTTACCTACAACCCGGGCAACTTCCTTGATGATATCCATTTTTTCAATGGTGTTGAAGTTCCTTCTAGTCACTTCAACTGCGAATTTCAGCGGGGTGACACCTTCAACGTGGAAATGCGACTTCAAGACTTGTTCTGCAAGCTTGGTTAATTCCACCATCGAAGCACTTGTCGAAAATGTTACTGGTGTGAGTTTCTGCACATACCTAGTACGCTTTTGCATATTATTGGGATTTGCAAAATCTTGCATCAGTTCATGAACGAAATCTGCCGGCTGAACAGGCTGACGGGTTTTGCAAAAAACAACGCATTCGCAATTGAGATCAATGAACTTCAGAACTTCTTTCTTGGCTTTCTGACCATCACGCGGTACACTTTTAAGTTCCTGTAGTTCTTTCTTAATTTGATCTTCTACTGAAAGTTCTGCATTGTCTTCAGCGGTATCTTGGCTCTCAGCAAGGTCGTTACAGTACAATTCGTCAACTTTGTCTTGAAACAATTGTCCCAATTCCTGCGCAGCTTGTTTTTCATGCTTACGAGCACATGTAGCATAAATTCCGGATACACATGGTTCTAAAATGCCGTTGGCGATTTTATACTTTTAGAATGATATGTGTTGGTTATTTAGTCCCAAAAACAAAGATTGAACACTCGAATCAACCCAATTTCTTAACATACCTTCTTTCTGGACTTCTGTCCCTCTGCTGGTCTGGCTCTTTTACCCATTAGAATGCTTCTCTTTTCCTGATTGGTTTTATCTTTATAACTCATCGATTCTAGTATGAATTTCATTTTTCACCGCATCGTTATTATGGAAATTGTAGAATGGCACTCGATATTGAAGCGAGTTGTCGATATCCAAGAAAGTCGTCAATCCCATTACTGGCCGGGTTTGATATCGACTAGACGTAATGAGCAGCTCTGGAGTGTTGATCCCAGAATCTTATCAGTTTTTCGGCTTGTTAAGAGTAAGTCTCAAGCTCTTCTAGACTACTTCAGATATGGTGTCATTGTAGAGCCACTGGTCAACAACAACGCAAAATTAACCGATTGTGTTCTTATACTTAACATAAGTGTTGCGTAAAGCTTACGATGACCCATTGTCGGCGAAGCTTGGCGCGAAATACATCTGACACGATTACCTGCGTACGTTGAATGGATTTGACAAGGGTTATACGCATGATAGCAGTTTGGTGCGTAACATCAGTTTACTTATGAGCAAGGAAGGTAAAGATTGAGTTTAACTGCAGAATGTCACTGATGAAACCTTGATTTTGCCATACTATTTGTCATTCTGCACCCTCACAACACACACTAACACTTTACCAATTGAATAAGTGAAACTTTCAATCGGTGCCGTACCGTCCCAAGCAAGAGCTACAACACCTTATCGAACTGATAAAGAAAATCCTGATCAATCTTATCCACGTGATACTCGAATCCGGCAGTTCGAGTCATCTTGATGCCGTCTTTAGGTTTATACCCAAACGTGTGCTGTAGAGTTTCTCATGGCAGTTCGGCCGAACTGACGAGCCTAGTGAGTCACTTGGAGTTTTATAGTCATCACTGTAATGAAAACTATAAAGCGAGCCAGAAGTTAATTATAATCCGAATGTGTCATTAGACCTTCAATAACACTAAAATGACTGGTGAGACATTTGGACACGATTTTAAACAAAAGTATTTCTCGTATTTGAACCCGGGAGCAGTACCTGTCAACCATGGTTCCTTTGGTGCTGCACCGGCTTGTGTCATTGACAAACAGGAATCGCTCTGTGAAGAAGTTGAAGATTATCCCGATCAACTTATGTTTGTAGATTTGAAATCCAAATATGTGGATCAATTGAAAAGTCTGGGCGAATATCTCAACATTGATTACCATAACTTGGCGCTGGTTACCAATACCACAGTGGGAGTTAACACCGTTTTGAGATCTTTTCCTTGGGATTTCAACAAGGACAAACTGCTCTTCCACTCCACCTCTTTCCAATCATGTCAAAATACAGTAAGGTTTCTGAGCGAATACTTCGGGTTGAGGTTCGACGTTGTTGAGCTCGCCTACCCATTGGAAGACGCCGAAGTTGTGGCAAAATTCGAGGCAAAACTCTCGACAGGGGAGTACAGATTGTGCATGTTTGACATGATTACCTCAATGCCCGGGGTGAGACTTCCTTATGAGCAGCTCACAAAACTGTGCCAAAAATACAACGTCCTCTCGTTATTGGATGGAGCGCATTCTGCTGGTCAAGTTGATTTACGGTTTTTAGACGAAATTCAGCCCGATTTCATGTCTGCTAACCTGCATAAATGGCTTTTCACTCCCAGATCTTCAGGAATATTATATGTTAACCCCAAACATCATGCTGTAATTCAAAGTTTACCGATTTCATCTCAGTTTACCGCAGAGATTTGTCACCCGATTGCAGAGCCAGTAAATGAGCAACAAAGGAATCATAATCGGGAAATTCTGATCAACAAATTCTATTTTACTGCCAGCGTATCCTATTACCAATACTTTTGCGTCAAGACAGCCATTGAGTTTCGCCGCGTTATTTGCGGCGGAGAAAAGAAGATTCATGAATATCAATCCGAATTAAGAAAAGATGCCATTGATGCAGTTATAGACATTTTTGGTCCCGGCGCCAAGCTTATGGAAAATTCGACTAAAACGCTGGCTATTCCTGGAATGTTTAACGTGTCATTACCTTTAAGACCAGAATTTAAGCCAGTCTTGAGCAAGGCATTGTCAAATTATGATTATTCCTGCAAGCTGAAGGCCAAATGCGAGAAGATTGCCATCACAGAGAAAAAGTTCGCCCCGGTTGCCTTTCACAATGATAAACTATGGGTGAGATTTAGTGTCCAGATTTACAATGAGCTCGAAGACTATAAGCTGGTCGCTCAGCGTATCAAAGAAGCTGTGGAAACTGCTTTCTGGAATGAGTATAACATTCTGTGATAGTTACTTCGAGCAGTCTCACAAAAACGTCCCAACCGAATCTTTGAAGCTCAATATTTGGCTGATAGACAATTTTCTACAAAATCCAACAGCAGAAACGAATTCCAAAGATCTGACCTTCCACCATGGTACTTTTAGAAAAAGAGTCTTTAGTTGGCAGTCAAAAAATAATATTCTAAAAACTCAGACAATTCTTCAATCGAAATTTCAACCTGAAGGTTTCCACTTAAGAATTCATTAATTTTGGAACGCTATAATAAGGTAGTATTCTTTTCTAATGCCTGTACGGCTCACTCAATGAGTTCTAGTTCATGGTGGAAATTTAGCGTTTCAATGGTCAGCGAACACTTCGGGCTAATTTTACATTGTAGAGCCCGTCAAACTTGTCTGCGTAGGAGTCACAAGGGATTTGAATAATTCAAGTATTATCTCAAAGTTTAGCTAGCATTTCATCGCAACAAAATTTGAGAATAGACTAGGCACCGTCAGCAACTGTAGCAGGCTGACTTCTAAAGTTTCGCTCTTCATTTAGCTTCTATTAAAAAACTTCGCAATTCTTCCGTTGGAGCCCGAAGTTTCCCCAAAATTTGGATCAATGGAAATGCTGCTTTTCTCCATCATCTCAGCTGATTGTGGTCTTACATGTACTTTACTGTAAAGCATTTGTGCAACCTCAGGCTTTATTCTTGGATATTTTCTCATCCTCAGACTCGAATCTCTGTACTCTTCTAAATTCTGAGCCTTCAGAAATTCAATATGCTGCCTCAAATCGCCAAACGTTGAGCGCAAGGAGCGTATGTTATTTTCTATGACGTTAGAAATCCTTGGATTATCTGAGTTTTGGGACAAATCCGGGCTAGCCAGACCCTGCGAATCAGGTGAGCTTAGGTCATTAGGAAAGATTTTCCAAATGACACTCTCCAGGAAATCCATATTGAGCTCAAAATTGCTAACACTTTGAGGACTTATGATCTCGGGTGTTTCGAGTAGCAGCATATCCAAGAACTTTTTTGTCAGGACATCAAATTCGCGGAAAATGAGCAATGATTTAACACTATCTGGAAGATTGACCAGCGTAGAAGTAAACATCATTTCCAAAAACTGTGCAATATCTTTGATGAAAATATGAGGCTCTTCCTCCAAGATGTCATTATTCCAGTCGAATTCAACAAATTCCATCAAGTCTGACACTTTAGAATCGATAAGTTCTATAAGTTTGGATTCTGCAAATGCTCGAGTTTCGCTGAGCAGTTTTTGAGATTTGAGTCTAATTTCAATGTCAGGGCTCTGAACTATATTTTCCCGCGTGAGTATGAGACTGAACTCCTTTGCTGCAATGACAAAATAGTCTAAATTTATTAAAATCTGAGCAATTTCCTCCCGCGAAGTTGTGTCCAACTTTGCTCTTATTCTTTCATTGATTATCTTGCTAAAAATGATGTCGATGGTTTGAACCACAACCTTACTCAAGTAATTAAGATCGTGTTGAAAGAAGTCATCCAAAAATGCCGTAATCTTGCTGTAAGTCTTTTTTATTAAAGTGCAAGTCATAGGATATAAAGGGGAAAAAGGAAGGGTTGCAATGGATGGCGATGCCCCATTTTCTTCGATAATAGCACTATCCCGTAATTCATTCTTTTTAACCCAACACACCCTTAGAATTTTATTGAATAAGTCCTTGTCATTGACAGTAAGAGGCATGAAATCATCGTCGTTGAGCAATACGCGAAACTCTTGCTCGAAATTGAATCGCAACAAAGCACAAAATTTCTTGAACACGAGCACCTGAATTGCGTAGATTGCCTCGATATTGAACGCCCAATTCTCTAAAACAGCCACGAATATGCCCAAAAACCCCTTGAATTCGTCCAATTCCTCTTCTGTCTTTAGAAGAACAGTAACGTAATGCTCTAGATAAGGTGAAAGTTTTGCAATGTAATTGTCCCAAAAATCATCTGTGGCGCTATCCGAACTATCAGAAAGCATGGAATCCGTGGATTTTTGAAGGTGTCTATCATAAACCAAAAAACCCAGCACTCTTAACATGTAGTTCTTGATCATAGACATGTCGACGTCTTTCCCAAAAATTTCCGTTATATCCTTCTGATTATTGGAAAAGGCCGAACTCACGCTACTTTTGAGCTCCAAGGGATAGACGAGCTTTGACTTCCTGAAATCGTACTCTTTAGTGAATTCGTCGCACAGATAACTCAACTCTTTGAGGTTTTGGAAAATCAATATTGAATCGTAGAGCTCATCTAGCTTGTAAAATTGATTCAAATCGAGTGACATTAGTCTTTTCTGATCTCGCAACGAGATCTCAACTGCAGAATTAAACTTGAAGTTTCCGAGATTCATGCTCTTTTTCTGAGAAGTCCAGTCAGGTAGAAGTGTATCATTGTAGAATGAGTAAAGTGTTGTACCCAGGTTGAGTAAAGTTTTCTCTAAATTGGAGTTGAAGGATTGTTTGATCAAACTTATGCTTTCGTCCTTAATTTTGGTTTTCAGAATTGGAATTGATGCATTAATTTCCTTGAGGAATTTAAAATTGTAATTTTTGAAGTCCTGAAGATAAATTCTCTCAAGGTTTTCTAGATTTTGTAAGGCTTTGAAAAAATTACCATCTTTTATTAAATCTTGACATTTGTTGGTCAACTCCAGTATTCTCACGATCTTATTTATCAGAATGGTGGTTTCCTTAATTTTTGTCGATGTCTTCTTGTTTTTGATAAATGCCTGCTTCTTGATCAGTAGTTCGTTCACAGAAGCAGCTAGCTCTTTCTCTAACTCTTGAACTTGCGCCTTTAACGATCCTTCAACAAGACCCCGAATTGAAGATATTCGCTGAATAGATGCCGAGAGATCATCATTGACCTCAGCATCCTGGAGTATCTGGCTCTCGACACTTTCAAAATTATCATCAATTGAGTTTATCAGTTCTTCTACCGTCTTTTCAAGCACATCCTCCTCAATAGCCGCTCTGAGTAAAGGAATGCATTGATCCAAAGAGCTTTCATTGATTATGAAGTCATCTTCAATTTTGTTTCTTGTAATACCGTCCTCCAACGAAACATTACGTTCATTGTCCGTTGTAGAAAGATTTGAAAGGGTAGAGTCAGAGTTAAGTAGGATTTCTCGAAGCTTCCAAAACACGGAATCCGTCGTTTCAGTTTCCATTGAGACCTTATGGTCCTATATCAGCAACGTATATGAGGTCAATTGTCTTTCAGTCTGGGCCCCATAGTTGATCTTAAATATGAACGTCATAAGTAACGAAGGAATCTATGGCCAGGTTCTTGATATGTAAAGCCTAATCTAAAGACTAATATGATCTATGGAAATAGCATTATTCTTGAATGACGCAGATGTCGATCGGAAGACAAGAATCATGTATCTTAATAATTGTTGCCATTGCAATCGTCAGGTTTTTTATTTGGGACAACTCACGTAAAAGTACTCTAAGAGCATTTCTAACCACGCGACTCACGCGCATCTTAAATGGGCTATGCTAAAGACGCCTTCCGAAGACTTTTCATTAAAAAACGCGGAAAGTTCTAACTACAAACACGTGAAGTGGGAAATTAAAAGGGCTTTTCCTATTCGCCTTGATTTCCTTCATTTCTCTTTGGATTCCGCATAGTAATGTAGGTACGCTGCCATCGTTTTGGTTCCACCGACAAAATTGCTTAAATCCAACTTTTCATTTATAGAATGAGCACCGTCATCACCTCTTCCCATTGGCAACAAGAGAACGTTCGTCTTCAGCTCTTTTTCAAAAGTAAGCGTGATAGGGATAGAACCACCTTCTCTTGTAAGATCTGGTTCAACACCATAAACAGTCTTAGTGGCCTTGGCAGCGGCTGTGAACGAGGCGTTGAATGGGTCCGAAATCCAGTAGTCACCATCGTGAATCAGCTCCGCTTTAAATGTGTTGGGAGAGTTTAAGGACTCAAAGACACTCTGACAGTGTTCGATGACCAATTTGTCCAATTTTCTGGGCTCGATGTTTGGAACGGTTCTGATAGAGAACTTACCGGCCACACGAGCAGGAATTACGGTTTTGGCACCAGAGCCAGAAAACGCACCTTCAATCCCATGAATAGAAAGAGATGGGAATCTCCAACGGTGCATGAGGATGTCGGATTTGGACTTGTATAAGCAGGTCTCAGAGCCCGAGGCTTCGTTCATGTCATCAAGACTGAACTCAATATCATCGTAAAGTTTCTTTTCTTGCTCGGTAACGGGTGCAACCATTTCGTTGATGCCCTTGATAAGAATGCGCCCTTGCGAGTCCACAAGCGAATCTAAAACCTTGATCAGGTCGGTCATTGGCTCAGCGATGACACCTCCAAAAATTCCGGAGTGAAGATCGGCGCCAGGACCCTCGATTATGACTTCGTAGTAACTGCAACCACGCAAACCGTAGGTCAAAACCGGTTTGCGGGTACCAAGCCAGTAATTATCTGAAATGCACACGGTGTCGACGGACTTGAAATAACCTTTGGCCTCTTGTGCAATCAACTTGTCGAGCCCAATAGACCCAGACTCTTCCATACCTTCAAAACACGTAATCAGATTGACTGGCAATTCGACACCGGCTTCTCTATGCGCTTGAACGACGTGGAGCCAGCCCAAAAGCGGACCCGAGTCGTCAGAAGATCCACGTGCGCGCATCAACTGCTTATCCTCGTCAATGACAAGCTTGAAAGGCTCAGAATCCCAACCGTCTTCGATCGATGCAGGTTGTACGTCGTAATGGCCGTACACCAAAACAGTCCTTTTCGATGGGTCGGAACCGTAGCGTGACAAGACCACAGGAGGCAATTGCAGCGAAGGATTATTCACCGGTGGAGGTTGCGTGCCAAGTTCCCGGAGTTGAATGTCTTCGAATCCCAGCAATTCCAGTTGTTTCGAAAGAAAATGCGCCTTTTTCACCACTTCTGGTCTCAAAAGCTCGTCGCCGGAGACTGCTTTGATCTCAACTGCCTTGGCCAGTCTGTCGACAAATTTGGGTGTCAATTCATCGATCTTGTTGAACACTTTAGTGAACTTTTCGTTAGAGCCTGCCATCGTTGTAGCTTTCTTACCAGCACTGTAGCTTCTCTTCAATATCAACCTCAAGCTCATATAAATGGGTCAAATTGACCTTTACTTGATTCTTAAAATAGGTTGATGAATACGGGTCCGGGTTCTCCTGCTTCGCAACTTCAAAACCCAGTTTTATGTGTCAAAATTGACTTGGCTGCTCTTTAATATGTCTCTGCGTTATCGAAATGACTAAACCAGTACGGTGGTGGCCAGAAAGTGGGTTGCCTGTTGCCTCGGCCGCTTCTTCCTTCCCTCGCGGTCCTTGGCTGATTTTTGGGTTTTTTCACTACTGGAAACGGCGGGTACGGGAAACAAATGGGAAACATTTGCGAAACAACGTAAAAAAAACGAACAGATGGACCAAGAAATGGACAGTTTCGAGGAACGCAAGACCATTATACTGGGCAATTGCGGTCGAGTGAGGACGCTTTGGTAGTTTATAACAATGGCCACGACTCGGGATTTGCCAGAAGTACGTTTCGAGGGGTTTTCAGCATGCAATTTTGAGCAACATATTAACCATCTACATCTCTAGGCTTTGGTAACGTCGATCACTGCCGGCAGTGTCGCTGCGATTTTTCAAACAACGGTGACGTATCCATTTGAGTTTCTGAAAACTGGAATGCAACTCCAACGGGCCATCGGCGGCGCGTCGCACTTTAATATGCTTCACCAGCTGAAGTTTTATTTTGCAGGGTGCTCAGCAGTGAACGTTGGCACCGTTTTGAAGACCGCAGCGCGCTTCACGACTTTTGAGAAAGCGTGCGACTTGATGCGGGATGCAGAAGATCAGAAAGGTGCGCCTTTGACAGGACCAAGACTGCTGCTGGCCGGCGCTGTCACTGGCTTCATGGAAAGTTTGCTCGTTATTCCTTTCGAAAGCATCAAGACCACCATGATTGAAAATGCTTTGGTCATGTCAAAGCGGGCTCAGCCGGGTGACAAAGCAGCTGCAGATGCAAACGAACCTAAACCTAAAGTTCGAGCCACTTTCCACAAACCGGATTATTCTGCGGTATCGCCTCGACAAAAGCTTTTCCTACACTATAAAGAACATCCATCTTCTCACTTTTTTGGCACAATTCGCGAGATATATCTCACTAGAGGCCTACGTGGATTTGTGCAGGGTACAGCGCCCACTATCATTCGCCAGATGGCCAATTCTTCCGTGAGATTCACGAGCTACACCATGATGAAACAGTTTGTATCGCCCAACAAGCCCCTCAACGAATACTACGCATTCGCGCTTGGTGCACTTTCATCCTGTGCTGTCGTCGCCGTCACGCAGCCTATCGATGTCATCAAAACAAGAATGCAATCCAAATACGCATGGAGCACTTACAAGAGTTCGGTTAATTGTGCTTATCGGATCTTTGTTGAGGAAGGAATCAGTCAATTTTGGCGTGGTTGGGCTCCTCGGCTCATGAAGGTAAGTCTTGCCGGTAGTGTTTCGTTTGGAGTTTACCAGTACACCGAAAACTTGTTATTATACATGAAACACGCCGGAAGACCTTTCAGCAATTGAGTGGATGATCAGTATATCTCGATTCTCTAATTCTAATGTACATAAATTAATCATTCAGCTTCCACAGGCGCTGTTGGGCAGATTTAATAAAGGCCATCAGCATTCTCAACAACACAGCGAGGCTGGCCTTCTGGTTTTTCAACCAAAACACCAATTTCAAAGACCCTCTCGTTTGCCTCTTGCAACAGACTCTTGACTCTGTCAACGTTCTGCTTCTCAACAATAACAACCATACCAATACCCATGTTCAAAGTTTTTAAAATGTCATCAATTGGAACGTTACCAGTCTTGCCAAACCACTTGAAAACCTCAGGAATTTGCCAAGTGTTCATGTCAATTTTAGCTTGTAAGTGATCGGGCAAAGCACGAGGCACATTTTCGACCAAGCCACCTCCTGTGATATGAGCGAAGCCGAGCGCAAGTTGCTCTCTGATTACTGGTAATAGCTGCTTAACGTAAATTCTGGTAGGTACCAAAGTTCCCTCACCAAGCGTCTTGCCAGCATCCCAAGGACAGGTGGCATCCCATTTCAATCCAGTTCTTTCTATAATTTTTCTAACCAGTGAGAATCCATTGGAGTGGACACCATCGGATCCTAATCCCAACAAGACGTTCCCAGATTCCATTTTTTCGATTTTAGGTAAAATGGCATTTTTGTTGACAGCACCAACGGCAGTACCATTGGTATCGTAATGACCTGGTGGATACATACCTGGCATTTCAGAAGTCTCGCCACCTACAAGAGCACAGCCGGCAGCAATACATCCATCCGCCACACCACTAACAAAGTCCGTGGCTACCTTAATGTCCAGAGCACCAGTGGCAAAGTAGTCCAAGAAAATCAAAGGCTCGGCACCCTGAACGACCAAGTCATTAACGTTCATGGCAACCAAGTCGATACCAACAGTGTCATGAATGCCAGTCTCTTGAGCAATGATGAGTTTTGTTCCAACACCGTCAGTAGCTGCCACAAGCAGAGTTTCATCGGTGTTATAGCCAGCGGCTTTCAAGTCGAAAAGACCTCCAAATCCACCAATGTCAGAGTCTGCGCCCGGTCTTCTAGTGGACTTCACTTTGTTCTTGATTTTTTGCACCAACAAATTACCGTTGTCGACTGATACACCGGCTTCCGCATAAGTGAGGGCCTCGTTCTGCTGCTTGGCAGCGGCGTCTGCAGCTCTGAATGCACGATATGCGATGTCTTTTCTGAAATATCTGTTTTTGAACTGAACGCATTCAACAGCCTCATAAGCTTTGTCGACGGCCTCTCTCAAAGTAGGAGCGACCGCTGTAGCTGCAACAACGCGGCCACCGGCAGTTTTCAGGACTCCATTTTCAAGCTTCGTACCAGCTTGAAATACGTATGAATTCTTTGGCAATAATTTTTCGTTGATGGTAATTTCATCGCCTTTGGCGTAGCTTTCTGGGTAGCCACCAGCAGCTAGAACAACAGTGGTAGCAAAGCTGTCTGTTTTGATTTTGATGTCCACAGAGTCAAGTCTGTGTTCCGCAGCCGCAAGAAACACTTCTGCCAAATCAGTGCTGTCATCTATCAAGGGCAAAACAGCTTGTGTCTCTGGGTCACCAAATCTGACATTGTATTCCAAAACTTTGGGACCTTGAGCAGTCAAAATGACACCAGTGAAAAGCACACCAATAAATGGCAAACGATCTTTTCTCATACCGTCAATGCTGGGACGAATAATCTCAAAGTCAATTTTTTCTAAGATTGCTGGAGTAGCAACGGGAGCAGGTGCATAGGCACCCATGCCACCTGTGTTGAGACCCGTGTCGTTTTCTCCAACACGCTTGTGGTCTTGAGCAGGTGGTAAGTTGACATAAGAGTAACCGTCAGAAATCGTCAAAATCGATATCTCGTCACCCTCAAGAAACTCTTCGATAACAACGGAATTTCCCGCGTCACCAAATTGTTTTTCAACCATAATGGCATTTAGACCCTCTAGGGCTTCTTCTTGAGTCGTGGGGATCAAAACACCCTTTCCAGCAGCCACACCGTCGGCCTTCAACACGACCTTATAATCCACTTTTTCGAGGTATGCCTTGGCGTCTTCAAACTTGTCGAAATTGGCGTAACGCGCAGTAGGGATTTCATGTTTTGCCATAAAGTTTTTGGAAAATGTCTTGGAACCTTCGAAAACGGCAGCCTTTGCCGATGGACCAAAAACTGGAACGCCAATTTTCCTGAAAACCTCAGAAATACCGTCAATCAAAGGTTGTTCTGGTCCAGGAACGACTAATCCGACATTCTTTTCAGTAGCGAATTGACGTAGAGCGTCAAAATTGGAAGGACCAATGCCTAAATGTCCAACGTTTTCAATCTTGTTACCAGCAACAGCGGTCCCTCCATTTCCTGGCGCCACGTAAACTTTGTGAACCGAAGGAGAAAGCGCTAGTCTCCAGGCAAGAGTATGTTCTCTGCCACCGCTCCCTAGAAGCAGAATATTGAGTGACATTATAGCTTCCTGTTTTACTCACAACTGGTTAAAACTCACTTAGCGTTTTCGACTTACCAGTGTCTTGAATAAGGTAAATCGGGAAACCAAAGCTACTTTTTTGGGGCTTTATCTCTTGCTCTTTTTTCGACGATTGATGAATTAATCTCGCCTAATAATTTTCATTTTTCATTAAACCCTGCCCTGCGATGAGTATCATGATCTTCACCAAAGGAAGGAGTCAGATTTCAGGGATTTTCTGAAAAACAGCGTCCAGGAGGACTCGAATGGATGTCAAATCAAGTGACTGAGAAGCGAGACCCGAAAGAGTTGATATAATCACTCCTAGCATCATACCCAAACTTTGGCTTGAGTATCCTCCTGTTGTAAGTATTTTCAATTGTTCTTTGTCTTTTAAATTTCCCTACTAGTGAGCTCTCAGACAAACCGCCTTTGGCCTGTATTTTATCTGGTGTCAAAATACAAACATGAGAATATCACAGTCAATCAACACACTCCCGAGAAACAAAACCGAGCTTTTCCTCCATGACTGTCATTGTTGGAAAATTAGGTGAACTACATGGCAGATAATTGATTCAAAATTTGTTTTCTTGTTCACAGACTTCCTTTTTTCATTTGTGGAGTCATTGCCAGGAAATACAGGTCGGTGCCGTCGCTCTCACGTTACAAAAAAGTCCAAGTCGTGGAATAGTGTCCTTAAGCTTCAAAATGTGCTAGTTTCACTACACCAAATGAACCAAAAATAATGAAAATAGCTGCAATATTAAGTCAAAAATAGGAATAAAGTTAAGTGAAAAAAGTTAAACCATTCAAAGCGAATTAGGTCACAGTCTATCGATAATCGGGGGCTCAATATGCGTCAAGTGGTGTCTCACTGTGTTTATGTCTATGTTTATGCTTAGTTATCATTAAGTGAAGCTTCTGTCATAGAGGTCTTAATTTCTCAATACCGAAAAATTCAGCTCATCGCTCTCATCGCTAACTTTATTAGCCAAAAATAAAGCCTCAGGAGTCCCTTTTTCTCATTCTTCTTGCTACTGCAAAATGTTCAGGAGGCTTCCACCTCTCAAGGGACTTTTATCCAGAGTTTTGAGGCGAAATCTCGTTCTTACAGCTGATCTGCAACGTACACTGGGCAACTTACCCAATTCCGGAGTTGTTGTAGTTGGTGGTGGTCATGCAGGGTGTGAAGCGGCTACTGGGTCTGCCCGTAGTGGTGCGGCTACTGTTTTGGTTACTCCAGCGTTAGATAAGATCGGAACTTGTTCGTGTAATCCGTCTATGGGTGGTGTTGGTAAAGGCACTCTCTTGAGAGAAGTAGACGCTTTGGACGGAGTTGCGCCACGAGTTACAGATCTGGCAGGGATTCAGTTCAAAATGTTGAACAAAAGTCGTGGCCCCGCGGTCTGGGGGCCCAGGGCTCAAATCGATCGTACCATTTACATGACAGAAATGCAGAAAATGCTCAAGTCGTACCCAAATTTGAGCCTGAAGCAGGGGAAAGTCAAAGATTTAATTATTGACACTAGCAGTGGTGGTTTGGATTTGGAGAAAAGGACATACGGTTCCGTTAAAGGCGTCATTTTAGAAGACGGGAGTATCTTGAAAACTTCCCAAGTTGTCATCACCACTGGGACATTTTTAAGCGCAGAGATTCATATAGGTTTGAAAACTTTTCCCGCAGGAAGAATTGGCGAAGATCCAACCTACGGTATTAGCAAAAGTTTTGCCCAAGCTGGTTTTAAATTGGGTCGACTAAAGACTGGAACGCCTGCTCGTCTTGACGGGACTACTATAAACTACGCACAACTCGAAGAGCAGCGTGGAGATGAAAATCCATGGCCCATGAGTTTCATGAATGATGACGTCTCCATCACAGAACAGATCATATGCCATGGAACCAACACCACACCCGAACTACATGATTACATCAAAGCCAATTTGCATAAGGCTTTACATATAAGAGAAACCGTGAAGGGACCTCGATACTGCCCTTCGATCGAAGCCAAGGTTGTGCGGTTTGCTGATAAAATATCTCATCGTATCTGGCTCGAGCCTGAGGGACTCGACACACATGTGGTATATCCTAATGGAATATCCAACTCGATGCCAGAAGACGTTCAAGAAAAAATGATGAAAATGGTACCTGGCCTAGAAAAGGTTGTTATCATCCAGCCGGCTTATGGTGTTGAATATGACTTTGTTGACCCCACTGAATTAACTCAAACCCTCGAAACAAAACTGGTGAGCGGGTTATATTTGGCAGGACAGATAAATGGTACAACAGGGTACGAAGAAGCATGCGCACAGGGCGCGGTGGCTGGAATCAATGCCGGTTTATCGATGTTAGAAAAGCCACCTTTGAAACTGATGCGTTCAGACGCTTACATTGGCGTTCTCATTGACGATCTTATTACTAAAGGCGTTGAAGAACCCTATAGGATGTTCACATCGCGCTCTGAATTTCGGGTGAGCGTTAGAGCCGACAATGCGGATTTTAGGCTCACGAAACTTGGACGCTCCCTTGGATTTATCAGCGACCACAGATGGGCCAAATTTTTGTCAGACAAAGCCATTTATGACAACCTCTTCGAAAAGCTTTCAGGCTTTGAACTGAGTGCGAAAAAATGGGATAAAACCCTAGGTATTTCGGTGGCAGACGCGGCTCGTAATCGCAGCGCCTGGGAAATGTTTAGATTCAATGGTGTTAAGCTGGAACTCCTCTGTCAAAAGCTACCTGAATTGGACATTGAACTAAGAGAAATTCCACGTCGAGTTCAACTTAAAGTCGACGTTGAAGCGAAATACTCGCCTTATGTCAAGAAGCAAAATCAATTTATCAAAGCATTTCAGGCCGACGAGAACATGCTTTTGCCGAAAGGTTTTGACTATTCAGCGCTTTCTGCTCTCAGTTCAGAATGTAAATCGATTTTAAACAGGGTCCAGCCTGGTACGATCGGTCAGGCTCGAAGAATTCAGGGAATTACACCAGCATCTCTTTTTGAGCTTTATAGGCTTGCCCGGCCCCAACAGAGGATGTTGAAGTCCAAGTCTGAAACCTTCGACATGCCATCAGAATAATGCATATACTCCTCCCAAAAACTTAATATGTTTTATCTTCCAAATAACGTAATTTCGACTCTATTAAGATCTTCGGTGCTCAAAAACCTGGAACACAATTCAAAAAGAGCCTCGCGATCAGCGTCCCTAGGCAGAATGCCATAATTGGAAAATATCTTGATCAGGTTTTTCTTGTCTAACCATATATGTTCAGAGCCCACAACCGCTTGAAGCTGCAAAACCATATTCTTCAAGAACCCGTCATGAGCTTGCCGCAAGCTATTAATAGTGGTTTTGGGAATTTTTAGATTCTTCTCGCCAACCTCTTTTTCTACCAGTGCCCGTAACCGACTAAAGCTCAAGAATGACTGTTGATGCTTCTTGGGAGTTATATCAATTTGCTCAGCCGTTGACGAGTTTGAATCGTCCATGTAAGGCCCGCTGGGCGTGATTTCCACACGACTTCTAATGGCAGCAATTTGTTGGCGATTCAGGTCGCTTACTGGATCATGAGGAATATCGCCTTCCTGTTCATAAATGGGTGTATTATCCAGTTCCTCTAATTTCACCGAGACGTTTGATTCTTCGAGATTTCGATCTAAATCAGAACCTTCCCTGAGACTCCTAGCCTGATCAGTTATGACAAGCTCGGTTGAAGCTATGGCCTTTCTGAACTTTCTATGGCCGTGCGATTTTAAGGCAGTTGGTTGATCCGGATGCTGTCTCTTTACACTTTTATGGGAACTCAAATCACTTAATTGGTTACTTTCGATCGATGGACTTCCAGGCAACGCAGCCAAATGCTCTGGAAAATTGCTGGATGCCGTAGTTGCTTGGCTTTTGGTGTCAGGAATGGGTTGTTTGAAACTTACGCTTCTGGCCCCATCTGGTTCTCTCCTCAGAAGTAAGGAACTTAATTCTCTCAGAATTGGATTCCATTGTGCTTGGGGGTTCGAACTCAATTCTGGGGACGTAGGCGAATGGGAGCTTGGAGTTGAGTTCTGTGAGATTAGTATCAAATCGTTAAATGGGGTGAATTCCTGTTCAGATTGATTTTTTTCGCTCAGACGAGCGTCGTTTCTGCCATTCATGTAATCCCTTAGGAGCTAGAAAAGCTCTAATTATTCTTTTGACACGATTGTCGCGTGTCTTTCTTCCATGAGCTAGAAGACTTCAGTACTGATTGTTAGTGAGGGGGCGTCAAAAATCTACGAACAGAAAATCCTAATACAAGTGAAAAACAAAATGCTCTGTAGCTTAAGTGATTCGTATAACCGTTTCGCAACTCTCGGCATGACACTATTTTAAAGCTTTTAGAGTTCGGAGAGCGAAGTCCAGGATTACAAGATTAAAGTAAAGGATGATGTCGACGGTGTCGTTCAGAAATTGAACACAAACACCTGCATACATCATATCAGCTTGTTAACGAAAGGAGTTTTCAAGGATTAAAAGCTTCAAACAGCCATTCCGTTCACATTTCGATATATTTCATACCGTTTACCACTTAATCATTCACGTCACTCTACAAAAGCAGGCAATGCCAGCTGATCTTTGGCGTTAAGTCGCTTTAAAATACACTGTCAAACTCTTGGTGATCGACTGGGAGGATTTCTACATGATTTTGATTCTGATTTGAGTTGGTGTGACTTGGTTAAGGTTAGATGAATCAATTCACATAGCGCTCTCTTTTGTAGACATCAAAGCATCCCCTTTAACGAAATCTTTAAAAATTGGATTGGACCAATAGCAGACAACTGAGGAAGGGACGATTCGAGGCCGATATTGTTAGCACTTTGAGCCATAATTTGGACTTGCTTGGACCTTGATAGTAGTATCAGAGCTTATTGATGGATGGTGACAAAGATTATCCGCCGTTAGAAGCTGGTCTGGAGCCTTTTAATGATGCTGATGAGCAAACGACTGGAAAACAAAGTGTACCGGAAGATGCGAATGAATCCCTAAAAACGGATCCTAAAACCACCGATAATGATATCAATGCTGCGAATCTTTATCTTTACAACCAACTTTCCACACAGCCTAATTCTGGTGGGACAAATACGCGAGAAGTCTCTACAATAGAATTAACATCTAATGACATAGAGAAAGGGCCACAACCGACGAGTTCGGCAGCGGAGTCGCTGCCGCAGGGTTCAAAGTTGTCTATTCAGCCCATACAAGGCCAGCAATCGCAAGTCATAATAGACAAATATCACAAAGATCTTCGAGAGCAGCTGCAAAGTATGTACCCTGAAACTTCCGACCCGGCAAAATCTAGGATACCTGGCACAGCAGTACCAGAACCCACTGAGCAACCCTTCTACGTCAATGCTAAACAATACTACCGAATATTGAAAAGAAGGTATGCGCGCGCAAAGCTAGAAGAAAATCTCAAAGTATCGCGCGAAAGAAGACCCTACCTGCATGAATCTCGACACAAGCACGCTATGAGAAGGCCCCGTGGGCAAGGGGGTAGATTCTTAACAGCGGCTGAGATCGCAGAAATGAAGAAAACTGAGACGAAGAGCCCTTATCCGGCGGAGCAGCAGAAATCGACCTCCGTAGTTCCTGATGGTAACGCTGATCTCGCCGACGGGGATGCAGAGGAGAGCGATACAATTGAGCAGCAATGACTGTATTTCTAGGGTAATGGTTGTGCGAAAATTTTATTACAAATGAGCTTTTATTTCAATGACAAGCTACCGGTTTCACGATTATATAAATTGGTTGTTTGGTGTAACACTAGTTAAATCCTAAAGCATGCAATGCTGCTTTACCTTCTTCTGAAAAATGAGGTGCCATTGCGGCTAATGCGTTACCCGAAGATTGGTTGAATTTTGCCAAAGCTTCAGCAACATATCCTTTGACACCCTGCGCAACGTCAACGTCAGGTACAGGGTCGAATCGTCTATCAGATATAGAGACCAATTTGCTGAAACTGGATCCGAAGGTAGAAATTTCCTCCAGATTCTCAAGGTCGACAAAATCGTTCTTCAAATTTACGACGCTCTCAGATACCGTGCATTTCACAAGTACGTCTAACGATGGGACGACGAGATCATGGTACTTGGAAGTAAAAATCGAGCCCCCTGAAATGATGTTGAGTATGCCAACTAATGCTATCTTTCTGTCTAACAAGTTTCCAATCGTTGGCAGGCTCGACATGACAAAAGCCTGCCAAATTTGAGGGAAAAGACCGTCTTGTACGCCGTCAATAAATTGTACAACAAAGTCAGATCCCAGGTTATGGGCTAGAATGGCAATAAAGACGACAAATTTCTTGACATATTTCTCAGTTCTGGAGTTTTGAAGACGCTGTAATAATAGCACGGCAACTTGCTTCAAATGAGGTTGCAGTTTCTCGACCGGTGTGAAAGTCATAACGTATTCCAAAAGCTCAAACCCATAAACGTCATGGGTTTTAGAGGCTATTAATCTCTGGAAAACCCCGAGTACCGGCACCAAATCCGGGTACACCCCGCTATCAACACGGATGATATCCTTCAGAAGCCTTGCTACGGCGGGTACATTACCCTTCATTTCCCAAACAGCTGGCGACAGAATGGGTTGCGACATTTGCATGACTGATTCAGGCAAAGCTGAATTTAGGGGCAATTGCTCGATACAATACGCTATGAGCTGGATGGCATAAGGAATAAACTCTTGAACATCATCCGACAGGATAGCCATAAATGCTGGCATCATAAGAGCAAGAAATGGGCTCAAGTTGTCATGGTTGACTTTCAAAAGAACACCAATTGATTCAAAACAGTAGTGAGAAAATCTTGGATTTGATGGATTTTTCGAAATTATGGCCACGATATTCAATAACTGCTGAAGCATCTCATGAGCATAAGGGGTGGTGACATCTTCTGAGGTTAGAAGTACCCGATAAACGGTTTTCATCAAGAATTCATTTTCTGCTAGTTTTTCTGGAGAAGAGTCCTGTTTGTGAATGAGCTGAAACAAGTTTGTGAGCAGAATGTGAGAGCTATCGGCTAAATCAGATTTTTTGAAGACTGGGTTAGATGAAGCGTTGCTTTCTCTCATCGACAGGATTCTCTCAAGGGTTATTGACGCGTACGTGTAGACGATGAATTCATCGCTTTGCAAAAACCTGGCCATTAAAGGCAAGATTTGAATCAAATGCTCTTTATTCAACTGATTCCTGAAAACGTTGATGTATTTGATAGCATCAACTCTTAGAATGAGGTGGGGAACAGGGTTTGTGAGATCAGGAACGATATTCTTTGTGAAAAAGTCTGAGACGTCCAATAAAATGTTTGTCGATGACACACCAGCATTCGTCAATTTTCCATTTATGGCAAGGGCCGAAAACAAATATATGCAAAGATCTTTGTATTTCCAATTAGTGACAGGATCGGACTCATACATTTTAAAAAAGATTTTGATATGACTTAAAACGATATTTGTCACCAGGGATTCATTCTTCTCCTTCAACTCTTTCAAGAAATCGGTGCAAGCCCGTCTCCTCGTATCTGAGTCAGAGCCCTCGAGGTCTCTTCTAATGTATTCAATGGGATCGTCCTCAAACAGCTCTTCATCACTTTCTCGAAGCGTAACATTAGGTAGGACTATTTGTTCGATGATGCTGCTCATTGCGGTTGCATTGTTGAAAGCTTCGAAATAGGCCGGAATCCTTGAAACTGCAGTCATGAATGACAAGCACTTGGAGATAAGCACATCATACTTCGGTTGGCTAGAGAGAGATGTGAGAAGATGCCAGGTAGTTTGGATGAATTCGTTTATCATGGGCCCGAAAACGTCCTCATATCTGGTGGTATAGAGTTGTACAAGCTCTTGAATAGCGGCTTTCGTTTTCGTGAGAATACTGGGCTGGGTATCTTCAGCCGCGTCTTCCAGAAGCGGATTACTGTAGGACAAATATTTGTGCATGATTCCCATTCCAGCTTGTAAATGATCTTCGAAAAACTCAGGAATATCTTGACAATTGAGATCGTAATAGAGTTTAACGAGAACTAGCAAAACATCAAACAAAAGCTCAAGTTTGGCCTGATTATCGCTGTTGGCCGAAATCTGTTCATCTACAGATTTCAACAAAGCCAAAAAGGGCTCAGCAAATTTTTCTAAGACCAATTTGATTTCTAAAAACAGTTCGTCCGATCTGAAGAGCGGTCTCCATCTTTTGAAAATTGAATGTGCCACAGTAAGCACACCTTTATTGGTTACCATGTCGTCCACGCTCAGTTTCCCAATCAGATCGTCCAACAAGGTATGCCATCTCTGTGGAAAGTCAGAGTCTGCAATCGCTGAAATCGCTTCACCAATCTGTATTTGAAGGTTATTAGGCAGACTTATCATGAGAGGTATAATTTCACTCTTCACAGCTTCCGCATCATTCCGAGAAATCAAATACGCACCATTTTCATCAACCCATTTCCTTTTAATAAAGTTCTTGAAAAAAAGAGCCCCAGCCAATCTAGTCGCAATAGGTTGATTGGTAGAAGCTGTAATATGCAAAAGCGTCAATGCAAATCCATCTTGATTTTCCAATTGCTTCAAGTTTTGTTCCGCTGCTTTGGCCGTACCTGCCTGCACTGACTGTGAGAGAAAAACGCTTAACGTTTCAAGGTCCGACATGGATTCAATTCACCGCTTCGATTCAATCTATCTGGTTCATTTACTCACTTCACCACACTTGATCAAACCTGCAAAAATTTTGGTTAACCTTAAAACTTCGTGAAGATCTACCATCGTGTGATACGAAACAAGTCATCTGATTGAGTTCACTATCACCAGCGCTCATCGAAGCACCGTTTCATTGAGAGAGATGGTAAGATCTGGTCTTCGTATGTCTAACGCTTGCAATGGATCACCAGCAGATGCGGCAAAAAGTTTGAGTCCGCGGAGATGCGTGTCTTTCCCGTTCTCGTGGTTTGTCGGTATGACAAACCTTATGAATTGACACATCAAAAGACGATCATCAGGTCGACTGTCCTCGAAAGAAAGCGCAATCCATTGATTTATTTCTCCGATATGCAAAGTTTTGTAGTGTGTGGCGTCTGAGGGTCCATGTCCTGCGTAAATCTCGAAAATCTGCGGTGAGTACGACTCATCGAGGAAAAGCGAAAAGAAGAGTGCGATGCAAGCTATTTCAACCCTTTTGCTAAAATAAACGTCAATTGTATGCGGCTGAGACCCGTCACTTTGCCAATATGTGTTCGGGTCGCCGTCCATTACGCTTACGATCGGATATCCCTCTTTTGTAGACGAGGCCTTAAAATGTCCCATTCCCGTGGCATCGACCAAACCCCGCTGACGCAATTTTTCGAGTCCCCTCCGGAACCTGGTAGCGACAACGGTCTCGTTCATTTCTTCGTGGTTCTCTCCCGTTTCCGACAGATACTCGATACAGGTCTCGTACTGTAGAATATCTGATTTCGTTTCGGCTATTTCCAAGGTTTTCGCATAGGGTTTGATAGCGGCCAGCGCCTTGACGTCTAGTAACGGAAACAGCGTGTCTATACGGCGCGAGATGTTCGAATGTTTATACATGGGGAATCGAATCGTGTTCAACCTCTAAAACCTATCTGATTGGTGTCATTATATTGTTTTAGTATTTGTGAGATGGGCCGGGGTCGATCTATTTGATCATTCTCGCGCTTAGTAAATTATATCACGTGATATTCTGGCTCAAGCTGACAGCTCACTCATGGCGCTGGAGCTTTAGTGAGAAGTCGATTGCAGATACTCCTTGATGTATACTGCTGGTACTGTATATGTCAATGGAATCGCAAAGGTAATCCGCTAAATTCGAGATTCTGAGTCCACCGCTGCACTCTAACAAGAACTGTTTCTTGCCGGCCCATTTTTGTTTCAAACTCAAAGCAGCGCTCTTGAGCTGTGGACCAAAAAAATTGTCCAGCATTATAACATCAGCCCCTGCGGCGATAGCTTCGTCTGCCTCTTCTTCGGATTGACATTCGACTTCGATCTTGACCGAAAACCCACACACAGATCTTGCGTCTTTGACGGCTCCTGTAATGGACCCGGTCGACCAAATATGGTTGTCTTTCAGCATGACCATGGATGACAAGTCGTATCTGTGCATGTCGCAGCCACCGACCAACATGGAGTATTTTTCCAATCTACGCAACCCAGGTGTAGTTTTCCGTGTTCCGGCAATTAAACCCGTGTATCCCGCCTCTCTTGCACTCGTAATAATATCATGGGAAGCAGTGGCAATGCCTGAACATCTGCTCAGCAAATTCAAGGCTGTTCTCTCGGCTAGCAGAACATTTCTGGCCCCTCCAACGACTCTCGCAACGAGAAGCTTCCCGTTGGCCTGGCTAGGGTCTAAAAGCTGGCCCTCTTGGAAAAACCATTCAACTTGCAGCTCACATTGGTCAAAAACCTCTTGCGCAAAAGGGACCCCACTCAATATGCCACGCTGCTTGCAGAAAAGGTGACCCGTTTTACGATCTGAACCAACGACAAACCCACCAAAATCGAAGGCAGGAACATCTTCTTGAAGCCACGCTGTCACATCTTGTCTCCAAGATCCATTCGCGGGCAGAAGATGGGAGAAGTTAGGCAGTTTTGAGTCTGTTTTCATTGATTCACTTTGACAATTTCTTAAGACTTTATTCGGAGAGAGTTCAAAATTTGTCGTTTAAATTGGACGCCAGCTTAATATTTGAAAGGTCTATACTCATTTATATTGAGAATCTCTGCCGTTTTACTTGACGAAACAGCGCCATCTATCATTCATTCACATGGTCATTGGAATTAAGGTGCTTCTCCGGTTCTTATAGTCGTTACTCGACGTAAAACAAGCTTCAGAGAAACACATGCCTATGTATACACGCCAGAGCCATAAAAAAACTCGAACGCCTGAACAATTTATACCAAGCTCTCGGAAAGTGTTTTCTTGTCATTATCACTGAGACGCTGATATATTTCGCTGAAATGAGAGACGTTTTTGGCCGCGACCTCTCTAAAAAACTGAACGAGAAGCTCGGGAACGCTTTGTTGTAGCTCTTTGGTGAAAAAGAGCTCCTCGTCTTCTTCAAAATCATCATCTGGACCATCGTCATCAATGAATTCTTGAAGCTTATTGTACTCTAACACGTCGTCAACGTCTTCCCATTCATCGCCCTCGTCGCTCTTTGGTTCAGCTTTCATGCCGGCAGGAATGAATTTATCCACCGTAGGTTGAGCATTTTGAAAGCCTAACTCTGTGACAAATAGCTTTACGATCCTCTCATATGCGGAAACTTTGGTATATTGCAGAGGCATCTTCTTTGCCATCGATCTCGTTAAAATAGTGTCACCAGAATATGGAATCAGCTCTCCGCGAACCAAGGTGTTGGCAACCCTTGAGTCGTTGAGAAAAAAAATCTTGGAAAGAGCAAGGATATTCTCCTTGATGCGCCTCGCTCCTCTCGTCACTTCGAAGGATTCGAACCACTTTGAAAGCACGGGCTCTAGAGCATTCTGTGAATTATCAATTTGCAGAGTGCATAGAAAATCAATCATTTGCTTCACGTTAATAGACGCCAGATAGCAGAAGACGTAGATCAAATTTTCAGCAGTGGCGATGTTTTGAACTTCGATCAGTTTCCTTGTCGCTGCATCTAGGATTTGTGGGAAAACGTTTATGAGCTCATCGGAATAGCTTTCAAATATGGAAATGATCAATGGACCCACATTCATCGATGCAGAGTCGCTAGTGTCTACCGACAAGAGTTTTTGTAAAATTGACAGCGCCGTGGGCAAATATGGTGCAATGACCTGTTTCTCAGAGTTATTGATCAAAAATGCAAGAGCATCAGTCGTTACAGGTAGTAGCTCATCATCAGAAGATCCAATGAGCATGTTTGCCAAAGGTTGGAAAACGAATTCGGTCAACTGAGGTGGAAGATACCCCTCGGAGGGTTTTTTTCTCATGAAAACCGCCAGAAGCTCCAAAGATAAGGACACAATGGGTGAATAAACACAATCATTTTCAATGCTTTTCTTCAACGTGTCTACAAAAAGTGGGATGCACGTATTGGCACATCTAACGTAAAATGTGGACGGGACATCACTCAATATCTTGTTCAAACAGTCCTGTGCTTCAAGAACAACTTGAATATTAGCTGGATCTCTGGCAGAGAGTTTTAACACAAGATGTAGTGCCTGGTCTTCAAAAACGTAGTCTCTTTCAATTGTTTCGTCCCAAACTAGCGCACAATGAAGGGTCTCAAGCAAAAACCCGAGAGTATCCTCTTCGGATTCATCTTCGAGTAGGCCGATTAACGTCGCAACCACGTTTTGTGAGGCAAAGAACTTTGATTGTCCCATGACCGTTGGAAGTTCGCTGAAGGACGAATAATACGTGAAGGACAGTAGAGCAGAAGCCCTGATTAAATTGCTTGGAGAATTCAGAGCCACTTCTAGTGACTCGGTAAGTACCTCCCTGATATATTCCTTGACATTTGGAAGGGAATCCATAAACTTTTCGAGCATTTGGGGCATCAGCAAAACAGATCTCAATTTGAGTATTTCATGCAGTTGATCGTCTGAGATCAGATTTTGAACACTTTGAAGAACTGGAATAATATTACTCTCTTCGAAGGGTTCCGTTTCTTCATCGTTTTTTGCAAGTGACTCAATTATGAAAAGCAGAGCTTCCTTGAGTTTACCTTCTTTAAAGTCATCTTGTAAAAAGTATTGCAGACTCAAACGAAGAGCGAGATTGTAGTTTGATGATACCAGATTCAAAAGGTAGTCTTCTATTTCGTCACGAACATAAAATGAAGCCGCGAGTCCAGTTTCCTTGGTTACAAATGCATTAACGTCCCTCATGTACAAATCGGAAACGTCATCATTGATGAAACTGCCGAGAACAAAACACCTAATAACGAGTTCCATCTCTTCTTGAGTAAGAGGGATTTCCTGAAGAGCAGATAGAAGCGAAACCTGCTTGATACCAAGTTCGCTAAGATTAATTTCTTGCTCTTCCTCTGCTGTGAATTTGCCGTTGTAATGTAAAGAACTAGTCAATTGCAGCGCTTTTAACGTTAAGGACAGCGCGTTTCTCGCTTGCTCACCTGAAAGGACCTTTTTGAACAAATTTTCTTTCAAAAAGCATAAAATATCATAGATATGCACCTGGAGCTCAAGAATTTTCGGTACCGCATTCTCGATCGCAGGGGTCAACTCCTGCAAAAGGCCAAATAATATGTTAAATGCCTCATTGACATGCCTTACGACAGTTTCCTTGATATGGGGCTGCGTGTTTACCATCGGAGATTGCAATTGCGACAGACAAGTGCGATACAACCTTGCGGCGGCGCATTTGGCCTCTACTGATGTATCTGGATTTTTCAATATTGTAAGTGCAATCTCAATGGTGCGAAACCCGACATCAGTCTGGAAGAATATCTCTTCCGACACAACATCGTCAAAAATTTCGATGAGCACACACACCGCACTGACCGATCGACTGTTCATTATGGCACCATATACGCTATCCAGCAATTCTGGCCATTCATCAGGAAACTCTACTGCGGCAATTTGAACCACACAGTACGAACTTCCCTGTATTATTTTGTTTTCTTGATTGTCGTCAAGACACAGGCGTAGAAGAGTTTGTCTTATCATCGTCTTGTACTCCTCATTAACACCAGGAGGGCCCACATAGCTTTCAAATCCAGCACTCCAGTACATTGTAATGAATTTTCTCAACGAAAGAAGCGCAAATTGTCTGACGGGCAACAATTGGTCAGGCTGGCTGGCTATGTTAACCAATGATGCCAAAGTTTTACCAGCGTCTTGATTACACGCTCTGAAAAGCTCAGTTTCAGCATTTTTTCTTTCATCCTTCTCGGAGGACTGTGCTCCGGTAATGACCTGGACAAGGTCAGGCATGTCTGTCTTCTTCTTATGGGTAGGTAGTATCGTCTTTACAAGGTTAAATATGATGATCTTGGAAATTTTTCAATAAAGGGGAATTCAACCTTGTATAGCTGGTGTTGATCCTCAAAAGACTTTGTCAAGACTCCCTCAGTGCCCCTTCAGGTATCGCATATATGGATCAAGGAGCATCGCTAGCGGAACAATTGCTTGAGGCTTCTCGCCGTAACAATACGGACCTTTTACAAAGCGTTATTGATAGCTTAGGAAATGATGAGACGAAAATCGCCGAATTGATAAATGATAGTAAAGACCCAATGGATAACACTGCATTACATATTTGCTGCCAATATGGTTCTTGGGAAATTCTGGACAAAATTCTAGACCAGAATGGTGAGATTGAAATTGATCCACGAAACTCGGTAGATGGTGACACTCCGCTTCACGTTACCGTAAGATACGCCTTAGGAGAGCCAGAACACGGTACGTTCATTGCGCAAAATTTACTGGAAGTTGGTGCAGATCCTAGAATTAAGAACAAAGCTGGACAGAAGCCGCTAGATTTGATTCATGGAGACGAATTGGACGACTTGATTGATTTGTTGCAAGGCGCTGAGATTGCTGCGGATAACGGTGGCGTTCTCGAACAACAAGAAGTCGAGGAGATAGACGATGGTCCTGAGGACCCTTAGGACTCTTCTGAACTTTATATTTGCATACATGTGTCACAAATAGATCTTTGATATTTTTTAGTCATACATTTTCGAATTACGGCAGTCATCTCAGTTATTCAGCCATCGGGAGGCAGTGCCAATAGCACTTTGGCCTCGTAAGAGGTCCCTACTTTTAGCGGCATGGCAGTCATCTTCCCTGGTAGCTATCCATCCATCGGGCGACAATGCCAGTTGCACTTTGACTTTAAGTGCATTCCGTCCCAATTGTCTCGATTTGAATTCAAGGTAAGATAGATGGCTATTGTCGCGGTTGATTTCTCGAAACAGCTCCCACTGCGCCGATCGGCTTACGCACGATTCGCAGTTATTTCTGAGAGGTTTAGGCTTTTTGACGTAAAAGCCATTTTTCATTCCATTCAGTATCGATTCTTGAAGAGTACCTTTACCATTTAAAACGTTCAACATTGTTGAACAAGTCGCAGCTGGTGCTTGCTGTTCATCTAGTTTATCGTCTTGGAAATTCGCGGCGCAGGGTATGAATTTCATGCTTGTCGTCACTTCTGGCATGTTTAATCGTGTCTGAAAGCTCTTGTTCACCTCATCAATAAACCCATCTTTTGGCTCAGGAACCACAACGTAGCTCAAAAATACCGGCTGTTTTAGCAGACTCCATGTTAGGCTATTAAGCATTGATAAGACTTGTCTAACACATAATTTATCAGTACAAGATTTCGAAAATGTGGGACTTGAGTCCTGACGCCCAGGTTTCGTTCGCACAAACCCCCTCTTACTGTGGTTGAATCGACCTCGTAAAATGAATCTATTGGTCGGCTTAATGTATTGAAGCAGATCTGACTCTTCAAACTTCATTTCATCGCCTGCGTCGAAACTCATACTAACGTCGCCACAAGGCAACTTAGAAATATAAAGTGCAAATTTCCATCGCAAACGTACACGAAAGGATTCGTCTATCTTCTCTACGAGATCAATATCTTCTGGTGTATCGCACCCATTCGCGAGAAACTTTATTTGTCTCAAGACCACGGCATTGAAGGCCCTCAGGGCCAAGATTTCCGCGTGGCAATCGTGTAAAATTCGACCCTGACTACGTTTGAGATCTTCATCGGGGGTTGCTTTCACTCCTGACGCGGCAGAAACTAATCGGAGAGTATCGTTGTCAGTATCTATTGCAACAACTGCTGCTAGTACCGTCCATTCCTTCACGCCGTTAGATCGTATTCCCGGTTTACTACTCGCGGGAAAACGTGCGTAAGCTTCTTGTGCAATTTGAAAGATGTCCTCGGCGAGCTGGGGTTCAGATTTGGTCATCTATTGAAAAGCTTCTCTGTTTAAAGTTACTAATAATATCATAGAACCCTCGCATCTTCAAATATTAATAAAGATTAGCCGAGATTGTCAAAAAAAATTGTTAAAAACTTTAAGTTATCGCATTCAAATCCTATATGTCAAGTTCCAGATTGATATCGATACTACCTATGATATCCTCTAATCCACCCAGGTTTCTGAATTTAGCCATTATCTTGGTCTTTTCCTTAGCCGCTGCAGCATCATTATCCATGTCGGACTGTTTTTGACGCGCAAGTTCTTTGGCCTTCTCGTTCTCTTCCCTCTGGATTTCTTGATAATAAATCTTGGTTCTAGTCTTTAATCTGCTGAAGGGATCCGTCTTGGCATCAATTGGCGAGTCCTCTTTTTTGGCAGCCTCGACGTTTTTTAGACGATCCATGTTCGCTCTTCTGTTTTTCGAAGTAAGAGCTCCAAGTCTTTTAGAGCCTGCTTGGTCATTTTCGTGATGTTTCTCATAGCTGTTGAGGCGTTTTTCTAGATTTCTTAGTTGAGCGGAATATTTGGCCACGTCGCGTTCATTGCCAGATTCACGGGAAAACTGCAACTTTTCCTTCAAAATGGTCTTTTCTAGCACCGCGTTGGTACCTGAAAGCTTCTTGTTGAACACCATTCTATTTCTGACGATTTCATCGGTCAACTTAGAGGTCATTGGTTGTGAGACAAACGACCCAATTTCATTGCTCTTATTTTTCAAAGTGTACACTGAGGGTTTGTTCATGTCAGACTTTTCGAGAGCCTTCGTGAAACGCTCAAACTCGGGCTGGGTTATGGCGCCATCGCTAAAGAAGTTCATCTGGAACACTTTCCGGTCCTTGCCCTGCGTTACTCCGAAATATTGATTTGTGAAGAATTTGCCCATGTTGTAGGGCTTTTGTAAAAAGACGCGCTCAATTTTCACCATTCTGTACAGCGTTTGACCGCTATGTTTGTCCACGCCAACATTCACTCTCCCGTAACAACCTTTGATCAGATCGTTAAAATCGGGGTAAAAACAGAATTTGGCAACAAATGAACGACCAATTTTGATTTTGTTGAAATCTGAGAGTTCCGAGTCGCGATCCAAACTCTCAGGTTCGGCCCACCTTAGTTCCTCGTCATCTGACTCTTCGTAACGGTCCTTTCCGTACCCAGCATCGTAGTCATCTTCATCCTCCTCCAAATCGTCGCCGTCGTACCGATAATCGTCCCTATCGTCGTCCCTGTCACTTTCCTCGTCACTCAACTCGTAATTCCCACTTTTCTTGGCCCTCTGCCGCTTCAGTTCGCTGAGTTTCGACTCCTTGATATCTGAATGGCCCGTAACCCGTGCCGCTCGTGTCGAGGATCTCGTTTTTTGGCCCTCTTGTTGCAACTGTCTTTTTCTCTGCTGTTGTCTGATGTTTCTGGCACGTTCCTTCAGAACTTTACGTTCCCGGTACTTCTGTAGGATCTGAGATCTTTCAAATATCAGTGTCTCGCGCTCCATTTCTGGTAGAGACTCTAAGTGCGCTCTATCTTGCTCATCCTTGTACCTGCCTTCTAATGGAAACGGATTTTCCTCTTCTTCGTCTTCATCCTCTAACATCTCTTCTTCAGCGTCCTCTAGTTCATCTTTCACACTGTCACCATACGTCAAGCCAGCTGGATTATAACTGTCCTCTTCGCCCTCATCTTCTTCTTCCTCTTGGTCAACAATTCTTCTTTTCTTTGACGTTACTTGATCTGTTCTCGTTCTCTTATTCGTTGTGTTAATCAAGCTTCCCTCGTCATCGTCTTCCTCGCTTCCGGCACCTGCTAAAGCTAACAAGTCTTCATCAATATCAGACATCTCTACGGTCTAGTAATGAGACGCTTATGACAGCCCACTAGCTCACTCGTTACCGTTAACTTGATAGTTGTCTATGTACATCTCTACTCTGGTCGCCGTCAATTTGAAAATTGATGTTGGCATTAAATCACGTGATACACAAGTTACAAGACATTTGATGACCTGTAAAGAAACCATCCATCACCAACTTGGACAGATATTTTACCACTCCAAAATCACCAGCAGCTTCTCAAATTCAACTCGTGGCGTGTTCTAGGAGTTCGAATCGAGCTGAAATGCAACATTACCTAAACAAATCGTATCAAAATGGGCAAAATATACCGATGTCAAAGAGATCACCATCGATTTTGGTGACAGACGCTCGGTCCTCCAAGAAAAGACTTGGTGCGCCTTTTGCAGGACATGCAGCTGGTTTGCGTAATAAATCGTCTGCAAAAGGTACATCGAGTATTCTGGATTTTAAAACCCCCTCGAGAACAGGGTTTGCGCGCCGTCGCAGCTTCTACGACACGAGTGGCTCAAAACCTTCGTATACCAAAAGCAGGCATTTAGGCAGGTTTAGCGAGATCTCCCTTGATAACATTCTTTCGGACGTATCGGATGTGCCGTCCGGCAGAAGAGAGGAACGTCTCTCGTCGTCTTCGCACGATTTTCGCTCACGCTTAACTCAAGATCGACTTCCACATCACACTAAAATGATCAATCCTTTACCCCCACGTACATCGAAGACATCTCAGAAACTCGTCTTAATTCCAGAAGAAGAGTCCAGGAAAAGTGTTCAGCAACACCGAGAATATGGACGAAAACGCTCGGAGGCAGCGAAAGCAGACACCGGCAACTCGAAGAGTCTGCGAGATGAAACATTATGTCGCATCACAGCTTACAATGTTGCTGAGGGTTTCAATTTGAAGCTTAGCGCCAAATTTCTAAAGGAAACGCATGAAGTTTCTCCCAGGCTCTACGATGAATGTCTCTATGTGCCATACTGCTTACCTTTACTGCCGGGAAAAGAAGGCTTTAGGATAAAATCCAATGTATCCAAAAAGACAGTTGGCGGCAAGACACTTATTGACCGACTTATAGATAAAAGTGAACAGAGAGACCATCATTACGAATATTACTCCGGTGTAGAGACCGTTGAGGACATGCATAATATTTTTGAGTTAAGTGAGAATGCATCCAACGAAATCGAGAGATCAGATTCAAAAATTGACATTGATCACCTCCCTAATCTTAATACGAACACCACATCATTTGATCCCAGCGAACCTCAATATTTCGCAGAGGAACGCGTCAACGATAAGGAAAATGAATCGCAGGAACATAATGAAAACGGCAATGCTGCCAGAATTATGGAATCTTCTTCTCATTTGACGTCTCTAGAGTCTTACGACGCGAGCAAACTGCAGCACGCAGAGATCTTCATATTTAGTTACGGGGTGGTGGTCTTTTGGAACTTTACTGAAATTCAAGAAAAGAACATCTTAGGTGACATAGCTTTTGCCAGTTACACGAATCTGGTCATTAGACCTTTAGATGAGCAGGATATTGAGACTGAACAGTTTCATTTCGAATATGATATGGATACGGAACGACCAAGAATCTTCAACGATATTGTCACTCTACGCTCTGGAGACCATATCACTAAGCTGACCTTGTCGCACTCCATTTCCCAGTCAACAAAATTATCAAGGTTCGAATCCAGAATATCACCAATTTTGGGGACGGTTTCGAAATTGCCGAAGAGGCTGGCTCTGTATGGCACTTTAGGCTTGAAGCGTGAGCAGCTATTGAAAAAGTCGGGGAAGCTTTTCAAGTTGAGAGTTGACGTTAATCTCTCGTCAAGCGTACTGGACACACCAGAATTTTTTTGGTCATTTGAACCCAGTTTGCATCCATTGTATCTGGCCATGCGTGAATATCTGGAAATCGATCAGCGAGTTCAAGTTTTAAACGATCGATGCAAAGTGTTTTTAGAATTCTTCGACATCTGCGTCGACTCCGTTGCTGAACGAAATATGGCTAGAATTACTTGGTGGTTTATTGCTGTTATTTTTTTGAGTGTGCTCGTTTCGATCGGTGAGATACTCATCAGGTCATTTATCATCAGAAAGCTAAAAAATCGCTAACTTTTTATAAACTTCATCAGGTCTTTAAGTTAGAGCAAAGCTTATAAATAAGTCATCTGTATGTACTGGGTATTTATTTCTTTGCACCGTACTTACTCACTGATTTTCCATCTGGGATGGAGAAGAAAACATACGGCTTTCCAGCCTCAGGAGTTGAATCAAGTCTGTAGTAGCCCTTTCTCTCGAATTGAATAATGTCGCCCACCTTCATGTCCTTGACGTTCAAATCGGCCACGGCAGCAGTGTGGAATTCGGTCTGAGGAGTCAAGAAATCTTGGAAGTCCTCACCCTCCTCAAGCTTGTCCTTCGTAATCAAATGGTCAAAGTCGACGAGTTCGGCATCAACCTTGTCGTCAGTGTCAGCAAGCCACGTGAGCTTTAACTTGGTTTTCTTAAAATCACCTTCTAGGTGTAATTTACCTGTGAAAGAGCCGTCCTTATTCTTCTTAGTAACGATAACGTTACCCCAATCCATGAAGGTCACTTCCTCGCCTTCGGTTATCAGATCAGCATCATCCTGATCAATCAAAACCTTTTCATAGTAAATCACCTTCTTTTCACCAACAGCAGGGTTTTTCTTGTGCTTTGGTTTCAATTCAACAACAGGAGAAGACGGAGCGCCCTCAAGGAAGAATTTGACGGGTTTGACAATGGCAGTATGTCTCGGGGCAACAGGATCGATGACCTTCTTGTTGAAAGCCCAGATCAAGTTCCATTCGAGGTTGATAACGTTTCTTGAAGGTCCTTGAGACAAGACAAAATTTCTTAGACCTTCAACCGTCATACCTCTTCTTCTAACACCTCTAACGGTAGGGAATCTAGGATCGTCCCAGTTTGATACAACATCCTTGTCAACCATCCATTGTAGCTTCCTTTTAGACAAGAGAGTCCTCACAAAATTCACACGAGCAAAATCCCAGATATGAACCTTTCTTAATCCAAGGGCTTGTAGCATCCAATCGTACTGTGGGTTACGGTCTCTGTATTCGATGGTCCGTAAGGCGTGAGTAACTCCCTCTAGAGCATCCACAATCGGAACACAGAAATCATACGTTGGATAAACCTTCCAGGTAGAGCCAGTTCGGTGATGAGGAGTCAAGTTGCACCTGTAGATCACCGGGTCTCTTAGAGCTTTGTTCAAAGCTTGGTAGTCTATCTTAGCACGAACACAGTTCTTCAAACCTTCCTCGGTACCATTTGTCATTGCCTCCGTGAAAATCTTCAAGTTTTCCTCAACGCTTCTGTCTCTTCTGCATGAAGCAACTCCGTCCATACGCTCCTCTCTCATTCTTTCAGTGGGTGTGTCATCACAGTAAGCTTTACCTTCTTTGATCATTTGGACACACAAGTCGTACATTTCTTGAAAGTAGTCCGATGAGTAAGTGATTTTGTCACCTTTGATACCCAGAAGTTCCAGGTCCTCCAGTATCGAATCCTGAAACTCTTCCTTTTCCTTAGATGGGTTGGTATCGTCAAATCTAATGATGAGCTTACCCTTGTACTCCTTTGCGAAATACTGGTTCAGAAGCGCAGCTTTAGCGTGTCCGATGTGGAGGTATCCTGAAGGCTCTGGTGGGAAACGAGTGACAACCTCCCCAATTCTGGCGTCAGGAAGATCAATTTCGAAGTTAGCCTTGTGCGTTTCCTTCTTCTTGTTAGCAGACCCGGCCTTCTTAACTTCTTGGACAGATTTGGATAAAAAGTCGTGGGCACCACCAAAAGCAGGAACAAATTCTAGTAGGGTGTACCAACGCGAAACGTTGAGGTACACCTTGTTGTTGATGATGGATCTGACCATACCATTGGATCTCAAAGCACCCCAACAAGTAACATCAGCGGCAGAAAATTTGGTTCCACCAAGGATGAAAGTTCTAAGATTGAGACGTGCATCCAGCTTTCCCAGAGACAAAGAAAGTTTTTGAAAGTTTTTAACGGTGAGCTCTTCTGAAGCCAATTTCGACCACTCGGCAAGCACTGCGGATGAAGCAGAGCTCAATTCCTTGTCTTCAGCGATAATTTCTTCGAAAACGTTCTCAGCTTTGCCATTCAGTGTCGCTGCTGGGGCTTTCTTATCTTCAACAAATTCAATGTTAATCGATCCAGATTGCTTCTCATTGACAAGCCTGGCAGCAATCAGCTCGGCGTAAGCAATTGATTGAGCGCTGCTATTAATGACTAGTGTGTGGACCATTTTTAATCACAGCTTATGATCAGCTACTTTGACCTAATTCTCTATCTCTCTGACCTTGAAAGCCTATCTTCATTCATTAGAATGAAAATTTTCCATATGTCCTTTCGAACGAAGGGTCTGTCTGGATTATCAAGACCGAACTTTGACGACCTCATCAATTCTAACTCATAAGCAAGAAATTTCATTTAAAGAGGTAATTGATTTGAAGGAGCAACGAGATTAGAAACTGGTGGACTGTTTAATACCACTTGATTTTCTTTTTTTTCTCAGCTACTGGAATTTACTCTCTTGACCCTTTGAATGGCGAGATACTTTCCGGTATATCAGAAGTAAAAATGACCATATCATCTTATTTGTTCGTGCAAAAGAGGAGCGCGGCCACCACATTAAGGCAGCCAAAAGAGATAGGTTATTACTCCAAGAACAAGGATGAGGAATTTTTAGTAAACGATAATTCTAAGCTAAATTTTTATTATATGCCAGACTCCGACCTTGATAGACAGCTCGATTTGTCTGGCGGAATCAAAAAATTTAAGGATGCCACTGTTGCCGCTATAAGAGATCCTTGTACATTGGAAGGGCTACTTTCTACGTTAGGAACGTATGAGAAGAAAAAAGCGAAGAAAGTCTCAGCAGACATTATCACTTTCCGAGGAATCATGAGGAAGCTCATTTCAGCTGCTTTCGATTCTCCCAAGTTCAACACAGTGGACCTCATTATTCTGTCATTTGACGGACAGCTTTTCATCAAGGAAGTCCAACAGGCTAAGCCTCCAGGCGCCACCACAAACAGTTTGGAGTACAGGTCCTATTACAGCGGGTATAAATTTGAGACTTTGGCTACTATTTCGAAACCTCTACCATTCGTTTCGCGAGAGACTCTTGAAAAACGGCCGAAGAAAATTGTCAGCAATGGTGAACAATTCGTGAGTGTTGTGCGTTCTGGAGTGGGAAATTGCAAATTAGTGCTTGGTGCGGAGGTTGACTGCATTTTTGATTTTAAAGAAGATTCAAGCACCAATTTGAAGCACTATGCAGAATTAAAATGCACTAAGGGTGTCAACTCTTTCGCAGACGCGCGCAACTTCGAGAAAAAAATATTCAGAACATGGCTGCAGTGCTTCCTAGTAGGCATCAATAGAATTATCTATGGGTTTCGTGATGACAGGTTCATTCTCAAAAGCGCGGAAGAGTTCACGACTAGCGAAATTCCAGTTTTGTTAAAGACCAATAGCGGCCCGCTTGCAAATGCGTGCATGGATGCGATAAAATGGTACGGCGCTCTAACGGAGTGGCTACTCGCCACAATACCACGTGAAAATGGATCCTTAGAGGCAAAAGCATTTACTTTGACATTTGATAACAATCATTTGAAGTTGAACGAACTGGCAAAAGATCATCCCAATTACGAAAGTGTGGTCAACGGTGACGAAGTTCTGACTAGGGAGTTCCGTGACTGGAGAAAATCTCTTGCAAATGCATCGACCCAAGGGGTAAACTTTTGAGTAATTTCTGAATGAAGGAGGCATCACTTCTCAACGTCGCACTTCCATCGTAAGGGCGTGGAAATGAAATAACGAAATTTTACGGTTTTAGGCACAAAATTCAATACTAAAACATTCGTGCATCTTCTAACCTAATTTACATACTTAAGGGCTTGGAAGCTAGCATTAGCATTTAATTATCTTCCAAGATCGACTCACAAATCATCATACAAAGAGTCCATCTGGTGTCCATATAACTGATGCATAAAGCCATGTAATATTTTGCCACGGCCGATCGAAGTTATTTGAGCCTCATCTTCGGCTGAAAGCTCGAAGCTGAGTGCACCCATGTACTCCTGTAAACGCTCTATACGTCCGGAAGTTGTTAGAACAACTATGCCCCTTTGAATAGCCCATCTAAGAAGTATTTGAGCCGGGGTCCGCTCGTACTTTGTGGCCAAAGAAGGGAGAACGTCGTCCAGGGGACCTGGTGATCCTTTTGTGAGAGGGGACAGCGGAGAATAGCCCTCGACAAGGATATTGTTTTGCTTGCAGTAGTTGAATATACCTGGAGACTGCTGCTGCATGTAGGCATTGAATTCGATTTGATTCACAGCAGGTGGGTACTTACAAATCCGATGGATACGTGCCAAAGAGCCCACGTCGAAATTGGAGACTCCAATGTTCCTGGCAAGTCCCAGATCACGAAGTTCTTCCATTTGTTTCCAAGCGTCCTCCAACGTGAGGCCGGCGTTCTCTTTGTTAATCGTAGGAAGATGTAGCAAATACAGATCCACATACGAGAGTTCCATCAGATCCAATGAATATTTCAACGAGTCTATCGGACCGGAGCTTTTTCTCCAATTATATGAATGAGGATGGTACTTATCTGTAATCCACAATTTTTCCCTGGCAACTTTCGCCCTCTTTATGCCTTCACCTACTTCAGGATGAGTCTTGTAGACTTCTGCAGTATCAATATGGTTAAAACCGGCCTTGATAGCATCAGTCACTTGTTGTGCCAGTTCGTCAATGAATTGATCTTCTCGCTCACCGGTCGTCTTGGCAATACGCCATTTAGTACCACTTCCAAATCCAAGTACTGGGATTTTGTCACCAGTGTCTCTCAGCGCAACAGTAGGAACCTTGAACGTCATTTAAGTATGCTTTCCTCAAGCCAACGTCCGCGAGAAATTGGTTCGATGTCAAGTAACTCATTTAAGTAGCTCGTCATTAGGACGACAGCTAGCAATGCAGCCAGTTTTGAGTCGCTGACGAACCAGAAAATTTGATTACGTTGTGACTTCTAATCGGTTTTAGATCGACCGACTGCATGGCCGTAATAATGTACTCTATAGCTGCCAAAGGCAACATTTGTCACCACGATAATTCCACATATACTGATAAGCATAAACACCAGCGATCTGACTGAGATGTTCTTGAGGAAAACGTCGATAATCTCGGCAAGCGTCGCAGCCCATATTGTCGCTGAATGTGAAGAGTCGTGTGCCACTTGAGTGTCTTGGTTTAGGCAAAGTAGCCATTCCTGACACTGTTGCTCCATTCGCGGTGCCCTGTTAGCCGGTTCGCATCTGTTTCTTTCGTAGTTAGCTCGACAGCGTTCTATCCGTGCAAGGGTTTCAAGCGTATTCTGATGTAATTTGCGATCTACATCGCGGCTTGTAAGCCGTATAAATCCGACTATCACGTAGACTCCAATGGCCGCTATTATGACATTGAAAAGTAGTTGTATATATTCCGACAACAGCCGGGGATCAGCTCGAAAACGAGCAATCCTAGGGTGGCCAAGGTAGGGCGATACTTCTTGTCGTCTATGGGTCATCGCCAAGTCCCTAGCCTCCGGTGTCTTTTTCATCTTAGAGACTTGTTTATGAGTGTGTTGAGGAAGAGTTAGGTCTTGATATCTCATCGCATTTAGCTAATGAGCGGGGATTTAAACAGAAGCTCAATGTACCGAAATGCTGTGACGATGGATATACGACGCGGTGCTAAGATGTGGGTTCCCCGACGCGGCAAAATGCTTTATGTTGTCGCCCTCAGACATCACCTCGACTTGACATCTCGATATCTGGAACACCGGAGCTTCATTACCACCTCACAAGTCTCTACAAGAGCTGTAAATCGAGTATCTGAAAAAGACAGCACGGCTTTTACTATTACAAGCATAAATTCTTACAATTGCTGGTTCAGCTCCGGTCAACGGCTGTAAGCCTTCTAGACCGTGGGAACAACGCATTCTTCCAGGTCTGAAATCAGTGTACCATAAGGCGAAATCTCATCGGTCTGAGCGGTGAAAAATTTACACTTGGGGCAAACACGGAAACGGCCAAAAGAAACATTGTCTGGCGGCGCTTCAAAGCTGTTACACAACAACTTAGGATATGGAGATTTAATGATGGATCTCGCAGCAACGCTCTTTGAGAGGCGTTGAGCATTGAATAAATCTGGTTTTCGTAAGACATTATCTTTGTACGCAAATCAGTCACGTGATATTTGCCTAACTCGGGACCGATGAATGGTCTAATCAAATCATTATCGTGAATAAGGGCGATATTCAACCCAAGTTTCAATTTAACAGGAAGAATCGGTGGGCATAGTCAATTCTGGTAGCCATCTTTTATTCTTATAAACTGCGCCAAAGTGGGGTTCTTCAAAAATCTACGGAGCTCTGTGACCAAGTATCTATTGAAGCCGGCGTCCTCATCGTTCAAAAACTCTAAATCTGGCCCTACCCCAGCTCGCCGAGTTTCGTTGCAGAGTGAAGAAACCACACAGGAAATCTCGAAAACTTCAAACTCAACCGACATGCGTTCGACTGCTGTGAAACTGGCCAAGAGTTATACACCGATGATCAAATTCGTGGGCACGAAGCATACTTTTGTTCAGCACGGAGGCGAGATGAAAATGCATCCATGCGCTGCAGATGGGCTCCAACCTGGCTCTGAAGAGTGTGTTTCTGCGGCTGACTTCCTAGCAAAACAAAAACCATTCAGAGTGGTGGCGTACAAGGCGTCGCAGGCTCCGAAAAAGGACGGTAGTAGACCTACTGACTTGCACCAGAAATACGCCTTCAAAGATCGGCCCCTCCAGGAAAACGAAGTCGCATCTATCTTGGACCTACCAGCGAGATACAGGATGCCACCAATGGACGAGCTTGAAATAGACGCGATCAACGCCGGAGGTGCTCTGTGATAAACCTGTGTCAAGAAACGTCAATTTCATGAGCTATATATATTATTACAAAACAAACGTATACCCCTGTATACCTATTGAAAACGCAACGTCGCCAAGAGCCTCGCTTGCAGCGAGGCTCCTCACCTCATCCAGAATCACGAGCCTAGGGTCTCGCATCCCGGGTCCAATTTTGACGTGATGTATGATCACTTGTAATCCGTCCAGCGGACGATTGTAAGCCCTGCTTAGCTGTTTAAGCTCGTGTACCAGGAATCGGGGCGACAAATGGCCGTACAAACACTCGTTCTGGGTGCTGTTTGTCGAAGAGCATTCAATCAAAATGCCCTTTAGGTTGTCGAATGGAACCGTCTGTGCCAGATGCAGCCACATCGCAGCCAGGAACTGCTGTTTCGAAAGCAAGTCGGAATCTAGGTCTCCGCAAACCAATATGGCGTCCCCAGATGGTTCGTCTCCAATTAAAAACGCCGTGCTATAGTAAGGAAGACGATTCCGAACGGTTACACCGTGATTTACCCTGAACGGCGTCACGTACCACCCTGAAATGCATGCGACCGTATGCCGCCGCAGCTCTTGCAGCTCTTGTAAGTTCAGTAGAAAGCTGTCTTCGTTTAACAGATCTGGCCACACTGAATCGTTGAAAATATGTGTTCTGAGAGCTTCTGCCGTTCTTGGTAGGGCAAACACTTTTTTCTCGGTCGACCTAATGGCTGGTGTGTTGATAACCAACGCTGCTACGTGATCCAAATGTGCGTGCGTGATATAGTACTCCCGTATTCGGTTGAATACCTCGATCGATTCGCTAAGCAGACTCTTGCTTAATTGTGTATCGTCAAGGGTATCAAGCCCTCGAACCACGTCGCTTCTTTCGTCCATGAAAAGACCAAGAGGCTCATACTCGCTCTCATAAAGGCTCTCAATTTCTTCTTCCATGCACTCGTGTTGGTTGATTCCTAATCTGTTTGCCTCGCGGCTTTGAGCCAACATCTCTTTTATCTGATGTAGCCCGGACCCTGCGTCAACGCAAATCCAATTCTTGGCCCTTTCGGGTCCCGCTTTCGCTATCATTACACTCTGATTTCCAATTTCCATTGGACCTCCAGAGGCACCTAATATAGTCAACGCAAAAGTGCCCATCACCCCCCTATCGTTCTATATCTTATCTGGTTCACGTTGTACATTGTCCAATCGAGTATATCATGTTCCTTGCAGTAAACCTGCACTGTAGACGAATCCACGAATCAAGCCGTGCCACATGATATGTTAAGGTATTTCTGGTTTGTTTCTGTTCTGTTTCGCACTTCCAATGTTTCTAAAACGCGCCCTGCAGAAAAATTCCTTGCCATGCTCATTTCGGACGTTCCGTTCCGAGGGACGAATCTGGCCATAAACAGCGTTTATGCTGATTCAAAAGAACCAAAGAGGCGAGGAAAGTGCGACAAGTTCCGGCTACCTGAATTGTCGACTGCCCACTATGGATTTGAACTAGGTTGCCAAATAAGTGAGCAATTGATCAAGTAAATTGAGATCAAGTATTATGCCGTGTAACGAGACTCAACCCACTCATTTCGTACCCAGTGCTATCCTGAGTTCATCACTGCTCACGATTACGTTATCTTTGACCTGACGTTGGTTTAGCCATCAACTGATTTCCAGGACTTTGACGTCTTGGAGAAAGTCCATATTGTTAGGACCAGTTGCTCCCGTTCAACCCGAGTTACGACGGTGTTATGTAGCTGCTAGACTGCTCTTGTCCTAAGGCTTGTGGTTTTGTCAATTGCCTAAACATAAACTAGAGAAAATTGACACTTGCAAAACCTTTTCTCTTTTAAATCGGCCGTTGCCCCGGCATATAAGGGTAATTCTGGCCTCTCGTTTAGATGAATTCAACTTGATTTGTCACTTGATCGGCTTTCATGACTATCTCATGAAGCAAAATGAGTCCATGAGCCGCCTCGGCTTGACTCGTAGAAGCAGTTTGCGAGCCGAGTCTAGGTTCCTGAGAGCATTGGACCCGACGTAGTGTCGGAGCACTTGCCTCAGCAACAACACGTCGGCACTACATACTCTGAGATATTACCCTCGATTACACGCGTTGCGGCGCCTACAACAAAAGTACTTGAATTCATGCACGTTTCAGCCGAAGTCTAGTATACAGGTGCAAGGCAGATGCCGATAATCTAAACCTTTTGAGTGCCATAGCCTCGGATGTCCTTTGCAAAACCCCATACCATGTCCTCCACTTGGACGCCCTTCTCGAAAACCAGGCCCTTGTCGTTGTCGAGAATTGCCACTGAATATTTCCGAGAAGATCTCGCATCTCTGTAGTACAATACTTTCATACACTCTTCCACAGTTTTCTTAGCGGTCTCGAGTGATGTTTTGGCCGCATCTTCTTCCTTGTCAACTACTTTCCGCAGCAAAGGAACGGCCAAATGGGCACCAAAACCGGTGGCTAACGTGGGAGACGAGTACGTAACCCCAAGAAGATTGACATATCTCAAAAACGGCTTACCATTCTCTAAACCAGCGACAATGATTGCATTCCAAAGCGGGTTCATTTTGGACCTACGATTGTACATGACATTCGCCAAATATTCGAAAACGTTGCTAGGCCTCAAAGCCTCCTCGTCGTCCGCGTATTGATTGTCGTAGTTGTTTTCGATCTGCATCTCGTCCAGCAAATGCTCAATGTGCTGCATGTCCGAAATGTCACCAGATACACCCACTACCGTGTTCTCTCCCACAGGGAACAATCTCTCGACATTTGTGAATCTCAGCAGAGACCCGTATGCTCCCAGATTGTCTGCCGCGATTATTACTCCTTTGTCGTATTTCATTGAAATGACAGATGTTCCTGTCACGATAGGTTGCTGTGTGTTCATCGAAGGGTAAGGGGAAGCATTGGCAATCTTGCTATTGTAAGCCCCATAAACATCATCAGAGGGTCTGCCCCATTGAAATGGATCGTGATTCATCGCCGTTTGCCAGAATTGAGCTGTGATTGTGTTGTCGACCTTTATTTCTTCTGGGGTGGCAAACTGTTCTGATACATGTCGAAATCTATTGTTCTAACTAACAAATGTAGATACTTTTTAACGAAGGCCGAACGCCATTCAGCGTAACCAACCCCATCGATAACTATCCACTATGTTAACAGATATTCTTCAGTTTTAAGAGTCGCTTGGCTATCAAATGGCAATGAGGTAGCATCTTCTCTAGAACTCTTGACATTTGCGACGCTAATTCCTGAAATTGCCTTTTCCGCGCCAGAACTCTTGAAAAATATGCTCATGGGGAATAAGGCTTCTTCATAACCAGCCTCGATTATTAAACCGACAACTCCAGAAATTCCGGCATCTAGTTGCCCAACTTTAACCATGATGCCGTTTTCTTCGTCAGCGCTTTCAATTTCGGCGTTCACATCATTAGTGTCGTCATTTATGCGAGCCTTTTCTGTAGCGACGGGAATGACAAAGCGCAGGTCTTTGAGAGCTTGCCCATAGTTGGCGTTAATCTCAAACTCTAAGGTAACGTCGAAAACGCCTTCCTCGGAATCTGAAGGAGACACCCAAGTAGAGACTTCCAGCGGAATGAGCGAATTGTCGTCGGCAGCGCCAACTTTGCGCCACCTCAGCACAGCTAACGTCTGGTCGTTGAAAGGGAAAGCCTTTTTCTGATCCCTGAGGCCAACAACGTTGGAAGACAAAAAGAGGTTTTTGTCGATGTTTGGATGCGTCTTGAACTGGTAAGATTTGTCCTTGACGTCAACTTTCGGGTCTAGCAAAATTTTGGAGTGCGCAAGTTCTTGTGAATTGATCCGTAGATCCAAACTACCCTTCAACTCTGAACTGGCAATGGTGCCGTCTCTGGTTAGTTCCGCACTAATCGACTCCTTGACTGTAACAAGAATACCGTTGTTAGTGGGTTTCTCGTCTTCAGTTTCCTGGAACAAAGGCGGAGACGGAGCGGTACTTACCCGCGATTGTCTTTGGGAGGCGACCGCAATTGGATTTCTCCGACCACCGCCCAGACTCATACCCCTGCCGCCAATTGCGCCTGCATGTGGGACAGGTGGCACTGGTTCAGCCAAAGATTCTTCTGTAATGCCGGTTTTGTGCTGTGAGCTGTAGTACGACTGCTGTGCCGCAGGCGATGCATTGCTGTAGTAACTGTTGTAAGCATTCGAAAGATTGGGATCATTGGAAGCCTGGAAGCGATTGCCAGCCTCAATGGCTGACAATGGCATGCCCAGCTTTCGCTCGTGTTCTCTGCGCGAAATTTCCTTGGCACGACGCTTACGTTCTTCAGCAGCCTCGAACTCCTTGTTACGCTCAATGATCTCCTGGATTTTTTCCTCGTGCGATTCCATCGCAAGATAAGTGTTGATCTGGGTCATTGACAAGTTCTCCTTGTAACCCATCGTTATAACTTCGTCAAACGCGCTCACAATCTCGAAGGCACTCTCAAAGATCTCGTTTTCGTCGTAGCCATTCAGGTACGTGTTCATGCTTTGCGCAAAAATCTTCAGCGTGTCAAGATCCTGGATTATGTTCGACTGTCTGTTCGTGATCAAAATAATGTAGTAGTCATCGAATGGCTTGTAGACGTATCTTACATGCTCGTCTTCGACAAACGTGTGCTGTGAAGAAGAGTTCGCGACCAAGCCTTGAAATTTCGAAAGAAGCTCTGTCACTCGATCTTTCGTCAAATCCCGGAATTGACGTGATACCAACGGCTTTCCCCCACGGGTAATAATTGATGCGGCCAGTACAACCATGACTAGTTCGATTCTTCCTGCCTTGTGCTGATGATTTGTGTTTATGGTGTTTTTTCAATTCCGGTAATTTGACGAGACAAGAATCCTTAATACTGAAATACGAAAAGCGAAGGTTGACACTCGGAAGACATCAGCTTCACACGACATGATACGCTTGGAACTTGACCGACAGGCGTGATTCTATTCTTATAAAAATTCTTGATAAATACCTGAATTCTGAGAGGAACATAATATTTTGATCCGTTGTTTGCGTTGTTTTACGCGTTCTTTGAGATTTTCTTAATTCGAACAACCCCGATTTTGGCTGTTGTGTATATAAAAAAGATGAACCAGTTGTTGTATTACTCTCAGAAGGGGAGTTTAGTACTTGCCTAACTTTTGGATTATTCTCTTCTTATAATCACCTTTCTTGAAGTCCAGAAGAACGTTGTCAGGTAATTGTTTCATTTACGATAATTAGAACCGAGCCAATGGCGCAAGACGATCCAAATGATAGAAAGTTTTCGTCTAGTTTAACGCTTAATATGTTTTGCCGCAAATTTATATCTGGTTTAAACATGTCAAATACCTTAAGTACATCCTAGACCTTTTCAACTGAAGGTCATCTTTCCAATACTACACATGAAATTTTGAACCTAATTTTCAAATTTCCACCTCGAAAACGAGAGGAACTGCCAAAACTGTTCTTTTAATATTACAATAATTCGGGGGGTTTTAAGGCTATGTCGACCCTCCTGACGCTTAGAATTCCCGGAGATATCATGCTCGACACTGCCAAATTCTTTCAGGAATTTTCCTCGTCCGATGTCATTACAATGACCTCTGCATCTCCTGTCTGCTCAACATGTTGCTCTGCGTCGTCTACCACCACTGGATGCGTCTTGTCATTGGAGTATACTTTGACGTGCGAAAATGTAGCTTCTCCACCTATCAAATCTACCAAAGCATTGTAGCGCGCTACAAAACGGGGCCGCGTAGTTACGTTAATCTCCAGAAAGGAGGGAACGTTGGTCTCGCATTTTTTGATCGAGTTGTCTCTGAGCAGCTTGAATATGGATATCACGTCATTCATAGTGATGCTCTTGTTGTACATATTGTCCTCCTCCATTGTAAGGTCCAGCGCAGGGAAATCTAGCAAGAGCTCTCGCGACATCAGCTCTAGTGCTCCATACTCACGTTGCAAATGTAAACGTACGCGCGCAAAAATCGTATTACAGCCCCTATGAATATCCGATGCATCGTCGCATATAACATTTTGACCACTGACCACCTCGCCACTGTCTCCGTCATATTCTCTGAAAAGCAGATTTGGCTGTCCTTTATACCAAATGAGGATTTGAGGCGGCTTCGCGTTCAAAAGCTGCTTTGCTGCTTCGTAGACTTCGCTATCCGAAACGATATCTATAATTGAGTCTCCGTCATCGTCCTTGGAGCTTTCCAAGCCCTCATGATTGTCATCATTTTCGTCACTTTCTCGGTTCTCATCGTCGCCGTCGTTGTCACCATTACTATCGTAGTCGTTGACAATAACATCGGCATCGCCCTCATAACTGAGTAAATCTTCTTCTTCACTTAGTCCTTCGTTCACGTCTTCATCATTCAGTGAGTTCCCAGCCTCACCGGTTTCTTTATCTACCTCCTCAACACGGCTGGGCTCCTGTGAGATTTGCGGGTAGTTCGTCAGTTGTTCTTCCCGTGGTTCATCCAGGTTATCTTGCTCTTGGGACCTTGAAAGCGTGTCCAATTCTCGGTTACGGTAAAGTGTGGATTGTTCCATCGAAAGGTAATTATAAATTCAGGGCCAGTGGCAACCTAGAGTTGGTTTTAGTATTGCTTGGTAACGGAGGTCGTTGCTAAGTAGTTTCCTTCGAAAAAGTCCCTTGAGGAAATGATGATATTGAAAATGCCAATTATGTCAACATTGAAGCGGTCCAGCAAAAGATAAGCTGACCAGGAGTGTGATGAGAAATGGGGAAGCTATACCAACGAGAAGTTTAGCACTTAGGTGATGATTTAGTGGCAAACTTGTTCTGACGTTTTCGGAAGCGAAACCCCGATACTTGAGACGGGGTCTCACGAGCTTGAACATCCAAAAAGACCAGAGACCAGGAGATCAGAGACCAGAGGCTGGAGATTAGGAGACCGTCCTTGATGGCTGATTGCATACTACTTTTGAAGCGAAGGATTCAGTCCAAACTACAAGACCTAACTCTTCGTAAAGCATCCTTGAAGATAAACACACGCGTTCCACCGGCCAGTTCCACAGGCTCTGACGTTCAAAAACCAGTTGATATTGACCTGTTCCAGTTGTCAGACAGAGCAGACCCGAATACGTTCAGAATCCTGGACATTGCGAAACAGAATGCTAAAAGGCCTATTGTTGTCTGCACAGAAGAACCTCAGACTGAGTCTCAAAAAAGGTCTCGGAGAATGCCCAGGCAGATCGACAACGACCACAAACCATTTATAGAACAGTTTTCAGAGCCGCTCAAAAAATTAACACCACCGTTCTTCAATGCTCGCTTTTACAATAACCGGACACTCGAACAAACAAAAAGAGACCGAACGGCAACTGTGCCATGTTTAAGAATCTAATTTACCATTGTTATGTAGAGCCAGGCAATTGTCTACGATTGAGTCATCCGCTAGTTTAGTCACATGAATAGTAAGGTGTTCTTGAAATTTTTCAAGCCTTTGAATAAGCTGCGCTTATCTTCACTGCCAAATAAGCGGAAGCAAGGGTTAAAGGGTTAAAAGGCAGGTACTTTGGGCTAATGTCAGCGATTTCGGACAGTGATTCGGAAACGGAAGTTATCTCTAGAAATTTATGCGGTGTTGTTGACATAGGATCGAATGGTATAAGGTTCAGTATATCGTCCAAAGCGTCGCACCATGCTCGAATTATGCCGTGCGTCTTCAAAGACAGAGTAGGCATCTCACTGTTTGAAGTACAATACGCAGCGAATTCTTTGGAGAAGGCTCCAATTCCAACTGAAACGATAGACGAGGTTTGTGCGGCGATGAAGCGATTTAAGCTCATATGTGACGATTTCGGCGTGCCCGAGACCGGTGTCAGAGTAGTGGCTACGGAAGCTACGCGAGAGGCGATCAATTCGCAATCTTTCACTAGTGCGATATACGAGTCAACTGGCTGGGACGTTGAACTTTTGACGAAAGAAGAAGAAGGTAGAATAGGCGCATACGGAGTAATTTCGTCTTTCAACTCGGTCTCAGGTCTTTATATGGATTTAGGAGGCGGAAGTACGCAACTCTCTTGGATTAGATGCACCGATGGTGATATCACCATGTCGCCTACACCGGTTTCTCTGCCATACGGTGCCGGCGCACTATCTAGAAGAGTGAAAATCGAAGAAAAACGGGAATTGTTCGAAGAGATCAAAGAAGCTTACAGAGCAGCTTTTGAGAAGATCCAAGTTCCAAAGGAAATGGTTGTGGAAGCTCAAGAAAAAGGTGGGTTTGAGCTTTTCACTTGTGGCGGTGGGCTTAGAGGAATGGGACATCTGCTACTTTCGCAAATCAAAGAATACCCGATTCAGACCATTATAAATGGGTTTTCTTGTTCTTACGAAGAGTTTTCAAGCATGGCCGACTACTTGATGCTGAAGGGCAGGGTACCGGGATGCGGAAAAATCTTCAAAGTCTCAGAGAGACGCGCATTACAACTTCCAGCAATTGGTTTACTCATGAGCGCGGCTTTTGAATCGTTGCCTGCGATGAAAACCATTCACTTTAGCGAAGGCGGCGTAAGAGAAGGTACATTGTATTCCATTTTGCCACGCGAAATTCGAGCCAAGGATCCATTGCATATTGCGACCCGCCCGTACGCGCCTCTATTGGCCGGTAAATACTTGGAACTTTTGCGTGAGGCCATTCCTGAGAACGAGGTACCAGGTATCGTTTATAAGCGGATAGCTCCTGCGCTCTGTAACCTCGCATTTGTGCATGCATCCTATCCCAAAGAGCTTCAACCGACTGCCGCTTTGCACGTTGCCACCACGGGGATCATTGCTGGCTGTCATGGGCTTTCCCACCGAGCCAGGGCTCTTATAGGAATAGCACTATGCAATAGATGGGGAGGAGACATCCCAGAACAAGACGAAGAGCACAAGAAGCTGTTAGAAGACGTCGTTCTGCGCGATGGTAACAAGCTCGAAAGACAGCGTATTGTATGGTGGACTAAATACATCGGAACCATTATGTTTGTCATATGCGGTGTTCACCCAGGTGGTAATATAAGAGACGGAGTGTTCAATTTCGACATCAAACAAAAAATTGAGCCAGACAAAGACATGCAAGGTTTGACCCTGGACGAATCTACAACTGCTAGTAACTCCAAGAAGCGCGAATTCGAAATATCAGTCGTTATAAGCAAAGACGATCTCAAGACAAGTGCCTCGGTACGGGCCCGTATTATTACTCTCCAGAAGAAGATACGCAAACTTTCCAGGGGTAGCTCTGAAAAAGTGAAAGTTGGTGTTAAGTTCTACGAGAATGACTAATCGGTTCGGTACGTTGTGCAAATGTTACCAGATATCGACGGTAATTCGCTAAGTTAGCTAGCTTATGTTGACCTCGAAGAGCGAACGTCTCGTATAGAGTTATATATGTTAGAATAACTCTTCATTTCACGATTTTGCCACCTTTAAAGTGAAGTTCACCATAATCTAGGAAATTACCAGGATACCATCTGTATACCGAAATCAAGCGTTGAGCCATTGACATGCCATCTCTTATCGACCTTGTTAAAGGTCTCAATGTCGCATTTTCATCAGGGGACTTTTCGAGCTGCAAGCAGCTTTTGGGTCCTATCAAAATCGAGCTTTTAAAGGCTCATTTACTTGTACCAGATTTGAAAAAAGCTGACTCTAGCGATGGATATCTCAACGATCTGAATATCTGCAAGAAAGTATTGGAAGTTGGAGCGCTTTGCAGCGTTGGTGACAAGGATTTTGATGGTTTTGAGGGATTCTTCTCTCAATTGAGACCGTTTTATTTCTCCACAAATAGCACGCTGATGAACTCCGAAAACAAGTCCAAATTGAACAGTTTACATCTTCTGATAGTGTTGTCGCAAGGGGATGTGACCAGATTTCATTCAGAATTGGAATTTTTGGGGAAAAGGTTCCCCAACATGGAAGAGGATAAGTTTCTGTCGTATCCTATAAAAGTGGAAAAATGGCTTATGGAAGGCTCTTACCAACGGGTATGGGATCTTTTGAGAAATGACTCCTCGGTTCCTGAATTCAACGTTTTCACTGAGACTTTGATGGATGCCATTAGAGAGGAAATTGGTCGTAATACGGAGCTAGCCTACAAGAAGCTACCATTATTTAATGTAAAGGCTCTCTTGTTTTTCGACAGCGAGAAGGATACGGAGCAGTTTGCACTCGAAAGAAGCTGGAAAGTATCCGGCGGATGTGTCACATTCGAGCAAGAAGAAGTTTCTGAAAATGTACAGGAAACGAGCATCATTGAAAAGACATTAGATTATGCAGTTAGTCTAGAGAGCATTGTGTAACATAATAAGAGGCAAGGATCAAAAAAATCGATGGTTTCATTGTCGTTAACGTCAAGTTACAAAGTGTATATAAACTTTTCATCATACAGGTTATGCCTTAAGAAGCAAAAAATCATTACATTCACATCAAATTTATTTCTCGGCGACACCAACAGATAGGCCATTAGCCAATCTCTTCTCCGTCAAGGCTGCGATGATGGCGGCACCAGCACCAGAACCATCTTCAGCAGGAACAATGTGAATTGGGTAGTCTTCTGGCTTGGGCTTAGATTCCCAGTCGAAGATGTCTCTCAAACCTTCAGCGGCTCTCTCTTTGAAACCTGGGTATCTGTTGTAGACAGAACCATCAGCAGCAATGTGACCGGTCTCGTAGCCTCTCTTTTTGCACACAGCAGCAATACCACAGACAGACAATCTAGAAGCTCTGATACCAATCAATTCAGCTAAACGTCTGATCAACTTACGCTCTGGGCTGGTGGTTTCAACGCCAAGACCCTTGAATAGGTCGTAGGTGTCTTCCAAGTTTTCGAAAGGATCTTCTTCGATCTTGGCTGGGTAGGCAGTGTCCATAACGTAAGGCTTTTGGAATTTGGTCAAGTCTTGGCCTTGGAAGATGAAACCTTGAGAGTGTAAATCCAAAAGAACCAAACGTAGAAGTTCACCCAAGTAGTAACCAGAAGTCATCTTTTCGAAAGATTGTTGACCTGGTCTTGGAGATTGCTCGTCGACCAAGAGATCGTACTTGGTTCTTGGAAGAACCATGTGCTCGTTGTCGAAAGAACCGTACTCACAGTTGATGGCCATTGGGAGGTCAGAAGTGATGTCGGAAGGCAATCTACCCTCTAGCTTCTCGACGCCAGAAACGACGTCGTAGTATGCACCGTTGACACCGGTACCGAAAATGCAACCCATCTTGGTTTCAGAGTCTGTGTATAGAGAGGCGACCAAAGTACCCACGGTGTCGTTGATCAAAGCAACAACCTCGATTGGGATTTGTCTCTTGGCCAATTGCTCTTGCAACATTGGCACAACGTTCTTACCTTCGACACCATCGATGTCGAAACCCTTGGTCCATCTCTGCAAGTAACCTTCGTTGATCTTGTCCTGGGAGCATGGGTACGAGAACGTAAAACCCAAGGGCAACTTGCCCTTGACACCGTTTGGAAACTCTTCGTCGACGAAAGTCTTCAAACAGTCCGCGATGAAAGACCACAATTCCTCGGATGAAGAGGTTCTGATATGGTCTGGAAGTTTGTACTTGGACTGAGTGGTGTCAAAGTCGCGGTTTCCGCCCAGTTTGACCGCCACAACTCTCAAGTTGGTTCCACCAAGGTCAATGGCTAGATAGTCACCGGTTTCCTTACCGGTTGGGTAAGTCATGACCCAACCAGGAATCATGGGAATGTTTCCGCCCTTCTTGGAAAGACCTTTATCCAATTCACCAATGAAATGGTTAGTAATGGCCTTCAATTTGTCGCCATTGACTGCGAAAATAGTCTCAAGCCCGTGGATTTGTTCCAACAGGTTGGCTGGCACGTCAGCCATGGATCCTTTTCTTAGAGGAGGTTTCTTTGGACCTAGGTGAACCATTGTGATAATTGATAAAAGTTTACTTAATGCTAATTCGAAAGCGCAAGCAATCTCTGGAGAAGAAGTTCCACCTAAACCCCACACTTACTTCACGAACTTGCCTCTTTTTATATGCTCGGTTTTCGAACCAAACTACGTGAACGTTTCCTGTTTACAGCAGCTTCCTGTTTTTCGGCCCCGGCTTCTTCTCCGGTGGCCCTACTGTGAAAAATTGGAATCTGGGCGCCCATATGGTGGTATGATGAAAGCGCGCCCGGCAGAGAAAAAAGAAAAAAGCGCACCGCGAAAATCGCAATATGAAGGCACGCGTGCAACTTCAAGTTCTTCCGACAGAAAAGCCCCTAGCGGTGCCTGGGAATATTTCCGGTCACGGCACGGCTCTGGCGTGCCGCGGAAAAACAAAATCCTGGAGAAAAAAACAATTATTCCGGGGTACCGTCGGCCGGAACAACAGGACAATGGGTCGGGAGACGGAGAAATTATCCGGGGCACACCCCCGCGTGGGGCGTCGGATGATGCGGGTAATACAGTCCGCCCGTTGTCGGTTGCTGGCGCGTCCCCTTGAAGCTCGTTTGTGGAGTCATTCCTCGAAAGGTGGCCAGAGGTTGCGTGGATCGCGTACCTATACGTGACAGATGGGCGCGTGGCTGAGCGAGAGCACGTGACCGCCATGTGCGCGTTTGTGGCGTTTGATATCACTGAGTACGAAAATTCCTCCGCGTCCGGCGGGTAAAGTTACTAATTAATATACCCTCTAGACAGCACTCCTTGTTTTCTTGACACCACTTTTACACAACTACACAAAACAAGAAAATGTTTAGAGAGTAATTGGATGATAGCATGGGGACCGAAGGTCGTTGCGCGCTTTTTAGATAGCTAGATAGACATATACGTATGACGAGGGTGATGGTGTGGAAAAAAAGAGCGGGGGATCCGAGGCGGCTTCGGGGGCAGCAACAGCAACAAAGTCAGGCAGCGACCGGAATTAAGCGCTGCAAGGACCGGCGATAACCTCGAGGACGTGGGAAAGATTGTGGGGAGTCACCACAGTTGCCACGCTGGCGCACCGATCGTCCAGCATCGAGCACCTTCGTCTGACGCAGTTGCGAGAAATGAGAGGTCAGGAACCGGGTAACGTGACGTGGCGATTGTACAACCATAGGGCGTATATATATCGAGCACCGGGAGCAGTGTGAGAGCGCAAACGGTGGGATCTGTGTTACCGCAGCAAGCAGCTCCACGACAATCATGGCTCAGCTACCAGAAGTTTTCAAGAATAACGACAAAGACACGTTTGGCGCATACACGGCCCACGTCAGATGGCCGATCATTGTGACAAACGCAATTGACGATTTAGAGACCGAATTGAAATCGCTAGATGCGACTTCGCAGCATTATCGCGACGGAGAGACGATCAAGAAGGGTTTGGTCGCGTTGAAAAGTGAGATCCAAAACGACGAAGAAATTAGACCCTTTTCCGCCCGCGAAACCCAGTTTGCGCAAGTGCCCGGCTCGTTCAACGAAGTCATCTCCGCGGCCCCACAGACGTGGTTGACCGGCGGCTGGCTTTTTTGCGAGGTGTACCTGTACAGGCGCATGAACGTGCTTTTTCAAGCGTTCAATTCCTGGCGCGAGTTTGATATTTTCAACCGTCTAAAGCAGTCCACGTTCCACTCGTCCTTGTTTGGTGTAGTCGAGCTTGCAATCCGCTATAAAAACTTGAAAACCCAGCTAAATGGCGCCGATCAAGAGATGCTTGAAATCCTGTTCAAGGAGTTCGTCGAGATTTCGTTGTGGGGAAATGCCACCGATCTCTCACTACTCACCAACGCGACCCTCGAGGACATCAAATCCATTCAAGGTGCAGAAGCCAGAAAGGCCTCTGAGTCTAAGATTATTGTCAACGACACTGCTGTCGCTTGGAAACACTTATTGGGTGCCTCGAACAAACGTGTCGATTTCGTTTTGGACAACTCCGGATTCGAAGTTTACGCGGATCTCATGCTTGCCCTGTTTTTGCTAGACACCGGTGTGACCGAACTCTGCAATTTCCACGCTAAAGACATTCCGTATATGGTCAGTGATTGCAGAATTCGCGATTTCCATGAATTGCTTGATGACCTCAAAAGCCCAACTTTTTTCGATCTCACGTCATTGGGGAGCAATGCAAAGGCAGCTCGTGAAGGTCTTGACTTTCTTGTGCGATCAATTGAATCCTATGTGGATGCAGGCAAGATCGTTTTTACGCAAGATTCATTTTGGTCATTGGACCTTGACTACTGGAATTTGGATGCCTCCGAGACTAAATACCATGGCGCAGAGATCCACAAGGACTTCTTGAAGAGCGATCTCGTCATTTTCAAAGGAGATTTAAACTATCGCAAACTTACTGGTGACAGAAACTGGCCTCGGACAACGGCTTGGTCCACAGCTATAGGCCCCCTAGCGAAAAATGGTATTAAATCATTGAGTTTAAGAACTTGTAAAGCCGATGTTGTTGTTGACTTGCCACCTGGATGTGATGAAAAATTGTGCCAGGTCTGGAAAACCGAGAAACCCAGCGAGCCATCTTCCTGGTGGTCTTCAAGCGGCAAATATGCCGTCATATGTTTCTGCGATGGTCAGCAAAAGTAATTAATACACCTTTTATACATAATCGTATATAACTCAATCCTCATTTTTGTAATTGATTATTCCTTCTTTTGAGTGGGGGCCATATTTGACAAGAATGGCATAGGGAACATAGGGAAGGGCATGCCAAAGGGTGGAACCGGCATTGGTAATTTAAGTTTTTTCGCATCGCCATCAACTTCGATATCTGTACCTCTCTTGACACCACGCTCGCTCAAAAACTTGCGCACTTCTTCTTCCTTTTCAGAGTCAGGCTCTAAAGAATCTAGAAGAACATCCGTTTCTCCACATACCGGACATACAAAGTCATTCTCTACCAGTGTATCCTCTAGAGCCTGCTTCGAAAAGAACTTTTTACAACATTTCGTTTTCACTGGATTTCTTAACAAGCCTCCAGTGATAGGGCACGTCAATTCTGGTGGTAAATCTGAAAAATGGTTCTTTTCCCAAACGGCATCGTCCTTATTCAGAGACCTTGACTGCTGCTTTCTCTGATAATCTTCCCACGAATGTTCGTCCGCCACCTGTACGACGAAATTCCCGTCATCTGTAACCATAATTTTCCGTTGCGCCATCTCCTCCGGTGTTATCGTACTTGGATCGACCTCAACCGATTTTAAAAACTTTTTGGGAATACCAGTCGTCCGCCTGATTCTTTTGCCTTCATAGTTTGGATCAGAGTTTGTTGGACAGTTTTTAATCCAATGATCTCTACCACCGCATCTGTAACACATGTAGCCAGGCGGGGGAGGTCCCTCATCTTGCATCGCAGCGTTGGGTCTGTGGAAAACGGGAGTAGCCGAAGACATTTCTTGCTGAGTTTGTTGCCATTGATTCTCTTGGTTGGCAAACATCGCCGCAATGGCATCTTCTTCACTCATACCTGCTGTATTGATACTTGAAGTCGTGGTTCCATTACTATGAGTCGTTTTCACAACTCTGGGTTTGCCTGTCACGTATCTTGTCGCATTTCCTATGGAAATTTTCCCATTGAGTCCATTAGCTTTGACAGCCGGTGATCGCCTTACTTCGACGCTTGAGGATCTTGAAATGACTTGGGCGTCGTCTTCAAGTTCTTCGCTTGTGTCTGGATTATAAAGACGCAACTGGAAATCCGTACCATCGCCGAGCCCATTTTCCTGAATTATTTCACGTTTCAAATCAAATACAGTGATACCTGTCCCATCGAATAAAATCCTCAAGTTGCCCTTCTGCGATCGAAACTTGTAGAATATTGTGCTTGACATTGCAATAGAGAGGTTGTCTTATCCTCCAACACTGAATAAAAATCAGAGGTGGTTCCTTATACACTTGATTGTGATACAATCCCTATTCGTGGTATAAACTCTGAAGGATCAAATAACGATTAAATCACCTCACCTGGCTTACTTTCCACTTTCCTTCAACCTGTTTCTTCGTTCATCTAATCTTGAAATTTCATCTACTTTTCAACTATAACAATCTCCATCACTGATCAACAAACCAATGAGTGCATCTGGATACTACGAGCTTTACCGTCGAAGCACCGTGGGGGCAACTTTGGTCGACGCGTTAGATGCGTTAATCAGTGATGGTCGTATCGAGGCGTCTTTAGCAATGCGAGTTTTGGATACTTTTGATCGTGTAGTGGCCGAAGCACTTAAGGACAAAACTGAGGCCAAATTGACGTTTAAGGGCCATCTACATACATACCGCTTTTGCGACGACGTTTGGACCTTCATTATTGAAAATTGCAGCGTCAAAGTCGATCAAACGGATGATATCAAAGGTAATAACCTTGTCGTGGATAAACTAAGAATTGTGGCATGTAACTCTAAGAAAACCGGCGAATAAATGAATTGATCGAATAGTATAACGTGTTAAGCGCTTGTTTCGTTAACTGGAAGGGATCAAGGGTCGTAAGGGTCCTTAGGGGTCCTTGATGTAGGTATTATATAGTCAGGTATTTGAATTTTAGAGAATATATGGTAATATCTGGAAAATTTCAGAGGGGCCTCTGGTATCATTAACCTTTGAAAACAAGATGACGTCGGTTAAAGAGCAGTATCGAGGTCTAGTGAACCGACATGAGAGGGAAATTTGTTTCAGTTCGCTGAGACAGGATTCCACCGAGTATCAAGCTGGTCTAACCTCTGTCATAGGTGAATTTTTGGACTTGAAAAAGAGCGTTCAAACTACGCTTGCATTGTTCAGCAGTAATGAAACTTTGGAAGACGTTGCCACCGCTTCCTTGCCACTTTTGGCTTTGGATTATTATTTAGCGTCATGCATCGCGAGAAAACAAGCTACACAGCTTTCAAACAGCAAAGATCGTGCTGCAATTCGGCAGAAATTCCTCCACAAATCGGTACAACTGGATATCCAGTTTTTGGTTTCTTTGGCAGATTATGAGATATTGGACTCTTTGTTACATAAGAAGATCGACAACTTTGAATCAACGTATAGTCCTACGTTGCAAGAACTGTATTCACAACCTTCCGATTCCAAGGACATAAAAGGTGCTCAAATGAGACGACAACAGAAAATTGAATTGCACCAGAAATCGACATCCCTTGCTGCCCAGATTTCTGCTCTGGAGGCTCGTATGGCCACGGAAGGTCAGCATGATGAAATTTTGCGAGACCTGTATGTGGACCAACTTAGAGACTTGTCCTACAGGGCCTTTTCTGAAGTTGAACAGAACTTGTCAGAAATCGAGCTCCTCTCTAATTTCATATCGGCACCTCAAGAGCAAATCGAGCAGACTGATGTATCAAACGTTCCACTGAATGAAGAAGGTTACACGGAAAAAGTGGAAGTTTTAAACAGACCATTACTGTCGAAATCTGGGAAAGTATTACGAACATTCACTTTGGTGGATGATCGATCTAAAAGTAAGAATAAAGTCTTTGGATATGGGCAGTACGCTCCAACAATGTCCGTGGAAGAATTTCTTGAGAAAGAATTTGAAAGCGGCCGAGTCTTGGAAGGAGGTGCGGAACCAAAGCTTGAGGAAGACGAGGACGACGAAGCGTGGAACGATAAACAAACCTACAAAGCAAGAGAGTGGGACGCATTTACAGAAGCAAATCCAAAGGGGAGCGGAAATACACTCAATCGCGGCTAATAGCCTATAACATTAGATTTGAAACGACAAGAATCAATGACGTAAAATTAGTTGATCTTATATATTATTAATGAAGTAATATTTCGCGTTCTGATTGTAAAGTGGCAGCAGTTACGAGCCCGCCTTCACTGAGGATCCATCTATCTTCCACTTTTGCTAAACTGTTCAAAATGTTCAAAATGATCAAATACGCTCTCTCTTTCAATTCGACATCTGCGCTGCTTCTGATAAACTCATACATAGCCTCGGCGGCCTTCCGATCGTGCAAATTTGCAAACCGAAAGCTGAATAATTTTTTGAATGCAATCCAGTCACCGGGCTTGCATTGATTTTTCAAAAGGTGATCAATAATGCAAAAATCTGCAAATGGCAGGAAAAGTTTATCTCCAGCCCGCACACAGCAGTCCAGTATTGTGCCGAAAAATCTATCACGATGATGTGCGCTCGACAGAAGGGTTTCATAATAGGAGCCTCTGAGCTTTTCATCGAGAATATCCGGGCTGCATTTCAGTACGCTCACCACTTCATTAAGGTCTTCAAAAATGACAAGCATGTCAACATATTGGCATAACTGAAGGATCTTGTAAGACATTGGCTCACCTAAGTCATCAAAATCAGTTGATAATTTGATAGACTTCTTGATACATCTCAAAGCGTAATCAAAGCTACCTGCGCGGGAATACATCTTTGAGAGATGGTAGAAATAAGCAGACTGCTTGTATTTGAGTTTAAAAGATTGGATAACTTCTCTCCACAGATGAGAGTCTTTTTGAAGAGGAACAAAAAGTGTATCGGGAAGCTCTTTTGGTAAACAATCGGGGTAATTGTGCTTTTGGAAGAATTCAAAAGAAGTACCATAATGACCGCACATGAAGAGAGACAAGGCCATCATGAATTCATGAGCCGCATTTCCCTTTATGTATAAAGTACGCTGCACCGTAGAAAGAAAGAGCTCGGCTTCGGGCTTTCCCACCTCTCCAGAAACAATGTATCGGTCAAAAAATTCAATAAAAAGCCCGTTCGGGGACACTGGCATTTCATAAAATTCAGTTAAAATGACGTCCAATAAGTTCTGTAAATCTTCATAAGACACAAATTTAGCGCCATGACCTAACTTCGTGACTCTTTTGAGTAGTTCAGCTGCCAGAAAGCCTTTATTTAGGCGGTAAAGCTTGACCCATAGGCATTGCTTGTAGTGCATAGTCAATAACGTTTGCAACGGCTCATGTATTATCTTGTATTCAAAATCCATGAATGCAAAAGTCAACAAGATTTCCAATGTGAATTGGTGTTGAGCCAATATAATTTGATGGATGCCTTCAATGATGGAAACTTTTATAAAATTGTCAGATTTTATGGCATTGATTAGCGTATCTGGTGCAATCGGAAGCTCCAAATATTTCTTGATGAAACCTTTCAAAGCATTCACAACATCAAGATCGTTAAGCTCTTCAAAAAGCTTTTTTAAATTGGCCATTTCGAACTGTCTATCGAGATGGTCAACAAAGATTCTCGCGAGACCTTCTTTTAAAGGCCCCTCACCCACGGAATTTGTACTAACGACTTCAGCTAAAGCATCAGAGACTTTGGCAAGTAAAGACGTCGAGAGCGTGCGACTAAAACCATGCACGACTCTCAAGTACTTCTCTAGGTCATTTGTGACCTCCTGAGAGCTCGAAAAACCCAAACGGTAGTATAACTGCTCAGCATCTGTGTGGGTCCTGTAGAGCGCATGGGAAAACAAACCAAGACAATTTACTACCACAAGGCCCTGTTGATATAACATTAAGGACGTTGGTTCATCATTGTGCTTCTTGAGGTCCTTAAGCACAGTTTCCAATGCGATAAGATATTCTTGTGTATGCTGAGAATTCGGACTTATGAGCATTCCATTTTCACTTAGCATTCTTTGAGCCATTGCAAAGAGAGACGGAGCATAATGTGATTTCAAATTTAAAAGAGCTTTCGTGGTATCTCCGTCAGTGAGGAGGTCTAGATCGGTTTGCAAATCTGTAATGGATCTATTGATTGGCTCCGACCAGGGTCTCGCCTCTTTCAAAGCCATATCTACTTTAGAAGTCTGCAATTTCGCTGTGCGGTTGCTCTTCCACATGACAATCAAGTCCATGGAGTTGCTGGGGGGTGTAGTATCATAAGATGGGTTTAACTTCATGTCAACAAGAGACCATATGAACGAAGCGCTCAAATTGGGAGAAATAGACACCCGAGAATTGGCATAAAATCTTGAATCTTGGTCAACACCTAGACTCATGAATTGAAACAAACCGTTTCCCAAAGGTAGAAATGCAACCAGAACGTCTTTATAAATGCAGAGGAAACGACCCACGACCTCATATACTCTCATGTGACCTTTTCCCTCATTCAAAAAATTCTGCTCATAAACAACAGCCTGAGTAGACAGATCCCAAACTTTCATTCGGCAGTTTTGAGTAAGTGTTATCAAGTATTGATCTTTGTAAAGCACACAGCTCACAACAACGCTCTGCGTAAAGTGCTCTTTTCTTGAAAACAATTTGGTAAAGCTTTGGAGGTAGCTGTTATCGTTGAACAAAACAGGATGTATATCTTGAGAATCGCCGGCTCCGACTTTTGTTAAGCCGACAAGACCCCCGTCCTCGAGAAAAACGACCGAATACGTATCGGACACGGAGAGAAGTAAATGTGGTTTTCTCACGGTAAAATCGTATGGGTTGAAAATGCGGAACCAGTCATCTTGAAGCGGTCTGGTTTTCGATAAAATGCAATCAACATGAAATTTCATATTCAAGAATATGCCGCGTTCCAAAATTAAATCCATTGACACTTCCTGTTGGATTTCTCTTACTGTGAAAGTATGCCATTGATTCAAACTTGCCTCTGGCAACGTAATTATAACCGTTTTCCCACCAGAAACACCGCCCAGAGCATATATGGCTACTGTCTTGTAATCATTCAACAATTGGTAGCAGATATATTCATCATTCGACAGTTTAATAGTATTTGAGTAATTGACCTTGTTGATAAGCTCCAGAGTGTTTGCGGGCTCATCTGGATTCAATGACAGATAAACAAACCTGTCATCCTTATTTGAGATGTCAAGACTGTGTAACTGAACTCCAAGTTTCGAAAAATTGCATTCAATTTCCATTTTTGGTGGCTCAGGACGCTAATTGTAGCGATCTCGGACTACACTGTTTACCCTTCAGTATCTCTTGATCGGTCTAGTAGACTAGTTCTCAATCGACAAATTTTCAAAGTGACATTGCGTAGATAGTGAGAATAAATGCTGTGATGACTAGAATCTACGAAAAAGCCAATTGTTGATGTGAAGCTTCTGTTTGAAGCTTTTGGGCGCACTGGCGACGACATTTGATGTCGTTTTGTGCTCTGTGATGAATGTGGCTCATTAATATAGAATTTGTATGAGCCCCAGTGCTGCAATTCCGCTTCAGATTGCGAACCACTTTTTAAGTGATATCTCGTTAGGCATCGGTTCTCGATTGAGTCCGACCAATTTTTGCATTAGATGCGGTATAGGTGATGAGATCGAGAGCTTACGCGCTTTCCGTAACTCTTTCTAGCCTAATCATGCCATCATCACCGCCAGATACGATAACTGGGATCTTGTCTATTTCGGTCACGTCAATTATAACGCCCGTATGAGAACTCTGCCTGAGATCCCCCAGCTCCTCTCCCTCCTCAGCTAAATTGCTGTTTGTGCTTTGAGCCCTCTTGTCGTCTTGACTGCCGCTTTCGTCTTCGTATTCATTTTCATCGTCGTAATGATTGTATCTCTTCAGGGTATCGTGGAAATTCTTTGTGCTTCGGACCTCAACGGTGCCGTTGTTATATGCAAGAACAATGTAATCTTTTGGCGATTTGAAGACGAGCCCCGTAGGAGAGGAATTCAAACGTTCGCTCAAGACGATGGATTTTGTATCAAAGGAGTAAACCGCGATATGCGCGCCCACTTGGATGAGGATTTTCGAGCTGAGCTTGTTTAAGTAAAGTTTGCCAACTTTGGGCGTGGACAAATCACTTTCGATTTTTATTTCTGCCTGAAGGTCAACGTTGGCCAAAAGAGTATCTCCTTTCAAGTTGTAAATTTCCAGATGGAGGGGTTCCATGTAGAGAGCGATCAAAGAATTCTCCGTCATGCCCAAAACGGCGTCTGCAATGCTGGCAGAGGCGGAAATCTTGTGTTTGGGCACAATTTTTAGCTCATTTGAGCTGATCGCCAGCTCCCACACCTGGATTTCGTCGGAAGTAGTAATGACCAATCGACTACTTTTGAAATCGAGACTTTGGATATCTTGGAACACAACGTCACACGATTCGCCGGCGAAAACGTCTACGGCGGTGACCGGGTCATTTTCGTTCACTGACCACACTTTGAGCCCCGCATTGTCGACAGAGAGAAATTTCTGAGAGTCCAACCAGTAGAGACCTGAGACAACGGGCGCAAGTCCATGAAAACTTTTGGTCAATTTGTCGTTACAGGTCAGGTTGGGCTCAATCATCCAATGCTTCAGAAGCCCGTCACGCGCGTACGAGAGCATGTTGAACTGAGACACTACCAAATTCTCTACCTGCGCCAGATGATATCTAAGACGTTGGCAGCGGAGGGCCATGTTGGGTGCTGGCGCGCCTCTTTTGGTGGCAAACAAAGAGGATGCACGGGGTCTCGTGGCCGCGGTTGTAGCCGCTTTAGCTTCTACGTTCTCACGGGGCGGCACAATGCGTCCTTCTTCGGATTCTTGACCGTCGCCGTCTGCAATGGTCTCAGCGTCCGAGTCAAGGCTGGACTCGGCAGCGCCGTCAAACGACGCCATTGGGCCCTCAATGGGCGAAAATCCAGAACCATCTGCACTATCAAAGATACCTGCGTCGGAATTCTGACCCACGGGATACCTCGTCGTCGCAGCAGCTGCAGCGGCTTGCTCACAATTTGGATCTGATGCTGTCTCGTTGGAGCCCAAATTCAATTGCTCTAGCAAATGCGTCGAATCCTGTCTCTCATTGAGCGCATGCAGGCCCTCAGTCACGTTTCGGCTCTTCAACAGGTAAACAATTTCCTTGACATTCTCTTGGAGTGCCATTCTGGATTTCAGCAGCAGGGGCTCCTTAATCGTATCCGGACCCGAAATCGCCCCACCACCGTCCTCTACATCGTGGCCTGGCCTCGCAAGCATCAGCTCGTACTTCAAACTCCGGTTCTCACCTTCCAGCTGCGCGATCCTTGTCCTCATCTCGCTTCGCTCCAGTTCCCACGCGATTCTGTCTCTTTCGTTCCGCGTGAACTCGGTCTGCAAGTAGTGCATGACCCCTGGCAGCGTGTAACTCATCTCGGCTGGTTGCTGCTGGCTCATGGCTCGACCTTTCCCGTCTAGCTTCGATTCACCAAATTACTGTCGAATATAATAATGCTAACCGTTACAAGATTACTATTATGGAAAAAGGACCCATCGACGCCTCGTGGAAAACGACACGCTTCGCGTCACGTGGGTTCCCTTTATGGATTACACGTGATACATAGTAGAACCGTCCTGTCCACGTCCTAGTCGCGTGCACGCTTAGATCTTCTCCGCGTCGACACCGTGCTTCCAGATGGCAACGAAGGGAGTCGTACCGTCCTCACGGTAGTTCAACAACACAAGCATTCCGTCTGGGTCCATGGACTCACCGGTGAAGAATTCCCAGTCCTTGAAAGAACCAATGACTTTCTTGACGTAGGTCTGGGCACCCTTCTCAAAAGTAGCGATTTCGTCTGGGTTCGTCTCTTGCAGCTTGTTCTTGATTTCCTTCATGTAGCCCTTTATGTACGTAAGGAATGACTTCTTGTCGAAAGCGGTCTGTTGTAGACGGAAAGAGTGCACAACGTTGTTAACAACCTCAGAACCGTCTTCAGCACCGTCTTCGTCACCACCTTCGGCAGATGGGTTGGCACCGATGTCGATGTTGTCACCACCGACTTTGACCATGTCACAGTCGGCTTCGTAGATGACACCGTCGACAAGTTTCAAGTCGTAAGCGTCAGATAGCAGCTCGTCGCCAGAGATAATGTCCTTGTAAATGATCATTGGTACGTGTTTTTTTGCCTTAACAGCTGGTTCTTCCCTGGTGTAGGTCGTGTCGGGGCGCGATGCGCAGTTGTTCGCCTTTTTATACAAGCGATGCCAGACAACGCCGGTAGCAGAAAAAAATTTTTTTTTCAAATTCCAATTTAATTTTCGTGCAGATGCCTCTTGAAGAGGCAAACGCATGGGAAAAAGAAAAAAAGCAATAAGGCGGGTACCGAAATGAGTAGCTAAGTGAGTATTTCGTCAATAGCGATTTAGAGAAGAAAACGAGATCATAATACACGGAATATGATAAGTCACGTGCTTATCTTACTGGATCACGTGGGCTATTACCCACCCAATGCTCGTCCACCCGCGATCCGCCGTCGTTCTGCACCGCTCCCGAACACCTCTTGCCATACTTGCTGAGCAATAGCCTCTGGTGTCACCTTGGCAGGGCTTTGCAACTTATTTGCGAGGCGTTTCTGTGCTGAATCATCCAGATTCTTCACCATGTCGGTGCCCGCCACAAGCCCCGGCTCGATGCTAGCGACACGAATGCCCAGTGGTTGCAGCTCTGCAGCCAAGACGCGAGAATACTGCTCCAGAGCCGCTTTCGAGGCACTGTAAACGGCCGTTCCGGGCGCAGGAGTTGTATCGGGCAGGCCAAGCACTGACGAAACGTTCACAATGCAAGGCTGTGCGTCGGGGAAGTGCTTTCGACTCCTAATCATACGTCGCGCGGCCATATTACACATAGTCACGGCACTCAGAAAGTTAACTTTCATCAATGCTGCCGTTTCTTCCGCTGTTGTGCGCAGAGAAACCGACGTCTGCGTTATACCTGCACAATTTACAAGCGCCCGCAGCTGGTAAAGTTTGTGTGGATACTCGAAAAGTGACACTTTCTGTGTTTGGTGGAGTTCCCCGAGACCCGCATTCGCTTCCCTGTGGAACCCTTCAAAGTTCTCTGCATCGGCCCAACTGGGCCACTCATTAAGATCAATTGCGATCCCACGGTGCCACTGGCCCCCCGTAACGATGGGTGGTAATGCTTTCCGAATAGCCTCGAAACTTTGCATTTTTGATGCGACCATGACGCAGCATACGCCTTGCGATGCGAATTTTTCCACAATTGCACGTCCAATGCCGCGAGAAGCACCAGTAATTATGGCCACAGGGATTGTGCTCATGGCCTCATTATCTTTGTCACTCACAGCCTCTTGATCTGCCGAAACATGCGCAGTTCTGTGTCGATGATCCTGGTTTATGCCTTTTTTGCCAGTAAGCCTAATTTATTTTCAAGATTAATAAAGGTTAGGCCAGGACAACAAACTTTAAGGGGCAGAGTCGATGAAGAATTAGTTTCGTTTATTTACACAAGAGAGTTCTTTCCCGATGAATATACAGGTGACACAACATTGACTATGCGGATTCATCACGTAGATAGTTCGAAGTGGGTTTCCTTTGACCCACAATGCTCAAAAGAATTAAATCAGTAGAAGCCTCTTGAAGTCTGAGATGCGGTTTCGTAACCCGAGTACCCGTAAGGTGCTCTTTGTTGAGCAGCGGCGGCAGCAGCAGCCTGTTGCTGCTGTTGCTGCTGTTGGAATTGATAGTACTGCTGGAATTGGGCTTGTTGTTGCGCATTCAATTGTGCCTGTGATTGTTGCCCGGAACCTTGACCTTGGCCCTGTTGAGAGGTGGTCTGAGCAGAGGGCTGGTTAGCGCCTGCTTCTTCACCTTGTTGTGATTGCGAGGACGAGGACTGCGCTTGACTTTGTTGTTGAGGGTACTGGCTCATGTAGTTGTATGCTTTTGGTTGATAAGGATATTGACCAGTGAGCCCATATTGAGGCTGGCCGTATGGAAAGGATTGCTGGTAGAAGTGGTAGTAAGGCATGAAAGAGCCTCCGTAAGGCTGCTGCTGCTGCTGTTGTTGCTGCTGCTGTTGTTGTTGCAACTGCACTTGCGCAGCGGCTGGCGATGCGGCCATGAAGTCTCTGGTGCCATTGCTGTATCCAGGTGGAACAGAGTATTGACCTGCTTGTGTTCCGGCAGATTGAGGTTGGTTACCACTTTGCGACTGAGGAGCGTACTGCTGTTGACTGTAAGCAGCTGGGTAGCTTTGGTTGTCGAACATAGCTGGGTAGGAGTAGCCTGGGAACTGACTTTGATACATGTAGTATTGCTGTTGCGCGGCTGCCGCGGCAGCAGCTGCATTTTGCTGTTGCAATGGTTGCTGTGGCGTTTGTGGAGTGTAAGGTTGTTGCTGAGGTTGTTGCTGTGGGTAGTAACCTTGCTGACCCACAGCGACACCAGCTTGGGCTTGTAGTGGCTGCTGTTCATCGACCACTCCGTAGCCAACCGATTGCTCGTCCTGTTGCAAGTGTGGCTGCGTCTGAGGCGAAGGGATTTGCCCGGATTCCTCTTTAACACTGGTTTCCGGTTCTTCTTGGCCTGAAGCTTCAGCTTCAAGCGTGGATGGTTCCAAAACGGCCTCTAGGGCTTCCTCAATAGCATCTTCCCTAGCTTCTGTCAATGATTCCTCAGGAGCTCCCTGGTTTACTGTGACTTCGACTTCTTCAACGACCACCTCAGTTGGTTCGAACTCCTCAACGGGCTGTTCATCCATTGGGCGCGATGCCTGAGCAGCGTCTTCGGTTTCAATTTTTGCCGCCTCTTTCTTGAGGTCTTCCAACTCTTCTAATGGTTCTGTCCTCTTAGGGGTAGCAGGTTTGCGCTTGGGGGTCGCAATGGCAGCCCATGTCATTTTCTTTGGTTTTTGAATGTCTTGTTGATGTGTGGCAGCAAATTGGGCCGCGGTAGCAGCTTCATCTAGTTTTTCGCTGTCTAGCATCTGATGTACGGCATCCACAGGCTGTGGTGGCAATGTGGTGGCTGATGAAATTTCTGGTTCGCGTTCTTGCGAATCAGCAGAGTGGGTTTCCACCTCCTTCACGGCTTTTGCGATTTTTTGAGCTTTTTTGTCAGATGCCATAGCGGCCCAAGAAGAAGACGAAGCCGCGGACTTTGCCGCCGAGACCGCCGGTTTACCCGCTTCTACAGCCGCTGAGGTTTGCTGCTTAGTTGCGCTAAGGCCGCCGCTGGCACCACCACGTTCTCTGTCCTTTCTTGGAGTTGTTTTCTTGCCAAACCTAGCATTGTTGGCTCCGTGCCTGGAAGATCTGCCAACTGCTCCGCTTGAACCTGCAGCGGTGGAGCCATGCGAATGTATTGCGCTCTCGTTGTTGTGCAAATGTGTGTGATGGTCCGATTGCGACGTTTCCCCATTCTGCTGTGTGCTGTGTGATTGTTGTTGTGATTGTTGTTGTTGTTGTTGTTGCTGATGATGATGTTGCTGCTGCTGTTGTTGTTGCAATTGCTGTTGTTGTTCCCGCTGTCTTTCCTTCTTAGATGGCTTCTTCACTTCGTCCCACTTGGTAGCCGCGCCTGACGTTATCTTATCAATTATTGTCTCCAGGTCTTCGTATTCTTGCACCAAGTCGATCAAGTCATCGTTCGTCCAATCCGGGAACAATTCCGTCAAAGTCTCCAGCTTAAACTTCAGTTCTGGATCCAGTTTCTTATGTGTCTGCTTGCTATTTGTCTTTCTGAATTGTGTCGACATCTCGATCACGAACCCTCGATGTGTAAATGTGTTTTATGCCTGCGGTGTTACAGTTTCTTTAAAGTCTTGTAGCAAGAGAAAGTTGTCTTCGGGTGGCAAAATTTTTTCTTCACGAAAAAAGCCGACGTCGGTAATGACATGAACATGGACCTTGACCCTGACCTTGACCTGTTTCTGTACCCGTACTCGAAGCCGTAGTTATACCCATAGTCGGAGCCGGATCCAGACACTGAGGCGGGAACTCAGGTATGAAACCTATACTTCCATCCTTATAGCCTGTCGAAACGTATTTCACTTATCTTGCTAGACGGAGGTAACCCCGTCATCTATATACACGCTTATATCTAAGAAGAAAAATTGGCACTGCAGAGCACAGGGTCACTCTACTTTCTCGGGCTCTCCGCCATTCTCAAAAGGTGCCTCCTTTCTGGCTTCGTCCAGTGCCGGTTTTATACCCTGTTTCACGAGCGCGGCCTGGACACAAGTGGTGTACGCATACCACTGCTTGGAGCACTCGTTTTCCATGGACAAGCCCTTGAGAAACTTTTCACTGTACCAGTGGTTGAAGCACTTGTCGTAGGTGTGCTTCAGATCGGCGCATTCAGGCGCGAAACTGGTTGACATGATGTTACCCATTGCCGTGAGAATTGTCGAAGATGGTGTTATAGTGATTTACTGGTAAGAGAACTTCAGCACAGATTAACGAGGGCGTGGATGGTTATAGAAGCCATAATAGTTGAGTTCATGAGTTATCTCACAATTGGACTTCGTGGCCAAGCTGGTTAAGGCGTGCGACTGTTAATCGCAAGATCGTGAGTTCAATCCTCACCGAGGTCGGTTTTTTTGGAACTTGTATCAATATCAGGGCAGAAACCCAGTATTTGTTGGGGGACTGGAAACTCCTGCTTTTCGTACCTTGTATTTGCTATGTATCATGCCTGTTAATACGCACGCGTCTAACTTCCCGCGTTCAGCGCGTGCTGTCGTTATTGCTACCGGCCCTGCTCTCGCCGCGACTACTTTTCGGATCGCTGACGTCGTTGTCGTTGTCGTCTTCGAGACTGGCGCTGTTTCCCGTGGGAAAATGGATCACGGTACCCGGTGGAGCGCCGATTTCTTTAGTGCTTTCGCCCTGGTTTGCGACTTCTTTACGCAGAGGTGAGCTGTCAAAAGTGATGTTGGTGTTACGCTTGGTCTGAGTGGCCGGCGACGGCACAGCGCTGCTCGAGCTGGACCCGAATTGCTGCTGTAACAGCAGCGACAACTTGCGTTTACGCCGCTGTCGCTGCATGGTGCTCCCGTCGGCGTCCTCTCCACCGGCAGGTGTCTTGAGCTTGCGTTCGCCCAGCGCCTGGGCATCGGTATCGCCATCGCGGGCCTCTTCGTCGCTTGAGTCTGGTAGTTGCAAGACGCGGCCAGTGGTCGTGGTAGTCGTTGTAACGTCGACCATTGGGTCCGCAGCGACCGTGGCTCGCGACGAAGCACCCGACAACGATTTGAGCTGCATGGCCGGGAGCTGTACAATGCTCGACGAATCGCCTGCGAGACGCGGTTTCGCGGGGAACAAGGTCTGTACGTCACCGTCAGTCGCGGAATCACGCGCACGTTTGGTTGTAGGCTCCGCCGCGGGCCGCGCCTTGGGTCCGGCCACGGCGTCTATTTGCAAGTTCCCAGCTTCTTGAAACATGTTTTTGAGCCAATTGCAGCTGTCCATGACTTGGTCGCAGACGGCTCCGTATTCTACAACATTCGGTATGATATCTTGTGCGATTTTGCTGAAGCAGTAGCTGAAATTGGAGTCGATCTGTTGTAAATGGAGCGTGATCTCCTGATCGAGTCGCTCCAGTGAATCTTCCGCCATCGCCGGTGGAACACGGGTGCGCGTCATGTTTTGCCAGTGGGTATGTAAACTCGAGATGATGTGGTGTAAACTCCGCGTACTAAATGACAAATAGACACCAAGGTCACGCGATACCACCGTACAATATGACCAGTCCCACGGAACCAGCGTCCACGGAACCCAGTTCCCGCGGAACTCAATTCCCGCGGAACCGCCGCCCTCCCATGCACTCTAACCTGTGAACTGACGAATGCTGAAGGCTTCAAACACCGGCTTTACCCCAAACGCTTGCGGCCACACCAACGCCGGGGCTTTTGTTACACATGCCTTCGCGACGCTTCTGCGCATAGAACACCTGTTTCCCTGCATGTTCCCTGCATCATATTTCCTGCGCTCTGCAGCCACCGTGCCTAATGTTCTAGAAGGTTACGCCGGAAAAACTTTGTTCCGGTATCTATAGACTACGTTGCCGGCCTTAGCTGACAGCGGACGTAAGCCACGTATTCGTCATCGCCGCTGGTATTTTGACGGCCATCAGGGAAATTCGGCCGTGAAGCGGGCACAGCAGCGGGCCCACGCTCCGTGTGACGGGCTCACGGCGTAGCGGGTTGCGTAGTGGGTGCGTTGTCTGCACCTATATATGCCGTAGTTCAAGATTTGGAAAAAGCTGCGCGACCCATGTAAGCAATTGGCGGGAATTCCAAGCGTAACTGCGCGCAATCGACAGCGACACGGCATCGGGGCTGTAAAAAAACTGTAGCAGTTTGTAGGCGGAGATATAAGTAAGAACAGACAAACTTTAAGAGGAAACCCAAGTTCATTAATCAGCCAAACAGCAATGACATCGAAAAGCACGCATCGAGTCCGCTGGTTCCCGAAACCGGGCAATTACTTCTTCATCGTCCCATGGATAGCGTTCATACCCTGGTACGGTATGCTGGTCGCGATGCTGGTGTGCTGGGCCGCACAGGGTCATCCGATCTACTGGTTTATGCACACCGACCAGTTCCCGGTCTACATCTCGGACATCGGAGCCACCAACCTGCGTCCGTTGTTCATTTCATGCGCCGGGTGGCAGGGCCTTGGGTACTGTATCACCGTCGCGTGCGAATACTTCCAACGTGCGGGCCGTTGGCCCTTCCAGCGCGGACTCTTCGCTAAAACGACGAGCGCCGACCACGGGTCTGCCACTGCGTCGACAGAGACTATCAAATCCAATTACCGCGACGTTCTTCTGTCGGCGAAATTTCTGATGCCCCCGTACTACACACGCCACGAACGCAACTGTATCTTTGCTGCGTTTGTGCTTGGACTCGTGGGCGAGGTGTGTTTGCTCATGTGCTCGATCTTCTCCACTGCAAAGTTCCCGCATGTTCACACCTCGATGGTAGCGTTGTTCTGCGTGTTCATGTTTCTGTCCACTTGCTGTTTGATGGCTGAATACTACATGATGGGTAAGCATTACGCGGCATTGCATCCACTTGCGTCGCTTGAAGAACGTCAGGGCGTCAAAACCTCACGCCACAAATGGGTCGGTCATAGTATGAACAAGTTTACTTTAAGTGCCATTGCCAAGACCCTTTGGCTTACGCTGGCGCTTGTATGGGCCATTTGTTTTGGCGCGATCGACGATAATTCCATCAGTGGATGTTTCGAATGGCTTCTTGCATTTTGGTTCGGTGTTCTGTTCATGATCATATCGGTCGACTTTTACCTGGGAGGACGCTACAAGTACTCTAAGTACTTCCACCAAGTTACTGACTTCCAGGGCTACTACAAGTACGAGCGCCTGGTACCGTCAGTGCTTCAGGAACCGGTGTAACGGGGTCGCCCACGCGGGCCGCCACTTCACAATTGCATTTCGTCATTCTCCGAGCTAAATCGGACCCTCTATATATGTATCGTGTAGCAATTACGAATTGAACATTATAGTTACAAACTATTAGCTTATACAAAAGCTCAAGAATTTTTGCATACACAGATCTAAATCAATTCTTTGAATAGACTTCCACGGTTGGGCCGGTCCAGTTTGTCCTTGTCCTCGCCCTCGCTTTCTTTGTCGAGTTCGGCGCCCGCTGTGTCATTAATCTTTTCAGAGCGTTCTGACGCAACGGCGTCTTGCGAGAATCCACTGAAAGTCGGCTCCATGGCCTCCCCGGAAGGTACTAAACTTTTAACCTTCTTTTGGCTTCCAGAAATTACGTGATTAGATTCCACAGGTTTCATATTATTGGAAGCCTTGGCAGGTTTAGTAGCAGGTTTAGCAGCAGCTTTTGGTATTTCCCCTTTTGGTTTCACAGGTGAGCTGGAGGTTCCTGTTTTGACTGCCGACTCGTTAACGGGTTTTGCACCGTCGGCGGGCTTCTCTTTGGAGACAAGGCCCATGAAGCGATCTTTCAGCGACTTGGATCTCTTCACTTCGGGGAGCGAGTCTAAAGCTGGCTTCTGCGCCGTTGCTGGGACAGTTTTGCTCCTAGCTGGTTTCTCTCCCGCAGTCGAAGTTTCTTTTGTAGGCTCGCTTCTAGTCAACTGCTTGGCTTCCGCCTCGCTTTCAGCGTCAATCACACCTTGTTCATTTTTGATGGATTTTGCAGAGGCAGACTGCTGGAAAGTCTTGTCGGAATTTTGTTCTTTAGGAGCGTTTTGTTTCAAAAATTCTTCAGAACTCATTCCAATGAACGCTTTTGCTTTGGCTTCGTCAATTTTGTCTTCACCTTTAACACCTGCGACTTCACGCATAGATTCTAGAAGTGTCAGTTTTTCTCTCTTAAGTTGCAACTCTGTTGCGTTCAACTCGCTTTGACGTTCATTGATCATAGCGTCAATCTCCAATTGTCTTAGTCTGGCCTGTTCGGATGACAAAGCAGCTTGTTCTTTGGCTTCCTTGGCAATAACAGCGAAATGGGTTTCAACCTCAGTCTCGTGCTCACCTTTTTCAGATTCCAGATTGCCCAAAGCTTCCTCCTCCGTAGCATGCTTGGTCTCGGATTCGGTAATGCTCGTGTGTAATTCCTCGATCTTCGTCTTGTGATTCTCGATAGAAGTGCGCAAATCTTCAATGGATTTTTTCAAAGACTCACGTTCGTTTTGTAGTCTTTCATGCTCCTCCTCTGCGAGCTTCACGTTGTCGAAATAGGGCTTCAAGATTTGATCTTGTTCCAAACGGGCTGCCTGTACATCGTTGTCCTGCTGCTCCTTGAGATCCGCTAGCTCGCTTTCAACGCGCGAAGCTTCCTGCTCCAACGAGGCTGCACTCTCCAAAATTAGCGCCTTTTGGCTAGCCTGTCTTTCTGAATGAAGTTTCTGGTGCTCCTTCAATTCGGCGTCTTTGGTTGCAACCATATCGTTGTATCTACGCTCCAAACGGGTTTGCAATCCCTCAGTTTCACGCGCGTGCTTCAATCTCGTTTCCCTGGCCCACATCTTATCGTTGGCGAGTTTTTCCTCCTGGAGCTGTTTCCATGAAGAATTATGTGATTTGTATTCGACGGTGCGTTGTTTGATATCCTCGTCAACAGCTCTTTGATGTAGCGCTCTAGCATCAACTTCGTCGAGAACAGGAGTAATTAAACCCTGTGCAATGTTTGTCACATCACCTTGAGTAAGCCATAATCCACCTCCCAAATTTATCTTGCCAAAATTCTTGCTACGTTGCGAGGAGTTCTTTTGAGCCAGTGCAACAGCGATTGCGTTGAGTTCTTCGTTCCTATATAGGAACTTGCTGGAATGGCTGCGGTCAATCTCGTCAAGGCGAGCCTTGGCCCTCAGTTTAGCTATGTCGACAACTTCTTGTGAAGTCAGCATGCTGTAGTACGCTTTTCTTTTCTGTTCGCGCTCTGCAAGCTGCTTTTTGGATTCCGCTTGAGGATCAAAATCTTTGACCGCAAGAGCAGCACTGGATGCGTACCGCTGTGGATCGGCTCCCTTTTCGACTTCTTTGATTAATACGTCCTTGGAAGTGATTTGCTCCATGATCTCGGAAGTGAGCGTAAAACTGCGCTCAGCCGCTTTACCGCTGTCGCTACTTTTCACACCAAGAACGTAATCGTACCTCTCCGGGTTTGACCGCTCGCCCATGCGCTTCTCAGCAGCCGCTTCGGCACCAGTAAGGACCTTCGACAGATTTAGGGGTTTTGCAGAGCTAACCGGCGCGGCCGTGACAGGCTTGGGGGCTAGTGCACTAGCCGCGGCAGCAGCTCTCAAAGAACCAGTTTCGGTCTTTGTAGTAGTAGCACTTGCAGTAGAAACAAGGCTTGACGCGCGGCTTCGGTTCGAGACAAAAGTGGCCGCGTGCGACGCTTCTGCGCCGGCAGTGAGACGCTTGTACGCCTCAATGGTAGCCTTGTTCTGGTTCGCGATGTTGGCAGCGACGTCTGGCGCCATTTTAGCGTCCTGAACCCCAGTCCCAGTCACTTTCGCGGGCGATTCGTAGTACCCGTATTTCATTTTTGCCTTGTAAATGGCCTCTTTCGACATGGGACGACCCTCCGACCGGTAAATCGACGTAGAGCCCTTCCTGGAGCTCGCCTCACTCGCAGAGTCTGGCTTCACGTCCACAGCTGCAGATACTAACGACATAATTTGACACTGACACTAGCGGGGTGTGATGACCTAAAAGTTCGCGTAATTTGCTTGAAAATGGGCCTAAAACCACAGTTCAAATTCGAGTATGCTTCAAGTTTTCTCAATCGAAGCTTGAAACCACTTATTCGTCCAAGTAGTCAAACGCTGGATGTCGCCTTTGTTGAATGCTTTTTAAAATGTTCAACCAAGCAAGTCGGACCCTTTTCTAATTTGCGATACCCCCTTTAAGGTTTATTAAATTTTCACTCCCTCGATTTTTCATTTCATTTCCCCTTTTTCGGAATCCTCAATCTCGATGAAAGCAAAGAATGATCGCTGCATACGTGTGTAGCTTTTGACGGCTCTCGTATGTATGATTATATCATTCAATGCTTATATATTGCCTAATGGGGATGGTAACCTCAAATAGGAAATGTTAGTGTGCCTAAATGAATAATACCTTATTGGGCCAATTGTCAACAATGGAAACCGATGATGCTTCATGAAAACGGTGAACATCTTTGTTAGAGTAAGTATCAAGTACTGATCCTAACAGCTCAGTTTGTTGTTCAGAAAACTGCCACACTTAAGTGGGGAGACAGCCTGATATAACGGAACGCCTTTTTGAAAGAAACTATTGCGCCATTGCTGGGTGTCAAAAATTTGGCACACAGGATGCAGAATTACAACTATCATCTCAGTTTCTGGGATGAACAGGATAACGGAGTTAGAATACTGCTGGATCACGTTGCGGCAGGCATTGAGTCTTGCAAGGGTCTTGCAACCTTCTTCGAAGAACGGAGCAAGTTGGAACGTGACTACGCTCGCAGGTTGAGCGCAGTGGCTAACAAAATGCGGGCCGGGCTCGAATCTAATCCCGATTTTGGCAAGCTCGATGCATGCCTCAAGACGTTACATGTGACGCAGGAAAAATTAGGGCAAGCGCACGGCATGCAGGCGCTAATAGTTCAGCGAGACGGGCACGCCGAGATGCGTGAATTCACGCAGAGCTTGCAAGCGCGTTACAAGACCATAAGCACCAAAATCCGCAATCTGCGCGACGACAAGGTTTCAAAACGGCACTTGTGCGAGGTGTTGCGTGAAAAGCTGGACAGAGCAGAGGTCGAGTTGCGGGATTGTCAGCTAAATCAGCACAACACGTTGGGCAAGCGCGACGAATCGCAGAACGACAGACAGTTCCTAAAATGGAAAAGCATTGTGGCAGAGTTGCAGTCCAAATCTGAGGTTCTGAAGCAAGAGTACAGAGCTTCCAGCAAGCATTGGCTGCAAGAATGGTCGAGAATGAGCCTGGAACTCCAAGATCTTGAAAAAGAGCGGATCGAGTTTGTCAAGCTCAAAATGCAACAATTCGCCAAAGCATGCGGTGACGCTGCTGTTGAAGAACAAATAAGCATGGACAAGCTCACACAACAACTGGCAGCATCGACCGCAGACCAGGACATAGCGGCTTTTGCCTACGATCACGGTACGGGTCGTCTTAAAACTAATGCCAGTTCGACACAAGCCAAAACCAGAGTAGCCTCGAAACACTCCGAAAATATGCGTCACCTTTCATCACGCCTTCAGAAATCTCGTCTCTCCAGTTACGAAGCCCGCACTACTGTTGATGAAGGGTACGCAGTAGACCAAGAACGATCACATCCGAAACACCGCTCGTCGTATTTGGATCCACGAGAGCACGTGGATTCCGCAACTGGCACATCACATCTTGCTCCGCCTGCCAAAGATGCCTATACATCCTCTGAGTCATCTCAGGAATCCTCAAATCCGACCGATTTCACATCTGGCGTAAGACATCGCACAAGCGCTGAATCCATGTCAACGTCAATATCCTCTCTTGCGAATAGTATAGAGGATTCACAACGATTTGCCAAATCGTGGAATTCTCAGAATCGAAGAAAATCAAAGACGCAATCACAACTATTGAATTCTGGCGGTTCGGCCACCAATTATCACTCCCGGTCGTCAAGCACCGATACGACTCGGATTCATAAAACGTTCAGTCCTTCTACTTCCTCACAGAGACGTAAATCTATGGTATGGTCACAATCGGCAGAAGATCCGCTACAAGAAGCACTAGAAACCATGAGGAGGACCAACCAAGAAAGATTGTCGTCTAGCGATTCTCGAGTCGATGTGCCGGTGAAATCTCCACAACATCCAAAGCCTATGATTCCATTTTCAACTAACACTAACGCGGAAAAACAACCCACGTCGAAAAGAGTCATGGACAGTGGTCACGTTGTTGAGTTGCCTCTCAAATCGTCACAGGGCGAAAATGTGCTGCGATACGCGAGAGCCTTGTACACGTATTTGGACGCCAACGAACAACAGATCGTAAACTTCCAAAAAGGAGATTATCTGCTATTGACAGAACAGGTCGACCAAGATTGGTTCATCGGCGAAGTGTACGCAAGCCCATCGATAGATCCCCCGTATCGTATCGGCATAGTGCCTCGCAATTATATCGAATTGCTCACTTAGCCTGATGGTTGTATTCTATATAAATTGTCCGCGGATTCTCCTTGCTAACTGCATATCCTTTTTCATAATGGTGACACGTTTCGCATGTAACGCCAATAGGTTCGTGTGCTCCAGCAATCCGACCAAATAAGCCTCGCTTGCTTCTTGAAGCGCCAAAATCGCCATTGATTGCCATCGCATTTCTTGTTCCGACGCAGTAAATTGGTCTGTCACCTCTTTGACAAGACGCGCGAAAGGCATTTTCGAAATCAAAAGATCTGTACTTCTCTGATATTTACGGATCTCCTGCAAAGCTGCTTGGCTTGGTCTGTACCGTTTAATCTTGCGGACACGGTGTCGCCGTGGCTCTGTTTTGCCTAGCACTGGTTTCTCGGAATATGGTGTTTCGTATCGTCTTCTGTCTTCGTATCGCTGCAGTAATAACCGACGCTGCCTGTTTCGTTGCAAAAGCGCCAGCGCTCTTTCATTTATATCCACTGTCAACCTGTTCGTATTGCTTAACGATCTACCACCATTTTGGCTGGCTATGCTTGCGTTCATCTTATTTGCTTACGCGTAAAAGTAGAAATTGATGATGTTGATGATGTTGATCTTGAACTTAATAAACTAAACCAACTGGAAAATTTAACTTCAAAGAACTGAGAGAAAACCGATATAAAAATGGCACCTTTTAGACAAGAAAGCTACTTTGTAAGTGAATTGATGCAGGATTTATTGAGTTTAGGAGTCTAGGATTACTAACTGAGGCTTTTTTCTGCAGGTTGTTTATCCCGGTTCTCAAAGAACATTGGTTCAATTTGGTATTCGTGAAGAGACATTTCATCTCCCACAACTAGAGATTCCAACGGAAGTTTACCAAAAAGATGGGAAATTCTTCAGCAAGAATTATGATGGTGATTGCCAAGTTGTGAAACCTATAAAAGACGGCAAGATCCAAGATTTGAATGCGTTACTCTTTTTTTTGAAGCTCATCTACAGATCGATTCTCGCGGAAAAATCTGGAGGTGGAGCGAGATCCGACGTATTTGAGACAGAATTGGCTAATATACCTATGCTTTTGATAAGCAGTGTGCATTGGACGCAGTCACAATTGGAAAGAATCACGCAGTTTGTCTTTGAACAGTTGCAAATCAATAATTTCATGTTTTTGCCCTCTCCACTTGCGACGTCTTATGCACTGGGTTCCTTGCAAAATTGCATTGTAATCGATATACATGCCAGCGGGACTGAAGTGGTGCCTATAATGGACTACGTGCAATTAACGCATTTAATGACGAACATAAACGTGGGCGGAAACAGCATTAACGAAGATCTCGCGAAACTGCTACCGCAATGGGACGCAGATCGCATTGAGGATTTGAAAAGATCGCCAATTTTTGAAGTCTTAAGTGAAGACGCCAAACAGAGCTCTGCGTTTGATTTTCAAGAGGGAGTCGACGAAGGCGCCTTAGATGTGGCCGCACTGGTGACAAGCGACCGTGATACGCGTGAGCTCTTGGAAGAACGCGAGCGCAAAAAGGCCCAAGACCAAGTGGGCAACGCTCAGCGCGAAACCAATACCTTTACGGATAGATCAGGGCAACAGGTCGTGATCGGGAAACAGAGATTTCAAGGTTGCGATGTGCTCATCGGCAAAATTTCCACTGCAGTGGGGCTTGCAGCCTCTCAAATTGATGATTTCCACAAGCTGAGAGCCATGTGGGAAAATGTGATGATCGTCGGAGGTACAAGTTCTATACCTGGCTTCAAAGAAGCGCTATTGCATCGGTTGTGTGTCGATCATTTGGTGCAAGAGCCCCAGGAGGAAAAACAGAAAAGAGAGCAAGAACTTATGTCTCAAGCTGCGAACAAGAGAAAGACCAAGTTCTCGAGCAGTTTCGTAAACGCTATCGACTACGTTCAGATTCCGTCTGTAATCAAAATTGCAAAATATCCGGAATATTTCCCCGAATGGAAGAGACACGGGTTTTCAGAAGTACCATTTCTAGGTGCACAGATAGTCACCAAACAGGTTTTTGGCCATTCAAATGAGAGTTTTTACGTCACCAGGGATAAATACGAGAAGAAAGGTCCCTCTGCAATCTGGGATGTCACTTTTTGAAAGAAAACAACAAGAAGAATCCTATTGCACTGGAGGACCATAGCTGCTCCCCAGATGGAGATAACTGCTTTAAGGTCTTTACCTTCTAAACTGCTCAGATATGTAACCATAGCACTCTTTATAACTCCAGAGAGATGAACAACTCACACATCACGATAATTGTTCTACTAACCTTCGGCCAGACTTCCGTCTTTGAGGGGACTTTAACCGTTGAACAAGTGCCCTGTCAAAATCGGGCATGTGGAGTACGTCAAAGATACACAATGGGCTTCGTCGAACTTTGATTGTTATATCCTGGATACCTGTTGCAATGACTGTGAATGAACATATATGTTACGTTGCCAAGATCGAAGGATCTTCGATGAGACCCACGTTAAATCCCAATGAGACAATTCCGAGCGATTGGGTACTTCTATGGAAATGGGGGGTGCAAGATGCTATGAATCTCAGATATAACGATGTCATTTTGTTCAAAGCACCGTACAATCCTACAAAAGTGTATTGCAAACGTATCAAAGGTGTTCAATTCGATTCCGTTAGCACAAACTATCCGTATCCAAGAGAAATTGTTCAAATCCCAAGGAATCATGTGTGGGTGGAAGGCGATAACACATTTCATTCCATAGACTCTAATACTTTCGGGCCCATATCGACAGGTCTCGTGCTCGGTAAAGTAGCCATGGTTTTATGGCCTCCGTCGCGATGGGGGTCTCAAATCGATCAAAGCGGTGGCCGAGGCGATATACGTGTTAGAGATATGAGATTTTGATGCTGGGTGTGTGTACTTATATAAAATTCTCAAGAGACCCGCCTGTCGGGGTCGCTTCCCGTTCTCAGTAACCCAAGAACGGCGAAACAAACCAGTAGGATGTATGAATTTGTTTTTGAATGCAAGGTATAACTAGGTATATTTTTGTGTGTGGGTAATGCTTGGCTTTCAATGGAATGTTGTCTCTTCTATGAGGTCTTCCTCTTCTGTTACTATCGGCTTGAAAAGTGACCTTTTGAGAGTCTCAAATGAAAGTGAATGATCTGTCTCATCAATGCTACCGTCGACTGAATTTTGATCCAAAAACATTAGTCGACTGCTGTTGCTGCTACTATACGCGCTAGAGGGACTTCCAGTACTTCCGTTGTAGGAATATTCCGACAACGTCAATTTTGGAGGCGCATCATACCAAAACGTCGGATGGTTTTTGTTAGAAGAGGACCTAGCTGCCAAAGAAACATTCTTTGTAGACTCCACAGGCTTTTCTCTCCCTACTTTGAAAACATGAAAAGAGTTGGATCTGGTCACCACACGTTTGACATCTTTCCGAAACCTTTCCATTTCAGACTCACATTTCTCGAGGTGATCTTGCGAGTCCATGCCCACATAACAACGGGGGAAACATCTGTGACTAAATTTCTCGAAAAATGACTTGTAACCGCCGTTTAGCACTAAAATGTCTGGATAGTGCAATTTGGGATAGTTCTCGTAGTTAAGAACCCGATCGCAATTACGCAAATGAGACGCCATTACGGGACCCCTGTATGAACTGAACTCGCAATGGAAGATTACCAGCGGAGGCTTTTTCTTGTTGCACTTATCTTCTCTGTTATGAATGAATTCCTGCTCTAGGGCCTTTTGAGAGGAGATATTTAATGCATTGTCAATGTGTCCACCTTGAAATTCGTATTCGAATCGGCAGTCAACGATGTAAATCTTTTCAAAGTTTTGAGAATATTTGCCATCCAACACATTGATTAAGGTTTCTACATCAATTCTCGGTAGATTGTCATCAGTCGTGTCAACGAAGTAATGCGCAATGCCACTATCCTCTAGCATTGAATCGTAGGTGCAACCACCAGTGTTGCCACGATCCTCAAGCTGTTGAGAAGATTCAGGAGTCATACCTCCACGTTTCGTAGACACTTCCTTTTTCGAAGCATACATGGAGTGAGTCCTGCGCAGCTTATTTTTGACCGACGCGGGAGCCATTCCCTCCCTTTTAAAAGTTCCTGATTGTCTAGTTGAATATAGGGACTTGGCAACTAGAAGTTCATCCTCCTTGACAAGGGTCATTGAAGATACGGTGCGCTGGTTGGGGCCTGAAAGTGCCTGGACCGCACCGCATTTATACTTCGTCGTGTAAACGCTGACAGGGCTTATCTTTTTCGGAGCTTTCGAACCATCCTGTCCAAGAGTAAGCCTGAAAGTACTCACGACAGGCGATGCACAGGAATCGTCTTCTTCATCGCCTGATGTTGCAGAGTCCATGGACTCGACAGGTGCTAGGCTATTCTCAGGGCCCCGATTCAGTTCGAAATCGTCTTCCAAGTATTGATTACGAAGTAGAGGTCTTTCTGCCTTCCCAGCACCCCCATCTAGAGCACTTTCACCCGAAGTTTCTTTATGTTTCTTTCTCTTCCCAAGCCCTATAATCGAATGTAAATTCTTGAAAAGCCCACCATGCTCCTGTAACGACTCCACAAAAGAGTTCCTCTTACTACCCCTGGCATAGACTTTCAATTCTTGCATTCTTTTGCCACACACTGACTGTCGACGCTCAAGACTATCAATGTCAACGCGCAAGCACAAAGCGCAAAACCACTGCTAGAAAGCCTAATTTGATCCAAAAAAATTAGTCAAACAAAAGCCCGTGTACACTTATTCGATTAAAGGCTCGTGTCTCAGTGACTGATTCAATAGGTGAGGTGCTATATCTCCAAGAATTTGCACCGCAAATTCTTTGGTGAGGTGAAGAAAGTTGGCGAGTCGTGATTCCGGAATTTTTCAGTTCCGTATTCCTGTTATGACAATGTATACAAAGCCCAATGAAAATATGTCAATACACGGCTAAAAAAACATAAAAGAGCGAAATAAACCGTTCAGATGTAACTGATCTCATCTGATGATAACTGTCGGTTTATCACGGTTATCTCAGTAAATTTTCAATCAAATTTGGGAAATCTTCTCGCAGTATTTGCAGATTGAATGCATTTGATGAAAATAAGATTCTCAGGTTTTGGAAACGACTCAAGTGACACACGATTTGGATTTGTTTCTTTAAAATTATTCAGCGTAATTCAAATACTTTCTTATGTCTGTGAATGAGTCCGATTTTGTAACGTTTTTGGTGTCGACGTTACCGTCTTTCGTTTGACTAAGTTTTGAGGGCGACGTGAAATACTTTGAAAAATCCAGAGTGCCACGAGATGCCAACATATGGGACCCTGAATGGCTGGTAGTAGCCTGCGCAGAGCCAGCTGCGGTAAGTGCTTTTTCGGGAGTATTTTTCATGCGGATAAGATTTTTCAAGGGAGAATCAATTTTGAAAGGTGACGGACTGGATCCGTGGGTTGATTCATTGGGAGTCCGAGGGGAGGGCGATGCATCTTCGACGGCCGTTATAACATTTTCGCTGATCTCATCGACAGTCGAAGTCGTTTCTGCAGAGTCGTCCCCCAGGTCCTCCTCGTCTTGATCATTGATTCTAGAAAGACGCGAGCTAGAGGTGAACTCTCTGACCTGTACAGGTTCATCGAGGGTAGAGGTGCTTGAAAAGGACTCTGAAGAGTCATTCAATGCGTTGGAATTGTCTTCAAGCCATATGACGTTCTGCGGAAGCTCATTTGGGGTTGTTTTGGTTCCGGCCCTTCGCTTAATGGTAAGATTTCGTATTTTCTTGACAAAACGTCTCACGCCTTTGGAATTGTTGTTTCTGCTAGGTCCTCTTTTATACAGCGAAACATAAAGGTCCTGAAGACCTATTCGTTTCGTATAATCTTTCTGTAGTAATTTCGAGATTATAAGCTGATTTAACTGATTCTCGGTCGCATGCAGCTTTTCGTTGACTATCTTGTGAAATATGTCAAACTCGTTCTCCCCCCAGAATGGCAGTTCGTTTTCAAGCAAACAATAGACTGTCACTCCAAGAGCCCAGACGTCGATTTTCGAAGCTTCCAGTTCGTGTGGCTCATTCTGAAAATTGCACAATTCGGGAGGAATGAACGCAGGAGTACCCACGATTTTTCTCAACTCTTCTTGGTGGGCCTTTTGGATTTTAGGATCTTTGAAAGGTAATTTCGATGGATTCACGAGACAGCTCCCGAAATCTGATATTTTGATTTGACTACTGCTGCCGTCTAGTAAAATGTTTGATGGCTTTATGTCGCGATGGGTGCAGCCTTGCTGAGAAAGATAAATTAAACCCGAAGTCAAACTTCTCAAAACAACCCACGTAAATTCTTCCACGCTGACAGGGCGTTTCGAAAACGCACACCATTGATCTACTGCCTGATCCTTTCTATCTCGCTTCCAAACGAGTTCGCCCATCGTCGCCCAAGGCCACACGATCCAGATATCGGGACTCACGGGAGAATCCAGACATTCGAGAAGTTCAAGAATATTTTCGTGATGCAATCGGCTAGCAACAAACGCTTCCCACCTTATTTTACTCACATTCATCTCTTTCACTGCCTGATCCCCGGTGGTGAACCCGCCTCCCATCAGTTTCCTCCTTTGAATTTGCCTCATGACTTGATTAACAGAATACTGTTGAGAGTTTTCTGGACGCTTTGGTATTTTTTTCACGGCAAACACGGCGTCTGCACTTTGAGCCAAATAAACTTGGCCAAACTGACCTTTCCCAATCTTCTTACCGATTTTGTAGTCATTTACCATGCCTTTCGAGCCACCTGGTTGAATTTCGTGCACGATATCTCGAAGACATTTCTCGATTTTGGCCTGATGCTCCTCGACTATCTGATAATAGGAAGCATTAAAATCAGTTTTCGACGTTTGTTTTGATGATATTGATGATGAGTTCGACTTGAATTTCCCACGCGGTAGAGAAAAATCTATAAGAGTCGGTATTGGTTCCGTCCTGAGCTCCTGCTCATCGCGATTATTCAGGCGAGGACCTTTCATGGGGGCGACGGTTTCACCTTTGAGGGTTGTCCTCTTTTGATATTGATGATGATCCCGGTAACTTAAATTTTTGACGTTATTTTGACGATGCCCTACCCAGGTGTCGATAACGGACGGTAATCTACACAGTCATGAATGGGCTACGCTGACACACGTTTTAGCTAGGGAAAAGGGAGAGGGATTATTTGAGAGAGTAAGTATATATATACTATATTTGATCAGAAGTCACCATGTTTCTTGTGCGTTTTTAGATGTTGAGAGAGATTATCACTGCGACTGAACTTTTTATCACAGAAAGAACAATGGAATGGTCGTTCGGAAGAGTGCACCGATCTGATATGGCGTTTTAGATGTTCACTGCGACGAAATGCTTTCGGACATTCTTGACATCTGAATGGTTTTTCTTCCTCTTCGAGAGGTGACGTGGATTTACTGCCACGAGTTTTTGTCATAGGTGGATGCTTGCGTTTGCCATTAGACGAGGATGAAATAGTAGAATGCAGGGGAGGTGAAAGTGAGGAATTCGCAGAAAAATTGGAGTTTCTTGCAGCGGACCTGCCGATGTCGAAACTTGTACTCTTCAAATTATTGTGGGTATTACTAAAATCAGTGCTGTTGAGCACGTTGGGGTGCACAAACTGGTGGGGCGGATCGTCTGAAATTGGGTTGTTTACAACTGCGTCTACTTCGTCATCTTCGTCGTCATCGTCCGAGATTATCGCACTTTCCCACGACCGATTGGCCACCTTGGACCGTGAATTGGACATTTCATCGTAAAGTTTGGAAATCAGGTCTTGATTGTTACCGTCCACCAGGGACATGGAGGCGCGTTGTTTTTGAACGCGTCGCGGGTCTGAATATGATCCCTTTCTGGGATTGTTAACGGCGTTAAAAGACGCGGTGCGTATCCTTGTAGGTCTTTGATGTGAGTAGCTCATGTTATATTCGTTCAGCAACTGGGTGAGGTCGTTGTCTATTTTGAAAGGGGAGGTGCCTTCGTTCAGCGAAAGAGTCGATCGTTCTCGAATGTCCATGCCCGGTGGTGAGCGTGCAAGAAGTCCTAGGCCCTGCGATGTCAAGTTTGCTTTTCGATGTGCCTGGGGTGCGGCGAGTTGAGGTTGTGGTATTCGATCTGAGGCTGATTCATGAGCACTTTGGCTGCGTTGTGACGGGAAATCCCAAAAATCGACTGCGTGTGAGATGGAGCCTCGTGAACCCTGCGAAAATACCGGTATTGCGTTGGTGGCGAGTTCGCTAGGGCGACGACCGAACGAAAGTTCGGAGGTTTCTCTGTTATCCTGATCTGTAAGTCCCATTTCCATGTAGATATTTGCGTTGCTTAAAAGGTTAGGGTCGATGCACGGCTGGTTTGATGATGGCAGGCTTTTGTCGACAGAAACGGCTGACGGCTCTTGAAACTCAGAAGAAGACGCCACGGGCATCGGAATGCCCTCGGACAAAATCTGCTGCGGCGAGAGCTCGTTAGAGCTGATATTGGACTCCGTGTTGGAATGCGAATACGAGTGACTGTTGAGTTGGTTCTGGGAAGCGGTGCCAGACGACATGGATGAGAACTGGTTAAGCATCGAGTTGTCCTCGAGCATAGCAAGGAGCTCGCCCATCGCACCGGGAGTCGCAGCCTTGTACGATGAGCTGTGAGAATGTCCAGACTGGCCCTTGAACGGGGTTTGCGGCGTTCCAACGACAGGTGTGTTGCCCGTGGTTGCGCGCTCGTTTCCCTCCGTCTGGAACCCTTTTCGAAGGTCCAGCGAGTTGTTTGAAAAATGTAGCAAATCGTCCGCCCGCAGCTCGTTTTCTTCTGCTGTCATATGCTGCTTTAGACGATGGTTAAAGGCCTCTTGGGTGACGAGTTTACCATCTGCTTGCTTTATAACCTCATATACCGTTATCAAAAGACACTGTGGATTGAAAAGTCACGCGATAATATCATTATATACGCATGAGCCATTCAAACCTATATAATCTTTGTACAAAACCGTTCCGTTATCACTATGAAATATCTGTCAGTTATCGCCTGCATGTAACGTGTGTAGCATCTATTTTGCCTCACTGCTGAATTTATCGTGTTTCTTTTGCTATCGCATGTTCGCATATTTTGGAAAGAAAACCGTCCTTCAAAACCGGGTTTCACCATTGCTAGCAACTATAGCCTATCCCGATATCGTCGCCGCCGCCTATAACGCATCTTGTGGCAGCGATTTCATTGTATTATTTTTTGTTTTCTCTGTTTTCTTATCTCGAGAGTTACTTTATAAGAATCTCATAGCTTTGATAAAAATATCAGCAAACCGTCCAAGCTTAACGCGTTGAGGAATTTAAAAAGTCCAATTAGGTACACTCGCTATAAACGCCTGTTGTGTGATTTTTGCACACGAACTGCCGTTTGAAAACTAACTGTGAAGCATATGGACCTACTGTTACGCCCTGCGCATTGTGCCTTTCTTCTACCCAACGGCTTTAACCGTTTCCTATACTTCTAGATTACGAAATTAAAAGAGTGTCAGTGGGTCACGTGGTGTATCAATGACTGGACATCTTTTGAAGAGCGAACGCGTGGGGGGTAGAGGGAATTTTAGCATGGTGAAGTTCTAAGTTCTAGCTATTGTTTGAAAATCCTACAGTTTTAACGGTTCTTTTAGTGAGACCATCCGTACGGCGCAGGTCTCATATTCCTTATTGCAGTGACGGAAGGTTTTGACCTGGACCGTATATTGTGACGTTCCCAATCACCCAACCAAGTACTCTTGACAGGCATCTAACCACTCAGGATTACCAGCTTCTGTTGTGGACAATGTTTCGAATGGTGCTTAGATTATTCATAGTTTTTCTCCGTCGTAAAACATTCGAGTTTCGGGCATTCAAATCTCCATTTTTTGAAGCTAACCACATTTTCTCGTGTACAATCCTCGGAAGACTACGTCCGTTATCGTCCGCTACTTCCAGCAAGATACATGGTGAAAGATTTCAACTTACAACAACCATCGTGTCAGGCATGGACTCATTGTGGTGGTCTTGTAATACCGTATCCATCACTGAGTCGTTTGCCGTAGCTGGCCAGTTGAGCTTCCGAAGGTTATTCTGTCATTGTGATCACGTGACGTTTCCACTTTGGACATTAACTTAACGGTGTCACTTATCGCTAGCGAACAGATAACAGAGGATGGGCCGTGAGTAGGACCGTTCTGCCATAATATTATCAGATGGTAGGTATGGAACCTTGTCAGATGAGAAGGCGCATTCTTATTGTCATCGTCATTTACGTAGAGGCGAAACTCTGTTATTTTCGTTTAGAGTGACTTCTGGCTGACCCAACGGACACTGACAGGAAGCACAGAGCAGAAGGGAAACTACCGGGTAAAAAAGATCGAATAGGGTTCACTCGGAAACATGCAATTCTACCCGTCGAAGATCAAAATCATCAATGTTTTCTTGATCACGTGCTTGGCCGCGTTTTTGTAATTTTTCGCGTTATATCGTTTAGGCGTATTACGGAGGCGAAGGGCTTGGGGCGCGCGTACACAATGATATAAGCTTTGTAGGACTCGCGCTAGCAGTGATTGTATGAGATAACCACTGCATCAAGATGATCAAAAGAGACAGGAAATAATCTGGTCGCGGGTCCAGCATCGTGTTTACTTAGCAATGCAGGGTGGAGTTCGACGTAAGAATGATCTTCTACCGCGGTACAGGAACCAGGGTGGGTCCTCGAAACGTGGGTTTCTAACGACTCCCATGAAAAAGATGATAATGTATGTGATTGTGCTCTTGATGGTGTGGATGGTGGTCAAGACGACGTTTATGGGCGGTGAAGAGGCGCGCTACGAGTTGGAGACCACTTTGGCGCAAGCTGGTATTCCAAAAGACGCTCTAGAAGCGCAAATCGATGCGTCTGATGCGATCAACAAGGTGCCGAAGGAACGGTTCAACAATGAGGTAGCCAAGCAACAGGAAACCAAAAATCTCGAGAATGAGTACAAGTCAGACAAGCTGGACACCAAGAAGGAAATCGGCAACAGCGTGCGCGCCGTCAAACAACAGGAAGAGGCTGATGAACCTATCGACGAACAAGCACGCCGTATAAACGAAAAGGCTCCTTTCAAGAAAATTCCATCGTGATCGCGTTCGGCCAGTGCGACGCGCGTGACATTATTACGTATAGTATGCAGTTATTTAGTTAAGATCTCTCCTCATTTGATATTGCGGTTCAACGCATCTTTGCGTTCTTCCCAGACAGATTTCCCGCTGCAGGCGCACACTTGCTTATCGTTTTCCCAAATCCCAGCGCTTCTTGCAATTACACCGCATATGTCGTAGTTTGAACCGGGTTTGTGATCTGCGTTTGTCGTCACCAGAAATCCGCGTCCAATGAGCTGCCACACGGGGATCGAAGCGCTCAAAAATGCTTGTCCGCTGTACAAACCCTTTCCAAGATCGCTCGGTGTGTCACAGTCGATTGGTTCGTCAAATTTTTGTATGGCTTCTCCTGTCGATTGCGCGCCCTTTGAAATGTCACCAGACGCACGAATTGACGCATAGTACTTGCCTGCATGCGGAACGCCATTTAAGGTGATATCAAACCACGTTTTATGCTCGTTCGCGCTAACAATGCGGGCCAATCCACGGACTGGAGTATCGTTGCTACTGACGGGCCCAAAAGTCTCCAAAATAGACACCGCTGCGCTGTTTGGTTGACCGGTTCCACGAATAATAGCGTCTCTACCGCATTTTTGTAGTGTCGAAATAATTGTGGAAGGTGCCGCTGTGCCCTTTACGTTAAGAATTTTCTCTGGAACGTAGAAATTAAGTTCGAGGCCCGGTATTGAGCTTAAACAAGTCTTGATATCCTTGGTACATGACTCGCAGTGCATGTCAACGGCATAGTTTGCCTCGAAAACATCATCGAAATTCGTAGCCGTCATTCTTACCAGAGAATCTTCGAATGGGGAATTCTGAGAAAGTCGAACCTTGAAACCCCTCGGTTCCGTTCCAAATACTGGTTTATATAGTTCGTTTAAGAGTTGATGTCTTTCCGATTACAAATGTCGATTGCAGAAATGCTAGACTAGTCTTACTTTACGAAAGTCGACCTTAGTCGACCTTCGGCGACTACCACCATCATCGTGACAATTACTTTGAAAGCAAGAACAATCTGAATGGTCAACGGCTCATCAAAAAACTTATTTAAAGGAATGTATCACTCTTCAAAAGCCAAAGCGCCGCTTGGTGTAGACGTAAGCCCAGTACGCGAAAATAACCATGCACCCCGTAATGGATGTAAACCACTTAAGAGAATGCTCATCTTGTCCCGGAACAAGCACGTTCATACCCCACAGACCGGTTATGATGTTCATTGGGAGCACCACGGTACCCAAGATAGTGATTTTGCCCAAAACGTCGTTCATGTCATTGTTGACTTTGGTCATATCAATATTGATCTGAGCCAGGTAATTGGAGTGAGAACGGCTTAGAAGCTTTTCGTAGTGATTCAAAGAGGAGACCATGGTGATTATGTGGTCCTGAATGTCTCCAAGATACATGCCGATCTCCGAGCGGGGGGCGACATTCCATTCTTCGTTGCACCGCTTGGCAAAACCCTTAATGACGTCGGCCTTGGAACCCAGTAATCTGAGTATACTCATGACACGTTTGCGGCATTCTCCGATACGTCTCAACATGTCGCCTTTGCGCCGCCAACCGATGATGTTTGCCTCTAAAGTAGAGTCTGACGTGGAGTAACCACGCGTGGACCGCGACGAACAAGTCCTTCTTTCGCTTAGCACGCTCATCTTGCGTGAGTAGCCGTCCATCGCCATAGGAAAATCTTCAGCACTTTCTTCGTCATCGGAACTCTCATCAGAGCTGCTGTCATCGGAGCTGTGGTGCATTTTCAGGATTGCATCCTCAATATCGTACACTTCGTCCTCAATCAGCTCGATCATAGGTGCAAACGCATCGGTTATATCATCGATCAACGCATAAGCAATCCAGTCCGAAGTCACATTAAGGTAGTCCTTAAGTAAACGTGCACGCCTTCTCACGTTGATTGGATGCGGTGTGGGAGCAAAGTGGAATGTCAAAACACCGGTACGGAAAACGATGATGTAAACGTTCAATGGCTCAAGTTCACCGGCGCGGGGCTTGCGTCTATCGCCTGACTTACGCTTGTATTTCTCGTTCTCCTCAATTTCCTTTTGAATCCTGCGTCTAACGCTGGATCCCTCCGTTTCTGCAGTCCTGTTCGTCGAAGATCTCCTACGACTAAGCAAATTCCTGGAAAACCATCCTCGGCTATTCTCGTTACTCTCGCTTCCTGTGTTTACGCTTTCATGCTGTTGTTGCTTCCTTTTCTTCGCGTGCCGTTCTGCAACTATGTCAAAACTCCGGAAACAAACAAGATAGTAATCCTTGAAAAGCTCCACTTTCTCACGGACTTCTCCCAAGTAAATATCCTCTGTGGTCAAAGGGTGTATTCCGAATGCTTTGCTTAAAACTTTCATTTCTTCCTCTGTAGGATTGGATACGTCTAGCCAAAAGGGCGATATATCCTCCAAATCCAGTGACGCCGATTGTCTTGTGGTATGATTTTGCAAATGATTTTGTTGGGAAGGTGTGCTGCTCTTTGTCTCGCTTGGTGGGCTACGCGACTGATTATTGTAGACGGCGTTCACAAACAGCTCTTCGAACTTTTGACCAGGTTGTAAAAGCCCCGAAATGGTTGGCGAATGAATAGTTGAGTCCAGATCTTCCCTGAAATAAGTGAAGCGGAAATGTTCTGGATTGTTTGAAATAATGTGAGGTGGATATTGAATGCTTGGCCCCGTCATTAATGGAGCTTGCCCGACATCCTCGCCTTGAGCTTTGGTTCGGTCAATGTTAGCCATGTAAGGCACGCCCATAGTAACATTCCGCCTTAGATGCCATGGAGCAAGTTTCTTTGGACGTAGTCTCCCAGATTCCAAATGTTCTGCTTCATTGATCCTTGTGTTCCCAAGCTCCGGAACGTCGATATTGGTGACAATTGGCTTCGAAAACAGAACACCATCGTAGTTCCCACTCTCATCGTTGATGTCACTTTCGTCATCGTATTGAAAATGGAAATTCTCAGCGTCCTCCGTCGCCTGCCTTCGGAGTCTTTCCGTTTCCTCTTTGGAAAATTCCTCTAAAACGGCCACATCAGGCCATACTTTGGCCAAGTTCTCTTCGTCGTCAAGAGGTAAACAAACATCGTTCAAAGATGAGTTAACTGAGGAACGCCTCGAGGAAGGCTGCGAATTGTAAGGATGTTCAGAGTTGTCCGAACTGTTTGGCGACGAGCCCGAGCTGCGACGTTGACGCTTAACATGATCCATGAGTGCATCCACATCGATTACAACGTCGTCTCTCGCGCCATGCAAGTGGTTTCTGACTGCTTCTTTCGCTACACCCGATGTTTCCTCGTGGTCTGGACTTTGACGGGTCGGACCGCTGAACGAATATCCGTGCAGACGACGGCTAGTACTGGGCCTACGCACTTTTCTGATAGCTGGGGACGAATTCACCGCCTCCATTGCAGCAATAGACGGTCTGTGATCAATCAAAGACCCTGCAAATTGGCCCTGGGCCACAACCGAGTTTCTGGACGAAGTACCTTCTTCATCGACATCGTGCAGCATCCCCCAAGAATCGGCCTGCTCAAAATCATTCCCAGTCGCTCCTGAACCGTGAACGCTACCTGCAGGCTCAAAATTCTCTGCATTACCTTGATGACCACCGTCACGACCTTTAAACGCAGCCTTCCGCCGTCTCCCCCGAGATCCGCTCTTTTTCGAACGAGGTTTCGACCTTTTGTCAGTGCCCAACAGCGGGGTTATCTCTGCTTGGTGCTTATCGGTCATATTGCCACGAATATCTATGGATCAATCTACCATTTAAACCTTGTCTGTGTGGTTTGAACTTGTCAAAGTTGCTGCGTTGCTCATGGTTTATACGCTCTCTTGATGAGGGCATTTGTGATTATGTACGATAATTGATTATCACGTGATGACTCCACGTGACGGTGTTGGAGTTGATCGTCTTCACTCTTCCTCGCTACTGTTGGCGTCGTTCACGTCCTTGACCTCTGATTCCAACGCTAATGCAAAGTCCTCGTCGCTGCCGTCCAGATCGGACTCCTCTGTCACGGTTTTCGACGGTATTGGCATATGGTCATCAAGTCTGGGATTATTGTTGGAAGTCGGTACCACAAGCTGTGCGCGCGACTCCCGTTCATTTTTGAGTCGATTCTCGGCGTCAGGAGTGCCCTGTGGCGGCGCGGGCGTCACTTGTCTCGAGACTTCCCGTTTTGGCTTTTTTGGCCGTGGCGCTTCAGATGTCTCGCGACTTGCCCCTGTCGAGACGACTCCGCGTCCAGCCGCCACCTCGTCATCCAACACGTTCACCGTTTTCGTTCGAGGTCTCCGCGATCCCAGTCGGCGCAGCGCATCGTCAATATTTTGCCTGTGCAACAACAGTTCGTCGTAAACGTCTTCCGTGAGTGAGATACCCTTTTTGCCCGGTTTCATCTCTCCACTCGCGGAGTCCAAGTAGTACTCTCTTATATCAATTAAATTGATGTTCCGGAACTGCCTAACGGTGACCCTTTTATTCTTTCCGAGATCAAAAATAGCGTTTAATTCGGCAGTTTCGTGACCTATTTCGCCGCCAGCGGGCTGATCATTGGATCCAATCTGTCCAGGCCTTTTACGGTTACGATAACGGTTGTAATACGACATTTTCTAGAGTCTTTTCTGGCCTGTTATCTTGTCTTGACAGGTTTCGTTCTGGTTAAGGTAATTCTTTATTAATTAGAGATCGAGCCTTATTATGAACGAATCTTGAGAAACCTTCGAGGTATACAAAGCAGACGGCTTGGAAGGAATTGGTTGCAACAGGTAGCTCAGGAGACGTTGATACTGGATAACATCCAAGAGCCGTCTATTTGAAACAAAAGCTGTTACATTAAGACCTTGAAATGGACTCAGACCGCGGCTTCAAGGGTGGCACTAGAGTCGATCACGATGACATCTCTAAACTTCCAGGTTTGATCCTCGGTGGAGCGACGCTAAACACTCAATATAATGAGGACCCAGAGGCTGTTCCACTTGTGCAAATGCTGCGATTGGCTTTTGATAGAGGCTTCAGAGCGATCGATACATCGCCGTATTACGGTGAGAGCGAAAAGTTGTTCGGAGAAGCCCTTGACGTGGTGCGAGGTGACTTCCCGCGCGACAGCTACTACATCTGTACGAAAGTCGGGCGGATCAGTGTCGCTGAGTTTGACTACTCACGCGAAAACGTCCGATTCAGCGTAAAAAGATCCTGCGAGAGGCTCGGTACTGAGTACTTGGATATGGTTTTTTTGCACGACATCGAATTTATCGAGACGCCAGCAGTTCTGGAGGCTTTGGAGGAGCTTCGCAGCCTTAAGGATGAGGGACTAATTCGGAATTTTGGTGCCAGTGGGTACCCGGTGGATTTTTTGCTCGAAATTGCCATCAAATGCTCACAATCGGCATCTATTGGGCCCCTAGACGCAGTCTTGTCGTACGCAAACCTCAACATTCAGAATACGTTACTAGCGGATTACTATGTGCGGTTTAAACGGGACGCCAAGGTCAAAGTTGTGGAAAATGGGTCAATTTTGAGTATGTCGTTGCTCAGGTCTCAGGAGACGCGCGCGTTCCACCCTTGCTCTCAAGAGTTACGCGATTTGGCCCAGAAAGCCGCACAATATGCGGCCTCTGAGGGCGAAGATCTGGCTGATCTTGCTACTCGGTACGCCATGAGCAAATGGTACGGGCTTGGACCTACAGTGCTCGGTGTGAGCACTGTGTATGAGCTGGAACATGCCTTGTCGAACTACGACACCGTAATGGACAACGACGGACAACTCAGTGAGCGCGATCAGATGTTGGTGAATTACATTCAGTCCCAAATCTTCAAAACTCATCTCAACGAAACTTGGGAGTCGGGAATCCCACATAGATAAAGCTGAGCTATGGTATAGAAACGAATATAGAATTTTTTTTCTTAGTTTCCTCTTTTAGTTGGCCTTTTTGTCGCTAGAATCGGTAGCTGCGACAGGCTCGTTGTTGCTGTCGAAATGTGCTTCCAAATTCGTCTTTTGCTTCTTCAGGGCCTCTAGCGACGCCTTCTTTTGCATTAACGACTTCTGCAAACTCGCGAGCTCTTCTTCGCCGTTATTTTCGCCGTTGGAACCCGCTTTGCCCTCTGCCAGGCTTCTGTTCAGCTCTTCCCACTTCACAAGCCTTCTCACAACGCTCATCACCGTGGGAATGCAAAGACTGAAGTACAGAATAAACCCAGTAATGTATACGTTACGCTGGTTGTATGCTCTTGCCGCTAGTGCTTGCACTGGCGTCACAGATCCAGATCCTGAGGGATCGGCCCCTGTAGTGGTCTTATGATGGTGCAGAAACACGCTGATTTGCGCTCTTTTCCAAGAATCCACAAACAGCAAGCCGACTAGCGCCCCACCGATCCATATGACGGTTTTCACTTGCAGATTACCCATGAACTTGTCATACCCGTTCACAATAGCTTTGCGAAGTCGGTAGTGCAGAGGAAGCACTAGCACGAACAAAATGGCCATTTCTAGCGTTAAAACGCCGAATAAGAAGCTCAAGTATACGCTCATGACTTATGGATATGCTCGAAATATATATGGGGAGCCTAGTGTGGATGCTTCTTACGTTTCGTGGAGCTCTTTAGCAGTGAAGCAACTTGATCAAAGGCTACCCTTGAATCAAGTGAAAAATTCCCTATAGAAAGAAGCCGAGTAATGATGAAAAAGCTATAAAAAGAGGAGATTTGAAGAAAGGACGAGTCACAACGCGAGTCAAGAGCCACATATGGTGCACAATAATTTAAACCGATGAGCTCAGAAATTCTACAAATTGTCAGTGGTCTCAGCAGGATTCAGAGCATATCTGCTTGTAAAGTGTAGGAGCTAATATTACAATGGCACCTGCTGGGCTGAAATTCAAGCTGTTGAGGTGGCCATTGGGGGTGGCCATTGAGATGTAGCTACGAGTCTCAGCGGCATTGGTCGCTAGTGAGGAATGCCACGGTGTCATGGAACCCTGCTCGGTGAATTTGAAACGACACTGGGAACGAATCCAATCCGTCAACAATGATCTCAAAATCCGAAAGCCTTTTCGTAGGAAAAGACCCAACACCTAAATAAATCCCGGGAATCCGCGACGTGAATGCGATGAATCCCAGTAACTTAAATAGACAATGGTGACCATCAGAACATTTAGCTTAGTTTTCAGATAGCTTAACTGTCGCCCACTTAGATTAAATTTAAGTAGCGTAGGTGTAAACGGTCTTTTTGACCTAGAAGGGTAAATTGGGTGCCTCATAAATAGATCAGAAAACTTGCAATTCTGTTCACAGAAGTGGTGAAAACTTGTTATTTGCATAATAAGACTCCAAGGCTTGGAGTAGGGGACAAGCCTTCGTCGTGCGCTCTTTGTTTTTTCGAAGCATTATGGACGACACTTTTAAGGAGTTTATACTAGAGGGATATTTTCCTTGAGGCAGGAGTAAACTTCCGTAAACAATGCTTGGAGATATCGTGGCCTCTCGTATATTTCTCGACCCAGTCCTCAACCCCATCATTGAACCCCACACAAACACCTAAGTTATCGAAGGCGCATCAAGCGACGGGATCCGTTTGTACTGAGTTGTAGCTTCTTGCGAAACTGGTGAGTCCGTTAGCACTATCGACCGCGGAATTCGTGCCCAGGTCTGCGAAATATTTAATTGGAAACCAGACGAGTACAAATGAGTGTAGCACAAGTAGGCGCTGAAGTGCTATTCGCGGATTTGCAGTTTTGGTGTACTTGTAGAATTGGCCAGAACTTCCTTCTGGCTCCTGATCTAGGTAATCTCTTGAACGACAACACCCAAAAAACAGCTTATGACACCGGAGGGAAAAGCCATCTAGACTTTCCAGGCTTCCAAGTACGTAAGATGACGTTCGTTTGACTTTAACGGGCTAGAATGGGTAGCGGGCAGCGTGGGAATATGAACTCGATGAGTTCAACATGTATGTACTTCTGTACGAAACAGCGATCTCCATATGAACCACTAGAGAAGCCTCTGCTATATCCTAGCTTAGGGTATCCAAGAAAAGTCTACAGAAACCAGCGTTCCTAATGTCAGCGCCAGCTAATTTGTACCCGGGTCTGAACGACATATCAGACGCTCTTGAAGAGCTGCCCATTGAGGCGGCGCGGTACCTGACCCTCTTGCGAGAAATAGACGCGAAATGCGTGCACACGGTTCCGGAGCTTAACGGGAACATAGACGCATTTTTGAAGCGGTCTGGCTCTGAATCAGTGCTGACAGACATGAACGCGTTGTTTCAGGACCTTATGCCGTCACTGGAGGAGAAAATGCACGTTTCAGCGCTAGCGTTTGAGGCCCTGGAGAGACTCACGGCGCGGCTAGAGCTTGCGTACGAAGTGGCGATCAAAAACGAAGAGATTCCGCCGAAATTGCGGCTGGGTAACGACAACCATCCGGCCATGCACATACATCACGAGCTAATGGCCAAGATCGAAACGAAAAACGGTATCAAGTCTTCGCAGGCGCTGAAAAGCGAGTCTCGTCGCGAAGCGATGGCCGCTCGTCGCACTACGACACCACACGTGGGTGGAAACCATGCCAAAGGTGCCGCTGGTGGTGCAGGGCAGGTGAATTCTGGTACTATCTCCGGCGTAGCGCCGCCGATGGACAGTCGAAAACGGCGGGGCCATGGTCATGCGGAAGGTGCACTTCACAACGAGGCTGCGACGGATGTCGCAGCCTCACTCGCCAGCGCAGCAGTTCTCGACACCAAGAAGAAAAAACGTAAGAGCCTACCCAAGGAGAATTTTTCTCAAAGGCCAAAGACCAACGAATATGGCGAAGCTCTCTACTGCTACTGCAATCAAGTCGCCTACGGCGAAATGGTGGGCTGCGACGGCGAAAATTGCGTTCTCGAATGGTTCCATCTGCCCTGCATAGGGCTTGAGACATTGCCCAAGGGTAAATGGTACTGTGATAACTGCCGAAAGATGCCCTAGTGCTTTTAAAACTGGATCCATCTGACTATTTAGGCTAGTCTCAGCACGTTCTGATAGATATGTCACATGATTTACACGTGACAATCCCCGGACAACATTTACTAAGCCTGTCAAGAATGATGAGACTGAAAAATTTTGGCCCTTTCCCTATACGTTGTAAACAGGCCGGGTTGACATCAAGGCCTCGAAGCGCTGATAATGTCTTTGAACAAGGTATGTTGATACTCGAGAATTTCAGGAATCTTCACAAGGAACTTGGGGCTCTTCTGGCCCACAATTGATGAAAATAATCCCCTTTAAGTTAAACAAGAGCTAACCTCCAAAACAGAGTAACATTCGTGAATACAAGTTGGTTGTCGTTGGTGGCGGTGGCGTGGGTAAATCTGCGTTGACCATTCAGTTGATCCAGTCCCATTTTGTCGACGATTATGATCCGACTATCGAGGATTCGTACCGTAAACAAGTGGTTATCGACAACAAGGTAAGCATACTGGACATTCTTGACACGGCAGGCCAAGAGGAATATTCTGCGATGCGAGAGCAATACATGCGTACCGGCGAAGGGTTCTTGTTGGCCTACTCCGTGACGTCGCGGAACTCGTTCGACGAGCTCATGACCTATTATCAACAGATCATGCGTGTGAAGGACGTGGACTACGTGCCTGTGTTCGTGGTGGGTAACAAGAGCGACCTGGAAGACGAACGACAGGTGTCTTTCGAAGAAGGTGCGAATTTAGCAAAACAGTTCAACGCGCCTTTCCTAGAGACCTCAGCCAAACAGGCCATTAACGTCGAAGATGCGTTCTACGGGCTAGTTCGTCTCGTACGTGACAACGGTGGTACTTACAACCCAAGCGTCCGTGCGCAGCCGGATTACTCTCATCAGCAAGCGGGAGCTTCTGAGAGCCAGCAAGACGGTTCCCAGAAGGCCAACGGTGCTGATGCCAAAGAGCAAGCTGCGCACGGAACCAAGCCAGAGGGCGCTGTGCATTCCGGCGCAAACTCGAAACCTACAACGAACAATGCTTTCCGCAATGACGCGGGCAAAGAAATATCTGGTTCTGCGAGAAACAACGGCGCAGAAGTCCGTGCTCAGCAGCAAACAAAAGTTTCGGACACCGACAAGGGCAAAAAATCAGGCGGTTGTTGTGTCATTTGCTAGAAAAAATTCGAGAGACCTCCAACAAACATGCAGCGCATCGTAACTATCTTTAAAGATTCCACCCTTATGTTAAAACGATTTGATCTTGGTAGGTTGGGAAGTGGTGTACTATATAATTGCGAAAACCTATATCCTTATTTTTGTCTTCTAATTCACGAAATGCAGTGAGATGAAGTGTAGCACGAGACTGGCCACTATGAATTCACCAAAGGCTCGTTCTTTGGAAATTCCTTCGAAACTCTTGACCACTTGCATTCGCAGACTGATCGTAAGCACAAATTGGCCCACACAACAGATAAAACCCGCCAAAAACGCATTAAATGGGAAATTGTCCTTCAAAACACACACAAACGCAAACTGAATCACGCCCACTGCGACCAGAAATCCGCAAAAAATGTCTATAAGCTTCAATCTGCTGTTCCCATCAATTTGTTTCTTATAGGTTTGCAAAGATGCTTGGAACGTCTCCGAGAACTTTGAGGACCAATTCCGACGAGTTTTCAACGTTTTAGAAGTCATTTCAGGCGTTTAATGGTGTCTTTCGGTTGTTTTTAGCTCTTTTTTTAAAATTTAGTGGTAAATAAGTGGAAATCATTAGTTCTTGAAATTTCAATAGTTAGCGAAAGTGCTGGTAGAATAAGAATCATCACTAATCAGACATGGCAACGAAACGGGAATCTGACTACGACGACGAAGATGACAACGACGACAACGTCTATATAAACGAGGAGACTGAATTGGGTCACGGGAACGTGCTTGTTCAGCGAGCTCCAGAAGAACGAATAGTGCCACCATTGAATTTTTGTCCCGTCGAGAGACATCTATACCGATCTGGACAACCTTCGCCAGTAAATTTCGCATTTTTGTTGGATCTGAACCTGAAGACTATCATATGGCTTGCAAATGAGGAACCGCAGGACACGCTCTTGGAATTCTGCGATAAACACGAAATTCAGCTTCAGTTCGCGACGATCAATCCTGACGGAGGCGAGGACGACAATCCCTGGGACGGACTTACAGAGCATTCTATTATAAACGCGCTCCAGACCATTGTGCGTGCAGACAATTACCCGTTGCTGGTGTGCTGTGGTATGGGCAGACACAGAACAGGTACCGTGATTGGATGTCTTCGCCGAATTATGGGCTGGAATTTAGCAAGTGTTTCCGAGGAGTACAGAAGATTTACAGGAAGCAGAGGTGGCAGGATCTTAGTGGAACTACTGATAGAAGCGTTCGATACGCACTTAGTCGAAATCGAGTCCGACAAAGCGCCTCAATGGCTTTTGACTGCATTACAATGAATCCTGCTCGGAGTTAAGAACCACTATTAGGTTGCTGAAAAAAAATCAAAATTAGAATTTGATCACAGGAGACTTGACAACTACAAGAACAAGAGCGGGAGTGTTCTTGCGGGTCTAGCGGGTCTATGAAATGAAGCTCGTGTGTACTAAAAGTCTCGTCGCGAGAAGTTTTACGTCCGATGTTTCCAGCACAGCCAAGAGCTTTGAGCATTGGGATACATGTATGGCAAACAAAACCTGTAAGATCATCGCGATTGTCGGGATAGTGCTGGCATCGATTGTCGCTTTTTGGATAGTAGGGTCGTTGTTGAGGTGCATTCGACAAGGTTCTGAGGGTTTTGCAGATTTCTGCTGTTGGTGCTGCGGATCAAGTAGAAGACGGGCGAGAGTTGATCAAACGATGCCAGCTCCTGGGACAGGGTACATGCCAGGCCCAACGGTCGCGTACCAGCCAGTACGGGCTCCTCAAATGGCATATTACCGTGGGGACGATTTTTACGATGAACACAGCCCCAGTCAGGTCGAAGAAGTCGAACAAGATTTCGACCTGGACGCGCGAAAAAACAAGCATATGCGCGATAGACGTGAAAGCGTCCCTCTGGTGTACGACGACGCACCTGAAGAACACGAATTAACTACTTATCATCCGCAAATGAACACTTTTGCTCCTTCGTACTCTACGCACCCGAGTTTCGCACCAATGTCGCAGCCAAGGCCCGCCAGGTATTCACCTACGCGACACCAACCGGGGCCCTATCCTGCTGACGATGAATCGAATGTTTACAACCCGTACCGTCACGGGAACTATTAGGTGGACACTGCAAAGGGGAATGAATATAAGAAGCATACGATAGCAGCATATATGTAAGGTTTAACTGCCAATGGGAAGACTTGACTAGAATTATAAGCTCAGTTGGTCGATAACGAACTTTCTCATTCTGTGAATAGAGCCTTGCAACCATTTCTGTGATGTGCTGCTCAAGTTGTGAGCGCTGGCTTGAACGGTCTCTGCGTACCACTTGCTGATCTGCTTATGATAATCTCTGGCCGCAGGAGGCAGGAAATCCTTCTCTAGCGCTTCAACGGCATTTTGAGATGTTACAGGGATGAGGAACTTGAAAGTGGTGAGTGCCAAAGCCCAAGGAAGAATTAATCTGCTGGGAATGCTTGTCAAAGTACGGCCCAGGAATGATGGATTGCGGGCTAAAATTCCACCAATTTTGTTTAAAGTCGAACGGAAACCCCAATTTTGAGGATTGCTTATTATCCTTCCCGCTGCAAAGGCGCCTACGGCACTTATACAGGCTGGTACCAAAAATTCTGTAGATTCGTATTTGTCGGTTAAAATGTTTTCTGACACATATTCACGCGCGTTTCTCAATTCATTAGCTGCTGAAGATTTCTGAGTCTCGATCTCGGCTTTGTAAAGGTTGACTTTGCTCAAAGATGCAGAGATGATGCCATGGAACCAACTAGTCAATGTTGGCACTTCGGAAATTTGATTTCCGGTAGAAATAGTCTCTGTCTTTAGTTCTGGAATATATTGACTACCACTCGAAACGATCCTTTCTGATACACCGTCAGATTGCGGCTTGATGGTTTCGTAGAAGTTGAATCCCATGATAAGGTTTTGATCGTGGGTGGTCTTAAACCATGGAAATTTTCAAAAGAGATCGGTTTAATTTTTCAAACGTGCAATTGGTCAGGATACCTTCAAGAAAACCTTTGAACAAGTTGAAAAATAAGAGCTTCTGGGACCTGTTGAAGCTTTTGGTGGTTACGGTAGCTAAATCTTATGATTTTCAAATTAAATTTAATAGTCTCTCTCTAACTAAACAAACTTTGGTATGATGTGTACATCATTCCAATAAGGCCAAAAACTATGAGCGCGTAATCAAGGTAAATGGGCCAGCGGCTAAAAACCGATGTAGACGCATTGCACCGAGGTTTACTGCAGCTCTCCAGGTGTAGCATTGGTGGGTAGATGTAGACCAACGGAATGCAGGCGAAAGATCCCACAATAGAAACGAATTTATCGAGATTGTCGACTCCGAAATATGCAGCGGCGACAACAGAGGCAACAATTAGAGATCTGACGCCATTTTTCAGCCATTTGATGCGCCAGTTCAGTTTCCCGGAATTGCGATGATATTGCACGCCTGGAGAACTCAAGTTTGAAGTTGAATTATAAATTTTGGTGAACTTCGGGAAAACTTTGCTTTCAATGATCGCAATAGCGGGGAATAGCTGGAGTGGTGTAGATAGCAGAATTGCAAGCGAATAGAAAAACTGGACCAAATTCACAAATATGCTATTTTGGGGTAAATTGAGTAAAATGACGGTCTGCGTCTCGGGTCCGTAACTTAAATAACCCAGACTGCCAATTGTAACGAAAAGCACCGTGGCAGTAACTATAACACATGCAAGAACTTTGGGAAACTTTTCTGGATTTTTCATGGAGTCTTGTACTGGGATGATAAGACCTATACCTTCGAAAGCGAAGATCGCAGTGCCAATGAAGAGTGTCCACTTTTTGGAATTGAACCCCATGATTATACCTTCCACTGGAGTGAAAGCCAGATCAATTGAGATGTGTTTGACAATAAAAAAAGCCACGATGCATATTCCGACCATGACGAAGAAATTTGCAAGTAGTGATGGGAATGACAATTTTGAAATGTTCCTGATAAAGGAAAGCGGGATGAAAATGATTAGTTGCAATATTAACAAATGCACTATGGTGATTCCACGATATTTGAAAACGTTTTCAATGAATGCTAACAGATTTTTAGCAGTGAAAACGACATAAGCTCCAGAAAATCCAAGTTGCGTTAAAACCAGTGAAAACAGGATTACGAATTTCATGACAGGACCATAAAGTTTAGACCCGATGTCACCAAACGAAGTGACTTTTGTTATCGTTTTGGATTTAGCTAAAATATAGTAACACCAGTAGGAGTAAGCACCAAAGAAAGTAAGCATAATAACGGAAAAGCAAAGCCCGCCGTTAGCGAAAGCACTAGGTAAGAAAAGAATACCAGTTCCGATGAATGATTTGATGAGCAGCAAAAAAGCCTTGGTAGTTGAAATTGACGCTCTGGCAGATTTGGGAGTCAATATCCGTTTGCCCCCTTCCAAATCTTCATTTCTTAGCAGTGGACTATCTTCTTCCGCCATTTCTTGGCCTGCGGCGTCAACCCCAGTATAAAAATCCTCATCAAAAGATTCACCGGCAAAATGGCCATAGACGTAGAGAAACTCTAAAAAATTTCTGGTCAAAAATGGCACATGGGTTAAATCACCTGCGTCAGATGGTCCAGACGGCCTTGAACCTGCTTCTGGCGTGGGAGAGGATTCGTTTTCGCGCATTGTATCGCTTCTGAGTTTTTGAACGATGAATTCTCGTCTGAATCCACCGGGCACATTCAGGGCACTAGCAGTAGACCCAGATCTCTGGGTTTTGCTGAATTCTTCGAGATCGTCGAGAGACTTATTTTTCTTGAAACTGTGGGGTCCGGATCTCGAGCTTGACAGCTTGTAGATATCCCTGGTAATATCACCACCTGGAGTTTCCAAGTTATGGTCATGTTCGGGAAAAAGTGAGTCTCTGTCGGATTGAGAACTGCTACCCTCTGGTGCCAGATTGTTAGGCGACGAACCGCGGCTCTGTTTGGAATTCGGGTGCTCATTCAGGTAATTGTTCCGCAAACTATTGATTATTTCTTCCTGTTGATGTTCCCTTGTTTTGAAATTCGGAGACCCTACATCTATCATGACTCGAGAATCAACGCTTCTCGCCATATGAGGGCTTTGTGGGCCAGTTGCAATGCCAACACCAGATTTCCTTCCAGTTCTGCCATACTGTTGACCGCTCAGCATCGAGGATCTCCTGCTGGCGACAGATTCGGACAGAAGAATCATTGATTGTCTGCGTTGCTGTTGCTGTGATGGGATGCTTATATTAAGCGAAAGGGGCTCCACATTGTCTCTGTTGAGCACATTATTAGACCCCATCTCGAGCAATTCTTGTTGTCAGAACGGCTTGTCGTGCTCGAGTTTGGGGAACCTTTGATGGGTCTTATCGGTTATCTTGATCTTTAAATATTTCAGTTTCTCTACATCTGGAAAAACCGACAGATGGCCAAGGTCGCGGCACACGCGAAAATGACTGAATCAGTGAGTAATACAAGAGAATAGGCAAGAGAGAAGGGTTTAAATATCTCTAATTTGAAAAAAATTGGAGAGTCCAGTCGTTAAAATGGTTTGCTCAGTGGCACCTTATATGTTTAAATAAATCTGTTTTTAGACGAAGTTTGTTTCGATATTTCGGAAATCTGTCTTAGATGGATAGAAGCGACAAAACCATGAATTTATAGCTCTTCAAGGTGGTCCCATAAAGCTAAAGATGCTCTTCATATCAACGTAGCGCCTTCCACAATCGCTCAAATATTTCTGGACGACAGAGTTCATAATTTCGAAAAGTTCTCTGTTTTGTTCGCTCAGAGCAGCCACCTGGGACGTTGGCAGCTTGTGGGTCGGCTTATCGGAGTCATCGGGGCTATACAGAGGTTTCAGCTGCTGACTTTTGTTTTTGGAGACGTCGAATAGCGATTCAAAGTAAAGCAGCTGATTGTACAATTGTTTGTCGGAATACCTGTATTTCATTACGCCCGTACAGCCCTCGTTAAGACATCTTTTCCCGAAGACAGAGATCGATCTCGTCTGATTGTTGCAGGTGCTATCATCACATTGCACCCAGCCTGCGTAATAAAGTGATATTTGGGCTCGGATGGATCTTTCAAGCTGACAGCTCAATTGGATGGGGGAATACAAATGATCACAATTCCGACATTTTAGACCATTGTAGCATATCGTATAGTGGTTTGATGCGACAATGCCTCCAAATAAAAATTCGTTCTTGCAATTGGGACAACGAAGCGTCAACTGTGCGCTGTTTTTGAATCTTTCAGAATCAGAAATTGAACTTTCTAACGGTTCCAAGCTGTCGAAACGATTACCACCAAGGTCTCCATTTGCGCTAATATGGTTCAAATAACGCCTGCTGTCTAAACCAAGTGACTCGCTTAATCTGACAATGTCGAAACTCTCGATTCTTTCTAAGAGCCTTTCGACAGGCGCAAAAATCTGCTTTTCTAAATAGTACAGAGGATCGGGCCTTAGATCGTTATTCTTGGACATTACTTCGTTCAAGGCACGCGCTCTGTCCGCGACTGAAAGCTGTTCATCGTCTTCGCTGTCATCATCTTGTTTTGTAATGACAAAAGTTATGACACTTCCTGCTTTAACCACGCGGCCCATCTCACGCATCCTCAAGGCAACCTGCACGGCAGGCATGTTCCTCCCACCTGGATAAGCTTTAGGATCCTTTGAGAGTCTGGTATTGATCTTGTACTTGTCAAGCCTAATTTCGTTATTCTCCACATTACTTCTAGTTTCCTCCATATAAGCGTAGACGTCTTGAAGCGCACTTTCCGGATCTCTGTCTGACAGAATTGTATTCAAGACATGCGTTGAAACCTCTTTAGACAATGGACAAAATTCACGTCTTTTCATGTCCAAACCTTTAACCTCTAAAGAAGTGTGCTCTGTCCCAGATTTATCCAGAAAGACATTTAGTGCTGCGTATTTTTTCTTTGCGTGAAGTAGGAGCTTCTTGTACACATTGTCAATGTCAATCTCAAGTAATCTATACCGCTCATTGACCAATTTCTTAAAATTATTGCCAATTTTTATAGCCTCCGCGTACTCATCGCATCCGGAATTTAACATCACCGAGTCTGTGTCACCATAAACAACCGCCAGAGCTAAACTTTCTGCAAGTTGGCGGGTATTCATCAAAATTTCACGACCTTTGTTGGTCACCAACATAGCTAGCGGCTTAGCGTAAAATCTGCTATTAACATAGCCAAGGCACCCGTACATTGAGTTTGCCGTCAGTTTTAATGCTTGCTGTCGTATATCACATTGGGTCTTTTTCTCGAGGTTTGTCTCTGTGCTCATGATTTTCTTCACCTCACGTCTGCGCTGCACTAAATTAGCTAGAAGTTTTGGCAATACTCCCTGTGCTTCTTCTGTGGATGGGACATTTGGCAATTCTTCGATATTGTTTGGATCTCTCTTAACAGTAGTGAAGCAAATGTTAAATTCTTGTATGATAGAGGGATACAGAGAGTTGAAATCCATGACAAGAATATAATCCGTGTGGAGGCCCTTTTCAGGTTCAAAAACGAGACCACCTTGATACTGGGCCTTCTTAGAAGAAGTCTGCTGCTGCTCATCCACGTCTCCTCCAATGTCCTGGTTTTGCCTCTGTGTTCTCTGACTCTTAGTTTCCTTATCAGGTACGATATAGTTGTTGTTTGCGAATTCATGCAAAAGAATGTATTCATTTCGCCCTGCCCTAGAACCTGCTAGGGTCTGTGACCACGCATTTCCTGCTAAATTGGTCAATTGTTTCGTCAACGAAATAATCTGTATCCTAAACGCAATCTCTGCAGATATAAGGGCGTTCGAAATGTTTTCGTTCAAGGCTAGAATAAATGCATTAACATCACTTTGGTATTGCGAAGCTTGGAAGTTTATGTCAAGTGATTTGTGATCCTTTTGACAGGCAACAAAATACATTTCTGGCAATTCCCAGTTTTGACATTTGGGTGTCAAGGACTGACCCATTTCATTGGAAATGTCACATAGAAGCCTTCCAGATAAGATGTCTCTGTTTAGAAATTGTGTCGAGTTTGAATTGTTCCGGCCAAATCTGTCAGGCCAAGACTTCCGCCCTCTGCGGCCTAGACTGCTAAACGTTGGTATTTTCAGCTCAAAAAGTCTATGCATAATGATATCCAGCGATAGGTTCTCTAAGCGGTGACCCAACAGTACATCGGCATCTGAAGCTTTCATCATTGCGCAAAAGCAGCTGAGAAGAGCTTTCTCGTTATTGAATAATCTAAGCTGACCTTTAATTTCTTTCTTCGCCAGGGCAGGGAGTCCGGTAGGGAATGCCGTCCCTTTAGGAGGTCTCACAAGTGTGACGAGTTCATCTGGACTTAGGCTGTCGGGTGTAGGAGAGTTTTGAGCAACGTTCTTATAGTGTGAAAGCGTGATACTTACCACTTCTTGTTTGTTTTCACGTAAATTCATGACGGTTTGAACTGAGAGCGACAAGCAGTTTAGGCCGGCATCCTCATGAACATTTGCAGGAGCGACGTTTTGTGGTGAATTCACTTTTATTTCCATCGAACAGTGGGATGCATTCGCCAATGCGTTGAAATCGGCGTTTTTTATTTCCAGCCAACATGGCCCCATAATCTTCCTTTGCAACACAAAGCTTTCAAAAATATTAGCATTGCCGCCAAAGACGTGATAAAATGAGTCACCCTCCAGCTCAGCAGGAATGGGAACGTTTCGACTCTTGGGTGTTTGATATGGTAGTAAGACCTTCAAGTATTCTGATTCAGCGGGAATGCCAGCTAGCTCGAAGGCATACTTTCTGACCTCCGGCTTAGCCCGAACACTTTCCAAGCCATATTTATCCATAATCAATGGAATAATCTCGTCGTGAACATCACTTGCCTTTTTGTTTTCTCTCGGCAAAAAGTACAGTTCCTTACAGATACCACTGACTTGAAGCATTGCCGATATCATCTTACCGGCAATGGTCTTGATCTTGCCAAATAATAAAAGAGTGTTGTCCACTTCTGTGTAGTCCAGCCAGTAAAATTTAAAGCTTCCATTGGGTTTGTCGAGTATTTCATCAGGGGAAACTTTGCGGCTGAAGTCAGGATGCACAACTACACTCTCGGGATATTGGTCTCGACTTTTGAGGGATGCAGAAGGTTTAGCGAGAGCAATTGGCGTATTGGGAGCGGTAACGAAAGGAGAAGATTGAGCATCTTGGCCAATGTTGAAATTCACGGCTCTTCTAATTGCCGCTGTCCTAACCGTCCTCCTGGTGGCCTTAACTTCCTCCTCCTCTTCTTCTTCGCTCTCACTCTCCGATTGTTCAGCTGTGGGGAGATCGAGTTTCGAGTCCTTCTTCACCATAGTTGGTGAGTTCTCCACATCGTTTATCATATTTTGTAAATCGTTCCCTATAGGGGCAATGCTGTCAGTGCTATCAATTTTTTCTGAAGGAACAGTGACGGGGGGGCTCCTTTCAGTGTTGTTAGCCCTCTTCTCTTCATCTTTTCTCCTCAACCTCGAAAACGGCTTTTTGCTGTCCGCGGATGCGTTTAAACTCCCGAAAAGAGACACGCCCCTGGACTCCGTAGGAGCCTCTTTCTTGAAGCTACGATTCCCATTGAAATGGTTTACAGCATAGTTTTCCTTATCGTCAGCTCCAAATTGGTCTAAAATATCCTCGAAGTCATCAACGTCCAATTTTTTGAGCTTCTTGGACGGTTGTGCGCCGAGAGTCTTGGAGTGGGCGGTAAGCATACCTTTTATCGTCGCAGGGTTTGCATTCTGCACCCAAGAACGTTTCTTCCCGCGAGAAGCGCCCTTGCGAAGCCCTTCGTCGTCCGAACTGTCCGCGTCATCACGATTTCTACTGTCCCACTCGTCTACGCCGCGATCCACGTATCCAAGCCCGTCGTCATCGACAACAAAGTTATCCTGCAGCAGCTCCAGACGTTTTCTTCTTTGAAACTCCTCTTCGTCGACCAATTCATACACTTGGTCATCTCTGTCGCTCGTATCATCGTCATCATATAGTTCGCTCACTGATTTGCCTGTGCGGGCTCTCTGGAGCTTTTTCAAGAGCTCGAGTCTATCTTTCGAGCTCATCGACCAATTCTAGCTCTTCACTTACCTTCTAAGTTGGCTTATCCTTCACTTGAACTCTTAACCAGTGATGATAAGTGAACCTGAGCGGAAATCCTGTCGACGCGTTTTAACTCATTTTTAGTTTACGCGTTGCATCTGTATCACGTGACTTGTGTCACATGGTCATCATAAATCTGGATAAACGATAAGCTTATTGACCATACCACATGGAAAAGCTGCACATCTTACAAGAAGTGGAGCCATAGAAGACGGAAGGTAGACGTCTCGTGGTTTTGTTATTGGTGGTGCAATGTCGTTTCTCGATGCGGTGAATCAAACTAGCAAGACACCTGAGGGCAAAGGCCAGCAACTCAACGAGATGTTTGCGGCCTTGACGCATGCCGTAAACGTGTTTGAGAAACGAAGCCAGATGGTAGGTACAGCACGGGATTCGCAGGAACTGCGGTACAGTATCGATACGGAGTTTTTGCCGCGTTGTGAAACGTGTAGGGACGAGTTGGAACAAGTAACAGCGGGTCTCGATCCTTATAACAAGGTGACAAAAGATCTAGCGAGCCTGAAAGAGTCTCTTCTCAAAGCGAGGCGACATTACGAAAGCCTCAAATTGAAGTATCCGATAAGGCGGCTCGAATCAGGTGACTTGAATATCAAGGAATCTCAGGTGCAAGATTCGCCAGCAGGTTATGTATCGATGCCCATAGGGAGTAACGAAAACACACCGTTGCTCCAGGATCGACAGCAGCAAGTGCAAGTGTCGGGGAAAGCAAATGAAGTTTCGCAGGACGAACTCGATTTTCATAGCATTGTTCAGGAGCAGAGAAACCAGGAGATTTCGCGCATACATTCAGCGGTGCAGGAAGTGAACGCGATCTTCAAGCAGCTGGGATCCATGGTGCGGGAGCAAGGCGAAGACGTCGACAATATTGATAATAACATAAGCGGTCTTTCTGGGAACTTGCAGCGTGCTAATGAACAGCTTTCGAAGGCAGACAAGTCCCAGAGGAACAAAAACAAATGTGGCATAGCGGTTTTAATCATAGTAGTGGTTGTAGTTTTAGTCGTGGCACTTGCTGCCTTGAGTTAGAGATTGTTTTAAACATTAGCAGTGCGTATTCCATTAGTTACAGTAAATTACTTCCTAAATTAATTTTATAGTCCGCGTTGTACGGTCCATACCCGTTGCTCATACAGTTTCCTGTCAAACCACAGCACTTTTGGAGCTTTGAGGCGTGTTAAGGCTTTTAACGACTTCGCGACGGACTCCCTCGACTTGTTCTATTCCCGTGAGTTCACCCTTTTCCATGATCAGATTTTTGAGTAACCTATTCTCCATCTCGAGTGTGTGTATACGTTTCTGTAAGTTGACGGCTAGTTCGCTCACTTCCTGAATAGACGATTCGAGTTCGCGCTCCTTTAATTTCCGTTTGTTGTTGGCCTTCGGTACTGGGCCCTCAGAAGTGGTGCGGATCTCAGTTTGCGATTCAGAGCGCTTTACAACAGGTGCCGTTTCGACATTGTTCAATTTTTCCTCGTTGACACTTGCCGTCGGTACCGTTGGCGCACGGGAAGAGTCTGGGTCAACAGGTTTTTTGGAAGCCGCATTCACGGGAGGTTTTGGACCTTTAAAATCTACCAGCGAGTTAAGAAAGTCTGAAGAGGGAGTGGCATGATTCTGTCGCGGCTCGTGTGCGTTTGACGCGCGCCCGGGTTCCGACTGTTGCGATCCGGGTGAGTCGTGTTCTTGATTTATGAATTGGAACAAAAAGCTTGCCAAATCGGGCCCTTGAGCGTTGGGACTGGCAGAAGCGGCAGCACTAATAGTTGAGTTGCCCGCTGATGCATTGAGACGCGCTTTTTGGGTTTGGTGATAGGCTATGAGCGCGGCAATCGCCTCGATCTGGTCGTGCTCGAAACCCGCGCTTTGCAGAGACCGATACGCGCCCGGCGGCACACGCACGCGTGGCAGTAACGCCAAGATGGTGGATGTGGGTATAGAAGAGTACTCTGGCATCTGAATCCGGGACCAGTCGTTTTGGGCGTGTTGCGGAGGCTGTGAGAGAGAAGAAACGGCAAAGGCACGGTCTGGAGCCGTGTTCTGGCTGGACTCCGGAGTGTTGGACAGTGAATACGGGCGCGAAACGCCCTCGGGCCGCGAAAAATCGGCTATGAGGTTGCTGAGCGGAGACGCGCTGTAGGGGACATTGCCGTTTTGGCCTTGACGCGAGAACGGCTGGGACTCGCGCTCCGCCATATCGACGTTCGTAAACCCCCCATGGTCGTCCTCGGGCGAGTGGCTCGTATGGGTCTGACGGTCCTTGGATGAAAATCGCTGACGCGCATTGTCGTATTGCGACGCGAGAAAATTGCTGCGGTGACGCGACAGATAGTGGGAGTTCCGGCCAGAGGAGCCCCGTTCTGTCGTCGCATCCGCTTGCCCGTTATGCAGCTCGGGCCAGGACTCGGCCGCAGGCCGATCCGGGCCCGTAGCGGGCACTCCGCTAGGGTCGCCGCTGCTGCCGCCGGCGTCGTTTGGGCCCGCGTCGTGCGGTTTCTCCTCGTCCGGGAAAATAAACGTCTCGTCTGCGAACGCACTGAGCTCAGCGGCGAGCCGGTCATCGAGGCCAAGGGCCGTCCCCTGGCCGTCGTCGCCGTCAAGCATGGGTCCAAACGCATGGAGCGAGTTGTCGAGTTCCGGCATGAAATTGTCGACGTACGCGAGCTGTTCCAACAGAATATTGGGCGTGGCGTCCGAGAAATCCGCGTTGTGGAGGCCCGTGCCGTGTGCCGCGTCGGCAGCGTCCGCGCGACGGTCATCGGACCCAAAAACGTCCTTAGCGGTGTGATTCGCGTCGAAACTCATGTGCTTTATCTGTGGTCCGGCAGAGAAGGTGAGGGAGGCAAGTCGCTGGTGCTACGGGCACGAGACTGAGGTCCACAGGTATTTCTTTGTCGTTAGGAGCTTGTATGCGTTTTTGCCCGGCAGCGGACGATGAGTCTTGGGAAAAGATCGCAGGAGCGAGCTCGCTGTGCACGAAACCGGGTAGCAAGCAGGTAGCCCTCTAAAGGCCGGGTAGCCCTCCTTTACTCTACACAGCAGCAGCGGTTGCGACTGGCCTCAGGTGTTGACCACGGACACGCTACGGCTGCAGGTTACCCACGAGTTACCCACGAGTTACCCGCCACTCACCCGCCGCACATCGCTTTCTACGGCCCACGACTCCCTGGGTTACCCGGTCACTCTGCTACCCCACCAGTCCCTGCCTGATCACCGTGGACGACCCACCCTGCCCAGGGTCCCTTGCCTCCACCCCTGCACCGACTCCGGCGGCGCCACAATTGTGGCGCGTGCGGCCGCGTGCAGCCACAGCAGCCTCACCGTGGATGACACCCACGGTGGCCCTCTCTCTCCCTCTCCCTCTCCCTCTCGCTCTTTCTCCCCAATCTCCCATCTCCGGCTGCCCACTGCCCGCCCGCGGCTTCCGGGCCCAGAGGCACCATGGTGGACCCGGATAAGGTTAGGGTTTGCGTGGGGAAAACGGCAGCGCCGCGTCACAAGAAAGAGCCTACGGAATGGCCCGCGGGCCGCGGGACGCACAAGACACTACGAACACCCGCTCCGTCAGAGTATGGCGATTTAGTAGTGGCGATGCGCATTCGAGACCGGGTTGAACGGAGGGTTTTACGGTGTGTTTCGCGTTTGTTTCCCGCGCGTTTCGTGCCTGTTTCGCTCGGCACGCCTTTTCTTGTTTCAGCTGGGGCAAACGGAGGCCAACGGAGGCCAGCAAGGAGGAAAATGGAATTAAGGAAAAAAAATTAAAAAAAAAAGAATTCCAGAAGCCGAAAAGAAATAATATTTGAGTTTAAGAGTAACAGCTTTTGATTCCCACAGGATCCCGGCTCCATCACGGTTGGGTCCCGAAGGCCACAGACAAACTCTCGCGCTAGCTACGCTGCCTTCGCACGGATCTCTTCGAACTGCCAGTCCCTGCCTGAAGGTTACTTTTAAAATATCGCTACCGTTGGCTCCTCACGAGGCTGGGAAACTCACACTCGACACGCTGCTGGACGCGGCGCGTGCCCGCCAGTGCCCGTCGTGGCGTTCCACGAGTTTCTGAAACGCGCGCACTGCGACGAAAACCTGCAGTTCATCCTCATCACCGATGCGTTCCTCGACGCGGCCCGGTTCGAGCTGCAGCGCTGGCACAACGCCGTGTACCTGCAGTTCATCCGGCCGGACTCGCCCCAGGAGTGCAATTTGCCGCAGGAGATCCGACAGGTGTTCGACGCCTGCTACGCGGGCGAGCGGCCGCCCCCGCCGGCCACGATCCGGGCGGCTCGCACCCACATCACGCTGCTGCTGCAGGACGCGTTCAACAACTTTGTCGACCGCCAGCGTCGCAGCTCGAGCGGCGCGTCGTCGGCGTCGTCGACCTCGCGGCACAGACCTGTGTCGCGCGACACCGCCGCTGCGTCCTCGCGTGCCATGCTGGCGCCGCAGCCCCAATCCGCGCCGGGTGCGTCGCACGCGTCGCACGCGCTGCCGTTACGCCCGCTGTCGCGACAGCTGGCGGCGTCAGCGCTCGCAAACGAGTTCGCCGTCGAAGACGATGACATGTCCACGCCGAACGCAGCTTCCAGGGCTCCTTCCGCGGGATCCGCGTCGCTGTTCTCCACGACGTCCGCGGAACGCGCTGTCGCAGCGCTCGACCTGCCCCCGGGCCTCGGCGTTGCCATCCCCGACGTCCTGCTTCCGGTGGGCCCCGACACACTTCCCTCGCTGGACCTTGCCTCCTGCGCAAGCTCTCCGCGTTCCAACAGCGCGCAGACGCTTGCCACGCCCACGACGGGCGCGTGCGAGCGCGCTGCGCCCGCACAGTCGAGCGTGCCGTCGACGCCGTCGTCCAACCTCTCGAGCCCGGGCTCTGCCGCGTTCAACTCACTCAGGCTCAAATCCACGGGCAAAAAACTTGTACACAAGTTCAGGTTTCGTCGCAACAGCTCCGGCAGCTCTGGCACGTCGTCCGGACCCTGAGCTCCTGTCGCCACTGTCCTCTGCATTCCCAATCACTGTACCATATTTACATATATATACACGCACATAGATATACGCTCCTGGATCCCAGATGTAAGTCGTTCTCCAATTCCTTAGCACTAAAGTCCTTCTGTGTCAAGCGGTCTATTTATTTTCTGGTTTCATGTTATCATGAGCTAAAGTGACATTTGCTAATGCACAAGTGAAAACGTGAATATCGGCGGAACAAATTCGCAGGTGGCTTACAAACAGAGCAGAACGCTTGTAAATTTTCACATTTCGCCCAATAATAACTAAGTGAAATTAGACGTCCGCAAAATGACTACTTTAAATGACAAGGATCACCGGCGCTCTGGAGGTTGTGCCTTCCGTGATATGTGGGAAGCCAATGGCAATCTCTAGGCATTTTGGACGGTTGCCACATGGAGGAATCCTTTCCTGGAGGCAGCATTTTCACTTCCCGTATATAACGCCTTGAGGTGGAAATTTTTTCCTCTAACCAAATGCTTGATCCGTTTCCCGAGCCGCAAACAGCTAGGGGAATAGATGCGTATAAAGTGATATAAATCTTATGACAGCCGAAAGTTCGACACTATTACGCAATGCATACTCCACGACAGCTACGGAATTTACAATCCTTACAGCTGTATATTTCGTTGCGTCTCCCTTTGTTTCGCCTCGTTTCTCTTCGCTGTCATCGCCCGACACCTGTTCTTTTTCCTGTCATCGCAAGACACACTCAGTGAAAAATTTTTCTACGTGATGACTTGTAAGGCACGATGACTGATTCGGACTCAGCTCGCAAATAGTAACGACAAACGCAAGACTCGATCGTATATTAGGACGCAGGATTTCATCCACGCGGTATTTCCATCTCAAGAAATTCCACCGACAAGTAACGTTTACCACGTTTCCACACATAGACTAGTGCAATCGTGATGTTTAGAAAAACGTTTGCGCTGCTCGCGCAGAGCGCGGGCAAAACGATCCCGCCGGTTAAACTCGGTTACAAGTACATGCTCAAGGACCCGTCCGTCAAATACAAGCCTTTCACCGCGGTGGACCTTCCCAACAGACAGTGGCCCAGCAAACGGATCACTAAAGCACCCAGATGGCTTTCTACAGATCTCAGAGACGGTAATCAGTCGCTCCCGGACCCCATGTCCGTTGAGCAGAAAAAAGAGTATTTCCACAAGCTCGTGAATCTCGGGTTCAAAGAAATCGAAGTTTCTTTCCCGTCCGCGTCGCAGACGGATTTCGATTTCACTCGTTATGCTGTCGAACATGCTCCAGAAGACGTGGCTATCCAATGTCTTGTGCAGTCACGTGAACATCTCATCAAGCGTACTGTCGAGGCGCTTACAGGTGCTAACAAGGCCACTGTACACGTCTATCTCGCCACTAGCGACATGTTCCGCGATATCGTTTTCAATATGTCCCAGGAAGAAGCCGTCGCTAAGGCCGTCGAAGCTACGAAGCTGGTGAGAAAGCTCACCAAGGACGACCCTACCCAACAAGCTACCGAATGGACCTACCAATTCTCGCCAGAATGCTTCAGTGACACTCCTCCAGAATTTGCTGTAGAGATCTGCGAGGCCGTCAAGGCCGCATGGGAACCTACTGCGGAAAACCCAATCATTTTCAACCTTCCAGCTACCGTCGAAGTCGCAACCCCCAATAACTACGCTGACCAGATCGAATATTTCTCGACCCACATCTCTGAACGTGAAAAAGTTTGCATCTCGACCCACGCCCACAACGATCGTGGCTGCGGTGTCGCCGCCTCTGAGCTCGGTATTCTAGCTGGCGCCGACCGTGTCGAGGGCTGTCTTTTCGGAAACGGTGAAAGAACCGGTAACGTAGACCTTGTCACGGTTGCACTGAACATGTACACGCAGGGTGTTTCTCCAAACTTGGACTTCTCCGATCTCAACTCTGTGGTTGAAGTTGTCGAGCGCTGTAACAAGATCCCAGTGTCTCCAAGAGCGCCCTACGGAGGTGACTTAGTCGTGTGTGCCTTTTCCGGATCGCATCAGGATGCTATCAAGAAAGGTTTCGCGCTACAGGACAAGAGACGTGCTCAAGGCGACCAACTTTGGAAGATTCCTTATTTGCCTTTGGACCCCAAGGACGTGGGCAGAGACTACGAGGCCGTCATTAGAGTCAACTCCCAATCTGGTAAAGGCGGTGCTGCATGGGTCATCTTGCGCTCCCTCGGTCTAGATATGCCAAGAAACATGCAAATTGAGTTTTCAACTTTGGTGCAAACCAGAGCCGACTCGTTGGGCAGAGAGCTTAAGAGCCAAGAGATAACCGATCTCTTCAAAGAAACCTACAACTACTCTGGCGAATACCAGGACATCACGCTCGTTGATTACAACGTCACTAAACTGGACAAAGAGCGCAGAGAACTCACGGGACAGGTCGAGATCAATGGTCAAGTCTTCGACATGGTCGGTGCTGGTAACGGCCCCATCTCGTCTCTCGTGGACGCTATGTCCAACCTTTTCAACATCAGATTCGAAGTGGCCAACTATTCCGAACACTCGTTAGGATCTGGGTCTGCGACTCAGGCCGCCTCTTACATCCATTTGGCCTACAGACGCGATTCGGACAATGCCAAAGTCTACAAATGGGGTGTAGGTGTCTCTGAAGATGTTGGTGACGCTTCAACCAAGGCCATTTTCCACGTCATCAATGCTCTCGTTCAATCTGGTGACATCGCTCTTCCAGATCGTACTTCCAAGGTCTCTGGAACGGCTTGATGTCGTGCAGAATTTACTTTTGCATTGTTATCGTTCTACGAGTTATTCAAAAAGCATTAATGACATGGTAATAATTTTATGTAATCTGTTTGACATGTCAATGAAAAGGACACCACTATTTATGAGATCGCGTAATGTCCTCATGGGAATAACTCCGCTGTTCAAAACATAACTCAAGCGTCGACTATTGTAAATCACTGCAATATTAGCAGGAGTTAGAGCCAAAAATGACAGCTCTTATTGCGACAAGATTTGATGCAATGGCACAGCTTTAGCGTGTACTTCAAGCATTGTCAAGATCTAGTGATCTCGGATCAGCTTAATCCGCTGGTTGTTCCTGTTTCATTGTAAGTAGCTAAACTGGCATCATCAGGTTTTCTTCAAGAATTTTTCATTAAAAACCAAAAGGGGTCCCCGTTCGGAATACGATTCCTCGTGAAATAGAAAACCGACCGAAACCGGCGCTCAAGGAAACTTGCATCGAAGGCTATTCATTTAAGATGCTCATACTGTTCAGTAAAGAGCCTGAAAGAAGGATAGCGCTTCTGTCCCAATCGTATGCTTTGGTCTTTAAAGCAGTGAAAAATGCAGCTGACCCCCACAGAGCGTTATGTGCCATCGAACTCTTACCCAAATCCAAACTAGAGAGAGGATTTGAAAAATTGACGTCCCATGAGATCCACGGGTTCCTCGGGCTCATTGAGCTCGAGGGTCTTATTTTCATTTGTGCAATCACGGGAAAGACCAAAGTGGCCCAACCAATTCCCGGTGAAACAGTGAACAAGATTTTCGCAGTCGATTTCTTCTGTCTGACGGACTCCCGGTGGGACTTCGTGGAGTTGGATACGAACGGGTACCCTGTGCTTCCCGATGAAGATTACAAGCCCGAGCAAATGCCCGCTTTGCCAAAACATCCGTGTCATGACCTCAGAAAACTGCTTTCTAACGGATCGTTTTACTACAGCTCAAACTTCGATTTGACGTCGATCCTTCAAAACCGAGGCGTCGGCTCGCATTCTTTGAGTTTCGACAACTATCAGGAAGAGTACATGTGGAATTCTTTTCTAATGCAGGAAATTATAACTTTCAGGAACCGGCTAAACGACTCAGCAAGACAGGTGCTTGATGAAGAGGGATTTCTTACCACTGTCATACGTGGGTTCGCCGAAACTTTCATGACGTACATCAAGCAGCTCAAGGTATCCCTCACGGTGATTTCGAAGCAAAGCTGGAAAAGAGCCGGAACCAGATACAACGCGAGAGGGATTGACGATGAAGGGAATGTCGCGAATTTCGTCGAGACTGAAACTATCATGTACTCACGCGAGTATTGCTATGCATTCACCGAGATTCGTGGGAGTGTCCCCGTGTTCTGGGAACAAGACACCTCGCTGATCAATCCTAAAGTACAGATCACTCGTTCTCGAGAGGCCACCCAACCTATCTTTGACCAGCATTTAACGGGTCTCATAGAAAAATATGGACCCATTCACATCGTGAATTTGTTATCAACGAAGAGCTCCGAAATAGAGCTGTCCAGGCGTTACAAGGAGCATGTCATGCGCTCCAAAAAAGTTGTCTTAAATAAAGACGTTCTCTTTACGGATTTCGACTTTCATCGAGAAACTTCTCAAGAGGGCTTTGCAGCAGCAGCGAAAATAAAGCCTCTCATCACACGATCGCTAATGGAATCAGGCTATTTCTCCATGGACGTGCGAGATAAGAAAGTGCTCTCGGAGCAACAAGGAGTATTTCGCACTAACTGTCTAGACTGTCTTGATAGGACAAACCTGATACAGCAGTTCATTTCTCGATACGCTTTCGCTCTTTTTTTGACGGATTTCCATTTACTTTCTTCTACCGACGACGCTGCCTTTATTGACAGTGACCTATTTCTCAAGCATAACACCCTTTGGGCTGACCATGGTGATCAGATTTCTCAAATATACACGGGTACCAATGCACTAAAATCGTCTTTTTCAAGAAAAGGGAAAATGTCTTTCGCCGGAGTGCTATCCGATGCCACCAAATCCGTCAGTCGGATGTACATCAACAACTTTATGGATAAAAACAAGCAAATTACCATTGACACCTTGTTGGGTAGGCTCTCGAGTCAAGAAGCAGTTTTACTTTACGACCCAATAAATGAGTACGTTTCCACCCAACTCTTTTCAATGTCTGAAAGCTTTACCTCATCGTCCACTATCAACATATTTGTGGGAACCTTTAACGTAAATGGGCTTACGAGAAAGGCCGATATATCAAAATGGTTATTTCCGATTGGCGATAAATTTAAACCTGATGTGGTAGTACTGGGAATGCAAGAAGTCATTGAATTAACTGCAGGATCAATTTTGAATGCGGACTACTCTAAGAGCTCATTTTGGCAAAGCATTGTCAGCAATTGCCTCAATCAGTATAATGATCAGTATTTGTTACTGAGAGCAGAGCAGATGTCTTCCCTCCTGATTTTATTTTTTGTCAAATCAGACAAAATCAATAGCGTGCGTCAAGTTGAAGGCGCTTCCAAGAAGACTGGTCTTGGAGGAATGGCTGGCAATAAGGGTGCAGTTGCGATTCGCTTCGATTTCGGAAGCACTTCTTTTTCTTTCGTCAATGCCCATTTTGCGGCTGGATTAAATAATGTTGACGAGCGGAGGAACGACTACGAGAGCATCTTGAAGGGTATAAATTTTACCCGATCCAAAAAGATCCCTGATCATGATGCCATTTTCTGGCTGGGAGATCTCAACTATCGCCTGACTTTGTCAAATGAGGAAGTCAGGAAAGAACTTGGCAGAGCCAACGAGGATACCTTCGATAAACTTTTGAAATATGATCAACTTACACAAGAAATAAACTCAGGAATCATCTTTCAAAGTTTCAAAGAGCCAACTGTGAAGTTCCCTCCAACCTACAAGTACGATCACGGTACAAGCATTTACGATAGCTCTGAAAAAGCGAGAACACCTTCATGGACAGATCGGATTGTCTATCGAGGAGATATTTTGAAACCACTTGCATACTCAGATTCGCAGCTGATGATAAGCGATCATAAACCAGTATACGCCGCCTATAGAGCACAAGTCCAATTTATCGATGAAAACATAAAGACGGAGTTGACCAAGAAATTATACTTGGAATACAAAAACAAGCATCCACAAGAGTCGGGTGACGCATCGTTGGCGTTGATCGACATGGAATTAGAACAAAAACGCGTCTCACGCCAGGCTGTCAATTCCGCGGATACTTGGAGTGAGGTGAATCTCGTAGATGCTGATCCGCTAAGCTCAAAATTTGAGGTCGACTCGTACACCAATTCCCCGTCTTCGGCGTCTGAAACGTCTTCGCTTAAGTCTGCACCTTTGCAGCCGACGAGAAAGGATACCTTGTCGCCGCCATTTCCTAATAGAACCAGACTTCCTCCTCCTCCCGTTCCCCTATCACGTCAAAGCAACTCTTCGACAGCACTGCAAGCTAGAGAACGCAACAGGACGGTACCAGAACAGGTTGAGAAGCAAGCCGTGAACAAGACGTTAGCCCCGCCGCCTCCTCCGTCACGGAAAGCAGCATTTCCTCCCGGATTCAGCGATGCTGTCTTGACTCCCAAAAACACGAGTACTCCGTCTTCGCAAACGGCATCTCACGAGGGTACGCCATCGGCAACACCTATACCTGAAATTGATCTCAGAAAGGCAGATGAAGTTAAACCGGTGAGGATTCCACCCGTGGTTCCGGTTAAGAAACCATCATTAGAACATCTTTCCATGGATTCTTGGACACCATTGACACCCAAGTGAACATCGTCGGTCTGAGCACTGATTTCTGCATTTAAAGAAAATTTCGCGCATGAGTCCACGGTCTTAAAAACATAGTACATAGTCTGAAATTTCAACGTTTATATAATCTCACTAAGACTTGAAGCGTTGGCCAGACTAAATTACGCGTTCCTCTTGCGGTAAAAGTTTTGTCCATGAATGTGATCAAGAAAAATCGGCTACAATCCTATGTCTTGAATCTGGAATTTCTCTATAATATCAGCACTATGTCTTAATATCCGTCACCAGAATCTTCTTTGATTGAACTCATTGTTAAATCATTTCTTAGGCTAGAACCCGGCATCTACGAAAAACCTTAAAACTACAGGATAAATGAAAGAACGAGAATTGCTTAGAGATATAGTTGTTGCGACGACTTCTGTAGCAGCTGCCGTAGCGGTATTTCTGTCTTATAAGAAACAGAAAACACTGACTGCATTGAGTCCGCCGCAGAATGGTATTGATGGCCTCATCGGAAATACGCCGATGATGCGGATCAAGTCATTATCGGAAGCCACAGGGTGCGAAATATACGCCAAAATGGAACTTTGCAATCCTGCCGGCAGTGCAAAGGACAGAGTTGCATATGGGATCGTGCGTGCAGCAGAGAAAATAGGACTCTTAAGACCAGGACATCCAGACGTCGTTTTTGAAGGCACAAGTGGATCAACAGGCATTTCGATCGCGACAATTTGCAACGCTCTGGGATATCGTGCCCATATTTCACTTCCGGACGACACTTCGGCGGAAAAGATCGCACTTTTGGAGAGTTTGGGAGCCGAGGTCAACAAAGTGCGGCCTGCCGGGATTGTCGACCCAGATCAGTACGTGAATGCGGCCAGGAGGGCATGCGAAAAGCTTGCCGGGGACCCAAACCAAGATGTTAGGGGAGTATTTGCGGATCAGTTCGAAAACGAGGCCAATTGGCGTGTTCACTACGACACCACGGGTCCCGAGATTTACGATCAAATGAACGGTTCGGTTGATATGTTCATTGCAGGGTGTGGTACTGGAGGCACCATCGCAGGAGTTGGCGCTTTTTTGAAAAGTAAACTTGAGGGACGAGTCAAAGTCGTGCTAGCGGATCCACAAGGCTCGGGCTTCTACAACAGGGTCAAGTACGGGGTTATGTACGACACAGTCGAGCGCGAAGGTACACGCAGAAGGCATCAGGTCGACACGATAGTCGAGGGAGTTGGACTGAACAGAATTACTAGAAATTTTAGCAGAGGCGAGAGTTTCATTGACGATGCTGTCAAAGTACCCGATTCTCAAGCTTTAAAGATGGCCAAATACCTTTCCGTGAACGAAGGCCTCTTTATAGGTAGTAGTACAGCAATCAATGCTGTTGTCGCCGTTAAACTTGCCAAAACTCTACCTCGTGGTTCCCGTATCGTAATTATTGCATGTGACAGTGGGTCCAGACATCTCAGTAAGTTTTGGAAAGAGGCTCTCAAAGTTGACCGAAATATAAGACTACAGGATATTTTTAAGGCCTGAATTCGCGGTCCATAGCCAGCAAATTAAAGAATGTACATAAGGAGGCTTTTTGAGGATTCAGGTACATCTGTTTCTGTAGTTGGGATAGAATCTAGAGATGCTTGTATATTTAGCTTTATTGAAAAACTAACATAAAGCCAACGACGTAAGAACAAACTAGAAACAGGATCTTCGGAACTTGTTTGCGATGGATTCAATCGTCTTTGTTTCACCAAATGTATACATGTCGTCTGGCTCGCGAAATTTGTGGCACAGTGACGTCTTGAAGCCAGGTTACATACCAATTTTGAGATCGGACTTGTTGAAGTTTAGAGATGCCCTTGATAGAGTTCAATCAACTTTAGAAGAAGAACAAAACTCATCTCTGTATCGAATACTTGATCTCGAGACACAGAAGCAGCAGGAACTGGGGAATGACGTAAAAATAGGGTCCAAAACTGACCAGGAAGAAAGAATTGGACGTGAGGGATCCAAATTTCAAGAGGTCAAGGCATTCCTTCCCATTTCACTGGAACAACAGCTGCACACACTTTCTATTATAGATCTTCCGGGAGAGCATTCAAGCTTTGAATTGGAGGGGTTTATTAAAGCAATTGAAAGGCTAACGGAGGCTAGAGTTGGCGTGGAAGATGCAATTGTGTGTTGGAGCATTACCACAGGCATTGACACTCACAGCATTTTCCTAAGGTGTAAGGCAATCCCGCAATTTGGTTTTGTGGTAAAATACTGGCGGGCGTTATTGTCTGCCTGGCACGAGACACACAATGACGTTTGTCCTGAACTTCGGTTTGACGAGAACACCAGCAGGTATCTCGAAGACCTGAGTCGAAAGGATTTACCGCAGAAAGAACTTCCACATGGTGAGGAATTGGCGCAGGATGTTGAAGAAATACAAATGCAGTTACTAAAAAATGATAGCGTTGCTGCAAAAGCTGAGGATGCGGATCTGGTAGTGCAGTATAAGGTTGACGTCTCGACGTTGAGCGATTTGCCACGGAGTTCGCTGGACCAGCTGTGCAAGGACATCATGTACTTCCGGACCCGCGTTCTCACCGCAGAAAAGGAAAAACATGCTAAGGAAGAGCAGAATGAGAACCGGAGACGACGTTTGCATTTAAAGAAGGTCCTCGAACAGATCAGGAAAAGTCAAGGTAAAGACGAAACCAACCTGGATGTGGACGATGACGAAGAAGGTGTAAGTGGTGAAGAAGAAATAGAAGAGGACGAGCAGGACGATTGGGTCGTCGAACAGGCTCGCGAAGCTAAAGAACGCCAGGAATCCGACCGACGCTTCGAGAAAATGATTCAGGATGCTGAAACGGAAATTATGGACTTAGCAGCTCTCAAAAAAGCGATTGGGCGCACTAGGGATTACGAGATATTGCTACGCCAAGAGCGTGGGTCGCATCTGAGGGAACTGATGCACATGGCGGCTGATCCTTATTACGACCACCGCCGTTCTTTTAAGGCAGATGAAGAACGTCGCGACGCAGAGGATCGCGCTCTGCACCCCGAGGCGACAGTTCCAGCTATGGACCCAGCTGATGAAGGCTCAAGCCAGATACCTGTTGCTGCCGAGACGGCGACTACTGGTCCCGTGCAAGCGCCATTCAAAATTGAAATCACGAAGCCACAGAAAACACAAGCCGAGACACTTGTATACTCAGAAGAGGAGTTAGAAGCTGCTCTCAACAAATTGCGCTCCTCCAAGTTGGTCGAACAACTTGTTCAGGAGTTTTTGGGAGAGAGCGAACAAGATTTGGTCGACTACATCTTTGACCATATTAGCGAGAACAGAAGTAAAAACGCATTATGCGAAGAGCTTCGCGACACGTTTGACGATGATGCAGTTACGATCGCGGACAAGATCTGGAATAATTTATAGAGAAGCGACCAGTCGTACGGTGACTTATCCAAGATAGTTAGTGAGACTAAAACCACGCGCATATCACACGACTTTCACGTGATTAGGATGTAACCTGTGATGATTTCCAGATCGGGAAGATTTAAGCAAGCCGCGAAAAAAAAAGAACTAACAAGAATGTTAACTACGTTTCAAGACATAAACCTCTCTTGGACACGAGGGGTTAACCACACGATAGCTTAAAGCGGATAGAGGCACTATCAGGTTTTCGAAGCATCGGTGAAAACCAGCATAGTCTTCATAAGTGCAATATCGTTTGTGCATCTTATAACGGCAGTGTTTTTCATCTACATCTCTGATCGATCTTCTCGGTATAAACGGTTTAGACGAACCTTTACAACGGACCCTCGCTAGCCACTATTGCCACCGTCAAAAACTTCGGGTGGTCAAGCAAGCTTTTTGCCCTTTAGAAGATCGCGACGTCATTTGCTGAATTCACCGAGTTCAAAAATCCTCACCATAGTCACTCTTTTGAAAGTCGCCGTTATTAGGTGAAGCTGCTTCCATTTTCACTCGTTTTATCAGTTTACATCAGTTCACGCGTTAGCCCAACATGCTTTCGAGCCAGCAAATCGTTGCTCTCACAGCTCTTGTCGGCTTAGCTCAAGCCAGTTGGTGGGATGGGTTTTTGAACCCGAACGCGACATCCAGTTCATCTACAGCGCCGGCCGTTGTTTCTTCGAGCCAGGCGACTGACTTGGCCTCGGCTAGTAGTCAGAGCTCCGCCGTGGCCAGTACTGCGCCCGCAATCCAACCGTATATTAGCTCCAGCTCCCAAGGTGCTCAAGCGACATTATCGCCGATAAGCAGCGAAACCAGCTCCGAGGGCGGTCAAACGACATTGTCGCCCACAAGCAGTGATGTCAGTTCTGAAGACGGCTCTCAAAGCTTTCAAGCGTATTTGTCTTCCATCATGCAAGCGACGCAAACGCAAGGATCCTCCGCTTTTACCGTATACCCATCGTCCAGCAGCTATTCGAGTCCTCAGGACACCACCACTCTCGCACCAACTTTTAGTGCGGATTCCTTCACGTCGGCAACATCCACTACTTCAGATTGGAATACTTTTAGCTCCTCCGAACAATCTTTAACCCCATCGTCCGAAAGCAAACTCGAAAGCCAATTGTCTCAGTCAGCAAGTTTCTCTACCAGTGCGTGGGGTTTCTCTAACACACGTTCCACACCTGTTGAAAAATCCTTTTCTTCTAGCTCAGCGCTGGCCTCCGAATCAGCGACATTGGCTACTCCTCAGAATACAATTTTGGATTCATCCGAATCTCCAACTGCATCGGAGCCGACTACTTCGGCCCCCAAGTGGACTAGTTCGGCTTCTCCTGAGTCGGTCACTTCGGCTGCTCCCGATGCAACAAAGCCAATTCTTTCCGAGTCTGCTAGTTCCACTGGGCCAATTCCTTCTTCTGAGGCCTCATGGCTTTCGTCGGAGCAATACACTGCCACACAAAGGGAAGTAACAACCGCTTCTGCGACACCTAGCTCCGCAAATGTTGCTGCGTCATCTGTCGAAATACAGTCTGAAGTACAATCCGCGTCCTCTTTTGGGTCTTTTTCAGCAAGTGAGACCTCCAGCACCGAAGTTGATTCCAGTACGGCCTTACAAGCCAAGTCATCTCCACAAACTTCTACGTGGCCTGCTAGTACTGCGGTGTCATTAAGTATAGTCCCCACAAGCTCGTCAGAGTCTCAAGTTTCGTCTGCACTAAGCGTTACGAGTTCCTCATTGACACCTGCTTCAGCTGCGCCTTCTTCCAGCGAGTTTTCCATCGAGCAGTCATCGTCTCAGTTTGAAGATACTTCAATTACCGGGGTCGACTGGAATACTGTATCTTATCCTGCTTCTAGTTCGGCCGCTGATGTGCCTTCGTCCACTCAATATTCAAGTCAGCAAGCCCAACCAACATCTCAATCACCCCTTTGGTCAAGTTCTGGAGCTCAGAAAACTTATTCTTATGTGCCTTCTACTAGTTCTAGCAGCTATGACTCTTCCACCGCCGAATCGTGGGCTTCAACACCTGCTTCTCAGAGTTCAGCAAGTGATATTAGTAATTATGCTGAAACCTGGCAGACCGCTAGCAGCTCTGCTAGTCCTTCTTCATATCTCCCCTCCTCATCCAATTACGCAGGCTCAACAAGCTCATATCCGTACCTCACCTCTTCGCAAATATATGCGACGTCGTCAAGTGACAGCTACGAAAGCTTTCCGCCGACTTCGTCTTTGGCGTCAAGTGAATACTCTACCCTATCTTCCGAAGCGTCTCTGTTGTCAACTTCATCTCAGAGCGCTTTTTCGGTCACACCATCAGCGTCTTCTGAAAGCTCTTTCACAAGCACAGTACCCGCGCCTTCGTCATTGTCAGCTTCCTCTTTTGTGACTGATGACTTTTCAAGATCATCTAGCAGTCTCCCAACTTCTAGTTCCGCGGCAACTCAGAGTACTACCTCTTTGATGGTATCTTCCTCTCAATCTACCAGTGACTCCACTAGTATTGCTTCAGTTTCCTCCTTCCCAGAAAGTTCTGTGTCCACCCCAGCTCCTTCTAGTTTGGTAACTGTTTCAAGTTATGCAAGCGAAAACGCCACCAGCTCTGCACTTATCGCGAGTCTATCGAGCTCTCCCTCGGCATCTATCACGTCAACCGCTGAGAGCTCCGAATTTTCTTCAGCTTTGTTCACAAGCAGCTACAACCAGACAGATACAGGGTCCTTGGCTTCTTCTGCCAGCACTGAATCTGTCTCAGAGAGCTTATTTTCCGCTACAGTGAGTGCAACCTCATCGTTCGAGAGTTCGGTTTCTACGCCTATCGCAATTCCAAGTTCGGCAACATCTGCGTTGACTACAGGGGCACCAGAGCAGGTAACGTCTTCTGAAGTTGCGCAAAATTCTTCGTCATTAGGATCGTCATACACTTCTTCAACTTCGAACTGGCTTCCTACGGCAATTATCACGGCTGGCGGTGATACACAGTCGACTGGATCCGGAGCAGCGGCATCGGGTGGACAACAAGCCACTCAGACCCTGCCGCAAGCGATTGCAGCGGCAACTGCCGTCAGTCAACCGAAGGACTACACGCTCATTACCATCGGTTTCAAGCAAGAGCTCAATTACCCTTTTGTGGTAAAAAACTCCTTAACCAGTGCTCAGATTTTCGCTTACCTACCTGGTGTTCTCAATTTGCCGTTTGAAGATTCGTTCGATCAAATCCAGGTCGTCCAATTAAGTCCTCTGAACGTGAAGGGTAGGAGCTACCTCAGTACTGTTGCCGAAGTGTACTTCCCGTCATCAGAGGTGGACGCTCTGCAAGAGCTCGTTCAAAATAGTGAGAGTAAGCTGTACCTGAGCGCTAATAGCGCCTTGGCTGGTTTAATCGATACTACAATTCCGCTCACGGGACTCGTTCAGAGTTCCGATGGCTCATCGGACGACACCAGCTCTCAAAGCAGCACGTCGCAAAGCAATTCAGAAGGAAACACGGACTCGACCGGTGGTTCCCGCGGTCGTATTGCGGGAACCCTGGACGTTACTTACAACGCTTCTGCTAGTTCAAAGGGTCAACCAGGAAACAATGGAAAATTGGTTGGTTTGATCATCGGTGTCGTCGTAGGTGCAATTGTGTACCTTGCCTTTATGGTTGTTGGCTACAGATTTTTCGTTTTGAAACGTAAACAGCAGGCCCACTCCAATGATTTGGGTGACGGTCAATCTCTTGGCTCTAGTACGGACCACGGATCTTATCTTTATGATGAAAAGGAAAATGGTGACCAGGTATCTTTGTCCCCAAGTATGCGAATCAACAATTGGATGAGACACAACCACTATGAGTATTCTGGAGAAGGACAACAAAACCTGGGCGAGCAACATTCGTCGCAACCAAAAATTTCAAGACCTATCGCAACGGAGAATTCCCTTGGATGGAATGACGTGTAAAGGAATTGAAATGAAATGTATGATACCCAATTTTTTAAATATTTGTTACTTCTTAAACATGTATTCTATTAATTCAAAAATGCGCTTTTGAATGCTAACTGAAAAATCGAACGACAGACTCTTGAAACCTTGCTGGCTCCTCTCCCATTATGATATGGCCAGTATTAAATTCCTCGACTTTGAAGTTCGGAAAATGCTCAGCTAGCAGAGAATAGTCATTCTCGATAAAAGGAGACTTAAGACCCTTCAGGAAAAGAGTGACCGTGTCAGTAGTTGCGTTGTAGCCCTCATAAGAGAGTCGATCGGCACTAGGCCAGTCTCTTAGATCTTCTATAAGACCCGGCATTTGTAAGATTGGATTAGCAAATGTGATGTAAGGATCTTCGTCTAATGAAGGTTCATAAGGTTTTGCATTGCTCTTTACTGATAAAAACCCAGAGGCAAAATACAAGATGACGGATAATTTGTCATTTGCAGGGATGCTTTGGAATTCTCTAAGAACTTGCTTTTGCCATTCTTTGGCACCTTTTTTTATCTTAATACGTCTCTCACATATGTCGCGAATCTTGGCAATATTCTCGAGCAAGAGTCTGTTTAGGCGTGCTAATCTGTAGGGCGGCATGTCAATGGATATGCATTTTTCTACTTTGAGAGTCTTCGAAAGCGATGACAAAAGACCTACTCTGCCTCCCATTGAGAATCCTAAGATCGAAACTGGAACATCGACACCAATATTGTTTGCACAGAAAAGACTGAGATCTCTGCTCAGCGTAACGTAATCGTAGGGCCTTGCTCGAGGTGATGATCCATGGTTTCGTAGATCTACCGAATATATGTCCGTGTTTAAAATCTTAGACAACTCTTTGCCGAGGGTGAGGAAGTTCTTCCGCGATCCGAAAACCCCATGTAACAAAATGATGGGTGGTCTGGGCGATGGTGGACTATGGCTGGCACAGTGTGAAAATGCAAGGTCAACCGTCGATTTAAACGGCAATGTAAGTTTTGAATTCATGGGTTCATAACAAGTCTCTATTAATTATCAAACGAGGGCGTGCAAAATTCAGTCTTTAAAGATCTCCTTTGGGCGTATTTTTGGATCAATTGAAGTTAGTATAATGGTCGCTTCCAATCTCAGAATCGGACAAGAGTCAGGTGTCAGGATCTGTGAGCTATTTTGGCAGAAAGGCCGATTGATATTTTCAAGTTCTTTGAATCTGGTTGACGAGATTTGTGATACATAAGCCGAAATGAATTCGAGTTCCAAATTTCAAGGATCTAAACCAAGGACTTAAGTCAATTATTTGGTAAATAGTTAACTCCCTTGCCAGTACTTTCTAAATATAAAGATCAAGGTGTTGCTCTCGAGAGTTAAATTGACTACCGATTTAAGCAGAGATCTTGAAAATCGATTCAACAGCTACTGAGACCGGCCAAAACAGGCGAATAATTCTACGCCTCATTGTGACTCAATATAGAGCTTTTGACCAAAGTTTGAGGAGTCTTCTTGATTTTATTTCAAACTTCGATTTGAGGTAACTCGAATACGAATGATTTCTGGCAATTTTCGTTGAATTCATTACCAACTGAAAGAGATGTCAAGGGCAAGAAAAATCGACAAACAGCTTCTTTGGGGAGCCGAAAATTCTTCTGGTAACGATGATGGCGATGCATTCCATCCATTGGATGAAGATGAGCAAGACGAGATAGTGGACAGGCTAGCAGTTCGGAGTTCTGTAAGTAACTTTCGTGCTGTCCAAATTTTGAGCATTCTGTTCTTGCTTTGTAGCGGAGCGTTTCTCATGACGTTCACCAAAATTCGAAAATTGGAACAGGAAGAAGGTCAGATGAAGCAGCAGCTTTTGTTTTCAGTGATCTCAATTATATGCTCGCTTATGAACCTGAGATATAAGATCGTTAGAGAGATTAAAGTAGCGGAAAAGATTCGGTTTAGAATAACTAGCCACCAAATCAACATTTCCAATTTAATCCTACTCTCATTTCTAGCATGGAGCGCAATAGACGGCTCAAAGATGAAACTTGTGACTTTTCTGCTATTTGTCCCCCATATGTTGTTCGCCGTGAGTTGCATTGTCAACAGCTTCATAGATAAGTTGGCTGGAGAATTGGATAATTTAAGAGGTCTCAAATACAAGTTCAAGAGTGCATGATCTATGGCATACAAGTGGCTTAATTTACCAAAAGAGGACAAGATTGAAATACACTACCTCTTAAAGTTCTGTGTCCTCTGTCCTACTCGATCGAAGATTCATAACAGACTTAACCCATCCGAATTCAACTCGTGCTGAGAATAATGTGAGATTTGGTATTGGTGGTGCTGTAGTACTATTGGTTGACGGAAACATACTATCTGAGTGGAAAACTTCGATTAGATTTCACGACCTCGCCTCCTAAATATCGGCTACAATTTCCGGAACATGCCGGTTAGCTGTCTTCTGTTTTAACTTTGAGTGCCAAGTCAGTAAGATATTGAGATATGACAATTCTTGGAATTGCCTTAGCAATTATGGTACAACTACTTTTTGCTAATGCTAAATACTCATGTAGACGTGTCGCATTTTAACAGCATTCAAAGAATATCTAATTTCGCAGATAAATTGTCTTAATACCATTCGATCATATCACTAGAGTCTATGATAAAGTCGTTTTCCGTCTGGTTCACAATTTGAAGGAAATGGGAGGGAACCCTTTTAAGAGAAATATATATCTTGAAGCTTAGCATAATGTTCTTGAATTGCTAAGGAATACCTGAAGGCGGGCATAAAAGACCTTGAGAATATATTTTCATACTGAAATTGGGCTGGGAAAGTCACTATTTTGATATGAGAATCAACGCAATCAATCCAATATTTCAAAGCACAAGATGCTTCACAGCGTCGGCTCAAGCTCTCAAGTATAAGAAATGGATTGATCTTTCCAAGAAAGATAAGCAAAGTTTCATAAGAGGGTACGTTGACATGTATAAGGAGAAGAATCCTTGTAGCAAAAGCAACCTGATGCACCGCTCTTTAATGGGAGAAATGGAAGAACATGACGACACTCCATATGTGTTTGGCATTCTTTACAATGAGATCAGGGCTGTAGCACTTGGAGAATCTCAAGACAACATTAAGGGTTCGGGGCATTTGGGGGATCCGTCTTTCGAAAAACTGTTGTTCAAATAATAGGCTTTACGAGTAGAATCGTCTACCCGATTTCTTTCTACATATGGTTTCTGCTACTTAGTGAATAGAATGAGATGGTGCGAAGATCAGTGTACTACGCGAAGACCCTGTTTAAGTTGTCATTGGTCTCAACGGCGTCCATGTGTGTTATGTGTTTGATAATTTCCTGTTTGCTGGTTTCCACCAGTGAACCATCGCACATCAGCATTTCATTCAATATGTCATATGCTTTGGCGAAATTGAAAATGATGTCAAGCTCACATACGTTGTTGAAATAGGTATCCATGATTTCGACGAATCTGTGAATTATTTCCAAGGTTAACAATTCATTATCACTGTCTGCGTTAATGCCACAAACAAAATACAGACTGGCATATCTCTTGTATACCACTTTATGGTCATGATACTCCAAGATATTACACATTCTGGCCTTCCTTGAGAGCACTATAGCTGCTAGTTCTTTTAACATTTTAGACTCTTCCTTAGCTGTGAAAGTGTGGTACCATCTCACAAGCCTTACTTTCCCCTGCCTCGATATGAGGATCATGTATTTGATATCAGTCATGGTATTTAGGCTGATAAAATTGGGGTTATCGACAAGTTTAAGCTTCTCGCTTGACTTGTTTTCAAATAGTCTGTGAAACCGAAGTTAGTCTGAAATTTTCGTACATCTGCGAAGCTTCACTGATGTGTGATATCCAACTCCTCGCACACCCGTCGAGTCGCAAGGGACAAAGAGGGCTTTGGCCGGTTATCTTATTTACTGTCTTGCACAATTGGATCTGAGACGCTGGTAGTTTGCTGAAGTTTGGCTATCTACTTTGATATTTGGTAGTGATTGCGTTGTTCACAAGATTTGACAATATACAATAGTAGTTAAGTAACCTTCATCTTTCACAGAAACTGTCCAGATTTCTCTTTAGGAGACACCGGTATTAACGGGAATTTTAGTCCAAATCTCTGCTAGCACAATGCTTGGAATCTGCATAAATCATTCGGTTTCCTCGAGGATATTTCTGAGGAAAAGGGCTTCTTTGATAATAGGAACTGAGAACCGGTTTTTCTGTGTATGCAACACTCGACTAAAGTAATGCCCAGAAGAAAGGACGGGGGGCTCGACCTTACAATAAATCCGAGCCATGATTCAGTGCTTAGTTTCCAGCTCATGGACATTGTCAATTAAAGACTCACATCATCATTACTCAACTACGCGAACAACAAGGTACTTACTAGTTGTCCTGTGTAGGTGGTCGCCATGGTTCAGGCTTGAAATATTCTTGATCCTTGGCCACTTTTAGCTTGAAATTTTGTGGATCGGTCGCAAACTGTAGTAAATACTCCAGTTCGAGTTCGTGGCATTGTCTACCCAGAATGACTAGCGAATGGAGAGGCTCGCCCGAATCGTAATCTGCTAACTCTTCTATGGTGCCAGACTTAAACGTCTGTGTAGGAGCTCCTAGACGGCTGATAGCCACAGCTGGGGTTTCTGGAGTGTAGGCACTGCTTTGACGTCCTTCTTCGATTTCCAGCAACTGTTCACAACATTGCGCAATCGACATGTAACGGGGTGGCTCGTAAATGAGTCTGCCGCGCGCCATATTCTCTATACTTTGCTCTTTAACCTTGATATCCAGCAAAACAAGCGTATGCAAACCGATTTTACGGTTTTCCCAAATCTTGTCGTACCACGAATCAGGTCTCCAATTGTCGGTGAAAAAAACCATCGAGACAGTTTGGCCGAAGTTGTAGAGCTGCAAACCACAGCTTCCGACAGCGTTCATGACAGAAGCGTTATGCACGATCTCAACGTCAATTTTCTGTTGCCGCGCTCTTAGAACGAGATCGGTATGGGTCGTTGCCCCAAAAGGATCACCCACGACAAGAAATGCGACATCTTCCTTGTCGCTATCCCTCAAAATCTCTTGTAAACCAGTCTCAACCATTTCACGATCCGCCATCACAATTTTCTTCCCGTAAAATTCCTCCAGCTCTGTCTGCGATGCCGCCATTAAGATACTGGTATAGTGCTCCAAGTACACCCTAGAGCATTTTTTAACGATTTCAAGACCACGAACAGTAATATCTGAGGAATAGGAAAGCCCCAATCCAATTAAATACAACATGATAGCGCCTTTATCTTCTAATTTTCCCTCTCTAAATTGATGCTTCGAAGATTACAGACAACTAAAATTTTTCAATTTTTTCAAGAGGGGACCCTTCAGACGTCTTAGATTCTATACAATTAATATCGATGTGACGAAATCTAAGCCGACTTGAAAGCAAAAATTCTCATGAGGAACTTGCCTGGCTTTGTTTAATAGGGTGTATTTACCCATTGTGTAAAAGACAATTGGATATTGGTTTGTCTTTCTATCTTTTCACATCTTCAAGTGCTTTGCTCATATACCCCGAGCTCGTACAAAGGTCCCTCATCGCAGACCTTAGACACTGCTGACGATTTCCCCGCGATGATTTGTGACATTCAAGAGAAAGCGCAGTTTGGTGAAGGAGGAAAGAATAATTGTCAACTCGCAACCGCTACAATCCCATCACTTCATGAACTCACAAGCTAGGGAAGACTTAGAAAGTCAAGCTCTAGACGTATCAGCAAGACAAAGTGAGCGTTATGGTGCTTTGCCAAGCGTGACACCGGGAGAAAAGGTACGAAAGCCCTGGTTGCTTAAATCATTGCTGTTTTCTGGAGTAGTTAGTATTTTAGGTTTTTTGGCAACTTACTGGGCCTTCCAAAGTGTGCCTTCGATGGACTCGATTGAGAAGTACTTTGAAGACGCTACTCGGGTTCAAATATACAAAATTTCGTTTGTGGAATGGACGTCAAAAGAGGCTTACGGAGAAGCAGGTTTTAGTGATGAGGTTGAATTCAATGGTCAAGATTTCCTGAAATTGAAAGTAGAGCTGAGTGTTTCGATCGATCACGGCAGCCAGCAAGACAACAATATATCAGGGATGACCGAACGCCAAAAACAGTTAACGCGGATTGTCAGTAATCACTTGGCTGAAATCTGCTTGAAGGGTACGAATGTGACCACTTTTAATGACAATGAGACGGATTCTGAGTTCATTGCGCTGGCAAAAATTCCAGAGCCGGTATGCATTGATCTCCGGCATAACGTTACAACGAGACTAGAAGTGCCAATTTATATCAAACCTGACGCTAGAAATGCTGCGTCTGTTATCATGAAAATTTGGAGAAGGAAGTTTAATGACTTTGATTTGTGGTCCTCGGTAGCGACCTCTGTTGGCAAGGAAGTGTGGCGTGGACGTGAAGTTACAATAAGCAATATTAAGTTAGATCGCATTGCCTGGAACGATATTATCGACTGGGACGACATCCATCTGGGGCTCATAAAGCTTTTAAAGCCGCTGCAGGAAGCGGTGCAAGTGGAGCAAGTTGAAATTACTGATATTCACGACGGATTTCGATTAGAAATCGGCGTTAGAACAAATCTACCTGACACACAGAAGTGGTTGAGTTTTCCTAATCAAAAATATTTACCTTCGACGACGTGGAATGCCCGGTTACCAGATTGTGAATCGAAATATAGCATTAGCTTAGAAAATGCGACTTTTTCGATTCCCAGCCTTCAGATGCGAGATTTCAATGATAATAATGGCGTGTTACGAACCACCATAGTTGGTGAGATCTCAGGACTTTTGCCTGAAGATCTTCTTTATAAAGTTTGCTCTTCTGACGAGGAAAACGTGGTGACACCCATAAGCAAGCTAATCCGTGGGGTGTTCAATCAGACTGAACTCCTAGATTTTGAGGTTGTGGGTCACGGCCTCAAAGCCTGCAACGAAAGTATTGTTCCTTTGCAGTTCATTGCAGAGTTGATTCCAATGATCGAATTTGCCTTGGGCGCCAATTTCACTTTAGATGCTGATCAAATTGTTGAATGTGTGTCAATGGATGGGCTGGAATTCAAGTGGGTCGAAAAAAACTGGGAGGAAAGACAACTGACTCTTCTAGGCAATGTTGTTTCAATTATAAATGTGCCCTTTTATACTTTCTCCTCATATTCAGCCGATGAGAGCATTTCAATCGACAGAATCAAAGGAATAACTAAACTGTATCACAACGATATCCACTTCTTAACAGTTCCGGTAAGAGTGTGGACAGATGCAGAATCTGAGTTTATTAACCAATCTGGCTCCAATACAACGCAACTGCGAGTTTCTTTTGACATAGCTGGGAAGGAAGTTGAAGTCATTGATCACTTGGAGCTTACTCGATGCTTCAATGAGATAATCATTCGGGGAAAGTCCGAAATATTTGTCGAGAGTACCTTGGATCTTATGGTTAGTACTAAACTCGGAGATTTCGTTCTTTTGGGTCTATGTGGAGAAGGGAAAACGGTAGTGAGAAAGGGTGCGAGAATGGATCTCGATTAGATCTCCCACATTAATCACTGCAAGTGATGAGAGAGACAGATCGGGCATTTTTACGCTTAGGGATTTTATTGTGTGCATTTGCTCTAATTTCTCAAGCTAAAGCCCAGCTTATCTGCTACATCTCCAATTTAACCGAGCGCCCTGTCGTAGTCCGCATCCTTGCCGTTGTCCACCTCGCGCTTGCTTGGTGTTCGTATAGTATGTTCTGATGATATAAATTCATGTAGTGACGATATTAAGGTGCTATCAAATCGCCCAAATTGGAGATTACACTAGAGTTACTATGAAGAATGCATGAGACACACCAAACCAGTCGAAAATATGGCCGACAAGAAGAAAAGGTCCCGTGGAGGCTGTAAAAATTGCAAAAGATCCAAAATCAAATGTGACGAGACTAAACCGAAATGCTTAAATTGCTTGAAAAAAGGCTCAACTAACTGTGATTATTCAATTGTTTTGGTGTGGGGCGGAAGGCCCTTCAAGTCTAGAAAGAGAAGAACGCTAGCATTACCGCATACCACTTGGATAAATGGCGTATTGAAATTGGAGAATGATTCAGTAACGGAGAAGCTGGCTTCTGAAATGACTTCCGAAATCATTACACGGCCAGATGCATTCAAAACAGAATTCATACAAGACGATTTGGTACCATCCGAGCAGACCTTCATTTCAAATGACTGCTGCTCCCTGGAACCTTCTACCGGTGGCTTACAGTTGAGCAACTTGCATGAATCGAGTTTGAGCACGTCAGAAATGGGCCCGTTCAAGGCATCAACACCTCCCCAAATCAACCTACGAAGCCTTCACCTTCCAGATCCCAGGCCTGCCATTCTGACCCAAAGCAGCTATTACTCGGAGATTTTTGATTTTTACTTAAAGGAAACAGCGCATCTGTTTGTTCCAGCGCCCCGTACCTTGTATGCTCACAATCCTTTTCATACAATCTTGCCTCAAATGGCAATGAGAAATTCTACATTGATGAATCTGCTGCTTGCTTTTGGAATAAATCATAGACTCAAGTTCATTATTCCTGGTGAAGACTTGGCTTTTGAAGCCCTCGACGAGACCTCTTCGCTTATTTCAGATGGGCGTCACATCGTGAGTAACCTCTTGACGCGAACTCTTCAAGATCTTCTTAATCAACTGATTCTCCCCGACGCACAACATAGCGATATGACTCTAATTACTATAATGATGTTTGCTGGTTTCGACATATTTTTCAGTGACGCCAGGTATAAATGGCGGTCTCACATTTATGGGGCCAGGAGGATTATGAGGCGTCGATTGGAAGCAAGCTCTCAAAAATCTCTTGCCATTTCGCATAGCGAGCATACTACTGAAAATGCTTTTTTCACAACAATGTGGTTTTCTTATCTCAACATAATATCGGTTCTATCATCGGTTAACACTAACGGGAGTGAGTTTGATCTATCTGGTATAAAGTACGACTTCTCAGCTGTCGATGATGTGAAATCTATACACAGTCTTCGTGTGCGTTTGAAAGACATTGAATATTTTACTGGGCTGGACCTCAAAAATCTTTCCTTTCTCGCGGGTGTCGCGTCATTGCTTAGTCGTGCAGAAAGCAGTATAGATTCAACACCGTCGCAAGCTGTTATTGTAGAGGCATTCGAGCTCAGTAACCAAATCCTTCGATATTTAGATAAGAGTGAGCGAGAGAGAGAGGAGATTTACCAGGAATTCTTCGCTGGTCGATATGACTCTGAAAGTTCAAGGCAATACGAAGACTACAAGACTCTTCGGGCTACAAACTTAATCTTTGGCTTAACGGGTGCATTGCAGCTTTTGAGACGAGTCATAGGCATGCAGGCTGATAGCGAGCTTGTTCGAGACATTTTGCAGCGCATCACCATTCTAATAAAAACTAAGATTCCAATTGGCTCCTCAACTGCCGCATGCATTACTTTTTGTCTGTTTTGCTGTGGGTCTGAACTTCACGATGAAAGTTCAAAAAGCGACCGGCAAGTTTACACTGACAATTTGAGTGCTCTTGGTAAGAGGGGAATGACTAGTGCTTATAAGGCAAATTTGCTTATGAGACAATGCTGGCACCAGAAAAAGGCCTGGTGGATCATTCTTCAAGAAAGCAATCTGGATATTAACTTCGCTCTTTAAGAAAGTTGTTAATGACAGATTTATTTAGAACCTGTCATGCAGGATGATCAATAGATTTTTTCTAATATTTTTGACAGCTTAATTCGAAAGTTTAAGGTGAATGTCGCTGACGTGGCATAAAATGTAAAAGGTTTGAAAAATTCTTTAGGTAACAAAATGTCATCGCAGGTGTTCACTAAAATCCACCTTTCGAATTACTTGAAATTACACATCCAGTTCAAATAACTCCTTGCCTACTTGACGAACATGGTGGTCTACGAGCAACAAATATCATCTATGACATTACATATCTGATAAACGACGATTACTACAATCTCTACAGTACCCAAAGTCTTGACCGAAACCAATGGCTAAGACAAAATAAAGACCGTTTTGTGCAATGGATTAGTTAGGAATGTTAACTTGGCAATTGAATTTTCATGTATAAAATTCAGCGCTAAAATTTCTACAACGCTAGCTCCTCCTCTCCCAATGGTTTTCGCCAACTCCGTTTGTACTAGTCCGGGAGGTGATGTTAGACGCCATTTACACGTGAATCGACCACTATTTACGAATTGGACGGTCCGAGTCGCGTTAACCTTGCCTCGAATAAATCGTGCACTCAAACATCTGAACCACCTCACTTCGTCTGTCCAATAAGAAGCGAAACGCCCAATTGCTCGAAAAGTCCGAGCGGCCTTTGCCTCACGAAGAACACCGTCAGTCACTTGACAACAACGTCAGAATAAAGTAAAACTAAAGAAGACAAGTTTTGCTCGCTTTAACAATTATTTCGAGAAAGTAGCTTATACAGAGCCGTTTTGTTACAGGGCCCTCATTTGATCCACATACAATTTAGAGAAATCGTATACGATTCGACTCAAACGAGCTATATTGAGCTTTCAACCGTTGGGACCTACCAGCCTTGACGGATAAATATGAGCAGGGTCCAAACAACTGTCGTTTAATAAACTCGCGCCACTAGAGCATCTCGGGCAAATTTATCATGTTATAATGAACTTTCCTGACTAGGAAGATTTTGGCGGAGAAATGAGCTTCGAAAAAAAATTTTTTTTCTATGCAGAATGGCTGCTGCGCAAATTTTTTACCGCGTCTCTCGTACAGAATCAATTCCGCGTCATCGTTAACCATCCGGGTTCGGAGAAGTGAGTCTCGAAATTAGTATATGTACTAAAAGTGGGTGCAGTCCCGCTTGCTAAGGGCTGCGTTGTATACGTCGCTGGAAAGTGCACCTACTCAAACTTCGCGCTGAGTAGATGTTGATACTTAAGCAGAGTAATGCCATGCTGACACCGTAACGGAGTTTTTTGCCAAGACTTTCAACGTGCCTACACAAGCTGTCTTAGGCAACCCTGTCAAATTAGCTAAAATGACCGGTAGAAGCTTAAGAGTTCGCATAAGAGAATATTTTGGAAATCCGGGATGCCGTCCAGACGTAAATCACAAAGCTCCCATATGTGCCGGGGGGATCTTTTTGCATCACGGGGATGCCGACTCCAAGAGTGAGCAAAAAGAAGAGGTGAATACCGTGAGCTCCGATAGCGACCAAAGCAGTTTTGACAATGTTGAGCTTGGGCTCAGCAACGGAAAAGTTTGGACAAAGCTGAATTATACCGGTCTGAAAAAAGACTCTTTCGACAAAGGGCTAGATCGATTGGTTGATTTTGCTGGGTCGCAGTTGGTATTTTTTTTCATGTGGATTATCCTCATCGTTTGGATCATTGTAGGGATTATTTACAAAGCGCCTGATAACTGGCAAATCGTCATGCAGGACGGACAGTCGATCCAATCTTACTTCTGGGATACGCTTTTGATGAGACAGCAATTAAATAGTAGCCACGAGCACGTCTGGATCTGTGCCAATATTAGGTCCCGTCTGAAAACTATCAAGAGGTTTTGCACGACTGAGGATCGAAAGGGAAACAAGTCAACTGCTTGTCAAGTAAAGCGCAGCGACATTTCTGCAGCACTTCCTGTTGAAAGCTGGTACGACAGAGTGTGTTCGAAGGCTGGCGAAATTATCGGGTCTTTGCCCGTCATGATCGTATTTTGGCTCGGCATTTTCACTTGGGTTGGCTGCGGGGCTGTGCCAACCGCAACAGGAAACAAACCACCATACAGCGCAAGCAATCCTAAGATGGCGAAATTTAGTGATGAGTGGCAACTCTACGTGAACACCTCGACTGCCGTTATCATCTTAGTGTGCTGCGTGTTCCTACAGAATACTAGAGCCAGACACGATAGATTCATTGCGAAATTCATCTTGGAAATTTCAAGAATGGACCAAGCAATTGAGAGGCATTTGAGAACCTATTTTTGCGACTTTGAAACAGATAATCCCAATGTCTGCATACCAACTCACAAACGGAATAATCTAACGAAATGCATTGACTGGTATGCCGATGTCATCGGTACGGGTATCGGTGTCTGTATTGCGGTTGGCGTCATCGCTGTCTGGATAGCCATCGGGAAGCCCATGTCCTGGAATGGCAACTGGTGGCTCATTATCGGTACTTACACAGGCTTAGTCGGCTTTCTGGACGGTTTTGTTCTGAGACAGGTCTATTTTAAGATTGTCGTTCACGAAGAGAGCAATTATGCGACAGTGGCAGAGGAAGATTACGGGCTTTTCCAAATTTTGGGAATTGAGCTCCCCGATGATTGCATAGCAAACATTGATTCTTTTGCTCCTCTCAAATCTATCACATATCGCATCTCTTGCAAGATAAACTCGATCTGCTCATCTGAATGGAGTGTCTTGGTGTCCGTTGTCATGATTATATCTCTTATAGTGATTGCATCCTGTCTTCACTGGAGCGAAACGGGTCAACTGATCTGCAACACACCTACTATGATTATTGAAGCTTTTTTTCTTATTGTTCTACTGCAGGCCCATAATTGGGCGGACAAAAAGCGGCGGTTACAAGTCTCGGCGCTCTATGCCCGCAGAGTTGCTTTACTATCATATGTGGAGGAGTCCTATTCATTATCCCGCTGAACGAAAAAGGAAGCGAGAAACAGTTGATAAGGGCGTTTAAATTATCTCGAAAATGATATATCCATAGGCAGTGAATTTTCGTTATCAAAGAAAGATAGATAGATAGATAAATAGATAAGAACGCTTATCTATACAAGCTTTCGATTTGCAGTTCTCACCGAGAGACAAGCAGAAGAAGACTTCGGACCTTTGTCAACGTTCCAGAAAGATTTACGGCTTGATATACCAAAAAAGGAGGAGTTTAACCTAATTTTGATACCGAGGACCGAGCTCTCGGTATGTTCGAGCACTATCTTTAATCTGATAGCATATAATATGCATGGGAGATAAAGTCATTATCTTTGAGAACAGCGACCAGACATGAATCTATCCATACAAAAGAATAACCAAACGTCTTCGAGAGCATCATAACTTGGCCTCTGGTCTTTTATTTCTTAACCGACGAGTTACTGCTAGAAAAGCTATCAGTGATGAAAACAAACGCTGGCGAGGCGGGAGACACTGTGTCGTCCGAATCACAAGATGAGAAAAATCTGATTCAAACTAATGTGCAAAACATGGGGTTCGCAGAAGCCGATATTGGGGCGGAAGCCGTGCTTTCGACCATCATGTCTCCTCATGGAAAGGTCGTGGAAATCACTGGTGATTTTGATGATGCCATGAAGCTTGCCTTCGAAGCTAAAGATATAGAACTAACCCCAGAAGAGGATAAGAAACTAGTCCGTAAAATCGACCTTTGTTTGTTTCCCCTAATGTCAATCCTTTACGCCGTGCAATTCATGGACAAAACCACAAACAGTAACGCGGCCATCATGGGCCTCTTAAAGGATCTAAAAATGACCGGGAATCAATACACATGGGTTGGTTCCTCTTTTTACTTTGGATATCTGTTGGGTCTATTCATCCTGCCACCTTTACTGCAGAAAACCAAATACTTCATGAAACTCCTTTGTGCTATTATTGTGGTGTGGGGAATGGTTTTGGCGTTGCACTCTGCACCAACCGTCAATTATGCGTCCTTCATCTTCCTGAGATGTTTGTTAGGATTTTTTGAGAGCGCAGTCACACCTGCCTTTACCATTATTACCGCCCAGTATTGGAAGAAAGAGGAACAGTTTCTGAGAATCTGCATTTGGTTTGGATTCAATGGTTTAGGAGGCATTTGGGGCTCGGGTATGGCTTACGGTCTTTATACTCGTTCTGATTCCTACTCGATTCCCGCCTGGAAGATTGTTTTTATCACCACTGGATGTATCACGATTTTTGTGGGTATGCTAATGGCGGCCCATCTTCCCGATTCGCCCCAGAACGCTTGGTTTTTAACAAAGCGGGAAAAACTTTTACTTGTTCAAAGAATCAGAGGTAATCAGCAGGGGTTTGGGAATCATAACATCAAAAAGCACCAAATTATTGAAGCACTCAAGGATCCTCGAACTTGGCTTTACTTCCTATACTCAGTGGCGGCTGATATTCCTAATGGTGGACTAACCAATTTTCAATCCATACTCATCAAAGGAGATTTTGGATTTACAACAGATAAGTCTTTATTGGTTGCAATGGGAATGGCAGCAGTAGAATGGGTTGGTCTGCCTGTTTTCGGCTTTGCCTCATATTATTGCTCCAAAAAGAAGATTAAATATTTGGAGGATAGGTTAGTTTGGTCGATGATCAGCACGAGTTTGGTTCTCATTGCTTGTTGTATGCTGGCTTATGCCGATAAGGATAGACATGCGCGGTTAGGTGGGCTGATGCTGACCTACATAGCGCCTGTGGCTTTTATTTGCGTACTCGCGAATATTTCGGCTAACACACTTGGCTACACGAAGAAATGGACTGTTTCTTCAATTAACTTGTTGGCTTATGCAGCTGCGAACATTGCTGGCCCTCATACTTTTATTGCCAGCCAAGCACCTCATTATGCCGGAGCGAAGACTGCGCTGGTTGTTTGCTATGCTTGTGCCATAGTCATTCTCTTGGCGCTATACATCATAAACATCCGGGAAAATAAAAGGAGGGATAAACTGCAAGCTGCAGGCCAGGTTGCTGAAATCGAAAATATGGAATTTGCGGATCTTACAGATTTCGAAAATCCTTATTTCAGATACACTCTATAGATAGGGAAAGATAGCTTTATATTTGGAAATGTGCTCTTATCAAAGGCAGTTTGTTTTGCAAAACTCTCTCGTCAAAAATTGGAGTCAATCTTGGCTGCATAAAGCTTATGATATTCCTATCTTCGAGAACTATATAATAGGGTTCATTTTGGACTTCTAAACAGTTGAAGTCATATTCATAGCATTTCAAAGCGCTCCGCCTTAGTTCGGAATCTCGATATTATTATGGCGTTCATAAAAAATACACCGATAGCCACCGAAAATTGCCGCAGAGTTGATGTCCAAATAGGTAACCAAGGGACTGTTACAGGGTGTGCTCTAAGAAGTCCTCGATCAAAAAAAGAATTGTGCCATCGTTTCTGTGGAATTCCTTACTCGCTTTCTGTAGATGGAGAAAACAGATTCAAAAGGCCAAGGAAAATCCCGGAGGACTTTGATTACACCGGCGAATATATTGATTTCAAGTTGAAATGTCCTCAACCTGCCAGTGATGATATTCGTTTGGGTTATATTAAGTCTCCAAGTGACGAGAATATCACTTACTTGAATATTTCCGTTCCGGCTTCTGATAAGTTCAAGCCCAAGGATGGCTGGCCAGTTTTGATTTATATTCATGGCGGCTGGTTACAAAACGGTTCTCCAAGCTCGGATGCTTACAACGCAATGGAACTTTTTGATGATGAGGAGACTCGCGACAAGTTCATCTTAGTCACTCCGGGATACCGACTCAACATTTTTGGATTTTTATCATGCGAAGAACTTCTGAAAGAAGACTCCAAAGGATTGAACGTGGGTTTTTGGGATCAGCGCTTTGCATTAGAATGGGTACATGATAACATCAAATATTTCGGCGGGAACTCTGAAAAGTTAACTTTGAGCGGCTTGAGTGCTGGTGCCTATTCCACCTTTTTCCAGCTGGCCTACGAGCTTTACCATCAAGAAGAAAGCCAATTAATAAAGCAAGTGATCTTTTTTTCGAATTGTCTCTTCGTTCAGCCTAAAACTCTTAGCGAGACACAAGAACAGTTTGAAGAGGTTTGCGCTAAGCTTGCTATATCCTCTGACCTTGCTCCTGAAGAAAAACTGACTGCGCTCCGTAAAATAGATGCAGGCTATCTTGAGGATATCATACCCGAATTGAGGATGCACACTTTCCGTGCAGTGACTGACGGCGAATTCGTACCTCCAACACTTTTACAAGACATTTTGTCCGGAGAATATGCTCAAATGCTGAAAGCCAAAGGAGTCCGGCTCATGTGTGGCGACGTTAGTAATGAAGGGCTAACATATTCCGTTTTCAATCCTCCAACAAGTCTTCCAAATCTGATAGATCAAGTCGAGAACTACTATCCAAAAAAAGTCGTCGATTCTTTGTTAGAAGTTTACGACGTTAACCAAATCAGCAATCCAGCTGAAAGTTCACCATTGGAACTCAGCAAACTTTATGGAAAAATTGTGGCAGATGGACAAGTTTACGCATCGCTCAGGGGCTTCTTGGACAAGATTATCAATAACGGCTTCCCTCAACAAGACGTCTTTCGGTATCGAGTAAGTTTCCGACCAAAATATGTTGATGAGTTTCTGGCTCCCAATGATGGAGTGCCCCATGGCTGTGACACTCCGATCTGGTTCTACTCTTTGAGGGACGGTTACAACGAAGAAGAGATTACCATTACCCGAAATTGGCTAAAACCCTATTTAAGTTTTCTCAATTTTAATGACTATATTGACGGTTGGAGTTCGGCAGATATTAAAAAAATTCGATGGTTTAAGCAAGACGGCTCAATTGAATATGAAGCGGATCCTGACTGGGACAGAGGTGTGAAAGTGGCGAACGTGGCGTATATGGCGCAAGTCTGATGATGTTTTCTTCATTTAAAGCTTGACCGACCTCAATTCATCGAATAGTTTGCCTCTCGCGCCTTGAGAAGATTCTTCGAAAACTAAAGCCTATTTATCTTTGTTGGCTTCGCTTGTCTGTAAGTTCAATATCTTACAAGCTTCAGTCTCTCTCCTCATCGTCATGTCTCATATAGCATCTGCTAGGTGGTCAGATAAAGCAAACTTTAGAACAGAGGCCTCTTTAAATCACAAGTACGTCTATATATTATAGCATCCCCCCTGTTTCCATGCATTGAGCGCTAAAATATAATCTTTTGAGATGTTGTTTCATCTAAATTCCCAATCAACCACACAATGACTGACAAAAGAATGTATGGCTATCCGTTTTAAAATTCATTCAAAACCTCTTTTAGAATCTCTGGATACCATCTTGCAGCAACGTCCTGGTGCGATTTGATCCTATTGCGAAAAACTGCGTATCCAACTGGATGCCTCTCCAAATCCGGGGTATATTGGAAGCCTACATCAGAGCCCCAATCTTTAAGAAGCTTATCTCTTATATCTCGCTTCCTCAAAATCTGCGTCGGAATCCCTGAGATGATGCTCTTGTGGGTATCCAAATCGATCGTTTGGAAAAAAGGTATTGACAGACGGATGCCGGAATGGGCTTCTGGACTCAGAACTCGATGTATGGTAGCTTTACATACACCGTCAGAAATCGCTTCTAAGGTCTGTCCAACGTTAACAACCACACTTCCCGGAAGGTTATCGACAGAGATCCATTGTCCTTGGAAATTCTGAACCTGAAGGCAACCTTGGTGATCGGACGCCTGAAAAATGTACGTCAAAAGGTCTGAATCACGATGAGGCCCAACTCCTTGACCTGGTTTTGCTGCTCCCTCGTTGACATCGTTTTCTGAATGTTCTGGGTAGGCAATAATTTTCATTTTACATTGCTGGTTTGGTTTCAAATACGAATCGAACCCATCCGGAAGTAGACCAATCGCTTCACAAACAAGTGAACGGAATACAGTGCTAAGCAATGTCATTTTGTTAATGAATTGCGTTACGCAAGGTCGGAATTTCGGAATATATTTAGGATCAGGCCACAGGTTTGGGCCTTCAATTTGCCTATATATAGGCTCTCCTGGCCCAGGTGCAGGCAGTTCGGTTGCGAGGTCAATTTGCTCCCTCCAGTCCGCCTTCTTAGCCGTGACTTCGTTTCCCAGTCTCGTGTATCCTAGGAAGTGAGGTGAGTGTATCATTTCACAGCGCTCTTTGACATCATCAGGAAGTTCAAAAAACTCGATGGCTTGTTCCTTGATCTCAGCAAAGTCTTTACTGTTCGGTCCGATGCCTCCAAAATTAGTCAAGAGAAGAAATCCGACGTTGATCAGAGCGTCACGTAAGTCTTCCAGAAACTGTGACTTGGTATTTGAATCAAAAGCCTCCCCTAAATCCAGCACCGGAATTGATTTGAACGACATCTTGTCAAGTAGTTCTATAAGTCCGGAAAAAGCTCCGAAAATAGACTTGCATTCGCGACACACGTTACAGCTGGAAGCTGCTTCATATAATCGATCTTTAATTAAAAGGGAGACATAAGAACACTTCCGTAACATCGCTATGGCTTCATCACGTGATATTAGTTGCATTCTGCTGTTGACGCTCTTAAACCCGAAATACCTTCCTTGATAAACAATATTGGCCTATATGTAAAGAGTCCTTTGAAAGCTTGCATAGCGAATTGTTTCTGATGATTTCTCCGATATGGTCCCCGTCTTTCATAAGAATGATCTCACCAGTGTTGTTTTGTACCTCAATTTCTTCGAGATGTACACAGCTCGAAACTTACGAAGAAACTTACAGGTGCAAATAAAAACCAAGACCGTAATCCATACACTCCCTTGTCATATGCAAATATGATGATATTTTTCGTTGTCGGTGGTTGATAGATTTCTGAACTGCTCATTTAACTCGTTCATAGTCCATCTAAATAATAAAGCTGATAAGAAATTGAGTAGTTATATCTCTCCGTTACTATCTTAGGACCATGACCACTACGATCTTGGTCATACTAGCTCCTTTTATACAATTTCTGTAATATTGATCCAAATTTGGAATCCGTTACTTTCTTCAATCTAGACGGTGAATTCTCATCATACGTCATTCATCATACCACATCTGATCTGATTACAATGTTCTGATGATTCTAGAACTTTCAATTGACCTGTTTTAGCTTCTAGTTCTTTCGCGGGATGCAAACCGTCTGTCCATTCCTCTAATTTTATTCTGTCATCTCAATCACGTGATGATGCAATTGAACGATATCATCTTCTCGCCAGCTCCTTCCAACAGTCTTCTATTAATCTGGAAATATTGAGGGCATTCTGTTTTGCATACGCTACTCTTCTTGCTTTTGCAGTTAGTAACAGAGTGCACGTTGCAGAGAACTTTTGCATGAAGTATCCCAACAATAACCACGCTAGGTCTTAGACTTTGACGAAACAGGGCTGACGCACGAGACAATAAGTTCACAACCAGAGAATGACAAAACATGGGACAAATATCTGCTTTGCATATTCGTTTTCATGATAAGTGAAGATTATATCCGTTACTGATCAAGAAACCAGATATTCGGTTAAAATACATTCACCTATTATCGAGCGTGCTCGCCAATTTGAGTATCCCAGCTAAATGATGTCAATTCATGAGGCAAAAGGCCATCGTTGCTTATTGTCCAATCAAATTTCAAAATTCATTTCATGTGCGCCACATTCTCTCTCGATGTCTACAAAAGTGTCTAAATCCAGGCGATTGAGGGTTTGAAGCTTGTGATCTGGCTGTAACAAGCAGAGTATTCCGTGGCTCTTCTGATCGTGACCTAATCTAATGTTTACTTTTTCGGAAGTTTCAGTAATCCTGTGCGGTAAAGTAACTAAGGTTTTTATGTAGAACCGAACCGAGAGGTACTATAACCAGAAAATAAGAAGTAAAGCTTTGATTTCAGGTTGCCAAACGGCCAAATGATAAAAATTTCTAAGCCTATCCATTGACGTCGCGATCAGCTTGCCGCAATGACTATTTATTTATAATAGTTTTTCTTTATTTCTGTTATCAGCGTGTTTGGTATCATTTTTTTCATGTCGGCATAAGGGAACTTCATTTTTCCGACACGATACTTCATCAATGTGCGAGGTATTCAATTATAAAAGAGACCAGGCGGAGCGCTTCAAATGCTATTGACTGTTCTTTCAATCAAAAGCACCAAATTTTTACTACACGTATGACTGGGATAAGAATTGCTATCGATAGAGGTGGAACCTTTACCGATTGTATCGGTAACCCAGGATCGGGAAATCCCGACGAAGACGTCGTGATCAAATTGTTATCCGTTGACTCAAAGAATTATCCCGATGCTCCACTTGAAGGGATTAGAAGGCTTCTCGAGATTTTTCAAAAGAAGTCTATTCCGAGAGGGGTTCCGCTTGATTTGAGCGGTGTTGAAAGCCTTAGAATGGGGACTACGTTAGCAACCAATTGCGCTCTCGAGAGAAATGGAGAGCGCTGTGTTTTTGTCACTACCAAGGGTTTTAAAGACTGTCTATTGATTGGTGATCAAACTAGACCCAAAATCTTCGACCTAGCAATTAAGCGGCCAAAACCCCTTTACGATCTTGTAGTCGAGGCCGATGAGAGGGTCACCCTTGAAGATTTCTCAGAGGATCCTGAGAGTTTTTCAACCCATCCAGATCCTCAAAAAGGCGTATATATTGGCAAAAGCGGTGAGATTGTCCGAGTCCTGAAGAAACTGGATATTGGTGCCCTGCGAGCCGATATGCAGTCGGCATACGATCAAGGTATTCGCTCTGCTGGTATTGCATTACTTCATTCATACACCTTTCCTGAGCACGAAGAAACTGTGGCTCAAATTGCTTTGGAGATTGGATATACTCACGTCTCAATGTCATCGAAGGTTTCGCCAATGATAAAGTATTTGCCAAGGGCCAACAGTGCAGTTGCCGATGCATATTTAACTCCGGTAATCAAAAAATATCTAAGTGCACTACAGGCGGGTTTAGTCAATGTCCAGAATACAAGCATACAATTTATGCAGTCTGATGGAGGTCTAGTAGAAGGTAGCAAGTTCTCTGGACTCAAGTCTATTCTTTCGGGTCCCGCTGGTGGCGTAGTTGGATACTCTGCTACCTGCTACGACGCAGAGACTAATATACCGCTAATCGGATTTGATATGGGGGGAACTTCAACCGACGTAAGCAGATTTGGGGACGGTAAATTCGATCATGTATTCGAAACAACAACTGCTGGAATTGTCATCCAAAGTCCTCAATTGGACATCAATACTGTAGCTGCGGGTGGAAGTTCTATGCTTTTCTGGGAAAACGGGCTGTTCAGAGTTGGTCCCGAGTCCGCAACCGCCGAGCCTGGTCCTGCGGCCTATCGGAAAGGGGGGCCTTTGACAATCACAGATGCAAATCTTTTATTGGGTCGTTTGGTGCCAGAACTTTTTCCAAGAATTTTCGGACCCAATGAGGATGAGTCCCTTGATTTAGAAGTTACTAGAGAGAAATTTCAGAGTCTTTCTGAAAGTATCAACAATGATCTAGGCACTAGTTTTACTGTGGATGAAATTGCCCATGGATTTCTCAAAGTCGCTAATGAGTCCATGGCTCGACCAATACGATCCTTGACTGAGGCAAAGGGTCACGTAACCGCAGACCATCAGCTTGTTACTTTTGGTGGTGCGGGTGGCCAACACGCTGTGGCTGTAGCAGAATCCTTAGGAATTAATACTGTTATTGCGCATAGATATTCTTCCATTTTATCAGCTTATGGAATGTTTCTTGCTGACGTTGTGGAAGAAAATCAGGAGCCTTGTTCGTTAATTCTAGAATCAAAAGAGACTCATGACAAAATTCTCCAAAGATTCAAAGCCATTAGAAATGCCGCTATAAAAAGCCTGCTCAAACAGGGCTTCACCCAGAGTGACTTGATGTTTGAAAACTACTTGAATTTGAGATATGATGGAATGGAGTCATGCTTTATGATCAGACAAGTCGGTCAAGAGTGGAACTTCCAAGAAGATTTTGTGAGTACCCATAAGAGGGAATTTGGATTTGTTTTCAATGATAGATCCATAATCGTTGACGACATTAGGGTGAGGACAGTGGCTAAATCGATGGTACGCCTCACAAGCTCCATTTCTCAAGAGCTCTCACAGTCAGTTGCTAAGAAGGTCGATAGAGAATCCGAGGCTACTTTTTACAAAGACGTTTTCTTCGACGACAGGCGAATGCAGACCCCTGTTTTCAGGATTGAAAATATGGCAGCCGGCAGTGTCATTGACGGACCTTGTATTTTAGCAGACGGAACCCAAACTAACGTCATTCCAGGCAACGCCTCGGCAACAGTCTTAAGCTCACGCATCATCATAAAAATCAACTTTAAGAGTAAAGACAGCGAAAAATGCCCTGAGGACAGGGTGGATCCTGTTCTGCTGTCAATTTTTAGTCACAGGTTCATGAATATCGCGGAGCAAATGGGTTCGCAGCTCAGGAAAACTGCGATTTCCACCAATGTCAAAGAGAGGCTTGATTTTTCGTGCGCGCTTTTCGATCCAGATGGCAATCTTGTGGCTAATGCGCCTCATGTACCCGTACACCTTGGGTCTATGTCCACTTGTATCTCAGCTCAAGCCAAACTTTGGAAAAGAAAATTAAAGCGTGGTGATGTTATAGTCACTAACCACCCAGAGATGGGTGGTACACATCTACCAGATATCACTGTCATAAGTCCAGCCTTTTCAAATACTGATGATGAAATAATCTTTTATGTTGCTTCCAGAGCTCATCACGCTGACATCGGAGGAATTTTACCTGGTTCTGTCCCTCCAAACTCAAGAGAGCTGTACGAAGAGGGTGCGGCAATATATTCAGAGCGGCTCGTCAGGGAAGGTTCATTTGATGAAGCTCTGATAAGAAAGCTTCTGGTTGATGAACCTGCCAAGTATCCTGGATGCTCGGGCTCGCGGAAAATTAGTGATAACATTAGTGACCTGAAAGCACAGATAGCTGCCAATACTAAGGGAATTCAATTGATCGGCAAGTTAATGAGAGATTTTGGGATCGACGTCATTGTGAAATATATGGTGGCCATTCAAGAGAATGCTTCGACAACGGTAAAGCAAGCGCTCAAACAACTAGCCGAGCATTTTGGTGCAACCGTATTCGAAGGAGAAGATTTCATGGATGATGGCAGTTTAATTAAGCTAAAGCTCAGCCTAGATATCGAGAAGGAAGAGTACACTTTTGACTTTGGAGGAACCTCACCTCAGGTTTATGGAAACTTAAATGCGCCAGAAGCAATTACAAACTCCGCTATTCTCTACTGTTTGCGCTGCTTAGTTGACAAAGACATACCGTTGAATCAAGGATGTCTAAAACCCATCACGGTCAAGATACCTAAGGGCTCTATCTTGAGTCCAACAAATGGCGTTGCAGTTGTTGGGGGCAACGTCTTGACTTCGCAGCGAGTTACGGATGTGATCCTAAAAACATTCAATGTCATGGCTGATTCCCAAGGAGATTGCAATAACCTCACTTTCGGTGTTGGGGGAAAGAGCTCTAACGGCGATGTTTCCAACGGATTTGGATATTACGAAACTATATGCGGTGGGCATGGTGCTGGCGGAGACTCCTGGAGGGGTCCAGGATGGCACGGGGCAGATGCTGTCCATACAAACATGACAAACACGAGAATGACTGATGCCGAAATTTTTGAAAGGCGGTATCCAGTGATGTTGAATGAGTTTTCAGTTAGACCAAATTCAGGAGGTCATGGAAAATTTAATGGAGGCAACGGTGTTATTAGAGATATCTTATTTCGCAAACCTGTTCAAGTATCAATTTTGTCAGAAAGACGTGTTGTTGCTCCACATGGGTTAGAAGGTGGACAGGATGGTGCCCGTGGATTGAATCTTTGGATACGAAACGTATCTGGAGCAACAACAAATATTGGCTCTAAAAACACTATTAGTGTTGAACCGGGTGATCGCGTGGTGATAATGACGCCAGGGGGTGGAGCCTGGGGAGAGCGTTCTTGATTTATATAAGCATTTGCTCATCCCATGCCTGGCTGTTTCACACAATTAATTGATGCACACTTTTGTAGTTTATATGATTAATGCACATTGATTTATCCTTATAATGCCCTCGACTAGGACTAATTTTGAGTGGTTTTCGATAAGAGGCTCATCATTAATTAGTGATGGGCGGTAAATGAATCCACTCGACTTGTCTCAAAAATTCAACACTGCTTCAAACAAGATCAAAAAACCAAACCTTTATAAAATCGAGCTGCAATGCTATAGGCAATATTTAAAATTTAAAGCTTCGTCTCCAATCCTTTCCTTTTTGGAATCTTTTTTCAATCCCGCTGAAATGGCAGCTTTGTCCTTGTTTAGTTTCATTAACCATATTATCTGCAGAGCAGCGAGAATGTTCGATAAAATAATACATCCAAGAGAGAATGAATTTCCTAGAACATAAGGCGATTTTGTGTATACTTGCCCCACAATGGCACCAGAAAGATTACCTAACGTTTGATTAAGACCTAAAGCTGTTGCTCTCTTGTAATGGGGCGCCACATTGTTCGTGAGCCAGGTTATGTTTAAGCCAGTTCCTGTGTAAAGAGAAAAAGTTATCAGGTAGCACGCAAAGTACTTCACCGCATCCTTTTTCACTGTGAGAAGAATGATGTACCCAACAGCACCTAGTAGGTTGTAAGCAAAAAACACCGGTCCTCTTATTTTAAATCGATCACTCATATAGGCAGAGATCAGGAAAACAATCGCGGCGAGGATGTACACTGGTACACTCATGTATTGAGCTTGTCTTGAGTTGTATCCCAAACCTAGTTTGAGTATCGCTGTTAAGAAAGTGCTAAAGCCATAGAGAATGGTATCCTGACAAAATTGAATGACAAAGGCAAAATACGTCTTGAGGTCTTTGAAAGCGAGAGAAACTTCTTTCCAGCTAAACTTAGAGTTCTCACCCATATACTGAATGCGCTGCTTCGACCTGGTTCTCATGAGAGCTTGCTCTCGATCGTTCAAAAAACTCATGTTTTCAATGTTGTCAGGGAGCCCAAAGAATAGCCAAAACGCCGCCCCTACAGAGATGAGACCTTCTATAATGTAGAGCCATCTCCAGCCTTCCAAACCACCTGCATTTTTAACAGACGCCAGACCGGTGGCAATAAGGCCGCCGAAGGCTCCCGATAGAGCAGATGAGCCAAAGAAAAACGCTATTCTCTTGGCTTGTTCCTGTGGCTTGTACGTCATTGTAATGAGCAAGGTCATAGCGGGAAAAAAACCGCCCTCAAAAGTTCCCAACAGGACTCTAACAGCTAGTAAAGACTTGTAGCTCTGGACAAAGCCAGTGAACAACGTGATGAGCGACCAACACAAAACCAAACACGACATATAGTAGCGTGGTTTCGCGATCTTCAACAGCCACACAGCAGGAAGTTCAGCCGCTAGATAAGTCGAATAGAAAACAGAGACCGCATTTGAGTACTGGCGTGGTGTGAGCGAAAGATCTTCCTTCATCCCCGAGGTATATGCATTGCCAATGTTAGAGCGATCCAGCGAAGACAAAAAATACATAAACGCGAGCATAGGTAGCAAGCGTCGATCTAGCTTCCTCAAAAGGGCGTTTTCTTCTTGTACATCAATGAAATAATCCTCAACAGTCCCCTGCTCTAGCTCCGTTGCCGAGATATCCTGATCATCTCGAACTGAGACCTTAAAGGCCCCTTTATCGATCTCCGAATGGTTTTCCATAGTGCGTTCTGATACTATTTGGTAATACCAATGATGTGACTTTCGCCGCTTGTTGATAGTACATGCTTCTCGTTTACTGGCTTTTATATTTGATTTACTTATCTCACATCTTGATTATCATGGGTCTGTACATTGTCGGAATTTCAGGAAGTGAAAAGGCCGCTCTCAAAATTGAGCACCATCATGATTCTAATCGTGAATTGAGAAGAATGACATGCCTTGATAAAAGTACAGAATTGTCTTCTGGTATTATCCAATGATTTTAATCTCAAGCCATCGTTCGAGAAAGAGTACCATTTCAATATTTTTTCCTCATAGCTTTCCTGTGTATGCTTAAAAGAAAGCTTCAGCGTTATATTGACATTTAAAGCATAAATGATGGCTCTATTGCCCTGGACAGATACTAAAATTCAGGGAGCAGAAAATGGCGAAAGCTTGCGTCAAGTGCAAACAGCGTAAAAAGAAATGCTCAGGAGGTGTACCTTGCGACTATTGCCTGAAGATCGACGAACCACAGGGCTGTGAATACAAGACGAGGGTAAAATCCAAAGTGGCGAAGGTTACCGAGAGATATATTTTGTCACTTAAAAATCGAATACAGCAGCTGGAGGCGCAGCTTGCCAAAACTGCGTCTGAAGTACCGGAAAATACGGAGCAACCTTTAACAACATCCGACATTAACCCATTGATGGAATCAGAGAACGGTTTGGAATATGGTTTCCAGGCTCCACCTTCAAAATTAAGTACAAGGGATCGCTATCTTGGACTTTCGTCATGTGCTCAGTTTCTAAAGAAAGTGAAGCAATCCTTACCAAACTCAATTGACGCAAATGTTGTAGCTTCCAAAGATTGTACGTTGGCGGCATTGAAAGTGCATACAGAGCCTCAAATCGATCCGTTTCGCATTGAAAAAATATTGAATGAAATCATCCCCGACTTTAAGGAAGCCAGAAAACTAATTCAGAATGCTTCTGAAATGATAGGTGCAGATTACATGTTCATCGAAAAAGATTATGCAGATATTACAGTCAAAAAAATGCTAGATCGTGACCAAATACCGAAGAAACCGGAGGACCTCCTACAATTCACAATTGAGCTTCTACGACTTATGACCTGTTTGGCTCTGGGCTCGCTTTTCGATAGAAGTAACGAGAGCTCGAGATATATGGGTGTTACATTTCACCGAGCGTCATTATCTTTGTATGGAAGCTTAGCATACGCTTTCGATCAAGCTTCAAGCGCTGCCTTGGTACAATCGCTGCTAAATATGGCGTACTTTGCCTTGTCGCAAAACAAGACAACATTCGCCTTTGCTACTGTAGGAACTGCAATTCGAACTATGTTTACATTGGGGTACCATAAGAAAACCCAATCGATGATAGAAAATCGCACTTTTTGGTTGTGCTTCATTTACGATCGCTTGCTTGCCGTGAGATTTGGGTTTCCGTTAATGATAGGCGAGCGGGACATCAACGCCCCTATTTTCAACGAAGCAGATGAGAGTCAAACAACTGTTTCTCTAGATGTGTATCATTTTGTTGCGCAGGTGAAACTCGCAATGATTACTACTCAAATCATATCTAAGATCTACATGCAGAACCCATTTTCTTTTTTGCACAATTGTCATGCGGTCTTGAAACAATTGAAGCATTGGTTTGATTCACTCCCAAACGAACTCAAATTTGATTACGATGATATCAAAACTGGAATGATTAGATCAACTTTCAATCTGCATATCAATTACAACTACTCGATCATAATAACAACCAGACCAGTTTTGCTTTATGTGGTGAACATGATTTTCAGCAACACCGGAGACGAAGAAAAGACTCTCGAGCAAGGCCAATGCGATCTGATATCAGGCCTGCTTGAGTCATGTATCCAGGCAGCCGAAATTCAGAGTCGCATTTTGGCCAAACTTTACTATGACGGTAAGATGGCCGTTTGCTCATTTCTGGATTGCCATTATATTTTTGGCGCAACAATAATACTCATTTTAGCTGGATATTGTCAAATGCACATGGAACAAAGTGTACTGTATTCTGGAGATATCGAGCTCTTATTTGACGCAATAAATCACAACTTAAAGATATTACAAAGACTTTCGGAGTATAACGTGGTTGCTCGTAATTTCAATGAGCAATTAACCGAGTTTATTGAGACGATGAGCTCTAAAGAGGTAGTAGGACCTTTGGAAAAAGAGGATGGCCAGCGACAGAATTCACCACTCTCGTTCTCTCAAAATTTCAAGCGCCAAAATTCTACCCTAAATGACTTGGAGGAAGATGAAAAGCGGATTTTTGATTTGGATGACCTAGCATTTGTGGATCTTTCGCATTTACTCAACTATATAGACGATCAGTTTCCTTCGACGTCTATGGTTGACCAATTCCTTGAACGTGATTTCTTGAGTAATAATTGTAGAGAACCTTAAAACAGGTGGCCTAGTGGTATTGCAATTTTATTTGTGAATCAAACAACAAATGTTAAATTTAATGCAAAGATTAGTCTTTTGAATGTGCCAATCTGTCCTTCAATGATCTGATGGGGAGCAAGCTTTTACTAAACACGAAAGCATAAAATTTGGTATGCGATTGGTAAAAACAGCCTGATTTATCTAGCTTTCTCACACTTTTCTAAATCATGAAGTATGAATATCCTGGAGAATTAAAGATAGGAATTAAAAGAATGATGACTTTATGATTTCATGTATAAGCTGGACAATGCCAGGCCTATTCAACACACGTAAAGAAAATCAAAGAAATATAATTGTTATCACTTGAACCGCTAAATTGATGGTACCGATATGAAGGAAATTTTTCTGATACGCTCAGCTGCAGAACTCAATTTAATTCACTGACTGTTATTGATCTTTAAAATTCTGCAAGTTCCGGAACAGACTGCAGTATGATGGGCAGTGAAATATAGCTTCTCTTCAGAACATTTGAGTGCTGTCCAAAACTAACATATGACCTGGAGCATGGCCCACCACAAAACCCTCAATTAAGGGCCCCACAGTGGTAATCGCGAGTTGAGGGGTTACGCCACAGGCCCAAAATACAGGTATTTCATCATCGGTCATTTCCACAGGGTCACCATAATCAGGCTTCTGTAAATCTTCAATTCCTAACCTCTCTGCGCCGTCAAAACCCCAGTCAATAGGTTCTCCATGTGTTCTTTTGAAGGCTCTCGTGACACTTCTTACCTTATCAACCTCGGATGGTTTATAGGGCCTCATGCTGACCACGTATGGACACTTATGAAATATCCCCGCAGAGTCGAGGAATTTCGTTGTCACAAACATTGAAACGTTGCGTCCTTGAGTTACATTTGCGGGAACTAAGCCAGCCCTCACCAAAGCGTCTTCGAATGAGAAAGAGCATCCAATCAAAAAACCCACATGATCGTCGGACCATTCATCCATGCAATTCGATTTTTGCTGGTATAGTTTACCACCAAGGTATATATTGTATTTTGGGAAATCTCGACGAATATCAAAGAAACTGTCACTAATGAATTTCGCATGATTTTCCACAACATGGGCGCTGCCAGCAGTTTTCGTCAACAGAGGACATGCAACGGGATTGCGTAAACAAAGATCTTCGAAATCGCTAGCCACCGAGCGAGGCACTATTAGAAGGTTGGCTTGCACATAGCCTGGAAGAATTCCAGAAGTGGGTCCGGTGAATGACTCTTTCCGGCAGAGCTCTCTAAAAGAGCAAGGACTTGACATTTGATGAAGCCATCACGTAAAGAGACTTTTCTAGGAGTTGCTACATAGCATGTTTAAATTGCATATAATAATATTATAAGATCTTATCTTCAAGAAAATCGGCGGCGATTTGACAACCCAATTCTCCGAAAATCAGATTCGATCTGTGACTCCACATTTCGTTAACAGTGAGATGTCTCAAGGCGGGAAGATCTTGCCGAAGCCAAATCCCATGCTATGGCGAAAGATCTATTGTGAAGATGGACTTGATAGTGCTTGTCGCTTTGTTTCCGACAGACACTCGACTCCATAATTATCATAAAGATATTCCTTAATTCATTTGGGGCTACCTTAAGTGGGTTTGTGTTTGAAGGGGTCTACGAAGGACTATGTCGTCAAGTTGCGAAATCTTTAGTTGAGATCACGCTGTAAAGGTGACAGACGGAAACAAGAGATGATTGGACGGATGATTCGAATCCAATTCTCCAGAGAACTGGAGGATTTTATCTTGGTGTTCACCACGGAATTACCTTACCTTCATCATTAGACTATCAGTGGTGAGAAGAATGGCTTGATATAAAAGTTTTCCACCATTTCCTATTGCAGAGGGATGAATGATGAATGCGTTTGATGTACTCAAGAAGTTGCTAAGGCAATGAACTGAATGAAAGGTCAATTTGGGGAATCATCTTCTAGCGATGCTTGTGAACCTTATCACAAGCATTTTTTGATTTCACGTTGATTAAGATATAAGAACAAGAAGTATCTGTTCATTGTGACTGAAAGATCAATCACCACGGAGAAGCATGAAAAGGATAAGATGTCAGCTTAGCAGGAATTGTGGACGTTATAAACAGTCTATGACTACTAGGACAGTCGGAGAAGACAAATATTAACCGCTTCACTCTCAGAGATGCTCTATTATTTGTGTAAAGCTTTTTAAAAAATTGCTAATTGTCCTATCTTTGATACGACGGGACTTAACGACTTAGGGGACTGTCAAAGTGTTACATTAAAATCGAGATATTAATGACGAAATGTTTTAATTCTCTAGAATGCTCTTTAGCAGTGACTTCGGAAGTACGTCTTCAAATACGCCCTTTAAGCTAGCGAGATTTCAAATTGTGCATCGGCGAAATTTGTAGCACCATATGCAATGTGTGAATGGCAACTCGGTCCTCAAAAGTGAGAATAATTTAGCTGGAGAAAATAGGTAGCCTTTCGCTCCATGATATTCGAATGATATGCCTCAAAGACACAAGCAAGAAAGATATGCACATATTTGAACGCTACATCCCTTACTTAAATTCATTAGGTACTATATGGCACACTCTTTAGTATAAGGCCATTGTCACGCGTATTGGATGTATCGCAATGTTACCTTACAATCTTTGTATTTGTTGTTGAAATTCAAACAATTGAATTTATCAAGTCGTGTGCCCATCACATAAGGAGATTTAACTTGTTTTCGGACGTTCGACTTCTTCCAGTTCACTTAGCGTCGGTTTCGAACGTTCATGGATCTCGCTATAAATCATGGAATCATTTCAAAGGCTGTCACAGAGGAAAAGACTTCGAATTTCCTCACATGGTGTTCAATTGTTTGATCTCTAGGTTTAAAACATTGAACACATCATCGACGCTTGAAGATAGTTCAACAGTGCCCAAGAAATTCTCTTCGCTCATGTAGAAAGTGTTAGTAGATGTCGAAGAACCATCATTGAAGAAAAGCTCTACAATATCCTTGTCAACGATCCCATGAACTTTGTAAACTGGCAACCCATCTTGGTCGATTCTGTAGGGCTCCAAAAAATGCACAAGTCTCGTAGTAAATAGAGGGTTAAAGCGGACGAAATCCAAGTCGGAAATGCCTCTGTCAAGGAAGAAAGCACCTGAATTAACTTCATAACCCAATTTCAGAAACTCTTCCTCATCTTCGATACCTCTCAGGTTGAATGTCATGGCAGCAGGACTTTTTTTTGATGTTATTGCGGTTGCGTTAACTTTCCACTCTAGTGTAAACTCTAGTAGCCCCTTGGCTGTTTTCGTTAAGTGATAAAACACGCTCTCCTCTGTAGTTAAGTTCAAAGACGCCTTCTTTATAGACTGAGTAGTATTCAGTATGCTGTGGTCGATAATCGGCTCACTGTATAATGTAAGCTGCGAGGATTCCGGGTTAGGCTTGTAAGGACGAAGCGTTAAGTTGCGAGCTAACGTCATCGAGGTCTTCCAAGGTGTAATTGGCACGTACGCACCGTAGTCCCAATTAGAAGCCCATGCTAGTCCTACCACCTCATTGGTAGGAGTATCGGAAAATGTCTGCATAGCATAAAAATCCTTACCGTTGTCAACAAAGCGCGAGGCTGAATCATCAGCAGTGAAAGTTTTGCCATCGAAATCACCAATAAAATACTGGTTGACTGAGCCACCCGTAGGAGCACCTGGGTTAATGCTGAGGAACATGACCCATTTAAAATCAACAGATGATGAATTATTCGAGGCTAGGGTAGTGTTAGGGTCAACGGATTGCAGAACCGGGACCTTACTCAAGCCAGGACATTCGTATTGGTATCCCAAAAAGCCGTAATGCGAAAAATTTGATTGGAAGTTCCATGTCTTCAAGTTCTTCGACGTGTAGATTTGAATTTTGTACTCTTGAGATAATGCTAGCGTCATAACCCAACGCTGGGTTTCGTCATGCCAAATAACTTTGGGATCCCTAAATTGTGTAGAGTTGATATCCAATACCGGATTCTGTGCGTAGTAATTGAACGTGTAACCCCCGTCCAGGGAGTACGCTGCAAATTGAGACTGCTTGGAAGAACTGTCCTCCGTGTATAAAGCGACGATTCTTTGGCCAGGTAAGGTTGAGTTGTCAAAAAATCCAGACGTATTGTTGCGGTCTATGACGATGCTCCCAGAGAATGCCCCACTTACATCATCTGCCGGCTCAATGGCGACACCGTGATCGACCCAGCTCGTCAAGTCCTTTGAAGTAGCATGCCCCCAAAATATGGGTAAACCAGCTACAAGAGCGTCCGGTTTGTACTGGTAGTAAACATGCCACAGCGAAGTTTCCTCGTCAAAAAAGAGACCATTGGGGTCATTCATCCAGCCAACACGGGGGGTATAGTGGATGAGGGGGCGATTCGTCTCATGCCCAACCGATGAATTCATCGCAGTCCTATTCAATGTGAGGTCGTAAGCAGAGTTGTAGGCATGAACACCTAAGGCGGCGCAAAGAGCTGTCAAAGTGAACCCCAATATCTTCATTTTGGCACGGTTGGAGCTCGTGGTTTGAGATTTGTTTTGGTTCTTTCCAAAAGGATACGCTGATCGCTCATTTGTAATTTCTTCAGTTCCTTTATAGGCGTTCGGACTCTCGAGATAGGCCATTGAGGGCTTGAGAAATCGTGTCCCCGTAAGTTTCCAGTTTTACTTTGATGTTATCACCACGCCACTTGCGCGTGCCGAGATGGTTATGAGATTTCCTTTTCTGTGCCTAAACGTGCCTAAACGTGCCTGTGGGGGTTCAGTATGCCGTAATATGACGTATTCTCGTAAAAAAAAATGGTGGAGAAAGTGCGATTCACCTGAAAAAACCTATTTGGGGAGGCGGAAATGAGCAAATTATTCGGGGAATGAATCAGATTCTCCGGGTATGCATCATTTTCCCCGGGAAACATCCGATTTTCCGGGGAACGCCCGATTCTCCCCGAGAGCTCAGATGCTTGTCAATACGTATAGCGAATGAGTAAGAGTCATGCTAAGGTGACCAACAATTCTTTTCAGGAGCACGCAAATCACGACGTAACTCGCATGAAGCAATTCAGAATTTGGATTCTTTTGCATTTCTTCTGTGCCCTTCACGGTGCCTACACAGAGTGCCTATCTAGGGCGCTACTACAGGGTCCAAGGAACGAGGTTTGAAGACAATAGTATTTTTAAGACTACTTCCTTGAAAGGTAACTCTTGATGGAATTGCTGTGTTACAGATATTTATCTGCTTGGAAATACTTCGATTTCCTACACGCCAAGTTCGAGAAAACATATTCCGCAACAAGCTGTTCCCATCCACTATAAAAAGAGAAAAGGCTAGAAATATGAGCCTGAAAGTTCTGAGTTCATAATTAAAAAAAGCATCGCAAAGTATCAGAGGCCGGCATGATGATTCAGACATTGTGGAAGGACAAATCGCTCGGAAGAAGCTCAAGAGAATAATGGATTCTTCAGGTTGTGGACTTGTCTGAAGTAGCGCCGCGAAACAAAAACTGAGTGGCATGGCCAAACAAAGTGAGCTAGATAAGAGAAAATATCATGGAAGTTTACAGTCAATTGATCAGGAACCAATAAAAGCCCGAGCAAGAAAGACGATGGTCCCACGCACGTAAAGGCTATCAAGACTAGGCCGTCTCTTGTCTAATAAACAACGTGAGCTGACGACGTTCATCACGTCCTTAAAGGGTAATGCTAATGGCTATATGGAGATTCGTTCACGAAATGCCTTCGAAAGAGTACATGATAGAATTGCTTGCTTGATGAAGTTAGTTGGTCTAAATAATAAGGCAGATAAAGAGTTCAGTACTCATATCTCTCCGTGGTTATCTTTAAGAATAAGCCACTGTAAAACTGGTGAATGTGTCTCCTTTGATACAATTCTTGTAACACTGTTCGAACTCTAGAACCGTTACTCTCTTCGTCCTAGACAGTAAATTCTCATCATAAGTCATTAATCATACGACCTATGATCTGATTACGATGGTCCAAAGATTCTTGAACTGTCGATGGAACTGTTTGGGCTTCCAGGTCTTCCACAGAATGCGAACCGTCCATTCATTCTCTCAATTTTAATCTGTCACTGCGATCACGTGACAATCCAGCTGAACGAGATCACTTTTTATGCTATCACCTTTTGACATGCAGATCTTGTTCGAAATTTTGATCGACAATTTTGACAAGGAAGTTCTGAATCCTCCCTTTTTGTTGTCTAAGTGCGCCTTCCGAAATCGTCTCCTCTCTTGGTCAAAATCTTCCACCTCGGCCCAGCGCTCAAACCAATGTGAAAATTAAAAAAAAGCAACTCCTTCTGGCGTACGAGCGACCGTCCAAAAGTTCAAAGAGTTGTTTACACGGTAAAGGACAAAATGTAACCAACAAAATTGTTGGAAGGAGCTGGCGAGAAGATGATACCGTTCAATTGCATCATCAGGTGATCGATATGACAGAATAAAATTAGAGGATTGGACAAAGGATTGGCATTCTGCGAAAGAGGTGGAAGCTAAAACAGGTCCATTGAAAGTTCTAGAATCATCAGAACATTGTAATCAGATCAGATGTGGTATGATGAATGACGTATGATGAGAATTCACCGTCTAGTTTGAAGAAAGTAACGCATTCCAAATTTGGATCATTGTTACAGAAATTGTATAAAAGGAGCTGATATGAACAGGATTGTAAGTGGTCGTGGTTGTAAGATAGCCACGGAGAGATATAAGTACTCAATTCCTAATCCGCTTTATTATTTAGATCAATTATGAACGAATTAAATGAACAATTTAGAAACCTATCAACCTCCGACAAGGAAAAACCTCATCATATTTATGCTCCATTTATATTTGTAGCGGAAGCGTTAGGATTGAGCTTGTCAGTATCATCAGTAATTGCGACAAGATTCAGCAGCCATGAAAGGTCAAAATCTTGGATCGAACGATAAAGAGGCCGTCGATGACAATATAAACTTCCAGACAGATGAAACCCAGTCTCTGGACCAAAGTAAAAAAGTTCGCAATGTGGTTTCGATCACCAGCGCGGACATCGGCGACCTTGAAAACGTTATTTCGACCATTGTGTCACCCTCCGGGAAAGAAGTTAAGGTGACCGGAAATGTCGACGACGCGATGCGGCTGGCACTTGAGTCGCGGGAACTGAAAATTACTGAGGAAGAAGATCGCAGGCTTGTCTGGAAGATCGACTTGTACATGTTCCCGCTGATGTGTATCTTGTACGCCATCCAGTTCATGGACAAGGTGTCGAACGGATCTGCTGCGGTAATGGGCCTGAGGGAAGATCTCAAAATGGTTGGCGACCAGTACTCTTGGGTTGGGTCTGCGTTTTACTTTGGCTACCTTTTCTTCAACTTGGGTCCGGGCCAGCTGATATTTCAAAAGTCCCGGTGGCTTGCCAAGACCTTGGCCGTGTTTGTTGTCATCTGGGGTATGATTCTGGCATTGCATGCGGCACCCTCGATCAACTATGCGTCGTTCATCTTCCTCAGAGTGCTTTTGGGTTGTGCTGAGAGTATGGTGACGCCAACCTTCACCATCATCACGTCCCAGTACTGGCGCAAAGAGGAGCACTTCATGCGTGTCTGTCTCTGGTTCGGCTTTAATGGTCTAGGTGGTATCTGGGCCAACTCGCTTGCGTACGGAGTCTACATCAGGCAGGCCTCTTACAGCATTGAAGCCTGGAGAGTTTTGTTTGTTGTGACTGGGCTAATAACAGTTTTTGTCGGATTCGCCATCTTTTTTCACATCCCAGACGATCCTTCCAAGGCGTGGTTTTTGTCTGAGCGCGAGAAACTCATGGTGGTCGAAAGAATCAGAGGCAATCAACAGGGCTTTGGTAACCACCACATCAAATGGAATCAAGTCAGGGAGGCGTTTACTGACGTCAGAACCTGGTTGTTCTTTGTGTTCAGTATCGGAAGTAACATTCCAAACGGGGGCTTGACCAACTTTATGAGCATTTTAATCAAAACGGACTTTGGTTATAGTACGAAGGACTCGCTGCTCATGACCATGCCTACCGGAGCGGTCGAATTAGTCGCTTGTCCTTTAATCGGCTATCTATCAGTTTTGTGTGCCAAAAGGAAAATTCCGTTCCTGCAGGACAGATTGATATGGGGTATTTTCGCCGCAGTTCTCAGTCTCGTTGCCACATGTATGCTTGCTTTCGCCAAAGAGTCGAAAAACACGAGACTGGCGGGTGCTTATCTGCTTTACGTTGCGCCTGTTTCCTTTATCTGCGTGCTTTCCATCATCAGCTCCAACACTTTGGGATACACTAAAAAATGGACGGTGTCCTCCATTAACTTGGTTTCGTATGCCGCCTCAAATTTAGCCGGCCCTCAAACATTTATTGCCAAGCAAGCACCAAATTACAGCGGCGCAAAAATTGCAATGGTGGTTTGTTATGCCGGCTGTGTCGTTACTCTGTCGGCTCTTTACGTTTTGAACATTTACGAGAACAAGAGGAGAGACAGAATCCAAGCCGAAAAGGGACCCAGCGACAATATCGAGAACCTTGAATTTGCCGACCTCACCGACAAGGAAAACCCCAACTTCAGATATGCTTTGTGAACACTATGGGCGCTGGCTAGCGTCTCAAGTTGCGCGACTTGTCTCTAATTGTTGAGGTTTATCATTGTCGGTGGTTGATAGATTTCTGAAGTGCGCATTTAATTCGTTCATAGTTGATCTAAATAATAAAGCTGATAAGGTGTTGAGTACTTATATCTCTCCGGGGCTATCTTACAACCATGACCACTACGATACTGGTCATATTAGCTCCTTCTGTACAATTCCCTGTTACATTGTTCCAATTTCGGAATCCGTTACTTTATCTAAGATTGACGATGAGTCATTCTTACGTTACCTGTTAGGTCATTCTTGAAGTGATGACGGGGTGTGAAGATACCATAACCATCATTGGAATCATTTCATTCCTATGACTTCATCTTGATTACAACCGTCCGTTCATTCTTCTAATTTTGTTCTGTCACATCGGTCACGCCATGATACAATTGAATGATATCCTGTCTCGCTATCTCCTTCTAACAGTTCTTGATGGCCAGGATACCCTACTTGTGTTCCGAATGCAAATATGAGCGTGGGTGTTCGGTGTGTGACAGCCTGAGGGTGCCGTT